CACTTATTGTCATCTCAGTGGAATTGGGACCATATGTTAGATTTTGGCGGAGTTGGGGGCATCGGTCGCAACCTTGGTGGCTAGCTCAGCATCAAAGAGGGCTAATACGGGGGCGGATTGGGACGCCTCTTTCAGGACTTCGAACGCACGCACGCCTTCCTCAAACCAGGTCAATTCGGTGTCCTTGTCTCTTCCGACGGTTAATCTCGGGTTCGGTTAGAGCCGGACCGAACTCCTGCTACGGGTAACCACGTTGATCCTCGGAACTTGGATAGGAGTTCGCTTATAAAAGCGGGGTACCCGTCGAACTTGGGAGGGTAAGAATCCATTCCCTCTATCCATTCCACAAAAATTCGATTTTTCCCACACACAAAAACCAAATTTATTACCTCTTCTCAGCAACAATGCTTTTCTTTATTCTATTCCTCTCTTTGTTCATCGCGGTCAATTCGTCTATCGTACAAGCGCTTTTATCTAACGCTAGTCGATCTCGCCGGGAGACGAGGCTTAGATCCTCAAGATGTCCGGTTATTACCGATCTCCTAAAGTTGGATGGTGGTAACTCTGTATATGCTCGGAGAGTTACTCGGAAACCTGTCCGATCACGGAGTGCTGTGAGGTAGGCATGGTTTAGTGGGGCTTGTAACCTCCTCTTACTCCCGCTAATGTTTCCACAGACAAGCTGTTCCTCGAGGTTTGGAGACCTCGACCTTCGACGGCCATTTCAACCAGGTTCCGTTTCTGACTCGGGAGGATTTCCATCGTCCTTATCCCTTCTTCCAACAAGGGGACAGGAGTGTTGGTCAGGCTCGTGTCCGTGCAGCAGCAAGGGAGAAACGGGAACAGGTGCGGTGGATGCGGGAGGAGATTGAGCGAGATGGGAGGGGAGCGGAGTGGATGCGGCAGAGAGTGGCACAAGAAGAGCGGAATGAGAGACAGAAACTGGCACTCGAAGCGCATTACGAGGCATGGTGGCGCCAGAAGAAAGCCAGTTATCCTCCTCTTCCGGACTCTGCCTGTCGTCATCGTGGACGGAGGGACATTGACTGTGGTTGGGACTGGGGCCCAGATGGGAAATGGGGTCCTCTGACCAATGGGGCTATCAGGATTTTCTAGGAGCGGTCCTAGATGTGGTCTCCTTTCGAGCGAAGCTGGGCGCTATATCCTTTTGAGCGAATGTGGGCGCTATATCCCTTTGAGCGAATGTGGGCGCTATAACCCTTTGACGGATACAATGGAGACCATAGTAACGTGTTTGCCTCTCCCATGCCAGCCCGAGCTGAAAAAAAAAAAAGCTAACTGCTTGGTTATTTCAGCGTTGAGAGTGGTCCCAGATGTTCCGGTAAAAATTTTTTCCTTTCGTCGGGGTTCTTTAAGCGAGGAGCTTAAAATTATACTGTAACGGGGGTGCTAGGATGATACACGACCGTGACTTCGATCTGACATAGAAAGGGTAAACGGGCAACGATGGATTCATTGGGCTCGTTCGATCGAAAGATGGAGTTTATTTGTTTGATCGTATTTGTAGTCTAAAAACTTAATAATTTTAAGGGGTCTCCTCGCTAGTAAAGATTCCATCCCTCCCCGAGTTCAAACTGGGGGGCAACCGAGTACTTTTATCGAAGTTCCCCCTTTTTTTTTTCCCTAGACCCTTCGTTTTTTCCCCTAGTCCGGGGACACCGCGACTTTTTTCTATGAGGGGCGAGAGGAGTTGCTGCCACCCCTCGGACGAACTTCCGCCCGAGTCAAATCACGCAATCTCTGCCAAGAGCTGGTCGGGATCCTAAGAACTAGCGGAAACAGCCGACCAGATAGCAATTGCTTATTCAATTTGTTTTAGAACAGATTTGATGTTTTTTTTGGTAAAGCGAGGTTTGCTTTTAGTAGCTTGGGTCGTACTCCTACTCCCCCTCAAAGGTGCTCCGGGCTGAAACAGGAGGGTTCCGGCGGTTCGACGCTCCGGGGGTTATTTTTGGAGTCTAAAACGTGTTTATTTTGCAGTGTTTCCTCAACTCCGCAATCCGTTCATTCAACCACCCCAAATGGACCGGAGCATCGTCAGGATCCTTCCTGACGTGGTAAAGCATATTTTCCGAGCATCGGTTGCTAAGTTATTGCACCTCAAAGGTTGACTTCCAAGGTAGGGTAACTTATGTTTGGGGTTACCCTTCCGTATTTGGCATGCTCGTCCTTCTGCTCTAGTTTTGGTCCAGTCGCCTAGCTTGACTTATAAGACTTCTTGCTCGCCAGGATCCCTACCCTTCATACCAATAGAGGTAGGGGTCATCTGCCCTTATCTTCACCCATCGATGAAGAACAAGTGGTGATTACCCTAGGGTCGTATGGCTTGACTGGTAGAACAGTTACTTTTGTAACAGCCCTACTGTGGCTCTGTTACAGGTATTGCTTCCCTTCTGCTAGAAGGCAGTACCGGAACTTAGTAAGGAAGGAGGAGCAGAGAAAAGAATTCTTTGGAGTATAAGTACTCAGGATCATTCCCACCCAACTGTCCTGATCCTCATCTCCTATTATCGGTAGCAGAGCCTTTAAAGATTATTGAGTTCTAGCGATAGTATCTTTGAATAAATCTGCACTTGATTTCTATCTTACACGGCCGCATCTATTCTATTGGATTTTAGCAATACATAGAAAAGGCTGCCCCCGTTACACCGAAACCTGCCAATGTGGCTCGGAACAATCCTCCAAATACACCATGATCGACTGCCCCCGATGGACACAACTACGAAGGCCACTCATGGACAAGATCCCAGGACCGCCCACTTGGGAAAACTGGTTATTCACCAACCTCAATGTAGACCTAGTTCTACAATTTGCAGCAAAAACCAACCTACTCGACTGGTACGAAATGGACGAGGAGGACCCGGAGGAATGATGACCGGTTTTTTTCTTTCTTTACTTTCTGTACCTTTTCTTACGATTCCTCGCGTTGTATCTTCTTTTTTTTCCTATTTTCCCTTTGTTCTTTCTTATGTTTGATGGCGGAGGATTCGGCGTGCGATAAGTCCTGTACTTCAAAGCAATATAAAATCTATTTATTTATTCTGTATTTACTCCAAAAATACTACTTTTGTTCTACGTCTCGTCGTAGGGTTCAACTGGTTTGTCATACCAGGCAGAGCTGCCCCATAGTCCATAGTCTTGAATACCTATTGCTACGTCGTTGACTCGGTTGTATTCTTTGGCACTTTAGTCCCTACGTCCATAGACCCCCATTACAATGTGTACTCATACAACAGACAGTTGAAATAGCTCCATTACACAGAGAATCGAGATCTTGAGGTTATAAGTACTCAGAACCATTCCCACCCAACTGTCCTGAACGCTCCATCTTCACCATTACCATCATCGGTAACAGAGCCCTTAAAGATTATTGAGTTCTAGCGATCATAGTATCTTGAATAATCTGCTACCTGATTTCTACCTTCCATGGCTCAGGCTGCAACTATTCTATTGGATTCTAGCGATACATAGAAAGACTGTACCCATTAAATGAATTATTGATTTCAATAAGAACTCGCTGGTGCCCTACTGGTTTTAGCCTCTCATAAGTAATTGTATGTTTTACTTGCGAGAAAAAGCTTTAAAAGTTATTAAATTCCTTGACTTACCTTACCGTCAACACGTATACTCTTTTAGTCCTTATTAAATCAACTTATCTGGAACATAAACCCACAATAGCTTTATGAATCCAATATCCCAATGTTTCAAATAAATATTGTTTAAGCAAGTTGTAAGCATGAAATAAGGCTTAACAAAGAATTTTTTTACTGATAAGGCTATTGTGAGCCTACGTTCTAGATAAGTCGGCTGAATACTAGTAAGGCTCAAAATTGTATGTGTTTTGACTGTAAGCCTGAGGTAACTGTTCTTCTACAAAATCCTACTCTCTGACGAACTCCCCCGAGTTTGTATTCCTTTTTTTTCAGTCTAACTCTTGAACGTATAGTTTACGGCCGTGTTCTAACAGCACTCTCTCATTACAAAACCCGCTCGATTTGGTAATTATGGAGGAGAATGCTCCTACTCATAAGCACCCTATCAGGCGGAGTTTAGGCGAAGACTTGACTTTGATAAACTTAAGTGGCGCACCACCTCACCTGACCTGAACCCGGTAGAGTCAATTTGAAATGACATGAAAGATACTATTAAAGTAAAACTAGGATGGGTTTCTACAGCTAGAAGGATTAAGGCTTTCATAGAGGACGAGAGGACGAACTATCCAGTGGAGAAAATTAATAGGCATATTATGCCTATGCCATGTAGGATTGAAGCCAGTATTGCGAAGAATAGGGGAAACGGTTCTAATTTTTAAGTACCTATTCCAATATGTTCTATAATTAGTCCCACCCGCATGAGATCGCCTCCAAACCTCAATGGGCGAAGTCAATTTTAGTGTTCACAAACGCTGTGAAATTACGAGTACCGATATTTCTGGGTTATACGCCCATGGGCTTAAAGTAGAAAAATGCTTGCTGATTGGCTTGAGTCACGAGAATATGCATACACCACCAGTTTTCCTTGACCCACCACTTTGCTTTAAGCCCATGGGCGTATATAACCCAGAAATATCTGTAGTCCATCATGCGGCGTTGGAACTTGCCATGCAGGAGTCAGTCAGGGTTAGGGGTCACGCCTCTTGACCAATCAGATGCTAGAGAGTTCTGTTAATCTCTCAGTCTGCAACACAGACTATCACTCGCTATCCTGTTGACGTAATCCTTACTTGATAACTCGCCCGCCTTATGGGAAGACGAAAGCTGTACCCGGCAGGTTTATCTGTTAAATTTCGGCTTCTCGGAACTGCCCCCAATTCTCAAGTTGCATTACCCCGCTGGATACATCGGCACACAGAAAAGACAACAGAAGTATATGAAAAATGTATTTATTCACAACTTGGTGTGAAGTATTGAACCCGGATTTCTGCACATCCCTCGTTTTCCTCTTCATTTCTCCAGCAGCTCTACAATTTATATCATGTCATGAGTCAAATCAATAAAGTGTTGATTGTTGGCGCAGGCATAGCCGGTCTTTCCATTGCAATCGCCCTTCGCAAACGCGGTGTAGTGGTTGAGGTCAGTCTACTATTTATGCGTGGTTGAGATTCTATATGAGTTAACCCTTAAATATCACAGATTTTTGAAAGAACGCCTGAGCTCAGTGAGGTCGGCGCAGCGATCTCTGTAGCGCCCAATTCTGCTCGGGTCCTGCTATCCTTCGGTTTTGACCCAAAACGCTCTCGTGCCACTGACGCCGGGCCCCAATATGAATATAATAAGGACGGTGTTGTTGTTGATTCACTCGATCTTCGGGATATTGTTCGTGATGTTGGTGTACCTTAGTGGTTTCTTCATCGTGCAGATTTGCAGTTTGAGCTACTTCGAATCGCAACCAGTGATCGAGATGAAAGCTGGGGTCCTCCAGCAATGCTGAGACTCGGTTTTAATATTATACGTGTGGACTGTGACAGTGGGGTCATCGTCTCGGATAAAGGTGAACGCTTCCAAGGTGACCTTATTATTGGGGCAGACGGAGTGAAATCGGTTATCAGGCAGGAAATAACGGGAAGAATGGACGAGCCCAGTGTTTACAGTGGCCACAGCGCATTTCGTTCCCTGTATAATATAGAAGAGCTTAAAGCCGATCCGGAGCTCAGAGTATTTGTGAACGAAATCAAAATGGAGGATTGGGTTGGGAGAGATGGGCGACGCTGTGTATGCCCCCTTGAGATCAGAGAAGTAATGCCTCACTAACAGTGGTAGTAGCTACTCTATCCCTGTAGAGATAATACTCTTCTAAACCTTTTTGCGCCTGTGTTCTGGGAGGCGAGTCAATCAGTTGAGAGCTGGCGCGCAAACGGAAAGGCTTCTGACCTTGCGGAAAAGTTCAAAGAATTTCCGAAACCCCTTCAGAAACTTCTTTTGTAGGTCATCGTTGGTACCATGGTTTTTTCACCCCAATTGTGTTCTAAAATCCCAAATAGAAAAGATCCCAGTCCTGGATTATGGCAGATTAGGGATCGCAATCCTGTGCACGGCTGGCACAAAGGCAAAGCTCTTTTAATTGGCGATGCAGCACATCCCATGCTTCCGCGTATAGTTCACCGATATACGCCCCAGATCTTATCTCTTATTAATATTTATATAGACCAAGGCCAAGGTGGCGCTCAAGCTATTGAGGATGCGGCCTCGTTACCTATTTTCCTCCTTGACACTCCTCCAGATATGAGTTTAGCAGCCCGTCTACAGCGCTTTGAAGAATTTCGCTATCCCCGAGTCACTGCCATACAAGAGCGCTCTCGGCAGCAAAAGGAAGGACCTAAACAGAGGGAGGGTAAACTTCCAAGCATTGAAATGTGGTCTCAGATTGACAAGCAGGTGTCATACAATGTTGTCAGAGAAGCCAAGAATGCAGTGCTTGAGCTGTCTGGGAGTAAATAGGGTACATGGATTATTAGGCATACACGTTACTAGATAGTGAAGCCTGGAAGTGTTGAGCACTTCATAAAATATCACTCGATACAGCCAATTACAATATTACATTTGTGGGCACATTTTCAAGTGCCAATCAGGATCCGATCCTTTCATGATCTACGTACACTTTCTTCTCAGGTGCCTAAAAGATTTCGTTTAAACCCGCCTTCCAGGGGTCTGGTATGGTGTTCATAAACTTTCTAACATCTGTGTTTTTATGATTAATCTTTTATTGATCTCATTGAGATTTTGAGGACATAAATTAAATCAAATCATTGATTCTAGATTAGTTTTTGTAACCGAACCTTCGTGTCCACTCAACCAGAGACATTTCTCATCTATATGAGAGCTCAGTCCTCTCGATATTTATTCACCTTGTTTCTCTTCCGCAACCCTTGGCACGAATAACCACAATCCAAGCTGTGCAGCTAATAAAGCTACAATTATTGGCTGTAAGATCTGAACTCCATTGCTTTGTGCAAGTGCTCCCACAACGAACGGTACGCTGCACCCTATGAATCAACATTTGCCATCATATCCCAAAACCTTTAAAAAAAAGAAAAATGAACATACACTGCTGAGCCAGAAACTGCAAATGCCGTAGAGAACCCAACCGCAATCACCTGAATAGTACAATTAGTTTGAATCAAAAATGTATTTCAGGATAAGGACTAACATGAAGCTCTGGTGGAAGAGTCTTTGTGACAACAACAATCGCCTAAGGAATAATTAGTCACGGTTGCATGTAATCCACGAGAGATTGAAATATAACAGGCGCCTTACTGCCGGTATTGGCATTCCAATGAAAAACCCGATCATAGCCACCATCACGGCAGATACAACGAATTGTGGAATTAACCAGAAACAAAGCTGTAAGCCAATCGCTAGTACTATATATATCGTAACCATGAAGAACTCTCCAAAATGGCCAGTAACCCACCCAAGCGCAAATCGACCTAACGTCAAACTAGGAATAGCACAGTTAGAGTAATTAGTAAAAAAAAACTACATGTACATATTAGGCACAATTTTAAACGCCTACCCAATCCAAAACCCCGAAGCAACCAGTCCTGACCTAAATTCTTCACCGCCACGCACACGTATCATGAATGTTACGATCCATCCCCCAATTGAGAGCTCACATCCCAAATATAACAGCATAAAAGCTGATAGTAGTATGGTTACCTTTCCGATTAGCCAAGAACTTAATCGTTTCAAGGAATAATATTAAACACCTTGCTCTTGACAACTTTCAAAGTCCGTCCTCCAGTTATTCCGGATGAACCAGCGTGCTGTTGACAGTACACTGTGCCCGTTTCTTCCCAAAACGCTGTTACGAGTATTGCAGTTGTCATAGCACTGAGGCCAGTCTACCCATCAGTAAGTACGTTTAGATCATCCAACTGTCCAATTGCCCAATAATAGGAGAATATCTTACGAGTATGTCTAATACATGTTAGCATACATCGGATCATTTTTCAGAAATAACTATTGACTAACAATAATACTTATACCAGGGGATCCCACTCGCCACTAACTTTGAAGCCTAGATTTTACCAAAGTTAGCAATCTATGGAAATATATCTCTAAACAGTATAACATACGATAATTGGGCTGATTGTTGCGCCTATTCCAAAAAAGCCGTGAAGGAACCCCAATAATGAACTCGAGTTAGTTAATCCACTGACATATGAATTCCATGACCCGTTCATCAGCCCGCTCCCGAAGCCAGTAATGATGTACAATAGAAATATCGCTGGGAATGGCGGATGAAACGAAACAATTGCGTATGCGATGGTATAAGATCCACATGACAAAAGTCCCACGCCGCGCCTGCCGATCTTTGAATGAAGACGGTTTGTCGAGAAGGCAGCAAGAACACATCCAATGGCTGGAGCCAAGAATATCAGAGACACAGTTGTGTAGTTGAGTCCATAATAGGTTTCAATCTGGGTTTATCCATATATATATCAAAAAGCTTATCGTTTAGTGGGATTTCTTATATATGTGGTCTTACAGAAGGAAGAAGTGCCTGGAAAACATGTGAGTTAAGCTCATAGTCTTTAAAGGATTGAATGCTCGAGAGCAGCGAATATGCGTATAATCTCGTTTATCTATGGGTTTTAAAGCTTAGGAATGTTAAGTACTTACCCCCACAGTGCTATCATTCATCCCATATATGAGAAACCCCAAATATGTTGAGAACAGGCGGAATATATTTCGTCGTGGTTCTCTCCATGTTTTACGCTTTTGTGTTCTCTCCACCTGGATCTCGATGGCTGTTTCAATATCGCGTTGTTCTTGCTGCATTTTTTCGCACATTTTGGCCTATGTTGATCTGTCTATAGTAAACAATCTAGACTGATTCCAGCTTATATACTCCCATATGTCTACGGGTTCTCTTAAGAGATAAGGAGGTCTGCCTAGACTCTAGTCATAAAAAACATGTCCATTCCTCGATAAAGACCTTCGCTTACGGATACCGCTTGGATCTTCTAATTTGGAGAGAATCTCAGCGGCGCAGAAAGTAAGTTTATTTTGCCAACTAAATTTTGCTCGTACATGCGTACGTGCCACTCATGGGTCCGTGGTATTTATCTAAGTCGATCAAATAACTGACTCTTACATTAACATCCCAAATCTTTAACGGTACATGTATTACATAGATAAGATAAGTACACGTACATTCAAGTTAGTCTCGTTCCCAGCCTGTGGTGCGATTTCAGACTACAGAACGAGCAACGAGTTGAAAAATTCTAGGCACGAGACTACATGTACATATAACTAAAGGGCAAAAGACTTCCGTACCATGAAGGTTACTACTACATGCTAAAGACTTGGGTACCATCAAAAGGTCTTTCTTAACATGAGTTTGTGATAAAAGACTCTCGCCATTAATAGGTCTTATGTACCATGAGTTCCAGTCATAAAGACCCGGATACAACGTATCTCAAGTGATATTACATGCGGTCAGTCCCGTACTCAGACAATTCTTTCCCTTTCTACAAATGAGGCTGTCGACATGTTGTCTTCTTATCACCTGATAGAACAAAGCTGATCTCGACGAACTCCCATTGGTAAAAGGCCTCCTGCTTGAGCTGCAGCAACTACTGCTGCAGCCTGCCTACTACCTAGCTCTATATTCCTTTCGTATTCTATTTTTTAGGTCTTCCTCTCGGAATTCTTGTTGTTGGTGGCCAGCAGTTATCTCCGATGGATAAATTTGAGATATCAACAGACTAAAAATCATCCATATAGGTTTCTTTCCATATTTTAACTGATAAGACAGCTGGGAGACTTTTGGTTAGCAACGGCAATTCACGCTCAATGAACCGGAGCCCAGGTTTCAGACCTTTTCCGGATAGTATCCGAGTCACTTTCCATCAAAAATCGTGCCACGGAAGTCCTTTGCCCATAACCAAAATGTGCATATGTTCTTTTTGAACATACCCAATAAAATAAAAGTTCTACATGTACTTAAGCTTATATCATGTACAGCGACAGGTAATAAGTGATGGAACGCCCTGAGAGTACAAACACCAAATGTTGGTGGCGTTTTACAAAACAGGTATCGCTGTGTTCCATCACTTATTACCTACCGTTGTAATACTACATGTCTGTCTATATACATAGGTAATGAAAGAGCGAACAAGCATCACCTTATCGGAATAGTAAACTGCGATATTTCCAGGCGAACGTTAATATCGATGGATTTATCGTTGTGACTAGAAACGGGGGAGGAGGGAAAGGAGGAGTAGGAGGAGGTAAGACGAGAGCAATTTTTACATGTATGTAGAATTACACATGTACTTATATATTTTATATATTAAATAACGCATGTATTCTTAATCAACATTAACTTATTCCCGGTAGCGCTTTAGAAGCCCGTCATATGTACTTCTACAATATTCCTGATAAGCAAATAGGATCATCGGTAACACTGGGCCGCCCCAGCCCCAGCCCGAGAACGTCCACGTGCATACTCTTCATGCAGGTACGCATCCCCACAATCTTGCCAAGCAACATACATCAAGCCCGAGGAATAAGAATGATTACCGCTTCCAATCATCCAAGACAGTAAACTTCAAGTGGATCATAGCACAACGGTAAAGCACCTTCGAAAGTTCGATGGCACAAAAAGCATCATAAGCGTCTTTGTGATTCTGAGAACAAGGGTGAGACAGTATTTCCGAGTTGTCAGCATGAATAACGTTCGCCCAAGAGCAGTTAACAGTTCTCAATAATCAGCAGAATGAATATGGGTTTATACCAGGCCGGGTAGTGATTTACAAATATTTGTTATTTTAATAATTGGACGCCAGAGCCACCCAGGAAAATGGGATTACAAAAGATACTGCACTCCTACAAACGACAAGTTGACCCACATAAAGCACAAGAACTAAGCTTTCCAAAATTTATAACATGTTTGATTTGGAAAAGATAGGCGACTCCAATTCTCATACGACCTTCTTAAGTCGGGCAGCTCAAATCGTACTTGGGCTTATAATTTTCATCCCACACACCCCAATGGTGCTCAACATCGTTGCCCTTTTCGACAGGTTTGAAAACCTCATCAAAGGCTTCAAAAACAAAAATGTTGATTCCCCAAGCAAGCATCGCACAGACGCTTTCTTTCCAAAATGTGGCAGCATTTTCAGTGCTAGGGACAGCATTTTCATAATCCTTTCCACCAGTCGGCCAATTGGTCTCGCCAACCCAGAAGTCCCAGTCAAGGTCCGAACCCTTGACTTCTTGTACATGGCTTAGAGCCTCTGTCTATCATTAGCATGTTATAACCCGAGCTTTTTAGAATGGAACTCGTACGCATTATGTCATCAAAGAAAGAATGTGTGGCATTGTCCATCTTTTGCCCTTGCCAGTAACTGAAAGCGTTGGCCAGGATGATATTGCTGGCCTCAATAGCAGGCTTTGCGTCACTAGTGACAATCATATTCCATGAATCCGCAAATCCTACGGGGATGCTATCGGCTCCGAGCTCCTTGAGTATATCCTTGACCTCATTTATCTTCGTTGCGAGCTTTGCACCAGTGAGTTCTTTTCGGTATAAAGACTCCGACCCAACGGTGATAGCATAGATATTTTCGAATCCAAACTTTGGAATGAACCTATTGTAAACGATGATTAATAAGTGTAATATAAAGTTTATATATTGGATAGTTCCTACTCTTTCAGGGTTTCCTTCTCAATCTCAAATTTAGCGTCGTCAGTGGGCCTACGTACATAATTAGCTTGATCATGTCCTCCGACCACATCAACGCCACCAAACTATGAGCTTACCAAACACCAAGGACAATCTTGAAGTTCTTTGCGATGACAGCGGGCATGATATTCTCCATTGTTCCGTGATCGCTCACTGAATAGGTCCGGATTATTGTGCTCTGTGTCTTGATTACATCAAGATCGTTTTCAAAATCCGTTGTCGTTTTATCTGCCCCATCCTAAATGAGAGAGAAGGTCAACAAAAAAATGTCCCCAAAGAGGGTGATGTGATAAGGTCAAAAAGGCTTACTGGATTTGTTCGAGCACCGAGTGAAAAACCCATCTGTCCCGCCGCAGATGCAAGTGTTGGGAGTGCAAGAAGCGCAACCTTTGCAAGAGAAATGATAGAAGGCATATTGAACTGCTCACAGAATGCGCAATAAATCAAACAATCCCAAGAATGTTGGTGTAATGAATGCGAGAGAGCGGTTTGAGTTTGCGATGAGTGGTAGACTTTGGAAATGAAGGCGAGGCGGAGGGAGCAAGGACGAAGAAATAAGGATTTTAAGGATTAGACTCGTAGAGTACTAGGACTGGGCTGTGTGTCAAGGCCCCTCTACATGTCTGGGAAGGGGATAGGGGGGAAATAAGCAATAAGCTCTCCCTTGTCTCCTGTAACTAACCCTCTTGGCATTAAGCGCTGGCTTCACCCACAGGACAGTGACCAGTCCTGGGGATTATTTGTGCTGCACTACCTAATGACTGAACATGGATCTTTTTCAGCCGTTCTGCTCCTCTGGCTCACCAATTACATACCACCATGACGCCACAACATAAATGTTACACTCTGAGCACCTGTAGACTTTAAGTACTCGTAGCTTCATAGCGTTTCCGAACACGACCAATATTACATGACATACAAAAAGGTGGATTTGGCGCTTTTTGTATGGTATGCAATAGCAGTCGTGTCCGGAAACGTCATGAATTTACGAGTATTGTTCCAGGTATTCAGGTCTGTATTTAGTAACAGTGCGGCTGAGTAGAGATTCCCAAAGCAAAGTGAATCTTGGCTCCTCTATGCACTCTCATAATCAAGTTGATATTCGTAGGACTTTGTTGTAAAATAGTAAGTTTTAGAGTTTGAAGATAGAGTGTGTATGGAAAATTCGCGGGACTTTTTCGAAATACGTTTGAACGATTTGGGGGTATGTAGAGCGTGTAGAGAAAAAGAAAAACAAATGTACAGCGATGGGTAATAAGTCATCAGACGGAACGCCACCAAAATACGCGTTTGCAGGCAAAATTGTGGCTAGGTCGTCCGATGACTTATTACCCACCGCTGTACAACCAACCAACGGATCGCATGAAACACCATGCGAAAAAAGAAAGGCTGTGAAAGAAATCCGCTTAACACGTGCAGTTTCAGCAGACCATACCCCCAAGAATCCGAACCATAAATATCAACCGTGAATACCATAACTCTTTAACACCAGACAATAAACCGAAAATTCCTCTTATCCCCATTGAAACCACTTGTACTGTATCATACATGGCCCTCAAATAACATGCTGTCCAGCTGCTTGGGCTGCATGCCTATTTGGTCGATTCTCCTGGCCGTCCAATCTTGGAGATGGTTTGGGAGATGGCTCGCTTCTTTTCGCCAAAACCCCTAAGCTTCCTACCACTAATATAAATTAGCTCTAGTTCCAAGATTTTTTCAACCAATTGAATGAAATCTTACGTTCCATAGCATCCTCAAAGGCATCATCGTCCATAGCATCCATAGACGCAAATGCTTCGTCAACTGCCTTTTGTGCAACACGTCGAGCATTTTCATAGTCCCTTGTGCAGTCGTATAGAAAAGCACTGTATTCCAATTTCACTGACAGTCTAAGAGGATGTGACCCTGGTAATAGGTCCCTTGCACTTTTCTCAGCTTTAAGGAAAGCGTCGATAGTTGGTTTGATGTACGCATATTGAGAATTCATGTTGAGAGAGGCGATACCATTAGGACCCAATGAGCCATTCGTACGCGATGCCGTTCCATTACCAGTTGTTGCCTTCAGTGTAGAACTAGGAGACATGGCAGATCTTGTTTCATATGTGTGGTCGAACAGGACAAAGATATGGAGGTATGAGGCATTGAGCTTTGCGATAAGAACCCGAAGTTCGTTCATCAAGGGGTAATTTGCAATTTCAGGCTGTATTTCATTGTGGAGAATCCCGAGACCCTCACGAGCCATCCAGATGATATGCCTATAGAGATCGAGAGATTTGGTTGTGCGGGTTGGGTCTAACTTGCGTTGCTTTCGTGCGCGGAGTAGTTTTCGGGATAGGAGAGTGGAAAGCCCCAGTAGTTTGTAGAGTCCCGCGGATATAGGGTTTTTGTCTTCTGCAGTAGACTTTGCGTATTTTCCCAGGTACTTTTGGTCCACATCGTGGCCGACCATCGCTGCTGTTGCGTTTTAAAGATGAGGATATGAGATTTAGGGTTGATATACACAACCTAATTGACCTTGCGTCGAGTAAGCGCAAGCTTTGAGACTCAAACTCCGAACCCTCCGACATGCAAGCGTACTGACAATCAATCAAATAGCAACTGCTTTAAGGTATTGAGTGCCTTATGGAGCGAGTAGCAGGCCATTTGAGAGCCTCAACACAATTGAAAGGGAATTGGGTGGGAGAAACCCCCGGAAGACATGACGGGGGAAGGGATATGTTTATGTGGCAAGGCGATAGGTGGATAACTTACTGATGGTGATATGCTATCGCGGACTGATCCGGAACGTCAAGCTCGTTGTAGTCGACAAGATTTATTCAACACTATCACACTACTCGACAAGAGGATGTCTCTCTCTCTCTTTCTTCTCATGCCCGTGCGGCCATTTGAGTCTAAACGGTGTTCCACGTGTAGAGATTAGATGTCTGGGGGATCCTCGCGTTCGATTAGATGCGATGCAGCAGTGCGTCGTATGATGTATGTAGCCCAGCCTGAGGTCGGACTGAGGCGCGAAAGCAAGTTGCAATATCTAGTAGGGGACTATCTAGGCAACTATCGCAACTAACGACCTATGCGCGATACCAGACAAATAGGTGCCTATCCAAGGAAGACTGAAGAAGAAAGAAGAAAGCACTGGCAGGGCGAGTGGGAGAATAACCTGCGGTGTCTGCGTCTTTCCAGGCCCTTTTTTTACTTCTCCGTGCATGACACCACCGATATAACCGTATTCATAGTAGGCGGCGATCAGAAGCAGGCCACATAACTAGGAAACCGTAGTTTTATAATTTAGAGTTGTGCTGTTCTGTTTGCGCTTCCTCGCTCACACTCTTAATATTACTACGTTCCCCAGCTGTCATGGGCCTGCAGGTTGACCTTTTTGCATGCGTTGTCAAGATGCCAGGACTCTGAAATTTCAGGCTCTTCGATGTGGTGGTTAGCCAGGCTCTCCCAACCCGGGCTGCAGCCAGGGTCACTGTCACAATCTTAGCTGACGCCTCAGTGAGGCTAGGCTGTGATTCGCATGCATAGAGTAAAGTACCTGCATGTATTTGGGTACATAACAGGTTAATCAGACAGAGTAGAGTCTGACTTTAATACCTGTTCTGGTACAGGTTCAGCTGGATGTACTATAGAGTACATGTAGTTCCATCATTAGGACTGTAAAAGGGGGTAGAATACATGTAATCTATCTTGTAACTGAGCACATCCTTGAGTCTGGAATACATGTACTCGTACTTTCGTGACGTTTGTAAAAGGAACCACTATTGCATACATACCGTACTAAATTGTGGACTTGGCTACCTACATACATGTACATGTATGCCTGGTAATGGGACACCTAAGACACCTAAACCAGTGCCGCTGAGTGTAACCTCATTCATCATACAAAGATGCGTTATATCCAATTACTCGAAGTATGGAGTTGATATGTACATCGAGCAAGAGCTGTGATTACCCTGGCCAAGGCTCCAAAGCTAATAAATCTATGGAGTACATATATGTATATCAACCATCAGGGCGCATAGGCCATCTTGCATTCGAGCTCAACGGCTTGTGAGATGGTTTATATGTATGATTAGCTTAAGTCTAAAAGTAGGTATACAGATGCGAGTGATATCTGATGAACACCGCTGGCCTCTGCATAACTTGCAATATCACTTTACACTGCAAGGACGCTATGGGACACCATCACTTATCCGAAAATAAGATAAAGATGTGCACATGTATATGGAGTCCTTGCTACGACTATTCGCTTCATCTAGTCATGATGATTTTAGGATAATTGAGTTTAAAGTACATTGAGATAACTGTTCGACCACAGTAGCTTTGTCTCTTTTCCTTTTGGCATATGTACATACATAAATCTTTTGAATTGTCAACAAGAAACATACATATAATATACAATATAAAGCCTTCTAACAATTGTCCACTGAATTCCAGATAACCAACCTTTCCCAGACTGAACTCCATTCATGAAATTTTGTTAAAGAAAAAAGAAAAAAGAAAAAAGAAAAAAGGCAAAAACCCCCAAATAACCACCAGATACCCAAACACCAAATAAAACGCCAAAGAAGTAAGAGATAAATAAAGTGAAGGCGAAAGCCAAGAAGAGAACAAAAAAAAGACTATGCTGAAAAGCGTTCAATGTAGTTTACTCTCAGTAAGAAAGCCAAATCTTTGACAAATAATGTATCATGAATCATGAGTAACAGTATGGAAGTCGAGAACCCCCAACGCTTTATACTCTCCTGCTCTATCTCAATTTTCTCTCCTCAACTATAGATATCCTCAAACCCATTAAGACTTTCCGGTTTTGCAAGAGGCGCCTTCAGTGCTGGTGGTGGCCTTCGAACTATTTCGACAAATGTCGTCGCAGACGGCGGGGGAGTCTGGCCCAGAAACTCTTGATCGTAGGTCAATGTGTAAGACTTAGTGGCCCCAGAACTGGGGTCTAGGTATCGGCATCCATATTCAGCGCGAGAATGTGCACCGGAAGCCGGAGAAGGTATTCCCGACCGCGTCTTTGATCCAATCTCCTGAGACAAGGTGCGATGCATGGCCTCCGAGTTTTCATCTTGATCCTCATAATGCCTTTTCCAAATACTTTTCTCTACGTCTTCCACCAAAGTAACCTCGGATTTTTCCTTTGAGCTACTTAGTGACGTTGAGCGGTTTTCTAAGTTTGCCAACCGTTTCCCCCAAAGTACCGTGTCCGTCCCATCTCGCTGACTACTTTTCCCCAAGTGTGTAGCTCTATTAATGGCCCTCATGACGCGCGCTGGCGGCGGTGGAAGTGTCATCCATGCTGTAGCACTCTTCGACTCTGGTAGCGCTGAAACAACGGGTGGGTGTCGATCATTGATGGGCGGATGAATCTTCGGTAATTCTGAAACCGTCACAGTCGTGATTCTTTGGGGCTTCCGTTTTTCGGCTTGAGGAATGAGGTTTTCGAGAGGCTCGGGTTCGGCTCCGGGTTTTAACGGCAGTGAACATCGGCTTGTGGCTTTAGCAGAAGATGGAGTACTAGCCCGAGAGTTTTTGCTATTGACACGGGATGATCCTCTGGAAGCCTGCCGGCAGTGATTGTTGTTCTTGATGAATGACGGTATTGGACCGGATTCAATCTCCTCACGCCAAAGTGCTTGCGCTTCATGTCGTATTTCACGACTCGGTTTTCTAGGCTGTGCATCACGGAAGCACGAGCATGAGAAGACGTAAAACGCCAGGACCGATATCAGACGGCCACAATTTGTATCTGACATTGCGGGTTGAGGGGGTGTTGAGGGACTTGTTGAGAAGTCGGAGCGGGGGAGGAAGACAACAACAACAACGGAATATCTCAGGATATTATGGGTAAGGCTGAAGAATTAGGTAAAGGCTGGTAAATAGCACATGAGCAATAAATCGCTCGAATAGTTTCCATTGAAATGAAGGGAGGGAGGGAGGGAGGAGGAAATTGGGTGAAGTAATGGGGGCCGGCTACGATTTGGCCGCTACAGGATTACCCACTCTAGACCTTTTATGTCTGTTTCTGGTGTTGTTATTGTCCAGTTTCGAAAGTATCAGCCCTCACGGAATGCATGGACACACGATCTGGCAGAAATGACGAATATCTTACATGCATGTAGATAACTGGGGAATGGTGATTATCTTTTTTTCTTCTTTCTTTTCAAGTTGTCTCCCCGCTTTGTCTGTGCTTGTCTCTAACTTAGTATTGTCGGACTAGTGTTCTTCCCGCATGTCACTATCGTTTCTCGATGTCTGACCCTACGCATATCCTAAAATACTTTACTCGCGCGAAACATATTCTCAGAGCACGTAAAGATGAGAACATGCCCCCACGCAGAAAACGCTGTGTGGGACAGCCGCCAAGGCCAGGCAAACGAGGGAATCCGTGACAAAATTCACGAGGAACGTGTATCTGCAACCGCCAGTGAGCCACTCACCTCACTGAGTTCTATATTGTTAAAACCTAAGAGGAAAATGTGCGCAAGGATATGAGTGCTTGACACTTGTCTCTTTGCCTCCTCCTGATCCTCCTCCTGATCCTCCTCCTCTCCCTCCTCAAACCTCAAAATATAGAGTGAATGTGTAGGTGTATCCACACACGCGGTCTCATACCCGTAGCAAGTAAACGGGGCTGACATCCTTTCGTCTTATTAACCCGTTCACACAAGCCCATGTTGAGGTTACTCAATTGGACCGCTGCACTCCCTAGGCGCCGCTGGGCATACTGCCATTCCGACTGGCCCCAACGGTTCTCCCCAACCAGAGCCGTAGGATCGTTGCTCCCCCGACTGCCGACGAGCGAGATTTCGCTCATCTTCGTGGCACCGATGTGCAGGGGTCCTCCTGGCTTAAGGTTTGGTGGACAGCGCAGGTGCAAGGATCGCCAGGTAGCCAATCCCTCCTGATTGGCTTCTGCAAGCTCGGAACGTGTGGGGTAGTGGCCTATCACCAAATCGAGGAAAGCACCAAAAGCAGGGACAGGTGAAAAGGAAGTCTTTTTCTTGGTTCCACGAGGCTTTCGGGACGGAAGCTTCACCCACACACCCGGCTTCTCATCGCACAACGTCCTTAGTATGTAACACCCTAAAAGCAAGTTTCTGCCCACCATACCTTCTGCATATCTCAACTTTCTCTAATAGAGTGCAACAACATGGTTGGTTATAAGTACATATCTACATGACCTGCCTGATCATGTACATTCATGGGATCTGGGCATGCTCGGCGAACGAGTACTCGTTTACCACAAAAAGAACCAGAAAATGCAAGTGACGGAAACAGGGATAGTTTGTGTGAGAGATCACCGCCACTCCATACAAATAATCCTTGCCCTGAGCAACTGGTTCTTTTCGTGGTAAACAAGTACAGACATGTAGCTTACAGATGGGAGGTCAAATCATCTTCTCACTTCCCTATCTATCACCCTATCTATGTATCTATATAAGGTCATGAACGCGTCATCATCGAACGAAAAATTCCTGCTTCTTATAGTTAGGAACGATTAAATCTACATCAAGAATAATCGGCATAATCGCCAGTCAACGACAATACGGTGATATAGACATCGGATAAATACATGTGTATCCCAATGGCTCGGAACATCTCGATTAACGAAAATCCGCTCCTTCGATCCCTTTGCTCCGCCGAAATCTACTTTACTATTCACATTCCAATCCCGATCCAGAGATAGGGATTACAAAGACCAGATATATCCAACTATGACAGGCGATTTGATATTATGAGGGTCGCACGGCAGGGTTAATCACAAATCCGACGATTCGTCTGATCCATTAAACCATGCTTCTACGTTGTTACCCGCCTTACCCCGCCGTCTCCGGTTTCCTGGAAGAATTGGGGAATCTTCGTCCTCCTCTTCAAGAATCGTTGGGATTGAGGGAGGAAATAGCATGCGCGCCATGGGCGTATGAGATTGCTGTTTCACTGGGATTGGGCTTTGGTAACCCTGGGATGGGGCTCTTTTCTTTGAGCGACCGAGATTGGACGGTGTAATCGACTCAGTCTCGTCGTGTAGACCGAGAGCGCCGGAGAAGATGTGCGACGTAAACCCGAGCAGAACACCGGCTATCATACCTGAAGTCCGGATCCGTCAGTTATATGGCGCACGGCAGTGGAATAATTATAAACCGAGTTACCAATGATGGCTGCTGTTCCGCAAAATATGTAAATGGCCTGCCAGCAAATCACATGTTAGCAAATCTATCGTACACGAGAATACATCCGGGAGTTAACCTCAAGTCGGGCGAGTAAGGCAAAGGGCAAATAGAAGAAGAACAATAAAAAGTATGAAACATGTCGAAAGATAACAGTGGCAGGAAGGAGTAGAGTCGATAGAGCCCTTAAAATAAGGATTATAGGAGAGAAGATGATGCTCGATAAGACGGATAAGACAGTCATCACGTGAGTCGAAAGAGACAATAGAGATCTCTGGTGAGTATCCCTGTCCTGGCCGTTAGAGACACGAGGCGAGTGATGTTGAGTGGTTTGATGCTAGTATTGACGATTGGTGAGTGCAGTAGTAGCGCAATAGGTTGTTGTTGTGTTAGTTAAGTGGGGTTGACTCGACGGTTATCTCGACTTGTTACTATTTAGCGACCTTACCCGCTTGGGCCGATGGTATTACTTACACACATTGCACATGATTGACATATCACACCATGACACTGCTAACTGGTAACTACGAGAGCAATACTCTAGATACGAAATCCATAACAATTGCTTGGAACTGGGTGTAATTACCACTAAACGTATTATTTTAATTTGTACAATACGGGTTAGCTACGGTGGGCTATGTTGAAAATGTATTATGAAGTAAAGTGCCTTTGATACAACATTCATATGCCACCACCCCTTTCTGGAACAACAATTTCGTTCTAAGGACCCTCTACTCTACATACAGCTGAGGCACGGATGCTGCCAAGACATCAATGCTATGTGCTCAGACTAAGAATTCAATAGCTAGCCCCTGGAAGCTCCAGATAGCTCTCTGCGAAGGGAGCTCCTTTTTCTCCTGGATATATTTCTTGGTAGAACTACCACAAACACCTACACACACACATATATATATATTCGCCTTCTTAGCATATTCACACCTCTACTCGAAAAACAATACTCAACTCCAAACCTACATATATCCATCATGAGAGGCTTCTTTAGTAAGAAAGCCCCAGTTCAAACTGCTGAAGAGCAACAAGCAGCTTTTTTTGGCGAACGCAAAACCTCTCCAGCTCCTCCTCCAGCGAGAGTACCTTCTCCCCAAACGAGTGCTCCCAGCGGAGCTGGGTCTAGTGCTTCTAGGATTAATGGAGGATACGGTAGTTCTGGGGTGAATAAAAATGAAGATCCACGGGGACAGCTCTTCGGCGGTGCTGGACAAAGACAACAGCAACAGCAACAGCAACAGCAACAACAAAAATATCATGCTCCTCCAACTCAAGGCGGTTATGGAAGGAAAGACGAGTATTCTGGACAGCATGGAGGATACGGCCACCAGGGTGTACAGGGTCAGCAGGGTGGTTATGGTCAACAAAGTAATACAGACCGTAATCTAACCGAAGCAGAGGAAGAGGAGGAGGACGTTGAAGCTGTCAAGCAACAAATTCGTTTCACGAAGCAAGAGTCGGTGGCCAGCAGTCGCAATGCTCTTCGTGTAGCTGCACAGGCCGAAGAAACCGGACGTAACACTCTTGCAAGGCTCGGAGCTCAAGGTGAACGCCTATACAATACCGAAAAGAATCTCGATCTTGCTTCTAGTCATAGCCGTGTGGCCGACCAGAAGGCTAGGGAGCTCAAGGTTGCCAATGGAAGCATGTTCGCCATCCACATGAAGAATCCACTTCGATCAGCTTCCCGTGCTAAACAAGAAGAGGCACGGATTCTTGCCCGCCATCAAGAAGAGCGCGAGGAGAGGGAACGAACCAGAGAGTTTGGGTTCGAGAGCAAAAATGGAGTTGGCAGAGCACTGAATGGGAACGGCGGATACAGTAAACCAAGCAGTAAAATGAGCTTGGCGGAAAGGAGCAAGTACCAGTTTGAAGCAGACGAAAGTGATGACGAGAAAGAAAGAGAGATAGAGAACAACTTGGATGCACTGGGAGCTGTTACCGGTAGGTTGAGAAATCTGGCTATGGCCACAGGCCAAGAGGTCGATCGACAGAATGCTCAAATTGATGTCATCATGAGAAAGGTAAATTACATGATCCCTTCCCGTCTTCCCCTGACAGCTGGCTGATTTAAGTAGAGCGACAAAGTCGATGATCAAATCGCGATCACTCACGGCAGGATTCGTAAGATCCATTAGGACAACCCAGCTTTTCTTACACTCTGCCCTTGGTTCTCCATCTCAAGTTATTCCATGTACGCTGACTGATAATGGAAGAAAATTATCTGTTTCTTTTCTTCTCTTTCCTACTTTCTCCAGTTGTCGTTGGTATCTCTTATTCTATACATCACATGGTATCACTCGGTTAAGAATCATAGACCTAATATAAGTTATGTTACTTTTATTTCATTCATTCGAGCAGACGAAAATGAAAAAAAAAGTACAAATTCTTCTCCAGTTCACCGGGTGCCTGAAACAACATTTGGAGGAGACGTAAGACATGTTAGTTGTCATCGTCCTCCTCCTCGCTGCCAGTGTCCTCCCCAGATACACTTGTATCTTCAGCGTGGTTAGCCAAGCTACTATGCTTGGCTAAATCGGCCTTTTTCTGAATCTCAACAGCCCGAAGGCGTAATATCTCCGAATTTTGGCGGAGCCTGCTAATCTTTTCGTGACAAGCCGCAATCTTGTCGTTTTCCACAGACCCGCCCCTTTCTGCTAATGCCAGCTCCTCCTCTAGGTTTTCTATAAAAGTATCCAATAAATCAGCTCCTTTATTAGCTTCCGTAACAGAATGCTCCAGGCCTGTTTCCCTATCTATGTTATCGGCTCCGCCGTCGGGACTTAACCCAAAATCGTGGGGAGGGGCCTGCATCCGAGGAGGTGTCTGAGAGGATACCTGGGAGGGTGTTTGGGAAGGCACATTAGGGGTGGCCGGGGATTGGGAAACAGAATCGCCCTCCTCGCCTTGCAGGGAAAGTCCTCTGAGCTGCTCGAGTCCGAACTTCTCAATAAGTCGTTGCCTTGAGCGATAGTAGAACTTGAACCATGCGAAGGGAGCATCGTCCGGATCCAAGCTTTTTACGCAATATCGTTTTGACGTGGAAGTAGCCATTTTGACACCTAATCTCGAAACGTGACTGAGGGGCCGGCTTTTCAGCGTTTTCGTGGCATCTGAAAGAGAGCGAAACTCTTCAGGTGTTACTGCGCCAGCCCATTCGGGTGACTGCTCGGATCGAAAGATCTTGCAGTCAATAGTACCATACTGTTCCGCCTCGGCAGATGTCGGTGTTCTTTTCACTTTGCAACGAGGTTTGATCGCTTTAACTGGCTTGATAAGGGCGAAAAAAACCTCCCTTCTCCACGCAACCTCTACCCCATCAGCATTTATGTCACGACCATATTGAGATTTTATGGTCGAATCAATAGGACCAATAGTAGAATTATCTGTGTTCTTTCGTGGAAGAGGAAACTGAGCATCGACCCTTTGACCATCCACATAAAATTCCACACTTGCGGCCTTGCAAGGAATCGGTTTGTGGATTGTATAATGTAACCAGAACTGCTGTCCCGATTGTGCCGGGATATAACAGCCCTTACCACCTCTAAATTCACTACAACCAAATTCTGGGAGTGGACCATCGTGGGTCTCTATGGTGGCCGTGATCCCGTTAATAGAAGGCATCTCGTCGTATCTCGTCGTATCGAGCAGGAACCAGCCTATAGAATTTTGATCGTCTAGATCTCTTAAAAATGGTTAGTAGAGTACAAAACCAAACAACATTTGTAAACCTATTGGCTTCAAATTAGACTTACGCTGAGAGGGAGTTGGTGTCGGTCCCCGCTAATGATTTATACGCCCACTAACAAAACAAAGGGGCAGTAAGATATCTGCGCTGTGAAGAATGAAGGATAATGGATGAAATCGGGAAGAAACTTGAATCTTTTAAGGCAGCTAAATAAGTTAGGGACACATCTTTTTATGAGAAGTATAGCATACGTGTGCAAGGACAGATGGCCATTCAAATTTATGAATTTTATAAATATATATATGTATATCTTTATAAAATCTAGGGATGTGTGGATGTACCGCCTTCCTCTGGCCAGAACTATCGTAATAAAGCGAAGCGTTCTTTTAGGAGAAGGGCGAAAGAGTTTAATCAAAGGAGCCGGGAACGGAACGAAATTCATAGAATAGAATAACGCTCAGCAAGCCGCACAATGGCGGAGCTCCCATGGTTATTTTCATAACCTCTACTGATGATGGTGGAGGAAAGAGGAGCATGAGGGAAGAGGCCTTTTTATATAAAATTTGCCCAGGGCTTGGCAGGGGCTACTCTATCGTAAGGACTAGTAAAAAAATACATGGAATCTCCCTTCACTTCCTTGCAGGTGTCTTTTGCACTGTCACACTGCTTTTGCACCGAAGAATCGGCTATTTGAGTGTATCTGTGAAAATGAGGTTGTTCCCTGGTCGAGACCGCAGCGACCCGCCCAAGTTGACCCCTCCAAAAAAAAAATCCCCCACCATCTTTTTACCCCTCCTCTTTCACTTTTCTCCCATAAAGCGTCGTCAATACCCCACCTCATCTATAAGCCTCCATTTCCTCCAAAGAATACATATCCACTACCCGGTTTACTTTTTTTATATCCAATACCTTCATAATCATTCTTCAAAATGGGCCTCACTGATCTTGCTGCCGATGCTGGTTTGACCGGTATGTTTTCCTTCTAGGCTGTAGAGCTATGCTATTAAACACGAGTACTGACCAGTTTTAATCATGCAGTTCTTAACTCTTGGTTAGAGTCTAGGAGTTACATCACTGGGTATATTCACCTCTTCATGATAATTTTGCTCTACCGTAAAGTTGGTTGCTGTTAGCAATTGGGCCCTTGATTTATTACCCGCAATTCATTTGCGGCCTATTTTCACCAAGTGATCAAGATCCCGCTGGCCGGATGGTCTTAATTGCATTTATATATTATCCTTTATGCTTATATTCACTCCCTCTACCTTTTAATAACTTGGCAAAAACTCTTCAAAAACCCCTTTACACTTCGTACTAATCTTATTTTCTCATTAAATAGAACCTCTCCTTCCCAGGCTGATGTTGCCGTCTTTAACGGCGTCTCCAAGTCCCCTGATGCCGGAAAGTACCCCCATGCTGCCCGTTGGTACAAGCACATTGCTTCCTTCGCGGATGAGTTCACTACCCTTCCTGGTGACGCTTCGGCCCCAGCCTCTACATATGGCCCTGAGGTCGCCGCTGCCGCCGTGAACCCTGCCGCCGCACCGGCTACTGAGGCCGAGGATGACGACGAGGTTGACTTGTTCGGTTCGGACGAGGAGGAGGAGGACCCAGAAAAGGAGGCCCTCACCCAGAAGAGATTGGCCGAGTACGCCGCCAAGAAGGTGAGCATTATGTTATTATAAAGGATATAGCAGAAGTATAACTAACATGTTTGATAGGCCGGAAAAGTCAAGCCAGGTGAGGAATCTTTGTAACACTGATACCTCCGAATAGGATCTAAACTTTTCTTTAGCTGCCAAGTCTGTCGTTACTATGGATGTCAAGCCTTGGGATGATGAGACTGATATGGTTTGTTTTTCTGCTCCAATTTCTGTCTATTTATACTAACTGGCACAGAAACAACTGGAGGCAAACGTCAGGGCCATTGAGAAGGGTAATTCTTTACTTTTTCTCTTTCAATAGTTTTCATGGCTAACCTTTGGTTTTACAGACGGTCTTGTCTGGGGAGCCTCTACTTTGGTTGCTGTTGGTTTCGGTATCAAGAAGCTTCAGATCAACTTGGTCATTGAGGATGACAAGATTGGTCTTGACGACCTGCAGCAACAGATTGAGGAGGACGAGGATCACGTCCAGAGCACTGACGTAAGTTTCCGAACCTTCCCCCCCCCCCCCTCCCCTCTCTTTCCTGGCCATGTTACTAACGCGTTGTGGAAAATTTAGATCGCCGCTATGCAGAAGTTGTAGAGTGGGGGCAGGTGAAAGAAAAAAAAAGAAACACATCTATGATTTCCTAGAGGTTGCTCTAGCAGGATTGAATGGCCTCTTTATTTCTTTGAAGGCCTAAATAGATCAAATTTTACGAATCTTCATGCTGGGTTTACTTCGTTAAACATCAAACAAGCACTCAAAGGTGTTCTATTATAGCGTGATTTGCCGCAACTTTGTGATTAAACCCTTGATTGGCATTTCCACAATCATTTAGAGCCGTCATTATCCCTAGTATCACCCCATGGCGGTAAATGATACCTTCTCCTCGACATTACAGTATCGTAAAAGATAGGGAAACCCAGCGGTTTCCTCTGCCGGTCTATTCATTACTCTCCGCCCACTTTGCAAACTCTGCCCGCTTGGTCTATCGAGTATTAGCACCAGCCTTACTCCTACAGACAATAATCATGGAGGACAAACTCGAATGTCCAAGAAACCCAATCGCTCTTCCAGGTACCCATATGGCCCGCTTCCTCTTTCCCGCTCCAACTGTCCACTCCAGACCGACCACGATATCGGCTTGAGCTCCTGGCTGTTATTCAGGACTATGCCGACGCAAAGCAGGAAGACCGAGACTAAAGTTTCGATCGTCACATCCAGAGGAAGGCTATTTTTCGCGCCTATCGATATGAGAGAGTGTTCATATGCCGAATAACAGCTGAATGGCAAACAAATTAGCTACTGGCTAGCATACGACTATCCACTGCTACTAAATACTATAGCTACAATGGAGAGATGGAGGGAGGGCACGTACGAATGAATGAGGAGAAGGGTTGAGATGCTGACTATCGAGGCCGATTTCGCCGAGGTAAACATGTTGGAATATCTAATGTGAGTCTGTTGGGGGGAGATCGAGGCGGCTCTGTGGGAAAACGTGTTGTCAATTATTTCATCTACGCGAGACTCCCGAAGCCTTAGCTGTGGTTCCCTTGGCGCCAAGAACTGGGACTAGTAACCACCTTGGCACTGAGTTTCTATTCATATGATTCGCCTGCGGGTAGATATAAGATTCTCACAGAACATCACTCGTAATCTCGAATGCCTCAATTATCTTTTTTTTCTTTTTTCGTTTAACTCATTAGTTCTATACAGCCTTAAATGACAATATCGCACCAAGACCCCAGAACATCTCATCAACCTCCTCCGCCTCTCGCTAACATAAGAAATAGAGCCAAGAATGTTTCATGTCTTGCCATATGCATTTGTCCCTGTAAGGTTTAGGGGAGATTATACACTATCCCTCAATCTACCCATGCCTCAATTATCTCATCAAAGTCGCTAGAATCAAAGTTCAGGTGGTTGAAATATTTAGCTAGAAGAGCCAATATTTGGCCACATAACCTCAATACCTTTGGGAAGAGAGATCGTGAAGAATAGCAAATGTCTACCCTACATGTAGTTATAGGTGTATTCTTTGGTCCCATACCACTAGCATTAATAGTTCACTCATTACGAGACAGGGAATGTGTTTGGGTCTAACTCACTGAGTATGCAAGGTCTAACTTATTCTTAAGGTATGTAGCTCCGGCCCTCTTTTGCCTTTACACCCGTTACACTCCCTACTTCACTTAAGGGAATTGGTGTAAGTTATTTTACCTCACTTATAGTAGGAAGAGCTGAAAGCTTGACCCTTTCATCCCGATAGGAGGACGGCTCAACTCTTATCTCCCACGCCTTTTTACAGCTTCAGAATACGAACTCCTTACCGTAACAGTGGGGTGGTCTGCTACGTCTACAGTAAATTTCCATATGCAGAGGTCTTCAGTGACCAATTCTCAGGTTTCCAGAACTAGTCAGTTATTCAAACTGCGGGCTACACATGACTCGAGTGGATCAAGCCCAGAACCCCGGGAAACGGTTGTAGGTACCACCCAGACTCGGGGGTGACCACCTCCGCCGATCTTCATCTGGGTCGTAAGTCACGGCAAGTGGTATCTTTCGTGGGTGACGGTACTACAGGAAGTATCTCTGCCAAAGAGCGGTCAACATTCGCATGGACGTTATACCAGGCCCGGTAGAAAGAGGGGCCCCGGCATATCAGGGAAGTCCGGCTTGAACGTGGTCACGGGCGTAGACGAAGCATCACCTGTCATCTGCTTTAAGCACTAGCTCATAACTAGGCCGCGATTGCTAGGGACATAGAAGAATTTAACAGCTCCCGAAAATACAACTGATGTCTGCGTGGCATATAATAATAAGCAATAATCATTTATAAATGAGAGATCTCATATTCTTCTTTTATACAACCTAGCTACAAATGTACTTTCAACGGAAGCCAGAATCCGACTTACTGTACCAGCCAGTGGTTACTCCCATTGGTGCAGAGAATTTTTAAAGACATTACGAATTGTGTTTCGTACAGTTTGAGCATCAGAATAGGGGTTTTCAAATGTTAGACCCACCTCATTTTCCACACAATGGTGCTATCTCGCGGTATTTTTGTACGTACACTAGTTAAGGAAGCTTGACTGTAGAGTAACTGTATGAAAGTAGAAGTAGTTCGAAACCGCTCATATCAACGTCAAAATTATCAGAAGCTTCTGTCTACGTTTGCGCTTGCTTTATTGGCTGATACACGTATAAAGTGCATGTATCCAAATACCCCGCCACCGGTTGATAGTATTTTCGCATCGAGGTGTTGATAGATAAAAAAAAAACAGACACTCTAGGCTCCTTACCCGGTCTCCCACCCCCCACAGCGACGTCTGCCTTCATATTGGTCCGTGACAAAAGAATACGTCCGCGTATATCTGTAATCATTCCTAGTTTCCCCTAGTGAGGAAGTTTAGTTAGCTATCTTTTTGGACGCGTAGTTACGTGCGTATAGCCAGGATTTTCTTAGAAGTTAAGGCTAAAGCAGGCCTGATGTGGTGCTTATTAATGTATTTGAGGTTCTCGTGATTTTATGGTATCATGAAGTATCACTCGCACGCTAAGAAGATGCCACTGCTCCCGCGCCTCACACAGTTAATGAGTTGTCAATCAATTAATTGCTCCCGTAAGGCTCACGCCCACATGGGCAGGTCTTCGGATCAGCAGTGGCTAGCGGGAGAACTCTAGGTGCCTAGGATGAAGGTAGAGACACTATGACACTGAAGGGGGAAGTTTTTGAGACTGCTACAAGGCCCCCTAGACGTTATAGCGGCAGGAGTGTGAGGATTAATCTCGCTAATGTACACGCACGTGCTGTTAAGCCCTTAACTAAAAATAAACTGTAGGAGAATGTGCTCGGATCTCAGCACGCCGGGACTGGGCGGGGACCAGCGATAGTGTTAACAATACTCAACTACCGGTACGCTCTTACCTGTACATTTTGTTCTAGTGGGGCTCCCACCGCTATGTGAGGCGTCGGCGGTAGGCGTCGGATCTCGATAAAGCTTACAAAGTATCTCAAGCGCAGGAAATATGATGGCCCCAAGGGCCCCGGCTCTATAGGCCTCCGGGTATGAAGGCAGGTATCCAGGAGACTTTTCTCAAAGTGATTCTACTTCATGACTTGCAAGGCTCCCGATTGTCAACCAGCTTCATAGTATATCACTCGCCTCATGGTACTGATGTAATATGATTCCCTCAGCATCTCTGCCAGGATCATTTATGGAGGTGATTTAAGGTTTTCCTTCAGAAAACTGGTTGGAACGATAATTACAAAATATAAGACTGAGTATGGGGTCATTATAAGTGTGAAGAAACACGAGCGATGATTAGGGCGAGTGATAGCACGTGAGTAATCAAAACTATTCAGAATCCCAAACAATTATAATAAGCTGGTGAACCTAAACTCCGATTTTAATACCTTGGACTAGCTGTCCGACAAGAACTTCTACTCGTTTCTAGGTAACCTTGGATAACTCATGGTCTGCGGGCAACTATATCGCCATTTGCGGCCACGAAATTCGCCAAGTATAGATACAACTTTGCACAGTACTTTTAATTGATCCCCCCAGAAGCAAAAAAAGAAGACAAAAAAAAACCCAATACGCACGCAAACAGAAAATTCTCATTGCGTAGGAAAACCCTCTTACTGTAGTAGTTCACGAAAAATTTCGAATTTGTTTCATTATTTTTCTATGCCACGAATCAACGCCCCTTCACCAATTTAAGCAGTAATCCTCCTCTGCTGGCCAAGAGCGCGACCCCTCTGCCTGGAGTTCAGGTGGAGGACAGCGTTGTCCTCAGCCTTCGCAACGGCCTCCTCGGCCTCAGAGACGATCACCTCGATGTGGCAGGGGTTTGACATGTAGGGGTTGATCTAACACATGCTGTTAGTAACGTATCCCCACAGGATATTAGAAATTCTCAACGTACACGTCCGTGGGCACGGTAAGTCCTCCTCCTCTGCTTGGGGGCCTGGTTGACCTGGATGTGGGAGATCTGGAGGTTGGAGGTGTCGAGACCCTTGGTGTCGGCGTTGGCCTCAGCGTTGCGGAGGAGGCCGAGAAGGAACTCGGCAGACTTCTCGGGCCAGCGGGCGCGGGAAACACCGAACTGCTTGCCTATTAAGAAATACCTGTTAGATACACCATCCCAGGAACAAACAATCTATGGTGTGCAATTGGAGCAGCAATACGTCGGGCCGCAGTCGGTACCCAGACGAAAGCCGTCCACCTAGGTATGTGCCCTCATTCGTCCTCCTAATATCCCAAGCTACTTCCGATATCCCTTGAGCTTCCCAATGCTCTGCTCCACAAATTCCAGATACCAACCCCCCCCGCAAACCAAACCTCCAAAGAAAAAGACCTAAACCCACCTTGAGCGCAACGTCCGGTACTCCCAGAGTACCTCCTCATGGGAACAGCCTCCTTATGCTGCTTAACGTTCTCCAAGAAAGCGATGGCGCGAGAGAGCTTCATGCGGGTGATGGCCTGAGCAGTCTCACGAGTGTTCTTGAAAGAAACACGGAGGAAGGATCCACGGGACTTCGCGGACTTGGCCTCGTTGTTGGGGGTGGCAGCGTAGCGGACCTGATATTACCAAAGATGCTTGCACGTCAGCTTCATCTTTCATAATTGATCATTCTCCATTCCCTTCTAGCTTGATTTTCTGCAAATCCCCGCCAGACCAATTCCGATCGTGAAATTGGCAAAAAAACGTAGAAAACTGACCATCGTGTTTGAAAATTTCCTTAGGCCGGGGGAGAGGATTCGTGGTTGTCGTGATCGGTTGTCTTTGGATTCTTCGTTGGTCGTCCGTCAGTATCTGGATCTAGGGCCAGGGAAATTTTTGGTGGGGATTGCCTGACTGGTGTGTGCTTTGTGGTTGGGACTGTCTTTTGATCTTGGCGATCTAGGTGGTTGCTGCCCTACACAAAAAGGTGGCGGCTAGCTAAGCCACAGAAAGCTCCTGACCTGGTAAGCGATTTACATCATTCGGATCACCTGACGTCCCACCTTGGAATTGAGTGTGTTCACTATCAGCTCGCAATATCGTTAACGAAGAAACAAGTGCGAGAAAAACACATTTCTACATTGACTTCCGAGCCATACATGTATATATGCACAATTGCTAGACAACAATAACTAACCGAGCTGCGCGTACGACTACATGTATGTCATATCAAAGTTTCAAATCTATATTGTATCATCAGGGTAATATGATCAAAGAGAACGCTCACGGCGGAGGTTCCAAGGTGCCCTTGGGATGCTTTTTCTCGCGCCGCCGCAAGATCAATTCCTGAAGCTGATCATATTTATATCTATATAATATGATTGACTGATAATTAATTCAAAGAAACGTGAGATAATCTGGTAGACATGGACTTATCTGTATATTATTTGTCGATTATTTCCTTCAAGATACGTCTAAGCAAAGACATACATGAATGGCTTTAATAGACCTTATTCTTGAAGTTCACTTAGCTTATATACATCGAGGCCATGTCCCCGAGGCAAGGGTACAAGGGCGCTCGTCCACATGAACCATAATATATCAGAGCAATATTATCTTAATTCAAAGAATCCAATGACGGTGGGTAATAACCACATTTAGCTCTATTACACAAAGCTATCTACAGATTGCGCTCGGCCAAAACAACCCATTCATCAAGTGGCTTACTAGTCGGGACCTATTGTTTATTCGTAAAATTAACGCTGCTTTCCTCGACATGGGGCACAAAAACACCTTAATCAAGGAATGCATGCACTTACTAAAAGAAGCTTTCCTCCCTTCCAGCCATTCATATCGGGCTCTGAATTAGAACCAGAAACCCCCGAAAGTCCAATGCCAGCGCTAAGAACATCGTTTTCTATAGCCTTCGACACATCTTCCGGAACTGGCCAAAGATTGGAGTAGACAAGTGAAACATGAGGCGTAAATATCTCTCTCGCCCACTTCTCCGCATCATCCTTCGATTGTCCACCAAATGCGAATTTCTCGCGACAATGAGTTGCGAGTGCCACAATAGAATCATTCTTTTCTATATGAAGGGTTCCACGAGTAAAGAAGGTTTCTCTATGTGTGGTTTACATCAGCAACCGATAAACAAAGATTTCAGTGCGCGTTTAGGGACAAACCCGATCACCATGGAAGAAAAAACCACGTTAGGGAGCTCCTTAATATCAATACTATCAAGGACCTCTTGGGGGTCCAAATTAGAAGGAATCTCAGAAGTTATGGTCGCATGTGGGCGGAAGTCTGGAACTTTCTCATCCCCAAAATAGGCAGGAACAGTATTGGAGATAAGCTTAATCAATACAGCCTCAATTTGAGTTCCCGCTGGAGGACATAGCCAAATAGAGGCTATGGAATTCTGGCATCAGTACGTTTTTGTGTCTGGTTATCACGGAACCGTCTCTAAACTTACAGCCTAACTCAAGAGTGTATCAGTGGAGATAAGCAGTCTTTAGAGTGGGCAACGACTTACCGCCCATTGTTGTGTTTACGCTGAGGAACCAATATCTCAATGCAATGTGTTAAAGAGGATATCTGACTTCAAAGTGCGGAGAACTGGGGTAATTCTACAGAGCTTGGAGAGGCGTACCTGCGTGGCGTTGCAACGGGATTTGCTGCAATTAAAGAATTAACGGTAACTGTACATGTATGTACGAGTACACATGTATGCATACAATACCGGTACTGTAACTACATGTAATGTACATGTAGCTACATATATTTTGACCTAATTACATAAAACCAGGTGATGTTTTGTTTTGTTAAGCTGTAGTCTAGGATATTGTAAATGAAGCCAGAGGATTAGTATATAGTAAGGGGAACGTATGGCGAGTTCACCCATACAAGACAGGAAGTGATTAGAGGGGATGAACAAGAGTTGAGCCCATTACGGTAGGATATAAGCCAAACCCTACTCTACTCGTTTACCACGAAAAGAACCAGAAAATGCAAGTGACGGAAACAGGGATACTTTGTATGAGAGATCACTGCCACTCCATACAAATAATCCTTGCCCTGAGCAACTGGTTCTTTTCGTGGTAAACAAGTAGACCGTGTGCACCTGTGCCGAGAGTGTACCTGTGCCGAGCATCTTATCTGATCTCTAGGGATCCGCTCCAAATGGTGGCTAAAATGCTGCCTTTATTATAAGGTGCTCGGCACAGGTACATGCTCGACACAGGTGCACACGGTCTACATAATGGCACATGGTAACCCCCCCGAATGACTCGAGATCTGACGGTATTAGCTCCACTTGTTGGCTTTTGGTGCGATGGGGATAATGTTCAATGCCAACTAAAGAATAAAGGGTTTCAACCAAGCTCCACCCGCTTACAAACATCCTTCCGTTTTCCTTATCTCATAGTAGAAGGCTGACCATTGTATCTACATGTGCCTCGTATACCTGAGTGTGCTGTGCGAAATACTTCCCACAAGCTGGAATAAATTCATGGAACCTTTGTACAAATGTACCTAGTGTACTGGCAACAAATTTGGGCTATACAATGGCAACTAAAATACTGCGAAGAGGCCTCTATACCAACAGAATTCTAACGGATTAAAACCATTAGAACAGTCTGTTCTCCTCCTTAGCTTTCTTCTGCGCCGCTCCGGCTCCCTTGTTCTGAGGACCAGCGCCAACCTTGCTCGGCCCTGGAATCTTCCAGAACAGACTGGGCGATTCTCCCTCGGTGACGGTGTGTGAGAGGTAACCTCGGTGGTCCGGATCTCTGTAGTACTCGATATCTTTACGGGCAGTAGGGTTGGCCAATCGGCGTGGGGTCTTGAAAAGGTGTGGGTAGACAATAGACTTGATGCCGTCCTTGGTGAAGTAGCGGGTAACAACCTTACCACCAGCCGCTTCAATGGCCTTGATAGCTTCTTTAGAGGCGCGGGATACAGTGATATCAATAGGTGTCTTCAACTCTTCTTTTCCCTAATCAAAGCGTCAGGTCTCACACGTTGCAATGAAACCTAGTTGGATATATACTCTTGCGAGGATCTTTACGCCGTCCTTGATTCCGTGGAGACAGCGGGAGTCCACTAACTCTTTCAAAGTAATTGGTTTCGTGGGGTCAATCCTGCCTTGGTCGATCCAGCTCTGTAGCCTGTCGAGATTCAATGGCGACATAGTTTCGGAGTACCTAAAGTCAATTTTATTAGCAAAATTATTTTTTAGTAATCATTGCGCTGGGCGCAGGAATACTTACTTATTGTCCCATCCTCTTGGTCCATGCACAATTGCTATTGGCGTTTGACCACCCTCAAATCCCGCCGGGACCTTCCCGTGCTGTTTCTGACCTTTATGACCCCTTCCGGACGTCTTACCCTTCCCTGAGGAAGGACCACGACCTCTCCTAATGCGCTTATTGTACGAAGACGCAACATTTCGCAAATCCGAAACAATTGACGCTGAACGACTCTGCTGGTGTCGTACTGGGCCCAAAAACAGCCCAGGCAGAAGGAATTTAAGTGACGGAGACGGCCGGGCAATGGCAATTCTCACGGTGCGAGTGAAATTCGTGAGCAGAGACATCTTGTTCTGGTAAACAATTCCCGGGCAACACCTCTCTCGCGATAATTGACTGGATGTTGAAAAATCATCAAAGGCATTGTTATCGCTAGGTAACTAGCCTGCACGCACCACGCACCCCGCGGCTTACATAAACAGCAAGCTAGTGGTCATCTTGCCCAAAACTGTAGTTTTGTAGGTTTCAGAAAGTAAAGCCCCGCCCTCAAGCCCAACCACTGCAATTTCAACCTACCTGGGTATTCTATCTGCCCTTATCTAACACTCTTCCTCTCTACCTCCGGTGAACCCTTCGACCAGTCACCCCCATACAACAAACCTTCATACCAAAAAAAACACTCCAAAAATCATGACAACTGCATCATCAGACCTTCCCACCATGGTTGAGGTTCTCGACGAACAGCGCCCCCTCAACGAAATCCCCGTTTCTCCTCCCAACGGCGCGAGCGATGATGATGCAGATGAAGCCGGCGCCTCTGATGCCAACAGCAAGGAACAGTTGACAGTATTCCATTCCCCCGAAAACTTCAATGTCAAGCACCCTTTGATGAATAAATGGACTCTCTGGTTCACCAAGCCACCGAGCCCAAAGGTTCGTTGCTCATATACGCTCTTTGGATTCTTTTTTCCGAAAAAAATAAAATAAAAGAGATCGACACCTACTAATGCTAGCGCCAAATTTAGGGTGAGAACAACTGGAACGATCTTTTGAAGGAGGTGGTCACTTTTGACTCTGTGGAGGAATTTTGGGGTATCTACGTATGTTTCTCTCTCATATTCAAACCTCATTATCTTGTTATTAGCTTGCCACTTACATGCCCTCCTTAGAACAACATTGCCAAAACATCTGAGCTTGCCCTAAAATCCGACTACCACCTATTTAAAGCCGGTGTCCGTCCAGAGTGGGAAGACCCCCAAAACAAGAACGGCGGCAAATGGTCCTACCAGTTCAAGGAAAAGCGTGCCGTCCCCATTGATGAGCTCTGGCTACACGTAATGCTTGCCGCCATCGGTGAGACCCTCGAAGCCGAAGACGACAAGGAGATTATGGGTGTCGTTGTCAACGTTCGCAAGGCCTTCTTCAGGATCGGTGTGTGGACAAAGTCTTCCGGTGGCGGAAAGACGGCCCCCTCCAGGGAGTCTCTTATGGAGATTGGAAGGAAGTTTAAGGAGGTATTGAGGTTGAATACGAACGAGCACTGCGAGTTCTCGGGCCACACCGAGAGTGCGCACTCTGGGAGCACTAGGGCAAAAGCAAAATTCGTCGTTTAAACTACAATCAAGTACAGTCATATATCCAATTCTTTGTCTATAGGAGGCAAGTGACGCTATGATCGGGCCACAGCAGCAAAAAAAAAAAGAAAAGGGAAAGAAAAAGCAAGAGCGCAACTTGATGGGTTTTCTGAAAAGCGATTTAACGAAGAAATGAATTCTAAACCCTCTATCTAGGGATGTGTGGAGTGAGGGTTTTGTTTTAAAAAGTGTTTTTTTCCTAGGTATCTCAAGAAGCTTCGGATTTTTTTACGATCGGTATTTTTACGATTTTCGCCAGGTTAACCTTTCATCTTTTTTGTGCTTATATCTTATGTCTTTTTCCTATGGGCGAGCACGGTGTTCTTTTTCTTTCTGTCTTCGTTTTCTTCGCTTCCTGGTTTTTAACTTGAAGACCAGCAGCTAGTTCTGCGCATATTATAGATTTGTTTTTCTCAAGCTTGGGATATCACGGGGGTGAGTGAGCAGGAGGCCTTAATATGCATGCCAAGAGGTCAATGGCCAGTGTGAAACTTGTAACAACTCCTCGCAGCGTTGAGTATTCGGATTACTGTCACACATCACCATTGCCGCTCACGTAAACTGGAGTGGGTTTCAGCCCAAACCCAGCTCACACTTGGCTGGCTCACAGTTTATCATTAAGAAAACTCCTATCACTCCTGCCCCCCCTCCCCTTGGTTTCCTTCCTCGTCACTGACATAGGAAGAATATAACTCAAATGAAATAAAAGGAAAATTGAGCTTTCAATGCCGTCTCACTCGATGAGACGGTAATGCAAGCAGATCAGATGTTGATCATGTGAAACGGGGGGGAGCGCAAAAGTGCAAATAATAGCTCAAATTGGGGCTCTCAGTTGAAGAGGAAGAAGAAAAAGAAAATAAACGAATTTTTTTGACCATAAAAATACATATCAGGGGATTGGGTAAGGGGATAATCTTTCAACATTATTTAGAATCGCCATGATTATTAGTGCTAAGGTGCAGCATAAACGAGAGGCAAGAGGGCAAGGAGAAGTAAGAGTGGGGGGCTCTGGTTCTAAGATAACGACAAAACAGCAGGCCTGCACATCCAAAAATGTCAGTAAATATATCTCGAGTGATCACGTATGAAGCAACATACCCAGCAAGCACAACCTCATCCGTCACCGTGGTCCCACTACTCGTCAACACAACGTACACTTCTCCACCCAATCCCTGCGGAACTACACAACTCCCCGATGCGAGCGGCGCAAACTGGGTCCCCGCCTCACCGGACGTAAACGCGCAGAACGTACTCCCATCCGCAAACGCTGTTGGGTCCGACAATGTCAATACGGACCCTGCAGTAACTGTCGCAGCGTTTACAATATTCAGCGATGGGAACGCCTGAAGGCCAAGTGAAGAGCCTGCAGGGCACTCTGTGATAAATCCTGCGGCCAGCGTGAAGATCTGCCGCGCGCTGACTGCGGCATCGAAGGCTTGCGGGACCGGCGACTGCTTGAGGGCCGTCCGGATGAAAGTTTGATGGCGGGATTCAACAGTAACGATTGAAGCTGCGGCGGAGAGAATCTTGCCGTCTGTAATGAGGGGAGCGGCACCGAGATAGCTAAATGATGTGTGAGAGCTGGTATTTCCTTTAATATATGGACATAGGAACAGGGATTATCTTACGCGCTGATACCGACTGCCTCAAGAACCTTCGCAGCAGCAACCATAGACGCAGCATCTGTGAGCCCAAAGTTATAGGTGCAAGGCTGCACCGGTGTAGCCCCCGCACCTGCAATGGCGGCCATGAGTGCAGTGACATGAGTTGCCTCGGTGACTCCAATCTGCGTCAGCCCGTCGACATCTTCTTGTGTCAGGCCCAATGCAAGGAAGTCAGCGGCAGGGAATTTGGCGAATCCTTCTTTGTAGAATGCAGATTCGAGGTGCTCGAGGGTCAACGCACTGCTGGTGATTAGCTTTTATTCAGTAGTATAGGCTACTACTGTAGACTTACAATTGGAGAATATCTAGATCCGTCAGGGCCGGTGCTGCCTGCCTCTTAACAATTGGATGAGCGCCAGTTATGCTACTGAAGGCAGCGAATGCAACAACAACAGAGGTAACGATTTTCCGGAAGATAGTCATTTTTGGTTTGTGTTTGAAAAATGCTCGCGGAGCCTTTGGTGAAAATGGGGGTATTAAATATTATTACTGTGTGCACAATCACAGATGGATCCCGTAAGAAAGAAGAAGGAAGGGATTTCCGCCGGGGAATCTGCAAGAAATGATTGTACTGAAAATAAGATAAGATCAAGAGTAAAAGAGTGAAAAGAGAAGGGAGAATGAATAGGGCTGGACAATTTGAGGAAAAGGAGGTAAGGGAGAATTTCAAAGTGGGACTCGGGAGATATATATAAATCTCTTGTACTGCTATTTACAACAATTTGGTATTACAGGGCTGTGATCTAGGGGCTGCTATGCTAAGCATTGAGGGCTCGAGACTCAGGAGCGTCAGACGAAATCCCACAAAGCGCAAACGCAGGGTGGTAACGTGAAAATACGCAGTAACGCTAGAAACATCGCTCCCATCCCCAGCCACCAGCTTCAGGAAGCATCTAGGGGTCGTTATTCGGCTGGAAGGGCGATGGACCAGGAGGAGAACGTCGAAAAAGGCCATGGGTCCTATCGTCGATATTGTTGAAAGTGGTAGTCAAAGCCAGTGGGAATGGGGTCACACTTTCCGCAGAGTCCAACAAAACGTCTGAATAGTGTTTGACAGCTCCGTGAGAACGCAACAATGGCTGTGACTGCCACGGGGTAGACGTCATTCTTGAAACTGGGTAAGCCTCGCATCTGGTGCAGGGCCTAGTCCTGGCAGGGATCCCGCCGTTCGCTTCCTGAGCTTATTGGTTGCCTTATTTGGCGAAGATAGGCGCGCGGACCCTGGTTGCCCCAGCGTTAACTAACCAAGGGTTTGGCCGCACTTGGCTCGAAATAGTAGACGACGTGCAACGGGGTTTGTCCTCACTTGCACTTCCAACTCTAGTACTCCCTAGCGATTTTAGACGAAATCACAACCCAACACGAGATAAACTAGAGACATATCTTAGATTCACCCGTTGATGCTTTCTTACCAGCTGGCCAATTGCGAGGTCGGCCAGCAGATGCTTCGAGATGTGAGAAATCAGTCAATTGGTTAAACCTCGAATCTTAAAGTGGTGGTCTATTTTCAGGAAGAGCGCAAGTAGAGAGGGGAAGGCTGGGTCAGCTTTATAACTCTGATCAAGAAAAGCCGCTTTCCTTTGCAACTAGCGCTTTCCTAATGGCTAAAATATCTAACTTCATGCCAGCTGTTCACACACAGATCCAATCGTTCACTGTGACTCCCCTTTCAAAACCACTACACCCCAACAACGAATGGCCTTCCCGGTAGATATTTGTAGCTCGAACGCCCCAACAACCTTAACTTCATCGTCTGGAGGAGAAGTTTTACAACCATAAAGTCTCGTGCCCAGATTGTTCGTAATGATATCTGCATAGCCAACGGCCACCCACCCATTCTACTACAGCCGCTGGTAAATCGAAACAAGCTTATCTCTCCGTCTACAGCACGTGCCCCTCGAGCTTCAAATAGATGAATTCCAAATACTCCTCCCCCAGCCAACGGCGCAATACCCTGCATGCAATTAATGAATTAAACAAAAAAAAAAAAACGGCGCAATACCCGCCCTGCCGGGTCCTAAATTCTCCGGTGGGGTGCGGTGCAATATCTGTCTGCCACGCAAAGGATCCACAGCTGTATGCTACAGTACCCTGTCCACGCTACATCTAACTCCATGGCCCAGGTAAACCTCAATCTACTACTTAAACTGCCCCCAACCTCCTCACTCGCCCCGCAATGCACGTACCAGGACCACTCATAAAGAGTAGTTACCAGGGTATTCGACGCAAACCTGTCACACACGCAAGAAAGTCAGGGGGGATCCATAGACCTCCAATTTCTATTTTTCTTCCCCGCCGACTAGCTAGTTGGGACAACAAGAACCACCACTGGAAAGATTGTTGAGTTACTCCGAACCCACCTAACCCATTCCCCACGGAAGAACTCACTTTGGCGATATCAAGTAGTTGTACGGTTCGAGGTTTATAATGGTTCTTTTCCTTAATTATAGTAGAACTTGAATCTAGCTCTGACTTTCGGTACGGAAGAATTCATTGCCTTTCAACACAGAATAGTCGGTATAGAGCTTGAGGCTGGACTCCCATGGAAGCATACTTACTGTCACAAGCAGCAAGAGCTATCTATCAATAATCAGACACAATGCATCGACCAAGCATGCGATGTCAGTATTATTTGATCCGGAATGTGATGTATTTTTCAAACCTGACCGCTATAACAAAACATTACAACCCCAGTCTGTCGGGACCCAATTACAACCAGCCAGTCAGTGATTCGATTTGTTAGCTAAAGGCGTTATCAATTTATAATTCTCGGACAGTGCTCTCCGCGCACGAATTCTTTAATGAGTTCGGCGAGCGCAGAAACATACCCACAAAATGCAGACTCACAAACACTGTAAAAGGGAAGTAAGGAATGAATGCAATAGAACTTTCTTCTTTCTTAACATACACTATACAAGCTCCTGAGGATGTTGGATCCCTAAATAGCTCAAATGCACAACCTCTTACCATTCAACCTGAACAACCAGACTAAATAAAATAAAAAACAGCCCCCCACCCCAACCAAGAATCCTTTGTTGAACTAATTCCTTCGTACTTCATATCTCATCCACATCGCAACATTACAGAAAAGCTGAGAAATATAGAAACAAAAAAGTGTCACCAAGACCTCCTCTCCGAAGACAAGCCAGATGAGAATACGGAATTAGCTGGCCAGCCTCCATCGAGAAAACATGGCAAAATCAATCACCCAAGTTAATATGTTATGAAGAAAATAAAACACCAATTCATTCAAATAGCACTATTCAATACCACCCACATCCATTCGTACAGCCCAAATATGTTTAAGGACAACCATAAATAATATCAAAGCACATCTCTTATTCGCGTTGCCATAAATGTGAGGGTCCTTACAGGGCATAAGGGTTTAGCGACCGGATAGTCAAGCAACTATACAAAGAGCCTATTAGCAATCGAATTTTCATTGATAGATATTGGGGGGAGTGGGGCATACGGAGGACTCTTGCTCAGCTCGGTCTTAAGGAAGACTGGAACCCTCGTCAGTTCCCTAACCTCCTGAATATAATCGCTCTTTTCCTCGCGCAAGGTGAACATATGCAAGTATTTTTCCTTGTTAGAAACCTCCGTGCTGTCTGTCTTCTCGCCAATCGTAGTGACAGACATTTTAGGGTCCGAGCGAGTTCGGTGAGGAGTTTGTGCGCTGGAAGGTTTCGTCGGTGATCCAGGCATGCTCTGAGTTGGTCGAGTATTTGACTGTGGCGGTGCCAAAGATGATTGCTCAGGAACAGGTGCTTGCTCTTCTTCTTCCTCCTCCTCCTCTTCTTCTTCCTCGTCATCATCGAATAATGCATCCTGATCATTGATAGACAGAGAAGAGATTTCCATCATTTTGCGTTGTTTCTCTTCCGCCTCATGAGCAGCCTTCTGTGCTGCAGCCTCGGCCTTCGCAGCAGCTGCAGCATTTGCCGCACGGAGGGCAGCACCACCCTTCGGACGTTCATCCTCGGGAATGTATACATTTGATTGGACTCCTTTCTCCCAGTACAGCTCCAAAACTCGGTTGGTCTTGTCAAATTCAGCCTTCTTCAAGGGAAGCTGGTCACAATGCACACGTTTCTCAAAACCGTATTCGGGGATTAGAACGTCGAACGCGGATTCGTAAACGTTGATAACAATGGCCTCACAAATTAACTCACCACCCTGCTCCTGTCGGCGTTTGTCGACGGCACGGCAAAGCTCGATGTGAATACTTTGCTCCTGCGCGTTTTTCGCCGAATCTTTCTTGACATTACACTGTTCGGCAGTCTTGGCCAAGGACTCAATATCCTCGGTGAATTCAATAGCACCATCAGATAGAACAGCCTCCAACTGGCGCTGCACGATTATGTCGGTGTAACGGCGGATGGGGCTGGTGAAATGAGTGTATAAAGGAAGATTGTAAAGATAGTGGCCGTGTATTTCAGCTGGTAATTTACCACCAACGAAGTACTTGGCGCGTTGCATTCCCTTGATAAGGAGGGTTTCCATGCCCTGTGCTCGGGTTAGTATTGCGTGGTCATCATATGTCAGTTATGTAAACATACCATTCGCACAACAGGATCTTCAAGGCGGAACAAGCTCGTTTGAAGTGCTGCACTACTAGAGATATCAATAGTATGACCAAGGCGGTTCATCCGTTCACCAAAGTTGTCTAGGCGACGCTGGTTAGGGCGGGCATGGCGGCGCAGCAGAGCCTTTTCGGGAAGGGCAGCAGCAATCTTTTGAGCAACAACCGCATTGGTCTTGACAAACAGTTCTTCAAGGACCTCGTACGCAGGGCGGGAGTGGAAGATATTGTCTTCGATGGGAATATTCTCGTCATCAAGTAAAGAAACCAAGCGCATAGCAGGGATCTCGTCATTGTCAGCGTTGTATCTTTCCTTGCGGAGTTTACGTGTAATATTCTGGCAAAAGTCAGCCTTAATTCGTGTAAAAACGGATCGTTCAACACTTACGTGCAAGAGGCCAATTTCCTCCTTGTAGTCTGCGGCGGTAGTTTCACCCCCGGCGTTCGAAATTATAGCATCAATATCACCAAACATAAAATTGGCATCATTCTTTACAATGGCCTTTCCCACCCATGTCTCCTCCTCAATGACCTTCCCATCCTTGGCATTGACTTGGAAGACAACACTGTATGTAAACCTATCCTGACCAGGCTTGAGGGAGATGAGTTCATCGGCTAACTTGGCAGGGAGCAATGGAACCGATCGGTTGATCAGCTCCACTCCAGTACCTCTCTTCTTTGCTTCCCTATCTACCAAAGAGTTGGGCTTGACGAAAAATGACACATCTGTGATATGAACACCAATTTCCCAAACTGTCTCAGAAACCTTTTTGGTGTGGAAAGCATGGCCGATAGCATCGGTATCCTTAGCATTAATACTGAAAGTCTTGAGGTCCCTGAAATCTTTACGCGCAGAAACGACTTCTTCAGCCTCTGATTCAACGGTCCAGTTGTCGAAGCCCACGTTGCGAATTACCGCGTCCGAGAAATCGTCTGGCCCAAAGTTGTTATCACGGAGGAGAGCATCAGTTTCAACCTTCATATCTCCCATTTCCCCGAGTTGCTCAAAAAGAGTACCGAAGGGATGGAGAGAGGTAATTGGCCAACGCTTAATACAAGCAACAAAAATACGGTTTGCATAGGCCTGGTGGTTCTCAACAAAGTCACGCGGCGCCTGTTCCGTAGGAATAGCAATCAGAGGAACCCTCTTATCTGTGGGCTTAAACCAAACAATCTTAGGCTTATCCTGCACTCTTTCGGGCTGAGACGGTCTTCCAGAGTGGCCTTCACGGGCTGCGCGCTCGGCTTCCTGCTTCTCCTTGGTAGCTTGACTACTAGGACGCAATAGACCAAGAGTACTAAAAGAAAGTCAGGTTAGATACAAATAGAACCGTATTTATAACTGGTCATAACATACCCGGAAAACATCTGCCCGGCGACTCGCTCAATAACGGCGACGATATGCCCAGCAAATAACGGCTTCTGCTCATCACTAACCTCCTCCTCTTCGACCAAAAGCAAGCTCTGCCCCTCCACCTCCACATCATCGTTCTTCTTCTGGGTAGGTCGTTGACGGAGACTTCCTCTCCTCTTGATACCTCCTGTTTGCTCTTGAGTACCGTCTGTACTAGCACCGGTGTCGGCGGAAGCACTAGTAGGTGCATTTGAAGGGCCCCCTCTAGTGTCGCTAATGTCTTTGCGCTTTTTCTTTTCCTCTTTCTCGCGCTTCTGACCCCAAACTTCATCGACATCGAGAAGCTCGACGGCAACCAAATCACCTTCCAAGGCCCTGTTTCGGTCCTTACTTCCACAAATGAAGATATCGGCGTCCAAGAGCCCATCCTGAGTAGAAACATACGCGTCACTTCTGTTCTTCTTATTGACCCTCAAGATACCAGATACCAATTGACCATCTGCCAAAAGCGCCGGCAAGTTAGCTTGCGGAAGATAGGGAGTGAACAAAGTCTTCCTCTGTTGTTGTGCCTGCTGATTGGACATATTCGGCCCTCCAACCTGGCCCATCTGTCCGAGTGTCATGCTTTGGGCGTTCAATGCTGCCTGTTGCATCTGAAGCTGGTTGAGTGTCTGTTGCTGCAACAATCCCGGGTTGAGTATGGGCTGTCCCATAAACATGTTTTGCCCAGGTCCAGGAAGCATCAGTCCCTGTTGGGCAGGGAAAGAGAAAGCCCCAATCGAAGCCCTCGCCCGGTGTCCCGGTTGAAATCCCATACCTTGAAGGTTCTGAAGGTCAACCGAAGCAACTGGCTGATGACCCTGCTGTTGATTCTGGTTCTGGTTCTGGTTGCGCCAGTTACCCTCATAATTTCTTGAGCCCTGGCGGTTATGACCTTGGAACCCAGAGTTACTGCCACGACGCTCCACATTACCGCCTTGTTGATTTCCGCCTTGTCCTGAAGAGGCTGCTCCTGCACCGGCATCATTCGTAGCCATAGGTGGGGGGAATTGAAAACCTCCAATGCGATTACCACCTACAGGGTTGTTGTTCCTGCCGTTCATGACCGCAAGACTCTGGCTTCTTCCGTGCCCACCTCTTCCTCCAGGTCTAGGAGGTGCAAGTGAAGTAGGTTTGTTGATTGCCGGAGTTGTCGCTGTAGCAGGTACTGAGCTGTTAGCAGTTGCAGGGCTAGAGCTTTCTCCGGCAGGCGCCGGAGTGGATGTTGGGCTAGCACCGCTGGTCGCTGCTGCTCCAGGAGCAGGGAACTGAAAATTGCCCTGTCCCCTCTGTGCTTGTGCCAATTGAGCCGCCTGAATCGCTTCAGGAAGAGCAAGTGAGTGTCTACGTTGATGACCACTGCTGGCAGCACCGCCTTGTCCGGCTGGTCCACCGGCTGGTCGGCGCTGAGGTGCAGCACCACCGCTTCCTGTTGAGTTAGAATGCCCTAGGGAGAATTCACCAAAAGCTCCGGCAGCACCCGATGAAGGGGCTGGGGGAGGTCCACCAGCAGCAGCACCCATGCCTGGCATAGCAGATTGGTTGCGCCTATGGGCAGAAGGCTGAGTAGGAGCACCCTGTGGCGCGGAACCTTGCTGATGCTGAGGAAACTGGAAGCTTCCCTGCTGTTGTTGAGGTGAAATATTGGGGATTTGATGTGGGATGTTGAAACCTTGTTGCTGTAGATGAGCTTGTCCAGGAAGCAGCCCCATGTTTGCGTACTGTTGATGCGCTGAGAGCATCTGTTGTTGCTGTGCTTGCAGCATCTCGATCTGTTGCTGAAGAGCCAATTGCTCCACTGCGCTCCTCTGTAAGCATGCTTCATGATAGGCAGGGTCTATTCCACCTCCTCTGGATCCTTGGGGACGGAACGGGTTTTGGGCAGCTTTGTTGGCCTCTGCCTGATGATGAAGAGAAATAGACATACTCATGAGCGGGGTCAGCTCCGAAGGCGACCTCCTATGTGCAATATGCAGCCTGCGACCTCCCGGCCCAGTAGGCTGCAGATTGTTGTTCTGTTGTTGCTGTTGTTGCTCCATTTTCTCGTTACTAATGATGGGTGTAAAATGTTCTCAAGTTAGCCAAACATTCTTTCCAAAACACAATCCGAACAGACAAAAGCTCAGTTGGCGGTGGACTTTATTTGGGTTACTAATTCAGGATGGGATGGGATGGGCTTTCTATGTAACAGTGCAGTAGATTGATAGTGAATCGACGGGGAATTACCTTATAAAAAGAGACCGTTCAGTTAATTTAAACTATGGCGGAATATTTGACCAGGGCAAAACCGGAGATCAATGCCGATTATACCTGAGAAATCTAGACAAGAAACCAAATTTCAAGTACCTCCTTATCAGAAAACAATTACAATGTAATACGTGAGGCGAGGCAACAAAACTAATGTAGCATACCAAATGTCGAATAGCTTTGTTTCAAAAAAAAATTTCAATTCGTTGCAAGTACGTTTTCAAATGCAGTCGTAAGAAGTAGAAATTCAAGCAGTTGGTAGTAGTTAGAAGAGAAAGAGGTTGGATTGATTGATTTGAAACGTTATCCAAAAAAAAACGCAGTAGCAAGTTGAAAAGTAAAGAAGAAAATTGGACTGGATCCTTTTTTTCTCTTTTCTTTTCCTCTTTTTCCCTTGTATCTGGAGATGGTTGATTAATGGAATCAACGAAATACGAATCTCAAGGAGGGACTGTGATGAGTTGTAATGTATATTGACTGCTAGCTCTGCTTGCCAGCTTTTGTGAGATCACCGTTTCAGTCTTGTGGAGCAAGTGACTGCAAGCGATGTCTATATTGAAGTTGCGTCGGGGCGCGCAGTTATTGGAGTAATAGGCGATGGTAGTCAAGGGAGAGGCGGGTAGTAGTAGTAGTAGCAGAAGAAGGGAGAGTCGATGGATGATGGGAAAGAAAGGAAGGGTCACAACGAGAGGTAGGAATGGAAGAGAGTAAGAGATCGTTATTAGGGAGGGTGAGAGGTTTTTTTTTTCCCTTTGGTGGGATAGACGGGGGGATGTCTGTGGGTTTTATTTGATACCACAATATTGTGCGCAATGTCGATTGGTTGGAGGGGCAGGGTTTGGCTCTCCGGGCTAAGGAGAGGGGTGGGCTAATCAGATACACTTGTTAGAAGGAGAGGCTTGACTAGGACAGAGACATGTATGTGTCCAAATGGACGAAAAAGAAAAGGGTTGGATTGAGGGATTGAGATTCGAACGGGGGGGAGGTTTTATGGAACAGATAATCGGAAGGTGGGAGGAGGGACGGGACAAGGGATGACTGGGGGCGGCGAGGGTTGACCGATTGACTGGTTTACTGAAGGAAGGTAGGATAAGGCAAAAGCTGAGCAATGGCAAGGGTGTACGAGGAGGGGAGTTGGCAGGCACGGACTCCCGTTGGGTATTGAACGTTTTAGGGTGTGGAGCATCACTGGCAACGTGAGGGAATGGGCTGCGTGTTCAGAATTGGCAAAGCGGGAATGAACAAGCACGCTAGAAGAACCAAGGGCGCCATGTATCAATCTGGTCTCTCGCATACCTTTGACAATAGAGTACGTGTGTGTAGTACAGTAGGGCACGCCGTACTAGAGAGTGACAAAGATGTGCCTTCTGAATAAGAGATAGTTAAGAGGGTAGGTGAAGGAAAAAAGGAAGGGAGGATGGAATTGAGAGGTGAGGAGGGAAGAGCATTAGAAGGTCAAGGTCATGCTATGACGAGAGCTCGATGATCGATGGAGTTTGAGCAGTTTGGCGGCGAGGGGTTCCTATGCGTACCAGGATTACCGAACCATCCATCATCGGATGGCGAAATGCAAACAAGCGAACGAATTTGGCTAACTGGACTCGGGAGACGGAAAGACCTCTTGCGACGCTTGGCATGTGGTGGGGGAAGAACCTGGCTGGAGCTTTAGTTTTAGTTCAACATGCTCTAGAGTACAGTCACAACTCGATATGCCGGATCTCAATACGCCGGATCCCTTGCTATCCCGTACGAAATCCTCTGGGTTTTGGTTTTTTTTACTGCAAAATCAATTTGCTATCCCGAATTTTTTGCTATCCCGTATGAAATCCTTCGAATCTTGGCAGTCCGGCATATCGAGTTGCGACTGTACCTAGAGTGCTGTGTGCACATCACACATGCCTCTCTCCTCCGGAGCTCAAGTCTGAACCGATACATCGAGTTGTGTTCTGGTTCTGGGTATCAAACCCTGGTGACAACGGTTGTCGCGGTCGGTCTGTGCCTGTCTCTCAAGAGGATGTCATTCCGTGCATGCCCCCAACCTCCATATCTCACACAACGCTTAAGCTTGAGAAGTCTTGTTCCTATCTAATCGGATCTTTCCGTTCCCCACACTGTCGACGACATCGCGGACAGCCAAACAGCCCAATCCTAACAATCACCGCGATGATGTGCCTTAAAAACACACGTGTGTTGGTCTATTGGCAAAATATTTCCATAAAGTCTAGTACCAAGACCACAGGCAGATGAGATTAGAAGAGCGCCATTACATAAGATTGTTTACCGGGCTAAGCTTGCCATCTAAAGACAGTTGCGGAGTGCATACTGCTGTTCCAAGTCACAACCATGCAGTATCACCTGACGGCGCGTCGAGTGTGATCTACCGTTGGGCGGTTGATGTTTACCCATGTAACAGCTTCCACGTACCGCGAATACGGTACAGCCGCCGGCCAACCCTTTGTGACCAGGGACATGTTTGTTTCCGTGGATTTGTCCAGAATACCTGTCCCAAAGATAGAATAATCGAGGGTCAAGCCGTGATCCCAGGACAATGGACATGTGCTTCTACTGTGTGAATGAGCTCTTTGTCAATCCCGAGGTCTAACACAACTAACACAGCTACCAGGACAGAATACTATATCAAACCGATGATTGAAACACCTCAGTATAGGCACTGCTTTCGCCGGTCGTTTCGGCGAGGCCTTTTCACTTGCTACGAGGAAGAAGCGCCGTCGTGCACACATGGGGACTGCCGAGGGGAGATCCAAAGTGGCTGGTATGTAACAAGATACATAGGAGAACACAGGATTAATTATCGCTATAATCGGTACAATCGGCAAACTATACAAACTCATCCAAAGAGAAAGCGTTGTTTAGGGTCGCGTTACAAATAAACATGTTAACCCTATGGTAACACAGTCCTTAGTTTCTACTCGTCTTAGCCAGATCAGGTAGCAGGAACTGATCCTTGAAGGCTGTGTATATGTCCCAATGTTTCATAATAGCTAACAGCAGATTCATATAGGATCAAGCTCTTGAAGTCTACCAGCGAGCCCAATACGACCTAATATATCGAGTGATCTATTATGAAGGGATTAGCAAAACCGATATCGATCTAGGCAATGAAACACTTAGGTGCATGTACTGAAGTGTATCTACTTAGTCTCTTACCAATCCCCTATGAGCAGCTTGCTGCCATAGGGTCTGGTGTGGCAAACGCTGCCGAGGAAATAGTAAGTATACTTGACCCCCGAGCACCTTTCTCCACTATAATTAGCTTACGAGCCATCAGCTTCAAAAGATTATCATGAACCCCCATACATATCTAACAGTAGTATTTCATACTTCGTTGGTCCAGCATTAATTCCGCCAGCCCTGAATTCCTAATACAAGTTGAATGTGCCAAGATCGAGCCCAGAGAGGCACCTCGGAGGTTTGAGGTTGGTACCATTTTATGAATCTCTGAAGTATTGACCGAGCAAGGTCCGAGGAAGGCCCAAAGAGACCCCACAACACGAGAAAAACCGTTGCCCTATTATTTCACTTCGTTATGATACCTATCGCTATTTTGTAATGTTTTCCCGGGGGTTTATAGCTGATAGGGTCAGGGTTTCTGCTATTACTAGACGAAGCACAAACCAGGAATCGAGCCGACAGGTACATGTACGCCCCTCTACTTTTGCTTTTACATACATTTACATACTCGTAGCTTCATGACGTTTCCGAACAAGACTGCTATTGCATACCATGCAAAAAAGCGCCAAATCCACCTTTTTGTATGTCATGCAATATTGGTCGTGTTCGGAAACGCTATGAAGCTACGAGTATATAGAGTACATGTACTTTAATATACTCTACATTCGAACCTAAACTACATAGATACATACATGTATGTATGTAGGTGCATGTACAGGGTGTTCACCCTAAATACCGAGAACATCGATTTATTGGTTCGAAATTGTATGGGCGCCACGCGTGGCAACCAAAAGTGACCAACAACCTTCAGAGTTACAATGCATTACAATGGGCTTAGCCACACAATTTGTATGTTGGAAAAAAGTCTGAAGAACTTTCACATATCTTCACTTAAAAAGTCGAAATATTTAACTAAAAATACAAAAAAATAACCACAGAATAGGGCTCGCTCCCTGCTTGATCTGAGCAGTGTTTTGATGTTTTTAAAGAAATTTTGGGGGGAGTTCCAAAAGATCGGGGGTGAGAAAGAGTCAAATTGCGGTGGTGGAGGTTACATTGCAAACACTAGGACATACACCCTCAAATACCTACTTAGCCGCCAAGTTGTCACTTTTCGAAAAAATTCAACCAATCTCGGACCGGTCCAGAATAAAATTTCCTAAATGAGGGTTCTTCACACATACCGTGAACACCCTGTACATAGTACGTAGGGCATGCATGTGGAGATGACTGGATGTCGCCACCACGTTTGCCCTGAGAGACATTAAAATAAGGTTAGATTTAAGTCGAGTGCCTGCACACACTTAATATAGTTCCTATTACCCCAAGCACTTACACCAAATGGATCATTATCCAAAGCTCAAGTCCATTTCTAGGATTTGAATGTAAGATATTCTCATATGGGAAACTTGACTTTTGTAGGCAAAATATCAACCTAAAATCCCGAGAATCATAAGGTACTATATATCTTTCTAGAAATTGTTACGGCCAGTAATTACGAAAACAGCTATAGCTGCATGTAATTTGGGTTGGCTGAGATGTATGTACAGTAACGACATGAGCTATGATCAGTGGCCCGTTCCTAACTGCGGGCAAGGGACAAGGGTCCATTTAGCCTTTGTCTCATTTGATAGCCTAGGGGTATGTTAGTAATAATGACTTCATGTGCCTATATATTTGAGCCAAGAGTCAATTAATTTATAACCTCATCCCTTAGTAATGCCCTTAAAGTCTCAACCTCAACTCTACATGATTATAGCAGGACATTGTCCTTATTCGTTTTGCATTACTACATGTAGCATAGGGTGAATGCTTTTGTGTATCACAAGTACTGGCAACGAGCGGCCTCTGGACGCATTAATTAAGTCTAAAAAGATATGAATCTGAATGAAGACCATGGTCGTAATATACGAGCTTCCGAGTGCGATGTAATCAGCTTCGGGTCCCCTGTATGCATACTTTATTTCAAGTAGAACCTTGATCTATAATATCCTTTGAGCACATGTGTACAGTATATGTAGCTACACAAGTATTTATGATTAATGATTACCTAGTAGGTTCTCGGCGTTGCAAACGGGTTGAACGAGTGACTGATCATGAACAGTACAGAGACTGCAGGGATTATCTCACACCTCCGATGCATGCAACAAAGTCCGTCAAGTCCGATTCCGGTCTTACTTGATACATCATGTAGGTACATACAAGCAGTAATAACTAAACCCAGATCTTTCTGTCTATCCGCCGACATGTGGCAACTTCGTATCTCTGGAGGCTCTCGTCGCTCTCTTACATAGCATAAAACACAACTGTTGAGTGATCCATGCCTTTCCACATACGTCAGCCGAGGTCCCAACAACAAAACTGGACACGGTATCTATGCGCCAAGAAAATGGAAAAAAATAGCCAGCTCGGGACTCCTTCCAGTCTCGATTCTTCACATAAGACTGTCCCAGATCTAGTTCTGTGAATTCAACTCCTTATCCCACATCGTCGGCCCATCCTATCAATTGAAATGATTTCCCTTAAGATTGAACCTAGGGGTATGCTTTTTTCTTTCCAAATTGATTGCTAGAGAGAGAGAGAGAGGCTTTTGCTGACACTCCCGGATATCCACTAGGTCGTCCCATTAGGAACCTCCCATCATCTATTGAGATTGATCTGGCAACCTGCACTACGGAATCGCTCTACACGCGTCTTTCTGCAACAACTGGCCTTTCCCGTGACCGTCTGAGGCTCACCAAGGGTAGTGATGGTAGCGTTATTTCCGTAAAGAAGGATTCCGGGAAAGATGTTATGGTGGAGGAGCTCGGACTCCTGAAAGACAGCAAAATCTTCGCCAAAGATTTGGGTAGGTCTTCTCATACCCTACCCCCTGCTCGCGTGACGTAGAGTACTAAACTTTGCCCAAAGGTCCTCAGATAGGCTGGCGCACAGTCTTTCAGATCGAATACATCGGGCCTATTATCATGCACCCTTTGGCATTGCTTTACCTCCGCCCTTACCTATACTCCAACTCACCTCTCAACCCCCTCTCCCACATCCCATACTTCCCTACAACAGATGTTATACCACCAGCAACAACAGTCCAGAAGGTACTGTGCATTCTTACAACCCTGCACTTTGTCAAACGCGAGTTTGAAACCACATTTGTCCACCGCTTCTCGGCAAACACCATGCCGTTTAATTATGTATTCCGCAATTCCGCGCACTACTGGCTCCTTAGCGGTCTCTTGATGGCGCTGTTTCTTTACACGCCTGCGCCCACTACTGCTGGCTCTTGGTGGCCGAGTTCCTTACGCGCTGAGAATAACCCCGCGGTTCTTTACGGTGGTATTGCGCTGTGGGTATTTGCGCAGCTTTCAAATTTCGCGACCCACATGACATTACGCTCACTCCGCCCTGAAGGATCCACCAAGAGAGCTATCCCGACGGGCTATGGGTTCGACACGGTCACATGCCCGAACTATAGCTTTGAGGTTTTGGGCTGGTTGGCGGTATGGCTTATTTCGGGAGGAAACTGGTCAGTGGGTCTCTTTATCGCCGTGGGTGGGGTTACTATGGCTAAATGGGCGATGAAGAAGGAGAGGAGATATAGGAAGGAGTTTGGGAGTGCATACAAGAAGAAGAAGGTTATGATTCCATGGATTTTGTAAGATATTTAGATATCATGAGGGCCAGTAGGATAGTTATCAGAAATATATGGTATTGGAGCTTTCAAAAGTCACTAAAGTATATAAGATGTGCCTGATCAATTATGGATAGTAATGTGTAACTTTATAAATTAGTCGACTAAAAAAACAAAAAAACATAACGCCAATTGCCTCTATGAAATCAAGATTAACTATAGCTACTCTTCCATAGCCTCTTCCAAGACTCTTCTCCTCTCCAATGCCATTTCCAACTCATCAACCCCCCACAGCCCCCCCTCCCTCCTCCACACCTTCACCTGCTTCTCCACAAACTCCGTCACGCCCTTCATCCCCACCACCAAAAACCCCAACTCCTCCCTCTCAACATCAAACACTTCCCACCAACCCCCCGGCAACTTCACCCCCTCCTCCCTCGCCGCCAAATACACCGCCGCAACCGCCAGCGAGTTCGGCTGATGCGTCAGATACAGCAAACCGGGGCTCACCAGCGCATCCGTCAAATACCCAAACGCCCTCCTCACCACGGCGCCGTCCAGCGCGTCCAGCGCCTGCAGATAATTAATCGCCAGCGTATACGGCAGGCTCACGGCCGTCTGGAAGCCCGTTGCTCTTAGGATCTGGGTCTCGGCGGCGAGGAGCGCGGTGCGCGCGGTGTAGTAGGTGGACTCGGAGACGTAGTACTGCTCGGGGGTTACCGCTGCCACGGCGGCTTTGGATGGCGGGGGGGAGATGGGGGAGGGGGAGGGGCACGAGAGGAGATAGGTGGTGACGTTGATGATGTCGCGGGGCTTGGTGGGGTGCTCGGTGAGCTTTGTGGAGAGGTAGAGGGCGCCATGGACGGTGGGGAGGAGGGGGTAGGCGCGAAGGCTGGAGAGGAGGTAGAAGCGCTGGAAGAGGATTGAGGCTGTTGCGATTGTCTTTTGCGGCCTATGGATGGCGGGTTAGTATAAGCTGTCCGTGAGTTTTGTGTGTGTATAGGGGAGGAGGGGGGAGAGAAGGGAGGGGGACTGACAGTTGTAGGAGGATTCCGGCGGATTGGATGAGTGTGCAGCCGGCCCAGCGGAGGGTGGTTTCGAGGTCGGCGGGGACGCCGTCGGAGAGGCTGGGGGAGGAGGCGAGCTGCTCGGCGGTGGCGAGGGGATTGCAGAGGAGGGAGACCATTGTGTGGTGCGGTGGTGGTGGGATTGATTGAGCGGTTGTGAGCTCGCGGTTTGGAGACGTGGTGAGGCTCCGCGGTATCCCTGTTGTTGGAGTGGATATGCATATACACGAGATATCACTCGCTTGGGGCCAAGGGGTGGGTTTGTAGATTAATTATGGGGGGGATACTGGCTGTGTAGGAATGCTGTGAAATTAGGAGATATATAGTATCTTTTGGTATTGGATATTGGGACGCTTATCTACTGACGATCTGGAGCTCTAAAGGGGTTTAATTGAATAATACTGATCTGACAGATGTATCTACATATCAAATCCTATATCCTGGAATATAGAGAGGGACTTATATGAAATACATGTAGTCAAGTGTTAGGGTCATGGTATTTGTGTAGGCATAGTCCGTTCGCGAACGATAACATCTAACAAATAGTTAATAGTTATCAAGATACTAATTTGCCCTAGAAACACCTATATCTAGACGATAGGGAGGCCAAACTTTCACAAATTATTAGAGCGGCGACGTTGGCGGTATAAAAGTGAAATCTGTGTGCAGAAACTTAAAATTATCTTCATGAACGAGTGAGATTCCGTGACTCCATTACACTCCTTCACCCACCATCACTTACCCAAATATATGTATATAGCGTATGGGGGCACGTAGATTACGTTTCACAACCGGTGTACTCCAAGATAGCAACCTCGACGTCTCTTTCCTTTGAACATGTAGTCCTCTTCGAGACGACTCCTGGGCGCCGAGTGGCCACCACATTTAACCTGCCAGTTCCTAGTGGAGCAGAAGTTTGAGATGCCAAGCGTCTCATTCACCGCTGCGGGAGAGCAGGATCGTCTTCTCGAGCAGCTAACAGCTCTAAACACACAGCTCTTAGCAACAATGCCGGACTGTATACCTTCTGGTGCCGTAGAATCCAGGGCGTACACCGTTCCAAACAGCCAACAACTTGCAACTACAATTACAGTTCTATAAAACGCACAGTGCATCCACAAGTTTACGAATATTCGTCCTGGCTACCCAGGACCTCGTAGATTATGCACCTACCGCTCTTCTCCCCCGCAGCGCCCTCACGCGGCAGTCTAAGTATCGTATACCCGTTCTCACCGCCATTCAGCGAACCATGCGCATTCGCACCCCAACTAATCGGGGAGTTCTCAAAGCCATGCACCGTGATGGCCGCCCATCCATCCTTCCCGTCCATCGAAGCACTACACAACACCCCTATCAGAACACCCGCACACACCGCACTTGGAAGAACAACTTACTTCACAGCTCTCCACAGCCGCCCAATCCACGTAGCAGGCACCATCCCCCGCCACGTCAACCTCATCACACTCCCCGCCACGCCGTCCTCAACCTCATACGTCGACAGCAGCGGATCCACGGTGTCCCTCACCCTCACCCGATCCGCCGCCCCCGTCGCCCCCAGCTGTACCATTGCAAGCCATTCATACACGCCCAGCGCCCACTCGCGCCACATCTCCCTATGGAACTCCGCCTTCTCCGACTTCCCCCCACCAGCGATTCGCGAGCCTTCCGGCGCCACCAAACCAGGAACCAGAACGTCCGTGGTGGCCACAACAACCGGCATCTGCATATCGCGCGGCAGCGCCGACAGCGCCGACAGCACGGGGCATGAAACGGTCTCTGGCATCTTGGCTTGGTTGAGGTCGCAGAACAGCCATGTCACGGGGTCTTTGAGCACGTTTGAGAAGCTCCAGACGAGGCGGTCGAAGTTCTTTTTGCCGGGGGACATGCTGGGGTCGCGGAGGTTGTGTTCGACGACTGTTTTTTCCTACTGTTTAGTTTTTGAAGGAGGGGAGTAGAGGATAGGGGAGGGAGGAGTGTACGGTATCGCCGAGGCCGCTTGCTACCAGCGGTGTTTCCAAAGCGCGCAGGCTTCCCGACCAGCCCTGCGGTCTCATACGTCTCATGCCTCAGCGAGAGCCGCAAGATGCCAGAGGTGAGGGTATAGATATTATCCGCATCGACCCTCCCCTGGGACAGCATAATCACGTCTCCTACATTCACCCACTCACATGCCGTTAACCATCACCCACCACCACCAATTGCGGGGTGTGCCAGACGAAACGAACCCGACTTTATATACTTATTCAGGAACCCCGTCTCCAGCAGCGCCGACAGCGGCGCCCGGAAGCGCCAGCACCGCAGCGGCTGCGCGAGCGCGGGGCCGAGGCCAGCGGAAATGAGGGTGTAGAGGTCGGTGGGGAGGACGAGGTCGACGCGGTGGTTGTAGGTGTGTGTTTGGATGGTCTTGTCGGGAGACTTGTTGAGCGTGATGTGGAGGCGGGATGACGGCGCCATTGTTCTTGTGTGTCTGTGTGGTGGGGTGTTGGTGGGAATTGAGTATGGTGGGATGTTGGTTGGAATGTTACTAACGTGGGATGGATGGTTGTGTTGGAAATGCTTGGCCGGGGGTCGAGTGATGGTTCGTGATGCGGGCGCGGAGGTTGGTAATGTTGTGGGAGGGGTCTGTATAACACGGCGGCCTCATTATGACTTATAGGGCTGGGAGTTCCCAAGTCGTGTCGGTATGGGAGAACTAAAGGCATGCCTCTTGACCCCTCCTTTGGTATTTCCGTCATACCTGTACTTTTCCCTGAGTACGAAGTACGAGCTCGTCGAAGAATCCCAAACCTTGAATTCCAGTCACAAAGCGACCCTGATTCATCACCTCAGTAAAATAGAAAGAAAAAGATACTTAGTGCACACACGTAGTCCATAATCCCCCGCAACACGTCCCCCAGGATCTATAAAGCGCTTCACGGGAAGACATCCGCCCAATCCAGCCCCCGTGAATATGTAAGAAAGCACCCCAAAACACATAGCCCAGTCACTTGACCCACCTCCCTCCAGCACACAGCCAAATACCACTTCCCCCCACAAAAAGCATGGGCGAGTGGTAGTGTAATGGTTATCACTCGCCCCCCAGAACATCGCGAGGTTGTGCCTTGCCTTCGATTGCAGAAGGTCCAGGGTTCAACCCAGGGGTGGGAGTAGCAGATATGGCTGGACCACCACTGCGGTACTTTTTGTGCTTTTTGCGTAAGAGGTGTGATGAGAAAAAAGAAGGAAAAAAAACACCCTTATATTTCATCTTACCCCCGTGTGGTAAATATATCTACTAACGTAGAAGACGTTAAATCGACGCTTGATGGTGATGGCTGCTATATATTCGCTCCGCTCACATGGATTGATCACGTCTAAAATCTGTCTTTTCAACACCTTTCGGCGCTACGTCTATAATAAAAATGTGTTAAGACATGGCAGTGCGGATAAAAAAAAGATATCTCCACCTTTCAGTCCCCCCAAATCAGTCAAGAAGAGCTTAGGTACAGGTACATGGACAGACTAACCCTTACAAGCTCTTTCTATCTGATGCGGGTGAAGAAATATTTCCTTATCGGTCATGTGTTTTTCTTACGCAAAAATCACAAAAAGTACTGCAATGATGGTCCAGCCAATATCTGCTACTCCCACCCCTGGGTCGAACCCTGGACCTCCTGTAATCGAAGGGAAGGCACCATTACACTACCACTCACCCATGTGTGTTTTGGGTCGGAAGTGATATTTGTCTGCAAATCCCTAACCTCAGTCGTAGGCTACAACAAGACACCATGTAGAACCTAAATAAAGTCTTATATCACACTTATCCCTATAAAAAACTGCAGGTCCACCATGAAAATTGAGAGACCACTCACGATACCCAAGTACAGAACCTACAGCTTAAATCGGTAATATCGAGCTCAACGACTATAGGCCTAGAGCTCGAGATCTTGGCCTATTTGTGCCTATTGCCGCAACAGCAGCAATATATTGCAAGCGGAGACGTCCGGACACTTCTACGCAGAATATTGGGAAGGGCGGGTCTTCCTCTATTGGCGAGAAGGCATCGTTACGGGGGGGGGAAGTGCCTATTCTGGCGACGGTATCAATATACATGACTACAACTAGATACGGGCCCAGCAGAGTAATTTCGCTGAGACGCTTCAAGGGGGGTTGCACATGGGCTCAGTTTGTTTAGTTATGTATGTAACAAACACGAGCTTTAAAGTTGTCATGCTCATGCCTGCCTCTATGATTCCGTATACCCCACACACAAGAAAAGAAAAAAAGAAAAAAAAGGAGATAAACAAGAAATTTTGTAGCACTTCCACCCATATACACACCGAGGTAACATATCATACATCAAAAGAAGAAGAGGGGGAAAGAAATATGGCCGCCCCAAATACACCAAATGTAATTGCAAAGAACTACCATGTAACCGCAGAGGAAAAACAAAACAAAACAGAAACAGAACCAGGAACAGTTTTTTAATGCTCTATCCCATGAGACAAAGAAGGAAAAAAAAAGAAGAAATGAACGGGGTTGATTGGAGACCTCCCAAAAAAACGTCCTTTAAATAAAAATGCAGAAGGAAAAAAAGAAAAAAAGAAAGAAAAAGAAAAAAACGCCCGAAAACACCCACGCTTACGAGAAGAAATATTTACTCCCCTTGAGATCCTCGACCTTGAATTCGCCCTTAGATTGATGAAATAAATTAGAATTCTGTCTAGTTTCAATGATGGGGACTATTTTTGAGGGGCTTACCTTTGGCGGTAGATCTGAGAACTTCAAAGGCATCCAGATACGAGTTACATTAGGCTTTGGTTTCGACGCCTTCCTTGTATTTTCGGGGGATAGAATATCTTCCTCAAGTTCTTCGTCACCCGCCAAGTTGGGACTCATAGTTTCATCAACAGCCGTTTCACTGTCGGCCAACACAGGGTTGAGTGTATGAAGCTCAAGATCATGGTCTTCCCCTTCTGGGTGCTCCGGTTCGGCCTCTTCAGGCGTCTCCTCTCCAAGGCTTCCGAGCCCGCCCATTCTCTCTACTAGAACACTTGGTGTGATCATTTCCTCTCCCATCTTCCTCTCCTCTTCGTTCTCACTTTCGAGGAGAACAGCTCTTTTTCTCTCCCAGTGGAGATCCTCTAGCATAGTAAGGGCCGCCGGTCCCCTGGCGGTGACTTTCTTCCTAAGAACGTCTCTGCTGTAGTTGTCCCGGAGCTCCTTGACAGCAGCCGAGATAGGATGCGCAGCGTCGAGTGAGGCGAGATACATGTGGCCTTTGTAACGAACCTCAAATTCTGCTTTGAGATTGTTCATGACCTCACTTGAGTGTAGATCAATGAAGGCTTCTCGCAAGATTCGATTTAGCGTGTCAACATCCGACGGATGTGTCCAGAAGGAGTCGTGGACACTCGCGAACGTAAGGTCCTCATCGTGACATCTCTTTGCACTCAGGAGCATATGAGTCGCGTCAAGAGAGTGAATGAAGTTCGGCGGGAACGCCATCATCTGCTTCCTTGAGTTGATCTCGTCAATGACGGAGGGATCGGTGATGTAAACGTTCTGAAGGTTGGTAATGACAAGCTGTACTTTGTCATGTCTATATGGCTGCACGACTGGAAGTCTTAGGGGAGTTGTCCAGACCACACTTGTCATGAAGTGTATATCCTTCTTCTTCCGACTTGGGGGTAACTCTGCATCGCCATCATCCTTTTTCGACTTCCTTTTGGGTTTCTTCGGCGCGGGGGTATCCTCCTCACTCAACATACTTTGGTCTATTTGGCGGGGGGAAACTGACAATGAAATACGTTTTGCGGAAGACCCTAACCATTCCTGGATTCGACTTGCCCCGTAAAACATGGTGGAAATAGAGTCAAAAACCTTATTCGTGAGATAAAGAGCCATATGAGGCAATGAAAACTTTGAGTTTGCTTGTTTGTACTCAGCCAGCGAGGGTAAATCTTTGAGCTGACTCAAAATCTGTTCCTTTGCTCCAACGAATGTAACACCGTAGACGTTTGTCATGACTGTCTGCTTGACAACCTTTCTGGAAATCTTATCATGCAGAATTTTGGCCATTTCGATGCCATTTTCAGCATCACGCTTGACGGCTGCTGTAACTAGCTGAGACACACCAGTGTAGACATCGGAAGGCTTTTCCGCGGGTATGAGATTCACTTGAGCTGCACCCATCATGTCTCCTCCCAACGCGGCATAATGTTGTAGACCATTGCAGGTACCGTCTTGGGCGACGGGAATATGGCAAATGTATTTAGTGGGATCCTCACATTCATAAATCTCTTTCAAGGAGAAGCACGTCGCGAGAGTCTGCCAAGGATCTTCGGCCTTGAGCCACCATCTTTTTCCCTATTACTCGTTAGGTTCATAAATCAGTTGTTTGTGAAAAATCGGAATTTCTTACCCCCAGAGGGTCGGTGGCGGAGTCTATGATATCTTCCCTGTGCTCATCGGCATAAGCTGCCCGATCCTCGAAACTAGCTTTGTCGAAACCGCAAAGATTTGCAAGATGAATCTTCAACCATTTGAATCCGTTTTCACCCAATGGTTTCCCTTTATCAAACTGCAGGAGCCCCCGAGAAAGATCGTCTCCAATGTGGTTCAAATTTGGCGGGATTGGGTAAGCACGGCCTCGGAAATCAACGTTATGAGGAAAGTAGAATTTGTCATATAAGAACTGTTTCAAGTTAGCGGTTGTCCCGGTAGATTAAGAAAGGAAATGGGGGAAGCTCACAGCTCTCGCGATCTCGACTTTGAAGTTCACACTACATCTCTTTGAATGGTTGTTCATTGCCTCGACTTGCATCGCTCGTACAGATTGTAGCCACTCATATCTGACCTGTGGATTTAGGTTTGTCTCCGGTTCGGGTGGCAATACCAGCTCTTTGGCTGCTGGTGGAATATCACCAAACTCCTCCTCGGAATTCCAAACTTCAATAACTACATCGAAAACTTTCTTATTGATTCTCCATGCTGTCTTTCCTAGAACATCAAGAGACGCAAAGAGCTCGTTCAAATCGCCCCTCTCTGATGCAGTTTTAACATAATCCGTTTGCTCGCGAGCACCCTTTGTACGGACAGCTTTAGATTGAGTGTAATAATAACCTCCTCTTTCCCAAGATTTCCACTCCCGCGGAGGGACAACCATGGGAAGATTTCGGCCCAAAAACCCTTGCCTAAGATCTTCAGTACCCAGACGTTTTAGAAGAGTTGAATCGAGGGTAATAAGGCCAAGCTTCTTTCCTTTAATATACTTGTATGTGTGATAAAATGCTGGAATAGGAAGTTCGACACTCTCGCCATCTTTATTTATTTTCCTAACGGGGGCTTTTGCGCAGTGAAGCAGCATGGTCAACAGAACCGCACCTAGCTATAGATATAGTTAGCACGAGTCTACCGGGCCACTTTACCTCTAAAGAGGCTTTTCAATAAATACCTTTGCTTTAATTTTGACTGGCCATTCCGGTAGTAACTGACCACCAGACTGCATGTCTTGAGGAACTGCTTCCCTAGCCTCTCTGATTAATTTGGCCCACAATATCTTATCGTTTTGGAAAATCTCCCCAATGTTCTCTTTGTTTCTAACATTGGCGAAGATCTCCTTATTTTCTTTCCTTTGTATCTCCTGCGCCAGATACTCAGCTTCCAACATGTTCCCCACATGCATAACAGCTTTGCTCGTCTTCAACGCCCCGGCAGAGCTGTTATGCACCTTTAGCAATTCTACCATCACGATGGCTGCGACTTTATTTGGAGGAAGCATCCGAAGGAAAGGCCCGTATAAACACCGATCCTGGGCGCCCAAGGCCCGTGGTTCTGACTCAGCAATTCGGACCTTGTTCAACTCCTCAATAATAAGCGGGACAAAAGATTGGTGCCATTCCCAAAGTAGCGAGTTGAGCGATGAATTGACAGCTAGCACCCCACGGGCACGCATGGTCTCGTGATCCTTTTTCCAACGATCTTGGGCGGACTCCCATGCATCTTCTTCCAGAAGACGCTGGCGCTCGATTTGTAACGCAAGATTTTCCTGGCCGGAGATTGAGAACGATTCAGGCATGTATTTAGGATCGACTAGAGACCGAATAGATTGCTGGATAGCTGCAAGACCGTGACCGCGGGAGGGAACAGATTTAATCTCTGGCAACTCTCTTTGGGGAACAGTATCGAATAGGCGGCGGTGACTCTCATGGAGTTCGGAGACACGGAGGAAAGCAATCTACAAGCCAGTTAGACAACGCAAAACAAGTTGGAGAGGATGCTCCAAGAAGGTGGCACCTTTGCAATTTTGATGACTTCTTCATCAGTCAGTACTGGGTCAACCAGTACGTCTCCAATTGAATTACCCGTGGCCTTCCATTGCTGTATATATTTGTTGATGTAAGTCTGTCCGGCCTCGGGCTCATACTTTAAACTCGCCTTGAGAATCAGAGCAAACGTATTCGTATCTCCCGCTATTTCATATTCCACCTTCATTTTTTCGTACCACATGAAGAATACCTTCAGATCCTCGGATTTGTTGGACCTTTCAAGAATAGCTTTGAGGAAAAGATTGTGAGCATTTAGAAGTATCGGTGCATCTTTTGCCATAAGTAAGCTCATGTGCATGAGCATTTTGCTCGCCCTTGCAATGTGTCCGCTTTCCAGACATACTGAGAAGAGTGCGATATATTCATTCTTGTCTTTGCCTCTTACCTGAGACTCTGTGTCTGCCGGGTCATCGGGGGTGTCAAGGATGATTACTTTGCTAGTATCGAGAGGCTGGAGTTCGTGGGATAAACGATTATTAGATTTAGGGTTTATAGAACGGCTGGGCGCATAGGCTTCAGCATGTGGAGCGGCGAATGGAGGTGTAGCAGTGGAATAACCGCGAATGCTCTGGGATTGACCCTGGACAATGGCGTTGAGCGTCTTCAGCGCCCTCGAATTTGACGATGGCCGACGACTTTGGAGGTCGCCTCCCAATGGCGAAGAAGAGAGGCGAGAAGAGAGTAATGAGCCTGATCCAGATAATGGTAGTGAATTGGGGTGTCGTATAACGTCACGGGGGACTCTTTTGGTGGCTGCCCACACGAGCATTGTTTTCTGTATCAAATGAGAAGGGCAACTAAATCGCCACTATTTGATATTGGGAGGGCGAGGTGAGAGGAAGAGGGAGAGATGGGAGGATTTATATGAGAAGAGAGTGATTTGTAATATATTCAGAGAGAAATGGGCAAAGCGAAAACATCAATTGCGCATTTGGGGATCTCGCTGTGCAAGAATTGGTCGCTCATGGTTGAACGGGAAATTTTTTTTTCTTTCTTTGGGGTCTTTTTTTTTCTGTGCTAACTACTAATCTCCACGTGATATGATGAGGTTGCCAAGACAAGATCCTAGTGAATCAGAGCCCCTCAGAAGGGATGAGGGGCATCAGCCGGGGAAAGCAGGGTAATCGGTTCTAAGACTGGACCCTAAATGCAAGATTGCGCACGTGCACATGATGGGCATAACAATGCGCATCATATATATTCTCGTCCAATTATATACACGGAAGCGGTTTTATCTGATGGGCCCTTTTATGGGTAGTGACATAAGATTACCATAATACAGGTCAGGGCGTGCGTGGATGCAACCAAGCCTCCTAATACTAATAGATATCTAGCTACACACGTTTAGCTGTGAGCGTACACATCACGCATAGCCTCAGAAAACGGGCCGCTAGGTGAACCATGAGGTTTACCGTATAATGTGTTGTTGTAAGTGATGAGTTTTTGACAGTGGGAGCTCCCTAAACCAACCATGGGTAGATCTCGAGCCACCAAACATAGACATCAATGGAAACATATAATGCAGCAACTTTGACGTGACGAAGGACATATGTATACATATATCTTACACTTTAAATCGACTACATGTAGTTGCCATGTTCAATATTTTGCATCCTGCATACACTGATATCGACCTATTTTGATGCGACCTTCCATCCAGAGCTGCCCCACCAAAGCATGCATAAAACGTTGCCTAATCATTCGGTTTTCTTCCTGCGTACCACCCTGGATACTACTCTTGGTAATGCCGAGATTTATAAAATATGTGTCGTATTTATCGGTATGCGTAAGTCTCTCGAACTCGCTCTTCGAACTCTGAGCGAGGTATTGGCCGTATTCTGTAGGTGATGCAAATACGTCTGGTAGGTTAAAGTCAGAAAAATAGTTTCCTGGTGACACACGGGGCATAGCATACACATGTTTTCCATGCCTGAGCTTAGTTGGACGTCTTCCATTGAATCGTGGACTCGGGGAATCTTGACTGACTGGCCATTATTGCATGATTCTCTTGGGTAAGCTTCCATTATAGTGTATGTGAAGAGAAAATATAGAAGCGTTTTTATGCGGCTAAGAGATATTTAGGAGTATGTGAGCGCGAGAAGAAGAAGAAGTGTTGCCGGAGAAGACACCTTGCGCGCTCGTCTCATCCTTAAAAGCAAGAAGTGCTTGACTGAACAGGATCGCCCAGGCCTAGGGGCTGTGTCTAGACCTGGGTCTAGGCCTGAGGCCAGCCAGTCCGGAGGATCCATGTTTCAATGATCCACTGATTCACGGAAAGGGGTGATCAGCGGCAGCGGCTAAGACCTGGCGCTTAGAGATTAAGTCAGTATACGTATTAGGGCCAGAACCCATATATCTGGAGATACATGTATCGGGATTCCTAGTATAGCGAGTATTGAAGTTATCAGTGGGAACCTCGATCGATACATGCGCGCGTGAAAGGTTAATAATTTTGATGCCGGTGGTGCTTGCGATTATATCTGCTAATTAACCAAAGGATATACCACGTGCGATCTTATAACTATGAATGATACAAGGCCTCCCGGAGTTCACATTATTACATCATGTAATAACCCCCCACACACATCGAACTTGATGATGCGTGTAAGTGCATGCAGAGTGCATGTATGCTGGCTGCCAAGATCGAGTGATTTTTCGTGAGCGAATGCTGCCGCAACAGCTGAGACCATCATTCGCAAGAAAGAACAAGTACTACAAACGTCCGCTGGGGACAAAATTATTTGCTATTTGTAAAGCTTCCTAGTTAGTCGGGTACCCATACGCGCTAAGATCAAAGCGAAACTTCCGACAGCCAGAAAATTAGTGAGTCGATTACTGGAGTACGCGCGTTCTTTCTGTGAAAAAAGTATATTAGGATCGGTCCTAATCTTTAGATCGACGGTGATGATGGGAGCGCTGCGCCGTGTTTGTATGGAGTTATTTGAATCTATTGATTTCCAAATGAATGTCAAGTTTTCTCTGCCCCAGCTTCATCTACTAGATCTAGGGGGAGACAATATTTTCCAACACATTTAAAGACCCAATATAAAAGTACCAGTAAAAAGACAAGTCCCATTGATAATTAACTACATGTACTTTCTAAATGCCGCAGTACCTACTTATTTATAACCAATATGAGAGCCGTCAAACCAGGGGCGCGTAGTTGGATTATTAGATTTCCTTGGTTGCACATTGGACCGGTTAAATGTCTTTGACATGAAGACATCACCAGCAATTGGCAGCTTACTTCCTAACAATTATTACGTCGAATCGCATGCATACGGTATTACCGTAACACTTTACGATAGGATCGATCACCATCCCTCACTCGCCCTCGAAAAAAAAAGGGGGCCCTTATCAGATAAAACCCTAAGCCCTATCATTTCGGTCCGTTCCGGAATCGAGTCCCTGTTCCGTAGACTAACTACGGACAAAGCTCACGTGCGCCTCGCACCAATTCCACACCAGACGACACTAACATATCAGTGAAACTACGTAGGTGGTCGTCGCTACTAATAACTACAGTATTCAACATCACGGTAAGCAAACAATGGACAAGCGATCAAAACAACCGCTGGTGTATCCTTTTTGGCTCGGAGGTAGTTCCAGCTGCATGGCTGCAATTCTTACACATCCTTTGTATGTATATACGAGTGTTCCCCTATATATAATGAAGTGGGAAACATTGGGCGCTAACACATATTACTATCGATATAGGGATCTAGTAAAGGTACTTTTCTATAAACTTCAATCGCAAATGGTTGCACTAGAGCTGATGCATATATTTATCCGCGCCACAGGTCAGATTGCAGACAGCTGCAAAGGCGCCCGGTATAAAACCAACTATGTTTGGGACATTTATGAATGTTGCGCGACATGAAGGTATATATGAGATCCCTTTGAATGAGTAGCATATTGCATGTGATTCTAACTTTCCGTAGGATTTCTGGCGCTGTATAGTGGGGTTAGTATATAAGTCCTGGAGCGGTTGAGCCCCGGTATATATTATATATCTGTCCTAACGCTACGTGTTATAAACAGCTCTCAGCAAGTCTACTGCGACAAGGTTAGATGCCATTCCTACTCCACAACTAGCGCGCGTTATATACTAACCTTGATCTGCCTACAGCAACATACTCAACAACCCGTTTTGGCGTCTATGAGAAGCTCAAGACTTATTTCACGCCCAATGGCGAGAAGCTTTCGTTCCCCAAGCTTATCCTGATAGCCTCAATCTCTGGCTGGTAAATCCACCCCCCCCCCCCCCCCCAAAACCACTTTCTCCTCGTCTTCACGTCATAATAACACATCCCAGGGTCGGTGGAGCCGCTGGTAACCCGGCCGATGTGATAAATGTTCGCATGCAATCAGACCTCGCCTCACCTCCGCACCTCAGGCGGAATTACAAACATGCAATCGACGGCCTTGTCAGCATGGGCCGCAACGAGGGGCCGAGCTCGCTGTTCAGAGGAGTATGGCCGAACACTGTCCGGGCTGCGCTGATGACGGCCGCACAGCTGGCGACGTATGACCAGTTCAAGTCGTACCTGCTGCTGTTGCCAATATTCAACGATGGGATGGCGACCCATTTCACGGCGAGCTTGTTGAGCGGGTTGGTGGCGACCACGATATGCTCGCCGGTTGATGTAATCAAGACGAGGGTTATGGCAGGGACGAGGACAGATGGCGTGTGGACTTTAGTGAGAGAGATTACCAAGGCGGAAGGCTTGAAGTGGATTTTTAGGGGCTGGGTACCGAGTTTTATGAGGCTTGGGCCACAGACAATTTTGACGTTTATTGCTCTGGAGCAGCATAAGAAGGTCTGGAGATGGATGCATGAGGAGAAGCGGTCGAGTGTGACCCTCTGACGGGTGAGTAAGCCATCATGGCTATAGATGAACGAGCGCTTTTATTTGGCTTTAGTGGTAACTATATTTTCTTTGCTTCTGTATTCCTAGATACCCGTACAGGTTGTGAGTGTATAGACGGCATATTAGAATGGGTGATATCTAGATGGCACTTTCCTTTGTTTTTTTCCCCTTGGAGTTTTTCTTTCTTTCTTTCTTTCTTTCTTTTCTTGTTGTTTTTAGATGCATTTTTGGTATTATATATACCAATAGATTATGAATTATGAAGAATTATCACATCAGAGTCTTTGCAGTTTTGGAGTATCTTAAAGTTTAGATGGCAGAAGGGAAGTTTTCAGGGCCCATTGAGAGATGTATTTGAGCTAATTTGGACTTAAAGTAGGCTCTATTTGTTTCCATACTAAAACCTTGAATATAAAGACGGGCGAGAGGTTCAGGTTGTATGGTACAATGGGGGCTAGTTGCAATGGACAGAGAGCTGCAGAAAGGCTCAATGATGTCCCCTTGCTTTGAGAGGATCTAACGTAGGTACGAGGCTAGGCTGCAGGATGGACAATTGTATGTTCCCACATCTACCCTTCCACTGCCTACAGGACGGGACACTGACGTATTACAGTCCAAGGCCCCGTCTGATGCGAGTACGTGTTGTTTCAATGCCACAATCAGCCCACTTGTAGCACTTGGGATTGTTGGACATAAAACAGCACTCGAAACTGACACATTCCTCCCATCTCCTCTAACTTACCCCACCAATCAACCACCACCGCTCTCGTTATTTTCATCCAATCCATCATCATCAAATATCACTCCCAGCTCTCGTTATCTTCAAACCATCATCAAACAATACAATACCTGTCACTTTTCTAACCCAACACCCACTTCACAATGCCTCTCAAACACCGTCTCTTCAAGCTCTCCAAGTTCACCAGCAGCCTCCCCTCCACCTACTTCGAGACCCTCCCCCCCGAGATCATCCTCGAGCTCATCCTGTCCCTTCCGAGCTTCGGCGACCTCAACGCCCTCATCAGCGCCTCCCCCCACACCCTCCGCATCTTCAACGCCTACACCACCACCATCCTCAACCGCCTCTCCCGCAACATCATCGGGCCCGAGGCCTGGCACGACAACGTCGTCGTCCTCATCTGCCAGCGCCACGACCTGCCCGTCGCCGAGCCCAACCGCCTCATCAAGGACCTCACGAGCCAGTTCGCCTTCAACCGCGCCGACATCCCGCACATGGCGTCCAACGAGCGCGTCTACCGCGCCTGCTCAAAGCAGCTCAAGGCCGCCACCGAGTCCGCCCCCTCATTCCTCGACGCCCCCTTCGCCTTCCGCAACAGGCCGGACGGCGCAGCGCCACTGCAGATCTCGCTGCGCAACACGCCGGGGTGCCCGCGCGGCGGGGTGCTGCCGAGGAGGATGTTCTACCGCGTGTGGGTGTACTGCGTGGCGACCAAGTTTGAGAATGTCGGCTTTCCCGTCGAGTATTTGTCGTGTGCGCAGAGGATTGAGCTGAGGCTGGTGCAGTATCTGATGAAGCCGAGGGAGGTCAAGAGGATCATTAACTATGAGCTCATGGAGGGGTTTAAGGGCAGGAGGCCGCCGAGGTTGAAGAGGTTGGTGGAGGCGGTGAAGCCGCATGCGGAGAGGGCGTGGGAGAGGGTATTGGGGCTGCCGAGGGAGGCGGTGGAGGGGTGGGAGGAGTTTAAGGCGCTGGGGAAGAGGGGGTTGTGGCATATTATCGAGAACCTTTAGGGAGGAGGAGGTTAGGAGGGAAGCTAGCTAGCTGGGGGGGTTGGAGAGCTAGATGGGGGAAGAAGAAGAAGAAAAAAGCTATATTCGGGAAGAATGCGCAGGCATTCAATAACGTAGATATCTGGCAGATATCTTACGGGAAAACATGGGAAAGGATCATAAGGTTGCAAGAGAAAACGAAAAAACAGTTCAAAAAAATAAAGTAAACCATGTCGCTATCATAGAAATAAACAATAAGCTGTTGTCTAACGCTCAACACCGAAAACCTGTGACTTCGCAACCCGAGTGATAACCCATGTCTTGGTCTAGCCTAGCAACTGCGTATATGTAAGTACATGTAGTGAGTGTATTCTCATCTGGATATAACACCCCATTACCTCTTTTTTCATTTTTTTTCAATATTAGTGCTGTATTGATTCTATGTAACAAGAATTCCGCAATGCAGCTTTCTTGTACCTAGAATCAATGAAACACTGTGATTAAAGAAAGAAGAAAAAAAAGGAAGTAGAGGGGTGTTGTAGCGTATTACTGATAAGACGTATAAATACTCATGAGAATCACCAGTCATTACGTACGTAGGTAGTTGTCTAGACCGACCCCCCCCCCATCCCATTACTTCTACCACCCCCCTCCCCCTCTCTCACATTATAACAACCCCCACCCCCATCCCATACCATACCAACACGAGCAACCCCCCCCCCCCAAAAAAAAGCAAAGAAAAAAAAGCTAGAAAAAAAAGGGCTTCAAAACCGCTAGAATTAACCAAGTCCACTTAAAACAAACAAAACAACCCCCCCCCCCCCCAACTCCCAACTAACTACTACTCTCCAGTCCCAACAACAACATGTAGTCTAGTACTTCTACCATCCGCCATCCACGTAGAGCTGTTTATTTCGGCGTGCCAGCACCCGACTGCTGCAGCGACGCCTCCATCGCGTCCAGGCGCTTCGACATGGCCTCGATCTTCTCAAAGATCTCGCTCGAGACGCTGGCGAACTTTGTGCTCAGGCTGTCGAGCAGCTCGTCGACTACTGCGGTGAGCTCGCCGGGGACGTCTTCGCTTAGCTGTGGTTGTGGGCCTTTTGGTTAGTGTTTCTGGTTGTGTTTGTATTTTGTGTAGGGGGAGAGGGGGGGGGGGGGGGGAACTTACGGCGGAGGTGTCGCCCAAGGTGGTGTTGTTGGCCATGTCGGGCTTTGGGGGGTCGTTTGTCATTTTAGGTGTATGAAGGTATGTGTGGAATAGGGCGTGTATGGGCTGTGTGTGGTGTGGGGATTTGCTGTTGTTGTTGTTGTTGTTGTAATAGTTGAGTGTAGACTCGTGGGCACCTGGCTGGAGGGTTGGTTGACTGGACGGGTCGAGACTCGAGGGTCGAAGGGTCGAAGGGTTGAAGGGTTGACTGTTGACTCGGGTGGTCAGAGCTTTGAGACAGGGTTCAGTTGGCTGGCTGGCTGACCCCGCTGTCTTTGGGAGAGCCGCAGAGGGGAGCTGTCAGTCAGTCTGTGTTGCTGTGTTACTGATCTGACGACTGCCAGTGAGTGATACGTAGACTGCCATCACATCGCTGCTGTTTCTGACACTGCTCTGCTACAAGTCTGCTAACCACTACTGCACTCTTGCTACATACTATTGCTATCACTCCTATTGATTAAACCCGTACCCCACTAACTACATAATAGCAAAACCTCAAGATGGTAACCCCCCCCCAATCCCCAGCCCGCTATCTCACACTCCCCCCCATAGCTAACCCCCTCCTCCCACAAGGCCTCCGAAGCCCGCCTCTACACGTTCTCCCCCGAAACCCGCGAGGCCCTCCGAAAATTCCGTCTGCAAACCTCCCGCCACAAGGACCCCCAAGCTATCATCTGTCCGTCCCCTCCCCCTCCCCCCCCCCCCCCCCTCCCCATGCCCACCCACTAAACCCCCTCACCCCACCAGACAAAATCGACCGCAAAAGCCTAGAGATCCTCGCCGACGACGACAGCGAGGTGTACACCTCACTCGAGACGCTCGCCGAGGAGCTGCCCGCCAACACGCCGCGCTTCGTACTGCTCTCGTACCCGCTAGACCTCAAGAGCGGGCGCAAGGCCGCGCCCTACGTGCTGCTGTACTACATGCCGCCCACGGCAAACAGCGAGCTGCGCATGCTGTATGCGGGCGCCAAGGAGCTGATGCGCAACACGGCGGAGGTGGGGAAGGTGTTGGAGGTGGCGGGGGAGGAGGATGTGATCGGTGTGGAGGAGGTGTTGAAGAACTGAGGAGGGGGGAGGGGAGGTGAGGGAAGAAAATGTTTATTGTAGGGGCCTCTTGTGGGGCTTGTTAGGTAGTCTATGAGCGGGAATCAATTGGGGTGCTTTTATGCCCCGGGTTATTGCTTTCCGGGTTATTGATTATTGCTGATGGCGGACTGGAATGTCGATTGCTGTGAAATGATGTATTTACATGCTGTGAAGCCACTTTGCGGACTAACCCCACGAGACAGAGGTACAAAAAGATACAAAAAGATACAGAGAAAGATACAGAGACAGAGAAAGATACAGAGACAGAGAAAGATACAGAGACAGAGAAAGATACAGAGACAGAGAAAGATACAGAGACAGAGAAAGATACAGAGACAGAGAAAGATACAGAGACAGAGAAAGATACAGAGACAGAGACAAATTCAGAGACATCAAAAAGCTATGCCTCCTCCAGCGCACGCAGCACCGTCTCCCGCAGCTCCGCCACGCCAACCTCCAACTTCTTCCGCCCACTCCTGACCTGCACCTCGACCCGCCCGTCCTTCCACCTGCGGCCCAGCACCACACACACTGGATACCCAACCAACTCCGCGTCCTTCATCTTCCACACAAAGTCCTTCTCCCGATCATCCAGCAGCACATCCAAGCCCGCGCCCGCAAGCTCATCATACACGCCCTCCGCATCCCCCACCGCCGCCGCATCCTTCCCCACAATCACAACCTCAAACGGCGCCGCCACCCGCGGCCAGCACAAGCCCGCATCATCGCGATACCCCTCCGCCACCGCCGAGATCATCCTCGACACGCCAATGCCATGGCAGCCCATCTCCATCGGCGCCTGCCTGCCCTCCCCATCCGTCACCAGCGCCTTCAACGGCTCGCTATACCTCGTCCCCAGATGAAACGTGTGCCCGAGCTCCACCGCACTCGTGCCCACCAGCACCCCCGTCTCGCACGCCGGACACCCCTCCCCCTCCTTCATCTTCAGCAGGTTCAGCGGCTCCCCCGTCGCCGTCTCCCGCGTCACCGCCGTCGTCGGAATGCGCTTATCCGCCACGAACTCGCGGAACATTGGCTGGTCGCTGTGGCTGCTGAAGCTGGCCTCCATCACACTGTGCGGCAGCCGCGTGTCAAACAGATTCACAATCTGCGAGTAGCTCCCCGCCGCGGCGCCCTCGCTGTACTCGTGGAAGCAGACACGCCACATCTCGAGCGCCTCGGCGGACCCGACGCCCGCGTCGAGCGTCGGCATGAGCGTGCGCACAACGGCGGTGTTGACCTCGTTCGAGGTCCCCGCGGGGGCGCTGCGCGGGTAGAAGACGTTGATGAGGGTTGTGCGGTCGGTGCTGACGCCGTGGAAGACGGCGATGTTGCCGGGCTCCTCGAGCGCCGGGTGCGGCGTGGGCGTGCGGGTGCGTGCGGCCTCGGCGTTGGCGCTGTAGGTGCACTCGTTGCAGGTGAAGACGGTGTCTTCGCCGGAGAGCGACGGGTAGTGGTACTCGTGCGAGAGGGTGCCGCCGATGGTGCCGCTGTCGGCTTCGGCGACGATGTAGCGCAGCTTGAGCTCGTCGAAGAGGCTGCGGTAGGCGCCTTGCACGGCGGCGTAGGTTTCGAGGGACGCCTCAGGCGTCAGGTCGAAGGTGTAGAGGTCCTTCATTGTGAACTCGCGCCCGCGTAGGAGCCCCGCGCGTGGGCGGCGCTCGTCGCGGAATTTGCGGGTGGTTTGGTAGAGACGCAGGGGCAGCTGTTTGTGGGAGCTGACGAGGGAGCTGACGAGGGTGGTGATTTCTTCTTCGTGCGTGGGGGAGAGGAGGAGGCGGGCGCCCTTGCGGTCTTTTATGCGGAAGAGCTATGTTACTATTAGTGAAGGACAGAGGGGGGGGGGGGGGGAATGGGGAAAGAAGAATACCTCTGCTCCGCCCTTCTCAAGGCGCCCTGTCTTTGCCCATAGCTTCTCGCTCGAGATGGTGGACAGCGCAAGCTTCGAGGCACCTCATTGGGCGTCAGCCAGTCCTGCACTCTACAGACAGAGGAGAGAGAGAGAGAGAGAGAGAGAGCTCACCGATGCTGCGCATATGCTTGTCTATCAGCTTCTCCAGCTTCTCGTGCACGCGCTGGCCGAGGGGCAGATAGTGGAAGACTCCCGCGTGGGCCTACCGCTATATCAGCCATTGTCCCTCTCTGCACCATAACCAACCACCCCCCCCCCCCCCTTTTTTTTTTGTTTAATTCATTAATTGCATGCAAACCACCCCCCCCCCTCTTCGTTATGCACCGTAGACTAGATTTAGAAAAACACAAACCTGCCGTAAATATCCAGTCCGCACAAGAAGTGAATGTGTATCCTCTGGAGCACCACTATCCCGTCAATAACTGCCCCAGAATGTCTTTCTCTCCCCACACTTCCCTCCTCCTCCCCCCAACACACATTCTCAGTAGAGTGAGAGAGAGAAAAAAAGAAACCAACCTTTCACGCCATACGCAGCCCCCGCGATGCCACCGGAGGGCGCAAAGAACGTGGTGAGGCGGTTTCGGTGGTCTGTCTGTTGCACATCACATCATCCCACGCGTGTTAGAATTAGACTCCCGAGCCTCCCCCCCCCCCCCCCCCCCCCTCCCCCCCCCCCTACTAACCACCCCACCAAACTGCGTATGTACAAAGAGAAAGAGAGAGGGGGATATACGGTAAACAATCTCACGAGCGCCGGTGACGCCCGCGACGGCAGCGGCGTGAGGGTCCGTAGGTGCAGGTGTAGTAGCATTTCTGCGTTGTGTTGTAGGGTGCTTTTTGTGCGTGATGTCAGAACCCGCGGTGGGATTTGGCCGTTGTGTGTGGTGGGGAAAGACAGGGATGCTTAATTGATCACAGCCGTGTTCAGCGCATCCCAGCCAGACTCTGCAGCCTGCATTCGCTACGCTAGGGAAAATTTCGGATTTTCTGTGCCAATTGTCTGCCAATTGTCACCCAACTACAACAAATACTACAACTAATAATACAGACAGACAGACAATGGGCAAGAAGTCGAAACAAAAGCCCGTCGACACCATCGCCGCCGAGCCGGTGACAGCAACAGGCAATGGCACGGGCAATGAGGATGTCGCAGTGCCGCTGCTGTCAGAAGATGCACTGAACAAGCTCACGCAGACGATCCAGAGCGGGTTTGAGAAGGCGAAGCAGCAGGAGGAGAAAGCTAAGGGTAAAGGTGCGCGCCCGGAGAAGAAGGAGAAGAAGGAGAAGAAGAAGGACGATAAGAAGAAGGACGATAAGAAGCAGAACAAGAAGCAGGATGACAAGAAGCAGGATACCAGCGAGAAGAAGGATGACAAGAAGGCCGGTGTCAACGAGAGGAAAAAGGACAAAAAAGACAAGAAGGATAAAGTGGACGCTGTCGAAAAGAAAGATACCAAGCAGGACAGGAAAGACAAGAAAGACACCGCCGAAAAGAAGGACAAGAAAGACACCACCGACAAGAAGGACAAAAAAGACAAGAAGGACAAGACCAAAACCAAAGACCTCATCGTCGGCAAGCCCGCCTCCACCCCGGCCCCCACCACCGTAAAGCCCTCAGACCGCGGCCAAAAGCGCTCCCTCAACGGCAAGACCAAGCCGCAAGCGCAAGCGCAAGTGCTCCCCACCAAGCCCGGCCAGAAGCGCGGCATCGACAAGGCCGCGCTGCTCAAAGAGATTGTCGAGCTCGGCGGGACGCAGGAGGACCTTGATCTGGTCAAGGACATTGAGTCTGGCTCTGAGGTCGATGAGGTTGAGTTCACAGAGTCAAAGAAGGCGGAGAAGGGACTGACGGAGGCGCTGGCGGGATTCATGAAGGAGATTGGGCTGGAGGGGAAGTTTGCCGTTGCTGATGCCGAGTCGGAGGAGGAAGATGAGGACGAAGATGAAGAAGAAGAAGACGAGGAAGATGATGAAGAGGAAGAGGAGGACGAAGAGGAAGAGGAAGAGGACGAAGAAATGGAAGAAGCCTCAGCCCCCGAGCCCCCCGCCCCCGCCCCCGCCCCCGCCCCTACGAAAGCCGCCCCTCCAGTCACAACCTTCGCCGCGCCCACCGACCCCGCCTCCAAGAACAGCAAGCTCCTCTTCACGCCGCGCCCCGATTGGCACGCCACGCCCCTCCCCGCGCTCGACCCCCCCGCACACCCTCCCTCCCCCTCCCAAATCGAGGCCCTCCACCGCCACGGCAAGCACCTCCTCACCAGCGAAAACACAACCTACTCCACCACACACCTCACAAAGTCCTCCGACCGCCAGTTCCTCTCCACAATCATGACCTCCGGAACACTCACCGACAAGATCTCCGCGCTGACCCTCATCTGCCAGGAGTCGCCGCTGCACACCACAAAGACGCTCGAGACGCTGCTGGGTCTCGCGCGCAAGAAGTCGCGCTCCCAGGCCGTCTCCGCTATGGGCGCCATCAAGGATCTCTTTGCCTCGGGCGTCGTCCTCCCGCCGGGGAGGAAGCTCCGCTTCTTTAATAAGCAGCCGGGACTGGGCAGCCCGCAGGCGTCGGATCTTCATATGCTCGTGTGGGCGTATGAGGACTGGCTCAAGACGTTCTATTTCGAGATCCTCAAGACGCTCGAGGCGCTGTGTAGCGACCAGCTGGAGTTTGCAAGGGCCCACGCGGTAGGCTATGTCTGGGAGCTTCTGAAGGAGAAGCCGGAGCAGGAAGCAAACCTTCTTCGTCTGCTCGTCAACAAACTCGTAAGTCCCCCTCCCTTGAATAACTGCATCATGAAATCTCACTCGACGGAACCACACACAGGGCGACACAGACAAAAAGGTGTCCTCGAAAGTCTCATACCTGCTGCTGAAGCTGCAGAGCACGCACCCGGCCATGAAGAGCATCATCATCAACAGCATCGAGTCCGAGGTCGTGTTCCGCCCCGGAAACAGCGTGCACGCAAAGTACTACGCCATCATCACGCTCAACCAGACGATCCTGTCGACGCGCGAGGTGGACGTGGCAAACCGCCTGCTCAACCTGTATTTCGCCGTCTTCACGGGCATCCTCAAGAAGGAAAACAACACACCTGCCGCCACGGGGGTGAATGCAACTGGGCTTGGATCACATACCAAGTTTGCCGACGACGACGAGGACGAGAAGAAGGGCGGGAAGGGGGGCAGGGGGGCGCCACCGCCGTCAAAGAGGGGGGGCAAGTTGAATAGGAAGGCGAAGCTGCGCAGGGAGGCCGAGGAGAAGAAGGAGCAGTTTGCGGAGGAGCTGAATGCGAAGCTCATCTCGGCGGTGCTGACGGGTGTCAATCGTGCATTCCCGTTCTCGCAGGTGGAGGATGAGGTGTTCCAGAAGCATATGGATACGCTGTTCCGCATCACGCATTCGGGCAACTTTAATACGAGCATTCAGGCGCTGATGCTGATCTTTCAGGTGGCGAATAGTAAGCAGGTATGATAGTGCCCTCCTTTCTCTCTGTGTGTGGATGTGAAGGAGAGATACTGATATAGTGAACAGGCTGTATCAGACCGTTTCTATAGAACGCTCTACGAGTCGCTGCTGGACCAGCGCCTGGTCACCTCCTCGAAGCAGGCCATGTACCTGAACCTGCTCTTCAAGGCGCTCAAAGCCGACACCCAGATCAAGCGCGTGCGCGCCTTCGTCAAGCGTCTGATCCAGATCTCGACCTTCCACCAGCCGCCGTTCATCTGCGGTGTCTTGTTTCTTCTCAGCGAGCTCGAGACAGCGATCCCCTCGCTGCACCAGCTCATGGACACGCCGCAGGAGACGCTCGAGGACGAGGAGGAGGTGTTCCGGGACGTGCCCGAGGAGGACGAGGGGAAGCCTGCCGTCGAGGAGAAGAGCGAAGAGAAGCGTGTTGAGTACGATGGGCGGAAGAGGGACCCCTCGCACGCCAATGCGGACCGCAGCTGTCTCTGGGAGATTGTACGCCCCCCCCCCCCCCCCAAATCCCCTTCCTATCAATGATCGTACTAAGACTAACATAACCTTCCCACAACCAGCTCCCCTTCCTCAACTACTACCACCCCTCCGTCGCCCTCTTCGCCACCAGCCTCCTCTCCAAACACAAGATGCCCAGCAAGCCCGACCTCGGCATGCACACGCTCACGCACTTCCTGGACCGCTTCGTCTACCGCGCCGCCAAGTCCAGCGTGGCCACCGGCGCCGCCCCCGCCCGCGGCGCATCAATCATGCAGCCGCTCGACGGCGGCGACACGCGCGGGATGGTACTCTCCACGCGCGCAGCGGGCAAGGCGCAGGTGCCCGTCAACTCTGACGCCTTCTGGCGCCGCCGCGTCGAGGACGTGCCCGTGGATGAGGTCTTCTTCCACAAGTACTTCAACCAGGCTGCGCCCAAGAAGACGGCGGCGGCGGCCGCAGAGAAGAAGAAGGCGAAGGATGCTGCTGCTGCCGACAGCGAGGAGGAGGAGGAGGCGAATGAGGAGGAGATCTGGAAGGCGATGGTTGGGAGCCGGCCGGAGCTGGGGGGTGCGGAGGTGGATAGTGGGGATGAGGGTGCTGACTTTGACGACGATGAGGATATGGATCTTGACGAGGACGAGGATGAGGATGAGGATGAAGAGGAAGGGGGCGCCGCGGTGGATGAAGACGACGGCAGCGATGTGCCAGACTTTGGCGGCGACGACGAGGACGACGTGTGGAGCGACGACGACGACGTCCCCGACGCCCTCGACAAGGCGTTTAAGGCCGAGCTGCAGGCCAAGACGAAGGCGGAGGTAGAGGCGGAGGGCGAGAAGGAGCCTGGAAACGACCGTAGGAAGAAGCGCAGAAAGCTCAAGAACTTGCCTACGTTCGCCAGTGCGGAGGACTATGCCGATATGTTGTCGGATTAGTTTTAGTTTGTCTTTGTAGTTGTAGTTTTTTCGCGACAAGAAGAAAAAGTTATCATTGGCTTGATTGGGCTTGGGCGTGGGCGTGGGCGTGCGTGGGCTTGCGGGGGGGGGGAAAGAAAAAGTTTGTAGTTAGTAGATTGGCTGTTGCTTTAATGTATATAGATGTGTATTAACTATGTGTGTCTGCTATGTGATATGGGCCTGCTCGAGTGGTTTGCAGCTAGAGTGAGTGACCGTGATTGATGAAATATATCCACGGGCCCAGAGTTAGAGTCCAATGCTCTGCCCCACCCAATACTGGTATTAAATCATCTACAATCACTCGTAAAGAGTATGTTCAAACAGCCCCGGTGAAGCATCGACTGTTGCTTTGCTAGGGGCAAAACAAAAGAATGATCAACCGATCAATTTGCTAGCGGCGATATATTTGGTTGTCACCAGGCAGGTGTCAATGATCGCAACGCATCTTCCACTCAAACAGAATAACTTTGAACACTTGCGCGGCAACGGACACATATGTAGCTCATAAATCTCCTGTCATTTGGTATCTTCTTTATGTATATCACTAGCAAAATACACACATTTCAAACCAACCATCAACGAAACAACAAAGTAAAAAAAAAAAAAAAAAAAAATAGCTGCCAGAAACTAAATCCCATTTCCCATCTTTCTTTATGTGATGTATTGCGTGTAAATCCGTAAATCCGTCAATCTGTCCGAACCGCCCAACCGTAGAAACCCAGAGCTATATAAGAAAAGAGAAAGGGAAGGGGAGAGGAGGGGGGGAGGGTTGTTGGGGTTAAAATATTATGATTCCTCCTCTTCCATCCTTCGTTACTTGTGTCCTTAATCCTCCACCGAGCCACCGATCATGCTCAGGATACAGGCCACATCACTCCTACGGTAGGCCATAGCGAGCCCCCACGCTGTTCTCTCCTGGTCGTTGACAATGTTGACATCCGCACCCGCCACTAATAGCTCATTGACAACCTGCACGTTCCCCAACTTCGCCGCGATATGCAACGGAGTAGCTCCCCAACGATTTCTCGCATTAACGTCCGCTCCCAACGCCACAATAACAGGAATCAGAGAAGCCCAGTTCTCAAAGCTCACAATGTGGTGGAGCGGGGTCATCAACCACTTATTCCTAACCGTGACCGACGCCCCCTTTTCCAGCAGCAGCATAACTATCGACTTGCAAGAAACGTTATCCTTCTGGTGTCTCAAAACCGCCTGGAGTGCCGTGTGATTCTCCGCATCATGCTGATCGACTGGAAACCCCTTGGAGAGCAGGAAATAGGTCATGTTAAACCCGTATTTGCAGGCCGCGATATGCAGCGGGCCAGTACCTTCGCGGTAGTCGGTCCTGAAGAGGGTGCTAGCGCCCTTGGTGAGCAGTAGCGAGGTCAGCAGTTTATCCTCCGTCTTGATGGCCCAGTGGAGTGCAGTGTATGCCTTCTTGTTCCACATGAGGACCAAGTTTTTGCCTTCGGAAAGCACAAAGTCGAAGAGCTCCTCGTAGCAGTCGTCGGGTGTTTCGTGGATGATTTCATATCTCCACTTGCCAACCCCGCGGATAGCAGTGACCTCACGTGCGTATTCCATCACGGTGATTCCCGTACCCCTTTCGAGCAGGATCTTGACGAGGTCATAGTTCCTGTGGGCAGCGGCGTAGAAGAGGGCCTTTGTGGAGAGTTTCTTGTCCTTGCAGGCAAGCATGTTCAGGTCGCGGCCCAGGATCTGGCTGAAACGTATGCAGCATAGGAGAAACTTCTGCAGGTCCCTGGGCCGCAGGAACCCGCCAATCATCATGATGATCTCGCTTGGGAGATGGGCAAGTGAGGTGAGCTTGTTCTGTGGTGGCCTGGCATCGTTACTTGAAGAAACGGCCTCGGATATCTCTGCCCTTGATGAAAGGTTGGGGATCGAGCTCCCATTTTCGAGTTCCTCTGTAATCGAATCTTCATTTACAGGATGGCTCTCCACTTGGGGAGAGGGAGGATCCGAATCGGACGCGAGCTCGTTCAGGAGGCTTTGTGAAAGACACATATTGGCTTATGTTTTGTGATCTTTGGAGATGAAGTCTTTTCGAGGTGATGGCTCTAGTTGATAGATGTATAAAGGAGGAGGAGGAGCAAGTGGGTCTATTGGCTGTTGGTTCTGGGAGTGGAGGGGGGAAAGAGCAAGACCAAGCGAGGGCCAGTCCAGAAGAGTCAGATAGGGAGCACCAAATCTGAAAAAAGCTGAAACATGAAAAATCACGCAGTTCTCGAAATCATAAAGAATCACTTAACTTTTCCATCTGTGCTCCAGGAACTTCCATTTAAATTTGTAGAAATAAAAAGGACGTTATTTTTATCTGGATCCTTTGAGTTCATTTATGGCCACGTAGTTGATTTGATCGTCGAGATGTGCTGAGTTGTATTGCTGAGCAGCAGTCGACGAGGTTGGAGGTGAGAAGGCACAAGCATGTGCCAAGATAGACAGATCATCGCCTATCACTCGAAGCTTTAACATGCGGTTATTGGACTACACTCTTACCCGGCTGTAGCTTTTCGCAACTTCCTCTGCAAGCCCAATTATATTACCAGCTACCAAAATCTAGTAAATACGATACAACTCGAGCCACAATGGGTTTTTGGAGCAGCAATAATAATAATAAGGAACCCGAGGAGGAAACCAAGCTTCCTCCTCCTCCGCCACCTCCCCAGCCTCCCACAAAAAAACCCACTCGGGACGAACAGGCTGACGCCGAGCTCGCCGAGTTTATAGCGGCCTTTGACAAGGAGCAGAGTAGCGGCAGCTCTAAAGACCCCAGAAAACGGGATGGGCGGGACCGGGGGGAAGTTGAGGAGGAGGATGCGTCGCTGGGGTCTTCGTTTCCGGGTGAAATGAACTGCATCACGGCGTTCGATGAAATGTACTACTGCTATTCCGTGGGAGGGCAGTTCTTGAATGGTATGGTTTTTTTTCTTTACGACTGCTATGGGGAGGAGAGCTAAAATGTGTTGTTAGTGTATCGATATGGTGAGTTGAGGGATTGCTCGCAAAAGAGCCAGGACTGGAGGTTTTGCATGAGGGCGAAGATGTATGGGCCTGTGACGAGAAAGGTCTGTAAACACTTCTCTTCCATTCTTTCTGATTTTTTTGAGCTTTTTCTAAAGAAAATATTAAAAAAAAAACAGGCGATGATAATGGCCCGTAACAAGGAAAGAGCAGCTAAATACAAAACGGGCGCCAGCAGTGAGGATGTCTGGAAAGTCAGGAAGACGCCGTTGGAGAACGCATTTCAGGATATGCCGCCGACAATAGAAGAGCTTGAGAAAATGACGACTACCCAGATATCATAGGCGCGCGTGAAGGGTGGTTTTGTAATGGTGTGTGTACGATATCCTGTATTATACAATCGCCCCTCCTCTGTTTAGATCTGGGGGGGACATTAGAGTGACTCTTAAGCACATATGGAAGCCGTGATCATGTGCTTAGTACTCGGTAAGGGCGTTTCGGACACTTGGTCCATTCTATGTGGTCTCTTCCGTGCATATGAGCTCTTGTGACTCACGTGCACTGGCCCAGTCATGATAGCTCACTCGAATGCCCTTTATTGGCTCTCTACTGTACGGATATGTAGTCCTGCACCTGCACGCCTCACTCGAAGTGTATCAAATATAAATATAGGGTTTGTGCCTTTCAGTCATTATTCCCGTAATTATAGGTTACATGTGGAATTATTCCAATCCAAGCACAGAAGACGCTCAATTGTATATCACGAATACATATCACACCAATAATATCTGGCTATAAAATAATCTGATGTTTCGATACGTTACTCATAGTGATGGGCACGAGATGAGACGAGACGAGACTTGGGGAAGTCTCGTCTTGTATTATTTAGACTAGGTCTTGAAAATCTCGAGACAATGGTCTAGTCTCGTCAAAGTCTCGAGACCTTTGGTCATGTGACTTTGTTTCTGGGGAACCTCTATCCCTTAAGCCGTCGGCCGAATGGAAGAGGCAGCTGTTAGCCACATTCAGTAAGCATTGGGGGACATCTAGTACGATCTGCCATGTATTTGATAAGCAGCTGGCGTGACGGTATGACTGAGACAGCTTTCGATCCATCATCTTTACTGAATGTGGTTAACAGCTGCCTCTTCAATTCGGCCTGACGGCTTAAGGGATAATCATGATTATGTAGTTAGTGCAAATTAAAAGTTGGTTTTCTTTTTCGGAACTCGATGAAAAGTTCAACTTTTCTTGGAACCGTGGCTGGGGAGCATATTTAGGTGTGGAAATAAAGTCCAAAAAGTCTCGAGACTTTCAGACCTAGCCTTGTCTTGCCTTGTCTTGTCAACCCTCAGGTCTCGTCTTGTTTTGCTGAAAGTCTCGTGCCCATCACTAGTTACTCATATACATGTCGGAGTTAAAGGCTAAAGCTGTGGGCTTCTCTGATCTCAGCGTGAGCATGACAGATTGAATATCACTATGGGAGATTTCTTTTGTTATAATTGAGATTCCTATAACTATATCGAAAGTTACTCTTGAGCATGAATAGGACCGTTTATATTAGAAATGGAGGGAAATGTTTGCACCACAAAGTGTCACTCGCGTCTAGGTCGCGTCCTGTCTCGCTATCCGGAATTTGTTAGATACCACCTTTCTTTCTACCACCATGTTTTAAACAAATACAGTCTTCAACTACTAATATTTCTCGCGATTTATCTAGAAAATGACCCTAACAATTACAAAGCTATATTGGGTGATGCTCTTACACCCAATGACCTGAAAACGGAATACGAACACCTTCCCTAGTATTTATAAATAGTTGCTCGCGCGTTAACTAGGTCCTGTGCAATTTTGTGAGGCCGTTGCTACTCTTGGGACTTAATTAATGCGTGAGTACCCGGAGTAGATTATGCTAATCATACGATTTCCGAAAAGCATACACAGCTCAGGGAAGATCCAGAAATATTGATTATGCTAAGAGAGAAAGAAAAAAAGAAACCCATTTACACCGATTTTTACAACTCTATTCCTCATCATTCTCGTCATCGTCCTCATCCTGCCTCTCTTTTTTCCTCTGCTCCGCTCTTGCCTTCTTCTCCTCCTTTCTCCTAGCCTTCTTATCGGCCTTCTTATCCACCTTGGGCTTCCTAGTCGCAGAAACCTCCGGGATCACCGTATTTCTCTCCTCCTCCCTATCCTCCAGTGCGTACATCTGATCCTCGCCATTCTCCTCGCCCTCCACATACTCCTCGCCGACGCCCTCGATGGGCACCTCCTCGTTCGCAATCGGCGCAGCCATATCCGTCATGCCCTCCTCGAGAATCATGTCTTCCTTAACCGGCCGTGGAACATAGATTCCGAGCAGCGCCTGCTCGATGCGCTTCAGGTTCGTGAGGACGATCTCGTTCTGGCCCGCGCCCCCGTCGTTTGCGGCGAGCGTAAAGGTGGAGAGGAAGGCATGCGCCTGGTATGACGAGAGAGGTGTCGATGAGAGGACTTTGGTAGGTGGTGCGTGGTGGGGCGCCATTATGCGATTTGTGTGGTGTAGTTGTCTAGAAAGTTGGTTATTACTGCGCTGACTGTTCGCTGGTCATGAATGGGCAGCTTACGAGAGATTGTTTATATGTTTATTAGTATTATTATTCGGAGGAGATGGTAGTAGTAGGGTATGATAGCTAAGGTAATATTGAGGATTCTACTCTATCTAGATCAGGGACCCTTGGAATATTTTTTTTTGCGACGGTGAGGCTCAATATATTGTTATCTGTAATAGGAATAGTGCATCCGCCTGCAGCAGCCTTATGCATGCTTGTCGTTCACATCAATAAGTGGATAGAACGCAACACCTCCTCATAGGTCCATAAATTCCTCGATTTGAAAATTCTGAGCTTTTATAAATCATTCAACCAGACCACTAAATCTTTTCTGCGCCTCCCCATCCCCAACAATCCATAGACCAACTGCAACGTAACACAAGCATTCATACACATCCGAATCATATCGTAAAGAAATAGAAGGCTGCCTGCCAAAAGAAAGACAAGCCTTAAGAATAAAATCAAAAAATCCAGTAGATCATGTTACCATGGCCAGTCGAAAAAACCTTTTATCTAAAAAGGGCTTTTAAAACCTCCCAAAGCCAAATTGAACACGCTGATAAATAATCCAGATAAAATTGAAGTGAAGTATAGAGAGAGAGAGAGAAACACCAGAAAAACCTACCCGCTACCTTTTCAAATGAAGCAGAAATGAAAGCATGAACCCCCTTGGTATGGTGAAATTACAATGAAAAGAAAATAAAGGTTTCCCAAGAATATAGATAAGAAAATCCAACAATCCTAAAACAATTCATGTAGCTAAATGAACAAGAGTATTGCCCCAACTGAACTTAAAAAGAAAAAACATTCCATCATGACTCGGATGAAGGTGACAGTGGTAAATGAATAAAACATAAAGAGTCCAAAAGAAATCGGTATCATTACGACATAAGATTATCATCGATAATTGCCACCGTAAGTTTCATATTCTTGGGTGTTGCCAAAGGTATCTAGATGGGGTGAAATCAATATTGATTGCTTTCAAGATTGGGGAGCTGGGGCTCACCTGCGGTACCTTGGGAGGATTGATGCCTGTGTCTTCTGGCGTTCTCTTTGTTGCTGTTACTTGACAATGGTCGAGGTCCTTGCAACCTAGATGCTGTTGATGGAGAACGTGCTGAAAATGGTGATCCGAGCTAAATTAAGACCAATATTATTAACATATACTCCCCAGGGGTAAATGTCAAAATGGTAACTTACTCCTCCTTCTTGCTCGGGTGATAGCAAATCACGAGACTTCTTCCTTGAGGCAGATGAGGAAGCGCCTGCCTCTCTCTCGCGTTCTTTTCTCTCCTTTCTTTCCTTACGCCTCTGTTTTTCTTCCTCAGTCCTCTCCTTCTTGGGTTTCCTAATCTTTTCGCCATTTTCATCCCTGTGTCTAGATTTTCTCTTTTCTGATGATGGGTATTCGCTATCCTCGACAGTAGCAGCGGGAGTGACTGGCTCTTTTGGTGGCCGTGGTGGTCCACCATTCATGGGGGTTTTTATTAGTAGCCCCTGCTGTTGTAGATGTTGATTGTAAGCATCCTGCGCTAAAGGAGACATTAGCTTTCCATCGGAAAACCCTCCAGGACCTAGAGGTGGGAATGTTCCCAAACTTGATACCGACGCATTAGCATTCGGAGAATTAGGGACGATTCCTGAAGCCATAAGCTGCTGAGCTTGCGCCTCAAGTTGGTGATTGTAGGGCATCCGGGGTTGTGGAGCATGCACTTCCAAGGATCTGCGGTTGGAGTGGTTGATTGGAGCATCTGTGCCCCTTGAAGAAGGGGGAACGGGTGACATGGCTTTCTCCGTTTGCTGCCCTTCCGAGTATGGTGAAAGAGGCTCGGCCTGGGTGCTCTTAACAGGGGGCTCCCAAAAGTTGATATCTGATCGGGAACCGTCTGAAGCCTCACCGGCTGCGTGGTTCTTTCCTTTTTTCAGAAACCCTCTGACGGCGGTGGAAGTCGTAGTTTCTGACCATCGTGAGATTTTAGGAAAAATGGAGGAAGTACCAGATTCACGCTTACTTTTTTCCGCCGACTTTGTTGGGGTATTATCGTTACTGAAAACAGCCGGAGGCGCCCTTGTCTCGGGAGGCGTATTAAGAGGTAATGAGCCACCTCTAACCTCACGGGGGGCTTCTTGCGGGGCCTCGCGTGGCGGAGTTCGGAGTACAGCGTCTTCTTCAATAGGCGTGATCCGGTTTGACTGCCGCGGTCGCTCATCTTGATAAATCCTGTTGCTGGCGCTGGGCTGGCTAGGAACGCCGCTATAATAGCCTGAATTTGCACCTGAAGAATTCGCGGGCCCACCAGTCTCAGTTCCTGCAATTTCTGTATTACCGGGGCTCTTGAAAGCATCGAATGTACCCAAACTTTGACTTTGTCCCAAACTTTGCTGATAAAACTCTTGGCCACCCTTCAAACCCTCGACTTCAGTCAACAAGGTGCAAAGCCTGTTCCCTTAATGTTAGTGCCTTCGCAAAAGGAAATATATCTCAAGATGACCCACATCTCTTCTATTCTTTGAAGATCGTTAGAGCTCTTCATACTCAGTCCCTTGAGCGCTCTTCTGAAAACATTGCGTTTCTTCGCCGGACCCTCATCGTCCTCTTCCTCAGGTCTATATCTAGGGACACGAGGGGCCGAAGGTGGCAATGGTCGGGGACCCTGTATAACCTTCTGCACGCTTCTCTCGGTATTTATTCCTACTTCGTCAACAATAGTCCTTTGCTGACTCTCAAGTTGCTTCTTCATATCCTCGAATGAGTTCCTCATTTCCGCAGCACTCCGTACCAACGTAACTAGAATCTCGGTGTCTCGAGCATTACGCTGAGCGTCACGGACAGTAAGCTAGAAATTGTCAGTATGCAAACCTGCAAGCCGGGTAGAAATCCCATACGTGATCCATTAGTGCAACAATATCTTTTGACTGAATCCTATCAACCCCTCTTCCAGTTGCACTGTCATATAATGGTGATGGCATGCCATGGGAATTGCCACTACCCATTCTTCTGTGTCCACCATAATAATCATCATCTTCGAGACCGATACCACGGATAGCTCCCATGCCCATGGATGGACTCCCCATTTGCTGAATAGGCGTCATAGGACCTGGTGATTGCATACCAGGGTTAGCAGCAGAAATATAACCTTCATCTTTTGTCTGAATCGCTGGTGACAGTGACCGGAGAGATGGCGGCATTCCGTTGGATTCTTCATCATTGTATTGATGATCATTGGCAGGGTTGAATTTCCAATCATCTGGTCCATGACCAATGGGTCCCTGGATTATAGAGGGATTGGTATTGATCTCTTCGTCGTCCTCTCCCAGATTCATATGGGTCTCTGGCACATTATCACCAGCCCTAGGTAAAGCACTTGGACCCAGTGCAGGGGCCGAGCCTGTTCTATAAGACACGTCGGACATACCATAGTTGGATGGGGCATCGAGTACAGACGCTTGGTGAGAATGTGGGACAACCGGTGTGGATCTCATTGAGGGGTTGCCCCCCAACATGAAAACTCGCTGGCCGTCTTTCTCCATGTCTGCGGGGTCGAAGTTATGCTGGGTTTCTGTATTCAAATGTCTTGCTTCAATGGATGTACCCTGAATTCTAGCATCCATGAGCGCATTCTCCTGCGCTTCCTCCCGTACTTTTGCGAAGTATGCATCTACTGCACCATTCCTCTTGGAAACATCTCCGTTCCAGTACTCGTTTTCGTGAATGTTTGACATGTCCGCGTTCTCTTTTCCTTTGCCTTTGTACTGACCCCTTCGCTGCTTCGCCAACTTGGTGCTCTGTGTTGAACTGAGAGAGGCAATCGATAGCGCTCGCTCACCTTCTCCGCTACGTCCGGAGGAAACTGAACTCACACCATCGTTATCATAACCGTTGCTATTAATATTGAGATGTGAACGTTTGTTAGCCAATGATTTACCATCAGTGCCATCGCGCTCCGATAGGTTGCTTCTCGATGCTCGGTGCGGTAAATTCAGCTCACTGAACACCGGAAACTCTGAATCTGGTGGCGGAGGTGTATGCCCAGTAGTCATCCCGTTCTCTTTTGGATATGGGAGGCCTGATCTTGCTGAGAGAATAGATGCCCTGGTCTCTGCGTATGTCTCGGGAGTATCTAGCCTATTTGGTCCATCTGGCATCTCAAGTCTCTCGCCGTTAGGAATCGCGCCCACAAGCGATACTCCCTCTCCGGCCTCGGACAGAATCGGGGAATGAGGAGGGCCAAGTCCAAGGCCTGGCGCTTTAGGATACGACATTTCGGACTTCTCAGGTGTAGCGTCAGCGAACCCGTTGTCAATCGCATCATTTAATTCCGCCATGACTTGTGAAACTACCTCTCGGTTGTTCTCTGAAACTTGAGAATCAGCACCGCCAGCAATTACCATACCCTGGCCATTTCCTTTTTCCATGTCTGGAGTTAGAACTACCATCGGCTGTGCAACGTTAGGCATGCTTAAACTCTTGTCGAGCCTTTTACTACCCTGGCGTTCAAGCAGGGCCGATGCAACGGTTGGGTCGAACTTTGAGAGCTTCGTTTGATTATTATTGGTCTTGATTTCATTGAGTTGTGGGAGGATGAGTCGTTTTATGGCATCTTCTACAAGATCGAGAAGCGCCGGGTTATTGATTGAAGCGGTTCTTTGCAATTGGGACTCCTCCATTTGAGACGCTTTACGGCGTTGTCGGTTTTTCTCAGCTGTGATGTCATCAACTTCTCGATCACGACTCCGGCTACGGCTTCTAGCACGAGGCGCCGTTAGGTAGTCACCAGCCATGGTGCTCCCACCCCGGCTTTGCGATCCTTTTCGTGATTTAGCATTACGTCCTTTGCCCAACTTTTCAAATCCTTCCATCACACTCTGCTCGATTGATTGCTTCTCGTGTTGGCTTAGAGCTATTGATTCCCGATTCGATATGCGTTCCCGACTAAGGCTTCTGCTCCTCCTGCGGCCCAATTTCGGTGCTTTAAGCCCAGCTTCTTCTTGGATATCGTACTCCCTACTCACACTTCTACTCCTTGCTCCTTTCTGCGACTTAATTGAATCTTTCTCAAAGTAGCCTTCGGGTTGTTTGCTCCTTGACGCAGACCTATTCCGTCGAGCGGCACGACGATTGTAAGATTCACTTTTGTCCCTAGGAGAGCTATTGACAGATTCAGGGCTAGCCGCTTCTCGAGTGATGCTAACGTATGGTTGATCGGCAGAATTATACGATGTGATCGATGAATGGTCTCCAGAAGTTGACCGGTTATCACCCATAACTAATCTGTCCTCTCCGACGTGCGGCGACAGCGATATTCTTTGGGTATGTGATGGTCTTCGAGGACTGGTGCCAGCGTCCGAGATATGTAGACCATTCCCGTCAGAAGAAGATTTAACTTGGTGGCGCCTTTGAGCCGATGGGGTTACTTTGACCCGAACGCTCGGACGACGGTTGGGGGATCCGCCATTCGGCTTGCCATTTTCGAAATACTCTATCAGCAGCGAAGTGTTGGTTCCGCTCAAAGTGGTGCTTGCATCAGCATCCTTTTTTCTTCTTCGGTTCGTTTGAATAGTAATTGGACGACCATCTTCGGGAATAGAAAAGCTGGTGTGATCTGTCCTGCGTGACAGGTCGGTTGCAGTGTAGCTCCCCTGAGAGCTGAGTACGGACTGCTCCTGTGCATTATTCCCTCCCATTTTTGTTGAGTTTACCAACTATGACCGCGTGCGGTCTAGGCGCCAAAAAAAGAAGAGACAAATTAGAAACAGTCTAATAGGGATTTCGTGGAGAATTGAATTATCGGGTACCTTTTTGTTGATGCCCACGTTGCTGAAACTGTCGCTGTGAATCAACCAGCCGCAAGGCAGGCGGATACACCAATAATGCCAACGGAGGAAGAAGAAAATAACTTGGTTACAGGGTAGAGCTCCGTCTGAGGAGCAAGAATAGTGGGAGAGATGGTAGAGGCGAAACTATTCCAATGAATATATTATTTAGTTGTGATGTTGATTGCTGACAGTGGAGAGGGAGGTAGCAATGGTGATGATGATGATGATGGTGATGGAGGGGGTTGGGGGGTTGGGGGTTGGGTGTGGGAGGATAAGGAAGAGTAGCGGATGAGACGCTGGAATGAGCGACGGGAGGGCCTGGCAGGTGATGGTACTCCAGTTGGTTGGAGGCGGGCAACCGAGGCGAGCGGCGGGGAGTGAATGGGGGTGGGAGCTGTTTTTCTTCCTACTCCTCTTCCGCGACGCTTTCGATCCGAGTGGTTGTATTCGTAGTTGTGGACGGTGATTATTGTTTACGGGAGGTTTTGCTGCCTGCTACTGCGTGGTTGGGTTGTCTGGCTGCTTTAGCTGATTAAAGAGCTACTAGCCTAGTATGTCACTCTGTTTGTGTTTGTCTCTATCTCTGTCCAAATGCGCAAGAGGATGCGAGAAGAAAACTCGAATGGCGACACCGCAGGCTGAGAATAGCAGTGCAGCAGTTGCAGTGCAGTAAGTACCTACAGGCGCCTAAGGTATAAAAATTAGGTAGGAGACGTCGACCCAAGGGGGATTCTGTAGGCTCCTGTCTCTCGATGATGGATAAACTGATCACACAGCCTGAGCAGAACCAGAATTCGAACAGCAACAACAAAAAAAAATACATCCAATCAACAACAGCCTACTTTCGCTTCTTCTCAGAGGCAGAGCGATAAATGGCGGCTGGGTGGGTGTAAACAAATCTCAGTGACACAAATAATATGGTGGCGGCGGTGCTTTGCCTGTGCAAGCAAGCGCAATTCCTGGGTCGACTTTTCCTAGGTGGTTTCCTAGCCCCCCGTTTGTTATGTGTGCCTGCCCTTTTTACCTTTTGTCCGCGGCTGAGACCGACTGCGGTAAGTACCTCACGATTGGAGCTTCCTTGCGTGCTCTACTCTTGTTCTGAAATCCATGGCTCTGTCAGGAGCTGATCTTGGTCTCAACGGGGTATCACGTATTTCCGAACGCGGGAATATTAATTACAAGCCACACTTCTGACACTTGAGCGGTCTAGGTTTGGAAAGAGATCTATCTCATCGATACGACGCGCATGCGTTTTCATGAGCCCCCTCAATATTATCACTCTATTTTAGAGCAGGTACGAGTACCTCCATGTACTCTACATGTACTTGTGCCTTGAGCTATCTCCACGATGATACTCTTCTACACGAGTAGAGTATGTAGAGCACTGTAGATACACGATGATACTACATGTATGCAGGAAACTCCTTAGGCGTAGGTACTCAAGCAACCGCTCCCGCGCGCTGCATGTAATTTTTTCGGACACCACCAAAAAAGTCTATGTAGGTACGGTACATGCTCTACTAGGGTTAGCAGAAAAAAGAAAGGAAGGAATGCAGAGAAAACTCTTGGTGGAGGGATGAGTTGTCTCCGTCTGCATCAGAATTTTATCTCTCTGATCATGATGTCGAGCGCTCAGTGGGTAGCACGTACGCCGAGCCCTATTATCCCTGACCGTTTCTATGGCAATGAGGGTTCACGCGAGATCCAAATATTGAAACACTACCAGGTACTCTTTTATCAACACACCATACTGCAGCCTAGATATTGAGATATGACATACATCCAATAGTCCTGGACCCCATTACTTCCAATCGTCTGGTTGGTTTTTTGTCATTTCTAGCCAACAGAGATGCCCCTTAATAATTGATTTCAACCCACCCCATCGTCATCCCCTCCCTAATAAATTTGCCGGCAAAAAAGAAAGCTGAAATCCCGAAAAAAATAATGTACTCCTGTATGAATTGATATCTGACCGGCCTTTTAGCATCAATTAACAAGTACTCGTATTTTCGTGACGTTTGTAAAAGGAACCACTATTGCATACCATACAAATACGCGCCAAGTCCACAATTTAGTATGGTATGCAATAGCGGTTACAAACGTCACGAAAGTACGAGTACTCTACCTACAGATATTGAGAAGTACATGTAGCTACGTGGAAAAGATGCATACATGTAACTAGAGTACTCTACATGTACCTGTACTTACATGTATTCTAGAATAGAGTACTCTACACTCACAGAGTAAAGCTACAGGTATGATGTGGGTAGAGAACGGTAGTAATATTTACCTACATGTAGAGATTTGCCTACTGGGGTTCTTTCCTCTCCCCCACTTCCACATCCAGACATCACATCCTTTGGATGTAGTTCCCTAGAGGCTAGAGCCCCATGGATAGCGGGTGGTCAACGCACGAATAAAGTCGAACGCGGCTCATTCCACGCCTTTCCCTTTCCTTACATGCGGCTCTATCAAGCATCTCAACCCAAGAACTTTCGCTACATCCCCCGCGAAACCGGGAACGGCACCTACCGAAATTCTGATGTCAAACTGAAGCATGTTTCACCATCCGACGCTATCTGAGCTTTGAGGACTTCGCTAAGGTCCTGGGCATCCATCGTCGACATCGTCGACATCGTCATCACCTTTGTTCTTTGCTTGTGTACTCTATGTACTCCGCTAAACATTATTCTCTGGATAGGAAATATATATGCCTTTGCGTCTTCATTCGATATAGCATGCTGCTTCTCTCCCTGCAGATAGGGCACATGTAACCAATCACCACTGCCGCATTCCGAAGATCGGACGGGTTATATACTGATGGTGCTGTAATATTCCTCTATGCAATGATTCGAAACAAAAATTAACTTACGACGTCTAATTACATGTATTCATTAGGCTCAACTTCGGGTCCTACGGCATTGCTTCGCATATCATCTCAAAGATCCGCTTCCGCGGATCCCAAAGACTGGATGATTCGCGGCGTTGTGAATGTCACAGTCGTACTAGTCAGTAGTCAAGTCTTGAATACAGGGTTTGGTGAAGAAATATTTTACGAACCTGTGTTTTTTATTGGTCAAATGAAAAGAAAACCGATATCTTTTCCCTCTGCCTTATCAGCTCATGGGAGATTCCTGCCGGGAAAAACGGGCGTATTCTCTTCCGGGGTGGACGACCACAAATATGCATTTACACCAATTTTCTTGGTAAGGGAATTTATGGGATGCAGCTGGATTAGCAGACGAATGGGAATCATGTTAGGCTAGGTGCGTGGCGTCATGCTGCAGCAGCAGTCGAGTGATATCGCGTGATCTGGGGTGCAGCTGTTTACGGTGGGGGTGGCGATAAAGCAAGAGAAAAAGTGCTAGTGGCTTATTATGGTACTATGCTCATCATAAAAAGTCACTCGGAAAACGAAGCATCCGACAATAGATTTTATGATGAGACTCGCAAAATACAACACTCCACATGATATGACACACGAGTCTCAAAGAACTAACCCGAGTATCACCTTTTTTTCTTATCAGCATCAAGCAGTTCTCAAAAATTCATTCATCAGCACAACTTTATTTCCACGATCATATATGCTACTCACACAATATCATTTATGTATATATCCTCCTATATTTTGGACATCACACAACATCTCCTATAGTAACCAACGGTCGCCAAATGAACCCTTTGGTCGAAATTACACCTCAATCGATCCAGCAAGGATATCACATACAGACATTACATGAATATCTCTTGACTACGCGTACATATATATAAGCAAGTTTACGGGCAATAAGAGCATTTATGAACCCTAGTTAGTTGGGCCCTGATAATAGACTATCGCTAAGCTTTGGGGGGGGGGGGGGGGGTGTACAGATATAAAATAAGAATAATAATCTTTGCATCAAACTCCTCATCTAGAAAGGAGAAGCATACTACATGTATGTTCTCTAAACATTCCGATCTCCGAGTGATAATCTATGACCGTAAATCTAATAAAACGACCCAGCAATGGTCGATTGATTGATTGTCATCACCAAGCAAGGGTTATATTACAGTATGATAGTTAAAGGCCTGATATTCTACTATATGTAGTTCATAACTCTCTCGCCTTACTTAGTAGTCTTTAACAAACGTATCTGCGGTTTAATTGCTCCAACTAGTGCATGTATGTACCGCCTGGGTTATAATTAAAGATACATGTACTCGCGCGTTAATTAAGTCGTGAGAAATTTTGTGAGGTCATTGCTACCAAGAATTCTCAGAACTTAATTAACGTATGAGTAGTTACCTTATAATAGGCTAAGGGTTAATTTGGTACAAATAGTGGCGCTGAGATATGTGTATTCTAATACTGCATGGTATGGTAATGTTTCAAAGCTATGTGTGATCGACGGTTGGTTGGTATCTCATTTATTATATATTGTTTCAGTAAGTATATACGCATATCTTCCTTTATACATAATTTAAGAGTGACCATGCCAAAGATATACATACGATTATGACATTAACCGTAGCTGCAGCGGCGTCATATGAGGTTTGGAGGTGGAATAGAGATATTGGCGGAACTCGGAACAAGAAATTAATGAATATAAATATAGAGTCCCTTGGATACTAATTCTGGTTGTACTTAGGCCTTAACTATGGCGCGAGAAGGCATAGGTGGTGGGTGTGTCAACTTCAGAGGAACTTTTTTGTATGGGAATTAGAGAAAATTCCACTGTTAGGCTAGGCGCTAGTACCATTATGGGAGTGGATCTCCCAATTTCTATCGATTGACTGGTTGCCAGCAGGCTGGTTCGGCCCCGGTTGATCCTGCTCTTCTTTGGATATATACATAACATACAAACAATGGACCTAATGTAAGTTATTGAAGAAGTTCGCTCGATCTCTCCAGTTTCCAGGGTATTTAATTCGCTTCACTATATGCATACAGTATACTATGCGTATATGTACATGTAGTCCGGTACATCTTTGGCCCATAATGTGGGAATGTACAGCCACTCTGCAGACGTAGAGCGCTCTTATACCCAGATATATGCCAAGGACGGACTACCAGCGACTATGACATACATGTATATACCGGACAAAGCTCCAATGCTCGCAAAATGAATTTGGCTCGCTGAATAATCGCCAGCTAAACTTATATAGGCAACTTTGTACCATTCTACCCGCGACCCCCTCTGTCTCCGACATTCGGGGCATTGGCTGCAAACGCCGAAGTTTACACACCTACCCACCATAGCTTCTCGAGCCATGCATGTAGCGGTGGGCTAAACCTACAAACCCATAAAAAAAGCATATTCGTGTTTCTGAGGAAATACATGTATGTCAATAGAATACTTAAAACCCAGCTTGTACAAGAGCGTTCTCTTGTTCTTACTTTGAAACTAAGCATAATTAGCTCTATGTAGGTAACTTGAGGTTACCTATGAAGTGCGATATACAGTACTATATCCTTAAAACCGAGCAACCCCAATGTCAATTTATTTTGATATGTATCATCCAGTCGATGGCCAAAAAACCACAAGCCCTCCTCTATACTTAAGTCTTACTATGCACGCAAAGTCCGATCCCAGCCAAAACAAGTGCCATTCCAATCCATGTCTCTGCTCATATCATAACAGTCAGAATACAGGCCACTACAAAAAAAGGAAAGAGGGAGAAGCATGATTATAAGGTCAACAAACCTTTGCTAATGACCTTTCGCTCGGCAAACCACTCCCCCAAGACCGTAAATAGGAACGCAAGCGAATTCACGATGGGAACAGTAAGAGATAGTTCTACACTACAGTTAGTAAACAAGTAATCGATGCACGCTGCCAAAAAAGAGAGGAAACAGGAAATTATATACCAGCTTTCCCGATCAACAGGAAAAACCATACAGAGCCAGTGAGATTTATAACTGTATACGGAGTTACGCATTAAAAAACAACACACTCAGGGAGGGATGGATAATTTATAAGCTGTAACGTACGTAGCGGGATTGCATAACTCGGCCTCTTCAACATATCGAAAGCCGCAAATACAGCTCTATAGTGCCCACGTACGCGTCTGTCAGCACCCGGAACAGGAACCAACAGACTAATAGGAAGCCCCAGGACAGAAACAGAAGAGGTTAAATTACTAACTTCAAGATAAATCTCTTGACCATCCCGGTATTTGGATCCTCCAGAACATCCCTTTTAGGCGGACTATAGTTTACTGCTGCCTTGCGTATGAATCTTTACCGCGCGACTACAATCAGTTCATTATGTCCAGTCATCGTAATTGCAATTGGATACAACTCACGGGTTGGTAAACCCCCTATGTCCATATTGTTAGCTTTGATCGTCCTGACTAGCTTATTTTTGATAAAAATAAGGAAGGTGAGAGTACATACCAGGCCATTCCGACCATGATGAAGCCAATAACCCACCGTATAACTCCAGGGTCTTCCGGTGTGTCTGCCATGGCGTCTTATCGTCAAAGAGAGCTGAGCTGAGCTTAGGAGTTTATCGCGCGTTGCTAGGTGATGTTATTTATGGTAACCCTAACCCTATAAATAAGCCTCCTGGACCCTTGCTAACGATTGATGATCACTTCAACATGTACTACAGTCAATACATGTACTTAATACCTTTAGATTGGCCAAAATGCTATAATATCTCCGTACATATGTATCCCTGCCGGAATTGAAAACATGTAGCGATCGTAGTACTGCGTATTTTTTAACAGCACTGGAGTGCATACATGTAGCTTATACAACATGAGTACCAATATTGAACCAAACAATCATTGTTGAGTACTACTGGTAATATAATTATATAATTACATGTACTGATCTTAGTATACTACATGTAGTGGCAATCCTGAGAGCGCGGTACATCGTAATCGTTTTTTCATAAATAATTAACTTATAACGACGGTTAGTGAATAAAAATAAAATTCCCAGAAACTATCGTATTTTTATCATGGTCACATCAAAACACCTCCCCAAAAACATAAATAAAATACAAGTAAGTACTTATGGGAATAGGATTTATTTATCAGCTCTCTTCTTTAAAAATGCAATCATTGCTCTCAGCCTCCCCTCCGCATCTTCAAGCGCAAACCGCGCTTCTTTCTCTTTCTCCTTGTTTATCCTTCGATCGCCTGTAGCTTTTTTCCTTCTCTCCTCGATTCCCTTTTCAACCGCCAGCTCAAGTTCTGCGCTCCAGACCAATTCTGCCTCTGTTACGAGTAATCGTATCAAACTCTCAAGTAGCATCGCAACTTTAGCATTATCGCTGACAGAGGTCGTATTGGCAGGCCAGGGAAGATATCGATTCATGAGCTTTTCAATAGTCAAATCATCTGTTTCATTCCTCTTCGGCATAGGTGCCTTCGATGAGATGATAGTATCGAGAATGAGCTGATTCAATGCTGCCCGATAATTGGGTTGTGTAGAAATGAAGGTTGACGTAAAAAGCATAAAGCTCGACGGCGGGAAACGTAATATGATATCTTTATACTCGCGATAGAGATCATCAATGTCGATGTAACAGCGGCGATAAGATACAGATGAGAGTAGTGATAGAAATCGTTGTCGTAAAATGAAGGCTTCCATTCCACCCCATTCACATGCCACACCAATATCATCATCCTCTATATCGGGGGGGTCATCGGCCATTTCAATATCCTCCGATGGAGATTTAGATGTTGCTGAAGGGGTAGTTTCGGGTTCGTTTTGATCATCGTCGATAAAGGAACTATTAAGGCTTCCCATATTGTTCTTCTTCGGTCGTTTTGTAGAAAGCTCATCCTTATAAATCGGATTGCACCGATCTAAATTTGACCCAGTTCCGTTGGCAAGAATTGCGCGGATTACTTTTTTATAACCCGCACTCCCTTTGGTATCTGGGAGCATTTTGACAACCAGTGCGTTCTTCAACGCATCAGAGTTGCATGTTTGTTCACACGTTGCCTGTCTATCCTCCCAGTCCGCTTCCAATACATCCAGCAAGATCTCTAATTGCAGTTTCCACCATTTCCACCGTGTAGGATGTAGGACTGAACATGTGAATCCCCACCCAACGATCGCCCACACATCCTCTGCCACTGCGAATAGTGATTCACCTTCAGCAAGTTCACCGGCAAGATGATCATCAGTAGTGGTATTGGCGGCCGGCGAGTTATCTCTATCCCTTTCCTTTTTGGTCCTTCGTCCACGGACTCTGGTATCTTCAAACACCCATGCAGCCGCAAAGTCGGTATTGAGAGGTCCGATCAGCTTCAAGGCCCGACGGAGCAGAAGAAAGGCATCGATAGGTGCTGTGGGGGTAGGTTCATTCTTGGGTAGCTGACTGGTGAGGTATGGATGGGAAATGAGGGTTGTTATGAGACGAATGTGAGTGTGAGGAGGAATAAGAGCTGCGGGGGGCGAGGGAGTGGATACGCCAGGGCTTATGGCACCCCCGAGACATTCAATCGCCTGGGCATCTGAGATTTGTCAGTTATAGCAGAGGAAGGTGATGGAAGAGAAGGCAAACATAAGGATTCTTCGAGGGCGCCACGAATGCGCTCATTAAGATTATAGGGGACAGGCTTTGTTGTCCGGTATTTAGGAGAATGTCCATCCATTGCGATCGGGGGGTGGGACTTAGGTTATGTGATAAAATTAATTAGTGGGATGGGTAGGAGACGCGACCTGGAACTCGCTGATAGTCGTACTTATCTAATCTACCTATCTGGTTGTCATCAGTGATCATTGCTGCCTAAATACATGTACTACTAGAACATGTAACCACTAGGCCCCACCAAAGGAGGAGCAACCAAATCACATAGGTCATTATCCATAGCTATCAACCCTCCCTCCACCACACCACCACTACACTGCTAACCCTCCAACAAGGTACACATCGCTGTATCCCCATAACCACACAATATAATCCCCTCTACCTTCCTCATCCTATCAGGCAATTATTTGAGAAGCAACTAGTCACGATGGCCGACGTTGACATGAAGGATGCTGCTGCTGCTGCCACCGCAAAGGAGGGAAAAGCTGTCTCCAAGAGTGGACCCTCCGGTGATTCTGGGAAGCCCCGATTCGAGGTTAAGAAAGTAGGTCCCCATCAATGATTTCTAAAGTGATCTACAACGTCAAGAGATGCTGATGAGCGAAACAGTGGAATGCCGTTGCCCTATGGTCATGGGATATCGTCGTTGAGAACTGTGCCATCTGTCGCAACCATATTATGGACCTTTGTATGCCGCTTATCTACCAACGCACCTTAGAACTATTCACTAACTCGACCTAGGCATCGAGTGTCAAGCTAATCAAGCCAGCGCTGTCAGCGAGGAGTGCACCGTTGCTTGGGGCATCTGCAATGTATGTCGCACTTTGTGTTATACCCAGAGTACATATAGGTTCCAGGGCTAACCAATTTCCAACAGCATGCTTTCCATTTCCACTGCATATCTCGTTGGTTGAAAACACGTCAGGTCTGCCCACTTGACAATCGAGACTGGGAGTTCCAGAAGTACGGAAAATAAACAACTACTTTTCGTCAATTAAGGGAAACCCACCCCTTCTCTTTCTACAGAAACTATAGCATGGAAAATTCTGGGGCAGGAGAACAAATGGGGGAAATACCACTGTGCAGTCTATTGCTATTCACCCAACAGAGCCCAAAGAATTACTCGGGGTTACAGTCAGGTTTAGTCTGTTACCACTGAAACTAAGATTTCGTGTAATGGGCGTGTTTTTTTGTAATGTATCTGTTTTACCAATGGGCGTTCTACATCACCTTTTACCTCTTTTTATATTTATCGGCGAGAATTCAGGTTTTATCACGGCATGAACATAGTGATGTTCTGTTTCGGTCAAAGTGATTATGCGAACCAAGGCTTAAACTGGTTTCAGCTTTGCAAAGATCCATATTTTATAAAGACGTGCTTCTATTTGTCTCAACTCTCCTTGTACCTCGACCCCTTCCTGCCTTGCTTGTCTACGTAACTACCCAAAACCCTCAAGTCTACGCAGTACCTTTTCAGTTCCTCCAATGCCTGCTTGGCATTATCGGTCTCGGCATGTCCTTCAAACTCAACAAAGAAGATATAATTCCACTTAACTACTCGAGTGGGCCTACTCACGATGGAGGTGAGATTAAGATCGAAATCCTTGAAAACCCTCAAGGAATCGCAAAGTGCACCTGGCAACTTATGGTCGATCGTGAATGATAACAGGGATTTATCTTTCTTTTTCCCACCCCCCTCCTCCACCGTCCATTCACCTGTGCTCACACCTGATCGCTTAGTGGCCGACAACACAAAGAAGCGTGTAGTATTATCGTGGGAATCCTCGATGTTCTCGGCAAGTATCTTGAGCCCCTTCACATCACTAGCAATCTTACTGGCTATCGCACCAGCGTCCTCAAAGCCCGCAGCGATCTGAGCGGCTTTTGAGGTGGAAGAAACGTCCACTCTCTCTACACCTTTCAGGTTTGCGTTCAGCCAAGTCTCACATTGGCCGAATGCCTGAGGATGCGAGTAAATCTTTGTTATTGACTTGAGGTCCTTGGCAGGGGAGAGAAGGCAGTGGTGTACATCCAGATAAGCCTCTCCACATACGCGCGTAGAACGGTATTGCGAGGAGCGGTCGCAGAAAAGGTCGAGTGTAAAGACTACGGAGCCATTGGTGGAGTTCTCGAAGGGAACCACGCCATAGGTGACCGTGCGGTCCTCGACGGCGACGAATATGTCTACGAGTAGTTAGAGCTGTATGGTGGCTTGGGTGGTATAGTTGGGTACCTTCGATTGTGGTCTTGGGCTCAAAGACGTGGGTATTTGGGTCAAAACATTCAATCGCTGCCTACGAGATTTATTAGGGTTTGTGATATATGAGGATGGTTGGTTAGGCGTACCTGATGAGAGTAGGATGTTCGTGGCCTAGATATGCCACTGAAGGCAACGGGTTAGTTCCTGATGCCATCTTGACCGCTCGCTGCTTGTATTTGGAAGATGTTGAAGAGCTCAAGTACCGTCTCTGGATAGAGTAACTGATTTATTACAAAAGTGGAGTAGAGTGAACTAGGCAATGGTTGGCTTTCATTGACGGAATACATAAGTCTGAGCCTTGCAACAACCTGTGCGAAGTGCATTTTGGTTTTGATTGTGCTTTTCATACATTTTATATCCATTCGTGACCCTACGGACTCTGGATACACGTGCCTAATGTCTAAGAGGGCAATGGCTCTATTGTTGCTCTTTGAAGATATTTATTGTTCTCTGCGGAGTTTGTGTGCGGGGGAGGGGTCCCACAGAGCCTCCTTCACTGACTCATTCACGGAAAGAGTTCCTGTTCTTAGTTCTCTGAGAAGATCGACCGTTTACCTCACATAAAAACATGCATACTCGCGTCTAGAATAAAAAACCAGAACATGCAAATGCCTAGTTTGTATGGCAGCTCAGCGCCACTCCATACAAATAATCCCTGCTTTCTCACTTGCACGTTCTGGTTCTTTTCCCTGACGCGGGTACATGTATCCCTCTTCCCGTTTACCCCTCCGTTGGCACCATCACTGTTGAAAAATAAGAACCCCTGTCGTGCATAAATCTTTGTAGAGAAAATTCCCGCCGTTCCCCGCTACAGGAGGTTGGCCTGCGAATAGAAGGGGAAAAAATTAAAAACCACACTTGATTACTTACCCAACGAGTCCAAGTTACCTAAATTTACATCATTCTTGGACCGGGCAGCCATAGTCTCCTTTCCTCCTCGCTTCCTACCATTCCCCTCTCTTCCTCCTCCATCTCTCCTACCACATCACAATATCTTGATCTCTGCTGGTTAGTTAAGACCACATTGCATATTGGGTTTTCCTTCCACTTCCTTCCCTTCTTCCCTTTCCTTTTTTTCTTTCCTTTTTTGTGAAACAGTCTTTTGACAGCATTTTGGGGTGGAGCAGATTTGTTGAGAATACAAAGCAGCAAAGATGTCGCAAACACAGCCAAGTGAGGTGGAAAAAAACATCGAGATATGGAAGGTGGGATTTCTCTCTCATGTATAATCTAAGCCTATGTAGTCTTGCTACATAGGCTGCTGAGTTTGGTGAATTTTTGGAGGCGCGTGGAGGCTGACAAGCTTTTTTTTCTCTACGTCTTGTGTAAATAGGTCAAGAAGCTCATTAAGCGTCTCACCGAGGCGCGGGGCAATGGGACTAGTATGATCTCGCTGATTATCCCACCTAAAGACCAAATCTCCCGAGCAGCAAAGATGTTGGCCGAAGAATTCGTTAGTGCTCTCCTCTATTATACTGGAGTCGTCGTATGACGCATGAAATATATTGACAATATGGAAGGGTACCGCCTCCAACATCAAATCGCGCGTCAACCGTCTCTCTGTTCTATCTGCGATTACCTCTACTCAGCAACGTCTTAAGCTCTATCCTCGTGTTCCACCCAATGGTCTCGTTGTCTATTGTGGTGAAATCATTACCAGCGAAGGCAAGGAGCGTAAGATTAACATTGATTTCGAGCCTTTCAAGCCTATCAACACCTCACTCTACTTGTGTGATAACAAATTCCACACCGAGGCGCTTTCTGAGCTCCTTGAATCGGACAACAAGTTTGGGTTCATCATTATGGATGGTAATGGTGCACTTTTTGGCACTCTCAGCGGCAATACCAGAGAGGTTGTTCATAAGTTTTCAGTTGACCTGCCCAAGAAGCACGGTCGTGGTGGTCAATCCGCATTGCGTTTCGCCCGTCTTCGAGAAGAAAAGCGCCACAACTATGTTCGCAAGGTTGCCGAATTGGCAGTACAGAATTTCATTACTGCGGACAAGGTCAACGTTTCCGGGCTTATCTTGGCTGGTTCAGCCGACTTCAAGACTGAGCTGGCTCAGAGTGACATGTTCGATCAGCGTCTTCAGGTCAAGATCATCAAAGTTGTCGACGTGTCCTATGGCGGTGAGCATGGGTTCAATCAAGCTATCGAGCTGTCTGCCGAGACTCTCGGTAACGTAAAATTCGTCCAGGAAAAGAAATTGATCGGCAACTACTTCCAGGAGATTTCGCAGGACACCGGAAAAGTCTGTTATGGTATCGAAGATACCTTGAAAGCCATGGAACTCGGTGCTGCTGAGAGTATGCTCCCTTTCGACCATATGACTTTTATTCTGTATTCTAATACGGTGTAGCTCTGGTTGTTTTTGAGAATCTTGATGTAACTCGCTGGACCCTTAAGACCTCAACCGGAGAGGAAATTATCCTTAACACCACCAAGCAGCAGGAGGTGGACCGGGAGAAGTTCATGGACAAAGAATCGGGCCAGGAAATGGAGGTCATTGAGTCCATCCCCTTCCTTGAGTGGTTGGCCGAAAAATACAAGGATTTTGGTGCCACTCTCGAGTTCGTATCAGACCGCTCTGGAGAGGGCAATCAATTTGTCAAAGGCTTTGGTGGGATCGGTGCATTCCTTAGATACAAAGTCAACTTTGAGCAGCTCGCCGAGGCTGATGATGAGGATGAATACTATGATGATTGATGGTGGGGACACCTCGCGGTTTATAGCGAGGACGTCATTCCAGACATAGGTTCTGAGGGCGTCCTTAGGATGGCGGCAGCGCTTGCGCGGTGTTCGTCACTCCTAGTGGGGAGAGGGTTCAGTTGTGGTGGAGCCGAAAAATGGTGTTAGTTGTTGGGATGGTATGTTACTTGAAATCCGTCGATCTTGAAATGGTACGATGCGATTAACAAAAAATGCAGATTAGTTGAACCCGAAGTCATGGAGAAAGGTAAAAGACAGTCGCTACCACAAATCATTGAGGCTGGCACTGGGAATGCGGGTGGGTGGATAGGCGTTCAATCATATTTTCTTTGGCTTTTGGATCTGGGAGATGGCTGGCTGGGCTTAGGGAAAAAAACGTTTTATCTAGGAAATCAATTTCGTTGCATTGAAAATCTCACCAATGTTCTACATCTTTTACTAGAATGTTCTGCACTGTGAATTTTTATTTTTAGAGGTTGGTTCATGTGATATCACTCGTAGAGCTTTTTCGATAGATCCGGGCGGGTGGTTTGGTTACTTTATGCAGCTGGCTCGATTAGAGTAGAAAAAAGCTGGCGTGCTTCTAAATGTAGATTGAGAGTGTGCTGGGTGGAAGACCTGGATATATATGTACCTCCATGGCATACTTGCTGTGAGAATAAGCTTCCACTACAGCTTTTCATATAGATTCTATCTCTATCAGAAGTTTGAGAATGTGCAGATCTTTATGGCAAAGATAGTTTTTCAAGTCTAAGACTTATAAATGGAAATTAGGCATTGTACTCATTGTGGGATTCATTTACGCTAAATATACTCCATTTGATAACTAGCTGCCCAAATCGACCTATTCCCTCTCGATAACTGCAGGGGCCTTGATCTCTTTGCCCGCGAAACGCTCTAGCCCCTCACCAGCCTATTCGGTCAGATTAGTATAAGGATCCATTAACAAAGTCATTCGGAAAAGACTTACATATGACACCAAAGGAGAAACCTCAATGCCAGTAACATCTTCATTTGTCTCGCTTATCACAGTCGCCCCGGCAGCTTCCATCCACTTCTTTCCTTGCCTGAGAACGTCCCTCTTACTGGTGTCTGGGTCATCCTCTCCAGTTCCCCTGGCGTTCTTGAGGGGCGAAAATTCATCCTCACGCTTCACTTCAAGACAGGCAAAACGAGACAGTGGAATCCTTGGAAAGATATCAAATACAAACTGTTCAAGTTTGATGCCGTTTGGCTTTTCAGGCTTAAACTGCTCTCCAGTTGTAGTGTCACAATAAGGAATCTTCTTCCTTGCGATATGATGAGGCAGACTATGTACCCACTCAGGAATAGTCTCCAAAAAGCGGGTTGAGTAGTAATGGTTGACAATATTCGCAGCTCGGAATTTAAGGATGCTCTTGTTCTTCTCGTCGAGGGCTTCTGCAGTCTCGGAATCGATCTCGGAATATTCAACAACATCGGGCTTTCCGTTTTTCAGGATTATGAGACCCACAGACTCGGTAGCGTTTCGTTTACGGACCACCTTAGTTGCAAGGTCGACATCTTTTGATGCGGAGAATCCTATGAATACTGGATCGCACACCTTGACGAGACTGTTGTCGACACAGTATGCGTGGACATGCTCAATAGACCTTGCACGAAGGTCGGTAAGGACGGATGAAGTGATAAGGGCCTGGTAGATCCCACCGTTGCCATCAGGAGCGACAGCAACCTTTGATTTTGATTCGAGGATGATTTTACCCTCATTCGAAATGCAGGGTAGGACACCCTGCTCAAAGAAGACGACATTCTCTTTCTCAAGCCCAAAGAAATCATTTTCTTGGAAGAATTTCTCTGTAGGGCCACGAGTGGGTCCTGATGTCATGATGTACCAAGGCACAACAGCCTTGTCCTTGCCAGCTTTCTTTGCGCCAAGGGTTTGTACACGAAGAATACGCTCGGCCTGAAGCTGGAAAAGGGATTTCTTTGAGGGTAGGCCAACATCGAAGCAACCCTTAGGGGCACTGGAGCCGAGACGGGTTCCCTGGCCACCTACACCAATGCGTCAATGATACTTAACATAAAATAAAGCATTTATATAAGAAGCTTACCAGCCATGAGGACTACGGCCACCTTGTTGTTACCAATCAACTCGAGACCATGTTCATTCCATGACTCGATATCAGGTAAGGCGCTATCGAGGATGGAAGCTGTTGCGGATTCAGGAAGGGGCTCGACAACCGGAGTCTCAGCTGGTGGAGGGGGAGAGAGTGCTTCTTTGGTAATGATCTATCAATGTCATAACTGATTAGCATCCTAGTTATGGTGCTCAAAAAGCTATTCAATAGTTTGTTTTTCTTTTCTTTTTTTTTTTAAAAAAATAGATAGTATAACTAACTCAAACATAATTATAGCTGATGGATGGACGGTAACTTACAGAAATCCTCTTGGGGTCCATCTTTGACAACTGCTGGAAAAGGGCAGCCTTCTCAGTGACAGTCAAGTCATCGAAAAATGCAAAAACGTGCTCTTGGCCGACTTCTGCAAACTTTTGCTTCAATTCATTGACAGCCTCTGGAGAAGGAGCTCTAATATCAGAATCTCCGCCGAGGGAGAGCTTGTTGAGGGCACTTTCAAGACCGGACTTGATTGCGGCTGCCATAATTGTATTATAGATAATGATGTATATGTGTGTATATCAGCTGGATTGGCTTAAGGAATGGATGGTGTTTCGTGTGTAGTATCACTTGATGAGGCAGTAGCAGGGGAGTAGTAACAGAGATGGATGGGAAAGGAGTAACAAGAACGAGGACAAAGCAAGATGTATTTATTTAAAGACTGAGAGATAAGCTAAGCTACAAGCAAGGAAAACCATACAACTAAACCCCGCAGAGCTTCGTGGCTCTTGGAGAAAGTATGTATGGGAGGGGGCGGGGCCCTGCGGTGTGCATATCTGTTTTTGGAAGCTTGTAGTCAGTCAATTGAGTGAGGAGCCAGTGCGGGACGGGGAACCCCACCACGGGCTGGTCGTTGGTGGGATATGATGGTCGGAGACCCACGCATAGGATATCCTTGCAGGGGAAAGAGACTTTTTTTTGCGTGCCGAATGTGATAGAGTTGCAAGCCCAATCCTCGAGTAGAGTATCGGTGCATAGATACTCTGGCACATACACCCTACATGTAGTTACTCTAATTTGCTCTGGAATACCAACATACATAGATGTGTACCTGTGCTTTTCAATTGAGGCTTCTGGTGGCAAAGCTGAGGTCAGAAAAGTTGTAAAACATTCCATTGATCTATCCAGGTGCTACACGCATGTAGAGTTGACCTATGCCATAGGCTATGCCTGCATGCAGTAATTGTACCTAGAATCAATTTATATGATTTAAAAAAAAAGCATGTAGAGTTGACCGAGCTGCTTCCACCTAGACACGACATAGATCAGCCCTAGACACTAGGATTTGGACCCTGGTAATGCACAGCTTCCATAGAATTACCCGGCCTCGGTGCCACACAGTGAGTGGCGCTTGACGTTTAAGCCACACTCACTTTGATTTCCAGGCCCTTGGTACACTTCTAGTAACTCAGGTTGGGAATCCGGGGAAGCTATATGTCCGAAATTTCATTGATTCTCTGTCATAAGTCGGACTCTCGAAAATTTAAGCTTTTCTGCTATTTCCTTCTTACTGTCCTTCTTACACTTCGGCAATAATTAGGTAAGTAGACACGTGTGCTGAAGGGAAGGGGAGACTGAGCTCCTGGAAGTTGTTTACCTCATTTTTCCATGTACATATCGTAACTCTGTTACCAGCTATCAACATCTCGCAATAGCTATCTTCTATTTGAACTATCTTGCCTAAACAAATAGACCTTAAACATGTTCGGCATGAACGGCTCTGGGGGAATGCCCTCGCGGGGAGGGCCGCCGGTGGATCCCTTGGACTCTGGTAGGTAGCTCTCCACAACCCCTCCAACCATTGTCACCACACTCTATTTCTGACAGCTATCGTAGGCGACTACGATCCCATTCACCACCTTAATACGCTCTTCCCCCACCCTGGAACGCTCCAGAGCGTTCCAGCAACTTCACAGGCACTCCACAACCACCTTGAATCTCTCGATACAGAGATTTCACAGCTTGTCATAACACAATCTACCACGAATGCAGACTCACTTTCACAGATCGATGCCGCAAAGGCGGAGCTCGCAGAGCTACTAGAGAATATAGATACGGTTCGGGAGAGAGCTGTCAGGACAGAGGATGCAATCGCAGCAATGACAGCAGATATTAAGAAGTTGGATTCCACGAAGAAAAATCTGACATTATCTATGACGGTGTTGAAAAGATTGCAGATGTTGAGTACGTTTTCTAAAGTGGGGGGGGGGGGGGGTTGTCATAAATGCTTTATTGACTTAGGCTTTAGCTACTGCTTATGAACAGCTCAAAACTCAATCCAAAAATCGTCAATACCGCGAATGCGCATCCCTTATGTCCGCAGTTCTCGAACTTATGGCCCACTTTAAGTCGTTTCGCTCTATAGACCAAATTGCTACACTCTCACGCAATGTTGCAGATCTCAAGGCAGAGCTTTTAGAGCAGGTCTGCGAGGATTTCGAGATGGTGTTTGTGAAGCAAGAAGTCGCAATTAGGAAAGGAATGTTGGCGGAGGCCTGTAACGTCATGGATGCACTTGGGGATGGCGCTCGAGGGCGTTTGGTAACATGGTACTGTAACACGCAATTAAGAGAGTACCGCCAAGTGTTTAGAGGCAATGATGAGGCTGGCTCATTAGATAATATTGCCAGGAGATATGCATGGTTGAAGCGAATTCTGAAGGTTTATGACGAAGAGCATCTCGGAATATTCCCACCAAGTTGGAAGGTTAATGAGGTTTTGGCAAAGATATTTTGTGAGGGAACAAAGGACGATTACAAGGGAATTTTAACGAGAGCAATGAGGAGGGAGGGCGGAAAGACTTTAGACGTAAACTTATTGCTTAAGTGTTTACAAGAGACACTAGAGTTTGAGAACTTTCTTGAAGGAAGGTTTAGCAATGATGTGAGTGTGATCTCATCCAACATAGAAAACGGAATCACTGATATTTGACAGAGAGCCTCCATAGATACTATGAGTTCTCGAGACGAAAGACCATTGATATTTGGTAAAGCAATATCAGAGGCCTTTGAGCCCTACCTCTCTCTTTGGGTGGATGCACAAGACAAGTATACTAACTCCACCGTAATCTTAGGCTCTAGCTAACCCTAACTAGGCAACTATCCAATATGATACCTTCATATCGTGCTGCTCCTCTTCGTCCACCCGATGAAGACGTCACTGTGCTTCCATCATCTATTGAGCTTTTCCATTTCTATCGCATAACCCTCGCCCAATGCGCTAAACTCTCCACGGGTTCCAAACTTCTTGACCTCTCGAAAACCTTCGCAAAATATCTTGATGAATACGCTGAGGTTGTTCTCCTTCACTATTTCTCGCCCGATAAAGCAATGTCCTTAGCAGCAGAGGATGTAGTTGTTGTATTGAACACCGCCGATTATTGTCATGTTACTACCTCACAGCTACAAGAAAAGGTGAAATCTCGCGTCGATCCAGATGTTGTAGATAAGGTCGACTTTGAACGCCAGTCAGATGCGTTCCTTGGTGTTGTGAGTGCGGCAATCCGGCTTCTCGTTCGTAAGGTCGAGATTGCAGCGGAACCTGCATGGCGCGAGATGCGAAATGCACCCTGGAGTCGTCTGGACGCAGTCGGCGATCAGAGTGGCTATGTCGGTGTCCTTATTACGGCTGTCAAATCTACTGTCGGTGAGATTTTAGGTTTGGTTGGGAAAGAAGCGTATCAGCGTGCTTTCTGCGATAAAGTCGTCGAGGCCATGGCATCTGCATTCTTGGCAAGTTTGGTGGGGTGTAGGCCCATCGGAGGGGTAGGCGCTGAACAAATGCTCCTTGACGCCTATGTTCTCAAAAAAGGATTTGAAGAACTCCTCACGCTCCGCGCAGAAGCCGGAACAACACCCCCAGTTAGTTACGTAAAATTCGTAAATAGGACACTCACCAAGGTCGATACACTTCTTAAAACTCTTCAAGTACAGAGTAGCCCAGCTGAGGGCCTCGTACAAGCATATCTCATCCATATATCCGACCGCTCAGATACCAACTTCCGCAAGGTACTTGACCTTAAAGGAATTCGCAGGCCTGATCAATCTAGCTTTGTTGAGTTGTTTCGTGCACATATGGTAACACACGACAATCTCGTCGAGTCAAATCCCTTCCTGACAGCCCTTGTCGTGCCATCTGGCAATATTGGCTCCACCCCAGGCGGAGGTAGTAACAACATTGGTGGTCTTGGGATCGCTGGTGTCGGTAGTAGTGGACTCCCAGGCGCTGGTGTGCTCGTGCCGCCGAGGTTTGACCCAAGCGGGCTGGGGAGCGCAATTATGAATGCAGCAAGAGATGGCGTCGACAGGTTACAAACACAGACCCCCGGCGAAACCGATGGAGAAGAGGGTTTGGAGGGGAATTTAAGGACATTGGGGAGATTGTTTAGGAGGGATGGAAGTGGAATAGGTATTAGAGGACGATTTGGAAGGGAAGGAGGATAGTGAGTGTGATGAGTTTTAGGGACAATTATTGTATAGTACTCTGTAGTTATTGCGGTAAATTTTGTGGTCTTAATATAAAAACCGAAAACCATTTATTTGATGATGACTATACACTGCACACACTCTGACATTTGTATCTCATCACAGATATACCTACATGTAATTACATAAGTTAAAGTCTGTTCGAAGAGACTACATGTACATGTATGTAACGGTATGCACTTACATATAACAAAGACTTAATACTTCTTCTAGACAGCATATATTATCCACAAATTATCACTAGATGTATTGCAAGAAGCCTTTACAACTTAGCATCTGCTTCTACAGGGTTTTAGAACTATATGTATGTACCAAGACCTATGGCTGCGATATATGACCAAGATAGATTGATGAGTGAGTAAAATTAGCTTCATCTTTCTCAAGCTCTATCGTGATTAGAGTTCGCCTCTTATGAATGTGCTTACGTGGTCTTGCTTCACGGCTCCTCACTCGGGTTAATTTTCCGATTTAGCTGCAATATATAATTACTAGCGCTAGTTTCATAACCGAGACCACACCATAGGTTACATGTACATTATAGACACATTTAAATACTAGGATAAATAAACGGAGGCGCCCATATTCGAGCCTATCGCCATAGGCTTAAGCTTTAATTTGTATTTTTAAAATCTGCTGGGACTATCGTCCTAATATATATTCTGGAAACCCCCCTGATCGCTGTTGTGCAACGTGACATTCTGGTTGTCGACACCTTTCTTCCAGAGCCTCACAGCTCTAAACAACATTTACAACAATATCTCCACGAGTTTCCACCATGAGAGAACGCATTACCTTCATAGTTTCCCACCCTTCCCACACTCACCCCGACAACTTCGAGCTCAAGAGAAATAGTCTAACAATAAAGGCTCTTCCCCAAAGCGCTCGAGAGGACCGCCTTACCTTCGACATCCGTTCTCTGCCAAAGCCGATACAACAGCTCCTTAAGGATATTAAAGAAGCTCACTTGCGATGGTCCTCAGGAAGATTTTATCAAGCAGTCGCGCCGTATAGCTCTAGGGTCTCGGCAGGACTACATATATTGACTAAGCCTGGGTGGATTGATGCCACCACACTTTTTTCAGGAGAGAAGTCGAAGGAGTAAGTTATCCCTCATAGTGTTGCTGTTAAGATATTAATAAATAGAGTATAAAGTTCAATCTTCGATGACTCTTTTCTTTCCGCTGCTTTCGATCTTCACCACTTCCCCAAAGAGAGGCTTGCGGCTGGTATTTTCGGAATAGGTCAATGGCCCAAAACCTTCTACTCGCCTGTCGAGTCTATTGCACCTTTTCGAGCATTTTTGCAGAAGCTGTTGATGTGGCATCATGGGATATTGAACAAAGACAGTATCCATTGGATGGAGCGATTAGAGAAGCTTGATGATGCAGATTATATAGATCTGAAATACGATGCTATTTCGCAGAAATTCGAAGCGAGTATCTTCTGGGGCCCAGGAGAAAAAGTGTGGAGTGAGACGCTTGAAGGAAACGGCGATGTAGAGATTGGAGTTATGGGTGTTGAGAAAGGTATTGAAGAAGACGAGTTGAAGTTGGCGGGATTTATTTATGAAATTGGAGAGAGTAAAGATTTCGGTGCGTTACCTTGGGCTTATAGCTCTGTTCTAGCTCCTTTTCCCTTTTCTACCGTGGCTGATAAGTTATCTCCTAGAACCAACATTGTTCTCATTCCCTTCCCGCCACCATACACACCCTTCTACCTTCACCCTCACCATCCCGCAGCCCACTGGTCTTCATCCTCGTATCCATATTTCTCTCCCAGGCGCCCTACAACCACCTCAAGAAGAGTGCACTCTCAATGCCCACTTTAACATCCCTTCTGCACTCTTCGTCGATGTCTACCAGCTCGGCCCCTCCAACACAAACCTCCTCAATACTCTTAATATCAAGCGGGTTCGTGATGTGAGTGGTAATACAGACCTCGAAAAACCAGACTACAGCTCTCAGCAATGGGGAAGTCGGGTCTTGATTGAGATTGATACCGAAAGTAAGGGCGTAGGCCCACTAAAAGTGGAACTGCCACTTCATCTTAGATATCTTAACCCACGCGAGAATTCTTCCTCAGCGGAAGTAGTCTTTGCATGGCCAACAGTTTTCTGGGCATGTAAGAGTGACAACTGGGTCAAGATGGGGAATAACCCATTCGATCGCACGAACCTGGGATGGGAGGATTTGTTCCCCGAGCAGGTGATGTACTATCATCTCTCACCTACTCCTGCTCCAGTGGGTGCAGATAGTGGTATGGTAGGCGTAAAGGGTGGTGAAGGGAAGGAGGGTACTTGGGGAAGAATTCAAGTCCCGGTATTGGATAAGGGATGGGGTAACAGTGAGACTATAAAGACCTGGACAGCAGTGATTGTTGTCCTCGGGTTTTTGTGGGTCTTTATCAGGATTGCTGTCGCAAAGATTGGGAAGGGAATGGATGAAATTGGGTTTGGGACGGGAGGAAGAGAAGATGCAGTCGAGAAGAAGAAGAAATAGGCATAGGGAGGACGATGGTCTGGGACTTGAGTAATGACACTTATGAGTGCGTATGCATGTAGGTTATATAAATCTTAAAACACGGAATATAATAGTCTCAACTCTGTTAGGTGCTCTTTTGCGAGAATGCGTAAAGGGTGTATGATTATCATGATACAACGAGAAGCGCATTATTAGTATAGATCATCTCATCATACTACGCAATTAATCTGTTAGTCTCAGATTTTAGTATGATCCACGAGTGCACTCGAGCTAACCGGTCATAAGCAAAAGCTCTACTCAGTATACTTGTATGTATGCTAGTTACTGGGCGGGCAAGAGGCCGATAACCCCCTCCCCCATATCTAAACCCCTTTCTCGGGCCGGGGGTGCTGCCCAAAAGGGCAGATACAGGTTATGTGGCAATCATCGACTATGAATAACGACGAGCGGATAAATCATCAATCAATCAATATATAACGACGAGTGGGTTGCGTTGCATATATCGAGTGATAGTTCATGATGGCAAAATAGTTAATATCACTCGAGGAGGATACGTCTCGAGGTTGAGATAAGAATAATTCTACTTATAGAGAGACACATCCGTGTATAGAGTGGGTCACTATAAACAAATCCAAAATAGGTGGAAGAATCCAAAGTATACAGGACCGACTTTAAAAAAAATCGTTAATCATATAACAGAAGAAACCTTTTTAAAAGGAAATTGAATTATAAGGAAAAGAGGGTGCTGGACAATTCAGAAGGAGAATCTTATATTTTAACTGAGTTTGATAGGAAGATAATATTGGAATGAGAATACTGATGCCCATCTACGCCAGTATATCACTGAAGGTCCGATATACTCACAAGTGCAGGAGATACAAACTGCTGTATTTCAAATATAGATCTAGAAGGAGGCTACCATATGGTAAAGTATATATATATGTGTTGTTAACTGGTTTTGTTCAGAATTAATATTAGCCACTGGTTTTTTTCTCTGGTTTAAAGTTCAGCACCGGCACCAAGTCCGACGGGACTAAGCGCACACTGGAAAGCTTAAAATTCACCAGGTCATAGGCGCCAAGCTGTGTTTTCATCCCTGAGGTTTTGGCAAGCTCAGCAATGTACTTGCTCATGTTGTTATTTACTAAGAGCTTGGTGATACTGAAGTGTCTGCCTCCGGCGGTGGCTTGCAGGGCCATGAGGCTACTATGCTCTTCTGTAGCGGCATTTATGTTGGCCTTACTATCGACATTATCTAACACGAGCCTTACGATGTCTACATGCCCGCCTCAAGCCTCAGCAGTCATTTGCAGGGTAGCATTTGCATCTAGCAAAATATTGATGATGTCAATGTACCGCTCTTCTACCACCGCCGCCTAACGCAGCAATACAAACTCCAAGCTTTAGCACTCGCGAGCTAGAGCTGACAAAAATAAGTCACCTATTACACCAATTCAAGGTACCTGCATACTCGGGGTACGAGGCCACACTATCCGAATATTACCTGGAGCACAGCACGTGTGTATACTGCTTTCGTTGGTTGTCAAACAATGCAAACTTCTGAGTGGCTACTTCTGACGTTGCGAGAAGCTATATATAGCTACCTGGACACACAGAGTACGAGCTAATGTTTTACGGCGTATTTCTGGGTTTTTTCTTTCTTTTCGGGGCGCAGTGCACTCCATACTCTATATGGGCTCCTCGGAGGTTGGGGGCTTCACAACCGAAATGGTAAATGGAAGAAATAGGTGATTTTACGCCCTGCCCCACGTGTTATTTGTAGCTATGCTGCACATGATATCACTCGGTGACTTATTCTGTCTCCAGATTTTTAATTCATTAATTGCATTTCTGTCTCCAGATGTTTATTTCACAATAACTATCGAATCGCAGTTTATGATGATAGTCTTGGTTTTCGGCTACCGTTGTGGAAGCACAGCCCTTAGGAGCTAAATTAGACATCTCCCTAAATAGTAGGAGAGTATCAATATCACCAAATGTTTTTTTTTGTTTAATTCATTAATTGCATGCAACCTTACAATTATGGCAATATATCACCAAATGTTGAATCAGAACCGATAAACTGTTTTGGTCATACCAAGTTGGTAACACTGGAAGTGAACAGAAGAATAACGTCAGAATGAGCAGGATCACGATACGTCACTCAATGTCTCGGATCATAGAGGAACACTCAAGACCACCAAATTGCCTCTATAAGATTCATCATAAGGGCCATGACCCCTCCATGCTAGTAATTCATATAATTCCTTCCTCACGATGCCTTATGTACTCGCATCGAACTCATGCTACCACACCAGCCAATAGAGAAACAGAAAGAAAACGCCATCCCAATATAAAAAAAAAGAGAAATACTGTAAGTACAAGTAACGGTCCGTATCTTAAGCGATTGTAACCTAGGAAACCTAACTAGAGAACGAATATCGAAGATAAAGCTCTAGCTTGAAGAGAAAAAGTCCCTTTGAAACGAATGAATCTCTTCTCTATCACTTTACGCACCTTTTAATATCTACTGATACTATCGGAAAACTGTTCTAGAACCTAGCGACCAGCATGGATTCCCATATGCGCTAGACAAACTAAAACTCTTCCACAAATAAACTAAACCACAGAATTATTAGCTTCCCTTCAAATAAAAAGACCAGGTTTAGATCCAAAGTCTCCCCCTTGTGCCCACCACGGCCACCGTTTCAGCATCATACCTCAAGCTCTCGAAGATAACCGGATTTTCCACCCAATGATTTAAGAAGCCACCCTGTAACACACGTCTCAAGAACTGCAGTCTATGCAATTTCCACCATCGATCTACTCTCAGTACACCTTTGCTATGTACTCGCACTGTCATGCGAGATCCACGGACACGGTCGTTCTTGTCGAGTGCCTCGCTATAACGTGGTCCCTTCAGTGGATTCTCAACGGAATGGAGAATGTCCGCAAAGGCAGAGTGTTGTGTTTTTTTGTTTCTCTTTGAAAGGTGTTTCTTGGATCCTGAAGATAATCTTTGCAGACTCTCGAGGAGGTTGTCATGGCGTGGGTATGGGACATATCTCTGGATAAATTTCTTATGTTCGTTGGGGTCGTCAAGTTCATCCTCTTCGGCCAAAGTGTAGCTCTTCTCATATAACAAGGCAATATTCTCGCCGGCGGCAATCTGCACCGATATTTCACTTGAATCGAGTTGGTCCACTAAAGCATCAATAGATGAGCTAGTTATTGCCTCGGCGTCTTCAAGTTGGGTACATAAGCTCCCCCATTCCTCGAGCGCCGCAGTTACGACGCCTTCGTCGTCCCCAGCGCCAACACTGTGGCCATCAGACTCGATTATCTCAAGGAGGAAATTCATTATTTCTTCGGTCTCCGAGAGAGCGGCCCCACCGTAGAAGGTTGTTGCGCCAAGAGTATGAATCAAGAGAGATTTGAGAGGAAGGGAGGCGTTGTCCGTTATTTGTCTGCATAAAGTGGTTTGAAGTTTGTGAAAAAGATCTTCGGTTGGGTCGGTGATTATTGTAATCGCAAGAGCTAAGAATGTTTATTAGCGGATTCCTTTAGATGTTTTGGTAGTTTATATTGGTTGAAACCAACCTTTTGCAGCCAAAATCCCCTCCTTTTCTGTTCGCCCGTTCTTGATACTCCTCACCATGGAGTCGATAAGGTCGGTCTTCTTAGAGTAAATCTCCTCCTTCGCATACTTTGCCGACAAAATCCGGATATAAGCAGCGAACGCTTCCTCTCTGCCTGCAAAGCTACTCTTTTTTCTCTCTGTAATCTCCATCATCCGGTCACCTAGCTCCTCCTGCCAGCCTTTTGAGGTTTCATCGTCGTCATCGAGGGTGGCAAGTTCGTCGACAGATCCGAGACTGGGAACGAAGTTCTTCGAGTTAGGATAATTCTTTTTGGAATTTTTTCTTTTGCGATTGTAAGTAATCTAGACTGAAGTTAAGACATATCATACCTGAAATTTGTTTCGTCACTTAGGTCGCCACCTTCATCATCGGTTCCAGCTCTAGAGGCGGCCCGAGAGCCCGCGCGAGAGGTTGTGCGTGAATTTGCACGAGAAGAGGCGGCCGACGAGGCGCGAGACTGAGCTTTTCGAGATACCGTTTTACCACTACCGAGGGCCTTTCGACGGAGATCAGACATGTTTATTGAGGTAGCTTTATTTCCTTGTTCAGTTCTTCAGCTGGTATCCTTTAAACGAGTTTGGTACCAAATTCAAGTGAGTAATATGAGAGGGTGAAATGTCGTCACAAGTGGGGTTATCGATAGCTATATAGACGAAGTTTTGGTGTTGACTGGGAAAGTACTTTTACAGCAAGAAAATGGAAGAAAGGTTTCTGTGTGTAGTGGGTTTACGAAGGAGGAGGGAGGGGTGGAGAAAAAGCAAGTGACTAGAGAGGAAGATAATCAGGTGTTTTGAGTCATGAAGGGGTGGAAAATCTAGGGCGATCAAAGAGGTACGAATGATGTAAACTGGGCTTGATTATGGTCAGAGGAACATCTAATACATGTGTGTACGTAAAGTGCATCACATATTGGCTGTCCGGGGCACTGCCAGACTGAAAGCCAGTCCCAGCGGGGAAACAGCTTTTAGCAGTTAGGGCTACCATATCTTGCTCTAAGCATGTGAAATCCAGAAAACAAGACAGGACCGTACCTACATGCTTACTGTGGTTCTTCAATCTCAAGGCAGGTCTTTACTCCGGCGCGTGGGTTTCTTCGCCTGCGTCATCTCTCCATTCTGTGCATCTGAACTTATGCAGCATTCCAACCCTAATCCCAGCATTGAGATTAGGCGTAAATCCCTAAGCTGTGACTGGTTGTACTAGGAATACTCGATCAGTGGAGTATTCTGCCCGTGGTACCGAAAGTCTATGGATCACGTGAACCTAAAGCTCGTATGTAGTTAGTTAACGTTGTATGATAGCTACCCGCCCTGCAGTGGCGCTCACTCGCTTAGCCACCCAGCCCAGCAGCCGGTGATACCCGATTGCAAAGCTGTACGATAACAAAGATTCACGGGACATCACTCGGAAGGCAATATCATGATGCTTATCTTATCTGGAGTGGGCATGTAGGTACATGTATGTACATGTATAAACAGCTGCCACTTCCGAATCATATTCTTCTGAGGGGATCAAGCCCCCACAGATCCCCTTTTACCCGCGCCAAAAACTGCAGCAATGCATATAAATATTTACAAGTTAGCTCTCGACTCCGTCATGCTCCGAGGGTCCAAGTACTCGAGCCTCACCGTACATATAACCATCGAACACCAGACTACCACAAGAGTTTAATCTCATCAACCCTTTTTTTTTGACCTTGATCTGTTTTTTGAAATGGCTACTTCCATCACCGTTGCTCGCGATATCAAGGCCACTGTATCTCGTAGTCCTCCAATTTCAGTGTCTACATCTCCCGCCACGACCTTCAGATCTCTCTCCTTTCACTCCTCGAATAGTTCATTCCCCAACCTGTCACACAATAGCTACTTCCCATATCATCAGCCTGTCGAGAAACAGCTGAAACCATTCGCTACAGAAGACATCAAAATCCTCCTGCTCGAAAACATAAATGAGTCTGCTCGTACGGTCCTCGAGAAAGAAGGCTATCAAGTTGAATTCTACAATCATGCTCTCACGGAAGATGAGTTGATTGATAAGCTTAAGTTTGTCCCACTCTTTTGGGTGTTGAAGCAACAACAAACGGTCTCAAATCGGGATATAAACACGCTAATACTTATCCAGAGATATTCACGTACTTGGAATCCGTTCTCATACTGCCCTTCCTCCATCTATACTTAAACGTGCCAACTTCCCAAATCTTTTGGCAATTGGCACGTTTTGTATCGGCACCCCAACCGCCTCACTCCTTCCTCTTGCACGCCTTGGAATACCTGTTTTCAACTCCCCGTTCTCCTCCTCCAGATCGGTTGCTGAGCTCACAATCGCCAACATTATCATTCTCGCGCGTCAACTCCTTGACAGAAATGCTGAACTCCATAACGGGCAGTGGAATAAAGTATCAACCCATTGCTGGGAAGTACGTGGGAAGACCCTCGGTATTGTGGGATATGGCCACATTGGTAGTCAGCTGAGTGTGCTGGCAGAGGCAATGGGTATGGTGGTGATCTTTTACGACACTATTCCAGTGATGGCTCTAGGAAAAGCAAAGCAGGTTGCAACACTCGATGAGTTGCTTATTAAAGCCGATTTCCTTACGCTACATGTTCCCGAGGCCCCAGAGACCAATGGGTTGATAGGCGCAGCACAGTTGGCCAAGATGAAGAGTGGCTCTTACATTCTCAACGCTTCTCGCGGAAGTGTTCTTGACATCCCGTCTTTGGTATCCGCTCTCCGTAGCAAACATCTCGGTGGTGCAGCATTAGATGTGTTTCCCGCTGAACCGGGAGTAAATGGGAATACCTTCGAGGGGTATGAAGAGCTTGCTGGGTTGCCGAACGTCGTTCTCACACCTCATATAGGAGGAGCCACAGAAGAAGCTCAGAGGTTCATTGGGAATGAGGTAGCGGAGGCCTTAGTAAGGTTTGTCAATAGTGGAAGCACTGTTGGTGCTGTCAATCTGCCAGAGGTTGCGCTGAGGGGAATGAAGGTTGGGGAAGAGGGTAGTGTAAGAGTAAGTAGCTTCCCTCATAAGGATTGCATTATGATCATGCTTATATTTGAATAGGTTATCTTCATTCATTGGAACCGTCCCGGTGTACTCAGACAGGTCAATGGAATATTGAAAGACCACAACGTGGATAAACAGATGAGTGATAGTAGGGGCGAAGTAGCATATCTGATGGCGGACATCAGCTGTGTGAAAGAGGAAGAGATCAAGTGTCTTTATGACAACCTGGAGAGTCTGACTTGTAAGTTGTCTTGCCCTTTTCCTTCTGGAGCTCCTGTACTGACTTGAAACCAGCCAAAATTATGACACGCCTGCTTTACTGAATTGGTTTGAAGAATGGAGTTCTGAGATTTGTGTGCAGAAAGGTCGAGGTTTTCTAATTAGAAAACAGAGTGGTCAGGAGAGAAGGAGCGGGATGTAGCAAGCTATTCCTTCCGCGTCCCCCCTCTCTTTTTTTTCTTTTTCTTTTCTAGCTCTTTAGGCGCTTGCAGGTTGTTTCAATTATTGCCTTGTTTTAATTTGGATATCAATTTCCCTTTCAACTATTGCCTGCTTTATTAATACTCACCTTCAACATGAACATGGTAGCAGAATGAAGAGCGACGTCACCGCTACACTTCATAGTAACATTATTTTAGTACGAGCTAATTATTTTTAGCACTAGGACAAGCTTATTCTCCGAGAGACCATCTTACAGGATCACTCGTTCTTGGCATCCCAAATCAAATATATAATCCGCAAACAAGCAAGCCAATCATAAAAAGACTATGGGTTAATATTTTCAAAGCCTGAAAGTGAAAATCAAATTACATTGACTATGGGTCTCCTTATACATCAAACTATTGCCTATAGCTAAAGAAGATATGTGTACGATCCTTGAGGGCCTTCCTCCTAGATACTGCGCCCTGCCTTGTCTCGTACCTATCCCGTACGAAAATCTTGCTGCCTTATGTAGACAGCTGTAACCAAGTTACTACCTTCATAGTGAATTATTGCCTGTAGCAGCACAGGTAGGTTAATTACCTACATGTACTATAATGCAGTTAATCCCTTCCGGCCTTTACGGCACAGCCCGAAGTCGATTGCCACCACGTTATTACTTCAAGATAGTCTTAGCACCCTAGGATTTGACCGGTCCACTGTACCACACAAGGCGGATTGCTGAATTGCACTGGATCACGACAGGTACATGCTCCTCAGCTAGGGCACAGGTGGCTTACTGATCATATAAACCTCTCTGATCCTTCACACGCCCAGCTTTGGTTAAAGTGGTCTACGTACGACTGGATTATGTTGATGCGCCCAATCAATCACATGGTGGTTGCATGGACCCCCACTCTATCTAGATGTGTGTTAGTTAGTACATGTATTTACCCCGGCCATTACATCATGGACCCTGTCAATGATTCGGCCCGGTAGGTACCCAGTCGGTGTATGTTTTAGTTTTAACGGCACGAAACGTTCAGCACCAGGATGAGCAGAACTTGTGGGCCGGAATGGCAGTAGCGGGACTGGCCGCAGCGGAATTTAAGATGACCTACATGGCCATTGTTTCCTTGCTATTTCCCGTCTGATCAAGGGAACCCACACTTAGAGTAAGTTAATTACTAGCTAAATACAGTACTATATTTCAACTACTATGATCTATGTAGATACCAAGATGGCGATAGGATCAACAACTGTTAGAGCTGCCACTTTCCTGATCCAAGCAACATTCATCGATATGTTTACCGCGTGCAGGGACACTGCATGTAGTGTCAGCAAAATAAAGCCTTGCCATTTCCTTCTTGCGTGATGCGGTAGGCGTAGGTACAAGGTTGTACAAAACCCCGCCTTGACATGCAGTGCGGGCCCTGGAAATGCATGTTTTGCTTTAACCTCCGTTGTTTAAATCATGTGGCGGGGCCAGATGTGCCGTGAAATCAGTTAGTGCAAATAGTGCTAGATGCGTGTACTTTCAGCTTCATGGAGTTCCGTAATTGCAAAGCCTATTGAGGTCTGTTTTAGCATATGTCTAAGTGCGTAGATATAGTCAGTATAGTACTGATACAAGTACTTCATAATAGACAGAGATGTCCATTGAGATTATTCCAGAGGGATTGTGGAAGCATTCTAGCTGGGATATAGCCCAATGCCTGCACAGAGCTAAGCTTGACAACATTCCGCACGTAAACGGCCACAAACCAAGCCTTCGAATTCTTGGTGCTAGAGAGAGATGGAGGGAGACAGAAGGAGAAAGAGACCTTTCCAATTGCACACATCTAGGCCATTTTGAAATTGTTTAATTATGATTACCGTCTGTCGTCCAAGAGGTTCCTCGTCAGCACCCAAGAGATTCTCAGGTCCGTGCCCCACGACTACGGTAGGAGTCGTCCGATTAGGCGTGGGCTACATGAGGTGTGCGTAACGCACGACATAGCTGTACTCTATTGTGTGTACCCAGTACCTAAAATACATGTACCCAGTAGGGTGTTGGGGCGTGTATATAAAGGACCGAATGCTTCCTCGTCCTCTCCCGAAACCCAAGCAAACCATCATCCATCAAAGCTAAGCTATCATCACTATCACTACAATCTCATCTACATATACCATCAGTCTTTTAAAACCTCAATCCCAAAACAAATACCTAGCAATGTCCTTCGCAATCTCCAGCAACGACGTCCGCATCGAGGAGCGTGACGGCCACACCTATCTCATTGCCAGTTCCAGAGATGAGGACGGTAACTACAACCACACAGAGTTGAACTTGGACGAGTGTCTCGGCAACAACGAAGGTTGGTGAATATCATATAGTCATTGGTAACATTGGGGAGGAAGTATAACTAAGCAACAAAAAACAGGTTCCTTCAACTGGAGCGGCGAAGGCTTCACCGGGTCGGCGGAGAACATCCACTTGTCCATCGAGGGCCCAGAGCAGCTCCCTATCCTCAGAGCCCATCTGAGGGATAGCGAGGGAAACACCCACGATAGGGACGTCAACCTTTCGGAGCGTATCGTCAACGACAACGGCTGCTTGGTCTTCCAGTAGAGTGTCTTCGAGGCTGTGGAGGATGGATACTTTGTCTGTACATGAAAGCACAGATAGATATTAATATCTACACAATTCGCTTTTCATCATCTATATGAAGCTCGTATCGGAGATAGTGATTCAATGTGATGATTTAATCGTGACAAATGTATAAGAAGTGACCATATTAACGATACATTCCCCCAAGGTCGAAGTGGCCCCATTGCACATGCAAATATCTTAAGCCATCTCTTTCCCCGCTCTATGGAGCTCTAAAGATGTGTAACTCGAACTTAGTTTCATGGTGGTGCAAAGCTAGTAAGAGGTTATGTAGGTGCCCGGTCCTGCAACTGCGGATCACGAGGTCTCACTCGGGCGACACAAAAAATATGACCATGTCGTACATAATTTGCAGATCTGGAGACAATAGCACCAATATTATGAAAAGAGACTACATGTATATACCATAGAGAAATACACTCTCCAAGCAGCCTTTGTCAAAAGAGGAAAGGAGCATCCCGTTGGATTCACCCCTACTTCCATAACCATTGGCCATACTTCGTCATTTATCGCTAACCATGTTCAAATACTGCAGTATCTCACAGCGCAGCAGATTACCCCTGGAGTACAATAAGAACCCACCATGGCCACTACAATTACCAAATCTAGGGCGCAACAAGTATGAAGTTTCCGGTTAATTAGTCGTGTTTCCGGCCCACCTACAAAAGATGACTGTTTATTAAAAGTTGGACCAATAGAGACAGAATGGGGCTCGTACTCCTCCTAGTCCAACAACATCGAGTGATATCGTGTGATTAAGATCAAGGTCAGGTGAATTCCATAACTATATAGACAACATGAAAGCTATGGATTCATAGAGTACATACTACAACTTTGATAGTTCGAGTAAAGACGCGAACATCAGCTTTATAACTATTTTTCGTAGCCTTGAATCTTCTGGTTTATCTTTCTTCTTGTCTAACGAACACTGTATGCAATAATCGATATCACGGTTTGGTTAGGCCCCTGGTAGTAATACCTCGGTCTGAGACGATTATAGATCCTGAGTTTACTACGATATTAAGAGATCGCTATTGTCGGTTCCATTCGTTGAAAAACAGGTTTTCATTATCATCATCATGGGCCCACGCACGCACTAGGAAGACCCAAACAAAAACCTCACGAACAAAAGGTATCTACAGCTCTACGGCCCTCCAATCCCATATAGCTTCCTATACTCTTCCCACAGCGCCTCCACCCCGCACCCGCTACACACCTCCTCCCACATGCCCACTTTATACTTCCCCTTCCCCAGCAGCCCATTCACCCTCGCCACTATCCCTTTCCCAAATCTCTGCTCTAACCACTCAAGAAAATAGGCCGTATTCTGATACCCATCATCCCAGCGCTTCCCTCCCCTGCGCCAGTGCGGCGGCGTAAACCCCGCCTGCAGCCTTACCCAGTCGGCGATCCCCTCGATCAGCCCGCCCGGACACGTGTTATGCGCATTATACTGGAAGCAGTGCACCATCTCGTGGCGGATCACGCCGAGGATCTCCGATGCCGCGATGGTGGGCGAGAGCGTGCTGAGGTACCTGAGCGAGACGTGGATCTCCTTATGATCGACGTCCAGGTCCGAGGATGTGGTATAGGCGATGCCGTCCATATCGCGCAGAACCAGGGTTACGGAGCGCTGGCTGTTTTGGGAGGAGGGGAACGGTTATTAATGGGTTCACTAATATCACTACTACTACGGTGCGGGCATAGATACGTGTTGGGCACGGTGTCATAGGTGTAGAGAGACTCTAGGACACCGACGACGGCATCCCGTAGGAGGGCTGCGGTGTTTGAGTGCGCAAAGTAGATGACGGCACCTGGGTGGGTTACGTCTTTGCACTTGAAGAGGAGCTTCGGGATCTGCCATTCTTTCTTGGGGCGCTTGGATGCGGGTGTATCTGTAGCTACGGCTTCGGGGGCATGAGTGGGCACTGCCGACATCTGGGTGAGGACGGAGAAAGGGCGGGTGCTCTGCATGCTGGCTTCTGCTTCTGCTTCTTCCTCCGGGGGAACTGGCACGCGCATGAGGGTTTAGCTTTGGAGGTGGGAAGACGGGAAACTATGGAGATGTGGGTATTTACGTTTTGTAGCTCTAGGATTCGTACGATAACTAACGTAGCCAAGGCTGAATAGACCCATGACACCCCCCCCCCCCCTCGCATTCCGGATATCATCTTATCACATAAATAGGATAAGGGAGTAGTAACTCTCATAATACTTAAGGGCCCGTTCGGACAACCATAAATCATTTCTTCGGATCATTGGACTGGGTGGATTATTAGCTAGCGAAAATAATCATAATACTCGCAATCAGTGGATAACCTACATGTTCGGATAACGTTGCAGCAGCGTTGGATTCTCAGGATATCTGTAATTACCTCCGAAAGTGATTATCTTCTCAGCAAATTATTCAATTGCACGAACAGCGTAGATTATTATGATAAGCCAAAGTCAACAACCCGTCAATCATCCAGATTATTAGGTTATCTAAACGGGCCCTTAACTACACCTAAACTTGTTTGGATATCACAGGAGGAATTTTAGGCTTGAATTGTATTTCCAGAATATAAACTTACATACATACCTAGCCCAATGGGTAAATACGATACCTTATACCTACGATACAAGAAAAACCAGGAGCCAACTAACATGTGTAAGCTCCAAGCAAGATGGTGAACAAATCGACTGATTTGGTTAAACCTTGTCATAAACATTTCTTGTCATAAACATCTCTTGCCATAAGTTATTGAAACACGTTTACTGGTTATCTTATTGGTCGCCAGATGGTTTAGAAAATAATGTCATCGATCGCAGGTAATACTAAGAGGATATCCATAAAGGCCCATAAAGAAAAAAAAAAGAAAAAGAAAAACACCATCCCATTCCCGGATATCCCTATTAAACCTTCCTAGCCCAACCGAACCAGACTAACCCAATATTTGTTGTTATGGTTAAATCTAAGCGGAGCACATCATGCACTCCTCCTTGTTCTCAATACTGCAAGCCAGTACTGCATCGGCATAGATGTCTACCTCTCTTTCATCACTGAGGCTTTTTGCATCCTCTGCTTGGCCCCTCTTGTTCTCCAACTCTTCCAACCCATCAATTGTAGTTGGATCGGTGAGTGGCTCCGTCGCCAGAAGCGTCGGAGACGGCTCTGATTTCTCAGAGTTCTCAGAGCGAGGAGCAGGGGGTGGAGGTCCGCCAACGGAGACAACACGTGGAGCAGGTTTGGTAGCCATCATTGGCCGAGGCATCGCAGCCTGAGGAGTGTAGCCGGTATTCGGGATGCGTTTTTTCCCGGGAAGAACGCGAGCAACATTGGTATCCTCCACCTTTAGGGCTTCTTGATCGACAGTGAATTGCTGAGAAAGGGTAAGTATAAGTCTCAGTTTAATTAAAAGCTTATAACTGGGGGCGAAACTTACAATAGCTGCAGCTGCAGCCTGAGTACGGAGATAGTACATCCCGGTCTTCAAGCCCAACTTCCACCCATAGAAGTGCATGGATGTCAATTTACCCATGGTAGGATTCTGGATATGGATGTTGAGAGATTGTGATTGATCGATAAAGGCACCACGATCGGCAGCCATTTCGAGAATCTTTTTTTGTGAAATCTCCCAGACAGTCTTGTAAAGAGCCTTGATATCATCTGGGATATTCGGGACAGCCTGTATACTACCATTGTTGGCGATAATTCTGTTTTTCATGTTATCACTCCACAGGCCCATGTCCACAAGGTCTTTTAACAACCAAGGGTTCACAATCTGGAATTCTCCAGCTAATACACGGCGGGAGTAGATGTTAGAAGTATAAGGTTCGAAGCACTCATTGAATCCTAGGATCTGAGAAGTGGACGCGGTAGGCATGGGCGCAACAAGAAGAGAGTTTCGAAGTCCATGCTTCTTAACTTTTGCTTTTAGTTCGTCCCAATCCCACAAGTCTGTTGGGGTGACGCCCCACAGGTCATACTGAAGCTGTCCCTTTGAGGAAGGAGAGCCTTCGTAGCTTGAGTATGGGCCGTGAATTTCAGACAACTCAGTTGAGGCCTCAACAGCGGCATGATAGATAGTTTCAAAAATCTGAATATTGAGTTGTTTTGCCTGTGGGGATTCGAACGGCATGCGAAGAGCAAGGAAAGCATCGGCAAGACCTAAAATGCTTCAATTAAGACAAGACACATACAACAAACCACGGGAGGTGAGCACAAACCTTGGACACCAACAGCAATGGGTCTGTGGTTCATGTTACTTCTTCTCGCCTCCTCGACAGGGTAAAAGTTCACATCGATAATTTTGTTCAGGTTCCTGACGACAACTTTCGTAACATCATGTAGCCTTGCAAAATCGTACTCACCCCTTTGAACATCTACGAAGGTTGGCAGAGCAAGGGAAGCCAAGTTACATACAGCAACCTCATCAGGAGAACTATATTCCACAATCTCTGTGCAAAGATTGGAGGATTTGATAGTTCCGAGATTCTGCTGATTCGATTTGCGGTTGCAGGCGTCCTTATAGAGTATAAAGGGGTTTCCTGTCTCGGTTTGGGTTTCTAGGATGGCATACCAAAGCTTCTGTGCCTTCATGGTCTGGCGAGGCAGGCCAGGGGTTTTCTCGTATTTATTGTAAAGTGTCTCAAATTCATCACCCCAGACGTCGGCCAAGCCAGGCGCCTCGTTGGGGCAGAACAAGCTCCAGTCACCGTTTTTCTCAACTCGCTTCATGAATAAGTCAGGGACCCAGAGGGCATAGAAAAGGTCTCTAGCGCGAATCTATCATTCAGGTATCTCATTAGTTACATGTATGGAAAACACCATACAAGGGTTACTTACCTCTTCCTTTCCATGATTCTTCCTCAAGTCAATAAACTCCATAATGTCGGCGTGCCATGGCTCAAGGTAAATGGCAAAAGCACCAGGTCTTTTGTTTCCACCTTGATCAACGTACCTTGCGGTATTATTATAAACTCTGAGCATAGGCACAATACCATTGGAACTGCCGTTCGTCCCAGCAATGTAAGAACCAGTAGCACGGATATTATGGATGTTAAGTCCAATACCACCAGCAGTTTTTGAAATCATAGCACAGATTTTCAGAGTGTCGTAAATCCCCTCTATAGAGTCATCCTTCATTGCAACCAAGAAGCAAGATGATAGCTGTGGGGAAGGAGTTCCAGCATTGAAAAGCGTGGGTGAAGCATGAGTAAAATGCTTGGCAGACATGAGGTTGTAGGTCTCAATGGCCTTCTCAACATCTTCGCCGTGAATTCCGACTGCTACTCTCATTAACATGTGCTGCGGACGCTCGGCAACCTGTCCGTCTATGCGCAACAGATATGAACGCTCCAAAGTTTTAAAACCGAAGTAGTTATAGTTAAAATCTTTATCATAGACAATAGCAGAGTTGAGCTCAGAGGCATGGCGCATAACTGTCTCGTAGGTTTGTGTCGAAATCATGGGCGAGGGGCGGCCATTTTTCTATCGAGGATAAGTTTTACTAGTAATAAGATTGAAGAAGTCCAGCAACTTACGGGATTAACGTAGTGATACAAGTCACTTACGACTTGAGAGAACTGCTTCTTGGTTTGCTTATGCAGGTTGCTAACAGCGATACGGGCTGCAAGAATGGCATAGTCAGGATGAGTTACGGTCATATAGGCAGCAGTTTCAGCTGCCTTTGTGAGCCAATTAGCACAATTCCTCATTGAACGGTTTGTATTTTCAATCGTCAAGGGAACAAACCAAGTTGTCTAGTTCAACAGTGGTAACTCCTTGGTACACCCCCGAAATAACCTTTTGAGTAATGGTCGCTGCATCTACGTGCTCACTGTCGAGTCCATAGCAAAGACGAGATACACGGGCAGTAATCTTGTCAAACTGAACTCGTTCCTTACGGCCATCTGTTGATTAAATGTTTTAGCCTTTCTTCCTCTTACTAAAGAGGTTTCAAGTGGGGCATAGGCTTGAATGGGGTTGTAACTTATTACCTCTTTTCCAGACATACATATCTGCAGTGCTTTGATGTCAAGTACTACTAGTTGGAGTCTGTGTGGTAGCTACGTCTCAGAATTGAGGCTCAAGAGGGGTATGAAGATTGAATCGTAGCTGTGTAATCCGGTGTATCTTGCACCCTTTCAATTTCGATTAAAGAGAACAGATGGATGGAACCAAGTTAAAATGAGGGCTCAATAAGTATTGAGTGGACGCGATGCAAGAAGGAGAGGAGGGGGGGTGTTTCCAACGAGGGGCGCGTTGAGAGGTTTTTCTCACGCGTATATAGGCTTGGCAAGGAGGTTTAGGGCTGGGTGATTTGTAAAAATGTAGCAAGGGTTGATGCGTAGATACATGTGCCGTATCTACTACATGTACTTATCGGATACGCATTTGTTTTGATGTAGTACAGTTGTCGGAGTGCAAAAAAATCAGGTCTAAAGTACTGTACTTGTACGTATGGGGCTAACTTTGGCCCAATTGCAGAGTATGTGCCTACAATAACCCCAACAATAAGGATCATGCTGACATGGTATTTATCATGCTTCATAAGTTTCTATCGCCGTGATTCACTGATTGGAGCTACATAAAATTACATGTAGTAGGGATGTTTTAGTCCCTGTCAATTTCGGTCATAGGAAATCACTCACTTGCTACCCGGCGCTAAACCAAATCCAATCGGATCGGATCCCCTGCTTTGAATATGTGTTGAGATCAAGCAAGGGATAGAGTATATCACCGCATGTACCCAGGGGTGCCGGAAAGTGATGCAACGGTCAAATAGCCCATACTTCTCAACAACCAAACTAGCTAACAGAATGTGGAGCTGGAGACCATAGTTATGGCGAGAGTTGATGTGGTTGACTGTTGCTTCTCCTTTTATTACTGTCTCTTGTCACAAGTTGTCCTTCCCCAGGCTAAAAACCCCAAACCAATGACCTGAAAAATTGCAGACTCTATTCTAGAGACTCATTTATCATGGATATGACTAAAATATCTATCCTGCCCAAGCATTGTGTTGTGTTAAAAGTTGAAGTTCTGAGTACATTTCGGTGTTGCTAGGTCAAGCGTTGCATCACTTTCCGGCACCCCCGGGTACATATAGCTCCATGTACTCAGTCATAAGTACATGTACTCTACGTGGCCTAGAGAATTTCCTCTGCTCTAGATTTACTAAGTACGTGTATGTTTATACGTGTAGCTGTTAAATACAAATACATGTAGTCGGTATATCGGTATATCATAATCGCAGAGTACTATACACATGATTATATAAGTTTAAGTCTGAATTATCATTAAGGCGTATAAGCAGACTCACTATCATTTTCTCTATCAAGTTGAATTCTAGGACAGGGCAGTAGGACACGGCCACCGTCTGAGTCACTACGAAGATGAAGTGATTACAATATGTGCTTTGCCTAAGTCTGTAGGTACATGTACATTACCTCGGTATCACTATATACACGTAGTAGTCATACTGTTAGTACTGTCCGGCTATCTTCGATGACGATGTTTGGGTTACAAGGTGTACTACATGTACCCCACAACCGCGCAAAGGGTGGTTACTAAAATTAAGTCGGTAAACCCAGGACTTTATGTAATTATAGTGTTTCATTTTAGCACATACAGTAGCGGGGTTTAGGCAATGCTCGACTCACAAAACGACATCAGTCTTCAAATACATGTATTTGGCACGGGTCCGGTTTGTTAGAAGTGCACCTCGCTTTGTATTTTTTATGCTGTATTATTTTCTATCTTCTGTAATTCCGCCACGTTTCTCCGTCTGATAAACGATTCTACTAAACTACATGCGCATGTACATACTATACAAGGTCCCCTATGGGTCTGAACGAACAAATGTACTTTAAAGGTCTCTAAGGAGAGGAGATCTAAAGAAAGAAGGAAAGGAAGAAAGAAAGAAAGAAGGAAGGAAAGAAAGAAAGAAAGAAAGGAATAAACGCCAACGATAACAGCCCCCTAACACCTCATCTTAAAACTATATATTTGGACTCAGTAAGTCATACTTCACCAAATTCTCCACACTTTCTATCGAGTTGTTTAAGAATTGCCTCATTTCAAGCCCCAACCAAACCTTCAAAAAGCTCAAATCGGCGCCTCTGCCCGCCTCGTTACCTCCTAGGATACCTGCACCGCTCCCAGCTCCAATAGATCTCAACATGGGTAGAGAACTGTGGTCCATAGCTCAGCTAAAAATTCGAGGCACAGGTCAGAATCGGCGTACCTTTTCAGCAGGTCCATTCCCGGATCTAGACTACGCCCAATCCCTTCGAGAAGTAGGATCGATAATATAACATTGATGAAATCGCCCTCCATACGCACATGGTGCACACGAACCATTTGGAGTACCTCGGAAAGAATATCACCGATCGTGATGTTTCCTAAAGATAGTGTACGAGTTTTGACTGCAAGGACGAGATGCTGCATCTTAAGTGCGAATATCTCTTTGTCAATAACGGCAGAAGGAGCCCTGCTTCTCTCAATCATGAGGTGGCCTGCACGGTATCCATCGAATTCGGCGACGGCGCGGAAAAGATCAAGAAAATTATGCCGATTTTTTGCGTTAAGTTCGGTTACTAGACCCGTATCGATAAACACGAGTTGAGGCCTGTATCCTTCAGCATCAAGACGGTTCAATTCTTCTACCCACCTTTCTGGATTTCGATAATAGGGGCTTAGTCGTGAGAGAACAGCATCCGTAACTTCTTTGTGGTTGTTTATATTCCTTTCGCCCTCGGAAGTGGGGACGAGCATCGAGAACCTGGATATAAGACTGGGGGGTTCGGGTTTGTGGAAGCGAACCATAATGTTTCCGGGGTGAAGATCCGCATGGATGAAGTTATCCATAATCAACATATGCTGAGAGGCGCGGATTGTTAGTAACTACATGTACGCTGCAGCGGCCGAAACCATCCTGAAGACACGAACCAAAAAGCCATCCAATCCCATATCGGATATATCCCTTTCAAATGCTCCAGCCCCACACTCCAGGAATGCACGGAGAGGTATTCCATGAGCAAACTCTTCTATCAGTACCTCTCGGTGGTGTAATGACTATATGGCATTGGGAATATGATTGTAGCTCTGTCTCTGAAATTCGATCGAAATCTCGAGAGATTGGCAGCCTCGATTCGTAAATCCATCTGCAGTCGCATCATTCCGCTGAATTGTGCAACCTCCTCTGGGAAGGACAGCCATTCGAGGGTAGGGACAGAGTGCAACAATGCTGCAAAGAAAGCCATAATCCTTAAATCCCGGAGAACAGTCTTCTCCACTCGAGGATGAAGAACTTTGATAGCTACGTAAGAGGAAGGAACTTCGTGTGGTAGTGGCAATCCTGAAAAACAGCCTATAGTTCTACGATATTTCCCTTTGTCTTCCACTGAATCGTCTAAATACGGAATGAAGTCAGGTTTTAGTTTCGCTTTATAAACCTGGGCTATGGCTCCTATTCCCAGAGGAGTTTCGTCAAACTCTTCGAATATATCTTCAAAGGGCCTGCCGCCGAAAGCATGACTTATGATTCTCTTTGTTTCATGTAGTGAGTGGGGACGAGCATTAGAGTGTAGTTTCGACATCATTTCACACATCTCGGTGGGAAAAATGTCTGTTCGAGACGCGGCCCATTGTCCTAACTGCTTTCATGAGAAATGCTCACAAAGGTGCGGCTTGAGCGAGATTCCCACCTTTATGAATGTTGGACCAGCCTGCTCCATCGACTTTATCAAGAAGGCATACCACCATATTGTTCCCTGGCGCTCGTTATTTTTCTCCGGTAATCGTTTCCCCAGATATACCAAAGGTATCGCGAGAATTAAAGGTACAAATATTGTTACTAGAGTGACAAATCGAAAGCCGGTAGCGATCGGCTCTATTACCCAGTTGACGGCCAGAATTTTTATGTGGTTAGCAATACGAAAGACAACATGTCGATCTTTTGAGATCGCTTGCAGCAGCTCTTCCCGTTCCAGGTCAGACTCCTCAAGCATGAGCTGCTCGATAGTTTTCTCAGGTGGAATATCCGGGGGTGCATCCTGGGGCCCTTTTCATCCAGATTCGATGGAAGCACCAGGGGGGTCACTACTAGTAGTGCAAGTGCAGCAGAACCGATGTACAAAGCGCGATTGCTGTAAAACCGAGACCATTTGCTTCGTTGATGTTGTGATGAGGACCTGGTGGAGACGTTGCCAGTGACAGTGGAGAGCGACTTCGAAGCCTGGTGAACTCGGCTATGACGTATTGATGCCCAGGGAAGTCTTGAATAAAGAGAGGACGTAGGCAACCGCCGACTGAGAAGAGCGGCCGTCCTCATTATCGACATAGGGGTATAGAGAGGGCTTTATGTCTATGAAAAACAAATTGATGAAGACAAGAGGTTTAAACCTACATGTATGGGATAGTGGGATTCTAGCTGTAGGCGGCGAATCCCGGACAAGGGATGGGAAATGATGTCGGATGGGAATTCAACACTGGCCCCTTGTATGCACGTGTCAGCATTATGATTCACATGGCATCTCAAGTGCCACTGGCATAGGTAAAGCTAGTCCGGTCTAGCTGATCATGAATCCTCAAGGACGATCTTGGCTTTGTCCTACATTCGGTACTGTTTGTATCGGCCATATGTGAGGTGGGAGCTGATCCTTTAGCACGATCATAGAAAATCACCCGCTTTCATATGTGCACTACAAATAGATTACATGTGCGGCGAGGAGGGCTCAAGTGGAGCCCGTTTTAACGACAGCGGCCCGACTACATGTACTCTGTAAAAGTTGGGTTCCACCAGAAACAAATTTAGTATACAGATACCAAAATACTCCTCTAGGCTCTAATCCAGGATTTGTGTCTCCGCTGTATACTACTGACAAAGTGCTGGCAACAGTACCATGACTGTATACATGTACTTATAAGTAACCCATCCCCGGTCTGTAATATGTGGTTTATTCTCATTCGCGTTTAAGCCACGCCCTTTATCTATGTCCTTATTACTATACTAGATCATGATTGATATGAGACTTATACCCCCTAGCTTTCAATAAAACCCATCTGATCACGTACGGAAGTTACCCCAACTCTACCAACTGTGTAAATGCGTACTCAATCCAGAAACAATCTGCCTACTCAATACAAACCGAGATATTATACGCAAGGGGTCTCAAAGGAGTTGTAGTTCATATGATTATAATCAACCCAGTGAAACAAATGCGCCCCTCCCCCACCAAAAAATAAGAAACCCAAACAGCCTACACAGCCATCAAAAATTCAAACGCCAAAGTAAATGTGCTGTTCTCCCGTGGTTATAAAGAAAGTAAATCAAAGCTTCCGTTTAGGATGACCCCATAGATTCAGGGTGGGCTTCTGATCCCCTCTGATCCCAAGCCTTGTCTCAATCCCAGCCCTAACCCTAACACTGCGTCTCTTACCTTACCATCTTTTTCCAGTGGGCTTTCAGGTGTTCCTGGTGGCATAGTTCTCAGAGATGATGTATTAGCACCAGTATCTGCATGATGTCTCCTATTATTTCTATGCTCGTTGATCAGCGACATGGTTGGAGTTGGGTGAGGACTGTGCGTACATCGTCGTTGTCGAGTGATGCTATGGTGCGAAGTGTTGGTTGCGGTTCCTGTTCTTCGTCTTTTCCCGCTTTCATTAATGTCTGATAAATTACCATCAATATCTGATGCAGATATTGTGGAGTCACGGGAGTGACGACGTTTTTTACTTCGGGAGGCAGAAGAGGATGTGAAGGCAACAGGGCTCATCAGGGTCCGGCGGATAGAATTGTGTGTAGAATCTGACGTAGTAGGTTTCTTAAGCTTTGGTTGAGGTGTGGTTACTCTTCCCGCGTCAACATAGCATGTATCCTCGTCTATTTCTTGGGACAAAACTTGGGACGCCAGGAGGCGTAGAGCTTCTAATCCATCATCTTCGGCTGTGCCTCTCCCCCCAGCACCACCTACTCTTCTCGCTGGAGCACTTCTTTCTACTGCAGAGGTGGAGTTATGCACCCCGCCATAATCCCCACCCTTATCCCATTACCACCGCCAGCAGTGACATGACGAGCATCAGGGGAGCGTGATGCGTCTAATTGATGTTGCCGATTATCGCGGATCCTTTTCTTCAATCTTTCATTCTCATCTTTGAAATCGCCCAATTCATCGCGGTAGTTCTTGATGGACCGCTTTGCCTTTCGTAGCCTGCGTTTATAGGCCTCATTCTCCTCCGCGAGCGCGAGCTGTTGGGTTGTACTGAATGAGCTCTGGTCTAGTCGTAGTACCTCAACCTCCCGGCGTGTAATCTCTGATTCAACCTGATGCCGTGCTGCAGCTTCCGTGGTTTCCATCTCGAGAATTTTGTGTTGGAGGAGGTAGTGTGCAGAATTCGTGCGCAAAGCAATGATTGAAGACGAGAGGGTTTTAATATGCTGATCCGCAAGTTTAAGCTTTTCTCGCAGTGTTGTCAGGTCAAATGAATCAATTACGGACGAAGAAAGATCTTCCCAACCCTCTATTGAAGGACCGTGAGGTTGTGCAGCTAGTGATATAGCAGACATGGGATCCACCGGCGTAGGCATGGTGGAGACGGAAGTGGAGGACGAAGGTGCGAAAGAGTGTGCACCTGTAGAGTTGAAGGGCGGAGGAGGGATAAGGCGAATTATAGGGCGATCTCTGTCCTGGTGTGTTGAGGGAGTCATCTGTGATAACAGCGGGGAGGATGAAGCGTTGGGAGCCTCCAGGACAACAGATTGCTGGGAGCCCTCTTGGGAAGGCATGGATATCGGGAACGACGGATATCCCACCCGCCGTGACGTCAGTGATACGGTGAGCGAGTGGGCGGTATTAAGTGGAAATGATAGATGAACCACTTTTTACTTCTGTAGGTGAAGTGAATCGAGTAGGGTTGGTGCCGCCTTAAGCTTATCGGATTATGACGCGGGAAACAGAGGTAAACATGGATATGGAGGAAAGGAAAGACAATTTGATTGTTTCCCCGCACATAAACCCAGTGCCGTAGATGCCTACATGTACTCTACATGTATGTAGGTATATACATGTAGAATACCGGTTTTAGAGTATGTAGATAGAGTCCCTACAAATACATGTATGTAGGTACAAAATGTCATCTAATACGGTCTCAGGGTAAAGGAATAGAGCGTAATGGTGTGGCTTGCGTCGTTATATTATGTGGTACAAACGCAGTCAAGCCACCTCATCTGCAGCCACGTTTTTATTAAGGTTTGATCCTTGAATTCAATTCACCCTTCAGATCCGAGGGTTAGGTTTCTTTTCAGGTAATTTTTTTTTAGGATGTATTCATTCATGGAGTGCTTTCTCACGTACGTATCTACACGTAGTACCTGCTATCTAGATCCACCTGACTATCAAGAAGGAGGTGTTTGCTAGACAGAGGTCTCTTTGTCTAGTGATCTCAGGTTTGCCCATGACCGCCACGCTCTTTTCTGACCAACTGGGACGGCGAGATAAATGCTATATAAATTGCAAATATTAGGTTCATCTGAATCAGCCAATAGTTCTGCAAGGACAAACCATGTTGTAACCATAAGTAGCGTATGTATGTAGCTGCTTAATTGGGTTGAGAGCTTTGTCATTCGCACATAAGTTGAGCTACTCATGATATCGATATCTCTCCTCGTCTATTAGGGGTTCATAGGATACTTCAATTCAATCCCTTTTGAGCCTTTCAGTAAATTAAGCCTCGGGACTTTTTGTTTGGGTTGGTTGTGTCGCAGAGTTAAAGCTAAGAAATGTAATAGCTAACCGCATGTAAACTACTAAAACGGTATTTCCAATGAAAAAAGTTGACTCATCAGTCTATTTTTCCGTTTTCTTTCTCAGCCACAATAATGTACTTTCAACTGTCGTCCAATCAGGCTTCGTACCAACAGAGTATTTCTGTGTCAATGGCGAACCAGGGTGCAAGGGTCTCACCCGCACTGGTCCCACGCTTTGACCTACTTCTGCCTTTGACTCTGCTGCCACGGCAACTCCCGCCCCTATCAATTTTCAAATTTGACCTGTGTACCAAGCCATGTCTTCCCAGGTATCCTACTGCATGCGCTGCATGCTGCGGGTTTTCAACCTTTGGTATCTTCACGTCTCATATCCCCTAACCTCGAGGAGAGCTCTCAACACTCTGCTTCAAATTGGCAAAAGAACGACCATAACTGCGGCTGCGACCCATCACCATCACCATGGCAGACTCCAGTGATACTAATATGGATAGCCCTACCATCGATACAATCGATAGCAGCACTATTGATGGTAGTGCTTTTGGTAGTAGTGCTCCTTCAAGTGTTCAGGGAGAACCACGCGAGCATTCTCCCCCCCTACTGTTGCTCATGTCTCCTACAATAACCCTACTATCCCGCCAGGTCCAATTCAACTCAAAAGAAGGGTATCGTCTAGGCTTCCGGTGCCCAAGAAATCCTCTATTCCTACACCGGCTCCAATAAACGTACCACAGCCTTATAGTTCTTTGAGAACGGCTTCGTCAAGAGAATCTCTGGTTTCCCCTGGTCCTAAATCTGCTTCTCCAAGATTCCCCTCGGTTGCTAAAAGGCAGTCAAGAATTGGCGGCCCTAGCTATAATGGCGGTGGACGTGAGTATCTCAACCTCAAAACCCCTATCCCCTATTCCTATTGGCTTTGTTTCGAAACATTTGCGACTGACATCAAACAGTTTCTTCACCTATTGAATCTCCATCAATATCCCCGGGCCTCAAGAGCCCTCGAGTGGCTGGAAGTGATATTAGAGGAGATCACACATCACACACTGCCACCTCTCTTGCCAAGAGGGCATCAGTCCCTTCCTTGACAAGGAAACCTTCCACTTCATCATTGACCCGGAAGGTTTCCGCTTCCCAGCTCCAAACCCAAGCTCCGACGCCCGCCCGGAAGACTTCAACTTCCGGACCCTCTATAGCCGCACCACCACTCACGCGAAAGCTATCGAATTCGTCAATCGTAGTAAACAAGAGAGCGTCAAACTCCCATCTCAATCGTAAAGTCTCAGTATCCAATCTCCCCACCCATGAAACCACAGTGTCTCAAAGCCCCACCCCAATGCGCCGAAGCATCTCCTCGGGCCTCCCATCCCCAATGACCCCAACCAAGCTGCCCCCACGAACAGCACAAAGTGGGCTTCGCCAGCCATCCCTCAAAACCCCGCGCCCAGCGCCGACAAACCCGCGGAACAAGACCCCCGAGCCACAGCGCACGGAAACGCCAGATTCGCCCATGTCACGCAAGGCAGCTGCAAACAAAGCTTCGCAGTCGCTCCGCGATACCATAGCGAAAGCCCGGGCTGCACACCGCGCGCGTGCTGAATCCATTGCACAGTCGGTCACGGGCTCAGTTGCAGGGTCGGTCAGCGATGGTTTGGACGGCTTCAACTTCAGCACCGATGACCCGTTCAATCAGGCCATATTCGGCGAAGGCAGCTCTCAGAAGGTCATGAAGCAGCGCATCAGGACTGCTCGGGTGGAGGGCCGCCTCAATATATCCAATATGCAGCTGAAGGAGATACCTGTGGAGGTTTACAAGATGTATGAGACATCTGCGGCGGACCTGGAGGCCGCGGATGCGGGCGATGGGCCAAAGTGGTATGAGAGCGTGGATCTGGTCCGCTTTGTCGGCGCGGATAACGAGATTGAGGAGATTGGCCAGGAGTTGTTGGAGCAGTTTGGCGGGCTGACTAGCATTGATGTATGTGGAAACCTATTATTAGTGCAAGATCGGCACATTCTTCCTCTTGATTTTGGACCTTTATCAGTTGTGAAATTTTGACTGACACGCGGAAATTAGATGCACAATAATATGCTGATCACGCTACCAAAGAATTTCGGAGAGTTCACGGAGCTAACAGTCCTCAATCTGGTAAGTAGAGTTGAAACATAGCCCAGGTGGTCCGTTTGGCTAACAACTAGGGTTAAAAGACAAATAACAAGCTCGACCATGATGCCCTAGAAACTATCTTCCAGATCAAAACGCTGGTAGACTTGAAACTCGCAAAGAACGGGCTTCAAGGGGAGCTACCTTCATCAATTTCCAAGCTTGAGAATCTAGAAATTCTCGAACTCCAGGAAAACAAACTAGATTTCCTGCCTTCGTCCCTTGGGGAGCTTTCTAGATTGCATGTTCTCAATATCCATGCGAATCGCTTGCAAGAGATTCCATTGCAGGTTCTCACAAACTGTCAGCTGCAAGAGTTGACGGCCTCCAGTAACAAAATAGGGGGTACTTTATTTTCCCTGGATGTCGAGAGCCTTAACACTCTTCATTTGCTCGATGTTAGGAACAACCGTATATCGAAATTCAGTGAAGGCACTGTTCTTCTGCCAACCCTACAGCAACTGTACGCCACCAACAACGAACTGACTTTATTTCCTTCCGTGGAGGGTTGGAATGAACTTTTGGTTTTCACTGTGGACTCAAACCGCTTGGACGCCCTGCCCGAGGGATTGCTTGGCCTTCAGAGATTGAGAACGCTCGACTTTTCGTCAAATAATATCAAGAGTTTGGATCCCCATCTCGGCATGATGGAGGGGTTGGAAATCCTCAAGTTCGACGGGAACCCATTGCGGGAAAGAAACCTGCTAAATATGGGGATTGTGGATCTGAAGCGAACCCTGAAAGCCCGACTGGCGCCGCCTGAAATTGTTATCGCAGAGGCCGATGACAATGTCCAAGCCTCAGATGCAGCACCAGGATTTGTAGACGCCGAGGGCGCCGAAGAAGAGGAAGATGAGCACAAAAAGACACTAGAAATCGGCCGAGGCGGGATTCTAGATCTTGCTTCCCAGAACTACGAAGAAATCCCCACGGATCTCCTAGAGTCTGTTGTCGGCAGCCCCAGCAGCATTGTGCTGCTCCACAACAAACTCACCACCATCCCCGTGAGCATAGAGACATTCTGCGCGTCGCTGACAATCATTGACATCAGCCACAACAAGCTCTCTGGCGATTCCTACCTCCCCAGCAAGCTCTCGCTCCGCTCGCTCACAACATTCACGCTGCAATCGAACGGGATCACGTCGCTCAAGCCGCTGCTCGAGAACCTCGATGCGCCCAAGCTGGAGTCTCTGGACGTGTCGGTCAACCGGATCGAGTCGATCGAGGGCATCCGGCCCACGTTCCCGCACCTGACGGCGTTCTACGCGCGGGATAACCGCATTGAGGAGATACCGGTGGATTCGGTGGACGGCGTCCGGATCTTGGACCTGAACAGCAACTCGATCAAGTATTTGCCGCCGCAGCTGGGGACTGTGGCGTCGCTGAGGGAGCTGAGGGTTACGGGGAACTTGTTTAGGGTGCCGAGGTGGCAGGTGCTGGAGAAGGGGACGGAGGGGATCATGGAGTGGTTGAGGGATAGGTTACCGGCGGAGGATGAGGTGGAGTAGAGATGCTTCTTTTTTTTTTTTTTCTTTAATAAGTTTGGTCGAGTGGTTTTTTTTTTTTTTTTTTCGTTCTTATGTGCTGTTTGATTAATATGTAGTAAAGTTTGACGATCTGGCAGTAGATGTGTTCAAGTTAGTAGATTTACCTTAGAGATATTACTTTATATGCTCGTCAACGTAAGTATGTAGTTAGTGCTAATCAATAATGATACTAATGGAGGAGAGAAGTGAATGTTTATACAAAGAGTATCGACTCTGTTTTCCCGCTGTTTGATGTTATGTAAATACTAGATGATGAAAGGTGGAATGTGTACACACGATAGAGGATTGCATACCAAGCCGTATATTGATTTAGTCACTGACCCACATTCCACATAGGATTTGCACACAGCCAAAGGGGGGGGGGGGGGAAAGTAACAACTGCTCTCATCCATAAAAACCTCGTTTTACCTCGACACGGCCCAAGAGAAGGACGGGACGAGGATGTTGAGAGAAATGGGATGTCTGCATCACAGCATATCACTCGCACCACCACTCTGTGCTACGCCGACCTGTGCTACAAACACAAACACGGAACCGGTGAGACAGCTGGACGCACGAGTCTCCAGACATCGCCCAACCCGTGCAGCGAGAACACCACCACACCTCTCTCTCTCCTCTCTCCTCTCTCCTCTTCTCCCCTCCTTCCCCCACTTCACAGCTACACAGCTAACTTCACAACTTAAACATTGACGATAATCAATTGGCACATAAAGATAGCTACGGTGAATACTAAAAAAGAAAGACAAAGTATATTCCCTTAAAATTAACTCCCTTCCCAAAACTCCCTCCATCCCTTGATCTAGACCCACCTACTTCTACAGCTACTTCTACTTCTACAGCTACACTACTACTACTACTACTACTACACTACGGACTCGTCGGCCCCCTCTCCCTCAGATCCGCCTCCCTCCCCGCCTCCTCCCCGGCCCCCTCCCCATTCGCCGCCCTCCCAATCACCACACCAACAGCCCTCTTGAGCTCCTGCACAAACAGCCACACCTCCTCAAAGCCATTATACAGCGGGCACGGCGCGACCCTGATGACGTCTGGCTTGCGCTCATCGACCACCACGCCCCTCTCTAGGAGCTCGTCAAACACGCGCATCATGAGGCCCTCGCGGAAGAGCAGCGAGAGCTGCGCGCCGCGCGCGCTGGGGTCCGAGGGCGTGAGGATCTCAAACATCTTGTCATCGGGCGGGAACTGCGTGTGCAGCAGGTGCTCGAGGTAGGAGGTGAGCTGGACGGACTTTGTGCGGATTGCGGGCATGGTGGCGGCGCTGAAGAGCTGCAGGGAGGAGAGGAGGGAGGTGAGGTCGAGGATGGAGGGGTTGGAGAGTTGGTAGCCGGCGGCGCCAGGGATGGCGTTGAAGGCTGCGGGGGATGTTAGTTGGGTTGTCAATTGGTTTGAGGAGAGAGAGGGTTACTGTTGTCCATGTTGAAGCGCGAGAGGCGGTCGTGGCCCCACCAGCCGGCGAGGCGGTGGCGGTCGGGGGAGGCGTGTTTCTCGTGCACGAAGATGCCGGCGATGCCGCCGGGGCCGCTGCACAGGTATTTGTAGCTGCACCAGACCGCCTATTCTCTCCAGTCAGTACCGGCCGACACCCCCCTCCACAACACCCTGCACAACACCGGAGAAGAAGAGAGAGTGAGAGGACATACAAAATCAACCCCCCACTCGTGCAGATCCAGCGCGATATTGCCCGCCGCATGGGCCAGGTCCCAGCCCACCACGATGCCCTTGGCCTGGGCGTGCTGCGTGATGGCTTTGATGTCGAACGCCTGCCCCGTGTAGAACTGCACGCCCGACAGGAACAGCAGCGCCGTGTCGTCGGCGTTGCGGTCAATGACCTTGCAGATCTGCTGCGTCGTCAACATGGCGCGCTCGGCCTCGGGGAAGATTGTGACCAGCGCATCGGCGGGGTCGAGGCCGTGCCAGCGGATCTGCGACTCGACTGCGTACTACACCACCACACACTCGTGTTAACAGCAGCTCTTCCACCAATACCACCACCACCACCGACAACAAGGGTTAGGGGTCATACATGGTCACTCGGGAATGCCTTCCCCTCAATGATAATCTTCCTCCGGCCCTTGCCCGAGCGGTCGGGGCGGTAGAAGCTGGCGAGGAGGTTGTGGATGTTGTTTGTGAGCGTGCCCATGACGGCGACCTCTGTGGGCAGCGCGCCGACGACGTTGGCCATGTGGCGCGTCACCTCCTCGTCGGCGCTGACCCATGGGCGCGAGAGCGGGTGCTTGAAGTGGCCCTGGACGCCGCGCGTGGCCCAGATGGTGAGCTCCTCGTTGAGCAGGGCGCGGGTTGCTTTGGGCTGCAGGCCGAGCGAGTTGCCGCAGAGGTAGATGCAGGGGTCTGTGGGGTCTGCGGGGTGGTGGGGTTAGTTATGCAGTTGATCAATTAATCAATCAATTACTGGGACTGTTGCTATGTCCTAATGGATGTAGATGGATAGATAGATAGTGGGAGAGAGAGGGAGTGGGAGAGGGAGGGGATACCGTTCTGCTCAGCGGCAGGCTTGGCCTCGGGGTGCGGGTCGCGCAGGTCCGCCTTTGACGGGATGAGGAACTCTGCACGGAAGCGCGCGAGCGGGTCGGTGCTGTCGAGGTGCTGGGCGTACTCGCGGTTGCTGGACTTTGACTCTGTGAAGCTGATGCGGTGGCCGTTGACGAAGGACTTTAGCTGTTTTGCGTCCATTGTGGGAGAGTTGCTTGTAGATGATGTATTATAGATATTGTCGTACTCTAGATAATTGCACTTGCACAGGATGGAAAATGGAATATAAGTAGCACAGAGAGAGTCGAGATGGGACGATTGCGGTGTTTTAATCATTTCTTTCTTTATTTGTGGTGTGACGTTACCAACCCATCGCAACCCGGCTATCCACGGGCATCAATCATCATCATCACAACCACAACCACTCCCACCTACATCCACCGAAACACCGCGCACAGCACAATGTCTCTCCACCTCCTCCGCCTCCGCACACCACTCCTCCGCACACCACTCCTCCGCACACCACTCCTCCGCACACCACTCCTCCGCACAACACCACTCCCCCTCCTCCGGCGGCGCTGCATCACGACTACCGCCCCCCGGCCCGCCGCCGCGGTGCTCATGAACCCGAGGAAGGACGCGGAGGGGAACGAGATGATGATTGATTTGACGCCGCGCGCTACCAAGGTATCTTTTTTACTCTCTTACCCTCTCTTACCCGCCACCCCCACCCTCTGCCCCGCTCACCCGGAGTAAAAGTAGAGGAGGGTGAAGTAGAGTGGAATGGAGGAATGGGGGGAGTGGAAGAATGCTAATACAGAGGTGTGTAACAGCGGCTGAAAGAGATCCAAGCCAAAGACGCCAATCCAAACCTGGCACTGCGCATCACGGTCGAGGCGGGCGGCTGCCACGGGTTCCAGTATCTCATGTCGCTGTCGGACCAGTTTGATCCTGCTGAGGATACGTCTGTTGCCCCCCGGCCCGAGTCTGATGGCGAAGCTGACAGTGAGAACAGGGTGTTTGGCGATGACGGCGCCAAAGTGGTGATGGACGAGCCGTCGCTGGAGCTGCTGAAGGGCAGCAAGATCGACTACACGATGGAGCTGATTGGGTCGCAGTTCAAGATTGTGGACAACCCGAAGGCGACGAGTAGTTGTGGGTGTGGCACGAGCTTTGATATCAAGATGTCGTTGTGAGGAGGAAAAAAGTAGTAGTGGTGGTGGCGGTTGGTTTATGGGGGGGGGGGGGGGGTGGGGGAGGAGGAGGGGGGTTCTTTTTATTTTCTCTCTGCTAATCTCAGCTCTTTTTTTTTTTCACTATTTCGCTGTTTCTCTTGCTTTCTTGGTGCGACTCTCTATATATATTAGAATGGCTAGATAGTTGGTGTATTATTATTTGCTACGGCGTTCTTTTTCTCTTCTGAAATAAAAATATCCTGTGCTGCGTGTGGGGAGCTGCTGAGAATATCTCGTCCAAAGTATCATTTCTGTGGTGGTGAGATTTGGTGATGCAAGCATTGACAGCGCCAAGCATGTGCAACCGCCGCTATCGAATATTTTTTTTTCTTATCGCGCACACAGAAACCCCACTTCCCCACGACATTGAAAATCTTCAAAACTTCATAAAAACACCAAAACTCACCAGTTCACAGTAAAAAATCCACACAACCCCCCACAAACCCACATCAACCCACCATGGCCACCCCCACCGACCCCCCCATCCACGCCCTCATCATCGACGCCGGCCCCCTCATCGCCAGCACCTCCACCAGCAGCCTCCTCACCCGCGCCCAGCGCATCTACACCACCCCCTCCGTGATCGCCGAGATCCGCGACCCCGCCACCCGCTCGCGCCTCGAGACCACCTGGCTGCCGTTCCTGCAGCAGCGCACGCCCAAACCGGAGAGCGTGCGCGTCGTGGCAGAGTTTGCGAAAAAGACCGGCGACTTTCCGGCCTTGTCTGTGACAGATGTGCAGCTGCTGGCGCTGACGTATGAGCTTGAGTGTGAGGGGAATGGCGGCGACTGGAGGCTGAGGAGGACGCCGGGGCAGAGGGAGGTGAATGGGCCTGTGCCGGGGAGGGGGGGGAAGGAGGAGGGTGTGGAGGAGAAGGAGGAGAGTGTGCAGGAGAAGGAGAAGGAGGGAGAGGAGGAGGAAGCAACAGCAGACAGCAAAGAGACAGAGGCTACAGATGCGCCCCAAGCAGGAGAAGCTGGAAAGCCGAAGCGGAAAAGCAAGAAGGCGCGAATGGCCGCAAAGAAGAGGGCCGAGCGGCAAGAGGCCGGCGAGGGGAGCGAGACCGCCGAGAAGACCGCAATTGAGGGAGAGACACGGGCACAGGCACAGGCAGAGGCACAGGCACAGGCACAGGCACAGGCAGAGGGAGAGCAGGCGGTGCCCGCGGAGGGAAAGAAGCGCAACAAGCATAAGGCCAGAAAGGGCACCCCCGCCCAAGACGGCGCTGCAGCAGCAGAAGCCGGAAGAGAAGAGGTCAAGGAAGCTGCAGAGGAGACAGCCGGGGAAGCTGCTGCTAAGCTCGAAGCTCCCGCAGCTGAAGCCAAAGAGGAGTCCAATGAAGCACCAGCATCTGAGGCACCCAAGCCCGACACCGCCTCAGCAGCAGCAGCACCCCAGGAAACTCCCCAAGAGCCCACCGCCACCAGCACGCTCCCCACCCCGCCCTCCACCGACGACGACTCCGCCTCCGACTCAGACTCGGACTCCGGCTGGATCACCGCCACCAACCTACACTCCTACAAGCACTCCGACGCCCACACCCCCGTGCACAGCACCCCCACCAAGAAACAATGGCCGCTCGCCGCCGCCCTCGCCACCACCGACTACGCCATGCAGAACGTGCTCCTGCAGATGAACCTGCACCTCGTCTCCCCGCACGGCCTGCACCGCATCCGCACCATCAAGACGTGGGTCCTGCGCTGCCACGCCTGCTTCAAGCTGTGCCGCGACATGAGCAAGCAGTTCTGCCCGACGTGCGGCGGCGCCACGCTGCTCAAGACCAGCTGCTCCACGGACAGCCAGGGCGGCTTCCAGGTGCACCTCAAGCGCAATATGCAGTGGAATAACCGCGGCGCCGTGTATTCGATCCCAAAGACGCAGCATGGGTCGGCGTCGGGCAAGGGCGTGAAGAAGAACTTGGTGCTGAGGGAGGATCAGGTCGAGTATCAGAGGGAGGTGAGGGTGCGGGCCAGGCAGAAGGAGAGGGATTTGTTGGATCCGGATTATTTGCCGGGTATCTTGACGGGGGAGAGGAGGGATGCGGGTGGGCCGATGCCGAAGATTGGGTATGGGAGGAAGAATCCGAATGAGAGGCAGGGAGGGAGGAATAAGCATTGATTTGGTGGTATATATTACTTGCTTTTATCCTCTTTTTGTATCTATTGGGGTTTTTTCTTTTTAGGTAGGACAACTGGTGTATATTTTCCCTTTATTACAAGTTTTATGTAGTTAGGTATCTTGGGGGTTTCTCTTTAGCTTTTCCTGGTAGAATAAAAGTTTTTGTCGTTTACATCTCAAATAATTAAGTCCCACTATCCCCCATCTCTCCCCTGCACTCCCCCGTACATTCCCTGATATACCGCAACAATCTACAACGCTCCAAACTATACAAGAGCACCACAATTACATTCATTACGGGTTAAGCCCCAACCCCGCCGCCGCCGCTGCCGCCGCCTGCTGATCCGCCACCCTCTTGGCCCTCAGCGTCGGATCCTTCAGCTCCTTAAAGTCGAGCCCGCAGTCGACCAGCATCGCAGAGTGCTGCCTCGTGATCTCCATGCAGTCCTCAAACACCTTGTTCTCCTCCGCGACCGCCTCGAGCTGGCGGTCAAAGAGCTCCATGTAGTCCTCGACCCGGTCCTTTGCCCACTTGACCAGCGCGCTCGCGAGACGGTACTCGAAGCAGCTGTTGTAGATCTCGACGGTGTTCTTGATGAGTGTGAACTGCACTAGTGCGACCTGGGAGATGTAGAGCGGGACGTCACCCTCGAATCGGACTTGTCTGTAAATTCCTTGTAAGCTTGATTTCTTCAACTAGTAGATAGAGATAAGCAACATACCTAGTCCGCTTCTGTATCACCGCCGACTTCGCCTCCAAGAACGCCTCCCGCGCGCGGTCCTCGAAATCGAGGCGTATGAGCCACTGCACATTCCCCTTCACCGTACTCTTCTTCGCCGGGTTCTCCGTCAGGTCCGTCGTGATGATGCCCGCGAGGCGCGACGCGCGCTCGTCCAGCTTAAAGTTGATGAGCTCAGCGACGAGGGCATTGTTCTTTGCGAGCGTCAGCGCGAGCTGGCGCAGCTTCTCGACGCTGGTCACGGCCTCCTCAAACTCGCGGTGCGCAATCTTCTCGTCGAGCTCGTCCATCTGCGTCTCGACCCAGCGCAGGTTGCGCGTCTGGCCCTCGACGGTGAAGAGCGCGCTCGTGGACCCGTGCGCGCTGAGCGAGTTGAGGAGGTCGCCCTTCTCGAGCAGCTTCGGGTCGCGTCCGGCGAGGAAGGTCATGCTGTCGCGGCGGCGGAGGTTGTCCTCGCTCTCGGCGCGCAGCGCCTTGCGCAGCTCGTCGGCGGACTTTTTGAACTGGCGGAGGAGCTCGACTTTTTTGGTGATTTCCTCGTTTTGGTAGACGAAGGACTCCTTGCCGACGCGGAGGTTGACGGCGTTGAGCACTTGGCCCTTCTTGGAGTCGCTGGGCGAGAGATCGACCATTTCTATCTCTGCGAGGGGCCAGCAGCGCTCCGCGACGTTCTTGATCTGCGGTGAGGCGCTGTTGTTGTTCTCCTGCCGCTTCTTCTTGACCGTTGCGATCAGGAGATGGTCGTTCAGCAGCACCATGTGCACGATCCGCCGGGGCTTCCATGTGGCTGCGTTCAGCTCGATCCAGTGCCGCGATTCGAGGATGATGTGTCGGCCTGGCACCGATGGCAGGAACTTTTGCGCTCCCTCGACCTGTTTCCAGAGCGCCTGGAGATGGCTCATGTGCAGCGCTGTTAGGTCTGCTACGCTGCTCCTGTTTGCGGCCTTGCGCGACTTGATGTCGCTGTTTGACATTGAGTTTTCTGAGTCTGTTTTGAGAGAGCTGGTGGTGTTGTGGAGATCGGTTAGAAGACTGCGGAGTGCTCTCATTTCTGTCTTGAGTTTGTCGATTTCTTTGGAAATCAATATAAACTGGGTACGGTTGACAAAGACGTTCTTCTGGAGATCTGAGGAAGTGCGGTTTCGGATTTCTTTGAGGCGGCGCTGGTAGTCTTTGATCTCCTCATCCGAGGCGTTCGCTAGGACAGCGGTAACAACTGGTTCTCACAACAATTAGTACACTGACCCTCCACAACAATGTGTACCGGGCGCATACATGTATCTGGGTTAAATGCCGGATCCCGAAACATGTTCAGGTCCAGGTCCACGTCGTTCCGGACCGTAGATTTGACTGGTAGCTTAGCACCTGCCCCAGCATTGATAGAAGGCATGGCCGGAATCGTAGGCATTGGCGGCAGCTTTCCTACACCCTCCACGGGCAATGGAAAACGTGTAGACATCCGTCGTTTGACCAAGTCGGCAACCTGAGAGGAGCGCCCTAGATCAGCTTCAAGCTTGCAATTGACAGCTCGCAGTCTCTAAAGGTTCACCTTTTCCTTATCCCTGGACCGGACCTGTAGCGGGATTGACGGGGTCGTGTCGAGCTTCGCTCCGGGCATCGGGGGCATAGGAACCTGTCTGCAAGGTACGTCAATAATAGTGACTTGAGTATATTTTGGGAGCTCTGATTACCTTGGAGGCCCAATGATGGGCTTCGTAGACTTCCCGCCCTTCCCGCTCTTCTTACGGAGCGAAAGCCCCTTGGATCTCTCTTTGTCCATGGTTGTGGTTGTGGTTGTGGTTGTGGTTGTGGTTGTGGTTGTGGTTGTGGTTGTGGTTGTGGTTGTGGTCTGTGGGTCCTGTAGGTTCTTTGTAGATGTTTAGGCAGGGAGAGAGCTGTTGCATGGTTGGATAGGGACTCGGGAGTGGAGGTCGTAACAACAATGGCAGGGTAACCAATTAAGCGAGAGCTTATGGGTGGGCACTGACCTTAGCTGCCTGCCGCGTGGGCATGCGGTCGGGGTACCTTCATCTTCATGCCTGCAGGTATCGATCGGTATCACTCGAGGTTCCCCACTACAACCACAACCACCACTGCTTGAACTGCAACTGCACTGCACCCACCACAACCACCACAACCACCACTACACCACAACCACAACCACTACAACCACAACCACTACAACCACAACCACTACAACCAGATATGGAGCATCTGCTCAATGCCCCCGTGGTGGGGCCGTACATGCTGCAGGAACTCGTCGAGGATCTGCCACTAAACACCCCCGAAAACGACCATGTAGATATTACATGCCTAGAGGCATGGGAGCAGAACCTCTATGTCGGTACCTCTGCACACGAAATCTTGCATTTCGTCTCTATCCCACCTACCCCAGCTCCTGTCTCATCAAGCGAGCCTCCAAGGCCCATTTACATACTTGCATCTCGTCTGCAGCCTCCTTCAACTAGAACGGAGCCTTCTATGCATATCAAGCAGATTGTCATAATCCCAAATGTTGCAAGAGCGTGCGTGCTTTCCTCCACAGGGTTCCTGTCATTTTATACCTTGCCGGAATTTTCGCCAGTGTCTGGCGCAAAGCTCAAGGAGGCCTCTTTCATTGGAGCTCTAGACCTGAACGAGGAGGAGTATGAGAGACGGGGCGGCGAAATCAGTGATGAGCGAGGGAAACAAGTGATAGTTCTAGCTAGGCAGTGCTTACGGATGATCCGTGTCGGGAGCTCCGTGCGACAGATCAAGCCTATAGATCTACCCACAGCTCCAATAAAAGCCGTGCGAAGAGGTGTGATAGCTTGTATCGCAAACACAGAGAACTATGCGTTAATAGATACCGATCAAATTCGCCAGATTCCGCTTTTCCCAATATCTTCAAACTTTGGAGATGAACCTGCTCCACCTCCACCTCCACCTCCACCTCCGCCCCCACCTCCACCCCCCACCCCGCCCGCCCCGGCGCCAGCGCCAGCGCCAGCTATGGAACGGTCTGCGTCCAGCTCTTCAGCGCCTATGTCAAGAACGCCTTCGGGGTCCCATCCTCCGCGAACATCATCACTCAGTGGGAACCGGGAGAGAAGGAACAGTTCTGCTGCAATGACCCGAGAACCAAGCACCGGTGCCCCACACATTAGATCTAGTAGCGCAAGTAACATTGGCCTTGGGCGACCTGGTTCGAGGGCTAGTGGCACCCGTGCGAAAACACCATCCCGGCTATCAGTTCCAGGCGCCTCTACATCGAGGCCAACGTCGCCTGCTCCAGCCTCGCCAAATTCGCCCCAGTCGAGCTCTCCTACTACCCATGCTCCAGGGCCTTCAAGTGGGAGCAGGAGAGCTTCTAATGCCTCTTCGGCTGTGCAAAGCCCTGGCCTTGGCCCATCGAGGTCAAGAACCTCAACTCCAGTACCAACCGTTTCAAACAGGCCGTTGCTACCACATATTGCCTCGCCAACCCCTTGTGAGTTCCTTTTAACAACAGGGACACGATGGGAAGACCCTGGAGTGGGGTTGTTTGTGAGTGATGAAGGTGATGTTACAAGAGGAACGATCAGCTTCGAAAGGTATCCGGAAGATATCCTGATTCAGGGAAGCTGGGTTATTGCCATTATTCCAGGCCGAGGAATAGAAGTTCAACGCTGGGACCTCGAGGGTGGAGATGCCGAGGAAGAGGATAGAAAGGGAATGTTGGAAATGGATTTGGATGGGTCGAGACTGGGCATCAAGGAAGTAAATGGCCTTGATGGAAGTGTAGTTGGTGGGGTCGTGGCAAAGCTGAGGCTAGAGCGAATATCTTTGAAGCCAGAGGCCGAGAGCGGTGATGGTGGTGAGGAATTGGGGAGAAGGGAGATGGAGGAGAAGGTTATTGCGGGACGAATTTCAACCGTGGACAGCAGGGCTGTTGTTTTCAAGGGAAAGAAAATATGGGTTTTGGTGCAAAGCCCATTGGCACTACGATTGGACTCTAAGCTGCCAATGGTCACAGCAGAAACGCTCGACGAGACGCCTAAAACAAGAGTGGAAAACATTCTAAAGATACTTCGAAAGGTTGACGCAATCGAGCCAAGCACTGAGAGGGAGTTCCATGAGGTTGCTTATATACGGCAGAAAGGAGGCCTACTGCTGCTAGGAGAGTTCCTCCGGCTCCCGACGTTTGAAGGCACCGAGATCGAGCAACAGGAAGTTATTATGACCGAGGAGGCGCTCATTGAAAGCGCCCTCGACCCAAGACTTGTCCTGGCGCTTTTTGGTGGAGACTTTAAGAACGATATCGTGATGAGTCATGGTGGTATTTGGGTTTATGGAGGTGTAAAACAGGTTTTTAACGCTATTTCTGAGACTCGATCTGAGGGAGCGTTCAGGAGGGATACATTACTACTTCTCAAGCGCTACCTAGCTGTTTGGAAAAGAAAGAAGGGATTCGGAAGTATAGCAGACGAAAAAGAGATCTTTGCGACTGTCGACATTTCCTTGATCCGAGTAATACTCATGCTCGATTCTCCAGAATATCTTCCTCAAAAGGGTACAACTTTGGTTCCCGAAGGAAACGTTAGGGCGGAACTTTATACATTGGTTGAGAAAGACGTAGAAGACTTTGATGGGACAGCAAAACTTCTAAATGATTTCGGAAGGCTTTATGTCCTCAGTATACTTCTCCAAAGCAGGAAACTTTTCCGAGAGGTCTTGGGAACGTGGAAGAGACTTTTAGAAGAGGGGGACGCTACAGGAGAGTTTGGCGACGGTGAAGAAAGGGTCAAAAAGTATCTACTAGGCCTAAAGGATAGGGCACTAGTTGAAGAGTTTGGTAAATGGCTGGCAGCCCGAAATCCAAGGTTGGGCATTCAAGTTTTTTCGGATGAGAGGGCCAAGGTCAGATTTGAACCTGCAAAAGTTCTGGAAATCCTGAAAGAGTATTCGCCCACAGCTGTAAGAGGCTATGTCGAGTCCCTTGTTGAAAGGGGGAACAAAGAATACGCAGATGAGCTGATATTCTTGTACCTTGATGATTTAATAAATGTCCTCGACACCTCACCTTCTGCCTGTGAGCGACTTCAGCTCTCTTACGAGTCTTACAGGGCTCTTACTTCGCCGAAACCTACATACCGCGAATTCATTGTTGACAACTCATCGCCGTCATTCGAAGGTGATGGGCAAAATGATTGGTGGAGGGATCGGTTACGATTTCTCGAACTTTTAGGAGGCGAGGGGAGCTACGATATCCCCAAAGTCCTTGCACGCCTGAGCAAATTCAGAGATGTGCTTGTCCCTGAGATGGTTATTCTCTATGGAAAAGAAGCCCGTCACGAAGACGCTATCCGGTTACTCACACATGGCTTAGAAGACTTTGATACAGCTATCAACTACTGTCTCTTTGGCGGACTCAGCATCTTTCAAACACGTAAAATAATCACCGATCGTGAGGAGCAGAAAGCACTGTTTGCAATACTTCTAGGGGAGTTTTTGAAGCTGGAAGATTATGACGACCGATTAGAACAAACGAGGATGTTGTTGGAAAGATTCGGCGGATGGTTGGATCTGGTGCATGTTTTAGAAGTTGTGCCTGAAAATTGGAGCGTTGAAACACTGTCTGGTTTCTTGCTAAGTGCGCTGCGGCAGATGGTAAGGGAGAAGGCGGAAGTGAGTATTTTAAGAGGACTAAGGAGCGGTGAAAACCTGAAGGTTGAAGGCGCGTTTGTGGATAAATGTGATGAGATTGGTCCTTCGATCGAGAAGTGATTTATGGGTATTTGGTAAACGTGGGTAACTGTTTTTCTTAGATTTCCAGGGTGCTTTTTTAAAGCATCCATGGATAAAAGGTTGTTTCCTGGGGGTGCAGATACCGTGTAAATCTAAATAGGGAGGAGAGCGTAGTGTGATCTCCAAACCTTCTATATTGCTCTAGAAATGATACCAAACACATCTACTACTAAGTGAGAGTTGGGTGTGCGAATATAGTAGTAATCGTGGCCGGCACATATTTTTTTAAGTATCCGCCTGCTTTTCTTCTTTGTTTTTGTTGCTATCCCCTTAACCTTTAGACCCGGGAAATATTATACGTGCTTCTTTTATGCTAGACTACATATACCTTTAGTATTCAAAAGTCCAGTGGTTGTTTTTGCAAGCGTCGCGGGTGAATTAACAAAACATATTGGTGTGTTTCTAGTATTCAGGGGTGTTTGGTTAATCACCACTAGATGGTTAAAACTTGCCACCGAGTAGTAAGGTATCTAGAGAAGGCATTTAAGTACTCAGAATGCAAAGACACTAAAAGCATAGAAGATGAGATTATTGAACTATATGGAACTATATGGAACTAAATCACACTTTTTGTGGGATGACTTTGAGTGGTTGTTTGGGGCGGTTATAAAGTTGACGACTGTTGATTCTGAGCTTTGATGGGGTTTTCCTCGACAACGGTTGGCAACACCCAACTACCAAACACCCCCGGATACGAGAAACACACCTATAGTATGAGTGTGCACGTAACTGCATATGATATCACTCGCATTCACATGCCTGTAAAGTCACGTGAATCGACTTAAGAGTGGTTTTAACTTACTAAGACGTAGTTGGTCACGTGCTTTTATCCCCCAGTCAGTTGGCTGCAGAGATGAGTTTCCACTATCCCAACTTTTCAGAGGAGCACACTTAACATCAAACCTCAAGAACATCCTCATCATGAGTTTTATTACACGGAGAGCTATTGGGCGCCGCCTTGGCTCAGTAAACTCAATCAATTCAGGCTTCCAACCCCGCACCTCTGCTGCCTACCTACTCCCACGATTCGTTACCAATGCTGCTGCTACCAGTGAAGGCCCTGCGGCAAACTCCAAGCCCGAAAAGATTTTGAGTACAGGTCTCAAAGACTCTCCTGAACTTATCGTTGACGAGGGTCTTGGCCCCGACAAAAAAATTGATTGGTCAAAATCGTTCCATGGTTTGTCGGTAGAACCATTCAGCAAAGAGACTGCAGATGTACTACTTGCACCTCTAGACCCAGAGGATGTAGAAGTCAAGCCTGGTATTCAACTCCTTGGCCTTTAAATTCATCATAATTGAAGCGGATAATTAACAGCTCTGTAATTGTTGGTAGACGGAATCATTTACCTGCCCGAAATCAAGTACCGCAGAATCCTGAACAAAGCTTTTGGCCCAGGTGCTTGGGGCCTAGCACCGCGAGGGGAGACAATTGTGACCGATAAGGCTGTTACAAGAGAATATGCTCTCGTCTGTAATGGAAGGTACGATTTTGTTTGCACAACGAGCTCTTGGGACCTAATTAATTCGTGAGATAGACTAGTCTCAGTTGCGCGTGGCGAGCAGGACTACTTTGACCCGAGCGGAATCCCAACAGCAACCGAAGGATGCAAGTCTAATGCACTTATGCGATGTTGTAAAGATCTCGGTATTGCCAGCGAGCTATGGGACCCTCGTTGGATTAGGGGTTTCAGGAAGAAGTATTGCGATGAGAAATTTGGAGAGCACCAGCTGACCAAGAAGAAAAAGAAGTTGTGGGTCAAGAAGGGAGATACATTGGAATACCCGTACAAGGTTGTTGGTTTTTAAGGTGATTAGGCTATCCTTCTAGGTTCAGGGAGTTCTATTTTCTTTTTTTCTTTTGTTTTTGTTTTACTACTGTAAGATAAGACTGTCTGGGGGTAAAAGACTAGATATACACCGAAATTCCCCTCATTGATATTTTGTAAAGCTATCAGACGTTTAAACTAAAAATCAGGTTACATTTAAATCTTTGACGTTACGGCATAGTGATAATCAGGCTGGGCGAGGTCAGCTCTGATTTTATAACTGTCCTCTGCGTCCTCCAAAAGCTGAAGGTCAATTTCCCCAATCACCATCTGCTCATCAGTCCCGTTAGCCTTAGCTATAGGTCCCACCAACGGCATGGTGATTTGCGATAGCCCAGCGAATCCACTCCCCTCGTGGCCACCAGCATTGGAGAAGATGATAGCAGCAACATTCTCATAAGCTCTTGAAACTACTATGGATTGTAAGAATATGGCTTCTGAGTCGGGATACCGACTGAAGGTGGCCACATCAAGATCTTTCAGTGTCCCTTTGAATCATAGTCAGCATTAAAACGCTGCTCGAGCAGTAGTTATAAAGAGGATAGCTACAGGGGTCTTTACAAAATGTTGGAATGATGATGATATTAGCGCCTTGGGTTATAAGGGCTCTGAATGCCTCGGGGACTATAGCTTTATGTAAGATACCGGAGTAATTTCGGTTGATAGTGGAATATTACATGCAAGGTCCCAGCATATCAGAAGTCCCACCTTTCCTAGCGGGGTATCTATGACGGAATGAGGATTATGTCCAGCGGCCTCAAGAAGACCTCTTTCCGTATGCCTTGTATTTCTCAGCATTATACGCAAATAAAGTAGGAATATGTCAGCTGGAGCTGACAGACGGGTGGGTCAAGCTAGGTATTCACCACAAGTTCTTTTTTGTATAAGAGCCCAGTACATCGCCTGTATTCGATATGAAATAGGCAACGTTGTAGAGCATTTCCTTGCCGTTCTCTTCGTCTGGGGAGACGTGCTTTTCCACAAAGGTTCCGGGAACAATATTGATATTGCATTCTTTTGCCAATTCCTACCGCCCAAAACTTCAGCAGGGTGAAAGAGCAAGGCCCGGCACGAAAAGGGCATCTCACGCAGAATTTGGCCAAATATGTCCTGTCATCAGCAGCATCTGCAAAGTGCGGCTCCTTCGGTACCCAGCTTGTTAAACAATATTCTGGAAGTACGGCTAGCTCTGCCCCTTCTGTTGCAGCTTGCTGTATGAAGGTTTTAGCGCGTTGGAAATTCGCCTCCATTTGCATAGGCTTTGGATGCAATTGAATCACAGCGCATTTGAACTTTTTGGCAGTCATTCCGGAGAACTGCTAGCTTGACGTATGGAATCAGAGGTATCTAAAGATCCGTATTAGAGAGAGAGGTGGATAGATCGAGGAAATATATATAGATGCGGTGACTAAATAAGTGTAAATGTAGCTTAAGGTTACGAGTACATGCGGTTAGGCCTTGTAGTTGTCAAGGTAGGTGCAGGTAGATGACGTGACAAAACACATATCTTGTATCTCTACACAAGTATTTACAGTCCGAATTGTAGTGAAACATTTCCTTCAGGCTACTAAAGGAAATTTATACTGCATGAAAGGAAACCAAATTTATCAAAAAGAAATGATTAAACAATGAAAATTTTCATTACTTTATTAAATAGTCTTTCCGAACACTGTCCCAGCAGTTGCTGTAGTTCTCTAGCCTATGATGTAATCATCTACTCTATAATATCGAGCGAATGCAGGGCAAGCCCTAATTGCCCCACAGGCTTCTTGGCGAGGGGTTCCACAGGCGCAGATCTAGCGATAGCGGGAAAAAATAAATCGATACAGAACGTCAGATTCCCTCCTCAATCACGACACCCATTACCTCCTGCTCGCTAATATGCTGTCGGGTCAAAGAACAAACGGCGGCAATATGCACGATTACGATGATGATGTTGACGACGAAGTTCTCGCTTCAACCATTGTTGAAGCCCTTCAGGACGATGGCGAATACGATGATATAGAACCAAGGTCTGGCAGCCTCCAGCTTTCGGGGGACGATATTCAACAGCGGCTAGCATCTGCCGCTCAACCTTTGGAATTTCAGGCGACGCTAGGCGCCCGATTTGCAAGCTATGACAACTACTGCAGTCTCTTTCACTTCATTCTAAACTCTGATGGACCGGTGGATCTCGAGCTTCCAACTGTGAGTTGATCTTGGGATCTTTGTTGCGCATTTTTTTAGCCCATATGGCTTTGGGTTAGCGGACTTTGGTCAAGGAGGGTGAGTTGGTAGGGACCGAAGGATGTAAGAGCTAATGATATGGCGAGGATAGTACTACTGGGCTTGGGATGTTATCGATGAATTCATCTACCAGTTCAACAGCTTCTGTATCCACCGCAACAACGTCGCAAGGAAGGGACAGAATGAGGAGGAGAAGCAGCTGTTACGAGACAACCCACAGACATGGGGATGCTACAGTGTTCTCAACGTCCTTTACTCGCTAATCCAGCGTTCCCAAATGAATGAGCAGCTCGCTGCTATCAAGAGAGGAGAGGATCCAAACGAAGTTGCCGGTGAATATGGTTCTCGCCAACTTTATAGGATGTTGGGATACTTCAGTATCATCGGGCTTCTCCGTGTGCACTGTCTTCTTGGCGACTTCACACTTGCCCTGAAGACTTTGGATGATATCGAGTTGAACAAGAAAGCAGTTTTCGCCAGAGTTATGGCTGCTCACTTCACAACGTGAGTTCTAAGGTGTCAAAAACATCTCTTATAATTTGGTAACTAAACATGAAAGCAGATACTACTATGTTGGTTTCAGCTACATGATGATGCGCCGCTATGCCGACGCTATCAAGGCATTCTCTCACATCCTTGTCTATGTTTCCCGGACCAAGAACCTGGGGAAGAATGCCCAATTCGACTCTGTTAGTTCCCTGAAGCACCCATATAAACAAGTACTAAGACAATTCCTGATTAATTCGGTATATAGATTACCAAGAAGAACGATCAGATGTATGCTCTAATTGCTATCTGCGTTGCTCTCTGCCCGACTCGTCTTGACGATACCATCCACGCTACTCTTCGTGAGAAATACGGCGACCAGTTCCAGCGTATGCAACGTGGAGGTCTTGACACTCTTCCCATTTTCGAGCAGCTCTTCAATTCTGCCTGCCCCAAGTTTATTTCTCCTATCCCCCCAGATTTCGACAAGCCAGAGAACAATATCGACCCTGCGCAGCACCATCTTGCGTGCTTTATGTCTGATGTTAAGAATGCCATGCTTGGACCAACTCTGAAGAGCTTCCTCAAGCTTTACACAACCCAGGACTTGCATAAGCTTGCAGGTCTCATTGATCTCAAGCCGGAGGATCTTAGGAGGCAGTTACTTGTTTACAAGCAGAGGAGCAGGCAGACTAGGTGGAGCGAAGGTGGACTTTTAGAAGGTGACATCGTCAATACTTCGGACCTGGACTTTGCTCTTGAAGGGGTACGCTTTCATAATTACCGCTTGATAACAAATGCAATATTTAATACGAATACTGATATGAGCCTTGCACTAGGACTTGATCCACATCTCCGAGGCTAAAACTGGACGAAAACTTGTAGACTGGTACCTAAGGAACCTTGCCAGAACTTACTAGACAATTCAAACTGGAAGGTGCGGAAATAGGGCATAGAAAGAAACTAGATGTTTGATAAAGTCGGATTTTACTATCATACTCTATCAAGGTCGAAACGTTACTAATGCGGTTGGATGGTTTGTTGGCGGCGGTGTCTCTGGATTGATTTTTCTCTTTTTTTTTTTTTTTTTTTTTTTGTGGGAAACCCTGGTGCACGATATCAGTAAAGAAAAAAAAAATTGAACCATAGATTGGGTGCATTTCTATCGGTGCTCAGGGGGCCTCATTTTTCTTGGTTTTCACTGATCCCTACGCGCACACCCGATAGGTGAATATAAAGATCGTTGTTTCTTCCAAACTACATGTATCTATGTAGTTTGTTTTGCCCATGACCACTGTCATGAGTCATGTGATATCACTCGGATACCTATGTACTACATGTATGCATGTCTCAAATATTTCTGATAGATACATAGAATATGTCTCCCAAGGCCTCTATATACGGGCAATAGAAGGCTCATGAAAGCTAATCCCCCAACCCCGCGCATGTATAAACCCAGACCTGAATGCGATACGATTTTTGACAATGATAAACGGAAAGTTCATTTTACACCTAAACTTTCACCTCGAGCTCTAAGCTGTATATGTGTATCTTCAATGGCACGAGAACTTCGGCCCCCTATAGAGAGGGTATCGTATATACACCATAATACCACCTGCTGGTGGTCCTCTACACCTTTTCCTCCACACTATTCCCTTGGTGTATACAGATAACTACACTCTCCCTAGACGGCACCATCGAAACAATAACCAAGATATAAGCCCAAGGCTTACATGTAACCCACAGACACCACAAATCATACATTCCATGCCAATCAAGTGTCCAGGAAGAAGATGAAATGAACTCTCCACCAAACCCAGTAAATTCAAATCTGGCGTGATTCATCAAGAACATCTACCTATGAAAAGCCACTTGTCTACAGGGACACTAGGACGTGATTGATATGGTGTACCAACAATCACAGCGGATCGACGGCAAAGGCTATAATGGCAGCCCTAAAGTCATGACTTCCGGCCTCAGAGCCTCGATGATGGCACATGGAGGAAGCCTTTATGAATGACTTGAAGGAGGGACCCACCGGATTAATGCAACCTCGAAGATAGACTACATGTATCTACTAGGGCCGTGGCCGGACAGTAGACAATCGCGGACATGCCTTAGCTACCTAGTGATCGACTATCTTTGGTGACTTCAATAAGGGGCAATATCACGTTAGTATTACGCCTACCGGAGTAAGTTCTCCGACTATTGCAACTATGGCCGCAGCCAACAAACAGACTTATCCGGCAGTTGTGGTTTATTACTAGACCGAGTGATGATTCATGATCGAGTATTTATACACACTACATGTACGTAACATCCGCGAACCAGGTTAAGCGCTTCAAATTCCTTTGAGGCATGCATGTGCTAACTTTGGATCATAATCCATAGAGTGCAAGAGGCTTATGTGAAGGGCACTTGTAAGACAGTATGTAACCGCATTATTTTCGAGCTCTACTATGCTAACGTTCTCGTCAAACAGCGGACAACACTACTAGAATAGATTGATATAAGCATGATTATGAATGATCCAGTGGTGATTTTACTAGTAATGTAATGCAATTTTGACTTTTATTTTTGATTAACCTTAACTATAGGCTATGAACTTATAAAAGCAACCGTTTCGTGCTTCCTTCCAACCCCAAAACAACTAATGCTAAACCTCCGTATGATACCATCACGTACTCAAGCGCGTTTATAGTTAAAAGCATTCATTGAGCCCATCATCAGAAGCTCTGGGAGTTGTTGAGAGGGACTTCCCCATTTCCTTGGAGCTAAGAGCTCCAATAGCGTTAGCAACCTCTGGGGTTGACACTTTGGGGTCTTGCACACGGCTGCTCTCGCCTTTCCCCGAGGAAGAATAACCTCTCTCCGGTGAATAGTTGATAGAACTAGATCGAGGACTAATAGGCAATGGCTTGCTTAAGTCCTCAAACATCCTGATAAGTTTCACAGGCAGGGGGCGTGGTGGAGAAGCTACAACTGGAGAAGTGATAGGGTTTCTGGAGGCTCTAGCCATGCGGCGAGGGAAAAGCCAATTCGAAGTCTCTTCAAACGGGACATTTCCCTTCTTACTATTCTCCGAAATATCAGTTTTCTCTGATGTTGGCAAGGGTAGCAATGGGGACGGTGTCCTTGCTCCTGTATCTTCTGCATCTAGATGGTAGGGACAATCCGCACTATCATTCTCAGAAACGGGAGAATCCCGGAGAAGATATTCTCTATCAGAGGATTGGGATATGGGGGAGGGCTTTGTATATAAAGGTCAGCGAAATCGAATAAGAGAAGAAATGAAGATCATGGTATACCCAGCGGACAGCTCTCGTTGAACACGGCGACGACAGCATGCTACCCTCGTCCCGTCCTTCTTCATTCACTGGCTTCATGACCTCCACGCCTTTTTCGGCCCATTTCCCCATAGAAAGCTTCCATTTATCCTCTTCATCACCTGTTTGTTGTGGGCTTATAGGGTCAGAGATATCGTAAGCATCATCAAACCCTTCCCAATGTTTGCAGCAATCACTATCTTCAGAGTCAGATGGGGCTTCGCCCTTCCCTGGCGACATCTCAAGATTGCCAAAATTGCAATCCTGTTTTAAAGTGGCAGACGACCCTTGAAGGAGCTGGAACTCGTTCGGTGTGGGCGTTAAGCTTCGTGGTCCGACCACTTCTGGGCTTGGGTCAAGAAGATTAGCTCTTGATGTACGATGTGCCAACCCCCACCTCTGCAACTTATCCAGGCGCGGCCGTTCGAGCGGTTCAAGGTGTGGACTATCCATCCAGTGCGGATCATTAATCATCACGGGTCTAAAGTTCTCAGATTTCGATTGGTCCTCGCCTTCTTTTTTTCCAATTGACCCTTTCAGTTTCATTTCAGCGATCAAATCCTTGTATTTACGATTCCACCCAATTGTCATAGATGTCTCTTTGTTCAATTCAGCAGGCAATATATTGTCTGGTTTTTGGGCAGCGCCATGATCAGACATAGATATTGTTCTCAAATCGGCAGATAGTTTATCCCGAAGGTCAGAAGTAAACAGTTTCCTCTCAAGTTTTTGAGAAAGTGCTGAAATACAATCTTCAGCTTGACAGCCAACGTGTTGAACATTGTTTGTTTTTGCCTGAGTTGATTCAGAGATTCCCAGGATTAGTGTGCTCCCGGTATCATCGGTAACGAACATTCTGTCAGAGGATGCTATATAATCTGAAAAATTCGCTTTTTGCACCCTTATTCGAAGAGAATCGTCCTTGCTGGAGGCCCAGGCCGTATCAGACGCAGGAGAAGGCCAGCGTTTGGGAGATGGCACATATTCGTCGGGGTATTCCATTTCGCCAGGAGAAAGTTCAAATGGACTTGGTGTGTTACTCTCCACCTGCTTCCCAACTGACCAGTGTGGGGAAATTCTTCTCCTTGATAAATCAAAGATTTTATGTTCTGGTGTTTTCAGGTATCCGTCAACGCAAATCATACTTCCTGCTGAGCGATAGCTCGGAGAGGAGGAGTCACTCGTGTTGTATTTCAGGGAACTATCCCGAGATGCCCCAACAGAAATGTTCGAATATCTTCCAGAATGGTGTGTGACGCTCATACCAGTCCTAGAAATATCAGGGTTCATCCCTGAAGATGATAAGTGGTGTTTTTTTCTTGGATGACCACGATTCGAGCCTACATCTTCACTGAAATCAGAGATGAAACTTTGTCGACGGAAATTCAAGACCTTCGTTCCGGGAGGCACACAGCGGTAATCGTTATTCTCACTACCTATGTGATTAATAGTTTAAACTGTAGCGAAGGGAATACTAACCAGTCAGAGAAAATAAGATCTGGTTTTTGCTCTATACCAACAAAGGCGGCAAGATTTTCCGCTACAGATTGCAAGACATCTCGAAGAGAGAATATATCTAGGCCATCATGAGCAGAATCGTAGATAAGCCAAGCACAAATGACAGTTATTGCGAGAAGCCTTCACAAGGTTTAGATAATGGCTTTAGAGAAGGAAGTCATGAGGAAATACCCAGATAATAGTAGCAATAGACCACATAAGACAAACAAAATTAGAAAAGAAGCAAAGAACCATGTCAAAGGACTTGGATATGGTATACAGAAACGCTGTATCTGGATATCCAGCGAGTTATTCATGTTCGCTTGAATGGTTGCAATAATGGTTGCTAAGAAAAAGGATTTGGTTGAAAGAGCTAATGGATGCCAGGATGGATGAATATGGCGAGAGGGAGCGTAGGCTACATGTATCTACAGCAATTGGAATCAAGCTAGACTACTAGACTACACCCTTGCTTCACCTCTTATCACTCTACCACAAAGCCGGGTAACAGGTGCCAAGACATCCAACTTAGTGGGCCTTAAACTTCTGGAGTGAGCCATCCTGGCGGCTCCCATTCCTCCCCCAGTTACTCAATAGCCAACGACGGTTGCGGAATTTCTTAAATCAACCACAACATAACCTCCCACTCCAAAGCTTGACACTCCCTAATCAATCATCGTCAACATCGAAGGTTCTCCTCACCCATAGTTTACAGCCTAATCTCAGATATGTCAAACGCGAAAGCCATCTCCCTAGACGATATGATCGCCGAAAGTAAGCTGTTCCGCACTTCACGCGTGTCCACCAGTGGCAGCTGCTTACATTCACCCTTGCAGATCGTCGTGCAAGAGCTTCTGAGATCGCCAGCGCGACCATGGGTAGACACCGCAGTCAAGGCTCAAACGTACCTACGGGACCCGCGAAACTAAACGGACGAGGGAGTATTGGAAAGGTACGCCCTTGATCAACGAAGCAGAAAACCCCCGTCATCGTACTACTCCTCCATCTTTTGCCTGCAATCTGCCCACCTCTCCCCTCCAGCCACGAATGAATAAAAGAGGAGGGGGAAAGGGTATAGGGGAGAGGAGGTAGTAATGCAGGAGGGAAAACTACGCTACCTCATTCTTCTTATCGTCCTCGGGATCTGAAACCTAACGGCAAGCTTTGAATCACAGCGCGCCGCGGCCTCTGGCAGTGGCATCGGCAACTTGGCCCCGGCCACTGGCCTCAACGGAAAATGGACACACGACCTGCATCAGCATAACAACGCATCGCGAGTGTCAAAGCTCCCTACGACACTTTCACCCGCCATTGCCCGCTCCCTCCAGGGCAATAGACTTTTCGCAGCCCTGCATGGGGCGCAGACACCTACCGGCCCGTCGGCAGATCTAATTCCTAGTGGCCCGAGAAAGAATCGTGGCGCAAACATCCGCGGTCAAGCCTCTGGCTTCTCGATCAAAGGTTTCGCAGGGCCGTTCGTGGTCCAAGCGTCGAATTTTGCACCTGGAACCACAGCGGAAGACATCAAGATGGCAATGTTGCCACTGGGAAAGATCCTGAGCTGCATCATCCTCTCTGCAAACCCTACGGTCATATGTGAGATCGTTTTCGAAAAGAAAGAAGCTGCAGATCAGTGCATTCTACAATACAACAACCAGCTTGCTGATGGTAAATTATTTTCTTCTTTGTTTATCTCCCTCGCGAAGTTGCTCTTGCTGACACGAAAAGAAGGCCGCCTTCTTCACCTTACGCTTAAGCCTGGTCCACCAGTCAGTAGGCTCATGCATCATGGCGGAGCCGCTCCAAGACCGCCTCCTAGACAGACAGACCCGAATGTGGCTCGCGAGGAAGCCGATCGTCAGCGTAGGTTGACCAATATCAGCTACCAAGACGGAAGCTATGGTGTTAGGCCACCACCACTGTATTCCGATGCCCTTGTTCAGAGAGGGCGGGGGTTTAACAACAGCCGATAAACGGGGAAATATTTGCTCTCTAATTTCTATATTCTATTAAGAGATTCTATCAAGTGGGGGTGGGGTTAAATGAAAAAAATGAGTGAAAATCAGCTTTGACCTGGTCGGTCCTAGGGTCTGCTGCAAGGGCGGAGGGTCTCTTATCTCTTATCTATGTACCTGTTTTCAGGCAGAATAGGTTAGACCCCTGCCTTGCTTGCTTGCGTTGGTCTGGGGTTGTCTTGTCTTTGTATGATAGCTATCTTTCTCTCATATGGCCTTCTTCCTACCCTTGTTTAGGTATAAATCTTAGCTCTTTCATCAATCTGTTGATTAATCATCGATTGATAGAGACTTTATCACTTATTATTCTTCCTTTTCCTTATTTGGCCTTTCCTAATCGCATGTTTTTCTTGATGTTTTTACTATCTTTTCTTTCTTCTTTAATCATTAGGATGCTTACGGGATTGGGTTGGGAACACTGGAAATTTATCGTTTACATACCTTCAAAACCATTGTACCTTCTCACTGTGAATCGGAACACTTGGTTTTAGCACTTTTTGCGTTGACAGCATTTTGTTGACAAATCCCCTATTCCGTATTGTCCGAGATATCAAATAACTATATCCAAGGGCCAGAGTATTAATCCAGGCGATTCCCTGAGTGTATATATATACACCAAAAAAACTGAGGATTTCCGTGGAGAAAATGAGTAAAATATCCCAGTATGACATTCCAGTGAGGAGTACCCTGTGAAGAATCTCTGTAGACTACAAGTCAAATAAACACATGACCTGTTCAACCGGATACGCGTTTTATTCGATCTTTTTCAAGGAATGTTTCCCGCGTGAGTAACGAGTGATATTCCATGATTGTCTGTTTCAATCCCTTCCTCCACCAATCCGATCTCTTGCCCGCCAACTCATAGATTGTTCCTGTACAGTGAGAGGTAGAAACAGGGGTCTAAAAACAGGGTTTCTGTGGCTGGGCAAGCCAATAGGACTCCTCCCATATTTCTAACACTCACATAAGGTTTTCTCACAACCGCCACCATCTCATGCACATACCCATTCCACTAGAGGGTCCGGCCGGTTGAATCACACATCCAGCTGCATAATGCAAACTCCCCTCCGGTGGCGAGGTTTCGCGGAGAAAAAGAATCTAGTTTTATTGGTCAGTATGATATGACTAGAGGAACGAATGTTCCTTGTTGGTCTGATCGGAACCAGCTGCAGGTGCCTCCTTGTGAAACGGCCCTTTTTTGCCCTGTCCCCATGAGTATTTGGTAATGCACTAATCAGTCACTAGAAACTTTATCAATTTTGGTCAAAATTGATGGTTGCAGGGATTATTTTGCTGGGTGGCGAATAGCATTTTTCAGAATTGACTGTTGGCCTAAAGCTTCTATTGAACGCCCCGAAATCTAGAGCTTATCAGAAATGCATAGATCTTCTTTATAGCAATAGTTAAGCCATTCAAGGATGTGCTTAAGCTTCAATCAATTGATAGTAAGATATGAACAAGAATAAGATCCCCGGAAAACTCGTAGCAGCATCCCAGAAAGGAAAAAACAGTTTGAAGCAAATAGTAAATTTTGAAGGGAAAAGGAAAAGGAAACCGATCCTCCCAGACATTAGTTAATAAGAAAAGAAGAAGAAAAAAGACAGAGAAGCGGTGACCCATTAAACTATTCAGAACCGTAATGAAAAAAGACAAACTTTTGTATCATCAATGACTCCCAACAACCAAACCACCCCCCGCCCCAATTTTTCCCCTACGATGGTTGCGTAAGAAGTAGATCTTCGTACACATACCCTGCTGCTCCCCGATATTTTTTTTACCCACTCCTCCTCTATCAGCAGCGAATCCGTTTCTCGATCCCAAATCACCATACGAGTTTCCCCGCAAGAAGCAACTAAACCCTCCCTGACATGAAAAATCGTGGAAACATCATGAGGGAAAAAAACCTTTCGTTAAATCCAAAAAAAAAAAAAAAAAAATAGAAAAAGGAAGAAAAAAAGCCAATTAATCAACAATATAGGTTGATTTACAATGAAAAAAGATACTATAAAGCAAGCCCACTAGATAGACGCCAATCTAAACGATCTAAAGCCTGCGCCCGCACACCCATTTTTTTATGATAAAACTTATTTAGATTCTGCTGTGGGAAGTGGGGAGCGAGATCGTCCAAATGCCGATGCAGCCGTCGGTGGAGACGAAGCTGGAGGAGACGTAGCATCGTTATGCTCGTTGGATTCATGATGTGCTGAGCCGCCATCTTGCAACGCACTATCAAGATATCAGTTAACAGAGATATACTTTTAGGAAGATCAGACTGGGTCTACGAACCTAAAGGGGTTGGCGTGGGATGTAGAAGCCTTTGCAGGTGGGTTGGCTGTTCGTGAGTTAGATTCATCCATTCTGGTCGGGCCAGCTCCAAAACCTGTTCCTCTCCTGCTACCACCACTGCTGGAACTGCGTGATCCCAGCATACCGCCAGGACCAAAGCTATTAAGACCAGAACTGACTTGTCTTGATTTCAGCTTCTTCAAGTCCTCAGCATTGACCTGGCCGCCACGGCTCTGGTCTGGGGGATGCATCTGGTTGCCATAGCCAGAGAAGGAGCGGCCATCGCCACCACGTCCGCCTCCGCCACCGCCACCAGGTCTACGTTGGTTGGCGCGCGACGCAGCTTCCTTTTCTTGTTGTGCCTTGAGAGCATCTTCTCTAACCTCCTGTATCGTCTTTGGACCTTTATCGGCTTCCTTTGTCTCCCAGTTCTTGCGTCGAAGATCAATGATATCCTAGACAATGTCAGTTCATAGCTTTGTATATAGAAATAACCAATTAAACTTACCATAAGCATGAATCTCATACGGCTATTAAGCTCCTTATCTTCCGACATGCGGCCAATACGAGTAAAGTACATGTCCATCATGCCTTTGCTCTTTTCTGATGCATCCAATTGGAAACCGATAGTCTTGAGAAGCTTGCACAAACTCTCGACAGTCTCATCCTCTGGAAGGCCTTCGAAGTCGAGAAGCTTTCGAACACACTCGTTCATAATACGTTCAGTAAGCATACCCAACTTAAAGAGTTCTCCGATGAATTGAACAAGACCAAGACCACGACGCTTCGCAGCTGCAGCGATGTAGTATTCATCAGAAAGCATCACGGCCTCATCCGAGACACCCTCAGGCTTGGGTGGGAGATTGATTTTCCATCCTCGCTCAAATTCTTCCTGACATCTATTAAGGAGGTATTTACGGAATAGATTTCCACCAACAACAATAAGCCCATTCTTGTCACGAATGTTCTCATCCTTGATGTTGGGGTCCATAGATTCCAACATAACTTTGCAAAACTTGGCATACATGGAGGACCAAGCAGCTTCATCAGTGGCTTTCTCGAATGTAAGCTGAATGACTTGGCGGAGAGTACGTCCATCAGTCTCGAACTTCGATTGACTTGTAATTTCGAGAATCTGTCCAGCAATCTTGTCGAATTTCTCGGGCGTCATCTTGTTCAACGCAGCCTTGACTTTACGTTGCACAAGTTCGGGCGAGAGCTTGACATCCTCCGAAGGAGTTGGAGCAACTTGGGCTTCCTTGGGAGCTCCGATACTGATAGGCTTCCACCTATTCTCAGAGACAGGCAAAGGCTTGACATCACTAAGAGGTATGGTGGGCTGGCTGCTCTTTTCTCCTTGCCTAGACTCAGATCTCTCCATAGGAGCCCCAGTAGCGCCCTTTCGGCTTCCACGTGAAGACCTATTTCCGGACCTCGGGCTCTGGGGAGTGATGCCCTGGCTTGCCAACGAGCTGTTTGAGGCAGTTCGCCCAAGGCTGAGTCCTCCGGCGCGAGATGAAAAGCCTCCTCCCATAGCGGCGGCCAAGGGGTTCGGCGGCAGCGTGTTCGACCTTGATTGCTCGAACCGTTGAGCTGAGGTTAACATATTTGCTGGAAGGCTTGGCTTGAAAGACCCGAATGCACCCATTGGTGGTGGGACAGAAGCTCCAGATCTTGAACTGCCACGAGGGCCCATACTAGAAGGAGTGCGAGCGGTTGAAGGCCGTGTAGTCTCAGGTTCTCCAACGGTCTCACGCATAGTCTTGTCCCAGTCAACAGAGGGTTTTTCAGTAAAAACACCTTGGAACTGCAGTAAGAAGTCCTTCTCGTACTTGAACTTGCCGCTGGCGGCGGGGTTCAAAGCCGGGTTTGGAGAGAGGATGCCCGAGGGATAGTTGACACTGCCGATGTTCTCAATGAAGCGAGCGGACTTGAGTGCGGTGAGGGCTGCAGAAGGGGGAGCAGGTTCATTTGTCTTGATTTGAAGGTTGAGAGGGTGTGGAACCTTGCGCTTTTCATTACCCTTTGGTGGTGGCATGGACTCGCTATCAAGGGTCGCCTTCGAGGCATCTGCAGTGGAAGCCTCTTTCTCCGCAGCCTCCGCAGCCTCCGCAGCCTCCGCTTCAGCTGCTGCCTTTGCTTTTGCCTCGGCCTTCGCAGCGGCTTCCTCCTCTTCTTTGAGTTTTTGGGCTTTTTCAGCCTCAATCCTGGCTTCCTCCTCAGCCTTCTCCTTCGCAATTCTAGCTTCCTCCTCGGCCCTTTCCTTAGCAATTCTAGCCTCTTCTTCAGCCTTCTCCTTAGCCAAACGGGCTTCCTCGGCTGCTGCCGCTTCCTCTTCTTTTCGAATCCTCTCCTCTTCTTTTCGAATCCTCTCCGCCTCTTCCTTCCTGGCCTTTTCTTCCTCTATGCGGGCTTTTTCTTCTGCCTCTATGCGGGCTTTTTCTTCCGCCTCTATGCGGGCCTTTTCTTCTTCCTCTTCCTTGAGCTTGCGCTCAGCTTCTTCTTCTTTCTCGAGGCGAGCCTTTTCTTCAGCTTCCTTCTTTGCAGCAGCAGCCTCCTCTTTTTTCTTTTGCTCCTCCTCTTTCAGTTTTTTCTGCACATTAGCCCTCATCTCCTCTTGTATTTCCTGGTTTGTTTTAGTACTCTTGCTAGGATTTCGTGCGTGTTGCGAATCGCGAGAAACACCTCGACTAGGGGCAGGACTGGGTGATGAAACAATGACGGGTGAACTGTTAACGACGACAGGTGAAGGAGCTGGCTTGACGATAGAGCCGTTGTTAGGGTTCACAATCTGGATCGCCTTGTTCTTTACGGCGGTACGAGGAGGGTGATACGGGCTGCCGGGTGTTGGGATAGAGGGAGCTACTGCGTTAGAAGGGGGTACAGCAATCTGCTGAGCGGGAATGGCCGGAGCAGACATTTGTCCCATGCTGGAGTTAGGCCTTTGAGTATCCATGTGAGCCATATTGGTACTTCCTGACCGGGACATAGGCTGTGGGTAATAGGCTGTGGGATTAACAGCTGGCTGAGCATAGCCCACTCGGGGGCTGGTCGCCTGTGTCATTGGGCCGTATGCGCCATAATTTGCTGTCAAATGTGGCTGCGGGAAGTAATACATTGGGTGCTGATTGTTAGGGTCATAGTGCATGGAAGCTTGCAATCCTCCAAACTACATGGATGGTCAGCAAAATTTACGAACAATTTTATTAAAAGAAAAAACATACCTGCTGCTGAGGAGGGCCCATGTTGTAATGCTGCTGCTGAGGGGGATATAGCTGGGCTGTCCCTACAGGTTGTACGTGTGAAAGAGCTGGAGATACATGTGACATCGCTGGACTCCTGTTGACCAAACGAGGTGAATGAGGGTTATAAGTAGCAGGACCAGGCTGGTACGGCTGGTTATGTTGGGTATGCATAGGCTGCCCACGAGATTGGTTAGGGTTAGCGGGATAACCTCCTCTCCCATAGCCAGCGTTGTTGTTATACTGGTACGGCTGGTGGTGATTATTAGGCCCATAAGCGCGGTTTCCGCGACCAGCACCACCTTGCATTCCACCACGTCCACCATGATGAGCATGTGAAGGTGCCGTATCAGCAGATTCACGTCTCTGGTGGCTAGGATGAATATTGTTGTTGTTCATCCCCCTGGTCCTGCTGGTGGGGGCATGGACATGGGGCGGTTGTTCTGTTTTTCGACAAGAGTTATGTTAGATATCATTCTTTCTTTATTCAATATCATCCCGAGCTTCAACTTACATGGTTGGTTGCATCTCCAAATTGAAGCCCTCGGCTTCCAGTCCCAGACGCCTGAGGCGCGGAACCTCCACTAGCCATAGGTTGAACCATAGGAGAGGGTGAGGATTGGGGTGAATTGATCCTTTGGTTAGACGCCACTGGTGCAGTCAAAGACGCTGTGGCAGCAGAACCCGAGGCAGTTCCAGTTGGGTCGTTGATAGCACCAAACGTGATCGGTGGTCCAGTCCTTGGAGCGGCGCTGTTTGGCATTATCGAGCCCCCGGCCCCTGAAGCAATCGATGGTTTTCTGTTATGTTGACCAGGATAGGAAGAATTGTTCCCGTTAGCAGGTGAACCGCTATTAGTTACAGTTTTGCCGTTCACCGCCTGAGAAGCTGTTGGACCTGGCCGTGCATTTTGCGCTGAAGCTCCTGCGGGGATGTGAGGGGCGGGGCTCGCGGCAATGACGGGGGCGGAGGTCTTCTTGGACGCGGAGGCAGCGGAGGCGTACGACACTACTGTTCGCTGGGCGGGGGCGCTACCCTGCACAGCTGCAATAGACGAAGTCTGACCACTAACTGAGGGTGTCCGTGCGTGGGTAGGATTGACGCTCGAGTTAGACGAAGGCTGTGATTGAGGAATGGTGGGGACGTTGGATGTTGTAATGCTTGTCATTCGAAATTTTGTGTTTTTTTTATTGGGTAAGATTTGTTAAGGGAGTCGCACTTGGGATGATGTTCAACAAGGAGAGGTGTTTGTTGATTTTAAGAAGTGATGGATGGATGGGCGGTGGATGGCTATTTTCTATGTTCGATTCTAACCTGTAGAAGAAACTCCTTTGAATTTGGAGTAGGTTCCTAAACCTTTGAAGAGGGAATAGATTAGTGTATGAACTTAGAATAGTATTTATGTCTGTACTGAGGTATGAGGTTGAGGGTTTTTGTGGAGCAATGACGCAGGGATGACAAAGGGAAGCTCAAAAAATAAAACAGTCCCAAAGCTACATAATCTTTTATATCAAGGGGGGGGATATCATGAACCAACCTAACTAGAAATCTTTTCGAATTGATTTTTTTGGTTTCTACTCTGGGTGAGAGGGATAGAATTTTTGAGTGGCGAGCTTACGGGAAGTCGAAGACGACTGCTGTTGCCAGGACAGCCAGGCAAGCTGGCAACGGGGAAAAAGGTTAAGAAACTTCTCGGACTGATGAATATTCAGTCGCGCGCTCTTTCAGCTGTATATAACGCGATCACCCTCTGTGAATTCGGAGGGTCCGCAGGGAAGGAGAAGATTGATTTCTTGATGAGTGGAGTTGGGGGTTGAGGAGGGGAGAAGGAGGAGGGGAAAAGAAAAAAGAATAAGAAGGGAAGGAGGGCCAAGGTGGATGCGAAGAAAAAGCAGTAAGCCAGGTGGAGGTGGGAAGGTAGGGCAGGGGTCTGTCTGGCTGTTATCCCGCCTGCCTGAGTGTGGGTGAGCGCCAGTTCCAGGTCAGGCCTGCATAAGAAAAAAAATTCCCTAAATTTATTTATTTCTATTTTTTTCTATTTTTTTTTTTTTTTACTGCTTAGGACATGTAACCTGCGCTTCCTCTTCGTTCGGGGGAGCAACTACACAACCGCACCATCATCAATGGAGTTGGAAACTTATCTACCTGCGCTGCTTGCTGTGGTCCAAAGACATTTTTTTTCTCTTCCATCCAAGACATGTGCAAATGACTGCATTAATTCTGTTTGCGCACAAAAAACAGCATGTACTAGCAAGCAATGCAGCACAACAATGACAACGCCGATTTTTTAGCCAACCAAACGAGGCTTATATTCGTTGTAACCCTGCGTGCACTATGAGGTCCGTGACTGCCAGTTATCGAATCTTATCGTGTTCTGAGCTCTGAGGGGAATAGTTTGATTTTTCCAATTTTTTGCCTTTACCGTTTACGGTTACTCGTAGTGCTACTACATGTCTACATGCGTACATGTACTTAGGCCTACCACTAGGATTGAAATCCCCCTCCCTCAAAAATCGAAAAGGGCAAATCCTCCCCCACAGTGATGTGCACCTCTAGACTCTCGCCGCTAAACTTAACAATCACTTCATCACGCATATATGATATATCTACCTACCTCCCTATATATACCTCTAGAAGTCCATGGAGAATTATGTACTCTAATGTCTACGCTACGGAAGAGTGACAAGATGTCGAACTGCACCTTTGGTTTTGTGCACAGCAAAAGTATCTACCCATCCAACCATCATCAGCTGTCAATAAGAAAAAGGGATATGTAGGGTGACTGACTCATGCCAATGATGTGTAAGAAGGTACGTCGGCTTGCTGCAGGGATGTGTGGAGCTCTGAGAAGGTGGCCAATGATATTTCCACCCTCTCTCTCTTGAGTGATGGCTTGATTAACTGACTCTGGACTTCACAGCAGGTTTGGAGAATATATTTCATAATTGCAAGCTTTAACGCCCCAAACGAAAATACGCTAGGTACTAACTTGCCATTAATTACTGTTTGTCAGAAAACTAATATTCAGGAAATTAATTAAGCTCGGGAGGCAAATAATAGCTGTTTATCAAAGAATCCTTCTTTCGCCGTAATTCGACCAAACCAAATGAAACGATCATTTAAATCAATCTCCTGCACGAGATACACACCTTTTATTCTTTTCAGGGGAGAACAATCGAAGCTGTGGGTAGATGATCGATGAGATCATCTTGCCCACACCCACTCAAACCCTTGGATTGGTACCCACCATCATACATGCAAAGCGCATCCGCCAAAGAGCCGCTTCGGCGCCAATGAAATTATTTTGCATACCTATCCCGAATCGACGGATATCAGCGATCACAATTAATTTCCACCACCGAGCTTTGACACTGATATCATGTCCAGAAAACAATCGCCAATTACAAAGAAAATGTAGTTCTTGATTACGAGGGTCCAATGTGCTCGCCTCCGAGCATCTCGATACATCTTGTTTCTCCCGGTACTGTGGGAGTGAATGGCCATGTGGGGGAAACCAATGTAGATGGGCTCTGATGTGTCCCCTCTTTCTCCCCGCTGTGCGGACATAAAAAAAACCCGTTTCTGCCGAGGAGAATATTATTGGCTCAAACTGCACTGGTTAAAAACCCGAGGACCCAATAGCCAGACTCAATTCGTGCAGTTCATCGCAAGAGATCGTAAAAAAAAAATCACAATATCGCTGGGTCCACCAAACAAACAGTGGGGAAAAATGGAGGAAAAATTCGAAAATGATTACTTTACACAATGCTAGAGAAAACCCGCCCGTTATGTATGTATCATGTAGTGTTTAGTTTTGGTCCTTTTCTTTTCTTTTCAGAGCCTTGGATCTTCAGTGTAACAACTACAATCTACGGTGCCAACTGTCAGTCTTAACATAGGACGGCTTTTTACTTTAGCGTAGGCAAGTTGCCTTAGTAGAGTATCTGTGTCCAGGATGATAGCTCATGTACACACTCTCCAACAACTCAAACCCTTCTGCTGGATGGAAGGAAGTCATGTAGGTAGGGATAGGATGGTTAGGGCGATGCTATGTAGGTTGTGGGTGCAATGCACAATGCTTCATCCGGCTAGATCTCTGGGTAGCCGATTTAGTGCAATGTAGCACTGATATTCCTGTGCTGGGCTCTGCTTGGGAAGGTGTTACATGAAACTTTTGTTGCGGAAACAGAGATTTGGAATCCAGGCATCTTCGGGCCTTTGTTGTCAACGTCAGCACCCTTGGTGCTGTATGTAGGGACCCTTCCTACGGAAGGTTTACCGAAAATATCTCCCTCCAGGCCTCTTGGCCTAGTGGGCGCGGAAAAAACGCATCCAAACGCTCGGGCTATTGATATTCCGATATCAGGGCCCTCCCGATCCTCTCTTTTGTAGTTTCTGAATGCCGATCATGGACACTGAAGTCTGTTGCGCAGCTCAGTGCTTCCGGTTTCTCGTGCAACACATGGCGGCCTCTCCGACAGGTCACGCCAGTGAGAATAGACAGAGAGTCCTGCCTGAATAGGTATCTCTTAGCTTCCGAGATACTGAGTCTCGGCAACGTCTTTTTTTTTTGTTTAATAACACCGGGTATATAAGGTAGGTAGGTTGTAGCCCTTCCTTGATGGACATAGGTAAGTCAAGCTTACAGCCGGCTCGGGCCGTTAGAGCTTTTTTTTTATGCATCTAGAACCCCGGGCTGACAATGGTTGCCAGGTCAGAGAAGGTCGACAGGCAGTCAGGCAGGTGTCAACTATTCTAGGTAGAGTGCACTGCCAGTGAGCATAGCCAAGTAAGGCAATGCTATCATTACCAAACAATAGGATTATGTCACTTTCCAGCCTCAGTCCAACTTTCTACAAACATCAATGCTTCGCGATGCTTGACCCCACAGAAAGTTCAAGAAACTAGGAGGTTTGCAGCGCCAAACGACTTGCCGAAAGTATTGTTTGCCGTTTGCAAACAACTCGGGCTGCCCGATAGGTGCCTTGTAGAGTGGTACAATCAACCCGTCCCATGTATGTACTAGGGTGTAGCGAAAAGTGATCAGAATCTGATAAGACAAATACACCTATTCACCGTAACATTCACTTATCAGATTCTGATCACTTACCCTCAACACCCGGTACGTGTAGGAACATACGAAGGATGTTAAGTTTAGATTGGCAAAGTCGTACATTTGTGATATATCCATAAGACGAGTAGACTATATCCGTATATAAACTCGATGATAAGTCAGATCCTGTAAAACTTTGGTCAGTTATCTCATGTAGGCGGTTTTGCTCGGGGCGTGAAGTTACTCAATTATGGCATAGCTGTCCGCCCGCGGCCGTCGTGGTGAGGTAGGACGGATTTGGCATGCGGCGTCACTGGTAGTAATGAGCTAGACGGGCAATTCTGTTTCCATTTTTTCCCTCGCTTTGTTTCTTCGTTTCCTCACAACGACGTGTCGGCTTCGCAGCTCCAATATGGATCTCTGAAACGCGTCAACCCGAGGGATTTGTCGCCCTACAAACCTCGGTCGTCTTCAGGCGATCAATGAGCCAAACAAACACTAAACACCAGCCCCCAATCACATCAACCACTGGCTGGCTGGACCGTTGGCACATCACGTCAACAGAATTGCAATTCCTAACCCGCCCGTCAGAAAGCCTGGTACCGAGTGATACCCGATGACGACTGCAACCCGGTAAATTAAAAAAATGTTGAAAAAAAGAAAAAAAAAGTTGCTTTTCCCCTTACCGGAGGTTTTCCATTTTTGGCTTGAACATCCACAACAGGTCTAGCTCTCTAGCCCCAGGGTCTCAACTTAAGCTTTGATGGAGTAATGCCAACAAAACACCACCGGCAATCGGCATATGAGCAACTACACACTGCGAACGAGCTTATCCAGGTATCCATCTAAGCTACTCTAATCTACAGCGATGCACCCCAATTGCAAGCAGCAGCATCTATACCAACTCTAGGTATCGGACAGGACCCAATTGCCCAACACGATGATTTGCAACAAGCAAGCAATTCTCAGGCACGCTCAAATAGGTCAATCCCCAGATCCAGATATCAATCAGGGGAGCACCTGCTAACTCCAGAGCAAAGTTGTATAGTTGTCACCGACGTCTGAGACATTCCCCCCTGTGACATGGCAACAACCCCCGAGCCTACGGGTAGATCATGCAGCGGGCTAGATAGTCCGCTGTGCCATGAAGGGAAGCTCGAGGAGAGCTTTCTTCCCTTGCTTCATATCCTCCGTCTCCCCCTTGGGTCTTTTGTGGCGCGACCATCTTTGAAAAATCTCTTTTGGCGGGGAGCTGATCAATCTTTACATCTTACGGGTTGGGGATTGAAACAACTATCTGTTTATTTACCTCTAGTTTGGGTATACTGTTATAGAGCTCCTTACTATTCACATGGACGCCCCCAAAATCTGACGATTAATGGATCAATGGTAATTATTTAGGAAGAAGACAAAGAAGCAAATTGTAGCGTAACTATCCTATGTTAACTGCCCTCGTGAAGATAGCGTCTGGATAAGTGATGATTCTATGAAGATATCTAACCATGATGGCTAAGCCAGGACTAGGGTTCCATCATAGCCCATCACTCCACCGACCTTGCCGGGTTCGAAACGGCTTTCTGTTTCTCCTGAGCTTGGCTCGCTGGGTAAATGTATGCACTGACCCATGGATGATTATAGGCTAGGACTAGGGTTTCGTCATGGATTATCACTCTGGCAAAGACATGTGCGCCTACCTGGAGCTCTTTCTTTTAGTTTTTTTTTGTTCAGCTCCTCGATCCGGATGGATCTAGAGCTAGTATTGGGGGGACATCTGTGAGCAAATACCACCACTCCTCTTGGCAGTATTTTTGACAAGACGAGGGGGATGTTTGTCTCCAGTTATATTTTTACCTTTTGTTGCAAGTTATCGTTCCCTTACCTTTCATTCCCTTGCTCTCATTCTTTATCTACCCATATCCCTAGCAACAGCTAAGAAAAAAGAAGAAGAAAAAAGGGGGTCCGGGGGGGGGGGGGGGAGAGGGAATTTCCATACCATAAAAGAATATGGCTCGTCTTTCAAGATAAGAAATATAAAGAGATCTCTCTCTTGACACCCGGACTGCATTTTTTTCGATAGAACCCGTATAACAATACCCTAAGTCTGCTCTTACAGTGGAGTCTCGATAATAGCATATGGTCGGGAACGGATTTTCGTGTGCCACTATCGGGGATATGCTTGTATCGAGAACAACTTTGCCCGTACCGACTCGTTTGGGATTGCCCAAACATATGCTACTATCGAGGATATGCTATTATCGAGGTTGCTACTATCGGGACTCCACTGTATTACTGAACGACACCCAGCTAGCTAGCTAGCCAGGTCGTGATAACAAATCACCAATAACTGGCTTCTACGAGGGCATGGGGGTATTTGACATGCTGTTTGTGCTATTTCCCTACTACTACTTATTAGGCTATGTAGGTTTCTACACTGGAGCATGTGGGTATGTTATATCCTTGGGCGTAAAAATGGCAAATTATTCTGTAGGATGGGCATTGAGGACGGGTTTCGATGTAATTGCTTCAAGTTTCGATGTGACGAGCCTGCAATCGCCGAAGGAGCCCGGCCTGGTGGGGTCCTATCTTTATGAAGGGGAAAAAAAAAAAGTTCTTTTCCCCAGGGATACTTGATACTTATTTCTATTCCTCAGAATAACGGCCGGTGGCACTCCAATAACCCATACCTCCGGGAGAGCATATATCAAAGCGCCCAGCTAATTTCGATAACCCGCAACAGCTTGGTGATATGTGATAAGAAGTATGTTGCTATGGAAGCATGTTCTTACTGCTATGTAATATTCGCCCACGATGTAAAATAATTCATCTCACCGGAAAACAACTAGCTAGATGATAAAAACGCTACCAAAAACATAATGCCATTAGAGATATGATACATGTTAACCCCCAAGAAAACCCACCAAACACCACCCAGTGCAGTCCATACCAAAAAGAAAAAAAGAAAAGAAAAAAAGAGAAAAAAAATGATACCCATCATGCACTTCATACCCATCATGCACCCCCATCCACTTCCTGCACATCACTCACTCTCCCCCTCCGCATCCATATCCTCCTCCTCCTGCACATCCTCCTGCACTCTCCTCGGCGCAAGCCGCACCTGCGTAAGCGTGCTCCTCCGCGCCCCCCTCGACGACGCACCGCTCTGCCGCCTATTCGCCGGCCCCGCACCCGACTGCCGTCTGCGCGCCGCAGCGCCCTCGCCAACGAGATCCCTTCCGGTCCATGCAGCCCCGCACGTCGGGCACTCCTTCTCGCCGCGCTGCGCACGGTAGTACTGGTTTGCGCACGAGTCGTGCAGGCGGAAATTGCATGCGCGCGTCTGACAGCGGAGGCCCTGCATAAAAGAAAGAAAGAAAAAATGGTGCATTAGCACAGCACAGCACTGAGGATAATTATAAACAGCGAATTGGGGGGGAGGCAATGCTTACGACGGTGATGATCTCCTTGCACCCATAGCACTGCTTAATCCTCTCCACGACCGCGCCGCTGCGCGTGCCCCCGCCCTCGTCCGAATCCGACTCGTCGGCAGCAACATTATACGTCTGCGTCAGATACGACGCCAGCTCCATCAGCGCCCTACTCGTGAGCGAGAACCAGCCCGCCTCACTCCTCTCCAACCAGCCCTCCTCCACAAACCCCGCGAGCGCCTCCTCGGCCTGAATCTTTGTGAGGCCCGACTGGGCCTGCGACTGCGACTGCGTGCCCTCGGCGGCGTGCGGGTTCTTGTTGAGGCGCAGGGCGTCAAAGTCGCTGACGGCCATAATCTCGGCGGCGGGCGTGTTGTTGGTGTCGAACATGTAGTCGAGCACGCGCTTGAAGAAGGCGATCTCGTCGGCCGAGTGGGTGGTGGCCAGCTGCGTGAGCTCGTCCGAGGCCGTGTTGACGAGGGCGTAGATGCGGGTGCGGTCGCGCTGGTCGAGCGTGCTGCGGATCTCGAGGTCGTAGTCGTGGATGGCGGTGTTGGCCGTGGTGACGTAGGAGGCGATGATGCGGTCGGTGATGTCTTCGAGGGCGGCTTCGTGCTCGCCGCCTAGGGGGGGTGCGCACGGGGTGTTAGGCTGTGGGGAGGGGGGGGAATGTATTTGTGGAGTGGGGTGCTATACCGTCTGCGTTCAGGATTGCGAGCAGGATGGGCTTGATGTCGTTGAGCGTGAGCACTCGGTGGGACATGAATGCCTGCAGAAAGGCCCGGTTGACATCGGTGTAGCCTTCTCGGATAAGACTCATTTCTTCTTTTCTCAGGCAGAGATGACTGCAGTTGAAGCCTTTGGGAAAGAGGGCTGGAGATGAGAGTGAGAGGAGAGTGAGGGTGATGGTGTAGAGAAGAAGAAGCTGCCAATTGAACAAAGACCTCCAAAAGGCTGTGGCAGACACCTGTTCTCACTCGCCCCGCCAAAGAGACGGGACGACGCGACTTTAATTGGCGTTACCCGGCACGCACAGCCCCGAACGGGAAAGGCGTCGCATGTCGTGTCGTGTCAATGATCGCTGGCACATGTCTTGCGCACAATGCGAACAGCGGCTGTCAAAGAAAGTATGTAAGAAATTAAACAAGAAACACAGGAAATAAGCTCTGCCCGCCAGTGCTTGTACGTATTGTTCCGATACAGCCACCACTCAGTCAGGGAGGTCAAAAGCCAATCTCTTTGCCCTGCCCTGCCTGTCACACCAGTACAGTGCACATCTGCCCCTTCGCCTAATTAGGCCTCCTCTTCTTCTTGGAAGGTGAATTAGAACGTTCGGTGTGGCGTTTCGCTTCCACCGCCGAGCCCCGCTTTCTTGCGCTCTTGTAACAACAGTTTAGAGTTCTCTCTAGATCTTTCTTGTTCCTGTGCAACAACGCTGAACCCAGACCAGCCAGACGTGCTGTGATATACCGCCGACACGCGTGGCCGCCCCCCCGAGGAGATAGATCCATACCGCAACAAAGGGAGAGCGATCGAAAGGAAAGCAAAAAAAAAACTAAAAACTAAAAAAAAACTGTACCCGTACCTTGCCTTACCTTCACTAGCTACAGCATCGCATCCCGGGTGGCCTCTTCTTCACCCCTTTTCTCGAGAAATAAAAAATCCTACCTCATACAACAACCTTCCTTCCGTAACTAACGTTCCTTCCTTTCGATTCTTCCTTCCATTGATATCTATTTCCTGCTACGCTTTGTGTCCTGTCTCGACCTGTTTCGCCCTACGGTACTTACCTTTGCGGCTCACCTCACCAAAAAACTCAAAACTCAACTTGAAACTCCCAATTACGGCTGCTAGAGACAATCATTGATTGATTACCGTTCCCGCCTCCCGCACTCTCTAGCTAGCTCTCGCAATTGCACATCCAAACCACCACCACCACCACCACCACCACCATGTGGCTCTCAGACACGCAAAGTACCGCCCCACCCTCACCCTTACCCTCACGATCTCCACTACATGTAGCTAACACCTCCAGAATTCGGCGTCGGCTTCTGCGCAGGCGGTACTCTCCCCCACCTCCCCTCCCTCCCTCACCTCCCCGCCTCTTCCCGGCCACTAACCCTCGTCCCCGATAGGCGTCTTCTTCTTCATCTTCGGCCTCATGCTCTTCTTCGACCGCGCCATGCTCGCCATGGGCAACATCCTCTTCGTGATCGGCATCGCGCTGACGCTCGGCCCGCAAAAGACACTCTCCTTCTTTGCGCGCAAGGAGAAGTACAAGGGCACTGCGTGCTTCCTGCTCGGCGTGGGGCTCATCCTTGCGCGCTACCCGCTCGTCGGCTTCATCATTGAGCTGTATGGCATCCTGTGCCTGTTTGGCGACTTTTTTGGCGTCGTGGTGGGCTTTGTGGGCGCTGTGCCTGTGGTGAGTTGCGCTCTTTGTGGTTGTGGGGGTACTGGGAGTGGGATGGGAGTGGGAAGTGGGAGAGTGCTGATAAGATGGTGGTGCTGGTGGTGATAGGTCGGACCGTATCTGGAGCCGCCGTTGAGGAGGATTACGGGTGAGTTGGGCTTTGTGTTTGTGTGTTCCTGTGATGAGCGGTGGGCTGACGGTGGGGGTGGATCCAGGTGCAACACAGCAGCTGCCTGTGTAGACGGGCTGCAGGCCTGTGGCAGCGGCGGAGGAAGAGGATGTGGAGGTGGAGGAGGATATGTCGATGTATTATTACCAGCAAGCAAAGCACGCGGAGGACGTGCACGGTTTCCCCCTCCTCATCCCCACCTGATATTGACCAGATGGGCAGGGCACTAGGGCATTGGGCGTGTGGGTGGGGCAGGGTGGGGTGGGGTGGGGAGAGGGAGAGGGAGAGGGAACGAACGAAACGGCTTTTGGGTAGAATGGCAATGTTGACGAATTAGATAAGATCAAGTAGCTATGATCATTCTTGTATATGATACCTAATGAAAGATGAAGGGAGTAAAAAAGGGAAGGGCAATTTAATGTTTAATATCCCCCGGTCCCGGTCCCGGCCCCGGTTTCGAGGAAGAAAGAAAGAAAAAATCTCCGTGTCAAAAAAGCCAATCTCGCATGCGGTTAGCGGTCATATCCGCACCCCCCCCTCCCCTTCGGCTGCTGTCACCTGTCAATATCGCAGGCCAAGCGATCCAAGGTTTTGCATATTGAAGGACAGGGGGACAAGGAACAGGTAACAGCTTTACAGTGGCATATTATAGACCAGCATACTGCTATATATACTAAGATGCTGGTAACTTAATGCTTATATTGTGAGAATTCCCGGGAGGGGTGTTTGGATTTCAATATCAAATACAGAGCAATTTCCTCCCTGCTTCAAACCAGCTCCTTCTATGAACCCATTCCGACAAAACAAAAACAAAAAAGCATAAAAAGGGTTTAACATTCCAGCTCCGTTTTTTCTAGTACCCCACACCAATCAGGTAATCAGCGAGTTGCTCAACTGTCTTTGCTGCCTCTCCAGGCTGAACGGTCTCTGGGTAATGGGTGACCAGAATAGCCTGCTTTGTCTTGACGCAACAAACTCCCTCCTTGCCCTATAGAAAAGAGAATTTGGGTCAGCAAGCTTCCTTAATCTTGGGCCGGGGAAAGAATAAGATTGGTTGCAACATACCTGCTTTCCGTAAATGCTCCTATCATCTGCCTTGATGCAGAAGTTCTTTGCTCCGCCTATATGGAAGCCTTTTTCAAAGAGGGGTGCAGGGTTCGCAAAGCCTTGAATTAAGGCCTGGACCTCTTCAGGCTTGACCTATATGAGTATTAGCTCCCGTATCATGTGTTTTTCTATCGTGTAGATATGAAGGCTGTATTTTTATCCGAGGAATCTCTGGGGTCGAAACCAGAAATATCCTTGGGCTACAGATCTGTCTGTATCTACATGTATGTATGCAAGATAGGCAGGCAGGTGATAACTAACCGCAAAGTTAGGGCTCGCAGCCCATACAGAGTCACCAGCAGCACTGAAGATAGCGGCCTTGTCAATCTTTCCAGTGCCTATCAGACTAAAGTGGTAGTATTTGTGTTAGTGAATATGCTCCTATCAATCCTTTTATGTATTCTTCAAGTGTTTTCCGAATTTATTTCTAGGATGATTTTGGTTCCCTCAGGTGGTAGTGTAGTGGGGTGTTACCTCTGATCAACGTATCCTGCGGGGTTTCACATCGAATGTTAGCAAAAAAAAAAAAAAAAGAAGCTTTCCTTGAACATCTTTTAAAACAAATGGAAGCTCTGTATCTCACCTTGCCAACTCATACTTTCGGATGTGTAGATTTGATGGTGAGAAATATGGTTTTTATTTTAAATATCCAAGTGGTGGACAAAAGAGGAGGACAGAGGGAGATGAGAGAGGGGAGAGAACGAGATGACAAGGGGGAGGTGGTAGCAACGGGTGGTTTGTGATTCGTTAGTGGGGTGTAAGCGGAGGCGACGGGTGAATCTGCTGCACTGGCAAGAAGAACCTTGGGATTGGTGGGGCTATCCTATGAGGGTGACTTCTCACTTTCACGTTGTCTGTCTTCTCCCCTCCTCCTCCTGGGAATTGCCTAGATATTATACTTCTATTGACAGGATGGCCTCGACCACGACACTTTACAATATAATGACTCGATAGGTTCACCCTTCTACTCTAGGTACCCCTTCACCATTACTATTCTGCAGGTTCGTTGAAGTATTCTGCAGTAAAAAGGGGGGCACCAAACGCAAAGCCCAGCCATTCTTGCGTCGACCTCTAACGTTAGTGCTGTCAACAACGCCTGCAGCAAGAATAGAGCTTTGAGACTCTGTTTTCGAGACTAACCAAAACAACAGCGGCAGAACCGCGCGACAAGACTTCGTCATGTATGTGGCTGCTGCTAGAGTACGATTTCAACTTGACAGACATCCAACTCATCCAGCTTACTATCGAGGATGCTACCACCAAAAAAAGCTTTCAGCCAATTTCCGGCAAGTATTGTGCTGCCCCGTGACGATCAGTTCTTCTGCATTTGCATTCTTTTCCAAGATGGTGGTGATATATCTAATTGACTGCCAGCCTTCCGGCGGACGGGGTCAGCCGAAGCCGCGCCGCGCCGCGGTTATGTGCCTACCTACTCTACTCTCCTGTATCACCCCCCGATGTTGCCCTCCTTCCCTTCATCGGAGTTCCAAGGCCCTGGCTGGTCAAATTGAGTTTTTTTGCGTGCGGGAACAAGTACTCTACTAGAGGTCGAGCGAAGCAGCTCGTGGGACTTAAGGCGTTGGGAGTTTAGTTCTCAGACCACACGCGCATTATGCTGCGTGCAACGTTGGAAAGTGCGACACCCTAATAATTCTGATTATTTGCATTTCTATGGATGTTACTATTTCAATGACCTCACACACTTTAAAAGAATCCGTGGAATTCAACTGCCTTCTTTAACCCATCCATCAATCGATCAACCATGTAAACAATGAAGAAAAAAAAAAATATGCTCTGCTCTCATTTCCCGCTTCTAAGATTCTTGGAAAAGCGCGACTATCCTCCTATCATCTCAAAAAATACTCCCGGGATCAGGCGCATCCTAAGATGAAACCAGGACTTCAGGAGTCATGGATCCCTGGTTCTAAGAAATAATGATTTTTACGTTTTACACTACGGACTACGGTGCCTCTAACGCAGTTTCTTCGATGTACTCTGTGTGTACTTGCTGTTTAAGTCGGGTTTCGTTTTCTGCTACTCCATCTTTGGTTTTCTTCTGCCCCAAAGTCAATTTCAATGTGTACCTACACTTTCCCCCCCCCCCATGGGGCCTGTTTATTGATCCATCCCCCCCGGATTTTTAGTGGGGCAAGGCCTAAGGCACATGCGCGGTCTCATTTATATAAGAAGCCGTCCAGAAGTGTTTCGGCCGCTTCTTGCGAGATCCCTTCCTTCAACGTTCTTACAGGTATTGGTTACTAACTAGCTAAACTGCCCGTAGATCATTCCGATTCTCCCCTCTTACCCTTCAGTCACTCCTTTGAAGAATCACTTGGTGTTTTTTTTTTGTTTCTTTCTTTCCTTTTACTTTTGCATCTGCATCTGCATATCTATCTGCATATCGAGTTTATCCCACCCTCCTTTAATTTATTTTGCCCATTTTTTCCACCCCGCTTTTTTTTTCTTTAATAATTTCGCCTCCGTGATCACTGGCTGGTTGTTGAAATTAAGTCGGGGAAAAAAAAACACATTTTTTCTCCTTTCGGTTTTTTGCTTTTCACAAGGGTTCATCTGTTCTTTCTATAGAACACATTTGGATATCCGGGATTCCCTTGCTTTTAAGTTCTACGATTTGACCTTACAACCAAGGAACCAACCCAAGTAACAACTTAACACCCTCCCACACCTCCACTCTTTGTTTCGTCCAAACATCTTGAGTACATTGCCGCATATATACTTGTGAATCACCCATCCGTGCGCCTTCCGCTCATTAATCAACAACCATGCCCGGACTACTGCGCCGTTCAAAGTCGACTCGCGATACCAAAGCAAAGCTCACTCGCGATCAACTGGATTTTAATTTTGCGCAGGAGATAAAAGCGCCTTTGGCTGCTGCTGCGGCAGCAGCAGCTGCAGCAACTGCAGAAAATGAAAAGGTGAATATGGCGCAGTCGAACGAACAAACTGGCACCGGGCTCTTGAAGCTTGCCCGGCGCAAGAGCGTTTCTAGCTTCAATACGACAGTACGGATTGCGCACGTTGCAGATGGTCACCCAAAGACAGCAGATCCTCGTAATCGTCAATCAACACTTTATAGAGCTTCGCCGACACCGCCGTTGCCGGAATACCCTCCTCATAGTTTTTCAAAGACGCCAGACAGGTCGGATATAGCGGTTGAGGGTGAAGAGGGCTATGTTATAGGGGTCGCCATTGGAAGTCCGACAGAGATCAAGCTTCGGGAGCAGAGGGAGCAAAGGGAGCAGCGGGAGCGGCAGAAAAGCTCAAGGTCGGAAATATCTATATTCCCTCCACAGAATATGTACTCGAACGATGCGGGATCATCATCAGCCACGAAGCTCACGAATAAGCCTTTTGAGGTACAAGTTAAAGGACCGGTAGCAAGTGGTGCTAGGAAAACCCTTCACAAGGAGCGGGAGAGAGAGAAGGATAGAGGGAGGGAATATCCTCAGGAGGACGCCCCCAAGACAGGCTGGAGGAAGATGTTTGGCAAAGGCTTTTTTGGCAGCAGCAGGAAGGCAGCCCCTAGGCAAGACCTGGAACCAATGAAGAAGTTGGAATTGGTTACCAGAGACAAGTTATCACCTCATCTGGCACCTAAACAGAAGCCGGTAAAGAAAGGTGCTTCGCCAGCTCCCTGCTTGACTGTCGATATCCCGGAGGTTGAGATGGAGCGCTACAGTGTGATGTTTGGGACGTTGTTACACCCAAGTGAGAAGTCCACTATTTTCGCTCGTAGGAAATCAAGAGATACCGGGAATAAGCAGCAGCAGGCGGGGGCCAGTACTGAGGTAAGAATATCTTTCAACACATAAAAAATGTTCAAATATTTATTCATAACTAACATGATTTGCTGTTAGAAGAAGCCTTCACAGTTATATCTAACACCCCTCAAAAGAAATGCAACAACTGGCCAGGTTTGCCGTTCTCCAGCATCAATGCTTGATGTTACTCCTGTACCCCCTACGAATGCCACATCTCGCACACCTAGCCCAAGCAGCCTCACTCGCTCAAAAACTACAGCCGAAAACCCGCCTCCTGAGCTATATGTCGTCCGCGATCAATCTCTCGCGGAGCCAGCCGCTCCCAAGGCCGGGGCACCCGGATTACTATCTCACTCTAGATCGCTGAGCAAGATCTCAAAGATCTCGGAGGAGAGCACAGTTGAATCAGATACACCAAGGGGAAGTTTTGACGAAGGAGACGATGAATGGATGACAAAGGAAGACGAAGCCGAACCGCAGTGGGAGATGGTGACTGGGCCTTCAAGCGGTCCGATGACTGAAGGTTCGTTCAATTCACACACCTTCACAAGTTCTCACTCACCTGAACTGACAATGATCAACAGATCAGATTCAAACTGCGGCCCAGATCAGCATCGCGCGGCAGATCTCTGTCTCACAGCGTCAACTTCTCATCCCGATCGTTCCTAAATCACAACGTCTTGTTAGCCGTGCTACGATTCGGAGGGCTACGGCGGGCGTAAAGTTTCCAATGCCCCCAGTGCAGCAGTTACCGCAAGAGGAGAAAAATGAGCAAAATGAGCAGCAAAAAGAGGACGAACAGAAACACAGCTCGGGCTAGCCCAGTAATGACGAAATTATTATGGCGTGATGCGGGGAGTTTTGACCTTTTTGATACTTTGTTTTTCCTTTTTTACTTTTTTTCTACGAAATTACGTCCACTCCTACCCACCACCACCACCTTCTCTTCTTCTTATTCATTTCTATTTTTTGTGTGGCTTTAAATATTGTACTTTAAACACTTTGGTTACTCCGCCGGGCAGCGGGCTGTTTTCTTTTTCTCTGGGAATTGGTGTATTCTCTGGTTGTATTCTTTGGTTGTATCCTTCTTCACTTACTTTCTTACATTCCCCCACCGACTGGTTCTAGAGCGGCAGGAGTGTCTAAATATTTTTTTCTCGGAGTGCCAGCGTTTGTAGCGGTACATTCATATAGCTAAATGGAATAATTGTTCCATGTGGAGTAACTAAATACTTGGTACAAGGTTTATTTCCCATGCTCATAAGTCTTCTATATTACTCGACCGGGCCTTGTAAAAGGGGGTGATCCTTCTCCACCCACGTCCCCGGTACGGCCTGGGTCGTCTGCAACCTAACCCCCAATCTGCTCTCCAAACCAATATACCCATCCGAAATCGCAATAAGGCTCACATCCACACCTTCCAAACCCGGCGGGGGTAAATTAAGCGTGAATCTCTGCGTCGGCCGACGGTTATCCGCCCCTCCCCCTCCTCCAGCCCCGCCCTTTGCGGAGAAACCTACCCGCTTCAGAGCGTAGATTTCGTCTTTTTGGACGTCACACAGAAGGATGAAATAGCCTTCGGTTTGGGGCTTCGGGAATTTCGGAGCATGGATGCGGAAGTCGCGGTTTGTTGAGGGGTTCCTGCGGGTGATTGAGGCTTCTACAATTTCAGCGGTTGCCCTTGTGACCTTGACCTCGAGCTGTGGTAAGGCTGTGACAGTGCGGGCGAACTAGGTGTTTCAGAAGCCGTATGTCAGTAATTGGTAAACCGGGGGTTTGAGTTCTTTGGTAAGCTAAGCGGGGTGGGTTGTCTTACGGCAGATCGTGAATTATCCGGCACTTTGACTAGGGTCATTAGACGGTCCAGATCCTTGCTGCTCATAGTTGAGAGCTCGACGAGGTTCCGCGGTGATGAGTTCTTGCTTTCTTTTGAGATGCGCTGTTTCTCGAGTTCAACGTCAACGCCGGGGAGCATTGCTAGGGGTCCATCTTCTGGCCAGCGGGCTTGCTTGATGCATTGCATCAGCGTCATCATCATCATGCAGCTCGATAAGTATCCGAGCTCTGCTAGGACATCAATTGACGCCTGCAAAATACGAATGCTTTGGTCAAGGACCTACGATTCTATAATCAGCTTGAAACACAATGAATTATGGAATGATGTCAGCCTTACAGAATTTTGATCAGTCACGTAGTCCGTGATTGGGAGCGGGATTCTCGCCAGGAAAGCTTGTATTAAAAGAAAAGCCTTGACATGGGGATCCCACATAGGCATTCCGAATGATTCTGCCTGGAATGAGAGAACCTTTGATAGCTCAATGTTGATAAGATCTTCATTATGACGGACGGGGAGTTCTACAGCCTATCAGCATCTCTAGATCATTCAAATCTTCGGGAAACCTTGGGGCTTACCATCATACTCAGTGGCTGTGCACATCCACACCAAACAATTCTCCAAGGTAGCATTCGGCTTTGCATTTTTGACCAAATTTCGAATGGTTTTATGGGACTTTCTAACATCAGCGTTGCCCTATGCTTATGTGTATTTAGAAAGGAGACTTACTAGGTAGTAGTAACTTGCAATCTTCCCCAACGGCGTGCTCTCCACATCACCATTTGGGAAGCTTCTAACACATCCAGACTTGACTAGTTCAGAAACAGACTTCTCTACGATGTCCACTATAAAATCATTTGCTAATTCCTGAGCTGTCAACGAATCTTGATCTTCCACGGAGATGTTAAGTCCATAGTAAGTTGGATTCTTGTGAAGTCTACGGAAGAAGAATGTCCAAGTAAGATAGTCCAATGCATCCTGCTTAGCCGTAATTGTTCCTGCAGAGATCTCGGCGCCAAGATGGTCATCTACAACCTTGTGAAGTGAAGACTCCACAGGGAAACCAGTGTGCAAGAAGTACTTGTAAAACGATTTCTTGGCATCCTGTGTAAATATCCTAGCAATACCAGCTATTGCAAACATTTAGACACCCGGAACCGAGGAGTGGGAGGTGGTGGTACAAATCACTTACATGAGTCAAACTGCGGACGCCCAGCTCTTCCTAACATCTGCAGCACATCTGTTAAGTCCATGTCGACATACCCTTCTGACTTGGCATCGAAGTACTGTGTTCCCTTCACAACAACAAGGTGGGCAGGAAGGTTGACACCCCAAGCAAGAGTACTGGTAGCAACTAATATCTGGATCTTATTAAAAGTGAAAAGCTCCTCAACCAGTTGTCGATCTGATTCGATAAGACCGGCATGATGAAGGCCAATACCAAATTGGAGAGCTTCCTTTAAACTATCATCCTTTGTCCTTGTGAGTACTGTTTGCAGATCCTCGTCACTAATACCTAAGAACTGACGTGGATTGTCTTCTATCCCACAAAATGCGATTAGGTCTTTTGCGGTAAGTCTGGTCTGCCGACGTGAGGCAACAAATATAATTACTGGTTTTTTGGGCGAGTGAGTTTTGATGGCTAGATATGCAGGCCTGTTCATAGACTGCATCAATGGGCAGAATCCCTGTTGCTCTGCGAATCCGTCGATGTAGATCTCCAGCGGCACCGGACGAACCGAATGCCTAAAGTTAAACAGGCCTTCCTTAACACCCAACCAATTTCCTAAATCCGACGCATTTGCACAAGCCGTCGACATGCCCATCAACCTAACCGAATTGTCCGTCTGACTCGCAATATAGTTCATACGAGACACAATAATTTCCAAAATGGGTCCTCGATCACCACCTAATAGATGAATCTCATCAATAATCACTAAAGAAACTTTCCTTACGTAACTTCTTGTCTGCCAGCTTCTCGAGATACCATCCCACTTCTCAGGGGTGGTAATGATGATATCAGCATCACGGATAGTTCGTGTATCAGGTGTATTATCACCAGTCAACTCTACAAGCTTCAGCCCCATTGGCCCCGTAAGCCGCGCTGACCAATCTTTGACACGCTCACGAACAAGCGCCTTCATAGGCGCAATATAAACGACCTTTGAGCCAGGCTTCTCGCGGAAAGCCCACCACATTGCAAGCTCGCAGGTAATTGTTTTTCCACTACCAGTAGGGGATCCTAACAGTACATTCGAGTTCGTATGGTAGAGACAGTGGAATATCTGCGTCTGCATTGGGTTAAAGTACTGAAACCTTGAGCCGTAGATATTTTGGAGTTTTTCATTCTTTAATGCGGTAATTGGGAGCGGCTGGAGGTTCAATAAAGGAGTGTAGACAGCCTCTGTATCCGGTCTGATCAGGTGCTGGAACGAAATCGGCTCTACCGACTCGGCGCCGAGCCATCGATCCGACACTGCCCTGACATAGATCTGTGATGGTAGTGGATCAGATAAAGGAATTGTAAAATTAAGCTCATGGTCATCATGTAGTTTCCTTTTGGTCAGGATGAAGAACTCAGAATGATATATCTCTGCAGTCTCCGAGTGCTCAACCCATATCCAGTACGGCTCAGACGTGCCATGGTATCTGTCATTCCATCTAAAATCTGGAGATATATAAAGCTTAATCCTCAAAACATCTCGATTTAACGGTGCAATCTCAGCTTCGATGTTGATGGTTGGGAAGTTATCGAGTAAGTTGGCAATTCGAGGCCCATAGCCCTGATTATGGACTAATTGGCCAATTTCCGAAGGACTCATGTCACGTAAACTCTCGATTGAACTCTCTCTCGCGTCTAGTTTGTCGATGATAGGTCTCGGAAGATCAAACTGTGAAAGTGGACTCTGGAACGACCACATTCTAACATAATGTTAGTAGAGTCATTGATCACAGAATATCACTCGGACTTACTTCTTCTCGATAGATTTGCATAATGATAACATAACCTGGCATAGGTTCCCCCATCGCCTGTTTAACGCGATCTTGAAAACCGCCCTGCAAATTCTTGCTGCGTTTTGTGCAACATATGCTGAATCAGATACTAGTGCGAAATCCTCAAAGGTCGCTCTCGAGATGTGTGACTGAAGTAGGATGTTCGTCTTCTCAGCCGCAGTAAATGGAACATCTTTATCCGGATGGTCTTTATCACTCTGCCTTTTCTCGATTTTGACCTGACACGGACAATAGTTATCGCGTAGCCTCTTGAGCTCTATGAGCTCACTCTCCCGGAACTGTATGTTGTCGAACTCGGCAGAGCGTGAAATCATATTAAACACATCCGCCTCTGACGCATTGGGTTTCATGAGCTGGTTGAACAATTCGATCGAGTTGTTGAGAATATAAAAATTACTTGCGATCCTCCCTACATCTTTTGGCGCGAGCGACTCTGTGCGCTCGTCAAAGATTATCATCTGTGTTTGCTGGAGCCGCCTTGCGGCTTTGATGATATGCTCTCTTCGCTTTGCATTCAATGCAGGGTCATCTGCGAGCTCCTCCCACCCAATGCCATAATGGAGGGGGTTCTTCTTCCATCGCACAAAGAGATAGGAGTCCCCGAGCCATTGCACTGCTTCATGGACTGTTGTGACGGTCCCTAGTGCGATCTCAGCATTAAGGTTATCAACCATTTTCTCTGCGAGGCGGGATTCGATTGGATGCTGTTGGGTCACGGCGGAAAGGTAATGGGCTAATTTATCATGAGTTGTGACGATGAATCCCACACCCACCTGCTGGAACTGAGGCCTTCCAGCACGTCCAAAGATCTGGAGAACATCGAGGATTCCAAGATCCATAAACGCTCCCTTGGCAGAGTTATAAACCTGTGTTCCCTTGATCACTACTGCGGCAGCGGGCAGATTGACTCCCCAAGCGAGAGTAGCAGTACAGCAGAGAACCTTGAGAAGGCCATCGCCAAACATACGTTCAGTAAGGTTTCGATCGGACCTGAGCATCCCAGCGTGGTGGGCGCCAAAGCCATTTTTAAACAGTTCGCGGAGCTCCCTGCCTTTAGAGCGCTCCATCTCTCTACTAGCCTGGTCATACCGCTCGTGGCCGGTGTTATCAAGAAGGTCTGCACAGCCATCATCAAGGGCGTACTGGTAGAATAACCTTGCGGTCTTGATGGTGTCCTTTCTACTGTGGACAAATACCATGACCTGGTGGTCTTCTCTGAGCATTTCTTTAACCTTCTCCCAGGCTGTTTTGTCGATGTTGTCCATTGAGGCACGGCTTCCAGGCTTTCCTTTGACGCCGAGGAAGTGCTGCTCTAGAGGCACAGGACGGAAGGATGCATCGAAGTAGAACAATCCAGCCATGAGATTGACTTTGAGAAAGTTTGCAACATCTACAAAGTTTGGCAGAGTGGCGGATAATCCCACAATACGGATCATACTCTGTGTGGTTTCCACCTGGCGTTGAGTACGTGCTACTAAACTCTCAATTACAGCGCCGCGATCGTCGTGAAGCATATGGACTTCGTCAATGATCAATAATCTCACTTTTTGGACCAGCTCTGTGTCACCAGTGGATTTACGTGTCACGACATCCCACTTCTCGGGAGTGGTAACGATGATCTGGGTCCTCATAATTTCAGCCTTGGTTAACTGCATATCTCCTGTAAGCTCGCGGACTTCAATTTTCAGCCATGCTAAATGCGAGGAGAACTTCTCAACGATCTCGGCAGCAAGGGCTTTCATGGGAGCGACGTAAACAATTTTGAATTCATCCTTGAGCGGGTAGAAGTGTGCTGCGTCAGGCTCGTCTCGTGGAGATGGAACACAATTGGTGCTGATAGTATGGAGAATTGTCAAAAGCGCAGCATTGGTTTTACCCTTACATAGTTAGAACACAAACACCAAAGATGAGATTATGGAGGAACCTACAGCACCAGTAGGCGCGCAAACAAGCATATTCTCATTCGTTTTGTAAGCCACTGGATATAGCAAGCTTTGCATTCTGTTAAGCTGCTTGTACCCCTTGAACGTGTTTCTACACAGCGCATCCATCTCCTCAATCTTGACAAGCTTTTCTCCGGCCTTGACATGGCCAACTTTCGCTGCCGGGATTGTAATCTCCTCATAATCCTTCTCTTCATTTCTTGTGCTCCCCATTGGAAGACTGTACTTCTTCCCAAATGCATTCAAGCTATTCCCCGCACTGTGCGCACGGTACACATGCGGGTAGTTCATTGTCGGATCAGCAAGCTTGGGTCCAAGCGGCCGGGACTTATGTTCCAGATCTGCCGCACGGAGCGCCTCCTCACGCTGCTCCCTCGTCATAAGCCGAAGGAGTGCATCCTCCCCACCTCCTTCGGGTTGTGAAGTTGCCGCCACGATTTCCCCACGATGGGAGATTAGTGCCATGATGAATTCGAAGTCGTCATAACCTAGCATATCTGCGAGGGAAGATTGTAATGCGTCATCTATGCGGGGTGTCAGTATTTCCAAGTCGATCATTGACAGTGCAGATAGGTACTCACCGGCGCTTGGACCAGAGAGGAGGGACGAAAGGTTGTTTTCAAGCTCGGTTGGGTTAAGGGCATAGCTAGGGTGATAACTACAGTAAGTAGCGCATTTTCGGGAGAGCCAGTTGGGTGTTATGGTGTCTGGATCTGCGTCGTCGCTGGAGTAGTAATATTCGTCCGGAAAGTCGCTATCATAGGGGTCGTCTGAGTCGACTGTAGCAGAGAGCTCTTCATCACTAATTTCAAGATCTTTTCCGTACTCATCGGCGGTGGAGAGAGGCGGGAGCTTGGAGAGAGCTTGTTCCATGAGGGCGAGCTGGGTGTGCCATGCCGTGGGGTCCGTGTCTGCGCCGTCCATTACGCGTGCTGTTGATTTGTGAGTGTAGGAAACTTCGAAAACGATAATAGAGTTTGAATATATCCTAAAGTGAAATACGGAGCCCACAAATCCGCGATAACGAAACAGTGGCACCGGTGAGGACGTTGTGGTGCGTTCATACCCTGGTACACCATTGGACGCCTAGCCTGCGCAGAGGCCATACCGCATCTAAAATAATTTTTGAGCCTCAGAAAACCCCCACCACATCGTTGATTCATCACGCCTTTGTACTTCCCAGGGAAATCCCCACACTCACCAAGCTGATATTCACCTCCTTAAGACAGCGGGCGCCTCGAAGGCTCTACGTTCCGACTCTATACTGTCTTCGGCTCTTTCATACAGACATAATGGGTGGTAAACGTGATCTTCTCTCAAAGCCGGTGCCGCAGAGCTCAAAGGACATCACACTCGACGATGGAAAAGCCTACACAGCGGTTACGGAGGGTTTGGCAACTGTGTTGTTCCCTAAAATTACTGTGAAGAAGGACAAAGCAGGCAATGACGTTGAGGTCAAGGGGGAGGTGTTTTACAACCCGATCCAACAGTTCAATCGTGATTTAAGTGTTTTGACAATTAAGACATTTGGGGATATGTTTTTGGAGGAGAAGAAGGAAAAGAAAGAGCAGAAGCTGGCGAATAAAGCAAAAGGAAAAGAGACAAAGGGCAAAGAAACGAAGGACGGAGGGCCTGCAAAGAAGGTAACGAAGGATGAAGTGGAGATCGTGGCCGAAGCAGCAAACCCGGGGGTGGTCAAAATCGAGGATCTAGAGGAAGTTGTGGAAATAAAAGCTGAAAGCTCAGAGGAAAAGACAAATGAGAATATCGGAAAAATACCAACGGTACCTGCTACAGAGCCAATGGACACTGAAGACATTCCCCTGCAGTCAATGGATGCCCCAGATCTCCCTTCACGGCCAAAGGAGACGATTACAGCCCCAACATACACACCTACGCCCCCAAAATTCACTATTCTTGATGCATTATCAGCCACAGGGCTCCGCGCCCTCCGATATGCTCTTGAGATCCCTGCGGCAACTGCAATCACTGCCAATGACCTCGAGCCCTCCGCAGTGGCCTCAATCACAGCCAACATAGTCCATAATTCCAAAAACCCAGCAACTCATCCCGATACCCTCGAACCCTCCGCGGCAATGTCTAAGATCTCTGTATCCCTTTCTGATGCAACTCATCATATGTACTCCCGCCTCTATATTGCCTCCCCCCCCCCTCTTCCGGGTGCGCCAAACACTCCCGTCCCCCAACATCTTAAATACGCAGTAGGCAAGTACGAAGTCATCGACCTCGATCCTTTCGGCACCGCATCTCCTTTCATTGACGCTGCAGTACAGGCAGTCAGTGATGGTGGTCTCCTCGCAGTAACCTGTACTGACGCGGGCGTATGGGCCTCCGCTGGATACTCTGAGAAATGCTTCTCTCTGTACGGTGGCACCCCAGTTAAGGGAGAATGGTGCCATGAAGCGGGGGTAAGGCTAATTCTTAACTCCATTGCAATGGCTGCGGCAAGATATGGGTACTGGATGGAGCCACTGCTATCCTTGAGCATTGATTTCTATGCGAGGGTATTTGTGCGTATCAGGAAAGGTCCAGAAATGGTGAAACGTCTAGCAAGTAATAGCATGGTAGTATACAACTGCGACTCCGGATGCGGATCATGGGTCGTCCAAAAACTCGGTAGATCCAAAGAAGAGAAGAATAAGTCTGGAACCGGTACTTTCATGAAATTCGGCCTCGCCCGTGCTCCTACAACAGACTCCAATTGTGCGGAATGCGGCTTCCCTATGCACCTTGGAGGCCCTATGTACGCTGGCCCTCTTCACTCTACTGCCTTTATCAAACGGCTTCTCGTCTCACTGCCATCGGCACCCCCTTCAATCTATGGTACCCTACCTCGTATCACGGGAATGCTCCAGACGGCTCTTCAGGAGTCCACGCCCGCCCTAGCGGCTTCCCCGTTTTTCTTTGCGACTACTCGCCTCGCAAAGACACTCCACTGCATAGCGCCGCCTTTGGCTGCATTCCGCGGGGCCCTTAAAGGGCTTGGGTATGAAGTCTCGCGCAGCCACTGTAAGCCAACTAGCATTAAGACGAATGCGCCATGGAATGTGATCTGGGAAGTAATGAGGCGTTGGGTCGAGAAGAAACCCGTCAAAATTGAGGCGTTTGGTGATAAGCACGCAGCGTATAAGATTCTGAGGCTTGGCCGAGTTGAGGGTGATGAGGGAACCGAAGAAGAGAAGAAGTTGAAGGAATTGGAAGTGGTTTTTGACGAGAAACTTGGAGCTGATGAGGATAAAGCGTCGGGGCTGGTCAGATACCAGGTTAACCCGACTGCACATTGGGGTCCGATGGCCAAGGCCAAGAAAGAGGATATGTCAAAGAGAGTGATGGAAGATGGTGAGGGCGAAGAAGTAGAGGGGAAAAGGGTCAGGAGGAGTGAGGCAAATGCTTAGTGATCTTGTATAAATAGGGAGTTTAGGGTTCGATATCATGTAAATAGCAAAATGTACTAGCAATATTTAGTGAGCAATCTATTAACGAGGTCAACGAATCAATTCATTTCTAAAGTTTCCTGCTTGGGCGGGACCATGAAATACTTCTGCTTACCCAGTCAACTTTTTTAGCTCGGTCAAAAACAAGTTGATAAATTTTGAAGATAACTCTATCAAAAGTTGAGCCAGAAGATCTCATGACCTCAACACATACGATATTTCATTCTAGTCTTATCTCCGAGGAGATTGTTAGATAATTTGTAGGCCTAGAAGCAATGGACTGAAGTTGTACTTCATTTACAAATTGTAATCGGCTTCGATTCCTCGAGGACTCTGCAGATATTCTCATTTATACCTAGCATTCTTAAGTTTTATGTTCAAGTACACATTCTAGAACGTGTTTTCTCGTTTTTCACTACCTGGAAGAATAAATATCAGCTACATATCGATAAGTTTTGTCTACAAATGATAGGGTTCGATAGATACATGTATAGACCAATTATATACGAATCAAAGCACATGTACCTACTGCACTTAGGTGATTCGAGTCCCCTACCCGCGACTTATTTTATGAGTAGGATGTTGCATATGTGCATGTGCCCAAAGTAAAGTACTAACCCCAGCGATTAGTAGTGGCAATTAGTAGCAATTAGTAACCCCCCAGCCAGTCACCATCCCCCGTTACCCCCATTACAAAGAACCAACACACCGATCATTTCCGCCAAGAATAGCTGACCAACTCTAAATCTTGGCTACAACCGAGCCAATCACAACTCATCCGTTTCAAAGCAAGCATCTGATGTCAGCGGCTTAGAACAGTGTGAGAACAGCTATATAAACAGCATCAGTAGTTTCGGGAATTCAGTACGATTATTCTTCACCAGGTTCTATTACTCCACTATCCTACGAGATCAATTCCACTACTTCTCTTCCACGAGAAATAATCATCCCCACGAAAACCGCAAAACTTCTTAAATTTCAAAGTTAAAATGGTCCACCCACCAACCTGCTGCAAGAGCTCAGGCGAGCCCTGCACCTGCGCTGCGCAGGCAAAGTGCTCTTGTGGACAGAAGGAAGCCTTAAACTGCAATTGTGAGAAGGCTTCGACTGAGAACCGCATTGCTGGTGCCAGATGTTCTTGTCGTGAGTCTTCCCTTAAGCTTCGAGAGCTAGTTAAGTAGCTATAGCTTATAGTGAACGGGAACTGATTGATATTATATATTATAGGGATGAGACCGGCAAAGGAGTGCAACTGTGAGCGCTCAGCAGAGGAGAACAACGTAACCGGCGATGCATGTGCATGTGGATTAAGGAAGGCAGACTCCTGTAAGTTTCGAATTTCTTTTTGACATTGCTGCTAGTAAAGGTTGGTGATAATAATGCTTTTATAGGCACTTGCGAGAAGAACCCATCAGCGGGTTTGAGAGATGGGGAGATTGATTTTACCACCACCAAATAGACCATTATTTGGCTGATAGGTTATGGTTTTCGGTGTACCGGGTTTTAGTGTTTTACTATATATGGGGTTCTTTTTTCTCGTTTTCTTCTTCTTTTTCTTTAAAGTACTTAGCTGTGAATATGGATGCTATAAGTATTAATGAAGTTAAAGTGAATTTTTCTACCTTATGGATCTTATCACAATGTGCAGTGTTACTACATGCAATGCATGATTTGTTGACATGTAGCATTTCCTGTTCCATGGTCTGAAGTGAGCACGTGAGGGCGGAAACGGCGTGCATCAAGAGGACATATGTAATTGTAATGCGGTGTAGCAAAGTTACATAATTAAAGGGTTGAACTACCGCATGGCCATATCTCAACTTGCTCTGAGTGCTCGGGACTCGAGATTACAGTATACTAGCTATCACTTAATTCTAGAGATAGACTGGGAGCGAAAGTTAGATCTAGAGCTCGTACTAACGTTATAACCTGGTTGCAAAATAGAATAAACCGTAGAGTACGCCCAATCCTAGTCTTTCTCAGGCAGGGATGCCATTCTCGGTTACCCTCCTCCACATACCACACCTCACACACTCCTTTTGGTGTCTCGATTCCGGCGCTCGCTCCATCTCCCGTCTGCCGGCATCGTCAAGGTCGGCTTCGACCTCACCTCATCATCATCGACACCCTTAGCCAGACCAGCAAAATCTAAAGGTATCTAATAACGGGATAGGAATCCACGAACACCCCAAGGAACAAACGAACGAACTCTCGGAGCTCTCACAGCTGCCGAGTCTCCTATAACTTCAACTCCTTTTCCACGAACGACATCTTCAAATCGCCAATTCGTAGCTAACTCCGGCTTACAGCTCTACCTCGGAAACAGAAAAAGCTCGAGGCCGAATTAAAGATGTCGTCCATGCGTGGTAGGATTTCCTATACACATCCTGTTTAGAGGGGGAGAATAGTTAGCTAAGAAGCGCGCCAGGATTGGTTCAGTTTATCGCGGATTTGAGAAATGCAAGAGCGAGAGAATTGGAGGAAAAGAGAATAAATAAGGAGCTTGCAAATATACGGTCAGTTCCCGTGTGCCCAGTTCAGTCTAATTCACCCAATCCTCACCTCGAATCTGATCAGCGATGCCTACGAATCTTCCCCTTACCTCTGCAACTATTCCATCCCCGCTCTCTCCCTCTCCCCACAATTCATGTGCTGATCCTATTCAAGACAAAAGTTCAAAGGCAGGCAGGCATATATGCAATTGATTTGATTGGCTACGCCGGAATTGTTTACGAAGACTAACACTTTCCTCAAAAAAGATGGCAACTTAAATGGGTACCACAAGAAAAAATATGTTTGCAAAGTATGTAACCTCCACTCTTCTCCTAGGTCTTAACCTAATGTCGCCGCCGCGCACAGCTTCTTTATATCTACATCCTTGGCTGGAACGTCGACTTTGGCCACCTGGAAGCCGTCAACCTCATTTCCGCCACAAAATACTCCGAAAAACAAATAGGCTATCTCGCTGTAACACTCTTTCTCAACGAAAAACACGACTTTCTCCATCTCGTCGTCAACTCTATCAAAAAGGATCTTCTCGACCATAACGAACTCAACAATTGTCTCGCGCTACACGCAATTGCAAATGTCGGCGGACGGGAAATGGGCGAGGCTCTTAGTCCTGATGTGCACCGGCTGTTGATCTCGCCGGCGTCCAAGTCTTTCGTAAAGAAGAAGGCGGCATTGACGTTGTTGAGGTTGTACAGGAAGTACCCAGGAATCATCCAAAATGAATGGGCGGAGAGAATAATCTCACTCATGGATGACCCAGACTTGGGGGTAGCACTATCGGTCACTTCATTAGTGATGGCACTAGTACAAGATAATCCAGAGGCATTTAAAGGAAGTTATATCAAGGCTGCTCACAGACTTAAGAGGGTAGTTGTGGACAATGAGTACACGCAAGATTACATCTACTATAAAGTTCCATGCCCATGGATCCAAGTCAAACTTCTACGGCTCCTGCAATATTATCCGCCCTCTGGTAACTCTATTACCCCCACTCCCTGAAAACACTATAATCAACTCTAACACGCCCGTGCATCAGAGGACGTAAATGTTCAAAACATGATTCGTGAGTCCCTCCAACGCATTCTGGATTCAGCTTCCGACGCGCCTAAAAATGTACAACAAAACAATGCCCAAAATGCGGTTCTTTTTGAGGCCATCAATCTCGCAATCCATCTCGACTCCGAAACTGGGTTAATGACTCAAATCGCTGTTCGACTTGGCCGTTTCATTGTTTCCAAAGAAACAAACGTCCGCTACCTCGGTCTAGAGGCAATGACACATTTAGCAGCTCGCTCTGAAACACTCGAACCGATTAAGAAGCATCAAGCAACCATTATAGCTTCGCTTCGTGACCGTGATATTTCTGTCAGGAGGAAAGCGCTGGATTTATTGTATAGCATGTGTGACACGACCAACGCACAACAAATCGTTACCGAGCTGTTGAAATATCTACAAAGTGCAGACTTTGCAATTAGGGAGGAGATGGTCTTGAAAATTGCGATCTTGACAGAGAAATATGCGACTGAGTTTCAGTGGTATGTGGATATATCACTGCGCCTCATCAGTATGGCGGGTGATCACGTCAGCGACGAGGTGTGGCAGCGTGTGATCCAGATTGTCACGAACAACGAAGAGCTACAGGTTTATGCTGCGCAAAACATATTACAGCATGTTAAGGGGATGCAATGCCACGAGACATTGGTGAAAATAGGAGGATACTTACTAGGAGAATTTGGGCATCTGATTGCAGATATGCAGGGGTGTAGTCCCATTGAGCAGTTTATGGCTCTTCAGTCCAAATTCAATGGATGTTCCTCCGCAACAAGAGCGATACTGCTAAGCTCATACGTCAAATTTGTGAATCTATTTCCTGAGATTAAACCGCAGTTGCTACAGGTATTTCATGTATACTCGCACACACTCGATTCCGAGCTGCAACAGCGGGCATGTGAATATCTCGCCCTCACGTCTCTTCCAACTGACGATCTTCTCCGAACTGTTTGTGACGAAATGCCGCCATTTCCCGAACGCACCTCAGCACTCCTTTCAAGGCTGCACCAGAAACATGCAGGCACGAGTGATAAACGAACATGGGTTATTGGTGGTAAAGACGCAAATACAGATAAGGAATTTCAGCTCACGCTCAATACGGGCTTGAAACGTTCTTTTACCAACGCTGGGAATGGTACACCCACTACTGCAAAAAGCGCAGGGCTTGATAGTATACCTGCTCTTACACCCACCCAAGAGCTTGCTGGGTTGAACTTAAACGGTGATAGCACCACTGCCGCAAAGAAGGAGACGCTGAACCTCGCGTCTACAACGCATCTTAGCCCTGACTGGAGCATTGGTTACAACCGCCTCCTAATCCGCTCAGAGGGTGTCCTCTATGAGGACGTTCAAATCCAAATCGGCCTCAGAAGCGAATACAGAGGCCATATGGGTTGCATCATCCTCTACTATACCAACAAGTCTCCTGTTGCTATAGGTTCCTTCACCACCACTGTCAATAACAATGCCCCAGGGCAGCTATCGTTGAAGTGTCAAAATATACCGGACACTATAGTGCAACCTGAAGGCCAAACACAACAAACTATCATGCTCGAAGCAACTACTCTATTCAGCGAAGCACCAACTATTAGGATCTCCTACCTTGCCGGCGCACTCCAGGGACTAACGCTTAAGTTGCCTGTGGTGCCGAGTAAGTTTATGGAGCCAGCAGCACTAAGTGGTGAAGATTTCTTCAAACGGTGGAAGCAAATTGGGGGCGCGCCGAGAGAGGCGCAAAAGGTATTCGGAATTAGTGTCAAGGGTAATGTGATTGATGTTGCTAGGACAAAGAAGGTGGTAGAGGGCTTCAAGTGGGGGTTATGGATGGCGTAGATCCAAATGCAAAGAATGTCGTGGGCGCAAGTGTGCTGCATACCGCCGGTGGGAAGTTTGGATGTTTGTTGAGGCTGGAACCAAATTTGGAAACGAAGGTATGTGTATTGCCCCCTCGTTGGTTTAAGTTCGGCGAAGACTAACCGGAGGATGTATGGATGTAGATGTATAGGATCACGATCAGGGCAACAGACGAGAAAGCTCCACCAATGTTATTAAAAATCATGGAAGAACGACTTGCACTGGCGTCACCGCCATCAGATTTTGGAAAAAGATAAGACTTACTTGTGTCTGCTGGAAATAGAGAAGGAGTTGGGATGGGGAGATTGTAATCATCGCTGCACAGTTTTATCGTATATAATACCATATCATTTCTTTCTTTTAAAAATCTATATTTGTGAATGGGCGGTGGGGACGGTAAATAGATAACTAGTTGACTGTGGATATGGATATGGTTATGCTGTCTTGAGTGTGCGTATATTTGTGTAATTCCACTTGCATTTATGATTTCTGGAGGTAACTTAGATCTCAGCCGCAGCACAGTCTAAGGAAGTCAAACGCCCCCCCCCCCCCGGGGGCGCAACCACCACACCCAAGAAACCGAGCCGAGTGATAATCTATGAATAAACGAATTGCACTTTTCCTAGGTCTGGCTTAGTCTTTTGTAAGATTGGTCGTTTTGATGGATCTGTCTACTTACTTGCTCGTTCTACCGTATTTTGAGTAATATGGCCACCCGAATTTCAAACAACCTGAGTGAAATTGATGGAGGTTACACTTGATATCTCTGAACAACGGCAGATACCCCCCCCCCCAATATACTAGAAGAGGAATATTATCTATTATAATCATTGCTTAAGTTTGGATATCGAGTGAGACTCTGTGATTAAAGCTGATATTGCTGTGATCAAAGTTTATCATAACCTCTCTTACTTGGCCATGATCTTTGTGGTCTTTATGGCTTTGATTGCCGCCTTGATTCCTGGATATAACTTAAATGTACGCATATTTGTTCCGGTATAGTTAGCATATACAGAACAAAATATCCAAGTATCTCGATACCCGAAGCCCTCCCTACGTCACTGAAGTGCAGATGGCATTGTACCTGTGGCTAGTAGTGGCCCACCTTGCGACCGCGAGGTCTTACTCCCGCTCCCATCTCCGTGTAGTAATTCCGACCTCCAGTGCACCCATAGTAGTTGGCCACCTCCAGCAGTTAATTAATGTTGCCCTTAGCCACTCCGTAGCTAGCTCCCACCGTAGGCCATAGCCAGCTCTCATAGTCGCTCATTACCAGCTCCTGCAGCTTACCATATGGCCAGCTCCTAGCCAATAATATTCTCTCAGTTAATTCAAGCCGTCGTTATATTCTACTTTCCACCTACAGTACTCCCTCCCTCTCAGTATAATTGATTCCTTCATACCGGGCATGCCAGCAGCCCGCTCTAGGTGGTGGGTGGGCCGGTTGCTATGCAAAGTTAGGGTTCCTCGCCCTCGACCAATCATATATGCCCAAGCGTTTCGAAAAACCATAATCCAGTACATATTAGAAGAAGATTAGATATAGCTTATTTTGCAGCCTTTTTAATTTTCCCAACACTTGATGGTACATGACTTCTCAAGCTACATAGGGTTTATTTCTATGTAATCTAACGAGAGTAATTACTAATAGGGGGGTATATCTAGCTTGTGCCCTCGGATATTCTCTTAGTATTATCTGTGAATTTATACGTCCCCCAATAGCTCCAAAGCTCATACTGCAAAGTCAAGCAAGTGTTAGCAGTTGTGTAGATACATGTACTGATGTATGTAGCACAGATTAGTAACAGAAATCCTGGAGTGATATTCCATGATCCAAGACCCGATTCTCGCAAGGGTCCCGAGAAAGGAAGAGCCGCTGATGTAAAGCCGAGATATAATCTAGGGACTTAAACTAAACCCCACTGCTAAGCCCGACTCAACAAACTATATATAAAGATACATACCAGTAATTAGGTTCCCCAATTCCATCCCCAATGTCCTCATCTACACCCGTCATTCTACTCACCGGCGCCTCTCGTGGTGTCGGCCTCGCAATTGCACAGCACCTCCTTAAACACTCCGCACGCCTGTTCCTCGTCGCCCGGACTGCCGGTCCTCTCGAAGCCCTCAAGGCGGAATTCCCTAGCCAGGTCGACTACCTCTCTGGTGATCTCGCCGATACCTCCGTCTGCAGAGCTGCTGTAGTGCAGGCTGTAGCAACATATGGCAGGCTTGATGGTGTGATTGTGAACCACGGTGTGCTAGAGCCTGTTGCGAGGGTTGCGGATGCGGATATTGATGCGTGGAAAGCTGCCTTTGACGTGGGTTTCTTTGGGGTTGTTGCTTTGGTTAAGGAGGCGATCCCCGAGTTGAGGAAGGCAAAGGGCAGAGTAGTCTTTGTGAGTAGTGGAGCGGCAGTGACGGGCTATGAGGGATGGGGTGCATATGGCTCAAGTAAGGCTGCGTTGAACCATTTGGCAATTACCCTGGCATCAGAAGAGAAGGAGATTACAAGCATTTCCATCAGGCCGGGAGTCATTGGTTGGTTCTTTCTTGCTACTCTTTCTTTGACTGCGTATTGATTATTGCGGTGCAGATACGCAAATGCAACAAGAGATCAGGGAGAAGCATGCGGCCGCAATGGGGGGAACTCATGACAAGTTCATGAAGTTGAAAGCGACTGGAAAACTGCTGAGGCCTGATCAACCCGGGAATGTCATCGCGAAGTTGGCATTGAAGGCTCCTAAAGATCTTTCGGGACAATTCTTAAAGTACAGGCTTCTTTCTCTTCCTTTTTGACAGGGGGATTAGATTGCTAATTTAGACACAGTTGGAACGCGGAGCAGCTGGCCGACTTTCAAGAATAAACTACATGTAGGCACAGAAGAAAGTTCAATGGACAGTGGATTTAGATATAAGCAATATAAATTGCTAAATATTGCTGTTTATATATTATATTATTATTACTATTCATATATCCTGTTATATCCTTCGTACTATTAGTAATCCCATGCTGAGGCATCAAAGCCAACAATTTATTATCCTAAAAGATCTGCCAAATTGTATTAGCACTAGTCCCATCAAACCTCGGCAGAAGACCAATCGTGCAAGAAAATAGGATATGGAGTCTCTAAAGTCAGTCGAAAGATGAAAAGTCGTAATTTTTTCATTCATAGACACCTCAAGGGCCCCTCCGAATTAGCATGGAGTTTTTGTTCATCATTTGAGCTCCATACCCATACCCATACCGCTATCCAAAAAGAAGAAAAAATAGAGAATGTTCTTACCATTTTCGTTGTTAGTAGTCGCGGAGACTGAACAATGAAGACAATGCATTCGTTGTTCTCCATATCTGTAGCAGATGAATCCGTTAGTAAGTTTTCAACAATGCACACAGTGTATGGGGAGAATTTTGAGTTGGGAAGTTTGATTCAGGTAATCGAACCTTGTTACAGCATGTGTAGCTCAGAAGGATTTTTTTTCAATAGTGCATTTAAACTAGCTCATCATTCAAACGAAGAAGGGACGAAGCCAGGCAAGTGTACTATGAAAAAATCATGGGGAAAAAACATACAATTCAGTTTACTACCCCCAAAAAAAAGTGCCGTGAATCCAGGGAGCGGGGCGACCTAGTGAGTGAGGCTCAATTGGTGCTGTGCAAGAATAAAGGATCTATTTGACAGTTAGCGCCAATTCAAACTGCAAAATTTGGACGTCAATGCAAAAAGAGAATGTGAGGGGTAAAGATCAGATCAAGTCCGTTTGGCTAGGACAGTGTAGGTCACCATGGATAGGAGGAGTTAATTCCCAATAAGATAGGGGCGACACGAATGGTTCATCATTTCGAGTGGAATACTCGCAGGGGAGCTGGGGTAGGCAAAATAGTAGGAAAAAAAAGAAAGAAAAACTTACAGATTGTATCCATCTCCTCCTCCTACGTGCCGATGGAGATCCCCTTCATGCACATGGGAGGGAGGAGACCATTGTAGCGCAATGGCTGTTCTTGTTGGCGTTGTCGTTGTCTTTGTAGTTTTGTGGTGTTTTGTGGTGTTTCTTGTGGAGGACACGGGCGAGGAAATTTTTTGGGGCTTTTAAGCAGCTCCCTCTACCCGCCAAGGACCCACAAACCCATTGTCCGTCGGCCAAAACGAGGTTACCCCATCCCACTATCCCGCATTGCGGCTCAACTGGAACTGCACCAACTGCACCAACTGCACCTCCGTCATTTTGCCGCTCCAAGTCACCAACGATCAATCGACCCTCCCCCAAAGAGCAGAATGCCGACCTTCACCTCAAAGAAGTACCTTCCCGCATCCGCCGCAAATACTGTTGGCTCCAGATATCGTGAGCATCTCCATTCTCCTTACGCTATTGCTCTGGGGAAGAAAGAAAAGAAAAAAAGAAAAAAGCTAACCATGGCCACGCCACAGGTTCCGGTTTAAGCCGGCACCCATTCCTCCTGTTCGGATTGCCATTTATTGGTACCATACTCGCAGGATCCTTCTTTCTGACTCCTGCGACGGCGCTGCGATATGAGAATCATGATCGTAAGGTCAAGAGAGTAACACAAGAAGAAGCGATGGGGCTAGGGAAGGACCGGAGAAGGGTTGATTTGAATGAGGAATATTATGTAAGTTGATGTACTAAGAGGGGTGGTTGAGGAGAGATTGCTAATAATGGCGTGATGCGAACAGAGGTTATCAATGAAGGATACCGACAACTGGGAGCAGAAGAGAGTGAAAAGACTCAAAGGAGAACACGATGGCGTGTTGTAAGGCACGAGGCCGCATAAGGGATTGGTTAATGGTTAAAACGGCGTTTCGGGAATGATATTTACAGTTGTGAATATTAACATTGGTACAACATACATGTATCATAAGCAGCAATTGATAATCATACGATGACAGGTGAAATGTAGAACGCTTTATTTTCATTCAGCTTCAAAATAACCCACCATTCATCTAAAAAAACGCTCTTGAGAGTATTGAACATATTCGACCTATCTGTCGTACGAAAGAAATGATAGGCAAAAAACAGATATTCCCGCTAGTGAAACAAATTGTGACAAATGAACAGAGAGGAGGGGGAGGGCAATACGCACAGTTGATAATAACAAAAGAATCAGAGGGAAAATTTAACATAACACCGTTTACGCATGCCCCCGCGTCAGCATCAAAAAAATAGATGGATGAAAGATGGTATTTGGGATAAGGATAGAAGCTTCTATGCAATCGCACACATGGTTATGCAAAAATACGAAAGATGAATGGAGGAAATTAGTTGAACGCTGGAAAGCGTGGAATATTGAATGTAGAAAGAGGAAAAAATAAATAAAACGAAAACACCATAACAAGCTATTCCACTTTCTTTTGTAGTCCTTATTTTAATAGGGATTCTCGCCGTAGAATGCCTTGTTCCCAACTGCCAGAACCATTAATTCAGAATGCGGCGCATATGAGCTAAAATAAAAGCCCATCATAACAGTAAGATAACTCAAAATCAGAATAGAACCCTAAAGCAATATGTCAGTGATTTGTTATACACTAGTTGTCTAGAGCCGTGTTTGACCCACCTTGAAATAATTGCTCTTCCCTTCACCATACATGTACGACAGCAGGAATACGCAAAGAATAACAGTGACCAAATCCCATTGTGGAAAGATCAAACTGAAAGTATGATTGAAGAGTTCTTTCGGATCCAGAGACATGGCAAAGAACGCGCTGAAAGCGACCAACGCCGGAATCTGCAGCAAACATACTTGTAAAGCATATGCAGAACCAATTTCCATACTGAGTGCAATGTTCCCATTCATAGCAAACGAAATAGCGTTCTGCAGGACAATGATTAGCGACAGAAAAGAAACTTTAGCGGTGCAAAAGTCATACCAGGAACTCAGTTGTATTTGGAACAAGCGCAAAGAGCGTGATACCCAAGAACTTCTCATCAATCTCAAAATTTTCCAACACAACATCGACAGTGTCAACCAAAATCTCAGCGATAATGGCGTACAAGACGGTTGCTCCAAGAAGAATGATAGAACTCTTCGCTTTACTCCAATTAGGGGCATCATGTCCACCCACAGCATCGTGTGCTGCAGTGGGAACTCCCTCCTCTACAGTAGGCATGGATACCAAAGCAGGTCTAGGCGTTGCGCTAGTCTTCCTTACGCTATGGCGCTGGACATCTTGGACAGCAGCTGTAGCTGCAACAGCTGCCATTTCTGCAACCCCACGGAATACTTGTGCATTCTCCTCACGGGACAATCCTGGAATGTTGACTGATGTCTGTATTGGTTGCCTGGAATCGCTTATAGAGCCATAACCAGGAGCTGGAGAAGACAGAAGCTCATCATTGGCAGATCTTGGTGGAACCATGTGCAGAGTTTGACCGGGCCCACCGGCCTCGCCTCTCAAGACAACATTGTTTTGTGTTTGCCCGAGGATACGCTTATATAGCCCAGTGTCCCTCAAAGTATTGGGACTCCTGGCATCAGCGGCAGAGGATCCCTCATTTCCACGTGATGATCCACGGACAGCATCCACAGCTGCATGGCTGGGTGGGATTTGGGCCTGAACTGTAGGTGCTGTCCAGATGACAGCAGCATGAGTCCTCAAAGTGAACCACAATCCAATGATGTATGAAATGAAAAGAAATACTGCGCAAAGGTACGTATATGGTTGAACAACATCTCTATAGAAATCATTGTTCGTAGTGGGCGGTGTCTGGGTAAATGAGCATCGACGGCATTCTGCTTTGTCTACATGCGGTGAACATGCACGGCAACTAAGTTCGTACTGTTTGGGGAGTCAATATGAGTTATGGGTCACGGGGGACTTAAGAGGCACCTACTGTTCCATAAATTTGATAGAAAAGGGTGGGGGCAAAAGCACCAATCACTGCAAAAAGCAACATGGTGGAGGTAACACCGGCAGATCTGGCATTGAAACGTTGGGTCTTTCTTTTGATTGCGCCCGAGCACATACTCAATCCGGGCATGAAAACAACACCGACCAGGATGCTGCCTACAACACTGCCCTCCACCAACCTACCCTTCCCTTCAGTCAATGCAACACAGTATAGGTAAACTTCGACTATAGTCGAGAAGAATGCGTTGATAGTTGCGCCCATCCCCATACTTGACTGAGCGGAGATGGAAGCCACAGCTTGTCCGATAAAGTACGCCAGTGGAATGACGGAGAATAAAGATAGGGTGAATACTGTTGCAGGAGAAGTCAGGGGGTTAATAATTCCAAACATTCCCCTTAAGACGTAGTGGTCGGCAATAACGAAGATCACGAGGGTCATAAGATTAATAAAGAAGATATTGGTCCCATCTATAGTATACTTGTAGTATTTCCAGCCGACAGCACGGTACGTGCACAGCAAGATGGAAGTCGATGGGGTTCCAGGCCTCCTGGTATAAGTATGATCTGAATGGAACGAAAGCGCCAAAGGGTGCCGGCGGAGGTGATCAAACAAGAGGGAGGTAACCTTAGCCATCGGGATGGTGAATACCAACAACCAGCAGATACCCGAAACTAAAATTAAAAGTGGCGCTGCTAAATGTCAGTTTCCAGCTTCTAAAGTCACAGTCAATAGCGGAGAACGTACCAATGATAAAATAGAACCAGACGAAGAACAAGACTCTACCAACATTCCACTCCCCACGACCAAAGAGTCGTCTTTTCTTTCCGCGGTCTGCTGGCGCTCCGCTCAAAAGTCCTGTTCTTTCGCCAGTTCCTAGAGTCGAATCGACGTCCACCGAATCAAGGCTCTCTCTTCTTCTCCCGATCAGTGTTCTGCTGGGCGTATGAGGTCCAAAGAATGTCCTCCCCTCCTCAATGTCACCTGCCTGCCACTGTTCGTACTCGCTGATGCTTCTTCCTTCGCCCTCATCTTCTTCTGCATAAGCGTCGTCTTGCTTAAGTTCCACAAAATGCCCAAAAGGATAAAATAGATATGCAGCCAGTCCAAGGAGGACCCGGCCGTATTCCCTGGCGCTCAGGGTAAAAAAGAAAATATAACAGGTCGCCGCAGCAACGCAAATTACTAGGGAAAGCCACCACCCAAACAGTGCGACCCACAAGATGTTTACCAGAAACAAAGCGCCCCCGACACGTCCTCCTGGAGCCGAATGAATGTCTCCTTCTGCCGTACGCTGCACCGAACGGTTTTTCTTGTAAAGCGCAGGTTTCCATATCCTAATACCGAATGGATGTGTGACGTTTATGGCCTCTTGACGGTCCTATTAAATGTTAAAATACGCCACGAAGATAATACTCACAATCATAACATACTTTCAATGTAAAGGATTCCACACTGCCGGCGTCGCTAGGTTCATAATCATCCGCCCTAACGGTACCCTCCTCCTCGCCATCATCTTGCTGCTCCTCTTCATCTTCGCCGCTCTGTTCCTCGATGGGACCCGCCGTTTCAGTACTGTCGCCCTCGTCGTCCGTGCTGTCGACATTAGGAAGAGGTTGTGTACCCCTTCGTCGTAAGATATTTGAGTGCCGTCTCATCGCTGTATATCCTGTACCTCCGTGCCCACGTTGTTTTTGCTCCAGATCGACTTCTACCTCGTCGGTCTCATCATCCACGCTGAACTCCTGCCTGTTATTACGCAACGACATTAGTTTTGGCGTCACCCTTTTTTGGTGTAGATATATGAAGGTAGGAAGGTTTAAAAGAAGGTGTCAGGGGGACTCCCACCCTTTATGAGGTTGAAATAGGGTAGAGGCCCTACGGGTGGCTGAGGGTCTTCGCGGCTTCTTATCTGATGACGAAAAACGCCCTCTAAGTGAGGAAGCGGCGGATGATGTCCTTGATAATCTACCCGTGCCGCCGGTGGTAAGATGATCCGTGTTCTGCGCGGTCAGCTGGTGTTCGGACGGATTGTTCGATAGAGCAGATGTGAATGAATCAAGAGAGCCTGTAGATACGAAACACCACACCCACAGGATGAGATGATATTACGATTAGTATGTTTATAATTTTTTTTTGGCAAAATTACAAAAAAATAAAGCAAAGTAGGCCAAAATAAAATATGGCTACGGTTCCCGTAGAAGGTAAGGGAACCAAAAGGAAAGTGACAAAGTGAACGGGGCAGAAGAAGAAAAAGGTGTGGAGAATTTATGCATACTAGGGACCTCAGTGCTCCCTTCAGTGCCAGAGTTGTTGATGCGCCGTACAGTTCCAGCAGATTGGGCGCTCTCGGAATACGGACCCCCAGACTCGTAGCTGGACATCTGTGACAGTTGTGATGCCTGTCGCTGCTGCGAACTAGGCACGGATCTAGGGTTTGAGGGAGAGGGTGCGGCTTCAGCGGAATATGAATTTCCAGAAGAGGCAGAGGGATTTTTCTGACTGCTCATGGTGCACCAGGAATGTAGGTATCTATCCTCCAAGAGAGCAGAAAGAGAGCTCACGCAAGATATGGAGATAGAGAGAGCAAACTCACGCTTGAGAAGTGACTAGGGTTTCTTGGCTTGGTATGGCTGGTGTTTTGATTGAAGACCCGTGGTTATCGGACGGGCATGGTAGATAGTACTAGAGAGGGACAGAGGACAGAGGACAGAGGGACAGGGATGACGCGATGCGACAAAACAGGAAAAAACAAATAAGTTTTCCCCCGGAGACGCAATTTCAAGCAGCCAACATTTGTTCCGGTTGGGCAACAACAGGCTGAGATTGGGTCAACACCAAAAGGTATTTTTTTTTTTTTTTTTTTGCAGGGAGAGGATAGTGGACAGGAAGGACCAAAGATCGATATTCAGACAGTCTTACAAGCAGTGGAGGCAGTGCGACAATACTGAGCTAGAGTAGGTACATTCTGGGGAAATGGTGGAAAAGACGGTTTGCGAAAAAAGAAATCAGCAAAGTTCAAAATAAAACAGAGAAGGGAGGTTAAAAAGTAATTATCTACGGAATAGACTGAAAAAAGGGCAAAAAAGGGCAAAAAATGAACAATCCCCCATAGCGAATGGGCGACAGCATACCACGAGGTGAATTAGGGAAGATTCCTTGGCTAGAGATATTCGCTCTAGAAAACTTATGTACCTACTCGAGAGCACATATCTCTACTCCTTTAGAGTACTTACATGACATATAGTACCCACTTATCTACATAAACCGCACATGTATCTCTACTTTATCTGTCTCCTCGCACACACACCACACGCTCGCATGGAGACGTTGAGGTAGACTCTATCGTACCATGTCGACTTCATGTACCACTCTACATGTATGTATGCACTCTACCTAGCAATTTCGCTCTAGATACTCTAGATGCTTGTCTAGAGTACAAACAAGAAACCGGTACAGTACATCGTCGGCAAGCTTAACTGTTTAGTGGGTTCTCCACTCGCTGAGCCAGGGTGCACTTGCAGCATTTACGTACGGCGGTCCAGCAATGGAATCGCTCGCTCGCCGCGTGATGCGCAGATCCGCGGCTTAGTGCGTACAAACTACGCAACTTCCGCAGCCAAGCAACACGAACATCAGAACACCAGAGCCACTGGACGTCCAATGTGCCGTAAATTCTGTCAAACCCTCGACATCATAAACCGACCCACGAACCCACGACATTCATGTGAGCTCCTCCATCATTTTTTTTTTTTTCAAGATCCAAGAGTAACAGTCGTCTAAGGCTTTGAAGAAAGGAGAAGAAAAAAAAATTAGATCCCCCGTCACCTTACCTCTCTCTCTACATACCTCGTTTTCTCTCTCTTCTTTTTCTGTGCCCTCCTTCCCCGATCCATATTATGTTCAATGACATCCATGGACCAACTGATCGACTGAACGGGGTGACTGACAGTCTGCACGAGGTCAAATAATCCCGGATAAGCGGCCGGATAACAATCACGCTGACAATCTTACCTCTTCATGCTTGCCCAACCCAACCCAACTCACAACCCGACCAGGCGACAGGTCAGAATGTTAGATATAAACCGACAAGACTCCATCCATCTAGACACTTCAAGGAGCACGGAATAATATGGTCACATTGTAGAATTAGATAGCTAACTACGACAGCCCAGATTGTTTAATGAATTTGCAATAATCGAACCGAACCCCGCAGGATAAAAATATAGACATCCCCCATGACATTCTTGTTTCAGCCATGATGCAGAGTACATAAAACCATATGTACTCTACCTACTACATACATGCGATACATGATCTTCATCTGAACTCTACTCTAGCTCCTAAGAAAGAAGGGAAAAAGGAGAGAAAAAAACGAACAAAACACCACGATCGCAATTGCAAGTACGATACTACTCCCGCATCGGACAAAAACAAAATACTCGACATGAATAATAAAATTGCTTGACGTCTGCAGTGAATCCGGCAGTTCACATCCTCAAGTATCCTATCTGGACCGCCGAGTGCGCGCGGTTACCTTCCCCATTTTTTTTTATAACGATCCCCACCAAACGTGTCTCCAGGGCCGAAATATTCCATCGTTGACTGGTTCGGAAGCGATAATCTCCGTCGCCAAGGCTGCCAATATTAACCTCTACCCTTTTATTTGAGCCTCCCTTACTTCATCCATTCCGGGGAATAATAAGAGACTTAGCTGCACCCCCAGGGATCATGAAAAAATACACCTCGCTAGCCAAGTTCGTACCCGATCATTGACCCCAATAGTAGAAAAGCCGAAACGGGCTAGAAAGACAACCTTGCCTGCATGTGTGTAGTCAAGTATCCCGCAGTAATCTTCGCCCATCACTCGATATTATACTGCAGAAGGCAGGCTGCAGTGTAGGCGTCTACCCGTAACCATGTTACATCACTTTCGTCTCATCACGCACAAAACGGCTACCTGCAGCGTGGAGAACACGTTCCGGGATCCCCCGAGAATGTCCTGAAGATCGTATGAGCCGCGTGAGAAACCCCAGGTAGTATCTATGGGACGAGAGCGGGCATCAGACCCGTCGGCTCGTACAAAGATATGTGTAACTTGACTGGAATCGGGTGTCACTGCGACAAGCGAAGGAGATTTAGGGGCTTATTGTGTATCGTCGGGGGCTGGATCATCGGCCACATGACCGTGCATGTCACCTAGAGAGGTGTAAATTGACTATATGGCCGCGACCGATGGGGCGATAGGACGGAGGATGGGTAGTTCTAGGGAGGATAGCGAAAGGTTATTTTGAAGCGATAGAGTTGCAATGGATGAAAGGGTTGCTTGGAGAGTTATGGTTTGAGTGTGTGGGGAGTTGGGAGGCGAGCCGTTGTACTTTTGGTTCTGTGTTTGGCTTTAACTTTGCATGCTTTATTTATCACTCGGACCATTCATAACATATCACTCGGAGCGCCACAGACAATGAGAAACCCAAGCAACATGGGCGCGCTCATACTGGCCTGAAGGCTTGATCAATCAAACATGGCCAATGAAATCCTCTTAAATCAAAACACAGGCTATCGGGGATGTGGGTGTGTATGCGTCTTTCTACGCTCTCGCCCGCCCAGAACGAAATTCATGGTCTACTCTCACATTGTCGCCTCGGCTCGTTGTCGCCCGGTCCAGACCATATCTGCCACCAACAAACTGCATATTGCCCTACGTCCGTCATCCTTAGAAGAGAGCTCCGGCATAGACACCCGGGTAACTGGCTCAGTCATCGCAGTGGTATCTGCTCTGCGCGAGGCGATGTAAAAAGAAATTCTTCTTTCACACCTCGAGCTCCACCACAACATGTACACACCATCACCTCATGCCACCCCCCCATCATCACCACCATCACGCTTTCTTGACGGCCACCGATCTACATGTATCCTGCTGTGTTTTCTTAAACTTTGCGTTTCTCCTGTTTTCATGTCTGTAAGCCTCTTCTAACACGGGGGCAACCCACCTTATGTTTTTCTATCTCTGCTTGATAAGAGCAATGCCAAATTCTCCCCTGCCTTTCATTTCTTCGCAGGTGTTATTTATTTGCCTCGCTGCCTCCCCAGGGCTTGGGTGGATCCTTCTCCTAGGGATATACGTTCAGATCAAAAAAGGCATGGACTGTGGTTGCCCCCCCAACCCCCACGATAACCTGTATTAGGGAACGGCTTTCGGTGCTGGCGATGTCTACACACGGATCATTTATGGTCTCTTTTTCCTCCAAAATCCTCATTCAAGAGCGGTTGGGCTACCTGTACCTATACCGGTCCTCAATACAGCCTGCGGTCAATCTGTATACATGCGTGTGGATTGATACACCATAACTAGCGCATATGGTTGAGAGGCGGCCCTGTCTTACGAAGCATGGTTTCAGGGGAAGCTGATTACTAGATGATTCAGACGACGATCTGCCCTAACTGTAGCCCCGGACGAGTTTGATAAAGCAGATATAACACTTTACTGCTGCGTATAGATATCAAGCGTGCGATGCATGGGGATATTGTGGTCGAGTACGTACCCTCAATTTGGAACATGACATCTGAGGAGAATTTCCTCAACCGGGCCCGCCAATATAACATATAGAATCTGTTATGTCTACTCTACTCGGTCTGAAAAAATGAGGAAACGAAAAGAGGAAGAGATCAGTTAGGGGTGGAATAAGAACTCAGTGAATATCTATCGTTTGCAAAAGCTCACTTCAAGCAAACACCTGCTAGGCGTCTTCAACGAACTCAAGCTAAACACTTATAGACGCGCAAATTTGGGGCAGGGTGGGCATGATACCTAAAGATGCGTCAAGGGTTTTATTCCGGCTTTCGGAACCCAGTATCAAAAAGTTAGTCAGACCACGCGGAAACACACTAACGTGCCGTTTTACTCGTGTTCGTGTTATGGGACAGCAAGAGCAAAGTTACCCAACCGTTTTTGGATCCTTTCATTTCAGCTTAAAGTCTGATTAGAAATATGGGAGCTGAATATACCATTAGTTGGGACTATTGACCAACTATTTACTATAGGGGATAGCGTTTTCAGTATGGGCATGAACGTTGTCGCCAGACGGAACTCTGTGAGGATCATGGATCATCACTCGACTCCTATGAGCGTTCTGTGTAATATGGGATCTATTTAGGTAGGCAACCCTTCAAGCATGATGCTGTTCTTACTACCACCTTAGCTACACTCAACAAATCCCCAATCCACTTACATCTACCTCTGCCTCCCGGCCCGCCATCATCTCCGCCATTACCTTACCCGTCCCCAACGACAACGAGATCCCCCACGGCCCATGCCCCGCAGCCACCCATACACCCGCCACCCCGGCCTCCACTCCTGCAACAACAGGCCGCCCCTGCCCAGTTACCGGACGGAAACACAGTCCTGTCTTCACAACCTCTACGTCCTCTCCCAGTAGCCGCTTCGAGACCCGAAGCATGCTTTCTAGCTCATCGCCCCCAATACCAACACTAGAGTTGGCGGCTGGCGCTGGGATGGGTAGGCCGCACGTGTTGAGGCCGCCAATGTAGATATCACCGTTGCGGCGGCTGAAGATCTCGGGCGCCCATCCACCCTCGGCTTCAGAGGCAATGGTGGGTGCAGCGCTGCAGGCCACGGGCGCATCTCCAGCCGCGGGCTGCCAGCGCGGTGAGCGCACAACCAGGGAGTAGCCGGCGAGGGCGCTGATGCTTAGTGTTGTCTCCGCGGCGGGGAAGAGATGCTCAAATACAGTTCTACTCCAGGCCCCGCACGCAATCAGGAGCTGGTCGCATGCCACGTGCCGCGCTGTTCCTGTGTCGCTAACAATATCGACACCGACAATAACTCCGCACTCAGATACGACCCGCTCTGCACGAGCGCCCAGATGGAACTCTACTCCTTGCGCCACGAGCGTCTCGTATAGAAACGTACACAGCAGCTCTGGATTTACTTGTGCGGTCGTCCCGGCACCCGAGATCATCTCCGCCTCACCTCCGCCCACAACCCACGGTGGGATAGCGCTCTTCTCTCGGACCTCGCTGCTGGCGGTGGTGGCTCTGCTGGTGCCATCGAGTAACCAGCCCTCGCCCCGTCCACCGCCCTCTTCGATGCCTGCCAGAGATACCCCAATGCTGTCCGCATACCCCCAGCGCTCCGCGCCACCATGGAGCTCGGCGAGCTCGCGGTGTAGAGCAAAGGAGAGAGCGCCGAGCGGCGCGACAGAGGGTACGAACCAGTCTTTTGCGAGGAAGCCTGCTGCCTTGCGGGACGCGCCGGGGTAGGGTGTGGGTGATGGGTCGATGAGGTGGATGTGCGTGGAGGGGGATTGGAGGAGGGTGTAGTAGGCTGTGGCGAGCGATATGATGCCGCTGCCGAGGAATACTTTTGCGGGCATGTCAGGTGCTGAGTGGCGTTTTGTGTGTCAATGATCAAAGTGTTGGAAGTCAATGATTGGTAAGAGGCGGGAGGGATCAATGATCGGAGATACAGATGCGGGGATTGCCGCGGTAACTAACCGCGAACCCTAACCCATGGGTAGACGCATGGATAAAGCAACGAGTTCTACTAATGGGATTGTAGGTGTTAGGAATTTTATTAAGTCGGCTCGGCCTGAATATTCTATGCTCTCGCCGAAACATCCTACTAGTACTGACTCTGTATTGACAATAGAGTGCCGAAGAACGCCCTCTTCCCTTAGCTGTTGAGCCCAGCGATTACTTTTAATTGATATACTTTACACACTTCCCTCAATAGGTAGATGATCGAAGGGCCTGATAGATTTCCATACTCTGTCTCAATGGCTTCAACACATTACAAACGTATAAACGCAATACAATGCTGTATATCTCTCAGTGTCTGCCCATATCAATCTTGATAGTGACTCCGGTGTTCGTGTTGCGAGTGCCGGGCGTTTATGAAGTTAGTTTATAGACTGAGATCAGAGCTGAAGCTGAATTATAGTCTAGCTTACAACATAAAGATATTTGCAGCGATAGGTAGAATACTAACATATACTATCCTTATCAGGAAGGTAGGAGGAGGGCATGCCTCGAGTTAGTTATATACCTGGTCCGTTTTTGGAGGGGGGTCTTTGCCATTTTGGCCGAGGAAGCCCTAATATTTGGGGTATGAGTCTCATAGCACTGCGTCTTGGGATCAATCGCTTTGACACGACGGTCTAATTCCTATTACACCTGGGGTGTGAGTGTAGGCAGTAAAGGGCGATTTAAATCTGTGTTTCTCAGCCTCGTAATTATCTCATTGCCGTAGTTTCATCCTAAACAAGGTGCCTTTTTACAACTCTTTGGGATATAGGTTCATCGCGTTAGAAGGTTGGATTAACCACTTGGATAGTGTCCGTGGAAGATAATATGACCTGAACCCGGCCCAGCCCGCAGCAGATCCCCTTCCACTCAGGCTGAGTGGGAAAAGAATATAAAGTAATCCAGAGTTAGTAAGGGAGTCTGCTATTTTTGCAGGAGTGTCGTATATATCTGGTCTTATTCCCCACATATATACCAATATTAAGCCATGGTGATATTTTTGAAGTACGCTCAAGAGGTAATTTAAATCCTCACCGAGTTCGTGGATAACCTTCGCACATATTCTCCATGATTCGTTTGTATGGTCCGTTCTGTTGGACCTCACCCAGGAGTTCTATTAGCTGGTTTGTAGTAGTTTTCATCATTCGTTGATGGCATAGGTATATGGCCTTCTAATACCCTTACTAGGTAAGGATTGTAACCCGGCTCAGACGGCGAAGATTTCCCTAGCTTTGAGCCTTAAACCATGATAGCCCCTTAAACTTTGTATATGGAGATAAATCCTTTTGGATAATGATATATCGGCTAGCTTAGGGTTTGGGTGAGACTTTGAAAGGTATCGTTTCAACGAATGATCAAATGTGGTTAGGGTTTAGCCCAGCCCAAAAAACTCGTAGTTATGATGAATGAGAATCATTTTTTACGAGCAGGGCCGCAATACTCAAACTCTATAGGTTGACCTGAGTAGGGTATATGTGTCATAAATCCTGCCAAATCCATGTAATGCAATCCGTAAGAGCCCAGTCTATCAGGTTTGAAGTACTTGCCGTAAAATCCTCTTCATGGTTAGAATTCTAGGAGATATCCCTCCGCAGAACCTCTACCCCATCCCCATTGCCCATAGCGGTAACATAGCCTTCCCTAATCGACATGTTCAGATTATGGAAGGCTATATTACCGCTGTGGAAAATTGCCGAGGACTCGCAGAGGGATGCCTCCTAAAACGCCTGGATCTACTTTGACGCTGATGTAGCCGTAGATGGTTGGATAGTCTCATTGTACGCTTGTGAGCTATATTTTTTCTCCTAGTTGTCTCTGGTAACCTTCGGGGAATTTCTGCTCAGATCTATATGCTGAGTGGCATTAGTTGGTTAATGTTGTTAACAGTGTTGCCCGTCTACTGGTGGTGTAGAAAGAATGATGGCCGGCCCGATTGATATTCACAAAAAGGGCTCCCGATCAAGACTTCTGGTCGGGGGATACATAGAACCGTCATGCATTTTTTTCTTTTTTCTTCTTTTTGCTTTCCATGTGCTAGGCCAGACTATTTAGTGGTGTCACTGGTGAATGGTGCGTCTTGAATTAGACGAAGGATCTCTCCAACGAGTCTCCATCAAGGACAGACAAGACAAGCACGCATAGCACCTGCGCCTGTACCCGTCTTGATGTCCATATTCTGTGAGCCTTTCCTCGGGATGGAATAGGTGCTTGGCATGATCTTATATGAAACTTGATGTGAGTTATTATTATCGAGACGCATTTGTAACGGGTTTTATCCGGCCTGATACTGATTGTGGTAAATGGCGTTGTGTTGGCATGAAGTGTTGGCGATGTGGCGATGCGGTGATGCGGTGCGGTTGCTGGTAAAGTTGTGGTTGATAGTGGTGGTGATGAAGAAAAGAGAGAGTGTGTGTGTTTATATGGTGAGTTCAGGGTTAGGTGGGGTAGTCCTAGGTAACATGTCATGATGACGCGTTTACGGTGTGAATTACTAAGGGCTTTGTACTTAGGACGATATTTGAGTTACGGCTAGATCCGGGCAGTGAGCTACATTCAACGACGATTCAGTCTTCTCGGTTTACATCGAGTCCCTCTCACAGCCCGAGTGTACTCACCTGCGTAGTAACCAGATTATGAGGTAAATCCAGGACGGAGGCTCCCCCCCAACCCTCCCTGGTAAATCGAACTGAACTGTTTACATGATCCTTCTTGAACCCATTATTTTCTTCGTGTGATTTCGGGACATGGCGATCTGGAGCTCACCATACAAATCGTGGAAGCTACCTGGAAGTGTCGACTAGCAGTGCACGATCTAGTGTCTACCACGACGCTGACGTGGGCATAACATGTTATGACTACCGGGAACAGTAGTATAGAGTTTTCAATTTAACATATCACTTGGGGGGTGGCATTTTGGGTTGGTGGGCCATGGGCTGGTTTGCTGTCAGGGTTCGCGCTCCCGTCGACCAGTCAGAGTGTGAGTACATATGTAGGTTAGAACAACTAGGGGCAGTACATATTAAATTCGGAAGGTAACTACTAGTATGCACTGAGGATAATTAAATAGACAGGGCACGTTATTTCGTGAGCTTGTGGTTGGCATGCAATAACGGTGTAACTCCCCGAACTACTATGAGTAACTAGTGGTGAGATGCATTCACAAACCATCACTCGACCTAAGTATCAGAGGGATTTAGGGGAGGGAAGGTGTGTGAGGAGTATGGGAAATTTGGTGGTAGAGGTTTATCTCTCAGGTTAACGTTCCTTTTTCCATGCCTGACCGTGTTAAGCTTGGGGCGCGTGCATGGTGTTGGACACACAACGGCTTATTAAGTGACAGCGAGACTAAGCGAATCGTATAAACACTGTCATCTTTAGTCCGTGTTTTTAAGCTACTGTTACCACTTGACCCCGTTTCTGTAATGTCTTAGAAGGAAAATTCCAGTGAGAAGACTTTAGTAGGGATCTCGCGTCGAGTGATAGTTTGTGATTAACTCAATCAAAAAACCAACCCCCGCCACAACCAGCGCCGGGTCCATCCGACCGCACAAACATCTCTTTATGACCGGGAAAAAAAATTTATGAGTCTGGGCATCCGGGAAATCTTTAGTATCCTAGCTCCTAGCTAGCCTCAAGCTTAAATCTATATCTATGTCCCCTGTATACGTTCCTATTGATAGCCGGGGGGTGATTGCGGTAGGATCGATGAGAGGTGTCTTTTGGGATCTGAAGTCTTGGAATTTGATTAAGCTTGGAGATAGACGGCCAGGATTATTGTCTACTTGAGTTGACAGGTAGACCATCCGATTGCCACCAGGAAAATGAGTGGTTGGGAAACTATGGGATGAACTCCATACATTGATCAAGTCTCGAGAAGTGGAAGAAAGTTACAAGATAAAATGAAAGCATCGGTTTGTATTAGTATCCTACACCTATCCCTGCAACTGCCAGTCATTAACTATATCACTTCGTCACTTGCTAATCTACATGTTCTACCTAATTTCATATGATCTAGGGCATCGGAGTTTGGACGTCCTTCTTTGCTGCGGCATCTTCTTTTTGAGGTCTCGCCCCAAATATCGAAGTTCCGACTCTAGTTACACCTCATAGTCAGTATCATCCCCCACACTAAAGAGCGAAGTAAACTTACCGGACATTAGTAGCCCCGAGCTTAATACCCTGCTCGTAATCTTCACTCATCCCCATACTCAACTCGAGTGTGTTTGTCTCTCGCCCCAAGGACTTTGCAATCTCATCTCTTGTCTTAGACAACAGGATAAAGTCCTCATTCGGCATCTCGCTCTCTTTCGAGCGCGCAATATCACCAATAGTCATGAACCCCTGTAGTGTTAAGTGGGGGCACTTCTCAATAATATGTTTCGCCAACTCCAGTGTATCGCTCGGCTCGCAGCCGGACTTCGATTCCTCACCTATGGCGAGGTTAGCTTGGATCAGATCGGCAGATTAGGTATGTAGGGTAAGGTACCGGATGTGTTGACCTGGATGAAGACGCGTAGCTTCTGGGCGTCAGGGTTCTTTTCAAGGAGCGCGGCACGGCCCTTGTTGAGGGCGTCGGCCTTTTTGGAGGCGTCGAGCGACTCGACAGCCCATAGGTTTGGGATGGAGGAGGCGAGTTGCTTGCACTTGTTTGTTTGGAGAGTGCCGATAAAGTGCCACTGAATGTCAGAAGGGAGGACGGGGGCTTTCTCGAACAATTCTTTTTATTTTTTCGGTTTGGAGGGTTAGCTGACGAAATCCCCGGACGGGATGTGATGTGATATTTGCGTAGGGAAAATCGGGCTCGGGCTCGGGCTCGGGGGCTAAAGAGGACGCATACCCTGTGAGTAGTTCTCGCCATAGTGGGTGTGCTTTGTGGCATTGTACAGAGCCTGAATATCGGAGGCCGGTTTTCTTTTCGACACGGCGACTAGACGTACCTATCCAATCCGTTTTTATTAGTTTCACTACAGAACCGAACACAAAAACGCAGATCTCCAACATGACATACACTACGGTCTGGGGAGGCCACAGCACTGATACGGCGCATAACACTATGAAATCCAGAGACGAGGGCTTGGGCACGAGCTGCCATTTCTGCTTCGGGTACTTCGGATGTAGGAATAGAAGAAGACGACGAGGACATGATATGATATGAGCTGCTGCTGCTGTTGCTTGACCGTGTTTAGAGAGCTGTGATGATGTTGCTGCTACTAGGGACGGTATAAGATCAGCGGGTCGTAATTTCGGCTTGTACTCGTTTATCTCGAAAGTTAGGTCGTCGCTAAAGAGAGCGATATGAGATTGAGATTGATCTGATGCTCTTGCACCCCTTGTAGAGTTATTTGTTTAGGCTTAAGCTGAGCGAAGCAGCAGCCAGCAACACAGACAGCACTTTACCTTGTACCGTGGTTGATCGTCGTGAGGTTGTGACGTTATGAGGTTGATCTCCTCCGCCCTAACCCGGATGCATAAACCACGCTCTCTTGGCAGAGAAAGGGAAAAAAAAAAAACGCCCTTCTCCTCCTTCACCCTGCGCCGCCGGCGGCATGCGTGTTTCACGATGGTGCGGGATACATGCAAGCCACTATCACACCCGTTTTGTTGATTTCCAGAAGAAATCCAGGGGGAGAACTGTCGGTTCCCGCCGACCGAGAAAAGCAGGTTTCTGGTGGTGGGTCAATTTGGCTTCTAGACTGCGACTGGCCAATCCGAGACTCTGGGGTGATGAGCCCTTTTTTTTCCTTTTCTCCGTCCGTCCCTAGTCGCGGTTGCGGGTTCGTGGGTTTTGGGACCCGATGACGGCATTGGTGGTGCCTGAATTCTGCCTACAGCAACGTCTGGCGGGTACTGCTTGACGTAGAGATGTACCTGCGTGGAGTGCCATCTACGTCTTTGCAATTTGGCTCGCCAGATTAATTGGTACGCATCCTTTACTGGTTTACTGGATGAGCATCTTTAGCTGAAGATCGAATAAAAGACCCAAAGGCGGCATATGTATGTATATCAGCGCTCTTATATATGCAGCTCGACTCCCAATTAGTCTACCTCTAATTAAACGTCCTCACAAATAGCAACTTCTAACTCAAAGAGTAGATTCATAGTAGCAAACATCACATTGGATCGCATCACATCACCCCAACACCCTTGAAAAAAGGAGAATCCCCCACATGCACTACTACGGTGCTACGGAAAAGTGCAATTTGCGCCCCCCCCCCCCCCCCGCCGTCAAGGAATCATGTCCGGCTTTTTCTTTTTTGTTTGGGCCAAGGATGCACTTGTTTTTCTTTCTCTTGGATCAGTTAGTTGCGCTTGGGCCGTCCCCTTGGTGCAGCTAGCTACTTGCTAGTATGTAGCCAAACTTGTTCATATAACTATGAGATCCGATCTTCTTTTTGTGAGGAGAAAAAAAAAAAAAAGATACTCTCTCTTACCCCCGAATCCGATCTACTTTACCTAGGTATTGTATTACGCTCTTTAAGGTTGGGTGTGTGGGATTTCTTGACGTATTTGCGCACTTTTTTTTCAAGGCAGCAGCAGTCGTTTAGTCGGGGGGAGTTATTTGATCATTCGGAGTTTTGAGCATTCACCCTCTTTTCTTTTTGGTTACCTTATTGGCACGCGACCATTTTATTACTGCTGCTTAAGTCAGTAACGGATACCTATTCACTCACTCGAATATAATATCCTCAAGGGCCCTGCCAAACATCAGCAAGCCCACCAGCAAGAAAACAAACCACGGGAACCAAAGAAAGAGGAATCATTATCTCAGGCAGTGCCTGAAACCAACAAACAAAACTCCATTCTTTATCCTTTAACCAACCACCCAACAATGAAATCCCCAACCTCCCCACGCAACAGCGGCTTCGTCCAACTCGGGGCCCTCGGCCCCGACCTCTCCCACTCGCACTCCCGCGACCACATCGTCGACATCCCGCTCACCCCCATCAAAACCAACACCTCCAACATCACCGCCACCGGCGCCCGCAAGGAAGGCCAAAACCTCGACAGCCGCCCCGACTTTGGCCGCGCAAACACTCAGGAGACACAGGACAACGGCGGCATCTTCCACAAGCACATGGGCCGGCGGCGCGGGCCGCAGATTGGAGGAGATGCGAGCCTGGTGGACGACGAGGGGGCGCTGACGACGATGGGGAGGCTCTATGAGAGGGTGCTCAACTTTTCGATTGTGACGAGGTATCTGCTGTATATTATCCCGCTGTCGCTGTGCTTTGTCACGGTGATTTTGGTCGGGCTGTTTGCGGCGCCCGAGGCGAGGATTGGCGGGGATGAGAGGCACAAGGGGGTGAAGATTGTGTGGTTCTTTGTGTGGGTATGTGGGATTCTCTTTTCTGTTCTGTTTTGATTTATTCTGGTGATTTTTATGGTTGTGAGTGAGAATGGTTGCGAGAATGGAAGTGGTTGTGGATGGATGGATGTGAGTGAGAGTGTGAGAATGCTGACTTTTTCCCGCTCTCCGCAGCTCAACGTCGTCTGGTGCTCGCTCTGGGTGTCGAAACTCGTCGCAAAAGCTCTCCCGGCGATCTTCCAGACACTCGTCGGCGTGGTCAGCAGCGGTGTCAAGAAATATGCACTCGTTATCAAAGCCCTCGAAGTGCCGATCTCGCTCGTCGGGTGGGCCATTGCCTCTCTGTGCTCGTTTCTGCCGGTAAGCACTCACATGTCAATGATCCCCGCTACACAAAAAAAAACTAACCCCATGCCACCACCTAACACAGCTCATGACCCGCAACCCGGATCAACTCTCATTAGGCGACACGGGCATCCGCGAGTGGCAGCGCCGCCTCAACCTCGTTCTCATCGCTTGTCTCGTCTCGTCGCTCGTCTACTTTGGCGAGAAGCTCATCATCCAGATTGTCTCCGTCGATTACCACCGTAAGCAGTTTGCGCAGCGCATAAAGACCAATAAGGAGAATGTTCGCTTCCTTAGCCAGCTGTACGAGGCTTCGCGTGCCCTCTTCCCCGCCTACACTGAGTTCGCCGAAGAGGACTACATCATCAACCAGTCGCTCGCCTCGACGCTCATCGTGCCGACAAAGAGCGGGTCGGCGACGCCCATGCGCGCCATTCTCGGTAATATTAACGTCGTGCAGGATAAGGTCACTAGCGCCTTCGGAAACATTGCGCAGGAGGTGACGGGGAATAAGAATGTCTTTAACCCGAACAGCGCGTACTCGGTAGTGATCAATGCGCTGCAGAGGAAGCGGTCGAGCGAGGCTCTGGCGAGGAGGATCTGGATGTCGTTTGTGTCGGAGGGCAACACGAGTCTCGAGAAGGAGGATCTACTGGAGGTTATGGGTAGCCAGTATGAACAGGCGGCGCTCGAGTGCTTTGCGAGTCTGGATTCGGACGGGAATGGCGATGTCAGTTTGGATGAGATGATTATGCATGTTGTGCAGATCCACAATGAGCGCAAGGACGTGGGGAAGAGTATGCAGGATGTGGTAAGTATCGATTTTACATGAAACTTAGAGATGCGGCCGCAGATGTTAATGTGATCAGGACAATGCCATTCGCGCTCTTGATAGTGTTCTCGGCTTCATCGTCTTCGTCATCGTCGTCATGGTCTTCGTCGTCTCCCAGCAGTCCAGCGTCGGCACGACCCTTGCCGGCGCCGGTACGGTTCTCATCTCCCTCTCCTTCGTCTTCGCCATCACCGCTCAAGAAATCCTCGGTTCATGCATCTTCCTGTTCGTCAAGCACCCTTTCGATGTTGGTGACCGCGTCGACATCGAAGACAAGCGTTACGTCGTCGAACACATCTCGCTCCTCTACTCAGTGTTCAAATGTCTCGATAACCAAAAGGTCACCCAGGTCCCCAACAACGTGCTCAACATCAAATGGGTCGACAACATCTCGCGCTCCAAATACATGACCGAATTTGTCAAGATCGGCGTCAACTACGACACCACGCTCGAGGACATCCAGACGCTCAAGGACGAGCTCACCCTCTTCGTGCGCGAGAACAGCCGCGACTTCCAGCAGGACTTTGAGGTCGAGGTCGTAGGCATCAACGATCTGGACCGCCTCGTGATCAGGCTCGAGATCAAGCACAAGAGCAACTGGGCCAACGAGCAGCTCACGCTCCAGCGTCGCAACAAGTTCTTCTGCGCGCTTGTCCTCATTCTCAAGAAGATCCCCATCTACGGCGCCGGCAAGGGCGACCCTAGCATCGGCGAAGAGGGCAAGCCAATGTACACCGTCGCCATCCCCGACGAGCTCGCCCAGGTAAACATGAAGAAGGCCGCCGACACCAAAGCCAAGAAGCGTTGGGACGCGCCCAAAGACGACGACGACGAACCCGGGCCAGAAGCGGCGCGGCGGAAGGAGCCGGGCTATTTCAGCCCCAGCACGACCATCAATGAGGGCGTGGTACACACAGGCGCGAGCTACCAGGCGTATGTGACCTCGCCGCCGGAGGAGCGCAGCAGAGGCCGCAGCAGCGCGGAGAGTAGGAGGGATGATGTGGAGGAGGTGAGGAATCTGCTGAAGAGGGAGTCCACGAGGGGACGGAGGAAGAGGGGCGTGCTGCCGGAGTTGAATACGCAGGGGTATTCACCTTCGCCGTCGCAGTCGCAATTGCAGTCCCAGTCACACTCGCAGTCACACTCACCGGCGCCGCAGATACAGTACCCGCAGCAGCAGCAGCAGTTGGGCGCGAATAATCCGTACCAGCAGCAGCAGCAGGGCGGGGCGGCGCCGCCGTATGGGAGGGTATAGCGGTGTGTTTAGAGGGAGAAGTGGGGTAGGTAGAATTGAGTAGAAGTGGGTTGGGGCTGGCTCCAGGAACCATCGGTGGCGTTTTTTATCATCGTTTTTACTATTATCCTTATTCTTATTTTATATCTTTTTTTTCCCTTCTGCGTGACACTATAATCATTTGGGTGGCTTTTTTTCCTTCTACTTCTTGTATGTTATTTTTAACCCGGATCGGGAAAATATTAAAAAAAAAATTAGGTAATTGACTGTGACCGCGCGGAATCTTAACCATGGTCTTGATCTAAAGAACAGCAACTAACTGAAGAAGAACCATAGGGGACATGTGTAGAAAGCAATCGAATCATTTTTATGGTGAGAGTACTGGACAGAAAATACCCCACCTGAAGAAGGCACGCAGTTATGTAGGTAGGGGTTAGTCATAGACTATCACTCGATATAACCGCATCCTTGTTTTTTCCTTTTTGGTCTCGTCAGGGAAATCTACTATACTAAAAGAATGTGTACCGAAAAAGTATCGTTAAAAATCTAATCCTGCACCTGAATGGCGCCCTCACCATTGAATGGAATACAGCAGGCATCAATCTCATAGCTATGAGACGGAGTGATAGAATCTCCTTATCTCTCTAGATCTTATCTGCAATCAATTGCGGGAGAGAGATCTTTACAATCTGCTCTAGCAGCCACTGTACGAGCAACAGGCCGGTAGCATAGGGGATAATGCGCTTCCATCAGGTAACTGTAGGAACAATTGCTGGAAGAGATGGGGTTCGAAACCCCCCGGCGCTGTTGGATTTCTTCTAAGAAATATTTTTTTACTGCTCTTGGCATCATAAAGGAGAATTCCCTGGGGATTATCAAAAGTTAACTTTGCACAACATTACTAAAGGAAGCAAGGTACATCGAAGGAGACGCCATTGTAACAACATCTAGGGGAGACGTCATTTTACGTCGGGGACAGGAAAAGGGGAATACCAATGTCACCTGGATGTTACAAAACCTTTCGTTCTAAGCTTGGTTAGTCCAGCTCCGCTGAAGCAGAATATGTTCACGACTTAGAACCATAGATAGAGCGTTTAATAATCTAGGCTCCAGTGGTCCGAAGGTTTATATGGGGAACAGAGTGTCGGAAGAGTGAGATCGGGTCATTTTTTCTACCTAGTATGGCTTCCGTGTACTAGTGGGGTTACTATAAACCGGTTTACAACCCAGGGGTATATAAACTGATTTAGAGTTGAGAAATAGGCTGTGTAAGGTGTTTCAAAGATCTTGGACCAGAGGATGATTGTCCCAGTTTTACCTTGGGCTGGTTACTGGCTGACCTGTATACTAAAGCTATCAGGAAACATTCCGAGATCTACAAGAAGTAAGTTCATGGGTCCAGAGCACATCTAACAGTAGCGAACGAGATCTGGGCATAGCTGTCCCATTGGTAGGGGCCCAATCAAAAGGATAGCTAGGAACTCGTAGTAAGCTTAGGTCTTTATTTGCACAAGAGGTTGAGTGCTTGTGGATAAACATTGACTAAGTATGGATAAGAAGAAAAGATCGCCGAAGGTAAAGGGTTTATGTTACTAGATCTGAGGTAAAGAGTCTAGCCCCAACCACCGTACACTATTCTCTCAGTCTAGGTACGACGTGATAGATAATAGTACAACGGAAAACAGAATGTCTGTGCATGTTATAATTCGGAGATGGTACTCATGAAATGTCATGTTACTCAATATCTAAGCTATCTATGAGATCGAGTGATACTTCATGACTCTAATAGAAACATCTAACCTGATGGTAATGAAAGGCAGAGAGTATTCCCGAGAACTCCTCTCCAATGCCCCGGTATTGTGTAATACTCACTCACATGTAGCTCTCGATTGCAGTAACATCATGACGAACATAGTTGCAGGTCCTAGCTTTAAAAGCTTTAGTTCTGGCTGATTCGAAATAGTGCAATGCCACTCTACACTGCTACTGATTGTGACATTGAGTGGGTCTTTGAAGGGCTTTTGACCTATTTCTGTGGCTATAACGGCGGGAAAAAGTGACTGTAATTAATCTGATAAGATGAAGAAAGACAGAGCTGCAGAGGTTTGATGCGGCATTGAGATAGAGTTGTACGTACGCGTAAGCTACTCAATAAAGCGGTCCAGCAGACGATGCTGACGGCAAACTAGCTTGGTTAGTACATTTAAGACTCTTCTTACTCTAGCATACCAAGGCCAATCCTAAACGCTAGCGGAACATCAAATACTATAAATATCCTCTTCCGGCTCTCTTGTCTTCTTTCCCTCTCTTCCTTTCTTCTCATCTCCTCCATCGTTATTATAATCATCATCGTTTTCATTACATCAACCACCCCTCAATTATTAGTTATCTCTCTCAGTTTCACATAGGAAATAAGAAGTCACCCTCAAACGAGCCGGTCTCTGGGCTATTGCGGCCGAGGGGGTCAATCGTCTGATTATTGGCTTGCCTTGCTCGTTTAGGACACGAGGTTCCTCCAGAGGGAAACTTGCATCCTGAACGAGTCGGTCTCTGGGCTACGGCCGAGGGACCGAGCTCTATCATTTGAATCACTTATTGGCCTTGCCCATTCGGGTCTATGCTCGAGATACATACATATGCCTTCATACACCCAAGAGGATCTAACTCGACTATAAAACCAGAATGAGTTGATTTTGGGCTGCGGCTGAGGGATCAAGCTTCTTTTCCAACTGAGATCAATGTACTTTTATAATATTCTTCTTGTAGCTAGCTGATTCTGACAACAGAGCCGTATTAGAGGCTTTAGTTCGCCGAGGCCGTTGAGGACCAGTTATTGCCATCTCATCGAGGAGTTAGCTGGCCTTTGGTGGCTCTGGAGGAACGAACCTATTGCTTTCTGTACACGAAGAACGATTGCAGTCACAGAACAGGACTGCGAGGGCATTTACACCGCGGATTTTTGCAACTCTACACAAATAGTGATCTAAATCACCTCCAGCACTATTAAAATAGGCTGACCTCAACTTCTCAACTACTAAGTTAGTTGTCGAAGCTAGCTAACTGATCGTCCTTAAATCTCAGTACAGTATCTGTACCTATGAGGGGACACTAGCTAGTCAACTGATGACTGGAAGATTAATCAGAACCTAACTCTCCAATCTCACTAACTACTGAGAGCGAGGAGCATAGCGATTATACTCAAGAGATGAATCGATACGGCAAGAGATACCTGGGCCTCCGTTGTCTTTAATCCACGCCCGGTCAGAGAGCCTATACGCAGCAAAACGATATATAATTCAGACCAAAATTTCAAAACAACCGATAACAAAAAAAACATCATTTTACAAAAGAAGCCCTAACCCACCACCAGACTCCTTAACCCTAGCTTCGCCGGCCCTCCGTCCCCCAAAAATGGAAGTAGGGAAATCGGCAAAAGAGTCATTGTTCCTAATTGAAAAAAATATATATTTGAACTCGTAGCCTAGAGGATTCGAGGACGGGAATGGCGTGCAGCTGACACTGTATTCACAGCTAGAGAAAACACTCGGTACCGTACATAGACGTAGAACAGATACCGGACTAGCTGGTGCATTTATATCTTCACGGTTAAAGAACTCGCCCTGTATCATCAACTACATTTAAGTCGCTTACATTACATTAAACGTGACTTCGCATTGCCACGATGAGCATACTTTTGGCCACTACCAGAATGGGATATTATATACAGCAAGAAGATTTATTACAATTAATACTTCTCGCTCTCTTACTTTATCTATCTACATCCCCCATATACAGCAAAAAAATAAAAAAATATTTCTTAGAAGAAATCCAACAGCGCCAGGGGGGATCGAACCCCATCTCTTCCGGCAATTGTTCCTACGGCTACCCGATGGAAGCGCATTATCCCCTATGCTACCGGCCTGTTGCTCATACAGTGGCTGTCAGAGCAGATTCTAAAGATCTCTCTCCCGCCATTGATTGTAGATAAGATCTAGAGAGAGATAAAGAGATTCTGTGAGCCAAGGTCACTCCGTCTCGGCGTCTGCTTTAGGGTAGGCGGCATTTTTTCATTTGTTGCATACATGTAGCTATGAGATTGATACCTGCTGTATTCCATTCAATGGCGAGGGCGCCATGTAGGTGCAGGGTTAGTCTGGATCTTAAGTACATCGGGGATGGGAATAACCTGTGGAATTCTGCGAGGTGGTACTTAAACAGCATCCTTCCCGACCTCTTGTCCAGGCCGCCTTTCATATAGGTTACAGGTTTTATAGGGTGTGGAGAGATAATTTAAACTTCGGCATATAAGGGGTGTAGGGGGGGCTAGGCGGTTGGTGCAATCACGAATTATCACTCGGGGAAATAATCGTAAACGGGTGTTCTATAATTGGCTTTTACATGTCGTACAGCTGTACAGTCAAAGGCGCAGTTATACACCGTGTCCGCACATGAAGACAGCGAGTTGATGTCCAGGCTCTTCAACCACACCTATAAAACACTCAAGCACCCGCCATCACCATCACCATCACCATCACCATCACCATCACCATCACCATCATCACCATCATCATCATCACAACTCCTCACGGCGAAATCCAACCAGGTGGGGGTGTCTGACCATTCACCTCCGCCTTATCCCCAAAAGTGAAGTGATGTGTTCCCTTTTCTCTTTCTCTCATGCAATGCTTTTCGTTCATGTCCCCTAGCAGGTGAGTGGAGAAATGCCAACCCAATATTACCCACACGCACCGTACTCCCAACGCAGGTATATTGGGGTCTCTCGAGAAGTCATCTATCTTACATATTCCATCCACACACCCAGAGAAAGGAAAGGAAGAAAAAAAGAGACCAGTGGGAAAAAAGAGTACTATATATACACAAGTATATGATACACACCAAACTCTAAAAATATATACGCCAGGAATATTTGTCAGGTATTGAGTTTCAACTTATCGATGCAGGCAAGGAGGTATGTAGTTATGGCTAACTAACAAGCAAGAAAGAGCGATGAAAAGAAAATAAGGAAAGGGGAAAAGAAGGGGGGAATAGTCTACTTCCCCTCTTCCTCCTGCTTCTTCTCCTCCCCTTCCGTAGCTTCAAAATCATCCAACAGCCCCATCGCCTCCGTCAAGAAGTCTTTCTTCTCCCCCTCCTTTACCTCCTGCCCCGCCACCGTTGACGCCGCTGCTGCCTCTCCGCCCTCCACTGCACCCTCAGCAGGCTGCGCATCCGCAAAGTACGGCTCCACCTTACACCCCAACTTTGCCAACCTCACCGCCTCAGTCGACCACGTCACCTCCTCCTTGCCATCTCTCCTCACCACCATCGACCTCAATGTTCTTGCATCGGCCCTCGTGAACCTCAGACGCTGCGGCTCCTTATCCGAATTCGCATTATCCTCCAAAATGACGCTCACAATCTTACCCTGCGGGCGTCGGTCCATCCCCGCCGACAACGGATCCGCCAGCTCGTCTGCACGCCGCGCAAACGGCCATGACGCTACGCGCCCCGCGTACGTTATGTACTCGCGCGGGCGGGTGATGCGATGCAGGATGTAGAGGTGGTTGGCACCGGGTGGGTGTATACCACGGCAGAAGAATGTCGACGTGAGCCAGACGGTAGTGGCGCTCTTGTCGCCCCCCTTTGCCTCGGCCTCAATGCGGTGTCGGACGGACGGGGAGAGCAGCATGTCCGTGCGGCCGATGGGGAGCTTCCCGAGTTCGTCGCCGGTGTTCCATTTCACGGCCAGGAGCATGCGGCAGTGCACGCCGAGATCGCGGAAAGCTTCCTTGACGGCGGGAAAGTCGGTCTCGGTGCTGAGGCCGACAATGACGTTTGTGGGGTAGTTGTCCTTCTCGAGGAGCTTCATGACAACGTTCGTGACGACCTCCTGGGAGTATCCTGTGACGCGCGTGCCCTCTGGAACCGTGTCCTCGTCCTGAATTGCGTCCTGGATCATCTGCTCGGTCTTGTTGAGCTCGGCGACGATGTCGTCCTTGCTCAGGTGGCGCAGCGGCGGCAGCGGGGCGTCACGCAGTTCGCGGGTGCGCAAGTCGTAGGCCAGGACGTGGTGGTGCAGGTGGTCCGGCACGTACTGCGTGACTTCGTTGCGCTCGAGCGGCGGGTCCTCGATCGAGAGGAGTGAGTTGCTTCTCGCCTTGCGGCGCCACTCCTCGCCCGGCTTGGCCCCGCTGAATGTTGTGGGCGTGACGTCCATGTTGAGCTGCGTGGGCTGCAGCCACTGGCGGTGGTGGTGCACGAGGAAGCGCTTCACCTGCGTGGCCGACAGAGTCGCGCTGGGAAACACAAGCTGCGGCTGCTGCGGCGCAGTGCCCTTCCGGTGGGCGTCGGCGATGCGGCACTTGACAATGTAGTCGAGCAGGATCTGCAGCGGCACCTGGCGTGGGGTGTTGCGGGCCACCTTAGCCGTGGTGCTCTGGCCCTTCTTGATGCGCGAGTAGAAGACCATCTGCGTGACTGTCGCATCAATCTCCTCTAGCACAATCACCTTGAGATGGTTGATGTCAATCAGGCTGCGCACGGCCGGGTCCGGGTCCGCCAGGATATCCAGGATGATGGTCGGCGGTGCAATGATGATGTGCGGGTGCCGGAACTCCTTCAGCTTCTGGAGCTGCTCCAGCTCCGTCTCTGCTCCCCGTCGAAACAGCACCTGCACAAACGCATCCGGCGAGCTCTTGACCGCCTTACTGTCGCTGTTCTCCAGCATGGCCTGAATGGTGCCGTGGTATTGCAGGGCCAGATCCACGTTCGGCACAAGCACCAGCGCGCTCGTCGTCGGCTTATTCGTCTCACTCATGATGGACCTCTCCAGCCCCAGCAGCCACGCCGCAATCGCAAACGACTTTCCCGTGCCCGGCAGCCCGCGACAAGCGACCGAATACCCGTACGTCAGTGCCGTCAGCAGCTTCTTCTGCACAGACGTGGGCCGTATGACGTTGGGGAAGGCGCGCAGCAGCGTGTCGGCCACCACGGGCCGCAGTCCAATCTTCTCCCATGGCTTTGTCTGGGGCCCGAACCGCACGTGGTTGAGGTCGAGCTCTTCCTCATACTTCAGCACATCAGCGGAGGTCTGTGGATCTGGCGCGGGGGGGGAGTCTGTGGTGTATGGCCGTCGTGAGACTGTAGGGAAGGCTCTACGGATTAGGTTTGGGAGGAAGAAGGCGGCGGCGGCGGCGGTGGGGGGGCGAGCGGTGGGGCGGGCGAAAAGGCGTGTGCGGCACTGGGTGCAGATGTAGGATGTCCGGGCTCGAGAGACGGAGGAGAGCATCACATATAAAGGGCCCCTGTCAAGGAGGAGGGTATCACTGGATTGTATTGAGGACTGACAGGCGGGGTGGTATTAAGTGTGCTCTATAGTGAATTGGGTAGTGGCGATAGTACAATTGGCCTGTTCCTTGTGGTGTTGTCGATGGTGGGGCTCTCGAGAGAGAAATGTTTGCCCAACTCTTTTTTTTTGCGCCACTATGGAGAGGGTAATGCGGTGGGGCTGGTTACCCGCCGTTTGGTGGGGCGGGCTTGGATTATGTCATGGGCCTGGCTGGGCACGCACCCGATACCCGCAGCAACAACGGCGGTCAGGGGTATTGCTTTTTGTGGTGCTGGATGCATCTCTTCTTCTCCGGTAGATGGATTTAGAATTCACTCAGTTCCATTCTCATTTCAGGAGCAGCCTTTGCCATGTTGAAAACGCAAGCCATGTGCAAGAAACAACCATCACCCCGTAGCGTTGAAAGGTAAAGCTAGCACTAGCACTAGCGTACCCCAAAATACGCCTCATAAAAAAAATGTGTTCTCTTTCTCATTGACAGCAACAACGGCCCACTCCTTCTCTCTCTCTCACCCGCACCCCCGGTTCACACAATATCACTCGGACACACCTTTTTCAGCAACAGATTGATAGAATCTCTTTAAACTCGCAAAGCAATGTGGGTATCGTACAAAAAAGAGCACACAACCAATTCGTCCTCCTCTACTCTACTTCCACCACCATTTTTCTTTTCTCTCTTTACTTGAGAGGGAGAAGAAGAAATGGCACCGCCGGTAACTTTGGGATAAAACAGAAAGAAAAGGAAAAAAGGTAAGCAATAATGATTCTCGGGAATCATAACATAGGAGATTACTCTCATGAGTAACGAACGGCCTGTAGCAGCCGACCAGTCCAGATACGCGGTGGTATGAAACAAACAGAAAGAAAGAAAACGAAGGATCAAAAACAGAAAAGAAAAAAAAGAATATCTCTACATCATGAGATGAAAGTGGTAAAGCGAAAAACAAAAACAAAAGATGTTGACGTCTAATTTCACATACCAGGCCAGGCAAGAAAGAGAGCCCTCTAAGCTCTAAGCAGTTGCAATCTCTACAGGTGCATCCTCATTTCCCCTCTCAACCTCAGCACCACCCGCTGCCGCCGCCTCGGCATCCGTCCCCGCCTCAGCCTCAGCCTCGTCTTCATACTCAATCTCGACAGCCTCCTCGATAGTCGAGTTTGCCACGGCCCCTCTCAGCGAATCGTCTCTTTCATCGTTTCCGGTGATGCCGTTCTTCATGCTGCCGTTACGCTTCATGCTCGCCTCGCCAAGGTTGATGGGTATGAACTTGCTCGGGAGCTTGACACGGTGGAACTTTTCCCTCAAAGTCTCAACGACGTACTTCCAGTCCAGATGGCTCGTGAGGCTCTTCCTCGGTGCGCAGCCGATGCAGTGCTTGGAGTCGAGGCTCATGTAGAGCGGATCGTTGCTGTGACAGCCGGGGGAGATGGAAACTCGGATGCTGTAGCTGGATACGTTCGGGTCGTCAGGGTTCTCGCCGGGCTCGGTCTTGGTCTCGGACTCGTAGAGCTCGAAGCAGATCTGGGTCAAGTAATCCAATTCGGGGATAGTATTCCTTGCCATCTTTGTGGGGAGGCCACCTTCGATGATGCAGTTGAGCAGGGTGTAAATGTGAGACTCTGAAATTTTGTTAGCATCCTATCTAATGATAACGGTTTGGAATTAGGTACTTTACCTTTGGTGAAGTAGATGAAAGACTTTGCGTTCTCTGCCGCTTGGACGTTTTCCAGATCCTTCACAATCTGCTTCAACAGCGGCAGACTGGTCAAGAGCCCAATCTCCAACTTTTCCTCATCTCCGATACCATACTCCTGGGGAGACACAAAGTCAAAGAGCGCCTTGGCAAGCCTATAGAGCTCTCTCAACTTTGAGAGCCTTGTATCGCTCTTTGCCTTTCCTTCCTCCCTAGTGCTTGCATAGTTCCTTCCCGCCTCTTCCTCTGGTACAATTACTGGCCTCAAGCCAGTGCTGAGCAAGCTCCTGCGTCTCAGAGCACCAAGTCTTTCTCTCTTGCTAGAGGTCACTGGGGGCATAGACCTCTGCTCATCGGTACTCAAGGTGAGTGAGCTCTTACGGCCATCATCCTCATCGATAACAGCAACCTCAGAGCTCTCAGCCTCGAGCATAGCATCACTCGGCATAAAGATGGCCTCCAGGAACTGGCGGTTATGAAGTGCGTCATACTTCATGGTATCATAAAGCTCCGAGATCTTACTGGGGTCAACCTTCTCAGGGTCACAAAACTCTGCAAACAATTTCTCCCAACGCTCTTTGAATAGCTCAGGGTCCTCGCCACAACACCAACGGGATTGGATGTTTGCTGACGCCGCCAGAGTATCTCTCCCAGCGGTTGCTGGGTCGGGAGATCCAAAGAGGCGTGAATAGTTCTGGAGCATGACGCGACGGTGGAATTTCATGAGTGAAACAACCTGCTGAAGGACGACCGCTGGCTCGGGCATATTTTCCTTGGGCCAGGTGAATTGCGGCGGTGGCTTGGATCCTTGACGGAGGAGCGACTTCAACTCTTTCTTGACCTGCGACCCAATAACCCATTAGAAATTGGAGGAAAACCTAATATTTTTGAAAAAGAACAGCATACCCTATCCATATCGTCCTTTGCTGCATTCGAGTCATCGAGCAAATCTTTCCTGACACGGACAAAATCATCTGGGACCTTCTGATCCAGGAAGCTCGCCGTCCAAATTTGTGCTGCATCAACATCAGTACTCGCTCGTTTATTCTCACTCTTGTTTTAGGCAACATACCACTAGTGGAAACCCGTCTCTCTGAACTGGTAAAAACGCTAACATCATCTAGTGCTTCTTTGTTCATCAACAGAAGATCTTTTCTGTAACTCTCTCCAAGGTCTTGGCTCTGATATCTCGCACTGTGCGTAGGTTCGCCTCCCCACTTGATTATTAGCTGTAGTTTCTCTACCGTTGGCTTCGGCCCTTCGGGATCGTTAGAGCTTGAGCTCGAAACCCTCGTAAGGTTATCGGATTCGCTGCTGTCCAATGAAGCTCCATTGCTCCCTGCCTTATCTTCACCAGCCTTTCCTTTACCCTTATCCTTCTTTTTACCTTCTTTCAGGAATAGCGGCTTGATTTGCACCTTTGTCCCAGCAAACCCGACTTTTCTATCTAGCGCATTCTTAAGAACAGCGAGCTTCTCCATATCCTCTGTCTTGCCCTCGATGGCGATTCTAGTGGCCTCAATAACATCTTGAAGACCTCCTTCGATGAGCATGACCTCCTCGGTGTGGCCCTTGAGAAGATCTACAAACGGCTTGGAGTGGAAGGTGAATTTGAACTTCTGCTTGGGCGTCCTATCCGCATGTCTCAAAACAGCTACCATCCCCTTCAACTTCCAACTATGTTGAGGAGCAACAGGCAGAGCTTTTTCGCGATCTTCCTCCGTCATGTTCTCGAGGGCTGCAACCGCCGGAGTAGGTGCGGCAGCTGCAACCTCTGGAGTGGGGACCTGGCCTGGGGTAGGATTGGATGCAGAGGTAAGGGGTTGCTGTTGGTGGTGGTTCGATAACCTCGAGGCAGAGGGTGAGCGAGACAGAAGGTTTTGGAGAGTGGATCTGCGGTTCATATCGCTCTTTTTCCCACCGCTTCCACGACGGTTAGGACTCTTCTCTGCTGTCGCAACCGCTGTCGCCATAGCTCCAGACTCCTTCAAGCTATCTTTAAGTGCCTTATCTTGGATAGCTTTGATGAACATCTGGCGGAGGATAGTAGCGCAGTTGTGGTAGTAGTCGTTATTGTCCTTAACGAAACTCCATCCGTTGACATCGATGACATAGCTCTTGCCGTGTACCCTCAACAAGTCGAATCCGCAGACTGCTTGACCAAAAGTCTCGCAAATCCTCGTGGCCATTCCTGCCTCCTCCTTAGAGAGCTTGGTGACGAAACGGATCTCTTTTCCATATGTGTTTCTCCTCACCAGACCGTCCACAACTGGACTCTTCCGCGTTTCTGCATGGCAATACTCTGAACCAACCGTATAGGCCTTTACATCCTCGCTATTGTCTACGTCCATGAACTGTTCATAGATGAAGCTACCCATCATCCTTGGCTCGCTCATGTTCGGATCGTACTCGCTGCTCTTGTTCCCGACTTTTCGGAAGAGTCTACGCCCTCCCTTGCCGTCGGCAAAGTAGATATGGATGTTGTGGTCCTCGCCATTCACCGGTTTCTCCACATAAGGCTTCTTCAATGTCTTTCCGTCCACTGTGAGGGTTTCTCCGTCTTCGGATAGCTCTACCTTTTGGGGCATTTTCCATTCGCCTTGTGGGGGAACTTTGATGCTCGTCTTTAGCTCCATATGGTACGCCAGGTCGCTCGTGAGGTATGGACCGCCGTCTCTGGAAACCTCAAGACGTTTTGGGGTGGGAACCTTTATGGAGTCGAGGATCCGAAGCACCAGGCGACGATCCCAAAGGATCTTCTGCATACGCAGGTCATTGACGCAGTACGGCCGCCGAAGAGTTACGTACGAGATGGCTTTGTCGAGCGGGAAGCCCGATGAGAAGAATGAGATTAAGAAATCACTATTGGATGAGAAAGAAACCTACCCCCCACGCGATGGGGGGAAAAAACAAGTAGTTAGTTAAACGTTGTTCCCTGGTTCAACACGGGTGTAACCCGAGAACCTCGAACCTGGGATTCAAATAATCCAACAACCCAATTAAGATGTGAACATGACAGACAGGAAATATATAAGCCAACGAAAAAGAAAAGAAAAATATTATAAATATTGTAAGGTTCACCAGGAAAGGAAACATGAGATGGAGATCACCGGGGAAAGAAACGTGATACAACCGCAAGAGATCAGGGGACCACGAAACAACTGTCGTTCACTCAATTTTAATGGCTGCATTCTTTTTGTGGCTTTCGCTTCACATGAAATGATAGCTGGCGCATCTAAGAAATTACAGGTAGGTCCCCCGCCAAGTGTGTGGGGGAAAATAGCAGGCGAGAAAATAGCCGAGATGATAAGGAATAGTAGGAAGAAATAGGGACGAGATATATAAGGAAAGTGCCCACATACCAAGTAGGCCAGTTTTCAACGGCTTGAGTGATAATCTAATGTTAGCATCTGATGCTCGATACACAACCCATCGCAATAGGGTGTTTCCGGAACGGAAAAAGACAAACTATCACAGCGATTGTGGGGACTTGGACGCGATGCTCACGTGCCCTCCATCGAGGACAGATTCATGGATATGACAGGAAGTGGAAAGGTTTCTCCTACAGGGAAGAACCGTGCGCAATTGGGGGAGTGGGGTACTTTGGGGGAAGGATAACATAATGGGACTGACCTTCATCAAGAATAACCTTATCCCCAAAGATCACAGTCTCGAATTCTCCGTTTTCAATAAGCCTGTTCAAGATTGTTCTGCACGGCTTGCTCCTGGCCTTCGCATCCAATGCACAAACACCAATTCGGCCTACGACCTTCTTCTTCTCTGGTGGGACCTCATTCACATTAGTAGTACTGCTGCTCATTGACGACCTCTTCGTACTCATTCCAGCACCGGGCGGCGATGTCTGCTGTTGCTGCTGTTGTGCTGGGGGGATGGGGAAGCCTGAACAGGTACGACTCCTTCAGGACGAGACATGGTGGACCTTGATCTTGATCGATGATGTTGCTGCTGTTGCTGTGGTATTTGGTGGTAAGGATGTTGTTGTTGCTGTTGTTGTAGTTGAGCAGCGTCCTTCGCATTAGCAGAAGCAAGTTGAGATTGGATCTGCAGTCCCATGCCGTCACTAGTGGATGTATGGTTTGTATTTGGGTGAGAGCTCACGTGGACGGGAGAGGTGGCGGTGGTTGCAATGGATAGACTAGCAATGGAGTCCCTTCTCCGACTGAACACTACCTCGCCGTTTTGCAGAGCTTCGGATACGTTAGAGTTCGTCAAGCATAAGGTGCTGGGGGAGCTAATTGACGGAAGGTTCAGGACAGATGACGGCCTTGAGATGCTTGTGTCACTCCCGGGACCAATGCTAAACATACCACCGCCAGCGTGTTCTGACGGACTAAATGACGACCTCTTGTTCCCGCCAACACTTGCAAACGAGCCGGGGCTGAAGTTAGACATTGAGGACGAGGAAGCCATAGATTTCTGCACTGCTGCTCCAGCTGCCTGAGTAGAAATGGTTGCAGAGGCAGTGGAAAGGTCAGTAGTTGGCACTGAGGAGCCCAGGGGGATGGAACGGGAAGCTGGAGACGGCCGCAAAAAGCTGCTCGAAAAGGTGCTTGTCGATGACGACAGAGGGAAGTACGAAGAGTTCAGGAAGGCTGATGTTGAAGAAGACAGCAGGCCGTCTTCTCCTCTATGGCTTTTTCGAGAGGTACTCGGGGTGGGGATTGGTGGAGTTGGCATTGCCATTGTGGGTATATTCTGGGAATTCATTGTTCTAGGGTCGAACCTCTATTCATTAACTCTTGCCCTCTATCTTTCTTTTATCTTTTTTTATCTTTTCTATCGTTATTTTTTCCCTCTCTCTCCTCTCTAGGTTGACTTCGTTGTCAGAGTCGGTGCGCAACGAGTTGCTCAAAATGCTACCCCCTCATCGATCGCAGGACCGTCAGTTACAAGAAACCGTAAAATACATGGCACACACATTTCGGGTATGGCAACATCAGGACAAATGAATGAGGTAATTCCCTCCAAAAATAAAGAAAAATAAAGAAAAATACAGGCTGCGTGAGAAGGCGAACACGATATTCTGTCTGCAGGAACTTACGTCTTTCGTTTCCTCGAAGCTCTCCTCTCGCTCGCAGAGTGCAAAAAGTCTTGGGTGCAGGTCTTGGACGACGTTACCCCTCTGAATGGTATGCTTTTTTAAACTTTTTTTTTTCCCTGTTTCGTGGAAGCGGCAACGAAGTTAAATAAACGGAATTCCCTGCCGACGTCCTGATGAAAAGATGTTCAGAGTAAAGCAGCACAATAAGTATGTAGCAGAGCAGTCTCAGTGTAGAGTTGTTTTTGCTCTCAATCTTGAGCTGAGAGGAGCTCCACTAGCAATTCGGTAGGTCGTTGTTCGTTGCGCTGGCTGGCGCCAACTCCCCTCGGTTACGGTTTAGCGTGAAGAAGCTGTGTTTAGCCACACGTGCCCCCCTGCCATCGATCTGCAAACCCTGAACTGTTACAGTTTGCGTAAAGACCCTGACAAAACAAACTTTGATTCCCTAGATTTCCAATTTGCGGATTTTGAGCGCAAATATTCAAAGGAAACAACGCACCTTTCCCTTCAAATAAAGCATCAAAGAATCTGGTCAATCAAAAGCAATGTCAATATAAACTGTGCTGCTGGCCGGAAAAAACGAAATGCACATGTTTCTGTGCGACCCTAAAAAAAAACCGCATTACTTGGCTGCATGGAGAGGCTTTGATAGAGAGTGACTAAGCTTTTTCGATGACGTGCACTATTGTGGTATCAGGAAGGTGGTCTCGTGCCTCAGAGCTATTCACAACGCCCACCGACAGAGGATGGAACCCCACCCAGGAGACTCCACTCTCAATCGATTGCCAACTGTAGGCAAATTATTTCTCGTCTACTATATCCGCGATGATTGTAGAAGTATAGCGTCGCAAAAATCTAGTTGTATTGAGAAATTACATGTCTGGAGAAGTCTAATATATGCACATAGAGTACATGTATGTAGGCACAATATTTATGCAGCAGTTTATGCGTCTATTGACGTTTTCAAATGTCACTCCAGCGCTCTTTTATGAGCAAAACAAGCGACACTCTATCCAATATTAACGTCCAGTCTAAACCCTAAGTCCTAGAATCTCCTCTGAATGTTGAGCCCATATCCCTTGATTCGGGCCATTTCTACATTCTATCATACATATAGTTGCTACATACACCCGTGTCTAGAAAATTCCCGGACCACCCTCCATATCAACGGCACTCCCACGACTGAATTCACCACAATCAGAGTCAACTTCCATGTAAGTCTGAGCAGGATAACTAGAGACAGTGTGTGGATTAAGGATATACCAAAATTATTTGTGAAGAAGCACTACTTTGGCCCCGTTGCTATGGAGGGGATCCGGGAATTTTCTAGAGACGGGTGTACATGTATTACATACAAATAGAGTCTGGCAGACACAAACATTGGCTTATTGTTGAAATCTTAACTATAAATCATGGGATCTCACTCGCGCCAAGCTCCATTGATGCAACTTATGCGTCAGACTTTAAACAGTATATCTGGTAGGGGCCCGTGACGAACTCGGGAGTTTCAAACTGAGTTACTAACAGACAGTTTTAAACTGGTTAAAAACTGGCTTGAGGAAAGCTGGGTGTTATGGTTATGGACTAATCACTGGTGTAAACCGAATTTTTGTATGGGTTAGGGTAATTCGAGGTGTAAAATCGGATTAGAAAATGAAATTTGGGGTGGATTAGGGTAATCTTGGGGTAAATTTGGAGTGGAAATCAAAGTTAGTTCATGACATCTGACAGTTAAAAAACTGCTGTTTATGACAGGCTGAGTTCGTGACGCTGTTTTTGACTCGAGCTCTGAGTTCGTTACGGGGCACTAATATCTGGACGCCGAAATAGTACGTTTTCCACCCGGACATACAACGGCTGCAGAATCCCCTATTTGCGCGAAGATCTAGCGGTGTTGGTGCCGGCCGTGCTGGGGCTGGTCTATGATCAAATTCTTCGTTAAAATTCGTCTCGTAAGACTCTCTCTGACCTTTTAGAGGGTTAGGTTCATTTCACTGTTAAACGAGATCGCCTGAGGTGTTACTCGCCTTTTGTCGGATTCACCAGGTGTTAAGCAGTAGTCGCAATATTTGGCATAGATTTCGAACCGCTCCTGCACTTGAGACCGGTCCCCATACGTACTCTACGGCACGATTTCCACAGTATATGCACTAGTTATGTGTAGAGTAATGACATGCGAATTCAACGCTTGCCAAAGCTTACAAGTTCTCCCTCAATTCACCTTCACCTTCGAAGTCCGCTTCATATTTCACATTTATATTATCCATTATCAGATGTCCTATCCATTCCCTATCTGCTGACAATCTACTTGAATATAGTTCTTTCTGGGTCCCCAAACACAATCGAACAACTTATATTTCCACGATCCCTAGGCACTTGAGTCTTTCGTGACCAATTATAGCCTTAAATTCATAGTAGAACAATCAATAAATAAATATTCGATAAATACTGTACGGGGGGAGCGGCTGTCCTCTATGAGGGTTACTGGCGGATGCGGCATACATTAGAAAGTGCAGAAACTTTTGAACCGCCAAGAATCATCGCAATTGGAACAGGTTATCTAAAGCTAATAAGATTAAGGTTGAGCAGAGAACCCCTCTCTAGAAACTCACAACCTTTCAAAAATTCGTCTCATCATCACAGTCAATTACACTCGAAATACAGAATACAGATCCTTATATTTAAAAATGCCTAGGAGAAAACGAGGTGCACACAATGATCCTACTCAAACCCTTTCGAAGATATTCACAGAGATATTATCCTTTTTCAAGAACCCGGCATTAGCTCTGATGGCAGGGCTATTATGCGCCAGCTTGGGGTTCAGAATGCTTCCAAAGGGCCTAGCAGCAGATCCGGCAGACAGTAGCGGGGATGACAGAAGAGATACATTTCAAATCCTTGCAGATGGCACCCAAGATCTTGCAGCCCTTGTAGGGCTCTTTGCTACCGACAGCGTGGAGCGGTATTCCGTGGATTATTCAAGAGGCTACCTCTCTGTGGCTGTGGCAAAATGCTCTCTGCTTGGGATTCTGGGTTACGTTCGAGCTCTTGTTAAACTAGCAATGGGTTCGAGATCATGCCAGGATTCTGCATTTCCCACAGGTAAATCATCTTCAATTTATTGCAGATAACACAATTGTAAAAGCTCTAAACCTAGATAGCACCTGTACGTTCCATACTGGGTGTTGCCGAATCAGATAGACTTCCGAAAGACGAACTTTATACCGTCACCTACATCTCAAGACGACATACGAAAATGGATGATGGAGGGGAAGCTGTATCTTTCACGGTGGCCAAAAAACTAAACCATACAGAGGATTCGTTTTTACCGATTAAGTTTCTCAGAAACCCTTGGGCTCACGGTACTGATTACGTATCCTTCGTACGTGCAGCCGATTTGTCTATTACCCATATTAGTAGCCGCTTGACTCGACGAAGCCCTGAATTCGTTTTAGTCTATCTTATGACTTTGGGGTGTCTACTACTTACAGCAGCTGCAACGAGTTTCCTCATAATTCCACTTTCTAAACATACGGGCCGGACATGGAGCAGTATAATGGGATCATATGGGTTATTTTTTTCCTTATCATCTTCTTCAGTATTATGGTCTTATGTTTATATAAGAGAGCAATTTCCTCTCGCCGCGCCGGGCCACTCTCACGGGCGGGAAACCCTACCACGACGATTGAATAATTTTGCCATTATACAACACCCAGGGTCAGAACCGTGTGTATTGACAATATGCAATCTTCATGCCATCGATGGAACGTTACGACGGGTCTGTAAATTTATATCATTCCTGATGTCAGCGATGATATCTCTTGGGTACGTACATATACAGTATATTTAATTATTAGTTATGGTTTAGTGCTTACGATTTGCATCCAGATATATCTGTCAATATATAGAGATAAGAAAGTCCACGGCAATTCAAGCTGCCTGGTGGCTCGGAGCTCAAACGATCCTGGCTTGCTTTAGGATAGCGGTCTGGATATGGGACCCGGAATTCGATGACTATCAACGTCTCCTCCGATTGAGTCGCGGTCTAGACTGCAGTCATCCTAGTAAAAGTTCAGGACCTCAGAAAATCGAAGTACAGGACCTTGTCATAATCCACTTTCCACTTCTCAAAGAAAATGAATCACTGGGTTTCCCCGTCCCACTACTAAGTGGACTTGAGGGAGCGTCTGCTCTTTCCTTATTTAAACAAATGAATAATTTTATTAGTGGCGAAGGGGTACCGGATATTATTAACCGGATTGGATCGCCGGCTCAAGTTCGCACAAAAGCATGGCGGATTACGCCGAAGTCTTTTTCCATATGGCTTGGAATTCTAAGTGGAGACTGGGAAAGAGTTAGAAATCCCAAGCCTGGTTATGGATGTTTGATTGCGGTCATTGGCGGACAGATTATGCTTTTACCGTTCAGCAAGGGCCGGGACCCATATGACGACGATTTATACTTTATGACATCTAGCAACTCTCCTGCTACAATAACATATGAACAATCTTATGATATCCAAACGAGGCTTCAGGAGGAGAGACCTTTTGGACCAGTAGAATTTCGCCTTTTAATAGAATATCACCAGCCACCGCCAACACCCCCCTATATATACCATAATCCAAGAGAACTTATGGAGGATCTTAGTTCAGTTATCACAAAAATGGACCCCACTATAGCTAGGCAGCGACAGAAGGGGAGGAGTACGGGGACTACCGCTACCGATTGTATACTAACTTTTGAAGATTGTAAAGGAGGAGGAGGAGGGGCAGAAGCAGGAGGAGGAGGAGAACCAATAAAAGAAGTTACTATTGAGATCGAAGGACCCGACAGTATACCTTCAACGGAACCTACATTCACCCCAGTTCGAGGAAGCACCTCCAGAAACCGCTCAGAACATCCACAGCCAACCCTGTAGGACTAAGGGTTGATTCAGTATGGATATTCTTCTCCTTTATCCCTTAAGCTGGCAACAAATGCTGACCCTCTCAAAAAAGCAACTTTTTATGTGGCTTCACTAACAGATCTTGTTATCTCTCTTATCAAATAGTAGATCTCGCATACAAATTCAATTCCTCTACTGTAGGGGGGTCAGCATGCCAGCTTAAGGGATAGAAGGGCCGAGATTGAAGGTTATATTTAGCAACCAGTCAGATTAGAAGGCTGGGCTTGAAATTAGTACTGGACTTTAGCTAGGGTAAATGTTGCATTGTCGGGCCACGATATTGATTTTAGAAGGAATGAGTGGAAGAGAGAAAGGGGAGACCAGTCTAGGTCGCGAAAGATATTATGTCACTTACATATCCATGTAGTCTCGAAGAAATTGTTTGTCACGGCGCCTTATACTCTCGAGCACTTCACTTGCTAGGTTACGTTGATCAGTACATGTAGATTACGTATCTTTACATGATCCGGGGGTCATAGAGCTCGTCTGTAGTTCCCTTTGGTGTAGGTATATCTGGTATATGATCATTTGAAAATACCTAGAAGCGGGGGGCGATAGCCATATATTCGACTGATATAAATGAAGATCTATGTCGATCTTCCTGTTGTTTGGGGAAGTCGACAAGCGGCGACGTGCCAAGCCCGAGTGACAAAATGTGAGTCTCCTGTCAACTCAACTTGCCTCTTGCTATTAGGATCCGGCAGCAGTCGACCGTGCCTGGCCGTTGTTTTTGTTATTAAATAAGTGTTAATTAGGCGCATGTATCTGCTAAAGAGAGAGCAACTATATGATATTGTATCCAAGTAAATATTTCAACTCCCAAATGAATGTCACACCGTGACGGAATATCCCCTAGAATAGTTGACTAAGCATGCATGTCATACCTGTGGCTTTTTCGCGCCTCGCGTTCCCATCCCACAACACCATCAAGAGCCCCAGCCTTCTTCAGACTTCAAGGTACATACTCGTCCCTTATTGTCCAGTAACCACCACCGCTCACCATCCATCTCGCCATCCATCCATCAATCCATCCATCCATCGTCCAGGTCCTGACAGCCTCACACTCTCGCTCCCCTACAATGGACCGCTCCCGCTCGCGCTCCCCCTCCCGTGGCCGCTCTCGCACACGTTCGGTTTCACCACCACGCGGCGGCCGCTCCTTCTCTCCCCGGTCTCGCACACGCTCAATTTCCCGATCCCGTAGTAGGACCCACTCGCCCAGTCTGAGGTCTCGGTCTCCGACTAGGAGCAGGAGCAGGAGTGTCGGCAGCAGAAGAAGCTACACAAAAAGCCCTAGTCCGGGATTCCAGAGCTCTAAGGTGAGTTTGTTTGATTGATGGAGGAAGGCCTTGGTCGGCTTTGGCGAATGGTGAGAGGATTTGCTAATTGATGGATTACGCAGATTGTCATTGAGAAATTGACAAAGAATGTCACCGAAGCCCACATCTCGGAGATCTTTTCGGCATACGGGGACATCAAAACAGTAGACATGCCTGTCAACCGCCAATGTAAGTTCATCTATTTCTACATTTCACTTCTAAAAGCCCTGATACTAACCCCAACTTCTCGCTAGTCTTCACAAACCGTGGTCTCTGCTACCTCGTCTACAACTCTCCCTCCTCCGCCCAAGCCGCAATAGCACACATGCACGAAGGGCAACTTGACGGAGCCACCATCAATGTCTCCATAGTACTTCCGCGCCGCGCCGCGGTCTCTCCGCCTGCTGGCCCGCCGCCCCGTCGTGGCGCCGGTAGCAATCGCTTCCGTTCTCCTCCACCCGCACGCCGCAGCGGAGGTGCTCCCATCGCTTCCGCCCCTCCTCGTGCATTCCCGCGCGGTGGTGACTCCTACCGGGGCGCCGCAGCTGGAGACTCATACCGGCCGCGATCCAGATCTAGATCGCCAACGTACTCCAGCAGGAGCAGGAGCCGGAGCCCCTCGAGAAGCCGCTCTAGAAGCCCCTATAGAAGACGCGGCGGCGACAGCGGAAGAGCAAGGAGTCGCGGAAGAGGTGGCGGCGGCGGTGGTGGTGGCAGGGATTACAGTCCACCACCTAGGTCGGGTGGGAGATATACTGGTGGGGGCGGCGGCGGAGGAGGAGCAGCAAGAAGGAGAAGAAGCCCCAGCTACAGCTCGTACAGCACCAGGAGTGACTCCCGGAGCAGGAGCCCGAGAAGACGACGCAGCCGGAGCCGGAGCCCTAGGGTTAGGGGTGGAGGCGGAAGGAGACGCTAGAAGGGGGGAGCGGCCGATTTGTGAGAAATTGCCCTGCCAGGAAAAAAAAAATGGAAAACTGGAGGAAAAATAATGACTATGGAAAAATAAAGTGTTTTTTTTTACCCCCTTTCTTGCTTTGCGTTTTTATTTTTTTCTCGGGCTTTGGCTTCCTTTTTTCTTTTTCTTTCCTCGTGGTGAGCGCGCGGGGTGTGTGTCTGTGTGTGTGTCGTTCTATTCGGTATTTCCCTATACTTAAGCTTGATATTATTCCTATTTTCTGCCTCCTTTGCCCGCTGTATACTAAACTATAACTCAATTAAATACGAGTAAATGTGCGCTTTCTTACAGTACTGCTCGAAAGGTGTACCAGTGGCCGGGCTTTGATGGTGATAGGCGCTTTCTCTATAATATGGAGTACATGACTGCTAAACCACGCTGCCTCACGAGTCTAACGAGGGACTACCTAGAGTACATGGATTCACGGGATCCGACTCGATCGTAGGGTTAGGGATGACAGGTTTGATAAACCCTGGGGGGGGGGGGGGGTAGTAGCAGTATTAAGTGGACACAGTATGGCTAAAGTACATGTAGTATTTGTTATAATAAGGCCCAGCTAGGACCACGGATATGGATTACTAAGACTAATATCCCAATTGACTCCCCAGGCCGGGCGAACAGTTAGTCCTGGGTGGTAGAACATGTATCAAGTGGTAATTCGAGAAGTCTCCTCAACTATGGTCTCTTTTTCTTGACCCAATCAATCATTTCATTACCACAGCTGTCTAAGGAACGCGTATTGGGCGCGCTAGCAGCCTTGGCAAAGAGAGAGTCAATGATCTATCTAGCGCCGCCGACCACAATCCGCCGCAGAAACCGCTCCACACATCGAAGCAACGTAACGACTCCAGATCTGCCCCCAGGAGCGTTTTAAATCGAGAATCATGTCCCGGCCTAACGTCCTCCACCACGTTATCCCCCCGCGAGTGACCACTCATGTCTCTGCTGAAGGGGGACCACCCCTGGCAGTCCGGGTAATTTCATGCACGGGCCTGTCTTGGTTACATCATAGCGTGTGTGTGCTGTGTCGTATCACCACCAAGCACATGCTGTTTCACCAATCCCGCCATACAGGGAAAATCCGGGAAACTCTCAGCTCTTTCTTCTAATACATAGACGGCCAGATTGCCTTTTCTTCCCCGTTTTTTTTTCCTTTCCTTCTTTTCTTTACCTTCATCATTCAGAAAAATCACTATACACCAGAATTTAGAAAAAAAAAAAGATAGAGACAACATAATTGATCATGCCGGACTCCTCGGACTCGGACTCGGACGTGCAGGTCTCTGATGCAATCGCTAACGTTTCTGACAATTTGGGCGTGGAATACGTCATCTCTTTCCGTTTCGACGGGGCAGGTACTCGATAGCTCATTCTCAGCTCCATGGGCGAGTAATGCTGATAGTTGAAGCAGATAAGCAGAAAGTCGAAGCCCAGTTCGAGAAGCTCATTGCAGCTCTCGACGGCGTAGGACTTCGTACTGAAGTTCGGGACGGTGCTAATGGTAATGTTTTGGTGTTCGTGAGGGTCCGGTCGGAGCAGAAGCTTGTTGGCGAGGTCTACCGATCTAGGTATGTGTGTGGAGGGAGTCCAGTTGTAGGTTGGACGAGTGCTAACGGTGTGTGGTCACGTAGGGTGAAGGATTGGCTTCACGGTGTTAGGTCGGCCGCGCCGGATAAGGAGACCCAGAGATCTTTGGATAAGGAGCCGTTGACGGAGGCGGAGAGGTTGAGGATTGTCTGGCAACTTATCACCCTCCCAGATAGCGAGGGAGGTGCAGGGATCACTCCGAAGCAGGGCCAGTGGGACTTGGTGGAGAGCGTGTTCCCGCTTCATGACCATGAATTCAATAAAGTGAGAAATGCCATTGCTGTTACTTTTGCGGCGATTTTGAAGCTGATGTTGGATGGTAGGCATGGATGAAACGTTGGTCGACAACTTGGACCATCGGCCCGGAGGAGCTGGGAAAGCTTCGTGATCGGTTTGGTGAGAAGGTGGCATTCTACTTTGCCTTCCTTCAATCCTACCTTTCATTTCTTATTATCGCTGCAGCTATCGGCGCAGGTGCATTTTTCCTCTTGCCTGCATACTCTCTCACATTTGCAATTACAAACTGCCTTTGGAGTGTGATTTTTGTCGAGTACTGGAAGCGCCAAGAAGTGGATCTCGCGGTTCGCTGGGGCGTCCGCAATGTCTCTTCTCTCCAGAACCGCCGCGCCCAGTTCAAGCACCACAAGGAAATCGAGGATCCTATCACCGGGGAAGTTGTAAAGTTCTTCCCCGCCTGGCATAGACTCGCCCGTCAGGCCCTCCAGATCCCATTCGCTCTTGGAGCAAGCTGTCTGCTATCCGCGCTTTATGCGTGTGTCTTCGCGATCGAGATCTTCCTCACAGAGGTGTATAACGGCCCTTTTAAGGCCGTTCTCGTTTTCCTACCCACTGTTCTGCTCTCTGTTTTTGTACCGGTTCTTACGTCGGTCCTCACTGGTATTGCCACAAAGCTTACCGAATTTGAGAACTACGAGAATCAGAGCGGATACGAAGCAGCTATGACGCAGAAGACCTTCGTCTTTAACTTTATCTGTTCATATGTTCCATTGTTTCTGACCGCGTTCGTTTATGTGCCATTCGGGAATCTTATTGTACCTCATCTCGATGTGTTCAACCTCACAACCCCCGAAATCACCACCGAAAGTTTCCTGGACGACAAGCCTATCGATTCTTTTCAAATCAACCCGGATCGTCTCAAGAAACAAGTGATTTACTTCACTGTAACCGCGCAGATTGTCAACCTTGCACTCGAGACCATTGTCCCCTTTGCCAAACGCAAGATCTTCCGCAAAGTCAAGAAGTACCAGAACGCCCGCAACGGTGTTGCCAAAAAAGCAAGCCACGACCCCCCCGCCGAGGCCGCATTCCTCAAGCGCATCCGCCGCGAGTCCGAGCTCGAGCATTACGACGTGCACACCGATCTCCGCGAGATGGTCATGCAATTCGGCTACCTCACCCTCTTTTCCCCCGTCTGGCCACTTGCAAGCGTCTCGTTCCTCATCAACAACTGGATCGAACTCCGTTCCGACGCCGCCAAGATCTGTGTCGAGATGAAGCGCCCCGTTCCTCACCGTGCGGATACCATCGGGCCGTGGCTCAACAACCTTGGGTTTTTGGCGTGGATGGGCTCCATCTCCTCTGCTGCCCTGATCTACCTCTTCTCTGACTCTACCAACGGAACCCCGCACTCACTCACCCTGTACGGTGTCCTCGCGTCCATCATCTTCAGTGAGCATATCTACTTTGCAACCGCCTATGCCGTCAGATTAGCAATGAGCAAACTCGAGTCTCCCGGCCTACAGCAGGAGCGCCGTGAACGGTTCCTGGTCAGGCGCAGGTTCTTGCAGGAGAGCTTGGGCGTTGACGAAGAGTCTGAGGTCAAGAACGAGAAGGTTGCATTCGGGAAGAGGGCTGAGGGAACATCGACCGAGGAGGAGATGTTCTGGGATAGACAGCAGGGGCCGAGGGAGTGTGTGGATGCGGGTAAGGAGATTATTAGGGGTGTGCTGGAGAAGAAGGACCAGTAGTGGTGTGTTGAAGTGTGGATGTAATTTTATTACGCTGGGGGCTGGAGGTTTGGGGACGTCTTTTTTTTTTGAATACCTGGTGTGGCGACACGCTCTTTTTTTTTTTTTTTGTTTCTTTTGTCAAATTGTGAGTAGTGGGGTTGGGACCGGGGGTAGGAAGGGTAGTGGTGGGTGTCGGGAGAATGGTTAATCTTTTTTTTTTATTCTTTATGCAAGCGTTGTGAAAAAAGATAAGAGCTCCTGTTGTATTCTTGGTTAAGTAGTTTATAGTCACAAATACTTCGTAGCCAGTAAAATGCTGAATGAATTGGCCCGCATAGTAATTTGTTTGGTTAGCAGGAGGAGGACGCCGTGCTAATTCCTGAGATATCCTACGTGACAAGACGAATAACCACTACACTCTGCACTCAGGAGAACAAGTGTTGTAGCTTCTTCGCACCCATAGGGCTTAAGTCAAATAGACCTTACCCCCACGACAAGCTGATAACAATGGGCCCAGTTGAACCGTCAGATAAAAGCTGCTTCAAAAGCAGGATGGTGTTGATCTTTGAATGAGGGGCTGAGGGTAGAAAGACGAGAGATGGTGGAGAGCATATTTCAGAGGTTATGGCGATTATATACGGCCGTAAAGGAAGATGGGGAATAAGTCCTTGGTTAATACAAGGGCTCGTAGCGGTGATGGATTTTGCGCAATTGCTCTATGATGTAGAATTATTAAAGGTATCAATTACATGTATATTTAATTAAAAAGAAAATTATAACCCCGCCACGACAAAAGACTTACGCTCGCCAAGCTGCTTTCTTCTCATCCAAGGGGTCCCAATCCAAGGTTGAGGGGGTCGGGAATCGGACTGCTAACCTCCCATCATCAGTACTAGTCGCTGAGTTACCATACTCTTTCCCAGTCCGGTCGGTGCGTATTTTAGTGTTTTGAGCCCTATGGTCTTTGCGTCGGGTTCGGCGCTAGCTTGGCATTCCGGTACAGTATGAGGACGACGCCGCGTACAGAGGAGGTGCCGGGCGTGATACGAGGGCCGGCTTCTGCATTCTACGCCTCTAAGCTTAATATGTGGTAGAGGCTCGCTTATTCTAATACGCATCCACCGCCTTGCGACATCCGACTCCAATTTGTGTCGAGTGATACCCCATGATCCGCCACCCCACCACCCCACCATCCCACCACTCTATCACCCCACATTCCACAACCGACAATATTCACCCACCCACTCTGCTCACCAACCACCTCCCCTCTCCTCCTTCTACGCGCACACCCCCCACGTGCTACGGCGAAAACCTAACCCATCGAATACTAATCTACAAATCGCAGCCCAAAGCTGTTATATAGCGATCGACATTTAATATAGCAACCCGCGCTCAGACCGTCCTCGGAGACCAAGACACCGCGAGTGACATCCCGTGCGCCAAGTCCTCCCCCTCCCCCCTCCGTGCCCCACCACTGCCCCACCATCGCCAAGATCCTGAAGTTCTCGCGATCTTGGACGCCCGGGCCTGTCTTATATGCGCTGGACGACGGGACCGGCCCTGTTTTACGCTCGGAAAAACAGTGTTCTGTGCCTGGTTGATGGTGGCACGTCTGGCCTGATCTGGCTTGGCCGTCGGGGATCAGTCCGGCTTCTGTTGGCACTGTTAGGCGGCGTCAATTTCCGGCGCTGTTGGATCGGCGGGATCGATATCTTGGCTGGTTTTGATGGCTCGTAGTCTACTGGACTCATTTTATTCAAGAACTCTTTCAAAGGTACGCAGGTGGTGGTAACAAGCACTCGGCACTCCCCATCTCCCCCCGCGGCTCAACAGTAGGTATTATGATGAAGTAGATATATTTTGTATCTAGAGCTACATATAAAAAAAAGTATAAGGACCGTGTAAGTTATAGGCTTAAAAAACCGCTGATTACTCCGACAAAAGACTACACCGCTCCGCCTCCCCAAAAACACCCGATCTAGCTTTGCGCAGCAAAGTATATACAAAATTATAGCAAAACAAAGAAAAATTAAGCGCATTTTCCGCTCTGGCAGGTCAATGAGTCCGAGCAGTCGTTCTCATCAGAGCAGCTAGCGCCCGCACAGTGACCGGGCCATGAGCAGGTAGCTCCGCCTGTTGGTTGAGATTTCCTGGTGGATGTGACGAGAGTTGTGGGAGACGGAGATCCGGCACGAGAAGTAGGAGAAGATGCTACGCTAGTGGGGGACGATGAGCTACCCTCGAAGATATCGTTCTGAGCGCCGTTGGAGAAACCCCATGCTGAGTTGTATGAGGGCTTGTGTGTGTAGACGCCATCGTAGTTGACATTTGAGTTGTCGTTGGCCCAGTACATTGGCTGCTTGGGACCCGAGACACATCCGCCATTGGGGCAATATTTTGGCGGCTGGCCTGCACCTACGGACTTGGTGGAAGTTGACCCAGTGATAGTGCAGTCAAAACCAGTCATGTACATCTCGTCGGCACTGGCTTGTCCCTGCCAGAACCATGCACAGATACACTTTCCGTTCGGGCATTCCGGCATCCCCGCCGGCACATCGAAAGAGGTGTGAAGGTTGTCAACGCAATCAGTGTTGACTGAGAAGATCGTAAAGTCCGATGGATTGACAGACGCAGCAGAGTCCTTATATGCGATTGCAAGACCACACCCAAGGATCTCTGAGTTTTTGATAGGGGTGCCGGCATGGTAAGAAGGGATATCGTCGGGGCAGGCAGTGGAGCCGTCACCAGCGTTTCCGTATGAAGTGAACTGTTTGTTGCAGGAAAGTTCCAGCGAAACCGAGCCACCAGCGGGGAGTTCCATCACTTCACCAGTGGATTTTCCAATGTTGCCTGCATATGATAAGTTAGGTTTCTATAATCTTATATTAATTATATTGGGTATACGTACCATGGAACCACCAGCTATTGAACGATTGACCGCTCAAAGGTTCGACGAGAGTGTAACCATCGCCATTGAAATCGTAGGCAGAAGGGTGGAAAAGTCCCATATGACCGAATGCAGTCGGGATCAAGGCAAGAATAAGTGCTTTGCTGAACATTTTGTATGTTTGTTGTAGTATGGTGGTCTTAAAAGGTTGCTTAAAGATTGGAATGAAAAAACGTCCAGCGAGGTTTTTTTTGTTTGGGAAAGAATGGATAAAGCAAAGAAGGAATGACTGACTTGCAGTTCGATGTTGAAGATATTGCTGGTGGTGGTTGAGTCGGAGGAATAGAAGGAAAGAGGCCTCTTATATCATAGTAAAAAAAAAAAGAATTAGCAGTAGAACGAGGTTCACACGCTGATAGGTCAAGATGCTGACTTAGAACTGTGCGCTCTTCCCTCGTGCAGCAGGCGCCCCTGAAATCTAGATTTTGAGAAACACAAAGTTTTGCCTCCTGCATATTTCAGCAGTTACTCGACATTGGGTAGGTTACGTCGAACATCTGATCCCGAGCGCCCCAATTGTAGGGATCATTACCGGCATGGATGATGCTCGGATGTTATGACAAACCAGCTAACCAGCCAAACTCGGAAGCTGTCAGCTTCCTCGTAGCTGAGTGCGGCGCCACAAGTGAAGAAAAAAAACCCGAAGCCAGACATCCCCTACCGCAGTCAATAGTGCGACTTCAACTCTTGGCTTTTTTTCTTCTTGGATTTGCATTCTCAGAGTGCACGTCCCATCCATAAATCATCTCCGGGAGTTGAGTTTTTTACTCAGAGTTAGGGTAGGAACCTGGAAATGATTCTTGGGAGGGGTAGGATTACTGGTATTGGTAGTCTTTGGCGTTTGATGGGCGCGTATCCAAGGAAAGCTGACTTCCTTATGGTTGATTAGAAAGTATTCTGAGTGAAATTCAAGCTTAAACGATAGGATATCATCTGCATACGGGACGGGATGTATCCTGGATATGTGATGAAAACGGTACCTGAGCTATTCTGCACTTGGACGGCTGCCTTCATCCTGGCAAATCAACAGCTGTTATTTGCTAGCGGGCCAATGATGATGCAGGAACAGAACCTCTTGACATATGCACTCAAAGGAGGTTCTCGCTTCCTGAAACGGATTGCGCTCTTGGCCCTTTCTGCGAATCTTCTTACCAAAAGAGGACCACAGAAAGGAAAAAGCAAACTTCTTCTCATGCCTTGCATGAAGAGAGTGCATACATCTCGTAATCCATAGAGAATTCAGGTACCGTTTCATGATTCGGTACGTATCTTTTCTTCCCGACCCGTCACACTGGCACCTACTCTAAATCCTTTTGACTCCGAGCTACCGAAACCAAAAGCGTTTAACCCAGGTGTTTCAAAGACCCCTCCATGTCCTGGTCACTCGATACGAGCGCCACGTTCCAATCCAGCCCTATCTACTCGCCTCGGCTGTACCCGACCTTGAAGAGGGAAGGCAGTTCCGCTATTTGCTGCAGGTAAGAACCTATTGTGACGATATCATAGGCAGCGTACTCCAGATCTAAAGTTGATACCCGCGCGCGCGAAGAGTTGCTGCATAGTAATGCTGGGTTTTTAGGCTTCTGCGCGGCGCAACGATGGATAAAAAAAAAGATCTTGCTCTAACTTTTTTCGATGAGTGAGACATGCATTTTCCTGTTTTGTGAAGAAATGGGCAAAAAACCACTGTGCCGCATGGAATAAGCACTTACTCTCTGGAGTTGCTGTCGTGCCATGATCACTGACTGCATAATACCCCATAGGTATGCGATGGGGTGGAAACTGCCAGGTCTGGCAGGCGATGTACACTAATCAACACAGTCTAAGAGTAGTAGGAAGTTCCTGGCACCACACGTAGTCAGAATAGACTTAAGTTTAGAGACGTTGGACTACTGAGTTCTTAGTGATTGGGGGTTGACTTTCGGTAGTTTCGGCTTCCGGCCTGTCGACTCGGCAATACTTTCCTCCTGGCCAGTGAATCACAGGGCATCACTCGATCTCTGTTTACCTTCGTATATGCACACACAGGATACTCGTAGATTCATGACGTTTCCGAACACGACCAATATTGCATGACATACAAAAAGGTGGATTTGGCGCTTTTTTGTATGGCATGCAATAGCAGTCGTGTTCGGAAACGTCATGAACCTACGAGTAGTGTAACTGAGCTTATTTTTAGCTCTTTGGTTGATTGGTGAGGAGGAACTCAGTGCTTCTTTCTTACCGCTAAGGACCTTATTTCCACAGTTCCTTTTCGCTAGAGTACCAGTGGAGGAATCCGGGATATATTATGATTCAGGTTTCCGCGGTGGTGATGATGGATTACTGCTGAAACATAACTTGGTGATATTGAGTGGACCGGCTGTTTCTAGGTACGCTCTGTGAGTGCTTGGGGAGAGGCTGAAAGTGCAGGAAGCCAATAGCACTTGGTGTCTTAATCAACTATCTGTGTGACGTGGTGCTTTGTCCCCCCAGTACTGCGATGCCAGAGGACGGGGGGACGAAATTGGAAGGCCTTAAGGGTTAAAAGTAATAAAGATCTTGATCTGGTCCAGCCACGTATTATTTTCTTTCCTAGTCTGTCCACACCCAACGGCTGTCGTTGTTGTGATTGGCCGCTAACACGAGCGTAATTTTGCAGATTTAACGTTTCTTGCCGCTTTGGGAAGCAATTATTAGGTTGTCCCCGGGGGTCACCAGTGAGCGATGATGATGCGCTGCATCCTGGCATTTGAACTTTACCACCGCATCGATTCCCCCACGTGAAAGGGGTGTAGCGATATACTCTAGATAACGCCGATTGTGAAGGCCTGCGTTTCTTGGGTTTACCTACATTTGTTCCTGCCTACACTTGTTCCTGCCATGCAATTGATGGGTGTCCCTGCATGCATCTGGGGCCTCGGACGGGAAGAACCCATTAATTTGGATTTGGATGAACACATCACGAAGGGGGGTGATTTAATTAAGCATAATAACACTGCACACCAGCAACTGAGGACCAAATTGAGGAGTTGGTGAATCTCCCTACAACCCCTCAGCCCCAGCTTCTTGCTAGAAGTGATGCTACTGGCGGGGTATCGGAATTAATGTTTATGAAACGTGCCGGCACTGGTGGAGGGTGAAGGGTGGGGTGCCTCTTGGCGTTGGACAATGTTAGTGTCCCCAATTATCAATTTTAGATTATAACGAGGCCGGAGATACTCTTTTGACTTAGAAACTAATAAATTGATAAACAAATAATAGAAAAAACCAAGTTCTTTAACGTCGGAATGCCCCCAAAGAGTACAGACGGCCCTCCAACACACTTCTTGGCTGGATAGGTACACGTATGTATCTACATAATGTCATCATCAGTTATATAAGTTCTCTCTCTCTTGGCTACGGAGGGCTCTTGTTACCAGACTTTCTTTGCGCCTGCAGCAGAATGTTCCAACTGAGCACGCGACCCACGCTCTGCGTTATAATAATAACCACCAAGAAAGGGTACACAACCCGCCCAATCAGCAATAAGAGAAAACATCGCATCACATCGCATCAAAAAATAGTTATTGCAAATCTAGCCGTCAAAAATAAGACACCACTCCCCCGTCGTGGCCAAGATAGCCGAAGAATAATGTTCTATGTAGGTACTCTACAGACACATCTATCTTCTGCGGGAACAGTATCTCACGTCGGCGTATGAGAAGTCCACACGTCCTCCCTGCCAGGCAAGACAAGGGAGCTGCAGCCCATCGACTATGTAGAGCAGAGCAGAGTACCGGTATACCTTTTCTTGCACTTTCCCCGGGCGGGGAAGGCGCTGTACCGAGTCGAAGGGCACTCCGGAGTGGTCGCGGGAAGAAAGTGCACAGTATGAGCTGGTCTGGAGACGAGGAAGCGGGCGAGTGAGAATGAGAGGTTAAGGCTTGAATCGATAAATCGATGAGGAGAGCCGCGTGGAAGAGCAGATTTTCCCGCCGATCCGTCCGTGCCTGTTGGATTGCAATTGGGGTATCGGGCATCATCTTTAATTGTTTTTCTCCGTCCCAGCTGCGGGTTGAGGTTTTGTTGAAGTATCCAGTGGGCAGATATTTGGAGAAAGATACGAGTACCTATTCGGTCCCACTACAGATGTGTTGCGGCTTCTAGCACGATCTCTAACAGTGCGAGTCTACGCAGCCAAGGACTTTTGTACAAGGAAAAGAAATTAATATGTCTTAGACATTTATCAGCGCTTTGCTGGCTGTTAGTTGCGGTGAAGATCCACCACGAATGAGAGGCTATCCAACAACTATCCTGCACACACCCCACCAGCTCTGGGCCCTGAAAAATTCCCCCCTCTAATCTAGATCTCTCAGCGTTGAGTAGTAAAGTACTTTCGACATCTGACTCCCGCGGATTCGAAGTTGAAGCGGGATCAATCGTGAACCTCAAAATCGAGGCTAGCTAGCTAGGTCTTGCCTTCCCCATCTCGGATCTACTCTCCAAGAATTCGGGAGAGATCCCACTATCTCTTTAGTTCATTTCTCAAACTCTAAATCAGCTATACAATTCTTAAAATCTAGAACTCCCTTCTTCGCTCATCACCTCAACATCATTCTTTCATCTTAAACTAAGCCCAGACTTGTATCTGTGATGTTGGCAATTGGTTACTAGCCCTTTGATCCCCTTCTTCCGTTCTGTGTGGGTGATTTAGGTTGTTAGAAGCTCCTTTTCCTCTTCATGTGTCCTCTAACTTATGAAACTGAGCTTCCTCTTTTATTTCCCGACAAACGATGAAAGTTGCTTCTCTCATTTAATTCTACGTCATATCGAACTGGCATACTAAGACTTTTGTTCTGTACTTACTTACGGAAGCAATTACACTGTAAAGAGGGAACATTACACGTATATGTTCTTCATAGGACATCACTCACTTACAGGCCCGACCAGTCCAATTTGAGATATGAATATAAGCGGGTATATTGAGCTCTCTCGTACCGATGTGAGAATTTGCCTGGGATTTCTTCGATAGTTGTCGGGGCTCCCGGTGAATCGTTCATCTTTGTGGGCAACGGGGCTGCTTCTGCTTAGTGTAGGGCGAGAGCAAATATCCAGAGCACAGGCTGTTTGGTGTACCCTAAAGCGTTGCCGGCCGGAGGTGCACTAGGTGTTGGTGAAGTTTTGGGGCCTGGTGAGTTTCTAGAAGGCTGGCGTCCGGAATCGTCGCGGTGGTGAGTCTCTGGGTGGTTTAGCTCTCTAGCTTCTTGTTACCGGCAGTAAGGTCGTATATACGGACAATTTGCCGCAAGCAAGAGGAACAGACCTGAACTGGCAATCTACCCAATCTTGGGGGTGCAAGGCACCCGCAAAAGTGCAATATCCAGCTTCATGCAGATCCCAGTGCCCTAACCCTAACTTAATAACACTACTGTCGTTCACGGGGTATTGGCGGACACTGGGTGTTGACGGATTGCAGGCAAAACTTGGCTTGGCTGTCTCTTTTTTGGTTTGTTCGTCAACACCCAGTGCCCGTCAATACCCCGTGAACGACAGTACTCTACTGGTCCAGCCACACGTGTAGAAATTAAGGCCCAGTATGGGCGAGGCTGGCTATTCGATTGTTTGGTTTCTGGCTATATTATTGGCGAAGCGTGATTTAAAGAGCCCGTATCCGTATTTCCTTCTAGCCTTGGGTGAATCATGCATGGCCAATAACAACAATCATCCAATCAATGAGCTTTCTACTCTACTATGGTGGAGCAGTTGAATTGTGTTCTTGAAGCCCACTTCTTTCTGACGTTTCTGCTGGTCATTGAGTTGTGTTGGATAATATTGATGGGGTGGTTTGTATCGATTTAATTAGACCAGGGCAAACCTGGGGGAGTATGATCTTGGCATAAGTTTTCGTGGTGGGATTTGGGGAAATGTGGTTTTAGAAGGCGCTTATTTTACATTTGGTTATCTTTAGTGGGGTCTCCGAGTGGGCTAGTCGTCGTGATCTAGGGATGTGCTCGCCGACGTCCTTTCAATTATGCTCCGTATTAACTATATGTACAATCATGTATGTACCTAAGACCTGCACTACCATCAAATAAATACGCCTAAGGCCACTCGTAGTTTCTAAGTCTTTATGAGGTACCAGAAGTTGGATAATGAAATGCTTTTACGAGTCAGGTTAGCTAGTTTATTCTTAGTTATGGGTAGGAGGATGTTGGGTTTTGTCGTTTTTAGGGGTTTTCGTGGGGGGGCGAGAAGGATAAAAGCTGATAACGGTTGTAAAGTTTCTCTAGTGGATTTTTTTTTTTGATTCACTATACTGCAGTACAGTCTACATAGAAGAGGTCGAATCGAACTCAGACTGTAGAATAACGAGTGATATTCCATGATCATGTATATCGCGCTATCGGTGGAGTTGCCCCTTAATTCTAGCCATGCCAACATTAACAGAATGGTATAGTTGAAAGTGACTACCCTCATAATAAATGCATATGGATTGATATGGGTACAAGTATGCAAGCGTGGGAGACCTGAGGCTAGGCCGATAATGTCCTTACGGGAAGATGTTCAAAATGTTAATAAAAAGAAGTTTACGCTCATGCCGAGTACTTTATATTTAGATCACGTCCTCAGTCCCCTTATATATCAAGTATAGCTTTCGCCCTAATTCTGATCGAGGTGAGAAAGGGCTATGGCCCGGTCGTGGTTATTTGGCTGTAATTGAATTCTGGGAACTCGCGCTAGTATGTATTAGGACAAAGTATATAATATTGCTACATAAATTATATACATGTACGTACTTGTATACGCTAGCTTGAAGCTTTGGGTTATTAGGTGGAGTGGGCCAACTGCGTGGTTATAATTAGGATTTATTTTTTGAGGTGCGATAAGTGAGCTGTAGATCGATAATCTAGATCTAGATCTAGATCGTCATGTATACACCAGTAAACTAATAAAAGGTGGTCAGTCTCGGGTTTTCAACCAGGAAAACTCTCGCCGTCCATGTGTCAGTCCGTTGTACAGATATAAACGCGCAACTACATACTCGGGTCTCCCAATATATATCTGGCTGAAGCTTAGCTTGGCGCATAGTCACTCACTCGCGATCGGCCCATTTAGAGATGCGCAACCTACATGTATTTATATATAGTCCGGAGAGCCGGACCGAATTCACCTGGACCGGAGATTTTCTAATGCGCAATGATGCTTCCTTTCGTGTCACCTAGTATGCTTTGAGGCTTGCATATATCTACGGTGTTTCAATCATCTATTTAAGGTCAGTTTGCGTTTTATGGCAGTGATGCACGTGGCATTAAATAAGGTTTTCGGATCGATGGCACTCGTGAATGACTCAGTATCAGTGTACATTGGACCACCAGCCTAACTCCACGAAGTGGTGAACATCATAACGAACATAGGGCACAAATCCATTCTCGAGACGATAAAAGGTGAAAAGCCTAATACTGTAGAGAACGACAACAATGATTATCTATGGCCCGGCGTCTTACGTATATTTATCTACTTAATAGGCCAGAACCTCGAGTGCTGTTACTAGGGTATTATAATAGATAAATTGCAGAGAAAACCCCTCCTGAAAAGCAATATATACATCTAGAAGCTCGCGGCACAGCAGCAGTGCGGCTTTAACCAATAGACACTCTTATGGGATTATCCAATTCTAGCAAGCGAGACCAGATGGAACGGTATGTCGATATTCTGTGTGGGGCATGGGTATAAAGTACCCACAGATGGGGAGATTCAATTTGACCATGGATAAGGTATTTTATGTACCCCTGGGGGCTAGGGTGGGGAGTGGGGCCTGACTTTAGGCGCAAGCGCGCAAGACCAACTGGGGAAATATTAACCTTCAAATCTCACGCATGCTATCGAGAAAAAGGGGAACGGTTAGAATAAACTGGGGAGTATGAGATTAGAGACACGTATTTCTGATAGACATCGATTGAGCAGCAGGAGACTTCACTCTGAGCTTTAATTCAGTTCATTGATCAGTTGAATTCACACTCAACTTAGACAACTGTGGGAATCCTTGTGAACATACCATGGCTTCATTTGCATCGATATTGATGCTGAATACATGTACATACATGTACCTAGGTGCTTTACCTAGTGGCTATAAGATGCTTGGTTCGGGTATGCGGGATATTCCAGCTATGTATCTAGCTACGTGTTAAAACAGCCGATCATTGACTTCATTCACTCAACAATCGTGCGACTCCATACGAAAAAGAGTATTTGACGGTCCACAATGGGCCGGAAAAGATACATGTATTACGTCTGTACCTTAGCTAGTAATCTCGCCTCCTCTCTGTGGCACGTGGTTAACGCGCTAAAGCTTGGGCAATTCACATATGTAAAAATCCATAATCCAGCTAACCAATAAATCCAGAGTTCAGGCTCTTATATATCCTGGTGGAGACGGTATCCAAATCGGTACGTATACACAACAAATCCAAAATCTCCGCACGCCCCTGCTGAGAGAACACCAATTGTTCTTAGAAAAATCCCCGGTCCATTAACGTCAGCTTTAGCCACGAGTGCCAGCTACAATATGCGCGTGGGACAATATATTACGTTGTTTATATCTCTTGGGCCTAGTAAGTTAGCTACATGGTTTGAACTAACTGCCTTTTGTCCGAGCTACATACTTTGCAGCTAGAGGAAGCACGTTACGAGGGGAAAGCAGACCAAAAGATCCCGCAATTCCGGCAGGATAGATAAATGGCTATGGAATTCTTGGAAGCAGGTTTCACAGTATAAAACCAGCTGTATTTCCTGCGTTTAAAGAGATTCTGCACCCACCTACCTAGCACCGTCGTAGTAGTTGCAAAGATGGGAATCTTGAGGGTATTATCAACTTCAGCACTTGTCATTGGAGTCGCCCAGGCACTCGTAACCAAAGATGGAAAGACTGGAAGACTACCTGCCATGGGCTTCAACTCGTGGAATGCCTTCAAGTGCGATATCTCTGAAGAGGTCTTCCTTACTGCGGCAGAGGAGATCGTCAGCCTAGGACTCAAAGATGCGGGCTACGAGTATGTCAACATTGATGGTATGATACCGTCCATTTTTCTTTATACGAGACAGCTCTCTGACCCCCACTATCTACAGACTGTTGGGCCGATCTAGATCTCTGGAGAGATAACTCTACCGGCAGGATCGTTCCTGACTACAAGAAGTTTCCAGATGGTATTAATGGCACTGCAGCCAAGGTCCACGAGATGGGGTTGAAGATGGGGATCTACTCGGATGCTGGCGAGAAGACCTGCGCCGGATATCCGGGTTCCCTTTATCACGAGGAGATCGATGCAGCAACATTCTCTGACTGGGGTATTGACTGTAAGTTCCACTACAAAAGTCTTGATAGTGTCATGAAGGGTCTAACCGAACAAATCGTATTACAGATTTGAAATACGACAATTGTTATGTTCCCGATAACTGGACCGATACTTACTATTGGGTAATTGATACTTATACCAGAGTTTATGTTCATAACACTTACATCTTTTAGGAAGCACCCTACTCAGATGCCCCAGCAGATTGGGATTGGAGCGCTACCAACACAGCAGAGCGCTACTACCGCATGAGGGATGCTCTAGCCAAGGTAGACCGTGTTATCAACTACGGTCTCTGCGACTGGGGCCAAGCTCTTGTTGAGACATGGGGTAATGCAACTGGCCAGAGCTGGAGATTGACTGGGTAAAACTTTCTTTTGCAAAAAGGTTTAAGGAAAATAAATGCTGATAACGGTGTATAGTGATATTGGGCCGTACTGGAATATGCTTATGCCAATTGTGAGCTTTACGAGCTATAAACTTGAATATGGCAACTTCTTTGGCCACAACGATATGGATATGTTGGAAGTTGGAAACGGAAACTTAACTGAGGTGATTGTTACTCCTCTGGTTTGCATCCATTGTTTCTGACACCTCTTCACGTAGGCCGAGACAAGAGCTCATTTCGGACTATGGGCTGCTATGAAATCCCCCCTGTTGATTGGAACTCCGGTAAGATGATCTTTCATATGTCTATGAATGACTCGGATTCTAATAAAGTTGGTATAGCTCGACTTGATTGGCGAGACAGATCTTACCGTTCTTAAAAACTGGGAATTCATTCAGTTCAATCAAGACCCGGTATTTGGAGAGTCCGTGAGGCGCTTCAAATGGGGCAACGGTCAAGACCGCGGCTGGAAGTGGTAAGCTCTCTGTTCCCTTCATACTTTGTCTTGTCGTACTGACTCCTTGGTACCTCTAGGAATGAGACCATGCCAGCAGAATACTACGCCGGCCCTTCAGTCCGTGGCATCCATGTCTTCATTCTTAATGTTCTCGACACCACACAGTTGAAGTCTTTCGACTTCAGCGAGGTCCCAGGATTAGATCCAAAGAAGAAGTACAAGGTGCATGATATGTGGACCCACAAGGATCTTCCAGGAACATACTCCAAGAAGTTTTCTATCAAGGTTGAGAGCCACGACCTGGCCGGATTATTGTTTACAGAGGTGAAGAAGGGAAAGAGGAGTTTGTTTGATGGATGGTTTTAGATGTCTAATTTTGTAGAGATGATGTAGATTATGATGTATAAATGAAATACGGCATCGGGTCCGATCCTCCGGCCTGTATCATGAGATCCCGATCCTACCCTCCCATGAATTATTTTCTATCGCCATAACTAAGGTTGCATGCGATTAATGAATTAAAAAAAAATTATTTTCTTCATTATTTAGTGGCGGAGATTTGTTACTTTATATAGAAGCATCTGGTAGCTGGTCAGGGCACTCAGCTATTGAAAGTCCAGAGGAAAGCAGAATCGAGTGAGAGGTTAAGAACGTGTAGTAGCTAAGACTCTAAGTGATTGAATTTATGCAGATAATAACTACAAACCACAAAGCCCGATTCCGAAAAGAATCTCAAAATGCATGTAATATCAGCCAAGTACTCCATTCCATCCTTTACACCATGCAATATATACAATATTAATAAACTGAAAACAAAAGAAAAATATATGTAGCTAACGTATGTATGTCCAAGAACCCCTACTCAAACAACCAAAACTATACACGACTTGTCATAGCCCGTATCCTCGCCCGCGGTCCCCCAGGCGACGGGGATTTCATAGGCGGAGGAACGTACTTATCGTCAAGAGTCAAACCAAGAGCTCCATGAGGAAGCTCTGCAAACTTGATCTTGACGTTCTGCACACTGACCTCATCCGGATACTTGTCAGCCTGGGGAGTCGTTCGGCCACCCAGATCAAGACCACCCTGACTACTAGCAACCAGCAGACTGGTAGTGCTGGTTGGGTTGAATTCGTATAACTCGCCACCCACACGCAACCCATACCACAGGTACGTGAAAGCCATGATTACCACACAGATCAAGGGCACAAGTGCATACAGCGCTACAATCGCGCCGTTGTAGCCCATACGGTAATGCGATAGACTTCCGGTGATATCTCTCTGTCCTGGAGCATGACTCGCTGAGTAGTACAACCGCAGAGAAGTGACTTCTATCTCGTAGAAACCTTTAATGAGGTTCTCGAGGCTTTTCCCCATAGTCTGCCTCTTGTCATCACCCGTTTGGTGGCGGAGCGAGAGAATACTGTCTGCAATCATGTTTCCGCCGATAGAAATGCCGTACCAGAATACTTGGAAGATGGCGTCGAGGGCTTCCCCATCGGTAGGTGACATGTTGGGTGTATCCATTGTTTCGACAATGCGAGACGTGAAGTCATTAGTGACACTGGAGTACGTTACGTTATTGATTGTAACACGGGGTTCGACTCGGCAAGTGATATTCTGGAACTTCTTATAATCATCGGTTTCGTAGACTCCAAAGGGGCGAAAAAATATGTAGTAGCCGGGCCCATTTGCCTGTAAACTGGGACACATAATAGTCATGACGTTTCCGGCAGCTGGGACCATGAGTTCGAAGTTGTAGTCGTATTGACACCTTATGCCCCTTGTTAGAATGATTCCATGTACAAATAGAAAAAGGGATATCTAAACCTACCTGCCATAACTATAAGTATGGTTGAAATCATATCTGGTATGTGTGTAATTACGAATACTATTTGGGCCGATTTCTGGGCCCGAGGTGATCTTTGTCGGTATGGTATTTATTATGACTTGAGATATCGGCGACGTATCGTTCTGTTCGCAGGTAACATCCACAGTGGATCCTTGGAGTAGCATGGAGTAGTTGTAAGTAGGTGGAAATGGCTTTTCATCCAGGAAGTAATCGATGTCATCAAAAGCCCTGAACCCATTTCTTCCGACAGGAAGCGTTCCACCTGTTGTTCCGTTGAAATTTACATCTCCGATCTTTGTAATGGATTTTAGGCCAAGACCCTGCTCCACAGCTGCACGTCCAGCTTGAAGAGCCATAGAAGTATCATCCCTCTAATTTCAATCAGTAAGAGAATCACTACTCATCATATGCATGTAATACTCACATAAGGACACGTCGAAAACATATAGCTCTCACCCGTCTGATTATTTGTATACGGCCACCAGGTACAGCCTACAACAGTCCTGTTTGTAGTATCGAAATACTAGACACACATATCAAAATTCTGTTAGCGAGATCCTTATTACAGATACACTATAGGTCCTCGACTCACCCAGTCCCAAAAGGTTGACTTCGTCATATCAAGTTCTGTCCCAGATAGCGGGTTCGTCTTGATCAGCGATACCGGGGTCAACAGACCCGCAAAACCCACTGTTAGGGCAGCTGTCACCAGGGCCGAAAGTACGGTATACAGTGATAACCAAGGGCGGCGCTTATCGAACATTGTACCCTGGTTTGATAATTTCACCCAACCTTTTACATTCCAACATGTCAGTCTAGCTATTACGAAGTGTAGAGGGGATATTCTCACTTTCAATAGTGGAGATCTTGGCTCCCTTAACGATGAGTTTCCGGGCCATCAAACTGATGGTACATGCGTATACCCATACCGTGAGCCATGCAACTATCGACGCAATGGCAGTCCACAAAATGGTATTTGTTTTTGGGTTCGCAAACATCCATTTTGTATTCTTGAGCGAGAAGAAAATTGGTTTCCTCCGTCCCTGAATCCAGAAACCCAAACTTCCAAAGAATATCGACAGCAAGATGAAGCCATAAATTACGAATGGGGTGATCCCAGGTCTGTTAATTATCACTCCGCCTTTCCTATATTTGAACCCGACTATTAATTCTCATCATCCAAAAGGACGACATAGGTAAACTGAAGAAAGATTCTTACTTGGGGCCCACGAGCTCATCATGCATATTTTTACCCCCAAAACCTTCCGGGTCCAACTCTGAAGCCGTCTGAACTCCGGCTGCTTTGTGAGCATCACTACCGTCGGCGTGTACAATCTCGCTCTGCATAACTGGATTATACTGATCACGTTCCATGCCGAAAATCGAAAGCGAAAAAAGATTTTGGGAAGGGCGGGGGATGTAGACAATTTATGAAAGTATTTTCATGGCCTGTTTGAGGGATCTACGTTTATGACGGTGGGAGCGATTGGTATAAATACGTGTGTAGCTGTACGGCACAACCTAGCATGGGTGCATGGGTAGGGCTTGGTAATAAGCACTTGACTTGCATGCCGGCGATGATAAACCCACCTTAGCAACGAAGTATATTACTTGTGCCTTTACACTTATTTGACAGGGAACCTCCTACATGTATGTGTCCTGGTTTGGTTTCAACGGGACAGCGATCGGTACACATCTCGATCACTTGGTTTTCGTTTACAATTAAGCAAAGGTTTAACAGAGAGAACCGTTACTATTCTTCTTCTTAATCACAAGAAACGGGAGAGAGGCTGTGATTGTTGTCATTGCCGTTGGTATGTGGTGGGGGTAAGGTACATGTAGGTAAGAAGAAGTGCACCGCCGCCTTGGCTCTGGTTAGATCTGGTAAGCGTGATAGAGCTGAGACTGTTGTAGAAGTTGTCTGTCTTGGCAGGTGTTGGATAATCTGTTTACGCCGCACGACCAGGTCAAATGGGTAATGTAGAGCAGAGAGAATGTCATGCATGTTCAGCCCCAGACAGGGTTACATGTATTTATGGCAGCTCATAAACCAAGCTAGGCCCTTAATTCCCTAACTTGATTCAATCGGAGGCTCTGCTGGATATTAATTGAAAGCTCGAAATTATTGTTCTACTAGTCTAGAAAATAGCTATGGTGCAAGAGGGAGTAGAGGGCGACCCTGTCAACCCTGTACACACCACTTCAGTCAATTCCTTCGTTGGCTACGGGAAGCAAGCGTTGAGGAGCCTCGACTCTATGGCTGTAAGGGCTACAATACTGAACTGGTGTGAACAGAGATGACAAGGTCGCCCCCCAAGACCTCTCGCACCATAGCTCTGCTCTAAACCTGCGGGAGCTAAGCCCTACCTACACACGGCGACGACCCTGTTAAAAAAGAATATCTCATAGAGGCAGATCAGCAACGCCTTCCATAACTCTAGACAGTGTGTGATCGACCTTCCGCTTAACCGTTATCAAATACTACCGAAAAACCCGTCCAATTACTGCATTTTGTGTACATGTACAGCTTACCCTCAAAAGAACCAGAAAATAAAAGAACCAGAAAATGCAAGTAACGGAAACAGGGATTCTTTGTATGAGAGAACGACGCCACTCCATACAAATTATCCTTGCCCTGAGCAACTGGTTCTTAGGCTGGTAAGCGTGTACATACTACATAATCCTGCCCTGCCGTACGGCTCACTCCCGAAAAGTCGCACTAAGGGCTCATCAGAAGTTGCGGGAAAAAAACACCACTGTCAAATATCCATGTTTACAGATGTGCTTTTACGATCGCAGTACCCGTGGCCGCGATATTAGGCTACATGAAGCCTTGTTTTCCCAACGTCTCCCTCGGTTGGAGATATCATATTATTTGGACTTTGACTACTTGCACTGAAATCGTTTAGTGACACAAACTTTAACCTCGCCTGCTCCAGGTCCTCGGATCCCGTCAGAACATTAATATAAAGCCCTTTCCCCATGTGTCTGCCAATATCTAGTCTTTACTGGTAGTGTTTTTTCTGAAGATACGGGAGTCGCTCGGAATCCGCATCCCTCTGCGATGCATGTTGTAAGAAAAATAAAGATCCTGTCTTATCCGCACAGTTTGAAACGCCAAAAGCTTAATCCTAATTACACGTGGGTACTACGCCCCAGACTGGCAGTGCAATTCGGGAAAACATCTCCTTTAAGATAAATCTGATCATGATACACGCACAGGACGGCCTAATTCACAGAAGTCAAGGGATAAATGCTCTACGTAGAGTACTCTACAGACACATATGTAGGTACATTTGTATATGGCGTACATGTAGAGTACATATACATGTAGTTATATATAGAGTACCGTACACCTACAACACGCCGCAGTGTTGTCAAGATTTATATGTATCTTTGCCTCCTCCCCTGCATTTCCCAGAGATACGAGTATGTGCCACAATTGCAAGGCCGTTTATGTTTCTCTAACACTGCAGATCATGGCCGGTTGTAATTTCGGTCCTAGGCTGAGCTCCTAGCTCATTAAATTACTGTTATAAGCCTAATGCGCCTAGCTTAGTAAACATGCACTAGCCAACTGGTCGAACCACAGGCAAGGCAAAGGAGGTATTACTTCAGACACGCAAGAGAGGTAGGGCTGAGGTTGAGCTGCTCTCATCTCCTACAAATATCGACTTCTGGAGGTCCTATTGGTAACCAGCGATACCACCCGAAGGTTGTGACCAGACCAGATCGGAGCAATGAGGATTCCGCTTGGCAGATCTTTCCATAAATGGCGAGCCCTTGGCCAGTGCACTAAAACGAGAAATCCCGAACAAGCATCCTCCCCGCTCTCTTCTCCGAGAGACAAGTGTTCCCGAAAAGGCGTTGTTACGGGCACATACTGACTGCTCAGGCTTCTGTCTGAACTATTGAAGTGGAGCTAACCATACACGCAGTCCACTGATTAAATCACCAAGACTTAGGTGCTAGGCTAACAGGAAAACTCGGCTCTATTCAAGCACTTCGGCTCGCACGTATACTAGCAAGTATCGTCTATCTAGGGGAAGGGTCTTATCTAATTAACTGATTGTCCCGTGGCATCTTTAAGTGTAAATCTAGGCTTAGCCTTGGCGAGGAATCCACTCTCTTAAACCTTGGTCTCTGCTCAAAGGAAGGAAACTTCTCAATACCCAAAAGGCCGCAGTCTTGTTACTGTAACACAACAGGGTTTCTGTGAACTGTCGTACAGCAACTGTACTCCTAGGAGTTCTAGATAGAGTTTCGAGAGATACAGCATAATGCATGAGCGGCTATAGACTTAGATCAGAATCAGAACACCCAGAATGAAGTTCCAAATGTACCCAAGACACGGTTAGAAATAAATCTGTTTCTTCCACCAGACTGTATTACGATGCATCTAGTGGGGCTCAATTATTTCACTTCGAAAAACCTGCCTTGAAAAGTGCTTTATCTGACGAGATGGTGGGTTATTACTATGATGAACTGACGTACTGGTTACTCTGCATATCCCTTCAGCAAGACCATCGGAGACGTGGTACACTCCATTGGGCGCGATATAAATGACTAACATTCCACGCCAAGTGTAGGTTTACGCATACCTGCTTGGTACTCTATCATGTAGGGTAAGCAGAGGACTTCCCGGTGAGACATGGCTGGGCAAGGAGAACCTAACTAAGGCGGAAAAATACCTGCTTCGAACTATGTAAACTGCCCTTCGGTATTTTTAAGTTGCTGTAAGCTCTTGGCAATTTTTAACTGGGTCCAATTGGAGTGTTTTCTACACCGCCTAGTCATAGGTTATCACTCTATTTCAATAAGTTGCCACTACTATATATAAGAGTGTGTGCGGGTTCCGTCAGTAATCAAAGGTATAGAGAATAACCTTATATAAGTTGAGATTTCCACTAAACCACTTCATTACCGCAGAGATTTGCACTCCTGGCGATGCCGAAAACTCCTTGAGCCTCATGATTTGTTGAGGCAAGATTAGTCTTATCTATCTCATCATTGATCATGATCATATGAGATTAGGCTACAAAACGCAAATCACGAAACTCGAGACGAGACTGACTGAAATTCTTGGGACGAGGCCATCCTAAGGTACTGCAAGGTAGAAAAGTAACGTCACCAGCTATACGTATGGTCTTTGTCGGGGGAAGAGGGGTAGTTGTGTCTCAATGAAATCACACGTAGTGGAGAATGGAGACCAACTTTCCTCGATCGCCTTGTATGACAACTACACATAAGGCTCACTAGCTGTAGTAGCACTATCCCGGGGATGTGATAGCTAGCAGCAACAGGGGTGATCGTCCCATTTTCTCGGTATTTGATTTTCCGACCGATTTACTCATCGATTTACGTAGCAAGGCGTTATGTTTGTTGAATGATCCATACCAAAAGAAAAGACATGATATAGTATTACTTGTTTCTATGTTTGTTCCTAGGTAATTCCACAAGTATATACTTAATATTTTGCGTAGAAAGAGATATCTCCGGCAGTTGAAGGTTAAAGTGATCAGACCTTGAAGGCAGGCTTGAGCCTCATCAAGAGTTATATCACTAGAAATCTGTGGTTTAATCGGATTTAGTTCTCTATCTGTAATTGCTTTTTTCAACAAAGGTTCGCTGTCTGGCCTGCAATAGCCTAGCAGTTCACTGCTGATTCATAACCGCTCACTCGATTCGGACTGAAGCGTCTCTGTGAAAGATATCATACTCAGTGAATTAATTTGAAAAGTAGAGACTGATGGAAAGACTAAGAAACAATCAAGATTCAAGATTCGATGAACTCTATAGCTTACCAGGAAGAATAGGAAGGTAGTGTCAAATCGAGTGATATCTCATGATCAAAAACAAACATCTTTTTTTAGAACAATGATAATGTATTGTAGCTTGCTGAAAAATTTGCGTAAGTGCTTGAGACTGTATGAGAAAAGAAAATTTATGGTCGATAGCCACTGGTTCTCCAGTGGCGGCAGTTACGGCCCAGTTAGGTGTTGTTTTGGTTGATTGATTGTTTATTGGGTACATGTAGCCTTAAACGATCAGGTGCCGATTAGCTGCGTTAAGCCACCACGCCGACATAACTTCAGCTTTACCTAGCAAATCAGGCATGCCGCTGACCCCGCTGCTCCGCACCACTCTCATTCATTGTGGTGGAACAGCGATACAAACCCGAAATACAAGGCAAAGATGCAAAGCAGGGAAGCTGCCCAGTCTCGTGGGAAGCACTGACCAGGCTTAAGTGCTTCAGGGAGAGAAATACTCGATTTCAGATCACATATCGACGCTGCCTTCATCCTGGATAAGGCCTCCCTACGCCCAATCACTATTTTTAAAGTCCAGGAAGACAAGTGCCAGCTTTGACTTAGGATTGACGGCGTGGAACAATGTGTCTCAAAGCCAGACCAGCAGGAGGAATTCACTTCTCCGGAGTTGGGTTCTGCCCTTATTAGGTGACGCTTTTACTTTCGGCCGTGCCTTTTGTGCGTTGAGAAGTTATCTTAGTGAAATATCATTATATCACCCTCCCTGGAAGAAGGCGGTTAGATTTTTCCAGAAATAGAGTAGGTAACTAGAGTAGTCAGACTGTTGCGGACATGGAAAACTCTTCTATGCACTTGATAAAGCCATAGGAATGGAGTGTGGTGTGACTTGTGTCCGCCCTCCCCTCCCCCAACCCCACCAGCGGGGCTAAAATTTAGCTATCATAAAAGTTTTGGAACAGGTGTGAGCTCCCTAAGTAACATGGAGTTAGGCTATCAAATACCCCGAAGGTGTGGCTGAACCTGGGGCGGAGTAGTAGAAAATTAATCCGGAACTATTCCCCGCGATAGATCCTGCAGCACTTTTTGTTCTTTTTGTATAAGTACACTAGAGAAGAATACGAACACGGTTTAAACGAATTAAGGTAGATCTTATAGGCTCTAGAGTTTGTTCATAATTCTACCCACTCTACCCTATTCTTGGATAAGGTACTTTGTGTGTGCCATGGTATCAGCGTCCTCTTCCCACAATTCTTTCTTTTGATGAGAGTGGTAGTTGCAATTGTATCTGTGATTCTTCTAGCTGCATAATTGAATGGCCTAGTATATATAACTATCCGCGGTGATAGTGTCGAAGATGTTGAAGATATTAGGAGTACATGTAGTACTAGGCTAGCATGAGGCGAGATGTCTCGAGCGCCTCAGTTTCCAAAGGACAGGATGTTCCAGAACTCGGGTAATGGTGGAGGTGTTTTTTGCAGGATTCAGCGTAGGGTGGGTACATGTAGTACTCGATATTCTTTATATACGCAGTAATGTTACTGTACAGGCGTGTATCTCTCCTAGGCCCGTCAGCCGTGATCGATTAATCTCACACGCAGCAACAATGAACCCGCTTCCTGCAATTGAGCCTAGAGAGTTTTCTCTTACCCGAGAGAGCTCTCAAAGCGTAGTTATAGTAATAGCGGTAGTGGTGGTTATAATATCATGATGGTATTGATGTATGTAGACAGAAGAGCTCCGCGCGCGGGGGGGTATGCGGTCATCCATTCGATCCTCGTATCTTCCTTTAATCGTCCCCGCAATCTAAAAAAAGGTGCAAAAATCAAATTATCTACCCCAGAGTAGTCCACTGTACATGTTACTACGCCCCCCCGTCTCTCCCGGTCGAGTCGGTATGCGCTCCTTCGACAAAGACTTTAATCATGACCTATCACTCGCCCCTCGCCTCAGCGCCGAACCGAAACGAAGGCCATAGGTTCAAAACACCAAAACACGCCCTGTCGCCTTGTGGTAAGAGCAGCCTAGTGGTTAAGATATTTATATATCTCACACTTTGAGTCTAACCGACCGGACTGGGAAAGAGTATGGTAACTCAGCTACTAGTACCGATGATGGGAGGTTAGCAGTCCGACTCCCGACCCCCTCAATCTTGGATTGGGACCCTTGAATAAGAGGAAAGCAGCTTGGCGAGCGTAAGTCTTTTGTCATGGCGGACTATAACTTTTAAAACAAAAATATAGCTAGTAGTTCTGGATCACCCCTCTGCACGAAGTACGACACCAAAACAAAAGCTTTTTTTTTTTAACTTCATCAACTTTATCCATATACCGCGTACCCCCCTCCTACTCTTCCTCTCCATATATGTAATTATACAAAGGACATATTAAAACAACGATTCTAGTCCTAGAAAATTTGATTGGTCAACGTTAAATTCAAGCTACGTGTAAATAGATCCCATCCAGAAATTAAACAACCATCACTCTAAACACATGCATCTAGGCATCCATCTATAATTACACCCATCAATCACATAAAAATTACACTCCATCTTCCTATCTCATTCCTTATATCTAAACTTTCTCGTCTGCCTTCTCCCTCGCTCCCAGCGGCACTGCTTCAGGCTCCGGCTCCTTCCTGCCCTCCAGTGCAACATCTTTGATGAGTAAACTAGTTAGTAGGCAGAACCCGATCAATGGGCATCCAGTACACATGATGACGTGAATGCCCTTCATGTATGCGTCTATCACGCCGCTCTTCTCTGCGTCCGTTAGGCCTGTGGCTGTGGTGAACTGTAGTGCGCTTGCCGCAGAGACGGTGTCGGGGATGTTAGAAAGGAGGACATTGTTAAGGATTGCAGAGAAGGCTGGGTATTGGGTTAGCCTGCAATTGGGAGAATGAAGAAAGACTAAGGGTGGAGGAAAGAAGGGGAAAGTATAACTAACCAGCTAGTCCAACAGCCCCGCCAACTGTGCGGATAAAATTTCGCAGCCCGGTAGCAACAGCGCGGTCCTCCTTGCGGGAGTTGGCTAACAGCACGATCATACCTGTGTTATGTAGTTTCCTCCGTCAGTATCAGTTCCTACTTCATCTGTGAGATATCATGGGTATACCGACCTGGCTGGAAGCAGCAACCGACCCCTATGCCTTCGATGATCAGCGTGATCACCACGACAGCCACATGGCTGCTCCTGTGTAGAGCGATCCTCCCTCCGGCGCCCGCGGTCCAGAGAACGTATCCAGTTCTAAGGACACCGTTATACTTGCCGACTCTTGAGATAATGACGCCGGATGAAGAGGATCCAACAGAGAAGGCTAAAACCAATGGGAGGATCATGACACCGGACATGACAGGGGAGTAACCGCGAACGTTTTGGAAGTAGAGTGGGAGAAAGTAGAGATTTCCCCAGTATACAATGCCAGTAAGAAAGAAATGCGTGAGGATTATTTTGGCTGCGCGAATCTCGAATATACGGACTAATAAGAGTAATTAGTGGATTGTGATATGAGTAAGAATTGGTGAAGATCCTGGAACAGATTGAGTATATGTAATTGAGTAAGATATATATTGAACCATAAAGCTTACATATATCTTGCTAATACCCAGGCTCAATTTGTTCTAGAAACATCAGTGGAGTAAACTGTACTTACTAGGCATAACAGGAACCTTTGCAATTTTCCATTCTACTGCTACAAACAGGATTGAAGCAACTCCGCCGATTACGAGGAAAGCTATAACTAATGGCGAATCCCAATTATAAGTGCTCCCACCACCACTGATAGGAATCTACACCATCGACTATTAGCTCTTAAACAATTAAAGATTCACTCACTCCATCAATTAAGGTCAACACATACCAATATAAATAGTACCGCTGTCAAACTCAGGAGAATCCCCCAAAAGTCGATATGCCCCACTTTAACCCTCCAGCTACCCTCCACCGTAGACCTTGGCACCATCATCACCACAACCCCCGTCGCAGCCGCAATTAGTATCACCGGTAACCAGAACGTCCATCGCCAACTGACATTCTCTGAAAACGCTCCACCAATCAATGGCCCCACGCCGTTTCCGAGCGCTATGAATGTCTCTAGGTATCCCTGATACTTCCCGCGCTCCTTGAGCGTGGTGATATCACTGACGATAACCATAACGAGGGAGTTTATGCCGCCGGCGCCGATCCCAGAGAGGGCACGGAAGACGAAGAGCTGGATGCTGGTTTGTGCAAAGCCGCAAAGAAGGTCGCCAACGGCCAGGAAGCCAAGGCACATTAAGAGGCAGGTTTTGCGGCCAAAGATATCGGACATGCGGCTGTTTATGAGGAGGAATGCTGTGCTGGCGATGAGGAATGAGGTTCCTACCTGTACTCATGATCGCATTCAGTAAACTTGCCAAGAAATATGTTACATGAGCAGTAATTAGTAGAGGAAGCACAGATATAATTACTAACCCATGATATCATTGACACTGCATCTAGGTCCTTCCCAATCACGGGCAGAGAGGTTGATACTGATGTCTGGTCTATGGTCGAGATGAACAGTGTCATGGCCAACGCTAAGAATATGACAATGATACGTTTTTTGGAGAGCGAGTTTGTCTGGTCTTGAGTATCCCGAAATACATGTCCACCTTCACCAGCAGCGGTAGCAGCAGCAATAGTAGCAGCCATGATTGATTAAGTACTGGCTGACTACTTCTTTGGTATCGAGCTACAATCAGGTCTTTGCTCGGCCTTGATTGTATGCAGCTTGATACTTCCTCAACAACAGCACAAACAACGGGAATGACAACAAGAAAGCTCATTCTTATAGAAGAAAAAAATCTCGGAGTTTGTGTGCGGTATTAGGGGAATACCCACTTTGACCACTGGCGATAACCTTGTAGCGGGACAAGTACGATTCCCGTTTCTGGTTACAGGCTGCCGGGTAGTTCGGCTGGGTAGCTTGGCGGTGGCATTTTTTTCGGTTAGTAATCTCTTTATCCCACTTTCACTTCCGGGGAAGAACTTCTAGAAGCGTAGGACCTGTTGAAGTAATCTTGGCTGTTGCTTATCTGGACTTCCATACTCTAAATCTTATCAGTTGTGATATGCCCAAAGACTGATGACAGTAAGCATGAACTACCTCCTCTCCCTCGATTGAGATTCTTTGTTTCTGAGGCCCACACTAGTTTTCAAAGGTCAAGCTTGTTGAAATATTGATTATTGTCACAAGATTATATAAGCACCATGCAATTTGCAGATCCCTCTATTTTTTAAAGTGACACATTCTCTAAAATGATATGCCATCCTCGGTGCGCGGATGGACGCACATATTTAATGAGGCACGGGGCCCCGGCCCGCATAAACAAGAGTATGAATCACAGATTTATCTGCACCAATTGCATGGCTGCAACCCCCGTCTTTGGGTATGGTGATCGACCAGGAGTTATTCGATATTCATTGGATCCATAAAAGAGACAAAGCGGTACTTTAGGTATACGTTGGCTCCGTTTGAGACTTCTTTTTGGTTTCATGCCATGTTCTGGAAACGACTCATCTTGGAGTTGAAGAGCTCGAGTAGAGTATTTAGGGATCACGGGGATCGATAAAGAGGTTAGGTCGTACGGGTTATAGGAAGCGCCGACAGCAATGGGGGTCAATTCGGCTCAGGAGAAGCAACAAGGGACGCCTTGGATCAAGGTTTATATATATGCATGCAGCTTGAGAGGACTCATGATTGCACATGCATGCGCGCGTCCGAGGGAGACGCGTTGGAGTGCAGTTTTCGCTCTAGCATATCTCGCGAATGAGAGAATCACTAAAATCAGCCATCTTGGCACAACAGCGAGTGAGTCCCTGTGCGCCAAGCACGCAATGGCAAGTTTTTGAGTGCAGGCCAGATGCTAGGATACTATATGCATATTGTGATTTTATTTTATTCCAAATAATTTATTTGTAGATGCTAAGATAGAATAGACGTGCGAATTCATTGGAACTGTGGGCCTTGCCTGCATATAAGGACCTGTTCGATTATCGTATCGCTGAGTGATTTCTACCTTTAGATGTTTCTCTATACTACATGTAGTACTACTACTGATACAAATTAGGTCCACGACGGTGCGGGAACCTAATGTCTATCAACCACGTGCCGAAATTTCACCTATGTATATCACAAAAGATCACGAGTATCTTTAATATAAGATGAACCAAAGTGTGGTGATGATGGAGATATAGATGGTTGTGATTGTTCCTAGGCCTAGCTGGGTCCAGGAGTTTTTCGTACGATGGGCGTGTGAGATAGCTTAAAAGGAGTTAAGCCTCGCAGCACAAGTTATTTATAATCCCCTTAAGGATTACGTATATCTCAGCGAGTCGTTTATATCAAAGCTAGGGCTAGGGGCCGTGGTTGGCTTCCGAGTGATATGACATGACCCGGCCACACATAAGCGAGACAATCTCACACCGCCCCTTCAACTCTTACAAGTACACAGTAGGAACCGACTTCACTCAAAGATAAATTCTCACTACTACGTACTGATACACTATTCATAAACAAACCACATCTCTCCATATAAGTTATCTCCAAATTCGACCCTCCACACAAAGCAACACCTAGAAACTACAAATCACCAGCCCGCTTATACCCCGAGTAGTTCTTCATCACTTTTTGGTAGTCCTCCCTCACGCCCACAAACGCGTCCTCGAGCTCCTGTTTCCGCGTCGGGACCAGGCGAATGGTATTCTCTGCAAGTTGCTACATTGTCCTTCACGTCAGCGAATAGAGGAGAGAGTGGGGGGTGGTTATGTACCTGGACAGTGGTGGCGAGAACTACGATCGAGAACCGTACGGGCTCTGAGTAACTGAAACTTGAGAGGAGACCGAAGCGCCCAGAGAGTCGGTCCATGAGCGCGTTCTGGCTAGTGGTGAGCTATATACACGATATGTCAGTTCCAGGTGAGCGAGGAGAGCAAGAGCGGGTGTGCTACAGTGAGCATGCGCTTGAAAATTTCTTCACTATCGGTTGGCGAAAAGTTATCGTCGGTCTGGGAGGAGGCGTATATGTTAGCATTATTATGGGGATGGGGAAGTTCGGGGACCCACATTGGTGAGAGTTAATAATAGGTTTATCAGAGTACAAACAACCTCCGCAAGCTGGATTCCGATAAGCTTTATATGTACGTTATACAATTAGTTACCAGTTATGCTAGGGACAGGAACAACATACAGGTGCATTGTCAAACATATTATAGAGGTTTGTATTGCCAACTAGCTCATCAACATCAATCGTCTGCTCTATTGCGAGCTCCAGCTTGTTAGTGACGATTCGTGCTGTGCGGGTTGTGGGCGAAGCGTTGATGATGAGGGCACAGGACAGCACGGCCACGGTAAGGAAAACTAGGCTCGAGAAGATCTTCATTTTAGGTAAATTGGGGGGGGGGGGGGGGGGTGGGCTGGCACAATTGGTGGGAGCTTTTTGAGGGAGCAAGCCAGGAGAAAGCTCTCAATGCTTGTCTTTTTATACACCTAGTTATAAACCAGCTAGCTGTAGCGAGCAGCCGGGAAGATACCCCGACCCCTCACTCCTCACCCCCCCCCCCCCCGGGGGAGTGGACGGAGAGATCGAGTCGTCTAGAATTGTCCATCATCGATCAGATGCTCCCGTATATCTATACGTGTGTATGTGTGTATCTATCTGTAAGTGTCCGTCTCTTGAATCCAACCAAGAGGCATATATCCGGCACACACCCGGACCATAGTAGTAGCTACGTAGTGATCCATGGCGAGAGATATCAGACCGGAAGTTTAATCTTCCCCCATATGCCGGGGATCCCGCGATAATGTAGGCGATATATAACCTTGCGGGTATGAGATCGATCTCTTCCCAGGGCCAGCAGAGATTTCACGTCTTTATAACATTTGCGGGTAGAGACATCCAGCCCCCCTCCGCTATGTACGTTCGTCCTATAATGATAATAGTTGCGGAAAGATACATGACGAGACACGGGTTGGTTGGTTGGTTGGTTGGTTGGTTGTTGGAGAATTGGTAAGCGGTGTGCATCACACGATCATGGGCGATCACTCGGTGGATCTGCGCTGCTGTTGTGCCTTTCAGGGCTGGGAGTGGCAACTCCCCCGCCCGTCGAGAGAATTATGTGGGGCGAGCAGATACAGCCACTCTCTCTTCGTTGATATCTATCGATCAATCTAAGCAGGCAGGTGTTGTTGTTGGTATACGCCAAGGGGGGTACGGGTCTGCATCAAGTGTCATAGAATACAAGCACGGCGCCAAGCTAGCTCAGAAGTACCGAAGCGAAGGCCATAGGCTCAAAAGCCCAAAACACGCCCCTTCCCTCCGTGGTAAGAGCAGCCTAGTGGTTAAGATATTTACATATCTCACACTTTGAGTCTAACCGACCGAACTGGGAAAGGGTATATATGGTAAGTAACTCGGCGACTAGTACTGATGATGGGAGGTTAGTAGTTTGACCTCTGACCCCCTCAACCTTGGATTGGGACCATTGGATAAGAGGAAAGCAGCTTGGCGAGCGTAAGTCTTTTGTCATGGCGGATGATAATTAAGATAAAAAATTGCGGAGGTTTCTTCTCTATTCTTTCCCATTCTTTCTTCTTTCTTTTTGGACTACATACTCCCATCAGATCGTCGACACAGCGTGACTACATGTAGTAGTGAAAAATCGATGAATGTATGTTTCGGTGGAGGGAGAGGGAGTCACCGGACCGGGGCAGCCAATCGAAACTACCAGACCTAACAAAATTCCTGCTCCATACAATGTAGCTCTCTCTTTGCCACATGTCTGCCCGCTTAATTAACCCGCTCCATATATCCCACTTCACCCCCAGGGCTCCCCCAACCCCTCTCCGTCAGGCTGGCCTCTATTACCTTAACTGGACATGTACAGAAACACCATGGAAGGGAGAGGGATAATTGGATACCTCTCATGAATCAATTTTCCACCTATGCAACTAGCGAACTGTGAGCTCGAAAGATTAACTGGGTGTGGCCAGCCAATCTAGAATTCGCATTTTCATCCAGAGGTAGAGTACCAACACCATCCAGACATTAGTACATATAGGTGCGCGGCATTTTACTCAAGAGTGGTAGGTCGGGCTGCTACCCGGTCAGGCGCAGTCAAGTAGATATGTTGCTTAGTGATAAAGGAAGAATACATAAGGACAACCCCCGGTTGCACAAGCACCCTTCTAGCCCAATATCATGAAATGTCTCCGTAGTAAACTCCGTCATTATATTTCAAGCCTTTGCGCATCACCGGTTTACCCACCTACAGTCAGTGATGTTCATGAGCTATAAGCTAGAGTAAATGTCATTTTTCCCTGGCACGAAAATACATACATTCTGACTACCTCTCCTTACATTTATGTTATCTTTCTTTTCCTTATATCTGGCCCCGCCCTCTTCTCTCCTTGCTATACGTCTTTTCCACGAATGGAATATTAATCAGTCAATCATCGAGCCATTGCCAATACAATAAATAAACTAAAAACAACCAAGTCAGTCATCTCCATGCTAATGAATTAAACAAAAAAAAAAAAAAAAAAAGGTCATCTCCATGCTTTTCGCCTCTCTGGAGGGTCGAGTGATAATTCATGATTTCGCTCTGAATTTGTATCTAGCTGGGCCTAGTACACAAGATACGTTCTTTATCGATTATTCTGGGGCTTCATCTAAGCACAGAAAAAAACTTTGATATTATGATGCAATGTGTTAGATGTACTAACAGTTTTTTTTTTTTAAAGTCTGTTAACATGTATGCAATCCTCCTGAAGCCCCCTGGCCTCCCAATTTAGCTAATTATGATATTTACAAAGCAATATCTTTTCTTCGTGCTATAGATCACAGAATGTGATTTTTCACCAACTATATTTACTTCCGTCCAGATTCCTCCAAAGCTGAGCTCTCAAAGCTCCGAGAGGATACTTCCTCGTATGGACATCGGTGAAAAAACCCCTTGGGTTATCTTCAATCTGGCTCACGGAGAAGCCCTCGCCAGTATCAAGACCATTGGCAATGACTCCAGTTTTGAAAGGTGCCTTGAGGCAACCTATAGAATTGCGACGTGTGCCATTCCCAATCTACATTTGAAAATAACGTTAGACAAAGCCAATTTAAATGAGGGAGATGATGAGGGAAAACAGTTGCTAAGGAGGTAAGCACTTACAGGGTTTGGAAACGCAATACGAGGAGGTCCAGCCTTTCCAATCGTGGCTTGATGAATATGGGTAGCAGTGAGAGCCGCAGACTGGTATTCTCCAGTAACTCCTAGAAGGGTGATGTTCTATGATCAAGCACAGCATTAGTCACTTCCATAGAAATCTAGCAGGGGTGAAATAATTGGGAGGCGTACATAGCAAATAACATTTTCGCGGCTATTAATCCCATAGTTGAAATATCCAATTGCATCTTGCTCCCCAATGGCAGGCATGTCTGTAGCGTTGACAACCTGATCGGCAGTAGCAACGAGGGAGTAGGTGCTAGTAAAACGAAAGAGCTAGAGTGGTTGAAGCAGTGACTCTCAGTAGATGATCCAATTGATAGAATACGAAGATAAAATACTCACAATGGAGGTGGTGGGATCAGAATCTTCTGAGCATGCATGTCCATTCTTAGGCCCACCATAAGATGCCTTAGTAGAAGGCTTCGGTTTGGCATTAATACGAGCTTTCTCGGCTTCAACTCCGGCCCCAGAGGGAGTAGCAGAGTTAGTGGGAGTAGGCATGATAACGCCGAGGGCAGTAGAAACGAGAATAGTAAAGATGATAGTGATTGACTTCATTGTGATGAGATTATCAAGTGGTTGGAAATTTATGAAAGAACGTAGAACTGGTTCGAAATTTAGAAGATTGAGAGAGTGAAGAATGCACGGATGAAGATGTAGAGAGGAAAGGGAGGGAATGGATGGCTTTTATAGTTTCAATCTAAGAAGCCAGGTGGACAGGTGAACGAGAGGACAGATGAACGAGAGGACAGATGAACGAGAGGACATATGAACGAGAGAACATATGAACGAGAGGACAGATAGATGAGAGGACAGATGGATGAGACGACGGATAGACGGGAGGACAGATAGATGGGAGGACAGAATGCTGTTTCTCTCTATAGAGCACTTCGAAGAACAATACACGTACATGTATGTTTCTCCTACATTTACGTCCGCGAACGTTACGTACTCGAAAGATAAACTACATGTAAGCTATGGTGTACTTGAGTGCGTATCATGTACTTGTATGCAAGTGTATATATATGTGGCCCCGCCGGCCAGTTGCCAAATAAGCTTCTTGGATTATGGGTAATTTTCATTGATTTCCAACACAAATACGATCACTCAAACGCTTTCCGCTGAGTCTAGTTAAGGGGTATAGTATCACGCTTAAGTTTTGTGGTACGGTGAATAGAAATCTTGTTTCCTTGATTGCATGTACCTATATGTACTTAGTTGAAAAGTGTTGGAACGTGTAGCTCTAAATGCAGTACAGCGTTGCAGATATAACGCCAAAAATGGGGGGTAGAGTGTGTAATTTCACTCATACATGTATTTTAGCTACTTAGATATTGAACTAGTACATGTAACTAAAGCTTGGCGTGATGCCTCCCCCGCACTCCGGGAGCTTGAGTACCGTTCATGTTGAGTAAAGCACCCCTACCATATGATTGGAAATATCTTTCACTTGCGTAGATATATCGATGATTGAAAAGGGGCACGCAAGATTCTCATGATGAACTGTCGTGCATCCTATATATGATCCGCATCTAAGAATAGCTTGATCTTATCAGATTCATGACGTCGAAGCTTCCCGAACCCCTCCAATCCAGTTCCCGATCCCTGAAATCGTTTATCACGTGATGTCCCCCCAGCTGTCCTGAGAGTCTCATTGCTATCCTTCTACCTTTCCTTGTCTGCATCAAGTCAAGTTGTTGCTTTAGTAGTTGCTGCATCATCATCAATCCTACCCCTTTCTTTCCTTCTTTCCTTCTTCTCCACTAATTCGATCAATATAACACCTATCCCATCCCATCACCTCACATCGGTTCAATCAATCAAGCCCATACCCAACACGTAGATCCTACCACCATCGAAAACTTTAATATTAACAATGTCATTCGGCGGGTTCAGTGATATCCAACGTGATCGAGACAGAGCCCACTCCTCCCGGCATCGAGAACGACGCTCTGGCGAGCATGACGAAGAAGGGCGAGACATGAGCTATGGCGGCGAAGACTCTTTCGGTGACAGAGATAGGGGGAACGAGGGCTACGGTAGAAACAACAACGAGGGCCATGAGTCTCGACGAGGAGGTGACAGTGGTATAGGCGGAACATACCGTGAACGTGAGAGTGGGGGCGGCGGCGGCAGACCATACGGCAGTGGCGATGATGGGTACGGAAACAATTCCAATCGCGGAGAGGGATTCGGGAACCGTAATGAGATTTACGGTAATACTAATCGTGGAGGGGAATATGGCAGCTATGGAAACAACAACCCCAGGGAAGAATTCGGAGATCGTAACGAGGATCGGCAACACCGTGAAGAATACGGAGGTAATAACGATTCATCGTACGGGAACAATAACCGGCGTAGGGATGATTCTGGGAACAACCTCAACCGTAACGATTCATATGGAAACAACAATCGCGGGGGTGAATACGGAAACACCCAGTACGGCAATCAGCAATCCAGCAGCTCAAGCTATGGCAACAATAACAATAGCAACGAAAGTTACTCAAGCCAAAGCCAATCCAACTACCCTCAAAATAACAACAACCAAGGCCAAACTGGACAAGCAAACCCAATAAACTGGGGAACCGTAGCGGAAGCCGGCATCTTGCACTTCGCTAAGGCCTACGAGAAATCTGCTTCCACCAACCAAGAGTCCGGATCCAGCAATAGTAACGAGCGGCCAGCTGAACAGAGTGAATTTGCGAAACGACTCGCAAATAAGCAGGAGGCGGAAAGTGGATCAACCTTGGTTAAGCAGGCCTTCGGCGGCGGTTTGTAGCCTATCTCTTTGAGGATGTTGAGCATTGGGTGCTGACGGGGTGAGAAACAGTGAAAGCTACTATCGAAAAATTGACGGGCGAAAAGAAATAATTTTCCCTAGGTATGGGGAGATGGAGAGTACATGGGTGAGGGAGGAAGAAATCGGTAGGAACGAAAGCTGGGGACTTGTTTGGGTATACATACATGTACCACCGTGATATGGGCTATCATGGAGTTGAGCTGGGGTAAAGTTGGGTTATGGAAATCATTTACTTGAAGAAAATAGCAACAACCACAGAAGTTTATTTTTATTATTAAAGTCTAACTATCTAAATGGATAAACTTGTATTTCGTGTCTTAATTTTATATCATACCCAATATATCACATAAAATACTACTATATTTCAAAAAAGAAAAAGGAGATTGTAGTACATACATGTATGTAGTAATTTGCAATTGTAGTTTTGGGTTAGCTGAATGTCAAGTTCACGCATCCACATCATCGGCCCGATACCATGGTCACTATCACTTTAAGCAGTTAGCCCGATATATAGGCCCATAGCCAGTTACATGTAGTTATTGATTGTTAAGATCATCATTCATCTTTCCCTCCTTGCGCGTTACAATACATACATCACAGTACCCGTACTCCTTATTCTGTCTACTCAAAAGAAAATAGCGAGGATTATTAGTGCCATATTGGTACCACGGAGGGATCGAATTCAGTGCTGTTTGGTTTATATCGGCTCAGCTTTATAACTTTTAAAGAAGTACGTGTACCTACATGTATACCCACCCCAAGCCTCATAGCGGCACAACAGTACCTAGCGCCTTCCTTTCCAGCCCTACGCTACTGCCCGCGAATTCATCCTCGTTACATTGTCTTGAAATATTCCTGAGAACGCAATTAGCATCAACTTGGTCAATATCCCACTCGGTCCACTCTGTTTATAATTTAACAATTAAGAAATATTTCTATTTACTGTATCATATCGTGTTTCGGACGCAAGTAAAAATTCACGGTAGACGAGAACCGTGCAGCAACAGGACCATTGGCTACATGTAGTATGTGTAACAGTAACATGCATTGTAGCTATAGGAGTCGATTCAATACAAGTGCAGTGCGGCCCCCGGCCGCGCCGCTGGAGTTAGGAAATTTAATTCTGACTTGAATACCTACCTGTTTGTCCACATAGATTAGCTAAAGCATAGGAGAGGAATAGCTATACTGTCCAACCTATTTATGCTAATCGTTAAAACTTCTCGCATGAGTATGTAACTGTAGTTGTATTATATTATTTCCTATTTCTCAATACAGTGCCCACAATCGGGGTCGGGTGCCGCTGCGCAGCACACCAACCCTTGCTCGCACGAGTTCTTAGGAGTTCAAGGGTGATATATGAGTTTATATAGCAGTTAATTCTAGTTGTGAGTGTTTGTCCTTCCATGTCAGCTCCCTTCCCGGCATTCCTCTATCTCGGGAGTAATTCTTTGTCGGTTTACGGTATGCAGTTCTAACCAATAGAAATGCTTCGTGATTACAACGAGGAAGCTTATACTATTTAGATAGATGAAAGTGGACCATATTAATACATTACGTACATGTACCCAGCGTTTGAACTGCATATTTCAAAGGCATAGAAATACTTAAGATCTATGGCCGTAAGATCAAATTTACATTTAAGCCTCTGGTGTCACAGTCTATCAGTGTATCTACATGTATATGCGCATATATCCCATGGTAGGATGGAATTTGTCAAACTTGCGACCTCTTTTAACTTTCATTATACTGCTTATGGGATAGCAATTGCTCACGGCTGATTCCGAGCTTGTGTTAACCCACACGAGTGCGGCTGCGCGTGTGGCTGCACCGTGTGGGGTTGAGGAGGAGCTCGAGGTATATAAAGGTGCCTTAATAGGACAACAGATGTGTTCAGATTAAGATACTGTGATGATCTACCGTGGAAGAAGATATGGCCTATATGCGCTCAATGTGAGTACCCAAATTGCTAATCGATAAGCTAGGCATCTAGAGTAACTTATAGTTACAGTACTTCCCTTTTATTTAAGCCCTCCAGATCCACTCTCGCGGGTCAAGGGGTCCCGTCTAACTGCCCTTCCCCCTCCCATCCTTGAACACATATTCAGCTATTTATCAACGGATGAGTTCATGCAATCAATGGATTAAGCAAAAAAACAAACAAACGGATGAGTTCACCCATATCAGCAATACCTGTATAACTCTTAGAGACAAAGCTTCTACCTTCCTCCCCACTCGCCGTCAACAATTACTTGTCCAGAAGCGCATCCTCCAGTCTACAATTCCAGCCGCAAATCTCCCCAATGAGCTTCTTCACGAAATCTTCACTTATCTCACTCCCAAAGACTTCTACACCGCTACGAAAGTCTGTAACTCCTGGCGCTATGCTGGGGTTTATCCTCCGCTTATAAAAAAACACATATCCACCCTACTTCCAAGAAGGATCGTTAGAAGGACCTCAGATCCTCCGAACTATGACTTACGGGCACTCGTTTCACACATCAATAAAGATCTAGGGAAGGGGATACTCCCCAAATATCTAGTCTCTACAATCCAACTTAAGCAGCCTAATTCTAAAATCCCTCCTGAAATCTATCTTTCAGAGTCTGGCCACTACTTTTTATCCGCCGAAAGAGCTCCTCCCTACCATGTCCGTATCTACTGTACCTACCGGCCAGTCTTAGCCAACGACTTCGAAGCCCCTCAACTTGGATCGCCAATTAAAAATTCTGTCCCTAGGTCCAGTGGTGTGTCTGAACATTCCCCATGGCCATGGCCATGGGAACCCGGAAGTGGTGCCTTGGGGTTTCATGAATGGGACTCGACACCAACTTGTATGGTGACGTTGCCAGGGCCATGCTTTAGAAAAGTTATCGACGCGTCCTTTTCACCTCTTTTATGTGGCGGATACACCAAAGGTGTAGACGTAATTGTATTGTTTGAGGGTGGTAAGGCAAAACTCCTCAAAATACGTCCAATGCCAAGAGGCCATTCACCGTCACGGATAAAGAAATTATTCAAACGGAAGACTTTCAGACAAGTACCTAGATGGCATATCTATTACAGCTTAGGATTTTTTGGGCATTGGATCTCAGTTTCTTAATGAAAAGCCGATACTCGCGAAACTAGAAGAAACTGGTAGAAAAATTGTCTTTGCGACAGAGGGACATTTAATGGTTATAGATGGAATTTCAGAGCACAATGCATACAAGCCTATGTTGGTGAAAGCGTATCGTTTATCGAGGTTAGGGGTGGCGCCAATCGAAAGGATATTTGTGGGGAAATCCAGGCAAAACGAGCCGTACTTTGACACCTTCTATATCATTTGTGGCAGAAGTGCTCCATTTTCTACTAGGACGGAAGAACAGTCGAGCGTATCAGAGGATAAGTACTACACCAAGCATTCCTTTATATGTCACTTCAAACCTCATCGAATTGACGCACTCGACAATACCGGGCCCCCGTGTTCACTACGCACAATGCCACACACAGGCTTGACCGCTTGTGGAGACTACAGCATCACATCTCTCTATAGCAACTCATCTCTCTACAGCAGCACACCTCCTACTTTGGCCTTGATCTCGACAATTATTCACTTACTTACCTTATGCTCTACTACACTGAAGAAGAACCCTGGAAGTGCTGTACGCTCGTGCCGAAGCGCTGTTATCCTCATCCACATGCCTTACCCGTGCATACGACTTCCGTACGCATCTCCTGGCACTCAACCCACCCCATTATCGCCACTGCAACAGCAGAGGGCCAAACCTACATTTCCTTTCCTCCCCTCTGTGCCTGTATACCTTTCTACGCTGGACCGAGATGTACCTGTCCACCCACAGCTTTCAAAAAGCTTGCTCGCATCCCACCCATCACAGGGGGAAGGATAACAGACATGAAGATATCGTACCGCTCGCCAGTTTGGGATTCACCAAGAAGATATGTTGCACATTTGACGAATTTAGGGTTATGGAAGGCGAGACAGGGATTTGGGTCCTGCTTATAAGCACAGATAGGGGTAGATTGGAGGTTTGCTATATCGGTCCCGAGAGTAAAGAGGTTGGCGCGAAGCGGTTGTGGGTTGCAAGAGGGTCAGAGATAAGAAAATAAGAGTGATTTAGGGCGGCTTTAAATAGTTTTTTAGTGGACAGATGGTTTGTAATTTATATCGAGTGATATTTCGTGAAGACAATACGCACAGACTTATATGAATAGACACTCCAAAAAGAATATGAGTGATGTAGTAGTAGTCTCGTACCCAACCCGTTACTTGCAGCACTCTAAAGTAGACGGGTTGGGGACGAGCCTAATGTAGTAGGTATCCTATGCTACAGTGTCATATATCAAGCCCATACATATATAGTTCAGTGATGAAGGGGGCCGGGGATCTGATGCCCATGATAGACAGGAGGGAAAGTGGCCCAAAACCGCCCTTTTAAAAGTTATAACCCGCCACGGCAAAAGACTTACGCTCGCCAAGCTGCTTTCTTCTCATCCAAGGGTCTCATCCAAGGGTCCCAATCCAAGGCTGAGGGGGGTCGGGAGTCAAACTGCTAACCTCCCATCATCGGTACTAGTCGCCGAGTTACCGTACTCTTCCCCAGTCCGGTCATTTAGACTCAAAGTGTGAGATACGCAAGTATCTTAACCACTAGGCTGCTCTTACCACAAAACTACAGGTCGTGTCTTGGTGTTTTGAACCTAAAGGGATACATGCTGAGCTACTTGCGTCTTAGCCTAGCAATATTTGGCTAGCTACATGTACCTACTTACTTATGGCCCGGGGATGCAAACCCTCTGCAAGACATTGCTACGTCCTACTCTTATGTGTGTTCTGCACTCAACCAACAACTTTGAGCCGGCGGCCTGGATGGCAATTATGAATACAAAAAGCCCCTGAATAGTACGCAGTACGACCCAAAGACCACCTAAAGGCATGCATCTGTATACCTAGCGTACCGCTAAATCAACAGCCGGATGGCATATGAAGCGCAAGGAGCTCAGGTCGTTCTTTAGGGACAAAGGTATACCATGATCGAGAGGGTGGAGACATCCGACAGCATCATCTGCTCTTTCTTTCCGTCTTTCTGTTTTTAATACTACTTGTATGAAGGCTAGAAGAAAAGAAAAGAAAATGCTCTACAATCAATCATTGTAGGCCGAGAGTATTACACGCCCTTGGTCATATAATAAAGTAAGCACAAGTGGAAAACTTACACATACCAGATCTCGTCAACCCAACCATTTTGCAGAGAATACTACGTATCGGTATCAAAAAAAAAAAAAAAAAAAAAACGAGTTCTCATGCGTATGGAGCCGGCTGCAGCCAATACTTCTAGTAACGAAAAACAAGGCTGCTATCTTGATGTTTCCAGGGAGCCAGGTCAGAGGACGTGTTGTGTATGTGCTGCGTATAAAAATGCAGCGATGCAGCGGGAAGCACCAATCTGATGCTTGCTATATATAAATTATGCACCATCAACCCGCCGTGGACACCTGACTGCATACAGTTAATTCATTCCGTATGATGTCTACGAATACTATATAACAATTCTTTCTTCTTTCCGCTAGTACTAAGAATGATGTGGCTATCTTGTTCAAGATTCCTGCTGGTTCCTACCGATTCGACCGGATTCAGAAATTTAAGCTCGAGCTAGGTAGCGCCGGGCCCACTAAAGGACACCACAGCCGGCCTGGGATAGCATACTTGCTAACGGTAAACAATGGCCCGTGATCACATACGATATATATATCTACAATACTGTGGGCTTCTCTTGGTCAAGATGGAGCGAAATTTGGGGGTTTGTGTCTTACCTCTGATACCATCGATTATCGCTCGACAAGGCTTCCTACACTAAGTGCCAAAAAGGGATGTAACGGATATTCTACCATTACGGGATTTATCGATTATAAAGTGCCGAATTATAAATATGAACCCTAGAATACCGCGCATTACTAAAGTTTAGTTAGTGGCATCCGATAAGATTCACAGTACGTACTGGTTTAACCTACCTATACTCAAGATCCCCCTTAATCACTCCTTCCCCCTCCAATTGCTTATACAAAACCCTAGACACTACTACCAACTATCTGCAGCTCAACGGCTCACTAGTTGACATGCATGTATATTGCCTTATGCCAAGAAAGGATTTCCTCCTAGTTGAACATGACTGACAGTGGCGCAGCTACTCTACTACTCTAAAACCAGGAACCTTTAATTTCCTGCATAGTCATTCTACTTTTGTGGAACACCTTGAAGCTTACCCTCTGTTGGAAATTGTTAAACGCTCGACTCCATATATGATTGCCGATCCGGCCTGAGGAATGTGAGTACATGCACTTACCAATCTTTCTACTAGAATACCCCAGTAACAAGATCCAACCCCTTATAATTTTCTGCTGTCACACCGGGCATGATGCTAATATGTCTTGGTACTTTCAACAGCCCTAGGGAGTTCTAGGATCCGGACTCACCGGAGCCTCAGCACCAAAGAGAGGGAACATCCAGGTTCTTTGGTATTGCTTTATTCTACTATTGGTAGACGGACCGCAAGGCCAACTAACTCCTTGTGGAATGCGCGCTACAAAACAGACCATTCGTCCGTGTTTTTAGAATGTTTGATGTGCATGTGTAGCACAGCCTGCTGGTAACAGCCATGTAGTCCCTGGCTACTAGTGCGTTAATACATGCGGATATATACTACTACTATTTGGTTCCGGATATATCATAATTTACGGCGTTTAAATACGCCCTGATCCCCCAAAATTAAAGAACTTCACAGCTACCACAATTAGCTCTATTGATCATTAACCTCATTGATCAATCCCACCAGCACAATGGGTTGCCCCGTTCCCAGCGCCGCCCCGATAGCGGGTAGTATCGCAGCATACACCTTTCCCTCAATCTACAACAGTTCAACCTTGTTCGACCTCAATGTAGGGTCCACCGACATTCCCGTGATGCAATTCTACGAATACGACTATGCCCACTTCTCCATGGACAGCAAGCCCACCTGGATCGCAATCACCATCCCCGACGACACCGACCTCACCGACGTCCGCATCTCGCCCAAGAAGCTCGGCATCACGCCCACAAAATCGACCGGCTGCGTCTCCTTCACCATCCCCAGCGACGAATACCTCATTGTCAAGATCGGAAGCCTCAAAGAACTGGTCATTGCCGCCGACAAGCTCGAGACTAACAAGCCCGTGAAGTCTGCCTCGTACGTCTACAACATCCTCTCGAAACCCTTCAACGCAGACCCAACCGGATCAGGGCTCGCGACCACCACTCTGCAAAATGCAATTGACACCGCGGCGGCAGACTGGGCGGCGGCCAAAAGTAGCGGCGTCAGCGGCCTGCCGCCCAGAGCAACTGTCTACGTCCCCAAAGGTCTCTATCTCATTGGTAACATTGTCCTCAAGTCCAACACGGAGCTATACCTCGAAGCCGGGTCATTCCTACGCTTCACGGGCGTGAAGTCGGACTACACCCTGCACTGGTACAAGAGCTCCCAGGGCCGCGACGTAACATGGTGGATCCGCACCGACTTCAACAGCACCAACATCAAGGTCTATGGCCGTGGAACGCTCGACGGAAACGGCAAATACGGCACCAACGTTGGAAAGATCAACAACAACATCCTCGTCCCCATTGCCACAAGCCACTTCATGGTCGACGGAATCGTCATCAAGGAGTCTTCATCATGGTCGACCATTCCCATGAGGTCACAGAACCTCTTGTTCCAAAACATCAAGTGGTTCAACTCCCTATGGATGAGCGAGAACGATGGAATTGATGTCCTTGAGAGTGTGGACGTTATCGTGAGGCACACGATCGCAATCTCGCTCGACGACCCGTACTCGACCAAGGCGTACACCAAGATCTTCCCGAAATACAACGACGTCCTTCCTGCAGCGAGGGCGGTGGAGAACGTGCTTTTCGACGACAATCTTTCATGGACTAGATGCTTCGCGTTCAAGATTGGCCAGGGAGTGCAGATGCCGCACTTGAACATCACCTTCCAGAACGGCGTTGTCTATGATGCCGCCGTCGGACTCGGAATCCACCACGCTGTAAGCACCCCCCTTCATTTAGCATCCCAGACCTAGAGTAGCACTAACGGGAAGAAAAACAGTGGGGAACATCCTATATCAAAGACGTGACATTCAGTCTCATGCAAGTTGAGCGCATCACCCTGGAGCTCGAGGGCCGTAGCACCTGGCTCGGCTTCATCATCACCGACAAGCCCGACGGCACCCCGGCCGCGTCGGACGGCGCCGGGCCCGTGTCGAAGGTCCGGGTCCGAGATACCACCGTCTGGAGCAAGGGCAAGACCGGAATCTCGCTCGAGGGTCTCAGCCCGACGGCGAACATCTCCAGTATCTTCTGGAGCCACACCAAGATGCCGGGAGTGGATGGATATGCGCAGAGCTTGGAGGCGCTGAACAGTAAGACAGAGCCGACGTTTGTGTACGATATCAAGTGGGACACCGATTAATTCGTGGGCGAACGGGAGTGGAGGGTGGATATTGGTAAATAACTTGACACATTTCTTCTCTTAGAATGTATTTTAAATTTTAGTGGGCGTTTAGAATAGCTAAATTTGGTAATTAAATAATTGTCAAGATTCAACGTTGCGATCGAGTGATTTTCTGTGACCAGCCGCGCCAACGACTTCTTCGGCAGCTAGTCGAGTACATGTAGGCTCCACGCCACTAAGCCATTTAGCCCCACGCTATACAGACTAAGCATAAATGTATTGTGACACGATTCAGCAGAGGCGTGGCTGAACCGGGTCAAGCGGACCTGTCCTGTTTTCAGACCTGTATAAAACTAGACTTCGTAACCTACATGTAGACCAATACATCATCATCTCATCCATCACCGAACCTGAGCACCACTCGACGCACAATAACATAACTTCACCCCCGGAGCCCTCCGCCGAAACCCAAAAATGATTTCTGTTGTGTTCTAAACCCTTGTTTTGTCACCGGACCACGCACCAACACCACCGAGTGATAATCCATGACCACCCCATGACGTCCCCCAACTAGGCTCATGATCATCATACCAGACTCATCACCTTCCCCCAGTCACTAAAAAAAAACGATAAATAATGACGGCAGTCCTCGGCGCATATTGATCCCCTCTCGGACTTCCGCGCACTCGTTCGACCATCACAATGACCGCATTGCGCAACACCGGACCAATAAATGTTTCTCCTCTTTATTTTTTAGCAGACTAACCCTAACCAACCAAACCCGACTATCGTACAACTTGCTCCATCTCCCACTTTCCTCCCTTCTCCAGCCAGCCAGCCAGCCAAGCAGCTAGTTATGTATCTAATCCGTGACCGCACCGCACCAAAACCACGCCCGTACAGAAGGAGAAGAGGGCAGGAACGAGAAGGGAAAAAAATAGAAGAAAAAAGACATTGAGAACGAAGGGCCGTAATTTCTTTATAAGAAGGTAACGAAGAAGCAGACGTATACGCACACACACGCACGCACGCACGCACACGTACAGACACACTCTGAGCCGGCCCGCCCCCGTGCAGAGAGGAGGAAAAGGAAGAGAAAAGTAGAGAAAAGAAAGGAAGAGAAAAATGGAAATGAAAAATCAAGAACCCCCAGATAAAAGTAGAAGAAGAAAGTAGCCAAAAAAGGTGTGTTTCAAACATCAGGACAGAGAACAGAAGAGAATATCGTAAGCCAAGTCTCCGGCACAACAGAAGGGAGACCCCAAGAAGAAGAACCAGAAGTATAAGAAGAAGAAGTGATAAAAGGGGGGAGAGGGGTTGGTGGTGGTGGAAGAGAGGATGGATAAGCCAGTGATAAGTTAATTAAGTAGTACTTTTTTAGTAAAAATATGTCTACCAGTCGCACTGAAGAAGTAAGAAAAAAAAGGAAAAAGGAAGAAAAAAAAAAGAGTAACACCATTCCCCACCCGTCCTACCATGACCCCTTCCTCCCGTTTGTAAGTTTTTCCATGACATTTTGGTTTTTTATCCCCCCCCTTGTAGTTAGTTAATGATAGTCCTATTGCCGCTGCTGCGTGTAAGCGTGTAGTCCTTTTGACCAGTCAGGTAATTGTGCAGTTTCGGCGTATGCTGTTCCACAATTAAAACATAATGTCTATTGAAGTTGTTAGTTTATGCATCCGTATCAAGAGCATATATTAATATTAAGGGTGTGCTTACCTTCTGTCCTTCTGGACCTTCGCGGACGCCCCATGTACCAGTGCCCGATACGCCACACCACGCACATCTCCAATTTTGTTTTTCCCACTCGTTCAGCCCGCCATTCGAAACCCCATTACTCTGCGGCGCGGCGCTCCTACTCGGCGTGCCCCTCCCCCCCGTCGGCCCCGGCGACAAACTCCTCTGCCGCTTCCTCTTAACCCTACTCCCACGGCCCATCTGCTCCTCCACATCCCCCTGCACCGTCGCGCCCCACACCAACGGCATCAACGACCCCCCGCCGCCCAAACGCGCCGTGTCCCTCCTCAACCTCCGAATCTCCCTCTCGCGGTCGCCCTCCCGCTTCTCAATCTCCTCACGTGTCAGCGTCTCCACCCTCCCCTCCCACTCCGCGCCCAGCGACTCCAGATCAAGGCGCCACCCCGCCTCCACATCCGTGCGATGAGCGTCGTTCTCCAGATCCGGCGTCACCCCCGTCTCGCAGAGGTCCTTCTTCTTCTGTAGGCAGAACTCATGTATCGCGTGGGCGATAGCCGGGACGAACTCGCCCGAGAGGCCGAGGTCGCGCGCGACGCCGCGCGCAAAGTACTCCGGCGTCAGGGAGCCGGCGAGGTCCCACTCAAACCTGTCCGCGTAGACGCGCTCGCCGAGGTTGACGTTGAGGTTGCAGACGACGCGCATCTCGCCCGAGCCCTCGGGCAGCGAGATTGTGGCGACGGGGGCGTACTCGGAGATTTGGTCGCGGATCGAGGTGGAGATGATGCTGGCGTAGGGCTGCATGGGCAAGTCGAGGTCGAGGCAGGTGGTGAGGGCGAAGGTGTCGGGGGTGATGAGGACCTCGTGCAGGTTCCACAGAAAGCTGTCGTGGAGGCGGCCTCGCGATGGGGGTTCGAGGTCGATGTCGAGTCGTATGGGAATCAGCACGGTAGGTAATGCCGATGCAGAGAGCAACTGATGCTCCGTCCTAGGTGTTTGTTTGTATGGTTAGGACTCGTTATCTGGGGGGGGGGGGGGTTGGAACAGAGGGAGAGGGGAGGGGGGGGGGGAAGGAGAGAAGGGCAGAAGGGCAGTTGTAGTGGTAGTAGTACCTGTGTACATCAGATATATATCTTTGCTGTACTAGCTTTGGGTGCAGTTGTACCGGTCTCTTTATTGTTTCCACTCCAGGAAAACTCCCAATTGCCCCCTGGGGACCTCCTCCCCCGGCGGCCTGACCGGCCATTATCGCCGCCCGTGATTCCGCATCGTTTTCAAAGTCATCGTCGCCGTCCACCTCGGCGTAGCTGACCACCTGGTTGCCGCGCTTCGTTCTGCCAGACGACCGCTCTGCTGCTGAGGGGGTGCCAGCGGGACCTGTGGGCGTGGGGCCAGCGGGCGTTATGAGCGCGGTGGAAAATGTCTGCAAGCGCGCAGGGTATGTGGTCATGCAAGCTTGTGGAGGCTTCATTGTTGACCGGAGAGCAGAATTATGAGATTGGGGGGGGTGAGGGAAAAAGGTTGTTTATTATTGATTGTTGGAGGTGGGGGTGGGTGGATGTGAGAGAGAGTGAGTGTGTATGTATGTATGTAGAGTTTGGATGGAATGAAAGGATGGAAGCGGGTGGCTGAGGTTAGGGTTGGGAGAGGAGTGCAGGGGGGGGGGGGGACCAGAATATTCAATGAGCGCGCGTTACTTGGAGACACGGGCTAAGGAAAGAAGGAAGGGAGGAAGGAAGGGGGGGATATATTTCCTCTGTCTGCCAGGTGGTGGGAGTGGGAGTGGAGGAGGCGAGGGGGGTGTATGTAGACTGTAGTATCGATATAGAAAGGTTATGGAGGGAGCCGCGACGGGGACCTGAGAGAACAAGGGCAGTCTGGGATTCTCTGGGCAGTCGAGGTTGCTGTGGGTGGGCAGGGCCTGGTCTCTTCACGGATCGCGTGTGGGCATGTGACCTGGCGTTTGCCCTCGCGCGTGTGGGTGTGGGTGTGGGATGGGAGAGAGAGAGAGAGATTGCGACGATTAATATTCGGGTCTGTACCTACAGTAGAGATGTACTCTAGTAGCCCTACAGTGCAATATGTACCCAGGGGAACGTTCGTCTGTCTGTAAGGAACAGGATTCACACACACACACACAGAAAAGCACAAGAGGACCCTTTGTGACTGGTGGATGGATATATATCCAGCGTGCACCTCTGCCTCCGAGCCCACCTACGATACCTTACCTGCTCTAGCTCTTGGGTCGTGCGTGTATCCATGGGAATTAATGCGTCTGTCACTCTTACCAAAGCTTTTTTATACCCAGTGCCAAGCTGTCATAGTGAGAGCGTTGAGCGCAGCGAGGTAGATCTTGTGGATCCATCAAGCCCCAAATCTACGATATAACCCAGGCCATCATGACACAGCTTTCTGTAATGCATAGATGAAAAGTAGAATAGGATGTGGATACATGTATTTCTTTGGGTGCAATCTACAATGTACCTAGCTCAATAAAGTACACCTCTAGCAACTGGATCGTTGGTCGATAAGATCAATCTATCTACCCTTGATCTGACTGGATCTTGATTCATACGTGACGCTATCAATGACCACGGCCTTACATCTAATCTCTTGGCGCGGGGCGGGTAACGAACACCCAAACCAGAGCTCTACTTTACCACTGTATGCTTCCCCCCCACCTCATCTTCATCTCCATCAACTACAACCCCTCCATACACAACCATCATGTCTGCAGTACGACCTCTTATTTCAATCAAAGCCGGGAAATGCAACCAGGTTGTAAGTATTCACTTTCACCTACCCGTAGCTTTCCCTCGATGCTGACAATTCCTAGGGTACCCGGATCATTCCCTCACCAGAGCCTGGCCTTCTTTACATCTACAACAGCGCTGAGGATGGTATTATCACATCTCCCCTGCCTGAGCTTCTGGAGTTATTGCTGATACTTCTGCTAGAACTTCTTCACTTCTGCTGGAGACGTCGTTCAGCCACCCAGCCCCAAGCCGAGGACGACCTGATCATCTTCCCCCAAGACGTCACCTTCACCCCATACACCGCCTGCACCACCGGCCGTGTCTTTGTTCTCAAGTTCACGTCCTCGTCCCAGCGCCACTTCTTCTGGCTCCAGTCAAAGTCCGAATCCGACAGCAACCCCGGCCATTGGTCCAACCGTGACCGCCGATGGGGCGAAACTATCAACAACATCCTCCAGGGCGTCGAGGACGAGGATGACGAGATGGGCGACCCAGACGCCGAGCTTGGAAGCGAGGATATCGAGGAGGAGGGAAACGCTAGCAGAAGGGGCGGTGCTGATGGTGGCAGGGCGTAGGTTTCTCCCCTCCCTGAGCTAGTGCTGCCCCCCATAAATCTGCATTTCTTCGATTTTTTTTTGCCCCGCAAGCTCTGTTTCTGTTTCTTGTTTTTTTTTTTTTTTTTTTTTTACATTTTTACATTTTTTGTTATGGGAATTGGTGCACTGTATCATCTTTTTTCCTTTCCACTGTTTTCTTCTTTTTCCCACGCGGGGGCTGGCCCGATAAAAATTGGTGGTTCGGAATTTTTCAAGATCAAGAGAGGGACATCAGTTTCCTGTGGGGGGTTACGGACGTGTGATTTAATGGCGAATATACGGCCGCTCTAGCGCCTCAACTGTACATCTGAAGATTTTTATATCTCCCTCCTCTCCATCCACATCCACCCATGTGCCCCGTAACCTCCGTGAAAAACCCCCCACTGACCAGCCTCCCCCCACCAGAGACTCCCCCAGCCCCTTCACCACAACCACAACCACAACCACCAACCCCAACGACTTCCTCAAATCCCTCATCTCCTCCATCAACGTCGGCACCGCCCCCCCCAACCCCAGCGGCGCCGGCCCCTCTCGCTACGCCCAACAAACCCCCACCCTCAGCCTGCACGACCTCCTCAACACGACCACCACCGTCCCCCTCCTCTCCACCCTCCCCACCACCTCCCTCGACCACCTCTGCGCCAACCTCCCCCCCGCACTCATCCCACACAACGCAACCTCCGCCCAGAAACGCGACATCATCCGGCGCGTCCTGCAGAGCCCGCAGTTCGCGCAGAGCTGCGTGAGCCTGACCGTAGCGCTACGCGACGGCGCGCTGCGCGGCGTCGCAGACAGCCTGCAGGTGCCGCTGAGGCCCGGCGAGGAGGCGTCGGGCGCGGACCAGGTGGAGCTGTTTGTCGGTGGCGTGAGGAGGGGCGTGGAGCAGGAGGAGGCCGCTGGGGATGATGAGATGGAGGACTAGGGGAGGACTAGGGGGTCAATGATTGATTGTGCGGTAGGTAGGGTAGGGTTAGGGGTGGAAAGGTTTTTAATGTGATCTACTCTACTGGCGGTGTTTGTTAGTGTCTGTCTAGCATGTCGTTGGTTGGTTTCTTCTGTGCCACCGTTGCTTTCTTTCTGTATCGCTACGTAACGTGGAGGTTCTGTAGAGAGAGGGAGGGGGAGAGGGAGGGGGAGAGGGAGTGGTGGTATGGATGGATGGATGTTGCAATTGGAATACCCGTTATTATGCGTTTGTGGTGGCTTTGTGAATGTGAATGTGGATGTGGATGTGGTTACGTAGACCGTAAGGGCCAGAGATCAGACCAGATTCCATTCATTGTCTGGCAGCTAGTGAATTGCTGATAGAGCGCATCCAGCATCCAAGAATCAGTGGCACCACATGTAGTACTGTGATGAGCTAACGACACGCCAATCGCATCGTATATATGCCCGCACGCAGCTCATGCAAGAAAAGAAACCCCCCACAGAACCACCCACACCACCGCCAAAGAGGCTGTTGTCCAGTAAGTAGCATCCAACAAAGCTGGCCGAGTATGCATACTTCTATAGCTAGCTTATGTATTCTCTACTCTATATAGACCATTTAACCACACGCTTGAGTTCAGTTCAATTGCCTTAAGATGTAGTGCTCTTAACCTATCTACGAAGTATTTAGATTCCGGGCGTGGCTGGGTGGTAGGAATGGATGGCATTGGGAGTCTGGATGGTGCTTTCTTGGTGTAAACTACCATCGATCATTGACATACCTTGGTCTGTCCTTGCACAAACACAGATTGCGGTAACTCAGTAAAAATGACCATAAAGCCAATATCTCCGCGATTACAAACAGGCTCTCAACCCTCTTCTCAGCTAGCTATTACTGAAGCTCACTACATACATGTAGATAGGTGCTGCAACTCACCGGATACTACTAAAAAAAAACCACCACCAAAGCTCAAAAACACATAAAACGCAAAAGACTTTTTCCAGACCGGCTTTATCTATCTATGCATCTACCTACCCGCCAGTCCATCTACCATCCATCTACCTGCCCATTACCCTACTCCACCAGCTCCCAGACATTCACCGCGCCATCGTCCCCACAGCTGACAATGATCTCCTCATCGTCGCTCCTCCGGTCCTTATCCCAGCGCTTACTCCACGCCACGCAATTGACCTCATACACGCCATGCGCGCCCTCAAAGTCCGCCACGACCCTCCACTCCGTCTTTACCTCCTCCTCCTCCTCCTCTCCCTCAGCCTTCTGCTCCCCCCCCTCCTTCCCCGTCCTCGGGACCTCCTCATACACCACAATCCTCCCATCCCCTCCGCAGCTCACAATCCTCCCACTGACACCACTCCACGACACAGAGTACACCGCCCTCGTATGGACCTTCGGCAGCACCGACTCAAGCACCCACGTCTCCTCGATCTGCCTCCCCCTCAAAATACTCGGCACAGCCCTGACCTGCTCCCCCGTCCTCCCCGTCCTCCTCCACACCCTGACAGTGCCGTCGTCCGAGCAGCTCACCAACCTGGCGTCCTCCCCCCCCCCCTCTCTCTGCTTCTTCTCGAACTGCACGCACCACACGGTGCTCTCGTGCCCCTCGAGCACACAGCAGCACACCCAGTCGTCCACGTCCTCGCGCCACAGCCTGATTGTGTCGTCGTAGCTGCCGCTCGCCAGTAACAGCTCACTCGGGTGCCATGCGACGCACTTGACATCCTGCGTGTGCTCCTGCAGCACCGCGACAGTCTCAAAGTTGTCCTCGCCGAGCTCCTCCCACACCCACACTGTCTTGTCTCTGCTACACGTCGCCAGGTAGTTCCCGCCAGCGCTCCAAGCGACGCTCTTGATCTCGTTCTCGTGGCCATCGAGGACAACGACAAAGTCCCAGTCCGTGGACTCGGAGGTTGAGGAAGCGCGGTGCCAGATGCCCGCTGTGGCATCGAAGGAGCCCGTGGCGAGGGTGGAGGATTGCGCGGAGGGGGAGGGGTTGGGCTGCCAGGCGAGGGTGCGGATGGAGCGCTTGTGGCCGCCATCGAGTGTGGAGAGCGGGGTGTATGTGAGCAGGGAGGAGACACGGGAGGTGCGGTCGGAGGAGGCGCTGGCGAGGAGGGGGAGCGTGGGGTGCACGGCGATAGACCAGGCGCGGTCAGAGTGCGGAGGGAGGGAGGTGTGAAGATTGAGACGCATGTTTGGCTGTGTGCGGGCGTGCGGGTGTGTGTTTATATGCTGTTGGGAGCTATATCTATATGTTTGTATAGCTTTCGATGGTGGGGTTGGGCAGAGGTGAGTGAGTGTGTGTGGTGGGGTGTTCGTTATCGCTCGCTACAGACATCCTTATCGCACAATACCGTTGTTGGTTGTTGCCCGCCCAGCCCCGGGACTCCCAACACCCTGACTGAGCACCGCACCCGTCTCCCTCCCCCTCCCTCCCCCTCCCTCCCCCTCCCTCCCTATATAAACACCAACTCCACACCCGCAATGTGCGGAATCCTCTTCACCCTTCGACCCCCCTCCACCTCCTCCCCCTCCACCACCACCGCCCCCCCCTCAGAAACACTCACAACCCGCATCTCCCAGCGCGGCCCCGACCTCACACACACACACCACACGCACCATGCCTCGAACACTCTCACGTTCACCTCCTCCGTGCTCTCCCTGCGCGGGCCCACCGACACCATAACGCCCCAACCCCTCGTTGACCCCAGTACCGGCTCGGTCCTCTGCTGGAACGGCGAAGCCTGGCGTGCCAATGGCTCACCCCTGGAGCCTGGCGTCAACGACGGCGCTGCCATCTTCCAGCGTCTACTGGCCGGCGGGGATGACGTAGCTGCGGTGATGGAGTGTGTTGAGGGCCCCTGGGCGATGGTGTATTGGGATGCTGTTGCGGGGCGCCTCTGGTATGGGCGAGACGCACTCGGGCGACGGAGTCTGCTATGGAGGAGTGATGAAGAGGGCAGGCTCGTAGTTGCCAGTGTTGGTGACGGGCATGGGTGGAGTGAGGTGGATGCAGATGGGCTTCGGTGGGTTCTCGTCGGCGGTGGAGAGACCGGTGTGGTGCCGTGGGCGTGGGAGGAAGATGTGGCGGTGGGGAGCAGGTATATGGTATTCCCCCTTCCCCCCCTCCCCCCTCCCCCCCCCTCTCTCCCTCCCCTCTCATCAGCCTACTAACATGCGCATAGAAAATGCCTTTCCCAAAACTCACCACCTCCACTACAGACGCCGACGCCGACTCGCCTCCAACCTCCGCCGAGATCGAGGAATTTGGGCGCATCTTAACCGAAAGCGTCAATACACGCGTACGAGACATCCCTTTTCGCGGGGAAGGAGACGTGAGGCTGGCGATCCTGTTCTCGGGAGGACTGGACTGTACGGTGCTGGCCAGGATCGTGCATGAGTGCTTGCCCGCGGGGGAGCCCGTGGATCTGCTGAACGTTGCGTTCGAGAATCCGAGAGTTATTGATGCGCGGAAAGTGAGTGCGCAGGAGCCCAAGAAGGCAAAGAAGAAGAAGAAGCCCAAGAATGGGCATTATAAAGGGCAGCATAAGGATAACCCAGAGCCAGAGCCCGAACCAGAGGCAGAAGCAGAAGCAGAGACGGAGGCCCCAGAAGAATCCCTCCCAGATACAGCGACCCCCGAAGCGCCGACAGACACCTACGAACTCTGCCCCGACCGCCTCACCGGCCGCAAATCGCATGCCGAACTACTCTCCGTCTGCCCGCGCCCCTGGCGCTTCCACGCCATCAACATCCCGCAGCCCACACTGCACGCCCACCGCGCCACCGTAATCTCCCTCATGCACCCGCACAACACCGAAATGGACCTCTCCATCGCGCTCGCCTTCTACTTCGCCTCCCGCAGCATCTCAGACACCCCAGACACCACCCCCTCCCCCTCCTACACCACACCATCGCGAATCCTCCTCTCCGGCCTCGGCGCCGACGAGCTCCTCGGCGGATATACGCGGCACCTCACCGCGCACCGTCGGTCCGGGACCGCCGGCCTCATCGCCGAGCTCCAACTCGACCTGTCGCGGCTGGGGCAGCGCAATCTCGGCCGCGACGACCGCGTGCTCGCGCACTGGGGGCGTGAAGCGCGGTATCCGTTTCTCGACGAGCGCGTGGTGAGGTGGTGTGTTGCTGCCAGGGTGGGCGGGAAGCGGGATAAGGCCCTTTTGCGAGGGTTGGCGGGCAGTATGGGGATGAGCGGGGTGGCGGGGGAGAAGAAGAGGGCGGTACAGTTTGGGAGTCGGAGCGCGAAGATGGAGAAGGGGCGGGTGAAGGGTACGGGGGTCTTGGGGGATTGTTAGGTTTGTCTCCTGAGCTTGCTTTTTTTTTTTTCTTTTTACGAAGAAAGGGGGTGGGTGGGCAAAACTATGATGAGACCAGATACTTTTGAGCTCTGCTTCGGGCCTTGAGTTAAGGCCCGACCTCCATTTTCTCCTCCTCTGGCTGTGTTTCGGCCTGCCTGTTTGCTGCTGCTGCGCTACTACTATGTTCACTGTTGCAGCATTAGCTGTGTGGGGTATGGTTTCCTCCGGTAACCTCCCCGGAACTAGAACTGGCGGCGGCGGCGGCGGCGGTGGCGGTACAAGCAGAAGAGAGAGGTGATGGGGGGAGCGGTGATGGGTTAAAGGCAAGTCTGAGTATGCTGTGCGGCGAGTGGAGTGATTAATTGGCGAATTGGTTCATGGGCGGAATGGTTTGCTAACTGGCTGTAAGGATGTTGTCTAGATACCAACGTTAGAAACGAGGTCTTTAGTTGCGGGAGTATTCTATCCCCGCTAGAAAATAGAGGTAGGGACTCACGACGATCATAGAGATATAGATAGAAGGGGAGGAGGGACTAATGATGATTGCCCTGCTCTCCGCGCTCCTGTGTGTCTCTGTGATACAACAACAACGCTCCCGCTAGATTTCTGCACCTATAGTGTTCAGAAAGGTATAGTTAGAGGCGGCAGAGATGTAGAACCAATCGGCCGGCTACATGCATACGCAGTGCTGTTGCCCACCGATCTCGCGGTCTTTATAAAGTCGCCTTTGGGCATCCATTTAATTTGGTGATATCTATTCAACCATAGGCAGCTTTCCGGTCCAGACGGTGCATTATGCTGCACATAGGACGTATCAGTCCAGCATCTAGCATCTTTTGTCAGCTGGGGCATAGCTCAAGCCTTTACTGGCAGTCTACTGTACATACGTGTAGGACATATCAATCCTCGGCTAACTAACATATCAATACCGCCCACCTTATTGTCTATTTTAGAGCGAAACAGACGTTCAGCGTAGGTTTTAGGCCTGCGGACATGATAGTGCAGGCTCAGGCTCGGTTCATAAAGTAGAGGAGCTCAACAATATAAAATGTCAGGACGAGTAAAATTTCGCAAATGCGGGTTGCTGATTGGTTTGGCTACTAAGCTGGGTAGGAACAATGCTGAGTTAGTAGGAACAATGGTTAATTCGGCTTGGTGAGAACATACTGGATTGTTCGTATGGGTTTGTGACTATGGCCGGCAATTGTGAACAAAGGCACTTCCGAAAGACGTAGTGCTAGGTAGCTGCAAAATTACTATATTATATGGGGGGGGGGGGGGTGGTTCTGGTCCTATTTTGAAGTACCCGGTCATACCTACATGTATGTATATATCATACTTTTACCAGTAACCTCAATTGCAAGTACATAGCTGTTGCTCGAATATTATAATAAAAAAAAAATAAAAAAAAACCCCGCTCGACATCAATAATTTACAAAAAAAACAAAAAAAGTTCACAACACTGCCTAGAGGCCTCGGTTGCTACGTCTTTTCTACGTCCGGAGGGGGGGTTGAACGCTCACGAGTTCGGTACAGAGTGTGAGCTCTATACCGCTGGGCCACGTCCAACCCCATGTTCACCTTCTCTCCTTTGCTGCTGTTAGCTCCATGGGGGGGCTCGTGTATTATAATAATAAGAAAGTAGAAGGAAAGAGAGAAAGACACAAACGAGGTAGACGAAGATACACTAGCTACTAAGGACACAGTAGTCTCTGCGAACTGGCCTTCAACCCATTGGCTATCTATCCTCATATCTCCAACTCCCAAGTCAATCAACCTACATACATACCTGCGCCACACCATGTGCTGCACGCAGGATATTCCCAGACGGCCTCTCAACTTAGAGCCCCATAACAAAGAACCAACCAACCCCGCCATTCTCGATATCATAGTGTTGACGTGATGTTGCCAGTGCATCACAAAGTATCACTCCTGGTACTATATATCTCCCAATCGAATGGCCAAATAATGCACAAAAATGAATCTCGCAAACCCGGTAGGGACTTAGATTTAGTCGAAGCGTCTAGAAGTGCTTTCATTCTCACTCTTCTGCGGCCGAATGTTTTTCCCCTTCTTGGCTGCTCCGTTCATAGCGATAGTATCGAAATCTAGAATGCGGTGTTTTGCGATTGTACCAGCAGCTTGAGATCGGTAGAATCCCGTGGCGTGCGCGACCTCAGGATTTAGGGTCCTGTTTAGTTATCCTTCTTTCTGACAAAGCGACCACTGGACCATACGCGGAAGAATGGCTCAGCTACACAGTAGGCCCTAGGCTGATTACAAATTTGTAGGAACTTCCTTCCCCGCTCTATCTTGTGATGTTCTATCATACTTCCTCACTCGCTGACGTCCTCTCGCGAATCTGGGATTTCTGAACACTGTCCTTGTCCCATACCATCCCACTTCGCCACCTAGCTTATCGTGGTAGCCTGCTGACCCCATAAGACACAAAGGATCTGCATCAGTATGCCTGGGAATCCTATGTTAGGTGGCACCCGGACTTATCGCCAGTATCGCCCCGGTGCGGATCGCCCCTCATGTTCCCAGAGACAGCAAAAAATCTCTCTCTTCTTCTATTTTGGAGTTATCGCGATTTGGTGTTGATTAAATTGTTCCATTCACTGGTCGACCAGCTCCATCAAACCCGGGGTTCTAACTGAAGGCACTACTTTTATAGTCCACACGTTTACTTACAATTGCAAGCCTCTAGTGTCTACCTATAGCAGGAGTTGGCCCATACATTTGACTGTCCTGCCACATCCCTGATAGCGGCTGTAGTTGCTGGACTAGCCTGTGGCAAGCTTGAGTTGTATTCGCCTATTTGCATAAAATACACCGGACCAAATCCCCTGTTCCTTATTCCAGCCAAGGGGATCGCGGCTGACGTGAGCTTCGACGTGTTACGAACTACAGAAAACCTCCATCTCTTCGACACTTGCATTTACCAAGATCAGCTCTACCACTACATTTCATCTCTCGCCATCCTCAGTCCTGTCCTCCCTTCTAGGAATCAAACTCGTCTCCAATGTCCATCGATCGATGTTGCTACTTGTGCACTAGTACACTCCTCAACGTATGGTATCATATTCGAGAAGTACTCACAGTTATCTCTCTCTCTAGTTTGCCACTATTCATTTCCCATTACTGTTCGCCATCATTAGACAAGTCCTCATATGGTCATCTGTATCATCACACTCCGCACCCGACTAATTCCTGCACTGGGCTCCGCGCAAAGAAGCCGTGAGGATGCCTCCTGGATGAGAACATGAGTGCTTCTCGCAGACGCTTTTCCGCATTTGTGAGATGGACAAACCGAGTTGCTCACAGTGCCTTCACAGCTTCTTTCATGGGTATTAGATTGAAGTATTCTTACGTGTGTTCGCCAGATCTAATAAATAAACACACAGAATGCCCCCAGCACCAGACACGCCAGTAACCAACAACTAAAGTGTACGCAGAATATACACCCCCTCCCCCTCCCAATTCTTCCCATCAATCATGCAGCACCACCGGCCACACGCCTCCTCGCCGTCTCCTCCACTCCACCAAATCAATTACCCCCCAACAACGGTATGCGTCCGTCGGCCTTCGTGATAGCTCGCCGACATTCCCCCCACATCAATCCGCACTGGCTTCCCCAGTGCGGCAGCGATGATATGGTAGTCTATCCCCATGCCGGCCATTCTCCGATACAGCTCACCGCTGCTCCCCATTCTGCGCTGGGCCTCGTCCACCGTGCCCCCCACTAGCGAAGACGCACCGGCAGATCCAGTGAACAGTGCTCCTCATTACACTTATGGACTATCAGCGTGGTGCTACTATACGCTTCCCAAATGCGCCTCCGGACGTTCTCAGTAGCCACACATACCGATCCTGTCCACACTAAATCACATTCCTATATTGCACACCCAAAATCTCATTTCTCCATTACTCACCTCCCTTCGCGTGAATTCTGACCCTCCGCCCATCCGCCCTCTCTTCTCCCACAATATCGTCAAGCTGGTCCTCGACAGACGTAACTGGGCCCTATAGGTGAACCGTGACCATCGGTCTCGTGGAACCCATCATCCACATCCCTCTGAAGGACCACACGCCCGCCCCCCTGACTCGTCGACCCACGTTACCGCGCAGCGGCGCCCGCAATCTCCGCCTCGGACAGCGCAACGAGGATATGGATCATCATGGTTCACGTTATCCCTCTCCGACCACACATCGCTTATCCGGCATCCAACACCAATGCATAATTCTTCCCTCATCAGCGGTGACCCCTTCAACGGCACCTCAATACATCCCTCTCAGGCGCGACCGTCTGAAGCTCCGTTTGAGCGAGCCGATTGTGTAAATTCCGTCAAGGTACCTCGACTGCGCGCGGGTCGGCGCAAGCTGTGGTGGACCAGTTCCGTCCCCTGGAGCTCGCTCCTTGCTCGGCGGCCTGAACACGGAAAAGACATCCAATGCAGATCTCAGTCCCGCCTCCCTGCGCGGGCGGCGGTCGGGCCTTCCTAGAACTCCTTCTGCGGCGCTATAATTGGGTCTCTGGCTTGTTTAGCATCGCGCCGGAGGTAGAGGCTCTGACGGAGATCTGATCTGCCTCGGAGGTACGGGCAGAAGGATGTTTGAGGTGGCGGTGTCGCTGATAAGGCGGTGTACGTTGACGATAGCGGAGCAGGCGTAGGCGCTGTTTGTGGCGTAGAAGACGTAGGCGTGCTTGCTGGGGTCGTAGGGGGAGGGAGGGGGGGCGGGCGGCGGGGCGAGGAGGGAGCCGGTGCCGTAGCTGATTGCGACGGGAGCGGTAGTGGGGTCCGTGTCGGTGTCGGTGTCGGCGTGGAGGGGGGCGGGGTGGAGGGTGGACTGGGAGAGGGAGCGGGAGATGAGGTACCAGGTGAGCACCACGAGGGGGAAGATCAGGACTGCTGTGTTTCGGTACAGCATGGTTGGTGGGGTTCTTCTGGAGTGAGATTAATTAATTAATTAAAACGAGTGGAATTCTCTGACCCAAAGAGAGGGAGAGGAGGGAAGATCTGTGAACAAAGGAAAGGATCAGAGGGCTTCCCCCATATATAAACCCTTGATATACAACTCCACTCATGATCAGCCAACTCTCACGAGTTATCGGCCAATCAGCTACAGCGACGCTACGTTCTTCGCAGCACACCAGCAGCAGGTGCCACAAGCCACAAATCTCCCCCTTTTTCCGCTCTGTGCCCTGCAGGGATTAGCTTAATTCCCCGGAACCCTGATCGATCTTCACTGGCACCAGCGAGAGCGATCGGTCATGGCCAGCTGATTTCGGAAGGCTTGTCAGTCGGGAGTATGTGGGTGTGTGCGGAAACTGTTCTGGGGAAACATATGTGGCTGCTGACGGGGATGGGTGGTTGGGTTAGGCTTTCATGTTGGCGGCTATTATACCTGGTTTCTACAGACAGTATCTTTGCAGTATTGAATGAATGTCTTAAATTTCTCACTGGTCTTGATTACATGTAGTCTAATCGATCACACACCTATATTTCCCTGTATATAGCGCTATATCCATAATCGAAAAGGATATGTATATAGATATGTGAATTCACGAAAATACTAGTAGGGTTTAATGAATGCAATTGAGCTATTTCATACTAGCACATAGAACAATTAAAACAATAACAATAAATTTATATCCAAGCAAGCTTCAAAACAGAACTATATAGATTCAACTATTAAGCCGGACTCGAACCACCCGCGCGGCACACCCAATCCAATAAGTATGTACAATTGAATAGAACTCTAGGCCAAACTTGCGTCGACATTGCACTGTCCTGTTAGCGCATCCCACAAGCTGACCACAGATCTCTGTAATAATAACTTTTTGGAGAGCTGTCTGATAAGATACCCGCCAAACAAGTCACTGACCTCGGACATAATATCGCTATACTTAGAAATCAAGGTGACTAAGATCGGACATAATAAAAACAATATAAAAAAGAAGAATAAAGAAAAATACCCTTCTCACAAAACCGCTCTACTGGATCCGAGAACTCAGTTCTCTCGCTGTCCCAGCGACGACTTCTGGTCTCTCCCCTGGAGACTGCAAATGACGTAAATTAGGCTATCTAATCCTCAGATCCTCTTCTCTTGCGTTGCTACTCAATTAGAACTCTCGTGTGTGCCCTCCTTGATTGATTTGCACCCCCATTTGTCACTTCTTCTGAGTATCAACATCGTGAGGAACGACACTGTTATCTCAATGTGCTCCGCTGCGCAAAGGTCGGCTTAATAGCGGACATGCACTGTGAACACGTCTCACTCGTCATCGCACGCTCTTCCTCGGTTTATATCTCAATGTTACTCTACAAAGTTAGCGTTACGATAGGGCCGTGAGCTAGTTGTGTTTCTCACTTGAAGTGAAAGTTTACATGAATACACTGGAGTCTCGATGGGCCATACGCTCGCTCGCAGCCCAGGAAATGTTCATTCCAGAGTACGCCACAGCCAGGTTGTGAGTTAAGGGAATTACGGCCTACAGCTCCCGGTGCACTCTCATGCTGCGAATCAGATGTGACGTATATTCCGGATGCCTATGCCAGCCAGACCCCAAAGAGTGAGGCGAGGAGGGAGCCCGTGAGGTGGCACGACGTTAAGGCTACGACGCAAGCAGAAGCTCGTTCGTGCATGAAAATCCCGATACGAGTACACCTCCCTGCCATTCAGTATGCATCTCTCGCATATACCAGCCCGAGGTGGCACCCTCTCGGGCGCAAGAGTTGGAGATTTTCAGAAGTCAGCGATCGTGCTCGTGCAGCGGCGCTTATCATCTCCACTTTCCTGCGTCCAAATAGCCGGCTCTCGGTACACTCTTTCAGAGGTAGTGCTCTGTGAGGTCGCGAGTCTGCACACAGGAAGATCCTAAATGGGGGTTCTCGCGAGTTGAGCCTGCTGAACGGATATATGTTGTCTGTTGCAGTAACATGTGAACAGAGCACGATGAAGATTTAGCTCGGTAGCGCCATCTGTGAATGACTTCTTATCTGTATGTGTGTAGCCTATTTCAGATACACTGAGAAGCTGGCGTGTAGGAGCGCTGTTATCTTACAGTACCACTACTAGCCAAGAGGTGTTCTGTTAGTATATAAAATAGCCTTTTCTCAATTGTCGCTCCTTGCGCTGGTGAGAGGACCGTCACACTCTGCAGCGCACCCGTAATACTTTATGTTATTAAAGTTGCATGATTTCTAAACAGAAAACACGAACTGATAATTAATTCAACATATAGTTTTTTGTACGACTTAGTCTCCCCTATATATGAAAAGCTGGAGTGACTAGGACGTTTGCATTGATCTTCGTGGTTCTTACTCTATACAGTTTATGATTGTGGGCCCGTCTCAACGGGTATGTCGTCTTAGCTGGTAATGGTACCTCTCTCGTCGGAAGTTTTGGCGTTGGTGTTTGTGTGAGATGAACACCATTGCTCCGCCAGCCAGTCTTTAGATGGGAACCAGCTCGGGTTAAATTGGTAGAAATGTCTCACTCCGTTATGAGGTAGAATTACAAACGGAAAACATCTTTGTACTTTTCGAGTAGTAGTTCAGATTAGTATTTAGTGTGGCCGATCATAATGTGCCCTATGCTAGACCATGCTGTCCTCTCAGTGCTATGGGTTGAACAGAAGATCGTTTCAACGCAGTGGAGTGTTGACGGACCAGATGGTGGTTGGTGCCAAAGTATGGCAGAAGAGATAGCAGCCAGGAGAGGTTGTCACGCAACGAGGAAGATAAGTACTTTCTAGTATTTGTCCGCGCGGAAAATCCTTTGTGTTCGTTAAAGACAGCCACAGTGGTGGTTTGCGTCCCTTCACTCTATGAGTGTGAGACGACTCTGTTAATCAGTATCGTGCCCTGTCTGAATTTCCTGCACATGTGAATGTTAGAGACATCCCCTGGTTGCGTTACGCTATTGTTCAGAGATTTAGAGGAATGATTAAGTTATCGACAGTGAGCTGTATGCATTGTGTGTTACTTGCCGGGTTACGAAGAACACGGGGGATTTTGTTTTGTTTTCTCCTGGGCGGAGCAGGTGGTGTGTATTATATCATATAGCTTCGGAACCGGGCTGCGGGTTACATGTCTGAGGTGAGCTCCTAATCATTAGGAGCAATCGCTGTAGTTCTGGTGTCATAGGAGTGGGTGAAAGTCGGTAATCGTCTTACGGTGTGTTCTATGCTATCGTGCTTCGCTATAGTTCGTATGGAAGGGTGGAAAATGGGCTCGTGATGAGTGCCGCTATTTTCCTAAGGTGCGTGACCATCATAGTAGCCACATACTCTGGGTGTAAATATCCGCTCAGCACGGACGAACGCTGTCTTATCATATGGACCCACCCCAGCTACACTAAGCTATCACGACCCAAGGTACTACATACTACATGAAGCACTCTAATATCACGCACACTCATTAATTTACTACTAGACAGACACTCTTTTTATACGCTGGCCTCCATAACTATCATCTTTCTCCTATAGGATCACTCGGCCTCATAGCTTCGGAGCGGCGGCCCCGAAGACCCTAAACCTCACTGAAGATAATACTATTAACATTCAATGGTTCTTGGCTGTGTGACCGATTGCTCCACATCCATGTCCCCTAGTCTGTAGGGGCCAGTACTCGGTGCAGCGAGCTGGGCTCCTGTGTCAGGAGGTACCTATGTAAGGATATGACAAGCGGGGACCGCGCTGTCATATAGATGAATTGTGAATTGGTTAAGTGAGTCCGGCTCCGCGATGCCAGAATAGCCGGTAAGTCATCGCGATTGTATCTATTTTTCTTATTCTCACTCCTCCTTTTCCTTTTTCAGTGTATATTGTTTTTGCCATGTGCTCACGCAGTGCCCTACTGCCCTGGTTTTACAAGGATACCCCTGACTACCACTCCGGATTGATATCGTTCTTTTTTGGAATACCCAGCAACATACACAAGAGGCCCGAGTCTCAAGCAGCCGCGCGTTGTCGGCCTTCATCTCTGACTCGGACCGTTGATGATTTCTTCCTGAGTACATCTGACGTTCACTCTGTGTGAATTTTTCGTGAATTTGTCGTGGGGCTTCGGTTGAAACAGGCTAAAGCATAGCATGTCTCCTGAGCAAAGTGACTGTAATCGCAAGTCTCCACTAGTCTGGCTAGCATTACATAACACGCAAAGTAAGTCTCACTCTCGTGATTGTGTGGTCCTGTCCGGCTGGTTTGCGTGTAGTTTGCGGACTTCCGGGTGATTTGGGGAGAGGGAAAAAAAAACGGAGGTTAATATATCCGGTGTCAATTGAATGCATTACCTAGGTACTCGGTACTCGGGACTGGGACTGTGGGGTGCAGATGATTGCAGCCAGCAGCAGCAGCAGAAGCTTCGGGATCGGCTTCTATGTACTTTAGAGTGAAGGTACTTTAGATGTACCTATACATAGTACCTACTTCCCGAATTAGCCCTACATACATTAGTTCCGGACTCACACCATTGCCCCTAAAGGTCATCGCAAATGTGTCCGTCTCCGGTGACGCGCAAACTCACGATACGAACAACCCTCCCCTCATTTCCGTGACGTGATGTATAATTACGGCAGGCGGTCCTAGAACCGACTCCCTCGTGATTACTATGCACATGCCGTCAACTCACCACTGAAACCTGAACTTGAACGGACATTCTCCGCCACGCATAATATAGCCCAACTCCAACAAGTTCATTATATATATTACGTGTCATATGAATACCGATACCGAACCAAACCGCTTCTGAGAGGTATGTGCAGATTTATCGTATTCGACGAGTAGGGATATTAGGCTCCCACCTCAAACCAACGCTCGCCGTGACCAACCGGTCTCTAACTTTACGGGCCGGCGCGCACAAACCTCATCTTTACCTTCGCCTCTGCCCTCCAATAAGGTGACGAGGCAAGTGCACGCAGAGTCGCTCGTGTCCGAAACTTGGAAACCGGAGACACGACGGGAAGCATCTCTTTATCACCTCTAGAAGCTGTGACACATGAGAAGCATTTCGAACAGTGCTCGACGCATATTGAAACAAAGGATCCACCCGAAGAGACATACGTGCACAATGCAAGGGGCAGGAAATAGCGCCAATCGATGTGGCGCGCGGTAATGACTAGCCGAGACCCATGCTTCCACCTCTTCTCAATTGTATTACCTGCCACCCCTCGGCACTGCGCCCTTCTCCACATGGTGGCACCAAGGACCTACCCCTAAAAGAAACAGTTACCGCGGACTCGCAAGGTAAGTTACTTTCAAGACTCACTCTTGCTTCCTCCGTCGTACAGACCGATTCTTCCTTTGTACTTTTCCTCTTCTAGTGCACACACCAGACCGATCCAGGCCCAGCAGTCCCCAGCACAAATCCACGCGAACGGTGTAACTGTGGCCCTTAGCTCGTCGCCCCTGATTTACTCTATACCCGACTGAGCGAACCTCTTCTATTATCGATGGATTTAGGCGTTAACCTACACTGCTACTTCTGGGAACCTATGAACTAACTGCAAGTCTACGCATACGCCTGAATGGTTTTGATATTTGATATTATGATCTCATGTCTAGTGATCATAAGACTAGATATGGCCAATTGCCTGGGCCTTGAACCATTCATTTGTTGGTGTCCGCAGATCATACCTTATTAGAACGTGCTTCGTCGATACAGGTCTGGGGAAAATGTTTGAGAGCAGTGACTGTTTAGATTGTTACGTTGTGCTCACCCCAGAAACGTATAATATGAACCCTCCTTTCAGGGCTCTAGAAAGGTTTCACATGGACTTCTCACTCCTCGCCTAGAAATACTTACGTCGTTCCCTGCCAGGGTCAAAAAATTTCGAGTCACATGGAGCCTTTGGTGGGAATCATCAACAGCGACTGGCAGGCGGCGATGCAAGCCCCGACCGTGGTTCAAACGAAGTGATTGGAAAAGTGAACGTTATTACTCGGGAAGATCTTCCTGATCGAGCAGCGCAACACGAAACATCTTACATGCGATTCCTGCTCACTTGTACTCAACACGCACCGCTAAACTGATAGTCTACATTCGCAATAACGCATACGATACATGCTCGTGACTTCCTGTGAACTCTGTATACTAGCATCGTATCTGCGTGGTTGCCGCTGCTATGACTGCGTGTCTTCGGACTATGTTTGCTAGCTCGCACGCAGCCAAGGAGATTGGCAGGCGAGATAGTACCAAAGACACCCCACTTCAATACCTGCGCCTCTTAGTGGCAACGAGAGAGCACAATAGATCCGACACAGTGTGTGGAGGTGAGTCCAGGCTCCCGACGCTCCGGAGCACGGAGCGACTGACTTTGTCAGAATGAGATGGCATTAAGGCGTCCATACTAAATGGATTCGAATTTGTGTCGGGTCCGAACACAGCACTTGTCCTTGATCTCTAGGGCGCGCTCGTCCTGAAGTTTTGGGGCCGAGCACTGCTCCGCCACGTTTATGTGTCCCTCGACTGGCGTGCGTGAATACTTTGGGAGTTCTCCCCGTTGATTGTCGGTCAGGCATCACCCACCAAGCTGAAGTAAGCCCTGCAGCAGCTCTGCGAAGTCAGAAAGAGGACTAGACCATAGTACAGACAAATAACAGCTTCTGCCAAGCTAGTGATCTGTCAAAAGATGGCGCCCTCCTCCTGCAAGAGAGAAGACCCGCACTTCTGACTCGTTCCAATAGCTGCCCATGAGCCGTGTCTTAGCAGCAAGAAAGCGCGTTAGTGGAGGCGTCGGATCCCACAACAAAGCCTTTGTCAACCAGCTCACTCTGCTGCGCACCATCGCATCTCATACGCCCTCGAACCCTCCGACCTCTCGACAGCCCTCCGAGACTCCTTCGACCTTCCAATTCTCGGACAGACGGGCCATAGAAACGACTTCAATTGACTCCTCGCGCTGGAGCAGCCAATCCACACATGTGCAAGAGATTATCCGATGAGGAGCGCCAGTCAGAATTCCTGTGCGGACCTCACCCGAATACAAATATCTTGACTAACAATGACCTCTCTCGCTCGCGACACCCTCGATATCAACCTACAGGTTATCCTCACGTCCTCCATGGGTGCCGGGTCCTCGTTCCCCTCAAGATTGCACTCTTCATATAGCTATGGTGTGTCAACGACGTCTAGAGTACCGCAGTGCCTCACCTCCACTGTAGCCCGGCCAAAACCAGATCTCAGTGCGGCTTCGCGCATCGGACATCTCAAAACTCGCAGCCCCGTCCCGACGACGACATATGTTGCGCAACCTGAGCTATGAGCGGGGTGAAACCTCGACTCTGTAATGTCTACACCTCCGTTATCGCTCAAGTGGGACATCGGTGGCTCGGCCCTGCGGATATAATGAGATAGACCGGAGAAGAAACTAGGCTGAAATATCCAGAATATAAATAATACATGCAGGGATGACATTAGCGCAGCGACCTGTGCTGGCATAGATAAGTCTATGAGCGCCTACACGCACTCGACTCGGAATTCATCTCTCGCCACAACCGGTCCGTGAACTCCCGGGCCTTGCTAACTCCCGCAGTGTCAGTGAGGCACCCTCAAAAACAGCGACCAGCAGCAGGACAAGCCCATCCAACCCCCAAAAAAGGAAAAAATAAAAATGTAACCTCCCGAGATACCGAAGCCGAGATAGCCCTAAATCAGCGCCTACGATCTACGCCCCTTTTGACTAACACCCTGAGGCTCCATCGTCCGCCCACGGAGGTGCCCGCGTCTCCCACAACGACGGCTGAATAGTCTGCTGATGCGGGTGGGAGATCGTGGTCCTGTGCGAGAAAACGCACTAGTCGTCCCGAGTGGTCTCTATCGCTCACCAGAGGAACGACCGCGAATGCGCTAGCTGCCAACGGGTGACAAAATAGCCTCCGTTCGCTTGAGATCCACTAATATATTCGAGTGCCTACGCGAACGGAGAAGCATTGAGACCTCACACATGCTCGCTCCCGCCATCCTCAGGTCTTCACAGAACTCGTCCCTATGAATTGACCCAGCATAGCGCTCGCATCCTTCGCTATCCACAGTGTCGCAGCGGGAAAGCACCCGAGCAAACACCACCTCTACGCAGATCACACACTCAAGCCCATTCATCCCACGCTAATTCGCCCCTCACCGTGTCCCGCGCCGAACGGGACCGAACCGCTCCGCCGAGAGCTCAGAAATGCGCCTGGCGCCGCGACGGAGGCGCTTCGTCGATACAGAACCTACATCAGTCTGCGCAGACGACATCGCAGACATCGAGCCCTCTCACGCCGAGCTCGTCCGCACCTCGATGTGGACCATGCCTCTCTTGCCTGAACAGTACAGCCGCGTTCCTCGCTCCTGGCGCTGCCGCCAGAAGAAGGGCATCGGCACCGAACCACTCTCTCTCGCGGCGCAAGCATATCAACGCACTTATGGGCGATGCTTGCACTGACACGTGAGGGAGTTTCTGCTCAGGAAGTATAGGACTTACGTGGTGAATGGGCAAGTGCCTTACGCCACATGGCGCAGGGCAGATCAACGCATGCTCCAACAGCACACCCTTGTCTCGAAACATTTCAACTACGCGATGACATTCACTCGCAGGGTGACGACGACTTGTGGCGCGACACAGTTGGCTCGAGAGCAAGGGTACGAAAGTTATGGAACAGACAAGGTATGCTGCACTCAGAGCGCTCGCGCGCAAGCTACTTGCTTCATGACGGCGTCAGCCTCTTATCCACGAACGACGTTTCTTCTCTCGGGTTCATTGGTGTCGGCGTCGCCGCGCGAGTGCGGCGCGGATGCCGTCGGTGGATGGGACTCGCAGCCAGTGATGGCAGATACGATTATCCGCGAGCCAGACGGCGGCAGCACCAGAGGATGTGGAGCGGGGTCTTGATGGAAGGTTGCTGGCGACAGAATGCGACACCAACTCGCGCTATGTTATCGCCGATAAGGAGTTCCGTGGGACGTAGTATGCCCTCGACGGACTAGTAGAGTAATAGGCGAACCCGTTGTGTGTACCCTCGGAGGTGCTGTGGATTAGATAGGAGGTGAGGAAAAGAGAAGTGTTGTTATGCGGACTTGGTATGGCGGTCAGTGAATGGAATTCGTGGATTGGTTTTAAGCATTAAAAAAAATCAAATGGTCGGTATAGGGCCCAGTAGGAGATGAAAGGTTAATTTGGCTCACGCCGAACTTAAATTGTGCGCGGGGTTATATTTTTTCCGTGCTGCTAGCCTTATTTAGTGCGGTATTGAAGGTGTGTGGTGTGCAGATCCGTACTTGCCACCCTAAATATCGTGTGATGACGTGTGTGGTTAATTGGGGGAATATCAATCTAGCCGAGTCGTTAACCCGGCCCATTCTAATATCGACCGTGAGCGCGGATAATTAATTCCCATTGCTGATTCTATGTTGTTCTCCGGCCGTCTCGGACAGTCCCGACCCGAATATCATTGAGTGTTCACCTCCCCGCTACAGTAACATCCTTAGGTGTATATGAGCGAAAATCGCCGGATAAAAGCTTTAATAGCCGAGGTGGCTAAAGATTACGGGATATTAGAAGGAATATCTTTGAGCCGCGCGATATTTTCGAGGTTATGTTCAAATCGCATTTCTTATTACCTCCCACTTATCCCCCATTTTGTCTGCCACCAAGACCTCCTAGACCCCTCTTCCTACTCACTTGCGGGCCCCCACCCCTGCTGCTCCCCCTTTATTCTCTCCCCGCCATGGCGTGCCCACACTTCAGTTCCTTATAGCGCACACCTCCCTTGACCGCTCCAGCCCCCGGCTGCGACGCGAGGTGTTTACAGACGAAGGAGTTGGGGCGGAAAGAATGTTTGGAGGGCGGCGCGGCGGGCTGAGCAGGCGGAGGGATGTGCGGGAGACGGGGCCCCCTCCGTGCACCCCGCAGGCTGGCCCGAGCCGGGACGGGGCGGAGGCTCGTGCGGGTATAGGACAGCGGGGGGGGGGGAGGGACGGGTGTGCGTGTGAGGAAGGGGAGGGAGGGGAGCCACCCAGCACCCGGCCGCACAGCACCCCCACCTTTCCCACGAGTCTCTAATGATTCCTCGAGCGGTGAATCCGATGAAAAAGCGGCCGTAGCTGGACTATTAAGAACTATACAGAGGCCCCTGACAACAATTGGACGTATATTCTCGGACGGGGAACCATCAAATGCTACCCTATCTGTATCCTCGAATAGCGGGCCAGCCTTGACTCCTCGTGGCCGCTCCCCCAGTGCCGAAGACAGCCTTCTCACCGCCGTTGGCGGCCGCGGCCCTAGTGGGCGGCGAAGACCTGCCGTCACGGCGGAGGAAGCCGCTGCTCGTCAAGCTAGCGCAGAGACGGAAGAGGCCCGCCGGATCCAAAGAAGTGAGCATGAGAACGTGGTGGATATTCTCAAGGCGATGTTCCCGGCTCTAGATAAAGAGATAATCGGCGATGTTGTCAGCATGAAGGAAGGGAGGTCGGTTTCTTCCCCCATCCTCCCCCCCTCGTCCTCCGCGTCCTCCTCACCCCCCACTTCCCTAGCCCCCGTGTCCCCTTCATCCTACGCCCTTGCTTTGAGCTTGTTTGTTCCGTTCCGCTTTGTGTCGAGGAGGTATCTCTCTTTTAGAAAAGGAAGAAGGCTGAGAAAGATTTTGGGTGGGGCCGTCTGAATAGGGTTGGTGAGGCTGTTGATGCTTGTTTGGCGCTGAGCGCCGGTTAGAAAAGAAAGAAAAAAAAGATGCATGAAAACAAAAAATCATTATGGAGTTCTTCTTTTAAAGTGGTAGCTGCTGGGTTGGTCTGGAATTTCTATTTTTATTTTGCGGAGTTACCAGGAATCTCCAGGGTTGGTAGGGTAGGGAAAGGGAAGGGAGAGAGGGAAGGGATAGGACATGCAGGAAAGACAGGATGGGATAGGGTTTGCGATAAGGTCGTTACTTGGAAGCTTGATCCATCCATCTATCCACTATTGTTGTTTGGGGTATGTAGTATTTTATTTTTCGGGTGCATCTAGAGTTGGGTAGCATTAATTATTCTTTTTCTTTTATCCCCCATTTTTTTCCTTTCCTACCTCCTCCTTCCTTTTACCCATTTTTCTTCTCTCTCCCCATGATCATCTACTTATTCTACTCTGCTTCCCTATATTTTTCATTCGGAATCCCTGTCTGTCTCTGCTTGTTTTCTTAGTACTACTTATCTCATTGCATGTCCTTCTTCTTCTTCTTTGTATCGCACCTCTGGCTTGTTGGAGGTGTTGAATATTTTACCATTCGCCCGATGAGGGCTACCAACCTACGTATTTGTTTCTCTTCTCCTCTCTTCGTGGTGGTTGCTGCTGGTGTGGGGCGGGTTAAAGAACGCATGTATGAATGAATTGAATCGATACGATGATAGGACGAAGAACGAAAAAGGCTGGCTGTATCCTCGCTCATTAAGCCTTCCTATATTATTGCTGGTCCTGGTGAAATGATTGACGTGACGTGACCATCGACCTCGATAGTACTTGCAATTGATGGTAACACAAAACCCAACATGTTTCATTTTATTTATTTATATTTCTTTCTTTCCTTTTTTTTTTTTTTTTTTTTTTTTTTCCGCGTTCCGTTTCCGTGCGGGGTAAATTCGTTTTTGAAGAGGCTGGGAGGAATTACGATTTCGACTGGAAGGCCTTGAAAAAAAAAAAAAAAAAAATGAAAAAAAAATAAGGCGAAAAGTCGCACATGTCATTCGGTGATTCTTGGGTCGGTGGTTGGGATAGGTGGGGAGCGACATGGTGTATCACTCGTTCTTGGCGGCCATGACACTAGCTTCATGGCCACCGTTCTTCGTCGAGGGCGTTTATGATGTATGGGTATGGATAACGTCCCAATGCCTTAATTTGAAAACGCGCGTGATTCCCTGCGGAGCTTTTGGCGTTAGAGATGTTCAGTAATCGGGGATTAAAATCAATGCTACTGGTAGAAATAGTGAGTGACATGTAGAATATGCTAATAATGCTATCGGAGATGAGTGATATGGTATGAATGACGTTTTTCGGGTCTTCTATTAAGTAATCAATACTGTAGCCAATTAAAGTGTTTCCGGTATGTATGTTGACCCTAAGTGTACTTTAAAGCTGTATGTTAGTGGTAGTTATGCTTTCTTGTCGTAGATGATCTTTTTGCGCTCTCAGAAGCTATCTAATAAGCCCTTAAAACGCCCTTTGTATATTGATATTGGTGGGCATTATCTAACGGCTTCACTCGTGCCAAATAGTGAGGTAGGCCAGCCCTAGAGCCTGTTTGCTATTCTGTCTATGAGTTATCGTACTGTCCCAGACAGGCTGTCTTTAGCACTACCCTACGTGACTGTGCAGCGGCCATCATGGCCCAAGGCAGGGTTAAAGGTCGTTCCTGACTAGCGGCCGCCCTTTAAGGCGTTGGATTCAATAAAGATCCATCTACCTTATAATGGGACATGAAGAGTAAATGGTAGCTGCAGGGCTGATCATAGTAGGACCGTCTGTACGAGCCGGGGATTGAGTACATGAGAGTTGAATGCGCTGGACAGCCTCTTTATCATCCCCACGTTTTCCGGCTTAGCTGCCTAGAAGATGACTGGTGAGCTACGCACTCCAATAAAATTGACTAAGTGTGTTTCCCAGAACTTAGAAATATGGCTCCCGTTTTGTGATTCTGCGCGCCGTCGTTACAAGTACTAATTCCATCTGTCGCCTTTGGGATAGCCTAAGGTGGTAGCTCGAGAGCACCCCTTCATAAACGGGTCAGATAGCATTGACAATCAGGTTCCGTAGCACAGTTGGCGGTGCGCCCATTACCAAAACCAGGTGATCAAAAATTCAAGTCCCTTTGGAATCCCCCTCTCTTTTTTTATTTTTCAGAAATTAGAATTCGAGGACATTCTACAAAGTGTCCACTACTAGGAATCGTTTTCTAATACTAAGAGCCTATCCTAACGACCACAAACACCACGGTAATGGGTCAAATTACCAAGGTACATGTATTTTCGATACCATGGTACTAGGTGGGTGTTCGTTTGACCACAAAACTCAGTAATAATACCACAGCATTGGGTCAAAATCCCATGGTAAAAATAATAGCTTAGACCTGTTTACTTCTACCCTCCGCACCTCAAATCCTGTTTCTGCTGAAAAACACGGAGAAAGTACTCTGCGACTCCCGTCTGCAATCAAAAGTATGTCCTAAAAGTATGTTCTTACTACATATCTGTTCGAGGTAAAACCTTGGTTATCAGAGGCATCATCCTATCCCTCTTAGGAGATGCCTAATAAGTGCAGTGGGGTACTAATACGCGGGATAGATGAAGTGATAGAGTTGTATTTGTAGTTGTCTAGCCGTGATTGTGCATGTGGTTGTGGCTCCGGATCCGAGCAACGTACATAGGCGGGGTGAGTTTTTTTTAAAGTCCTTCTAATGGGACCATGTTCTCTCTTCATGAATCAATTTTCGAGCATGACTACACGTACCTGGGTGTGGGAGTCGTAGTACTGGGGATGCTTCACCTCACTCTATCAAGCTGACATGAACATAAACGCCGATGGAAAACGACGCACCAAAAACATGCTTAAAGCTCTTACCGTCATTTCCTCGCTCTTTAAAGGCAGATATTCGAATCTTGCAGGGAACCAGCTAGAATTCTGTCGCTCACGATCAGATCAAGCCATAATCCTCTAGCTACTAACCCGTAGTTGATGGAGGCCAGCCTAGGGGGAGATGTTTTAAATGCTCGCTGAACCGACTTTTCTCCGAGTTATGCTGTACATATATGTGGGTTCAGGACCATCAATCCGGGAACTCTGATCATCTTTGAGACCATACATATGCCATACAGTCGATCCCCCCGGGGGGGGGGGGGGGAACTCGGGCCACCGCCGGCTGGGGGAAATCGTTGGAGAAACCGCCCCGTGCGGATAGATACATGTAACCATCTCGTCGTAGTTAAAAGCGTCCAATAAATGTATATGCGGGATCCGGATCGGGTCTGGCAGGAATACGGGTGGGTGGATTAACGAACTAAACAAAGTGGGTGGATCATAGACCGTCACTCGCAGGTGAGACTACATGCACGAAATGAGGTTGTGTGTGCTCTGTATCACAACTACATGTAGTTGTACTAGCGATGTAGACAATATTTTTTTATTGGCGAGCAAGATATTTGATTTGGCCCCTTCTGTGCATGATCAAGGGGTGTGAGGGGGTTTGGGGGGGCTGTCCTGCGTGCTGTAATTGCAGATAAAACTATCTTAGCTTCTCGTTCATTATTTGACCAATCTGTCTCCCCAATGTCAGGGCTGGACGCAGGACTGTAGGCCGGTTTGGCGAAACTCTTCCAGGCCATATTCTTTTACAGTTTACAGAATAGCAGACATAGCAGACATAGCAGACACAGCAGACGAGAACTACACGCCCTTGTTTAATGGTTGCAAGAACGGACAGGACAGGACAGAGGAGAATTGGATGGACCATTACTTTGAATTCGGCTACACTTTTAAACTATTTATGATTTACCCCAGAGAGGATAGGCAAACAAGAGAAAAAAAAGGAAGAGTGGGAGAGAAAGAAAAAAAGAGGAAACACACAACAACAGGAACAAAAAGGAATAGTAGATGCCCTCAGACACCCGCCCTACCCTCTCTCTCCCTACTCATCATCCTCATCATCATCATCCACAACCCTCCTCCTCTTCCCCGCCCTGCCACCCCCCTACTCCTCCCCGCCCTGTCCTCATCCGTAAACTCCGCCTCATCCTCCTCCTCCTCCTCCTCCTCCACCACCTCCTCCCGTCTCTTCTTCGCCCCCCCGGCCGCAACACCCTTCCTCCTCCTCCCGCCATCATCACTCTCATCCTCCTCCGAGCTCTCCACAACCTCCTCATCATCACTCCCCTGCACAAAGTCATCCTCCAAATCATACTCGTCCTGATTCGACTTCCTCGCGCCCACATTAATCGGGGGCGAATCCCGCTTACTCCTCGTACCCGTCGAGCGGGAGGCAAACTTCCCCCCACTGCGCCCCCCGTCCGCGCCACCGCCGCCGCTGCCACCACCGCTGCCGCCAGCCCCGCCGCGCTGCCGCCGCTGCTGGTTCTCAAGCTTCTTGGCGGCGCGCTCCTTATCGCGCGAGATGCGCTCGGCCTCCTTCCGCTCCGCCTCGGGGTCGCGCATGTCTGTGATCTCTATTGCGGCGTGGCCTGCGCGGCGGCCGCCGCGCGCGGCCTGTGCGGCGGAGAGCTGCTCGTGCAGGCGGTTTACGGCCTCTGCGTTTGCCTGGGAGGCGCCTGTGGGGAGGACGTTGAGGGAGTGTGTTGCGTGGCCGAGGAAGCGGAGCATTCCTGCGGACTCGTGGGGCGTGAGGAGGTAGGTGTGGGAGTCTTGTGCGGGGTCGTATTTTTCTGGAGTTTTGTGGGAGGGGGCGAGGGGCTTTGAGGTGAGGTCGTAGAGGTTTGGGGAGGAGGCGATTTGGAGGGAGAGGGAGCCGTCGGACCATTTGATGATGCGGGCGTTGGATTGGAGGGTGTTGGGGTCGATGGGGGATTTGCGGACGCGGATGGTGGTGGTGGCGGCGGTGTAGGGGGAGGTCATGGTGTCGGTGGTGGTGAGGTTTTTGAGTGTGAAGTTCTCGGGGTAGAAGATTTGGGGCTGGATGGCGATGAGGGAGGGGACGCGGAGGAGGTAGAGCTGTGGGGTTTCGTGTTAGCTGTGGAGCTGGAATCGATTGAGGCATAGAGATGGAGGAAGCTGGAATTGAGGCATAGAAGGATCTGAAATAGGGATCTTCCGGAATTGAGGCATAGAGGGACCATCATACATCGTCATTCCCCGGGTTTGGCACGGGGTGCCGGGGCAGAGAAACATCAATGCTCCTGTACTCTCTCTCGGGCTCATTATCCTGCTCGTCCAGCTCGGGCGTGCCCTCCAGCTCATTATCACTAAGCTCCTTCCTATCCCGCCCAAAAACACCCCACAAGGTCAATAGGACATTCCCCACGCGTTTTTTTTCCAGAAGTAGTAGCAGTAGTAGCAGTAGCAGCAGTAGCAGCAGTATTAACAAAGAACTCGAACTCACGGCTTGGTGGGAGCCTCCTCGTCACTGTCGTCGCCAAAGAGGTCCTTATCATCGTTCTCCTCCTCGCCCTCGGCGTCCTCGTCCGCAGCGCCGTCGCCATTGGTGCCGACCCTGCGGGCGCGCTTGCCGGCGTCGGCGTCGTCCTCGTTGTCGTCGTCGTCGTCGTCGTTGGGCGCGTGCGTGGACTCGTCGTCGGAGCCGAACATCTGGTCGTACTTGTTGCCTGTGGGCCTCTCGGGGGAGGCGGGGGAGCCTTCTGCGTCGGGGGAGGGCGCGGTGATGGACTCTGTTTGGGGAGGGGAGCGGTGGTTAGCTTTGAGGGTTCAGGGACTGAGATGTGCGGAGGGTGTGGATTCCTGGGTACCTGGTGATGACATTGGAGTGGATGGAGGGCCGCAATTAACGGTGGGGGTGTGTATATGTAGGCACAGTAGAAGAAGAAGGAGAAGGATTGCAGAGTTGTGTTGTTGTTGACAGAGTTGGTTGAGAGTTGAGAGATGGTTGATTGACCTTCTTTCTGGACGCGGCTGCGAATCAATCACGTGGGTGGATGGGTTGCCTTATCACATCTGATTAGATCCTCTCGCCTGCTGCAAGTGAACTGTAGCTGAAGCGGGGCCCAGTCCAGTCCCCTCTGGGCTACTTACATACTTACTTGTGCCCTTGTAGCCCTGGTGCAACTTCCCGCACCCTCTTTAACCGCATGGGGGAGAGAGACGAGCAGAACTCTACTTTAGTAATGGAGTCTAACTAGCACGCGCATGTAGCTCTCTTCATGAGTTCTCTTGCTAGCTGCCTGCAACTGGTTCTGTACTCTATGTTCTGCATAGGTACCTGTATCATCTGAGGCCTCCGCGATCTTGCGGGGGGGGGGAGGGAGGGAAAACAATGTGTTGGACCAACCAGCGCCTGGGATCTCCTTGAGGTTTCGATTTTCCCCGTTTCCCCTCCTCCCCCCACCCCGGGGAAGAAGAGGGAAGATCGAGGGCGTGAGGAAGGAGGGGGAGCAGAGAGAGACATGGGGGAAAGGAGGAATTCGAGTAGGTACATACTTTGACGGTTTAAACAGTTACGGCTACGGTTACGGTTACAGTTGGATGGATTTACAACCGGGTCAAGTCAGGGCAGCTTTTTTCTTCCTTACCCGTTTATTTTCTCGGTGTATTATAATTCCTGTGACACGCCAGGCAGGCAGCCCAGGTACCCGCCGTCAGGCTGTGAGAGAGAGAGAGAGAGCGCCGCCTTCTTTTTTTTTCTCTTTCGGTGTGATCCTTTTCTCTCTGTACCTACCTCCTGTTACATCTTTTTTTCCTGCCTTCTCAATTATTTCTCGCCCCCCGTCTGTCTGTCCTCTCACCCTCACCCTCACCCTCAACCCCCGGGGCCCCGGTTGACAGTTACATACATACATACAGGTAGGTAGATAGATAGATACAGATAGATACATTCCAGCCATCTCTTCTTCTGCAGACTCTTCTTCTCTTCTGTCCGCGTGTTCGTTCTTGTTCTGATTGTTGTTGATCCAACTCAATTGTCGGTTACTGCCGGGGGGGGGAACGTTTGATCCATTTCATCCCATCCATCCCATCCATCAATTGCGCTCACTCACTCGTTCTGTCATTGCCTGCCTGTGGGTAATAGTCCAAATACAGCAGCACGGGCTTTTTCTCTACTCTACGAGTCTAAATCCTTCCCTTCCCTTTCCTCCTTTCCTCCCTCCCTTCCTCCCTTAATCCGTCTATCAAGTTAGAGTAAGAGTGGTAGGTGTAGTAGTCTCGCCCCGTTGCCCAGTAAAGTAGTGCCCGGTTGCCAATCCTTCTCTACCGCTCGCTCCCACCGCCCACTCACGTTCGCCCACCCACCACTTGAACCTCTCGCTCGCCCACCACCATTAACCCCCATACTTTACATCCAATTCCATCCATCCATCCATCATCATCATCCCGCCCAGCCAGATCGATCATACATAGGGTACATTATACATACAGACCAGACCCTAGGAACTAGCCAGCACCTCATATAATCACACCCCCAGGGTTTCCTCTTCACTCGACATCATTCATCCATCCTCACAACCACAACCACAACCACAACCACAACCAACATCAACTGCTATCACCAATTCACTCACCCAGCCATCTGTCTTTACACCCTACACGACTATCCATCCATCCATCCATCTATCTACCTTCACTCTTCTCCCCCCCCCCCCCAAAACCCCCCGTGTTGCATTCGCACTGCTAGTACTAGTAGCATAGAGTGGTTGTTTGTTGTTATCTCTGGACCCCCGTTCAGGCACTCACTGCTCTGCCCATTTCCTGCCGAGTAGAAAACAAGAGGGACCCAAGAGGAAAGAGACAACAGAAACAGAAACAGGAAAGGAAAGGAAAGACCATCATCATGTCGGACCAGGCTCGGGTTTCGTACATGACAAAGGAGCAGCTAGGTACTTCTACCCAGCCCGTCGTCCAGCAAGTATCTATACATCTATACATCTACATTCACCTAACATACAACATATGTTTCTCCCCCTCCCCCCTCATTATTTCTAAACCCCCCCCCCATATTTTCTTTTTCCCGCCTCTTGTTTGTCTCGCACTGGCCCCCCCGTTACTCATGACGTTTTACCCGCCCAAGCACGCACGCACGCACCAACTAACTGACCACCTCCCCCCATAGAAACCTACCTCTCCGACCTCCGCTCCAACCGGCCCCAACGCCCCATCGGCGCGCGCCCCCTCTCAACCACCAAAGCCCGCTGGACGCCGCAAAGCTCCGTCAGCCTCCTCGACGCCGCCCCCTCCCTCAACGAGCCGCGCCTACACCCCTCCCCGCCGCGTAAAGCCGCGTTCTCGTCGCCCGATGGCACAACAACAACACAAGACGACGACGCCGTCGTCGGCAGACGCGACAGCTGGCTCCTGAGACGCAATTCGCACAAGCGCAGCCAGACATTCTCGGCGCCGTCAATTGCGTCATCCATCTTGCCACGATCGTCGACGCCGACGCGAATCACACGCACACGCTCAAGGGCCGCGACGGCGTCCGTCCCGCCGACGGCTACGCCGCCGTTTGCACCCCCGGAAACCACTACCACCACGACGGCGGAGGCGGAGCAGCGCGAGGTCGGCTGGGATGGGAAAGACCTGCAGGAGGGCCGCATGGGCGATACGCCGCCAAAGACGGACTCGGCCACAGCAGCAGCAGCAGCAGCAGCAGCAGACTCAGCGTCGACAACAACAACGACAAAGCGCGGGAACTCGCTGAAGAAGCAGGGCTCCTTCAGCTTCCGCGAGTTCTCAAAGTTCGGCACCCGCCACGAGCGGACAGGGTCGTCGGGGTCCGCGTCAACATCGTCATCCTCGTCGTCTTCAGGCGGCGGTATCGCGAAAAAGACGGTGTCGTGGGCGCTGCCGTCGCTGTCGCGGCCGAGCTCGCCGAGCCCCGCCGCCGTAGTCATGCCGCCGACGCATCCGCCGCCAAAGTCGGCGTCGACGAGGATCGAGGAGGAGTTGACTTCCCATTTTAGGTCGTTGCCGCCGGCGCCGCTGCCGTACGTGGCGCCGCTGAGGATCAACAAGTCGCCGAGTCAGCGGTCGACGCCGCTGGGGAGGTCAGAGTCGGCGGCAAAGTTGCCAATTGTGCCCGAGGCGGCGGCGGCGGCTTCGACGCCGCCGCCGACGAGGAAGGAGTCGTCGGTGAGGACTGCACCGATCTTTTCGGCGCCGGGCAGGCGCGCGTATATCGATCCGCATAAGAAGGAGCCGACGCAGCATAATAAGGTCAAGTACACGACGAATCCCGTGCCGTTGCCGTCGCCGCCAATGTCCGGGTCGGAGGAGGAGGATGCGGAGGCAGAGGCGTTGAAGGAGCTTGGGAGAAGGCCGTTGCCGAAAGCTGGAAATGGCAGTTCTGAGAACGTTACTGCCATTACGGGTGGCATTGAGCGGATTGGAGGTCTGGGTAGCAGGAACGGTGTTGGGTTTGGGCGGAACGACACGGACGCGCGGAAAAACAGGTCAAGATACGGAGCACAGGTGCAGCCGCAGTCGGCCGCACCGATCATTGGGCTGGTGACGATGCCGACGCCGCCGCCGACGGCGTCGAGCTCAACGTCGAGTAAAATGCCCCCCGTCCCGTCCATCATCGCGCCGGACAAGGACGACACCCCAGCAAGAGCCCCCCGATGCCGATCCCGACCTTTAGCTTCCCCGATGAGGACACCCCCGCAAGACCGAAGCAACAGCAACCCCCACCCCCATCAATCCCTGTGATCTCCCTCCCCGACGAAGCCCCCAGCGGCGCCCCCGCCCGCGACCCAGCCGGCGCCCCCGGCGCCTCGCGCCGCCCCCTCCCCATCCCCCGCGGCAGCGCAAAGGCCCCAGGCTCATCCTACTCGACCGGCAGCGGCAGCAGCAACAACAGCAGCGGATACGTCAACTCGCGCGGGCCAACAGCGTCATGCGCGTACTGCCGCACGCCCATCGAGGGGCGCGTGGTGTCTGCATCGTCGATACGGTTCCACCCAGAGTGCTTCCGCTGCGACCACTGCCACACCACGCTCGAGCACGTTGGCTTCTTCCCGGAGCCCGAGGAGAGCCGGCGGCGGAGGGCCGAGGTTGAAGGTGATAGGGGCGAGAAGGGCGGGAAGGTTAGGTTTTATTGCCATCTGGACTTTCATGAGCTGTTTTCGCCCAGGTGTAGGAGCTGCAAGACGCCGATTGAGGGGGAGGTTGTGGTTGCGTGTGGCGGGACGTGGCATGCGGGGCATTTTTTCTGCGCTGAGTGTGGGGATGTGAGTTTTGCCCTTTTTCTTTTTTTTGCTTTGTGTGGTTCGTGGAGTGGAGTGAAGTGCTAATGTGTTTTGCGGGGGTAGCCGTTTAATTCCGAGTCGAGGTTCGTGGAGAAGGATGGGTATGCGTGGTGCGTGGGGTGCTACCAGAATCGGTATAGCGGGAAGTGCAAGAAGTGCAAGAAGCCGGTCACGGAGACGGTAGTGAAGGCGCTGGGCGGCGAGTGGCATGAGGAGTGTTTTTGCTGCACGGTGAGTTCCTCCTTCTTCCCCTTGGTTGGTGGGTGTTTGAGAACGGCGTGCTGATTGATTGTGGTGGGTGATATAGGAGTGTGGGAGTGGGTTCGATGATGGGAGGTTCTTCATTAGGGGCAAGGGGGGGAATGAGATTCCGGTGTGTGTGGGGTGTGAGGAGAGGAGGTTGAAGAGATAGATGGGGATGGGTGATGATGGTTATGGTAATGAATGGGTAATGGGCGTGATGATGGTATCTGGTTACTTGGTATGGTACGAAAGTCACGATGGAAATCCCCGGGGGGGGGGGGGGGATTATGGCCGAGAACGAAAAAGGGAACGAGAACAAGAACGGACGAAGCAAAGGAAAGAAAAAAAAAAGGGGGGGGGGATCTAGGGTGAGTATTTTTTAACGAAAGCTACGAGTTCTCTTTGTGTGTGCATGTGCATGTGCCTCTCTGTTGTTTTTTTTTTTTTTTTTTTTTTGGTGGAGTACTTGTTTAACGGAAACGGGGCAAAGTTAAGGGTCTTTCTTTCTGTTTTTTTCATTTTTTTTTTTTTTTTTTTTGCTGCAAAAAAAAAAAAAAGGCGGGAGTATGATAGGGATTATTTGGTAGCATAGATAAAGGCGATATTCTTTTTTTTTTTTCCTTCTTTTTTTTGAACTCTGTTTTTTGTTTGAACTCTTGAGTCATTGATTTGATTTGATTTGATTTGATTTGATTTTGATTTAGTTGTGTTTTTTTTTTATTTTTATTTTTTTTTACTCTATGCACTGTACTGCCACTGGTAGTAGGACCGGTAGGTATTTACATGTAGGTACATGTAGGTAGGTAGGTAGGCGCGCGCGCGTGTCGACAGATGACTACTTACTATATACTACTTACTACCTTTTTCTTCTTTTCTTTTCTTTCCCTTCTTTTCTTTCGTTCGTTCCTTCTTTATGTTCATCCATTGTACCTCTTCTTCATCTTCTTCTTCCACGAAAAAAAAAAAAAAAAGGGGCCCGGGCTCCTTCACGACTGTACCGACTGGCTGGGATGTGGGGATGTGGGGATGTGGGGATGGGGAAGGGAGGGGACGGGACGGGGAGCTAGATGGATGGCTATATAGCGAGCTGCGATGAAGCTAGCGTTGGGCGAGACCGGGATTATATTCACACATTACATTACCTTTGCTTTTGCTTTTGCTTTTGCTTTTCTGTTTATTTTATTTTATTTATTTATTTATTTTTATTTACAGCGTTGGATTTACATGATTTTTGAGCGTCTCTTTTTTTGTGTGTTTGTTTTATGCGTTTTTGTTTTGCCAGCTGTGTTTAAGAACGGCGGAAGGTAAAGAGGGAGAGGCCGGGGGCTCGAAAACCGGGGTGGGGTGGGGTGGGGGGGAGGGGACGTACGTACGTACGTGGGGATGTAGGGGGGGATGCTAGCTGGGGGGGGGGGGGTGGGTGGGGATGTATGTGGGAGGAGGATGTTTATATATTATTGCTTGATGCCAATATATATCCGATTGTGTTTAACAATATTGATTTTTTGATTTCGTCTCCCCCCCCCCTTTTTTTTATGGTCATGATGGATGGATGAGAGGGAGTGTAGAAATGGGGACGGGGTTATATAATGCTTTGTAGTTGTGGTGTTTCGGTGGTAATGATCATGATCATGGATTGTCACTCGGTAGATCAATGTATGTACACACATATATGTAGCAGGGGACGAAACAGATTCTACGGATTTTTTCATGACACTTGTTTCTCGCTGTGAAGACCACAGGTTGATGGTCTTCGTGAAGAAGCCCCCAAATCTTTCGAACTGGGGTCCACCGTGATCATGCTACTGTTGTGGGTGGGGTTTGGCGTGTCGTGTTGTGTTATGTTATTCACAGGCTATCACTCGACCCGAGATGAGGGCCGCCTGTGTAACACTGGGATTCGTCCTCGACCCAGCCCTCACAAAGAACGAACTTTCCACCTGTTATCTCAGACATCGGGCATGAAGGCCAGTAATAAGTATCGATTCTCACTAGCCCCACCACTTATACCCCAGCTCCCTGCTCCTCTAGAGAAATCGAAGATCAAAATGGCCTTCTAATTTATTTAACCATAAAAAAGTAAAAATTAAAATAGAAACAGAAAGAAACAAAAAGTACTGCAACCGGCGGTTAACTCCAGTTACTACTCCCACCCCTGGTTCGAACCCAGGACCTTCCGTCGTCCTGAGTACAAACACTCGGTGTCTAACCCGACGAGCAGTCTAGCCACTAGACCACTCGCCCATGGTGTATGCTGCACTGGAAGTGATATTTGAGCTTGGCGGTGTGCCAAGATGAAGAAGAACCCCTAATCCTTTGATGACAATGCTCAGCCATCCATAATACAATAAACTAATCTACCCCTGCGGTAGTCGAAGTTTGCTGGAAGTCTCGTACGGTGGAGTTTAGAGAGGTATTTGTTAGCAAAACACAGTTTCCGTTCCCTCCAGAGGCTGGAAGTCTGGTAGGGATGGAATTTCGAGAGGTGGAATTAAGTATATTATGATAGATTTCTCTGTAGTCGACTCTCAGTATAAGGATACGGCTGGGACCGAGAATCTGTACCCTTTTGAGGCGAGTATCATAAGAAGCAATGAGGGACAGGTAAATCAGCCTTTCAGAACCGCTGATTGCTATCGATCCTTATAACGAAAGTATCACCAGTATACTTATGCAGTATCACTATAATTATAACGAGTGTATCACTAATATATGTAGTATCACTATAACGAGAGTCGACTGTACAACGAAACATCACGATAGAAAAGAAAATTTTACTACTATAGAACTCGATTGCAATTAGAGGGCTACATGTAACTACATAACATCGACACCCACTTTATCATTCTTGCCCCTTTAGCTCTCAAGTCCAACTCCGAGTCTCTGTTGAACCAGTATATATCCCTCCTAGCTGGTTCTCATACGATTGGCGTGAGGTTTTGTCAATGTGCTAAGGGTGGTCCTCTGATTAGCATTGTATTAAGTCCATTGGAAAGGCATGAACTTACACCCTGTATCAGGAGACGCCAAGTCTTTCTTGGAACTGGCTGAAGTCCACCAATGAGGAATTCCAACAGCCAAGCTGAAATCGAAGTCTGGTAACTGGGATGCCATTATTTAGCATCCAACTCCCATTGGGAGCCAGTATGTGACTGGCATATCCCATCAAAATCCCAGAAAATATCTCCCTCCCACCAAACCTCCCTACCAGCTCTCAGGCCAGAATACTATGATAGTATATTCTGGCATTGCAAGCCGGCCTCAAGACCAAAGGTACTTGGCGTCGGGCTGCTCAAGACAAGAGCCTCGAGGCAAAACCTCAGCAGAGCTTGTTTCAAGGAGGGGGCTAGGGTGATCCGCTGGTTAACATTGTATCAAAGCGTATCGGAAAGGCGTGAACTTACACTTTGCCTCCGGGAACACCAAGTCTCTCTTTGCCGAAGTCCACTTGCTGGGGACTTCAAAAGCCGGGCCAAAATCGAAGTTTGGCAACTGAGGCGGTGAATCTGCCACCAGCGACGATCGCAGGGGCCGGAAGGGGGCTGGGGCTGGGGCCGGGGCACGAAATGGTGGAGCCGGCGCAAGTTCAGAACCATGTGGTTTGAACGTCATCATCTCAAATGACTCCTCAGATGTACGAGACAGAGAGGAACCAGAGGACGAAGACTTTCCTTGCGGCTTTGGCGAGGAGAAAGAAAAGAAGTCGAGTACTTTTCGACCGAAAGACGGAATTGGAGCCATTTTTAGACTTGTGGGCGACTGTGTTGTTGAATTGTTTTAGATTTTGACACGGTCGAGGGGTTAACAGTTGCGTGTGGCTTTTATATAGTGAATAAAGGCGGCAGCTGTGTTGAGATGATTTTGTGAAGAAAATAGAGAGTGGTAGCCGGGTATTTATGGGGAAGAAGGGTTGGGTTTCTGACATTCTGGCATCAACGACGATGACTTTTGAAACTACGTAAACATTACTGCGGTTTGGTGATTCAGCTTCTTATTATTGAGTCTGCGTCATGAGATGTCACTACTAGTACCAAACACAGCAACGCGTTGAGGTAATTACGTAAACTCATGTTTCCTAACGTTGTGAAAGAGTGAGAAACCACTGCGGATGTAGAATCGCTGCGGGTACTAAGCACAAAGTAGCTAGTAGTTTGCCGGAAATAAAAATAAAAATAAAAATAAACAATTTGAATTCGATCACTACTTCATAGCTAGGCCCGTCTGAAAGCCTCAAACCATATTCATGATCCCATAGCGGATCGTCGTTTTCAAAGGTTATTGTGACTGTTTGATTCCCATTAATCCTCTGCCCATATTGCCATCAACTATTCCGTAACCGCGTTTAGTGTTATATATATCACCGTTAAGGCAAGCCCCAATGCCACGATCTACAAAATTTGGGTTAGACCCAAAAGCTTCAACTGTGATAATGATACTATGTCGTAACTGTTGAACGCAACGTAAAAACTGTCACGTCACCGCAATCTCCTGGTTTGTCGAGTATGACACGATATATACCCTGGAAGTTAGTAGATTATAATTGAGTATACTTGGCTGCAGTAATCTTGCCATCCTACAATATTACAGCATATTTGCGGAATGAATCCTTGTCATCTGTTTGTAATAGAGATGTATCCAGTGTAGGTGCTGGTAATATGGTGCTAGTGGTGCGTTGTCGTGTGGATGCTGGTGGGAGTAGAGAATGTAGTCACTGTGCGGTGTTATGAAAGTGTAATTTTAAAGCCAGATGGTACAATTTGACAAAATACAATCGGCGAGAATTACTGTTGTCACACTGACGTTCCCTATTGACTCTCGTGTCCTTGGCATAGAGACGCTAGCGCACCAGATCAACCGAATAACAATCATGAATAATCACTCGAAACTATTAAACCCTAGCCCGAGCACACTACAACCACAGCTGTTTATTCAAAGGGTTTTAAGCCCGAGAAAATCAATTATCTGCTGATCAGCCACCACCACCGTGACCTCTACGCGGTGCAGCCCTTGCCGTTCGTTGTAAACACTATGCAGACCACACGTAATCCCAGCTAGTACATGTATATTGCGCTAAAGGCCATACCCGAAATCATCTAAACATGCATGTAATTACAGTTCACAAAGAGAAGCTTGGGAGACATTATTTTATTTTTAATACTAGCAACAATCGCAAGGAAATATTAATCCTAAACAAACCCCGGCCAAGGTGATTCGAACAGAGCCATTCATTTCGTACACAGCAAGCCAAAACCCGAAGCTTGCAATCGAATTATAAAAGGAGTGGCACCTAATCCTAGAGGCACTTAGCATGAGTACTGTTCAAATGCATAGAATGAGATAACACAAACCTAACGAGATTTTTGTTTATTATCTCTTTGACCAACATCCTACATGTAGTTCTCGTCCATAGAAAAAATGGGGCAAGTCTAGATTAGGCATCACCCCAAGGTTAGCTCCTTGAAAAGATAGGATGGGGTACATAGCATGGGTACACAAACATTATTAGGTTTGTTCCGGACCCTCATAGCCCATTTATCTACCCCGAATTCTTGGCACGCACTAATTAATAGTTGATCCTGACCTCTTGCCAGGTCCCGCACCGACTTTGCATCCTCAAACTCAGTACATATTGTGCATTCGCTAAATTCGCCTTTACTCAAAGAAGACTGGAAGGTGAAGCTTCTAAGATTTGGAAAGGCTCTAGAAGCGATTTTTCTTGCCAACCATTCTGTATTCGTTTGTGCTGGAACTGACAGAGACATGCTTCGAAGGTTAGGGGCATGAACTGTGTTGGCGATTGATTGCTGTTCGAACTCTTGCACAAGGTCATTCGTCTCTTCGGTCCCAATGATTCGTTCGTGATAGGTTGATAAGGTCAAGTTCAACTCTTCCAGCATTGGGACCGAGCTAAAAATTGAAGATATGAGTTGGCGGAAACCCATCCCAGAGCTGTATGGCTTGTGTTCATCGTTCCACCATTGAAAATTAATGCTGATTTTCTTGAGAACCGGTAGGATCGAAGGCGACGAGTTTGTGTCTTCCAGAAACTTAATTAATGGTTCGAAAGGCTCCGAGGTCAAGTAACCAGGCCCCTTTGATCGGAAATCCTCAGCGTGCAGCTCCTCACAGTTGTACGATAACGATTGAAGGTTCTTTGCAGGAATATGCAGGAATATGTTATCGAAATTTGTGAATGCGCCCGCATTGATAGTCACCGACTGCAGTTTCGGGAGTGAGTGAAGGGCACCTTGTAACCAAGCCGTTTCTCTCAAAGTAACGTGCTTAAGGTTCTTCCAGCTCGCAAATGTTTGCTGAAGCCTTCCAATACTCCAGCCAGGATCCGCCGGGGGTTCTGGTGGTGGGAACCCCAAAATATCGAGGCCAGGAAGATATGCTAGGGACCAGGCAGTAAAATCCCACTCCTGCCACTTCTTATTCCTCTCCAGAGCTGCCCACAACTTGTAACCAATATCTAGCCTCAGGCTGCCGCGATCCAGAAATTCCTCCAACAAAGCATCCAGCCCTACAACAGTATTCAGTCCAGGAGAACATATTCTGAATATCTCAAACCACTTCGTAGTAATGGGATTTGGGTCATCTCCATCGGATGACTGCTCAATGAGCTTGGGAATGGGGTACTCATGCGGGAGTTTCAAGTGCAAAACGTTTCCGGGCAAATTGGGTCGAGAACGGAGACTCCGAATGAGCCTATTGAGTTTGTTTCTGAGGGGGTGCCGTTTGCGTGGTCGAGTCGAGTCGATCGCTAGCTTTTTATGGGTCGAGCAGGTGCATTCGGATATTCCCGAATCCCGCTCTCCGTGGTACTGCAGATCAAGGGTTTGATAAAGAGCTCTTGTAGCGAATTCGTTGAAGAATCGACAGGTCAGAGAAAGGGAATGGAGAGTCTTCTGCTTCTGGTAGAGGCATACGCTGTCGTCGAGGTGTCCGATTATTCTTAGCCATATGCTTTCTGTAGCAATGCGGCCATTGGGTCGCCGACTCGCAGCTCTCCGGACCTGGCGAAGAGGTATGTAGGAATACGTAAAATGTTTAATCAGCTCAGCCTCCGAGAAAGATTGAGTGTCCATTAGGGGGACGGTATGTGTCAATGCCATCTTTCGGTCGATGGTTCTTGATTCGTTGCCGGTCGTTGTGGAGATGTGACAATGTCCAAAGTCTCTGGTATGAATATCGAATGCTACCACACCTGGAAACTTATACTTAACGACAGATGTGGTGTCACGTATATATTGGCAATGATTTTCTCTGGTCATATCACTTAGAGCGGGGAATCGGCGGGGAACATGCAGGTGCATGGCTCAACGACGCCACATGGCGGATATGTGTCCAAAAAACTTAACTTGAATGACGCCTTTGGCATGCAGTCTGAACCAGATTCGCTCGATAGCATGATCACCGTTCTTTACGGGTACTGCCACGATCCTATTGGTTACCGAATGATCTCGAGTGATTTTGGGTGATATCTGTGGAGAAACTGATAGGTTATAATACAGATACTATTACCAATCACAAATCGATCTTCAAATACAAGATGCAGCCCGCCGCAATAATCTACCCCTTAGCCCTCAATACATTTCATCATATTATTATTTCATGCCTTAGACACCCTTCGAAGATTTGTTAAAACTAGCCTTCATTCTTGAAGCGACAAGATAGGCGGCCACCACCCTGAAACTCCGAGGGATGTCACTTTTCGAGTTCACGACAATTCCCCCGTCCTTGAATTGAATGGATAATAGTCCTTGGGAGAAACCCGGAAAACTTGCCTAGACTTATCATCTTACGCTGCCGGGCACAGGCCGAAAGTGAGGTGCAGTAGGGCATATATACGTAGAGTACATCACATCTCTGTGCGCACTGCGAGCCGACTAGAGTAGTAAAGTATCCGAAGGCCTGAGGCATATGTGGTTACAGGAGAATTCAATTGCAAGTGAATTTGCAACTGATCGCAGGTTCTAATCCGAGCAGACAGGGGAGCTCCCTATCTCTCTTTACGGCTGCAATCTTTATACTGATATCCCCGGAATCTGCTAGCCCTTATAAGGAAAGAATTCCTCCATGCATCAAAGAAAAGGAGGCTGCTTTTAGAAAACGTTTGCACTCACGAGCCTAGCCCAATTTGATGAACGAATCAGCGTTTATTGGCCAAAATTCTTGTTACTGTGCCGCAATTGAATCGGAAAGAAACCAAGACCTCGAGACGAGAATATTGATTGAAACTTTCGATAACCCCACAAGAGTTTGGGTCAGGTTCAAAATTGAGATTGAAATTAAGCCTGAAGGCGCGGGGAACACCAGAAGCGAATATAGTTGGCTCGATAAATTAACTTACGAATTGATGTGAACCGAGGTCGATACATGTAGGTACGTACGTGTAGCTGTGGTTGGAAGGAAAGTCAGTCCAGCCATGATGGGGGAGAGGAACGAACAGCTGGAAAATCCAACTGCATACTCTACATGTAGGTACAGGTACTTACATGTATCATGCCAAGGTTGTAAGAGAGTTCTGGCAATTCACAATATAATCCACCATGCTCTATCAAGCTAACTACGTTGGAAGGGTTGGTAGAGGGCAGTATCACAGCAAATCACTCGATATGTGTCCATATCGAGATGTAATGCACGATGCAGCAGCTATAAAGATCGAGTCGGTTTCAGCTCAAAAGACTTGATACCCGGCATCTTGGGCTTGTTGCACGCTTTGGTGGTATTTAAAATTGCTGGAGGCTCTGGTCTATTTTGGGCAACTCTACGATCTATAAGACAGTGCCCAGCACATCAGCGGCGGCATAATTTAGCGCGGTAGCCGTACCCTGCCCTTAAACGCCCAATGACGAATTTATCATGTAGGCACTGCTTTGGGCTAACCGGTGACTTTGTTAAACGACCGCGATGGTATTGAATATAATTGACTGCTCTTATTTTTCTTTTGCAATCTTTCCCCGTAATAACCTTTAGGGTATCGGCGACCTCTAACACAAGTGCTAAAACCCTTCTTCATAGCTCACAATCTACAACTAGCTGCAAGCGGGTACTATCAAAAAAAAAAAAATACAAGTCCTATGTACTAACAACAATAACAACAGGCGCGGTCTAACTAATCCAAATCTCTTGCGACAATTACACACATCTCTCTCGATACCCACGTCTTCCTTCCTATCATCTTTGAAATAAGGTCGACTGGAATGCCATCCGGACCTAGCTCCCCATCGCCTTTGAGATCGTCAGGGGTTGATTCTGCAGTCCTGATCTCTTCTACACTCCCGCTGATCTCAAACTCCCCTCTACATAGCGCGACAAATCCCATTTCTACAGTGAATTCCTCCTGCGGTTTTAAGGCTGGCAGACTCTGCTGCAAGAGCCCATTGAACGCGAGTCGTCTAGTGAGATCCAATGCAATTGTTGTGGCTTGGTTTCGGAGCGCCGGAAGTAGACGTAGAAGAGGCTTTACGGTTCGATTAGTTCGGTTCGTTAACTTTGTTGTAAGAGTTAAGAATTCGTCTGTGGCGACAAGGTATTTCGATGGCCCAATTCTGCGCATAACTGGATCAACTCCCTCCACCATGTCCTCAGAACTTGACTCTTTGACACCAATATTGATGCCAATATCCTCAACTCTGATTGTTTCAACCATCCGTTGGCTGAGCCTGATGCCCCTCAATTCAATATCGCCCACTCTAGTTGTCCCCACTTCCTCCCATGTACCCCGGATGTACTTCAAGACTTCTTCTCTATACCAAAATGCCTCTCTTGTTTGCCTCTCCTGTTCAGCGGTAACCTTGGCAGTGCTGACCACAAATTGTCGCTGACTAGCCGAGAGGGATGGGATCGCTGCGGTTGGCTCGGCCAAGAATATCCGTTTGATCGGAAGTATTACCCGCGATGTATGACCTGCCTGTAGCACGTCTTCGGCGTAGAAAGAGCCATTCCAGCTTTCTTCGCTATCTTCATCAGTTGCGGGCGAGTCCCGGGCGTAAAGCTTTATCTTCAATGCCTGCGGCCAGGCGTTCCTTAGGTCAAGCAACATGAGACAGTACTCGCCAGGGTCATCTTTAACTCCCATCCGCCTGAAGAGCTCTTTGAATTGTCCTTCTTGTCCCACGCCTTCTGGCTTTTCCCGCTCGTTATCATCTTTAGTACCCCCAGGAATGGACTCGAACTGGAGATCTGTACTGAATGGGACGAAATCTACTCTTGCGAGTTCGATACTTGCATTTACAGTGACAGTGACAGGGAAAACAACCTGTCTTGTGTAGAACTTGTCCGCAACCTCGTTCCTGTGCATCCCCAAGTGTCCATAATCTGCTTGAACGCTTCCGTGCGTCAAGCCAGGCTTCCCAAGTACCATGATCTCGAATGTTGCCTTTCCAAAACCAGGGACAAATATCGTCTTTTCCTGGTTTCGTTTTACCACTTTCCCATTGACCTCAGGCTTGATATCCGCATCCCCAGTCTTGGCTCCTGCATCTCCAGCCCCATCACTACTTGCACTATCCTCAACCTCAATTATTTCCCCGCTGGAACCTTCCATTTCCAGCACCTTCCTTGGTGTCTTGTCGCGCTTATGCCAAGTAAATGCCCTCTTCTTGGCTAGCATCAGCTCCAACTCGTACATCTCCGCCGGACTGTTCCCCTTTTCATTTAATGCCTGCTGGATCCTCCCTGTAGTTGAGTCTCTAAAACTAAAGACCAACAAGTCCACATCAGTCGCACTTAAATTGTTGAATGTGATATCGAAAACCCTCCTTTCTCCCTCCAGTACCATCAGCGCACTTTGGGAAAGACTTGTAGACTTGACCACCAACAGCGGCTGTGGGTCAACGACCGTTAAAGAGAGTGTTTTTGGTATGGGGTGTAGCGGAGCAGGAACTCTTGAAGATCGTTGGGTTGCTGAGATCGCCGAGACGGGTCTTGTGTTTTTCGGTTCGGCGGCCTTCAAGCCATACCTTTTGGTCTTGATATCACGCTCCCGATTATCCAGGCCTTCTGTAAAGATGGGGAATGACCTTTCGACACACCCAAATACCTTGATCTTGCATCCAAGGATCTTGATGCTTCCGCCGGCTTTTGGTGTCGCAAATACTGCAATTTGATACGTTCTGAATGGGTTTATAACAACACCCACAGGCTGTACGTCGACCTCGACGCCTGTGGTGTCCAAAGTGACACTTTCGACCTCGATGTCGAATTCGAAGGGGTTCTGAAGTGTTACTCTGAACTCTGCCGCTTCCCCAGTAACAAGTACCTGATCCACCGTTGCAGCCTCTGCCTTCTTCAGGAAAGGGTTGTAGATAAACGGGTTCTTGTCCACCTCTATAGGCGCTGAAGGCGGTGCATCTGCATCGGCATCCATCAGCTCATTTTTTGAATGCGCTATTGGGGGCCTCCACATGCTATTCTCCACAACTTCCACATCTCGCAGCAAGAACTGATCCCAATATCCGGCCTCGACATTTGGCAGCCCGAGCTTCCGTGCAGCACCAACTGTTCGTGAGATAGTTGTAGAAAGCCGCATTTGCTCCTCCTTCGTAAGATCATTGTCTGCAGTCCGCAGCAGCTGCGCCGTGAACCGCAAAACTCCATGAAAATCCGGCAGGGCTTCGCAAAGCGCCGTACAATTCCGTAGAACATGAATCTTCAATGCCGGCCACCCAAACGATCTTATTTCTTGTTCTGCAATCACATCCGCAGTTGCCATAGCCGCTCTAAAAGCGTCGGCGCCATCCTCATCAGTTGCTACAGGGGGATCTTCTCTTGTCCCAGTAGGAAGCACCCCATAAGCTCTACAGAGATCTTCTAGCAGCTCCATGATACCGCTCTCTGCGTCACCTTCTCCTAAATCTAATGGGGAACCACCCAGGGCTCCTCCACTTATCGCACTTAGGCCCGCAGCAGGGTGCACGCCTACTTCCGCAGCACCCACGACTCGGGCTTGGATCAGCCCAGGGATCAATATCTTCACTAACTCTCTCGTTACAAGTGCTTTCCGGCGCCTTGCACCAATTGCACCGAGGACACTTGCGATTCCACTGAGCACCCGCGTGGCGTCTAGAGCCGTCATGTTCTCTACAGGGAACGGGTATGCGCGCATTACTGTCGTTGCAATCTCGGAGCGAATGGGGACGGCTTTCCACATTTTTGTGGGAGGAATTGGGGTATTGAGCACGATGTGGGCGAGAGATTCATCGTTCAGTCCGCTTGCCAGATAGCATGACGCCCTGAACTTACAGAACCTAATCACAGTCTCCGAAAAGCAAATTTGAGGAATACTTTCGGCAGGGATAATGGAGGAACGCGAGTATTGGTTCAGGATGATGTCAAGATGCTCATTCAAGAGCATGAAAATCTTATCCGGCGATACGGAGTAGTTTTCCCCAAGATCACCGCTTTGGCCGGGGATGGGGGTTCCGGGCTTGGATCCGGCGGGGGAGGACCTTGCGCCCTTGAGAGTCTCGACGGTGGGTAACGGAATGCTGGGAATCTGTACGTGGGCGTCTGTTACCACACCGTATGGTGGGGTGAAGGACTGGGTGCTAACCTGGAAGTCAACTTTCAGGTGAAGAAGTAAAACCATACAAATCCCAATACCCTCTAGTGCCTTCCCATACCACAAATGATCACTACTTGTCCTTGCAGCCTCAGCCCCCTCTATGAACCTGTAAATTTCCCAGAAATCAGGCATTAGTATCCGACCCTAACCCAGACCCCAGGTATCCCACGATATGAAGAGACTCACTCCTTCAGCGCATCCGGTAGCCTCCCCGTCATTAGGTATAATCCGGCGACTGCAATCACAATTCTCCCCTTTCCTTTGTTCCTTGTCCTCTCGCTGGCACTGGCACTCCCGAACCCCGTCATTGTCATCCTCTTACTTGCCGCAGCCGCACTCGTCCCTCCCACACCCAGATTTGAGCCTAGAAGCCCCGCTGGCATGCTCATCCTCTGGTCCCTGGGCCCAAGCGGGCCGCCAGGCTGCCCATCGGTCGACAGCGGCGACTCAATGGTCGGGAGCCCTTGGACCGAACGCGCAAACCCACCAAGCTCAGATAGCAGCACAGTAGTGATATCGCACATTATCGTTCGCATGGAATTGTTTCGGGCCTCCTTCTGCGTGGGTACGGGGATGAACACCTGTCGTTCATCGTGTGCGTCCTTTGAGTGCGGGGTGGTTTCTGGCGGAGTTATTGAGACGAGAGGCGGGGAATCAAAGATGAGGCAGACATGGTAGAGAGCGCGAGGGTACTAGTTCCGAGTAGGAGTGAGTTAGTCTGGAAGGCTTTGTGCCGGTGGGGTCTGTGATCCAAGACATGGAGGTTAAATACCAAGAACTTCAATTCCTCGAGCTGCGTAGAGAGAGCTTCTGAATCATTATCCTCCATATGATCCGCTATCGCAATGACCAGGAATGTACGGCGGTAGAGCTCGAAACCCTCCAGATATTCATGTTCGCGATCCAACGATGTTGTGAGGTCGTAGACAATCTGACCGCTCGGAAAACCCTGGGGACTGAACAATGCTACACATTACAGTATTTAGTTTCCTGAGTCCCCATCCATCCATCCATCTCCCAACGAAAGTGAAATAATCACATACTCCGGTTTGGCTTTGTGTCTGGGGTGACATCCCCGAGCCTCACCACATTTGAGCTCTGAAGGCGCTCTACAAAGTGGAGGAATCTAGACCGCTTGATCCTCCCGAGCGGACACAGTAGGGCCTTTATCCGGGACGGTGCTGTGTAGGAGAGTGAATCCAGACCCATGATGGAGGGCTTTGGGGGATGTTTGGTGTTTCGTTCCGTCGTTATTTCGTTGTGATTGATTGCTGGATAGGGGGGGGGGGGGTTGAGCTAGGTAGAGGTAGGGTAGGTAAGGTAGTTAGGTATTCACTGCATACGGTTTGGCACCATGCGGTGATTCTGGTGGCTTTGGATGACGGGATTTTCAGATCATTTGCGAGCGCACACCGCCAGTGAATAAGAAAGATGGACAGAGTCGCTCGGATCGCGAATTGATTGCCACGGAGGTGCGAATAACTGTGTTGTACAGCGAGTGTACTTTACATGAGAGTTGGCAGCCGCAATCTGTGGAATCGTTACCCTACTTTATGGGGAGGGTTTATAATTTAGATAATGAATTATCCGTATGTCTACAGGGGTTTTGGATATTGCAAGGCCCATGGTGGGAGTTTATTTCAACACCTCTAACTACAGACGGATGATGTTGAAGTGGGGAAGGTGGGGGAGCATTCTTAATTTAAGCCGATCATAGGCGATCACTCGCCGTACTTAACGAGAGCTACATATATATAACCGTCTAATTAATTATATTTTTTCCTGCGCCTACTTCCTGAAAGCGCGGAGCTCCCTTTTCCTATAAAGTCACACGCATCATCAGCTTAACAATCTCACTCAAGAAATCAAAAGAACACTCGATACATACCACCAATCCGCGAGAGAAACCGTGTGCACCGGAATTCCAATATCCTTCAATGCCTTTGTTGAGAGGTGGCAATCATACGGTCTCACAACTAAAACACACCGTCAATACCTAAATCAAAGGAACAGACCTAAAGGTAGTGCAATGGCTTACCCGATGCATTTGGGTCGTTCGAGTCGTTTCCGACCATGTGTTCCAAGGGAAGACCATTGATCTCAGCCAGCAGCTGACAAATCTCATACTTGGTCATCCGGTCCTCGGAGCTGAATTGGAGGATTCTGGGTAGAGAAGCAGGGTCTTCGGTAGTGTATTTGTCTGTGCGGCACGCAAAAATCAGCGACTGCCAGGGAAGTGGAAATGATTGCTACTCACTCGCAACGTCCTTCAAAACTCTCGCAACATCCGACGTGTTCCTACCAGACATCAATATTAACCATCAACACTCTCATATCGTAGACCGAAACTGACTCACGTTGGGTATCTGATACTCCAGTGGTCCATCTCAATCTTCTCCTTGCCCTCCTTGTTCCACACCGTATCCAGCAGGACGTTCACCGCACTCTCGGCATTCTTCTCAACTTCTCCGTAGAGGACTGGCACTCTCATAACAACCCCCAAATCCTTTGCGTTTTCCAACACCGCCTGCTCACCCGCATACTTGGTCTCACCGTAGAAGTTCGGCGGGTTAACGGGGGCATCGGCCTCGTAGGGAGCAGCGCCCTGTTTGCCGTCGAAGACGTAGTCGGTAGAGATGTAGATCAAGAGGGTGCCACGGCTGTGGCATTCTTGTGCAAGACTGCTAGAGGCTTGGACCTAGGGATGTCAGGAAGAAAGGTGACATGAGATTGAAAGGGGAGGTGTACATTGAGACGTTTCACACCCTCGGGGTCGGCAGAGCACTTATCAGGGAAGCGTTCGGCGGCACCTGGGGGTTATATAGTTAATTTATCCAGGCCGGAGTCTGATAGAGATAGACATACAGTGGACGACAACTTTAGGCCTGAAGACAAAGGGATAATGTCAGCACATTCCTACCCAAGTGGGAGTCACAGCTACTAACTTGACATCATTCAGCAATTCCACAACCTCCTCGGCATTCCCCAAGTCGACCTTTCTGATAGTTGGCGGCTTTGCACGCGAAAACCCTTTATTCAAAGAGTTAGCACATAGCTTTCCACTTTTGGTGCTCTTATCGTAGAATGAGTAGTCATACCGGTTCCAACAACGTTCCAACCGTCGGCCTCGAAAGCCTTGACGCATTGACGGCCGAGCTGGCCAGTGGCTCCGGTAATAACGACGGTTTTCTCAGTAGAAGTCATTTTGTGCTGTTTTTCGTTTTTCCGAAGATGAAGATGGAGCAGGTTTGTTTCGTTTGAGGGGAAATAGGTATTTATTAATAGTACTCTAGTAGGTAATAGTTTCGGATCGGATAAACCTTTCGGGGCTGGGATGACGGGAGCCAAGGTTTTTTTTGGTTACATTTGCGGGGTTTTGGCTCATCTGGGATCACTCGGTGGGAGTTGTGGTTAGGGCTGTCATTTCCATGCCCGTCCTTTACATGCGGACGGCCTACTTAATCTGCTGAGCTACATGAGTCGCTGGTAGCTGTGACTTGATATTAGGAAACCTAGTGGATACACGTTATGTAGAGAGGTATTTAAATAATATACAAGAAACCGTCAAGTGGCACAAAAGAAATATAGGTATCTAACATTAATCCTTAAAATGGATTTCATACTTCGCATTCTGGAAAGTCAACCCCAGAGATGGCAGGGCAGCAAGAACCTCGTCACCCTCGCCATAAACATCCTCAGGCACATCTACCTTCCAGAATATGGCGGGTATGGTAAACCTCAAGTGTCCTTTCAACTGCTTCTTGAGGGCATCGTCAACCCTGGCCCTCATCCTTGGAGAGATTCTTCCCGCCTTGCTCCTCAACGCCTTCATATCCGAGTCCTTGAGGATGCGGACGATGCTGCGGTGTCTCGGTGGCGTTTCTACCCTCATCCACCACCGGCCATCCCACAACATCCACTCACTCATCCCCGGCCCTAGCACATATTCCTCCTGCTCCTTCTTGACCGGTGGCAATGGCTCGCGGTTCAGTGTCCAGCTTTGTTCCCCGTTGTAAGTCCATGTCAGCCCCGCAGAAGTGAACATAGGTATATGCTTTTTGTTCTCTGCGCCCAGCACTTTCTCAAACGCATTTGTCATGTGCCTTGTCTCCACTCTGCGCCCTGGCGTTGCCTTCTCTGTAATGATGATCAACATTCTCTGAAGCACTGCAGGGTTAACATCTTTGAACAGCTCCTCTCGGTTTCTTGGGAGCTTGAAGTCGAGCGAGCCAGTGCGCTCGTTAAGAACGATTTGACAGCGCTTGGCAATGAAATCCTCTGCTTCCTCTTTTATAGAGCGATTACGGTCCTCGGCGCGGGTTGCGAGAGAGACTAAGGACTCGCGCTGGAGAGCACGGGGGAGGCGTGAGGGCGTTGTAGTGAGGAGATGGCGCATAGTGTTGCGGCGGGTGTAGGTGGGGTCATGGTTTGTCTTATCTTCGAACCACTTGACATCATTTGTCTCGCAAGTTGCTTGCAGACGGTCCTATAAGCATGGAAGTTATCGTTATTATTATAAGCCGTGTAGACTTTCTGCAAAGTCGAACTAGAAAAAAAAACCAATATCGGTGAACGGCCATATAGACCTACCTACCTTTCCCACCGTCAGGAACGGCCTCCCCATAATCACTTTATTCGCATTATGGATATTCCAGCACTCTGGAATCCTCGAAAGATGCCTCATGCCCCCCAGCCCATCCAGCCTACTCCCAGAGATCAACCTCATCATGACCGTCTCAGCCTGATCGTCGCCATGGTGCGCCAGCAATATCTTGTCCACCTCGCTCGTGACACACGCCTTGGCCAGCGCTCTGAATCTGGCAGTCCGCGCCCTTGTCTCAAACCCCACCTTTGCAATGTTATCCGCGCCCCAGGTCAGCGGTATCACCTGCGGGTGGAATCCATATGACTTGAGGATGTCAGCAACGGAAGAGGCTTCCTGCGCGCTTTCGGACCGTGCACCGTGGTCAATGATAAAGGCGTGGACTTCGTGGATTTGCTTTTCTTCGAGCAGCTTTCGAGTGAGATGTGATAGTGCCATTGAGTCGACCCCGCCGCTGACGGCGAGGCCTAGGCGTTTGGGCACATTGGGCCAGAGGTTCTGCAGGAGGGATTTGTACTCGGGAAGCGATATCGGGAGAGCGCGGGGGGGCATGATTGGAGAGGGAGGAGAGAGGGAAGGGGAGGGAATTTGAGAGTTATGAAATAATTTTTTGGATCGGAGGCCAATGATGGGATGAGCAACTGCCGCCAAGGTCTCAAATCCTCGCCGCTGTATGCACGTAATTTCTATATGAGCAGCCCTGCACCTATCTAATCTATATATCTCGTATCTACATAATCCGTGATATCTCCCCTCCCCCTCCCCCTCACCTGCCTCAATTTCACCCCCTCAAGCCAAAATGGACTCCCAGCCCACGCCCACAACCTCCCCCTTCGTCCGCTCCCTCCTCGTAAGTCCCCACCCCACTTCCGCACCCCCCCACTCACAACCCAGGCCGGAGGTCTCGCCGGCACCGCAGTAGACCTCTCCCTCTTCCCGCTCGACACGCTCAAAACACGGCTCCAATCCGCCGGCGGCTTCTTCGCAAACGGCGGCTGGCACGGCGTCTACAAGGGTGTCGGCAGCGTCATCGCCGGGTCGGCGCCCGGCGCTGCCCTCTTTTTCGTCACCTACGAGGGAGTGAAGGCGCACCTGTCGCCCGACGGCAAGCCGGGCACTTCAACCCACCATATGATCGCGGCATCGCTCGGCGAGGTGGCGGCGTGCTCGGTGAGGGTGCCGACGGAGGTCGTAAAGCAGCGCACGCAGGCGTCTCAGTTCCCAAGCTCGTGGGCGGCGCTGAAACACACGTTTACCGCCAATAAGAGCCCTGTGAGGATCTGGGCGGAACTATACAGAGGATGGGGCGTCACGGTGATGAGGGAGATCCCGTTTACGGTAATACAGTTCCCGCTGTGGGAGGCCATGAAGGAGTGGAGAGGGAGACAGAAGGGCAGGAGGTGCAATCCGGGGGAGAGTGCGGTCTTTGGGAGCGCCAGTGGTGCGGTTGCGGCGGCGCTGACAACACCGCTGGATGTGCTGAAGACAAGATTGATGTTGGCAAAAGAGGTATGTGTTGAGGGGAGTGGGCGGGCAGTCTGCAGAGGGCATGGGTGCTGATCGTGATGGTGAGTAGAAACAATCTGCGGTCTCGACGTTCAAGGGCATCGTCAGAGAAGAGGGAGTCTCAGCACTGTTCAAGGGGATCGGCCCAAGAGTTCTCTGGATCTCCATTGGAGGAGCCATCTTCCTGGGGCCTTTGACTCTGCAAAAGCTGCCCTGGAACGATTCTAGATCATTGATACCATTGAAAGTTTAGAATATAAAGTGCGTGAGCAAGGCGTGATTGCGGTGGTCAATTCATACGACATACACACGTAATAATAAGAGGCCTCCTAGTAGTATTCTTTGTAAATAGATATTATCATTGAGCATCGGGAATATAGGATATGATTGATAGCTGCGTGCCTTAAACCCCCATAAACAATCAAGAAAACTCTGAACGATCATAGGAAGCAGTCAGTTGAATTAACCCATTGAATTTAGTTTTCAAAAAATTGCCTTCTAGTTAATGAGTGGTACACAAAATAACGCCAAAATGATCCCCGGCTCGCATCGTAGGCTGGGCTCTACTAAGAAAGAAAAAACCAAATACCTCCCAGGCCCTCCTCACTCGACCTGGGACACCGACCGTCGACCACTACCACCGAGAACTCCACTGACGCATCCTCTACCGGGCGCGGTTACGTTCCTGGGGGTTGTATCTGTAGAGACACCCATCGAGTCAGCCCTGTTCACCACTCCCAGAACCTCATGTAAACATACCGTAGGAGCTTCTCGATCAAGTCGACGTGTGTCATGATCATTCTACGGCAGCAGTAGCGTTTGCAGCCGAGCTGGTCCATAGCATCACTGTTTACATAGCACGATTAGGTCTTGTCACCAGGGCGATAGTGAGGGAGGATGCAGGCGTACCCTTCAGTAACATTCTCCTCCAGAAGCTGGAGGTAGCGTTCCCAAAGATCTGCAACAACCTATGCCAGAGTGTTAGCTACTTCCCCACGATCAAAAGACAAAGGCTGCAGCAGAAGAGCAGACGTACCTTTCCGCACGAGAAGCAACGAATGGGGATAATCATATTTGCTAGTGTTGTTGTTATACAATTTGCGTGACGGAGAGAGAAAAAGCGAGAGGGGGATCGCCGAGAGAGAGACGGTGGTAAGGGAAAAAGAAGAGATGGATGGTTAGTGTTGTGACTGAACTGATTAAACGGACTGATACAAGTTGTGACTAATATACAGCGTTGTGACCTCACAGCCAATCTGCATGTGTGCTGTGACCCATTAGTGACACACACCGCAACAAAACCACACTAACCCCCGTCTGTCATCCAAAAACCGCCGCATGCAAGTTGAGTTGAGAGAGACGCCAAGATTTCACACCCACGCTCTAAAAAAATTCCCTTCAGTCGTTCAAACCAATCTTTTTTTCCTCACACAAGACTTTCCCTCTACAATCACAAAATCTCACAACCCCAGTCCCCCCCGCTCTTTAACCCCGCCATTACGGTTAGGTTTTTGCGCCCGACCTGCTCGAATTTCGCAAGTTATGACTTCCGACAAAAGGAAGAACGTAGCCGCAGATGGTGGTGGTAGTGGTGGGTCAAAGAGTTTGGCGTCCACTTCGAGTGCTACTACTACTAAAACTACACCAATTAATACCACAACCACGCCCACAAAGTCGGCAAGTAATAATGCGCCCGAGACCGTGTCAGAGGCAACCCCTACAAAGAAAGCCCGAAAACAGGTGCGAAAAAACAAGCGGAAAGGAAGGTTGGAAGCTGCCAATGGTGTCGAACCCACCCCCACTACGGAGCAGCAGCCCAAGGAATTGAAAAAGAAGAAGAAGAAGAAGAGCAAAAAGCCACGAGAAGAAGGACGAGAGGAGACTGAGGGAACTGGAAGGGAGCTGGTGCAGCGCACCGAGGCTGTGTCTGAGAATTGGAAGTTGTCGCCTGCGCTGGGAGGAAGGTTCTTGATGCTGGATCCAGTGTTTGCTAGAGATGAAAAGTACGCCTTTCATCCCAACCTTGCTTACCGCCTGTTGTGCCACTTTTTTCAGTTATGTTATATGTGTGCTGATTCTTCTTGTCTATTGTCCGCGGTAAAGATATATCCTCCTCGCACATGCAAAGTCGTTGAAAATATACTCGACAAAGACCTCCCTCCTCGTCCGCAACATCCAGATCCCATTAATAAAGCCAACGGAAAGAATCACAGCATATCTCCTGGACCCCGTAAACGACAGCAGGGTCTACATTGCAACATCAAGCTCTCAATTGTTCCTGTGGAACTGGGTGGACGGGAAATTGTTCCAGAAATGGAACCTGGGATTCTCCTCAATTGGGCTCATTACTGTCTGCGCAGACGAGAAGCCAGATGCTGAGGCTGTGGGTGTTGTCTATGCGACCGACGCCAGCGGAAAGAATGGATTTCTGTACAGACTTGAGCTGCCCAAAAACTCAAAAACTGAGATTAAGAAATCGATAATCTACAAAACACCCAATGGCGCAATTTCAGCCGCCCAGGTTCTCCTCGGGGGCACAATAGTTACGATTGCCTCGGAAAGGACTTTAATTATTGGAAACAAGCACACCGCTGAAGGTGTTGTGGATGAGGATGCTGGATGGGGGGTTTTCCGGAAGTTCCCAATGACCTTTGTAGTGTCCTGCATGGACTCGTATATCCCAGCCGACGAGAGTAACAAGGGTAAATCAAAAAAGAACAAAAAGACAAAGACTACTGCGGCAGGCGTGTTTGGAGATGTTGTTGTTGGAGACGAGAATGGTTCCATGCATCTATTCCACAATGCCCTACGACTCCGGGAAGAGAATAAGTCCGAACAGGACCAAATTGTCAGAACCCTCCACTGGCACCGAAAGAAGGTCCGATCCGTTAAATGGGCTTCCAATGGTATATCCCCCCCCCTGAAACTCCCCATAAACCCCAAATGTTGACAAGCCAATTTTCAGGCAATTATATCATTTCCGGAGGTTCCGAGACCGTACTAGTTATGTGGCAGGTTGAAACCGGGCACAAGCAGTTCCTCCCCCACTTGGGCTCCATAATTGAGCGCCTTGTGGTCTCGCCCAAAGCAAACTCCTATGCAATCCTCCTCTCCGACAACTCCATCATGGTGATCTCGACCGCCGAGCTGAAAGCCAAAACCAACATTGCCGGCATACAATCCCGCGTATTCTTACCCACCGAAGTCCGCCAATCCAGAGTTCCCTGCGTTTTCCACCCTACCGCCGCGAACCGCCTGCTTCTCGCCACTCCTGCCTCTCAGATCGAAGGCAGCACTGCTTCGCCCTATCTACAAACATTCGATACCTACTCTGACCGCCACGTCGCCCGACAAGCCCTCACCCGCACCAACGCTACCAACTTCAACACAGGCCCCGAACAAGACTTTATCCTCGAGCCCAATGTCACCCTCATGGCCATCACCTCGGACGGGACCTGGCTCGCAACCATCGACGAGTGGAAGCCCCCGCGGCGCAGGTCCGACGATGGCAGCAGCGAGTCACCAATCGTCAAAGACGAGGGCCAAGGGCGCGAGATATACCTACGCTTCTGGAAGTGGACCGAGCAGAAGAAGCTCTGGGAGCTTGTCACCCGCGTGGACTCGCCGCACCCGTCGGCCAGCGGTTTGGGCGCGGAGGAGGTCTACGACCTGATAGCCGCGCCCAAGGGTCACGGGTTTGCGACAGTGGGCGCAGACGGGAGTGTCCGCATCTGGAAGGCCAAAGTGCGAACCCGGGCCGGCGGCATAGAAGTCAGGACCGCTGAGGGCGCACTCACATCCTGGGGATGCAGAAGGGTTATCATGTTCTCCAAGGGGCAGTGGGAGCTCGAACTCTCCACCTCCACCCTCCTCGACGTCGAAGCCCCCATCAAGCGATCCAAGAAGGGCGCCGCCGCCGCCGCCGCCGCAGCAGCAGCAGCACCCCCCTATCGGAGCCAACTTGCCTTCTCCGAAGACGGCTCCGTGATTGCCATCGCGACCCCCGTCACCGGCCTCTCCTCCACCAAAGAAGACACCACCCTCCACCTCGCCGACGCCAGCGCCGGCGCCGTCCGCCACACCATCAGCGGCCTCCAACTCGGCCTCGTCACCGGCCTCGGCATCCACGAGCGCCACCTCATCGTCCTCGGCACGGCCAAGCTCCTCGTCTACAACCTCGTCAACAGCAGCATCCACTACGAGTTCCCGCTCGAAACACTCAACGCCTCCTCCGCCGCCGGCGGGCACCTCGCCCTCGACCACCACAGCGGCACCTTCGCCATCGCGCTCGCGCCGCGCAAGAGCGGCGATAGGCACCGCGTGCTCGTCTTCAGGCCGGACTCGGTCGTCCCCGTGCACGTGCAGGACGTGGGTCTCGCCGCCGTCGCGGCGCTGAAGTCGTCCGAGGGCGGGAAGGGCTACATGGCGCTCGACGCGGAGGCGCGGATACAGTACATTTCGCCCGTTCTGGCGCCGCATGTGTCTGTTGCGCAGCAGGCGTCGTCGGCCGAGTTTAGTCTGGAGGATAATGATGTGGAGGTGACGGCGGGGCTGTCGGGCGTGTATATGACGAATGGCGCGGCCTCGCCTGGGGACAACGACGAGGAGATGGAGACGGTGGATGCTGATGGCGGTGAGGAGGAGGAGGAGGAGGAGGATGGGGTTGTGGACCGGGTGGTGCCGCGGGAGGCGCTGGAGAGCGTGTTTGATGGGGTTCCGGCGTATGCGGCGGGGTCGGTGGAGGAGGCGTTTGAGAAGGTGCTGGCGCTGTTTGTGAAGAAGCCGTTAGGGGCTGGCGATGATAATGAGGAGGACGAGGATGATGAGGAGGAGGAGGCTGACGAGGATGTGGATGTGCAGATGATTGCGGTGTAGAAGGCGGGGGGGGGGATTTATTATTAAAAAAGTTATATCTGTACATGTATCTATACTACGTCCGTGCTGATTTGGTCTTTGTCTTTTGTCCCTTTTTTTCTCTTCATCTTCTTCTTCTTCTTTTTTGGTTTTTTCGATATGTTTCTCTTTTTTTCCCCCCACACATCTTTATTTTGTAAGATATGCTATTTTACTCAAAGTGGGGAAGGCGGTGGTGGTATGGTGTGTTAGTGTTAGTGTGTTGGTGTGTGAGTGTGTTTGGTTTGTTGGAATACCTACTTATTTTTTTTTCTCTCTGTGTTGTGAGAGGACTATGGCATGGCATGGCATGGCTAGCTTTGTATTGTTTTGTATTGTTGTTTCCGGAATATCTTTTATTTTTTGGTGGGAGAGCTGCATGTGTGTGAATAGGAAAGCATCGTTTCAACAGGTTTACCTCGCGAGTGATGGGCTGTGCCAGAGCCGAACCCTGCAGACTGTGGTGGAGAGAGCATGTATTCCTACTTTCGTGATCAGATCCAATCAATTGGTTACATATTAATCAGTGGGCATGTCTCATCTCTCTCTCTCTCTCTCTCGCTCTCTCTCTCCAACAATCCAATTGTGCCTCTCCTCTCCTCTCTCTCTTCGGCCACAACGCCATGCAGGCCACCCAAGTTGACCCAACGCATCCCAGCAGCACAACAGCGATATCTCGATAGCTCCGTCCACAGCACAGCACAGCACAGCACAGCACACAACCCCCAATCTAATAAAACAACACCCAACTCCCCCCACCTGCCGACACCCACCAACAACAGACCACCCACCCCCCCCCCCCCCAATGACCACAAGCTCAGCAACCGCCGGCTGGGAGCAGGTGGAAGACAAATACTACCGCAAGATCCTACAGTACTCATCGCTGTGGGACACAGACTTTGATCTCTCGGACTACATTGTTGCCGGTGCGCCGTATGGGGGAGCTCTCGGTGGGTTTACCTTACACTCCGGGTTATCTGTAGAGAGAGGGGGGTAGAAGGGTGGAGGGGGGGGGGGGGGGGGGGAGAGAGAGAGAGATAGAGAGGTGCTAATAGAGCCTCCAAACACAGCGCTGTACCGCGACGAGAACAAGCTACAGGCGTACCGTGGGCCGGCGCAGGCAAAGGGCGGGATTGACATCTACAGCTCTGCGGGGACACTGATCCGGCGGATACCAGTATGGCCCCTCCTCTTGCTCCCAATCAACCCCCACTCTGCCCCTCTCCCTGGATAGGGGTGTGGATGTGGGTATCAGGCTGACAGAACTCACAGTGGGACAAAGGCTCGATCCGCGGGCTGGGCTGGTCGGAGGACGAGAAGCTGCTTGTCATCACAGAGGACGGGACGGTGCGGTGCTACTACGATCTGCAGGGCGACTTTACGCAGTTTACGCTCGGGAATGTTTGTGGAGCTCTCTCTTTCTCTATCTCTACCTCTCTCTCTCTCTTTCTCTCTCCCTCTCTAGCTATCTATCTACTCTCACGATACTCTCTCTATAACATCCAACTGACCCTAACCCGACCTCCAGGACGCCGAGACCATCGGCGTCGTCGAGTGCCGCTTCTGGTCCACCGGCTTCGTCGCCCTCCTCACCAACAACCGCCTCATCTCCGTCTCGCGCTACGACGAGCCGCGCCCGCGCCTCCTCGCCGACCCCACCCCGCACATCCCCGCCAACTCGCGCATCCACTCCTGGGAGCTCGTTCCGCCCTCCTACACCCTCTCCCGCCACGTCGAAGTGTTCATCTCCACGGGCGCCACCATCCTCATCGTCGACGCGACCGAGGTGCAGGACCAGCTGCTGCAGAACGGGCCCTTCGTGCACATCGCCGTCTCGCCAAACGGGAAATATGTGGCCCTGTGCACGGCCGAGGGCAAGGTCTGGGTCATCAAGGCCGACTTCCAGGATAAGCTGAGCGAGTACGACACGGAGATGGGTGCGGGCCAGCTGCCGCGCGCGATGGAGTGGTGCGGGAATGACTCGGTGGTGCTGGCGTGGGCGGATGAGGTGCACATGATTGGGCCGCAGGGGGCCGCGCTGCGGCATTACTACGATGGATGGGTGCACCTGATACCGGAGATTGACGGCATCAGGCTGATCTCGACGGAGAAGTGCGAGTTCTTGCAGAAGGTGCCCGGTGAGGCCGCCCTCACACCTGGAGATAGGTTTGGACTATGCTGACCTGGTGGTAGATGTCACGGAGGAAATTTTCAAGATCGGGGCGACATCGCCGGCGTCGATATTGCTAGATGCGGTCGACCAGATTGAGCGCAAGTCGCCCAAGGCAGACGACAACATCCAGCTGATCCGCTCGCAGCTGCCGGAGGCTGTCGACGCCTGCGTGAAGGCTGCGGGCCACGAGTTCTCGCAGCACTGGCAGAAGCAATTGCTGAAGGCCGCCAGCTTTGGGAAGAGCGTGCTGGAGCTGTACAGCTCTGACGAGTTTGTCGAGATGTGCGAGACGCTACGGGTGCTCAATGCCGTCCGCTTCTACGATGTTGGAATGCCCATTACATATGAACAGTATGCCCTCCCTCCCCAGTATCATGATACCCTCAGGTAGTAGTATACTGACAGCCGCAGATACCAGCGGCTCACCCCCGACAAACTCATCACCCGCCTGACCTCTCGCCAGCAGCACCTCCTCGCCCTCCGCGTCTCCGAATACCTCCGCCTTCCCACCGACAAGATCCACATCCACTGGGCCTGCCAAAAAGTCCGGCACTCCCAAGACGACGAAGACCTTATCTGCCGCACCGTCGTCGCAAAACTAACCGGCCTGCGCGGCATCTCCTTCGAAGAAATCGCGCGCACCGCCTACGACGAAGGCCGCGGCCGCCTCGCCACCCAACTCCTCAACCACGAGCCGCGTGCCGGCCGCCAAGTGCCACTGCTACTCAGCATGGCCGAGGACGAGATCGCACTCGACAAGGCGATCGAGAGCGGCGACACGGACCTCGTCTTCTACGTGCTCCTCTTACTCAAGAAGAAGCTCCCCCTCGCCGCCTTCTTCCGCCTCATCAACGACCGGCCCGTCGCCGCCTCGCTCATCGAGGCCTCCGCGCGCGAGACGGACCCCGAGCTGCTCAAGGACTTCTACTACGCCGACGACCGGCGGAGCGACGGCGCGCACGTCGTTCTACGCGACGCCCTGGCGCAGAAGGAGCTCGCCGCCAAGATTGAGAAGACGAAGCTTGCGGCGAAGCTGCTGGCCGACTCGAAGGAGCATGCGCTTGAGTCGCGCAGCCTGGACGAGAGCGCGCGGCTGCTGCAGATGCAGGAGGTGTTTGAGAAGGATCTGGCGGGCGAGAGGTTCGCGGGGGAGAGTGTTAATGAGACGGTGTTTCGGCTTATCAGGATGGGGTACAACAGCCGCGCGAACAAGGTCAAGAGCGAGTTCAAGATCCCCGAGAAGCGCTTCTGGTGGCTGAAGCTGCGGGCGCTGGTGGCGAAGCGGGATTGGGGCGAGATTGAGGAGTGGGGGCGGACGAAGAAGAGTCCGATTGGGTGGGAGGTTTGTCTCTCTCCTTTCTTTCTTTCCTTCCTTCTACTACTAGAGATATCAAGAATACTAACCACCGAGTGCACGACACAACAGCCCTTCTTCAACGAGTGCCTCTCCGCCGGCAACACAAAGGCCGCCGCAAACTTCATCCCCAAATGCACCAACCTCGCGCCCGCCGACCGCATGGACATGTGGGTGCGCTGCGGGCTCGTCGTCAAGGCCGGCGAGGAGGCCTTCCGCGCAAAGGACGTCAATGCCCTCGAGGTGCTGCGCACAAAGGCCACGGGCGTGCATGCGCTCGAGATTGAGCGGTTGCTGAAGCAGCTCAGGCCGGGCAAGTAAGGAAGTAGTAGGTGGGGGGAAGTGGGAGGCTTTTTTTATTATTTGTGATGAGGATATGAATTTGATGTAGATTTCATGACTTGCAATTGTTGTGCGGATTTGAGTTTTGTGTGTGGGATGTAGTGCGGGGACGGCTTTGTTTGTAATGCGGTGGAGGTAATGGAGCTGGAGCTGGAGCTGGGACTTGTTGGTTGGCTGGCGTGCCGGGACGGAATCATGTTTTATCACTCATGTGTAGTTATTTAGCAATTTTATCATTTTCCATCCTTCACCACTCCCAACCCAACCCCCAACCATCATGAGAGTAAGAGCAGAAATAGTCAAAAGAGTCAATATGAAAAGGTATTGGCAGCAGTAGAATACAGAGCGCACACCAGTACAATGGATTCCCCCCACAGTAGAACACCGGACATCTACTTACTCCCACAACCCCCCAACCCGTACCAGAGCACGTAAACCGCACAAAAACCAAAAGCACAAAAAAACCCATTAATCTCATTAAAAAGACAAAAAAAAAGCTACCCTACCCCCCTTCCCTTCACCCTCCACCGCTCCACCCTCTACTGCTGCCCCCCACCCCGTCCGCCCCTCCCACCCCTCGCACCGCCCCGTCCACCGCGATAGCCCCCCCTCGACTGGTGCCCGCCGCGGCCACCCGCCTGTCCGCCGGCACCGCCGCCGCCGCGCGGCCCGTGGTTGTCGCGCGTGTTCTGCGCTTGTGTTTCTTTGACGAGGTCGATTATCTCGTCGGGGACGCGGAGGTATTTGATCTGCTGCCGTGTTAGGGCCATGTGGAGGAGTAACAGAAGGAGGGGGAGGGGGGGGGGGGTGGGGGGGTGGGGGGGTGGTAAATACGTTATTGCCACGAACATAGCACTCTGCTAGGCGGAAGAACTTGTCACCTTCCTATACACCGTTAGCACCCCATTCCCACTACTAACCTCCACCACCACCACCTCCACCACCACCACCACCACCGCCAGAGAAGCCAGAGAAAGAGCAGAGAAGCAACACAACATACAGGACTAGTCTGCACCACCTCCTTCAGCGTCAAGTTCATCCACGTGTCGCAGTTGACGAGATGGCCGTTCAGCGTCTCGCCGTTCTTGAGCTCGACGAGCATCGGGTGGCCCTGCGCCGTGTTGAGGAGTGATAGTGGGAGCTGCGCCGGGGTGCATTAGTTTTTTTGGCTTCCCTCTAGATTAGAATTGGAGTAGGGGAGGACGGGGACCGGGGGCGTACCATGATTGTGGGTGTGTATGATGTAGTGGTGGTGGTGGTGGTGGTGGTGGTGGGTGAGAGGGGTGTGTGTGGTGGGGTGTGTGTGAGGTTGGGTGGTGGGGCTTGGCGTGAGGTAGGGGTGTTGCTGGTGGCCTGGATTTGGGGGATTGGATTGAAGACGGATTGTTTTTTTTTATATTGTATTTCATGGACAAGTGCGGTGGAGGGAATTGAGATTTTCAGTGAACTATGGTATCAGAATTGGGTTTAGCTATTTACTATCGATATTGGGTGGTGCAGAATAATAATAATAAAAAAAAAGGGACTTTTGATACTTGACCCTTGCATGCTCGACTGATCATTACCACCCACCGCCTACCACCTACCGAAATATTGCCTGCAAGAACCAGAACCAAACGTAGAGTATACAGTATACCCCAGAAGAGAGAAAAATAGAAATACTGCACTCAATTGCGCGCTATATGTACATTATCCTGCCTTTTTTTATTGAGATCTAACATGAATATTTTACAAAGGCCCCAAGTCAGCTTTAAATACAAACTACAAAGCCTCTTTACCTTCCTCCACCTCCTCCTCCACACCCTTCTTCTCCTTCCCCTCCGGCCTTGAGAACAAAAGTGGCCTATGCTTCTTCAGATACGTGCTCAGCCTCGTGACCAGCACCGCCAGCCTTTCACTCTCGGCCTCCAACCACGGCGACAGCTCCGACCCAGCCAGCACGCTCTTCGCCTGCAGCAGCGCCTCCAGCACCACATTGTAGCCCTTAATCATCTGCATAGCGTTATAATACGACATCTTCATCTGCGTCGCCGACCGCCTATCCTCATACTCCACCAAACTGGGCTCAAAATCCACCTGCTTCCACGCAGCCTTCAATCTGAGCGCAATCTCACTCGTATGCTCCTTCAACCACTCCACAGTCTTAAACTGCAGCGCCGCATCCGACCTCATCCACAGGAGGCCTCCCAGGACAATCGGATCATCACAATACCTCGTCTCCGACTCCGGCTCCAGCGTCAGCTCCCTCTTTCCCACAATATCCAGCAGCACCGTGCCGTCCCTGAGGCCCTTCATGATGCCCGCCTTCTGCGACTTCATATGGCGCTCCCTGAGCGCCATCATGAAGTCGCGGGCCAGCCTGCGCTGGAAGCGGAAATCGGTCTTGTCCGCGGAGCGCGCAATGTCCATGAGGACTTCGACGCGGCCGACGCGGATGAGGTGGCGGACCATGCGGTGGAGGAAGGTGCTGCTGAGGGCACCGTTGGCCTGGTAGTAGCCGCGGATGAGCTCGGGGATGGTGGCATAGTCGGACTTCTCGGACATGAGGTCAAGGGCCTTTTTGAACATACTGACGGGGGTGCCGGGCCTTTCAGGCTTGGGGGTCAGAGTGTAGGGCTCGTCGTCGAGCATGATGCTGACGGGGTCCGATAGGAGGCGGTCATGGTTTTTGGGGCGGGTGGCGAGGCGGAGGTATTCTTTGGGGAGGTGGGCGGGGATGAAGTAGTTCTCGCGGAGGTCTCGGAGAAGTTCGTCGAGCTCTTCGTTGGATGTTTTAGGGAATTTGGGAACAGGTCCTGGGTAGTGGTTAGTTTAGTTCTAGCACAACATATAAAAATAAATGAGGAATTGAGGGGCCTACGGGTGTCTCGCTGGGCGGATCGGGTGGTGGTGAAAGTCCGGAGAGGGCTGCTCAACTGGGTCGATAGCAATTGCGGGCTGTTTCTGACGCCGAGGGTCCGGCGGAGGAGAGTCTGCACGGCGGCCATTGCGTTCAGTGTATATGTCTATATTTCTGCAGGAGTCTTGTGCTCGAGTACGTCGGCCAATTGTCAATCTGAGGTTTCTCGCCGTCCGTTTTTCGTTGCACGCACAGTCTCTGGCGGGGTGAGGCCGAGTGCAATTGAATTTTCAGTTGATGTTCGTTGTCTTGGCACCCCGCCAAATGTTTTCCCCTGCACGGCCCAACTGCAACACCAAAAACGACAAACGCCCCAAAGACATCACCACTTCTGCCTGTCTGCCCGCCCCACAGCAGAGTATAGCACAGCAGAGCATAGCACAGCAGAGCCCCCCCCCCCCCCCCAAGAAGAAAATCCCGCAGCTATGATGTCCGGCCCATCATCCCTGCGCTCAATGGCCTCGTGCTGGACGTCACTCACCCAGTCCCTCAAGATCCCCACCCTCCTCAAGCCCACGCTCCTCCCCACAACCTTCACCCGGAACTTCATCGTCGGCACGTCCCTCCCCTCCCCCCACACTCACCACCACTACTAACACCTCCACAGCCCCCAAGCGCGAAAAGCGACGCATAAAGATCCACCCGCCCATCAAAGGCCCCCCCAAGAGCCCGCTGCAGGCTCTGACCACCCAGGCCCTGCAGACGCTCGACCCCAACGGCACACGCCAAAAGATGTTCTCGCGCCACAACAAGGACAGCATCCGTCCTGGCGACATCGTCCAAGTGCGGCGCCGCAACGGCGATCCCTTCTCTGGCGTGCTTCTCAACATCCGCCGGCGCGGCGTCGACAGCGCTTTTCTGCTGAGGGACCACCTGACGAGGGTGGGTGTGGAGATGTGGTTCAAGCTGTACAGCCCCGCGATTGAGGATATCGATTTGGTGCAGAGGAAGGCCAAGAGGGCGAGAAGGGCGAAGTTGTACTACATGAGGCAGCCGAAACATGACTTTGGGTCTGTGGCGAATGTGGTCAAGGAGTACACGAGGCGTGTTAGGCCGACACAGAGGCAGAGGAAGTAGGCGCTGTTTGGTTGGGCGTGGGTGTGTATATGTAACTATAAATGTAACTTGAAGGGGGGAAATTCCGGATTTGAAACATTGGCTGGTTGTGTGTGATATGTGGGCTGCTTTGAGGCAGATTTTATACGGTATTCTTGTGGTTGTTGGCTATGCTTTTGGCAGGGTCTAGGTCCAATACTTTCTGCTATATATCGGGATCTGGAGGCGACTGGAAACCGAAATATGACTCGAAGGTCACTTTATTGGGATTGATCAATTGGCGAAGATCTCGGGCGTGTAGTAAGAAACCTCAAAAAAAAAGGCTAGATTAATACACGACTTACATGATTTCTCGAGCTATCAGTTAACGAGTGAGAGTTCATGATTCCCATATGAAAACCACACTCCTAAAAACACAAAACAATTATATCTGCTAGCCCAACCACACGCGCCAGCCATCTTACTCTTTAAGATTCAAAACGAGGAATTACAACATCACACGCTTGTCTCTTTCCATATGACGACGCAGAGTAACATGAAGGTCGATATCCAGTGACGGGGCATCCATGTTTCAGAAACTCGTATCATAAGCGGCCCACCGCATCACCATGATAGGACCAAGATAACTACCTCATTTCTGCTCGCTATACATTAAGTCTCAACGCAAAAGATGACCCAGTTGTGTTCTAGTCGAGTGTCAATAGCATGTGCACACGATGCATACAGATATAACCACATAATACTGCGCAGCGTAGGTACATACATGTATGTACCCGGTGAGACAAGACGCCAAGAACGAGTGATCCCGTGTGATGGCCGGTTTGGTATGGGATCTATAAAATTCGGTAGCAAATGCCACAACAACACGTCTGGATTGTTGAATAAACGCCAATTTGAAGAATTACCCGGCCCCCAAGGCTGTCTTTCCGAAATTCATCTCAACCACTAGCACTGTCAACCACTAAAAAAAAAAAAGCCCCCCAAAAAAACACCAAAAAAATAAAATAAAAACCCTTGGCAGCCGAACAGGAGAATAATCCAGAGAAACCACAACCGGAAATATAGTCTAGAGTTTGAGGGCAATAGAAATTACGTAAAAGGCCTAAAATGAAACAGTTTTCGGTATACGTGCTCTCTAATAACACATGATGCAAAGAGACGCAGTTCTTCGCTGTCTGCTTAGTAATAAGGGAGAAATCAAACATCAAAATAGCGTTCTAATTTATTCCACTACAAGAAAAGAAGGAAAGAACAAAGCATTCTATAATGTCTAGCCTGACGAGCAGTCTATCCACTAGACCACCCGCCCATAGTGGATAATGTGATACTTGACCTTGGCAGTGTGCCAAGATGAAGCAGAACCCTGACCCTATGTCCGTATATTAAGTCGTTTTTAAACATACTAACCGAACTGTGCATCTTGCATCATATGTTATTGTAGAGCACGTCTACCGAAAACTGTAGAAATTAACCACCAATTAGAAAACTACAGTCGTTGCATGCAGCTAAACGGGGGTAAAGAAGGGTGCCGCAACGAAATGTGGGGAAGTCTCTCAGCGTGGCCGATCTTTGTGGGATCCAGTGCTCCATCCTATATCTAAAAGGCCGATCTACAGCTGCAGCTAGGGTACATAAACACAGTAGCGTGACGGTACTAAGTGACGATACGCAGTATAAAACAAGTGTTTTAGAAATAATTTCAAACCACCTACAGTCTCCTCTTTCTGGCTTACCAGACCCAAAAGTCCCAAACCCATGAGTGGACGGCCCAATGGCGAGAAAAGTTTTATTCAGGATGAAGAGCCAAAAGCTCTCAAACACAACCCACTACCATGACTTGTATGCATGTCTTTCTGCGTTCCAGTCAACCCAGAGGTGTTCTATCTCTTAGTTTTATTCCTGGGGGTGCTTCGTTTTGACTACACTACGACGCAGTTGGCAATGGCTCGATGACTTTCCGGTTTTACAGCTCCGATACTGGCGAGTTTAATGATGGGCACGATATTCAGTATTTTCCCGACTTTATCTCGAGATCTCCTAGTGTCGATGCTAAAGGATTCAAAATAAGTCTCCCTCATGCTCAGGATTCTTTCGATTGACTGCAAACGGATGTGCATTTGACCTTGAATTCAATCCACCATTTTTGCCAAGGATTTCTGCTCCCCCGGCCCGTTTTCTTTTAAGACGTTAACCAACGATGAAAAGCTGGATTTATATGCCTCAAATACAGATTGAGCTTAGCTTATATTATTCTCGAGATTTGTCTCGGGACTTACCTCAGGTCTCGAGACTTCCAAGACAGGACGGGACGATACAGGCTGACAGGACAAGACTTAGTCTAAAATGGTCTCGTCTAATTGTCTCCAGCACTAGTATCATGGCGTAAATTAGAGTTTCTAATAGAGCGACTCTATCTAGCTACGTGGAGTAGAAGGGGGGTATACCGGCATGAAGCGTCGTGCTGCATGCATCCACTCGGTCATTACCAGTTGTCAGAACTTAAAGTATGGGAGTCAGCCAATATAGGTCACTACGTAGGGGTAGCATGTCATATCAAGAGTCGATAAATCGTGTCAGAATACGGCAGAGAGCAAAGTACAACCCAGAGACCTCTTAAATTGACGAATAAAACGTAGGAACAAATTATCTCCCTCTCCTCTGATTTTCTTCAAACATGTACTATATACGTACATATGTATTCTACAAGCAATTGGAGGTCAATGGCGAAATAAGCGCAACAGCGAGCATGTGTTTGTCAACCAATCAACCAGGAAAATACATATCACTTCTCTTTTGGCCGTTAACCAATACCCCTGTCTATCGAACATTTTGGTACCCTTCCGATTCGTTCCCGACAAAATTGACCAATTGTATAAACACTTCCTGGATATGGCGGGGAAGCCAATCTTTTAAGCTTGCATCAACTATATCGTTTCCAATGGGGTCAAACGGTAACGTGCGCTCACAAATTCTATTGTATCTGTTAGTTGCTGTGCTTTATGCATGTCCCGAAGGCATCTCTGGTCCGGGAGAGATCTGATATCGTAAACGGCCATTGTGACATCTTGGAAACGTTGCGAGCAACCCTTGCAGAGGCCATGGATCATGGCCATGTGTCGACACCGCATAAATTATAAACGACGTCGCCAACCGGTCGAGTGACATCTCGTGAGGATTATATAATCAACACCCCACAATCCGCTATTCGCGATTTTTCTTTCTGCAACACCACAGCTATCCAACCCCACCAATCCCCACATAACCAATAATGGCCCTCCGAGTTCCCGGAACCTCATTGCTCTCGTGGGGAAGCCCCCTCAGCCGGCGGGTACTTCTCCCTGCTTGCAGTCGGCAGTTCACCTCGACCGTTAATACCGCACTTCCGCTCCCAGCGGCACTCAAGGTGTCTGCGTCGTCGCCGTCCAAGATCGCCGGAAGGAAGAGGGCGCGGTATCAATTCCGCCCGCCGCGATTCTACAGGGGTCCGTTCTCGCCCGTACAGCCTCCCAAGCCATCGGCGCCCAACTCGAGACTCTTCGTGCCTGGGCCATTTACTTCTGAGCGTAGGTCCTACTCTGTTCACAGTCTGAAAGCGCACAATTGGAATTGGGATTGGGATAATTAAAATTACCTGGTGTGGGGGGTATCACAGGTCTCCAGGATCATTACTACACAACTCTAGCTCCGGACCTTTTGACAATGACATATGTTCACTTGCCAAAGGGGTACCAGCCCCGCGACTACTCGTTCCGTCACCGAGAGTGGGACGATTCATCCCCGTACCATGCCGGACGTGGGACCCGCCCACCGCCTGGGAGGACGGCGCTCTACCCGGCGCCCCGGCCTCGTACGCACCGAAATCTGCCAAAGCTGACTGGTATCACGGTGCATACGATGGTACGTGATGCGCTGAAGGACTCGGCGTTCCTTCATGCAGCCGGTATGGTGGTGCAGAGCATCACTGGTGCGAGGGCAACCGTGCATTACTCCAAGGTCAACATTGCTGCTTTTGAGTTGCGTGCGCAGAAGGCGTGTGCGGTTACAAGCACTGTCAAGGGGCCGCTGGCGTATAGATTTATGAGCTCCTTGATCGATGTTGTGTTGCCAAGGATAAAGGATTACGATGGTGTGTCGATGAAGTCTGGAGACTCAACGGGAAACATCAGTTTTGGATTTACACCTGAGGCTGTTTCTCTTTTCCCGGAGATTGAAGGTGGGAACCCCATCCCCACAGTGTTTGGGCCATCGAATGATTAAATCGCTGACTTGGCGTAGTAAATTATGATATGTACCCCTCAAGAATGGTTCCAGGTTTGCATGTGACTGTCCACACCTCTGCAAAGACCGATCGGGATGCAAAGCTACTTCTCATGTCTATGGGAGTACCGTTCACCACTAAAGGGAAATCAAAGAAGAAATAAACGGCGTACAAGGTAGTAAGAATGTTCATATTTCTTTGCATTTTTAGGTACTGTGTTTCAGAGCACGGATATTGTATTATAGGGGGGGATAGACTAGCCCGTGGAAATTCAGTCCAGACCCAATGAGCCAACCATGTATTTCTCTCAAGCTTCTGGGATTTCGAGTGATTCTGTATGATCGAATAGAAAGGTACAAAACACGGTATTGATGCTGACCGGCCGAATAAAACCTGGTATTCCAGATGGAATAAAACAATAAAAGGGATGAATATAGAGAAATGGGGGTTGGAGAATTCTGGATTTTAAGGAAAGGATGATTAATTTAGTCTTAGATCACGGGTGGCCGAACAGCTTCTAATAGTCAATTATGTTTCCCCTGATTCAATAAAATGTATATTTGCACTATGCCGGTGTGTATCGCCTTCTATAACGCCATTAATCCTTACCGCTTTCCCATAGAGGTAATCATCTCTTGGTGTACAGATCTATCCCTCTGTGCCTCTGTCAAGGAATTAATACCTGAAGCAGTCAATGTTAGCTATCTCCAAAAACCAGCGACACCTAAAGGAAGATATACATACTCCTAAGATCACCAACAACATCTTTCGCCTTTCCAAAGTAAACTTCCTGGAGCAAGTTTCTCATCTTGAGCTCCATATCCTCTACCAACTTGCCGATATTCGCGATGTGCGAGGAATCGTCATCGACCGGCAAGGTCTGTTCGATCTGTCGAGTCATGTTACCGGAAAGATCCATCTCGCCCAAGGATTCATCGCCGTTGATCATATTTAGAATGACGGTAGATGTGAGCTTGTAGTGGGCTGTCCGAGCTCTGTCGGTTGCCTCAAAAACATGAATAGAATCCCAGGAACCGATGGACTTGTTTGATGGCGAAACAGCTGTGTCCGAATTAGCTTGAGCAACGTTTTAAGTGTAGTCCAAGGTGGCAAATTGCATTTTTTCAAAAGAACAACACCAGCAAAGCCATCATCCAAGTTCCAGAAGTAAACGCTTGAGACCCCACCCTCGTAGTATCTATGCCACCCCTGTCAGCTTCACCTAGACCAAAAATTTCGTTCGAATATAGCTTACAGCTCACGATAGATATCGAAGGCATCGTTAGCAGCGACTTCCATCTTTCGGACCTTCTCACTGGGGAGAGTTCCATCGGTCAAAGGTGGATCAAACTCGTTGCTCCACGGGGACCTGTATGAATCTCCATCACGGTTGTAATCACAGAGGAGATAGTCCCGTCCAGTCTTTTTGCAACGTTGAACTTGAAGCGGTTGATCGACGGAAGAAAGGAGCTCTTCGGTAAGGTCGGGAACCAGATTTATCAATGCGTTGACATTGTTGGCCGTGTGTTTAGGGTTAAGACGGCGGAGGAGATCGCTATGGTAGTCGTCAGCAAGTTATGGTTCAATTATAGAACTTTAGTAATAACCTACAGGGCGGAATCAAATGGGTCCGGGGAAGACATTGAGCTTGTTTTTGAAAAACAAAGAGTTGAATAGGAGGTGTTGGTTACGGGGCGGGGAGCTACAGATAGGTGGGGTGTAGGGACACGTGCAGGGTGCTTGGCAGGGTAGCAGCAACGACATTGGAGCTTTTTGGCTCCCTAAATTATGGAAAGCTACACCTCCATCGCGAACGCTCAATAATTAAATCTCCACGAGCTCCGACAATAGCTTGGAATCTTAAATGTCTTCTCTGGGTCCCTCGCTTACTGAGGACGAACTGACGTCTCTCCTGGCTCGCATATCTCAAAAGCAGTCTGTGCAGTCACTCATTATTCTTGATCGGTCTTCAGGCTCCATTATCCGCTCTTCCGGCTCGATTGCCGCCAATAGGAATTCGGAATCTCTCATCGGAGAGTATGCGGGGATGGTTTGGAAGTTTGTTAAGAGCGCCGAGGAAATGGTCGGTGGTATGGATGATGAGGTATGTTTATAAACATAGCGGGTGTGAAAGAAACACTTACTGATTCGCTCCTAGGACGATTTGAAACTTTTGAGAGTCAGAACGAAGAGGCACGAGTTGGTTATCGTACCAGGTAGTTATTAATGTCCTTAAATTACTGTGCCTGAGCTGACTAGTCTTCCAGATCCACGCTTTATCTTAGTCGTTTTCCATGATACACCAACGGCTTGAAGCTAGCAGCATGCTCACTTATGGATTGGACGGCGTTATAAACAAGTGGTTTCATGGTAATATTTTGGGTGCACATAAAGGCATTTCTTATTTTTCTTTCCTAAGGAGGCTTTACGAGATACCTATTTTGTAATCAGAGTGGGCTCTTGATAAGCACACCGCATAATTTTAGGTTCTTTCGAGGCTCCTTTATAAGTCAGTTAATTCTGAAGCAGAAGTAATGATTTTACTTGTGACATCTCCGGTTCTCATAGTGCTTTTGACAATTCAAATCAACTAATTACATGTACTAATGCATATGTAGATATATTTGATATTGGAAGTTTACGACTAGAATATAAATCCTTGGCGAATTATTACATGTAATTCCTGGTAGTTATTGATGATAGACGCAGGAATGCCAAGGTATAAAGAGACAGGGTTGCTTAATTCACCACAATACCATTTTACAGCTTGAAGAATTAATTACTTTATAATTTATTACAGAAATACGGAAGGAGTTTTATTAGCCTGGCCAGCAATACCTTTTTCCAATAATTCTACTTTCGCTCTATAGTGAAATATTCACTCATAATAGCAGTGGTACTATAACTACATGTATCGTGGCCACATATTCCTTAGCTAGGCTCAGAAGGGCCATATCAGCTAAACAATGTACAGCTATAGCAATGTTTCCGGTTATTAGCTTAGTGACATCTCATGATGCACGCCGGAGGTCATCGCAATGAGTTGGTCAGACGCTAACAATTTCCTATATTCTTTTAGTGATTTATAACAACTGCCAGAGGCAATATATTAATAATCAAGGCCCAAGATTAAAGATAGAATCTCCAAATCGCAAACAGCTCAGGCACCTCCAAAGTGGGTTAGGGTTTCGCGCAATTGACTACCGATGGTTACCCTACTTATCGAAAACTTCGACAGAGCCTCAAAAAAAAGTTCCTAAGCTCAGTGCCAGAAACACCCAATCAACCATCATTTTACCCATTGCTACCAAAAATGAAGGTCGGTTTCAACGTAAGTTTCTCCCAGTTTCTCGCTTTCTCTTTTCAATTGATTGCTAAAAAATAATCCCCCCAGTTCGCAAATTTACTCGGCACGGTTTACTGTCGCGGAAATCTCGTCTTCACACCAGATGGAAACTCTCTACTTTCGCCAGTAGGAAACAGGGTTTCGTGTTTCGACCTCGTCAAGTGCGCCTATCAACTCCTCATGCGTGCGCTGGAAGAAATGTTACTGATTTCCGGGTTCGCAGCAATAAGTCCTTCACCTTTAGTTTCGAGCACCGGCACAACATCGCAAGATTAGCTCTTTCGCCTCAAGGGACATTATTACTTACGGTTGATGAAGGTCTCTCACAAATTATCCTAATTCTAATACAGTTTCTGACGCAATTGTAGATGGCAGGGCGATCCTCACAAATTTCATCCGTCGTACCACCCTGCACTACTTCAATTTCAAATCAAAGGTTACCGACCTGAAATTCTCACCAGATGGTAAACATTTTGCTGTCGCCGTGGGGCGCAAAATCCAAGTCTGGCGTACACCCAATGTCGATGAAGAACGGGAGTTCGCGCCGTTCGTTAAACACAGAGAATACGTAGGGCATTACGATGTCGTGAATAGCATTACCTGGTCTAGTGACTCGAGGTTTCTTCTAACTGCGTCAAAAGATTTGACGGCAAAAGTGTTCTCGTTAAATCCCATGGAGGGATTCGTACCGACTAGTTTGGCGGGGCATAAAGATGCGGTCATTGGCTCCTACTTCTCTAAGGATCAGGAAACGATCTATACCGTAGGCAAGGATGGCGCATTGTTTGAATGGAAGTGGAAACAGCCACCAGCAAGGGAGGATGGAGACGAAGACATGGAGGAGGTAAAAGAGAGGCCAGAGAGGTGGATGATCACGCAAAAACACTATTTCCAACAAAATCACGCAAAGGTCAAGTGCGCCACATTTCATCAGGATTCAAATTTACTGGTAGTCGGATTTGATTCAGGTATTTTTGGTTTATATGAAATGCCAGACTTCAATATGATTCACACCTTGAGTATCTCCCAACAAGGGATTGACTTTGTGACTGTCAACAAAACCGGTGAATGGCTCGCCTTTGGGGCTTCAAAGTTAGGTCAACTACTTGTATGGGAATGGCAATCAGAATCATATATTCTCAAACAGCAAGGCCACTTCGACGCAATGAATTCATTGGTGTACTCACCGGATGGGAGGCGGATCATCACCACCGCCGATGATGGAAAGATCAAGGTCTGGGACGCACAATCAGGGTTCTGCATTGTCACATTCACAGAACATACATCTGGCGTTACAGCCTGCGAATTTGCTAAGCGTGGGAACGTTCTTTTTACTGCCTCTCTCGATGGCAGTGTCCGAGCATGGGACCTAATTCGATACAGAAACTTCCGAACATTCACTGCTCCGAGCAGACTTCAGTTCTCAAGTCTTGCAGTCGATCCTTCTGGCGAGGTTGTCTGCGCTGGCAGTTTGGATAGTTTTGATATTCATCTCTGGAGTGTACAAACTGGGCAACTCCTCGAACAGCTCTCTGGGCACGAAGGCCCAGTCTCAACACTTTCATTCGCACCGAACGGGCAAAATCTTGTTTCCGGTTCCTGGGATAGGACCGTACGAATCTGGAATATTTTCTCCCGAACCCAGACAAGTGAGCCGTTGCAGCAGCAGACCGATGTACTCAAGGTTTCTTTCCGACCTGACGCCCAGCAGATTGCAGTTAGCACTCTTGATGGACAGCTCACATTTTGGGATGTTGAGAACGCTGAGCAAATTGGTCATATCGATGGACGAAAGGATATCTCTGGAGGACGAAAAGTAACAGACCGTACTACCGCTGCCAATGCTGTTGGTACAAAGCATTTCAACACACTTTGCTACTCTGCTGATGGAGCATGTGTTCTCGCCGCTGGAAACAGCAAGTACATTTGTCTATACGACATTGCCTCTGGTAGTTTGGTTCGGAAATTCACTGTCTCTGTCAACTTATCCATCGACGGTACCCAGGAATTCCTCAACTCAAAGAACTTAACAGAAGCTGGCCCATTAGATCTCATCGATGATCAAGGTGAAGCTTCTGATCTCGAAGACCGTATCGACCGTACTCTCCCCGGTGCTTCTCGTGGTGACTTGTCACAACGCAAAGTGCGGCCCGAGATACGTATTGCAGATGTCGCGTTTTCTCCCACGGGCAGGTCCTTCGCTGCAGCCTCAACAGAGGGCCTATTAGTATACTCTCTTGACAATGTAGCCATTTTCGATCCCTTTGACCTCGACGTCGATGTAACCCCCGCAGCTACACTTGCTGAAAAGGACTATGTAAAGGCGTTGGTGATGTCCTTCAGACTCAATGAGAGATACCTTATCCACCGTGTATACGAGGCTATCCCTCCTGAGGATATTAAGCTGGTAGTTCGAGAGCTCCCAGCAGTCTACCTGGCTAGACTGCTACGATTCGTTGCTGAGATGGCGGAGGAAACGCCGCATGTTGAATTTGCACTACTATGGGTAGAGGCAGTTTTGAGTAAGCACGGTAGGGTGATTAAAGAACGGAGAGGAGAGTTCGAGACGGAAATGAGGAGTGTGGCAAAAAGTGTGCAGAGAATCCAGAGTGAACTGGCAAGGCTGTGAGTCTATTGATGAATTCACCCTATCCTCTCGTTTGGCTCATCGACTGACTTTTCCATTCCAGTGCCGATGAAAATGTTTACACGCTTGAGTTCCTCTTATCAGCGCCCGTACCCAGGGAAGCCCCATTAGGGTCTCCGGATAAAAAGATGATAACAGAAAAGGGAGAATCCGACGAGGAGAAGGAAGAGGAAGACGTGGAGATGGAAAATGGGAGCAACGAAGATGAATGGATCGGACTCGGTGATGATAGTGATTGAACGACCAGATCTTGGTTATGGGGTAGATAACGGTCAAAAAGCGTGTTTTGTGTTTCGTGTAAATTTAGTTTGTATTTCTCATAAGTAATCGGTTCCTATAGTATGTACATTGTGACACCAGCAATTTTACTCAAAGAGCGGCCACACTTATTCTGGAGGCTTCGGGCCACCTGTTAGTTCGAAGCCCCTGACCCCGATTCACGACGTCGCCTAGGCCCCATGACTTCGATTCCAGACACTAGTGCAATTGGTGTTGTTGCTCCAAGAAAAAACGGAGAGCAGGATAAGTATTCCCTGAAGCACCAATTAAAGCAATTAAAGGGAAATCCTGAAACGACGTCAGAGGTCGTCGAGAGTATGGTCCTCTAGGAAGAGCGTCATGGTCAGGAATCAACGCTAATGTTTCTCAAGCAGCACACACACTAAACAATTCGATCCTGCCAGCAATTAATGAATTAAACAAAAAAAAAAAAAAAAAATTCGATCCTGCCATAGCACAATCACTCGAAAAGAAAAAAAGAAAAGCGGACTGTCGAAAAAATAATGATAGGCGGTCTATGGCAATAGCACTGTTAGACCCAGAGCGGACTCTCAAACGTTTTTTCGACATAAATGGCAATGCAAATGTGCCGAGAAACAGGGGAACCTATCTCCTTCTTTTTTTTTTTTAACTGTGCTGTGACAGAAAGTGTCTGCTCACCCCAAGTGTTTCTCTAGTGGACCTAATGCACTGCGGTTAGGCTCCCCATCCGACATGGGTGACGTGTCACAATATTTCCTCTACTCACACTTGTTCCCCAAGATCAAGTTTTTCATTCGGCACCAGTCGGAGCAAGGTAGGGTGGCCGAGTGATGGACTATGAAGCCATAGTTATACGCCTCTGATCGAGAAAAAATAGCCACCGCTAGGACGCTTCAACACAAGACGATTACTTATTATTTGCTGGGATTGTCTCGGATAGTGCAGCTGGATCCTATTGCATAGCTAGCGAGGACCAAAATTAAACCAAAACGTTCAAACAAAGTATAGCTAGAGCAATTATCTTCGCTACTCGACACACCAAGAAGCGAAGAAAAATATCCCCCCCCGCTTTTATTTGCTTTGTTGGACATCAAAACTTACTTTAAACCCTTGGCCCCATTCTGGTCCTCGCTAGTTAACGTGCTGTCTTGCACGTGTCGCATCCACCTCGTATTCAGATATTCGATGATACTGGCGCCTGAAGCAAAGCAAAACAGATCGGAACGTACACAACATGATACAGTTAGTCAGCATTCCTGGCGATAAATAACACACTCAGATATCGGAGTGTTATTCGAGGTTTCGTGTGGCTAACTGTGAAGAACGTTGCGCTATGGGATGCACAAGCCCACCCCCACATCCTGGTGAACACCCCTAGATTTGCTGGAAACACTTAAAGTATGATTTGCACTTGGTGATGACAGCCGCATCATATTGATTGGGCCTGCCCCGCTTCTCTGATCTGCCAGCTCAGATAGAGTCATCTTTCATCCGGCAAGGGGCTCCCTGCTTTCATAGTATTGGGTCTGTACCATTTTGTTCTGTGCTTCGTCCGAGGGACTATCTGCTATCATCAATCTTTCTCCATGCAGGGAGTGCTTGGAGAGGGATTAAGATCTATGGGTTCCAAGGCTCGATGAGTATTAAAGGTTCCAACGTCCCCCTCAAAAGCATATTATTGATATTTCCCATAGTTAGATGAAATCTCCTTGAGATACACATATCAGGCCATCCTTACACCTTTTTCTCTGTTATCGGCACCCTTTATAATACACTTCGTCAATGTCTCCTCCAAATTTCCCAGACTCAGTGACTTTAACGCCCCTTCTTCATGGCCTTTCGATATAAAAACAACATGAAAGAAAGATCTTGAAAACTGCTCCCCAAAATACACCCGGGGACCCGGAAGAAATGCAAGAAAACCCAATTCATTTCGCGCACCTAAAACCAAACCCACGTTTTCCCGGGTCAGAGGGAGGTCCCACGACGATTCTCTGAAGAGTGGACAATTCTACAAAAAAAGACCATTCGACTTCCTATATATATACCATTAAGATTTTTCACCCTGTTGGGCAGACCTTGCCTTATCCGATCCCGTCAACGCCATCGCATAGGGCGCTCCGCCGTCCTGGGCGGAAGGGATAGAAGTGCACACACCCAACATTTAAAATATCAAGTCCTAGAATGTTTATGGCTTGTGAGAGAGGTGCATAAGAATGAAGAAGCGGTGTCTACGTGGATTATAAAGGACTAGGAGTGTTATTATAAAGGGTGTTGGTGACAGAAAAAAAGTTGTAAGGGTGGTTGGGCTGTATCAAAAGTAGATTTAAATGTAATTATGTCAAAACCGTATGAACCACCACCGCCACCAGGCTTGAGCAGTTGTAACTGCTTAGGCCTGGTGGTGGTGGTGGTTCGTGCGTTAGGACGAGTCCCGCATTGGTGGTGCGAGCCGCCGAATTAATCCCTTCGTTCGTCAGAGCAAAAAGGGAGACATATTAGGCCCGCGACGGCGTGACAGAAATCTAGCTACCTACAGATTGTGGAATAGGTATAGGAGGGGTCATAGAAGGTGACTTCACAGCAAAAGAGGTTCACGGAGTGAGGGTTAGGTGTACTACCGAGTAAGAGTTGCCTACTAGCTCCCGGTCGTGAAAACGCACGGAGGGATGTGTGTGAGATCTAGATTGGATCTATGTACCGGTACCCCAAATAGTAGAGTACCGGAAAATGCAGGTTTCCTTTTCCACCAATCGATACGCGTGCTAAGCGTTATCTACCTCTGCCCCGAATATCATAAATCTACTATAATTCGGCGTAGATAATATGACACATACATGTACGGTACCAGCCCTCTGGTACCAATGCCCGGGTCTTTGTTATGCCTAGCTTTCACGTGCGAGTTATTACTCTACTGCTTACCTGACCTGCGCAGTGCCTGCGCAGCTGCAGGACACCAGTGTAATACAAATGTCTGGGCACGAATTATTACCAGCGTTATCTGATCACTAAACTACAACAACAATAAGCTACTACGGAAATATACAATACTTACAAATAGAAATGTTCAAAGACCAGCCCAGGCCAAATACAATACCACATTCTACTCGGCATAGTAATGATTTCACCCGCCTTTATTACGCTGTATATAATGTGGCATATGCACGTAGATGTGTAACTCATAATTTGATTCGACAGCTATGATAGAGCTAGAGTGCCTCAATTGATAAAGGCGATGTACATCCCCAATACTAGCCACGTCGAAATGATTTTACCAGAGGCTGCAGGGTGGATTGTGCCGTGGTAAAAGACGAGGGTGGGAGCCCGGCCCATAATGTGCGTTAATCCGAACTCTCTCGGGTTCCAACTCTACTGGGCCACGGCAACTAATAGTATAAGGGCTTTCTCACCTTATGGATATACTTTTTACTTTTTATCTTAGTTCAGTATGCTGGTCATTGGGGATTGATATAGTTGCCATTTTTGGTAGATTTTCCAATCAGAGCAAAGGATTGTACTTGATAAAACACTGCCTCAAATCGCCTATTTTAGAAAATCTAACCATCTTTTAGGGGGTTTTCAAACTAAGAAAGGACACTCAGGTTTTACGTTCCTACCCATAACATTATCATCGTGATTTCCAATATTAACGGTGTACCCGGTGGGGAAGTTGGCGGTAGTCATTTGGAGTGGTATATTGAACTTTTTATGGATGAAAATTCTTCTTTCAAGAACCAAAGGCGAATGAATATATGGCTCACTTGATACGAGGTGGCAGGAGTTACATGTATGTAAAAAAAACCCAATCTCCGAGGCCAGGTCCGCAAAACGGGCCATTGTAGACAAGTACATGTATGTATATACATGTAAGTACAGATCCTTGTAATGTGGACCTTGGTTATAGAACGACACCTTAAGCATGTATTGTTCTAGATCTTTGATCTTTTCCCAATTACGAGCCCTACACCATATATGCATAACCACTTTTTCGGATGATGCTGCAGGAAAAAAAAACACTGCCAGGCCGACCCCAGTCCTCTTCATCCTACTGGGCAGACTAATCCAATGATCTCTTGCAGGAAGTTTGCATACCCGCCGAGAAGAAACGTTGCCCCAAACGAAGGTGACAGGCATGGGGGGTCAAAAGTCATTTCTCCTTATATTATTGGCTGTTCTACGGTGCTAGTTAATTCTGATGGCAACATATCAATATTAACATCGAAACATGACACTACAAACTCAGTTTTCGATGCTGTCTCATAGTAGCCTATACTTGCGAGTGAAGATAAATTCAGCATAGTGCTAGTGTGGATAGCCCCCAAAAGCTCAAAACCCGAGCCCAAAATCCGAAAACGCAGGTGCTGCCAAAACGCTCTAATCAAAGTCTCAGGCATGATATGGACACCAACATACTCGCGTGTAGGGGAAAGAACCAGAAAATGCAAGTGAGAAAGCAGGGATTATTTGTATAGAGTGGCGCCGATCTGCCATACAAAATCGACATTTGCATTTTCTGGTTCTTTCCCCTACACGCGAGTACATGTATAATCCATAGTGAGAAGGAAATGATCTCCGGAATCTGTTGCAGTGTAGCAGCACAAAAGCGGCAACAACTTAACCATATGTGGTAACAATTGCGCTACTACCCAAACAGCTGGTGCCAAGACGTCGGGCCTGCGCTGCATCAGATTCTTCCCAGACAGATTATTGGTTATAAACCTAACCCTAGCTCCGTGAACCGCTCGCTAAACCTTATTCTGGTAAGTCCACAGCGCGTAGGCGGTTAGATTTACTGAATATCACCGCGTCCAGCTGCGGAACGCATGAGATTAGGCTAATGCCCTGTTAGTGGGGGCGCGCTTCACGGAAAAGATACACGCATCATCTTGGGCATCTGAGTGATGGCTGGTGACCAATAAGGACCTTTTTTTCTCGTGGAGGTCGATTTGAACCGATCCCCTTCGACTAACTAGTCAGTTTTCAATCGACCTCAATCATGGTAGCTCACGGGGCTGATTAATGATCTATAAAACAGTTCAAGAAAAAGAAAGAACTCCACCTATATTGAGTCATTATTGACTGATATCATAATCAATTTGATAGATTGGTCACGACCAGTGGGGTCCAAGGAGTATAACTTGTTCTCTAAATAATCAGTGCCTTGATTCAATCCGACTCTACAATCGAATCAGACACAGTTTGGCACACATTGGCCAGTTATTGCCCTATAATTGATCCCGGAGACCCTTTTATTTTACACAACAAGGCTCAAAAGCCGCGGGGTACAGCTCCCAAAGAGGTTTCGGGCCTCATATCTTCCAGCCCCAGTCCCACATTAATGATGGGTAGCCTTAAATAGGTAAACTGTTGCGTGAAGCTTCTTTACCCCGTTCCGCTCCCACCTACCAGATTGATGGCATCCAGCTCCATAAAGCCGATACAGGGCCCAGGGATAATATCTCTCTAGCATGTGCGTTTCTCCAAAATTTGTCGAATGAGCAGTCTCATTTTTAGTGTGGATACACCAGTCTTATAACCAATGTCCAGCACTATGATGAACTGGCTATTATTCCTATTTATTTTACCCATGTTAATGTACAAGAAACTCTAAAAGAAAACCATAAGTAAATCGCTAGCCTATTGCTAACAATGCAAGGGAATAAGTCGAGTAATGAAAACCCTCAAACACAGGCTGGAGGTAAAGGTACACTTAAAAGCAAAAGAGAAAAAAGGAAAAAGGAAAAATAACACGCGAGAACATTCTGCCCCCCCAATCGACGCCGTACGACCCATTTGAAAGAAATAAGAGTAACAATCTGAAGTAGAGAAAAAAGTGACTACAATAATACCCCAGCGAAAAAAATAAATAAATAAATAAAAAAAGAAGAAACAAATACCCCAAACCCCATAGCAGCTGTGAATAGCTGTATACCCCTAATTAATAAAACGGCTTTCCTCAAAACATCGAATTAAGATCCTGTAGGCGTGCCTGCGGGTGCAGGCGGGCTCATCCCCAGCTCCGCCCAGGTCCCATTCAGCTTGGGGCACAGTTTCTTGTTTGTACCTGTACCATCTATTAGCATTTGAGTTCGTTGATTAGCTTAAACAAAGATGACAGATAATCTCTTACGAATATGCCCCGCCTGCCCACAATTCGCACACTTCCTCGTAGTAGCAGTTTTTCCTGGAACCGGCATCATAGTCATCGGGGAGCCAGGTGTTGTGGCCTCCGGCGACATTACATCACCAGTACTAAAGCTCCCCTTCTTGCCCTGTCTTTCTCTCGCCTCTCTCCTTTCCTTATTCCTTTGTAATCTCTGAAGCTCGATCAGCAGCCTCTTCTTGTTCCTCTGGTCCTCCTCGTCGTTACCGGTAGGGACGATATTCTCGACTCTACAATGCGGGGTCAGTAACTTTCTTCTTCCTTTGGGTCGTTTTTTTCCTCGTCTGCCTCCGTTTGGGTACATACTGGGTCTTCTCAGCCTCAAGATCCCGCCGCCGCTGGAGATACTGTCGGATCACCTTGGGATCGGTGACTAGCTCGACTTTGTTCTCAAGCTCGCCTTTATCGTTGCGGACGCGGCGGACAATCTTGAGCACCTTATTGCGCTGGTTGGTGGCACTGAAGCGGGAGAACTGACTCATTGTCTCGTCATCGGGGTTAAGCCAGGGCTTGGGCCGCCTGGTGTAACAACCTGGCTGCGGGGTGTCATTCCTTCTTCGAAGAGGTCGTCGACGTGCTCGTCACGCTGGGCGTCCTCGATTTCAAGGTCTGGAGGCTCAGTTGATGATAAACTTCTGTGCTGTGAGCGCCAGATCTGGTCAATTGCTTCCTCATACTGACGCTGCTGACGGGCAACGTTGTAGGAATGCCCGCCGAGCTCCTTGAGGCGGGCTTTGTCCATTTTTTCCTCGACACTCTCGCCGACGGCCTTAAAACCTCCCTTCATGCTGGTTCTAACAAATGAGAATGCCTCACCACGGCCACTGGGGTCACCTTCACCATGGAGCTGTAACATTGCTTTACCTTGTGTAGCGTTGATGAAATTCTTTGTAGAGACCCAGGGGGTGAGCTGGGTCTCGAGACTCATACCGTCTTTATCATCGTCTTCTTCATCCTCGACAGTTTTTGCATAACCAGCGTCAGCGAGGTTACGAACGCCGACTTGCATAGCCTCAAGAAGACAGAGGTCCTCAGGTTTGACCATGGCGCGGATAGCGGGCTCGTCGGGGACGACTTCGCCAGGTTTCATTTCCCAGAGACCGCTGCTCTTTTGGTATCCCATGAATTCCTTGATCTTCTGTCTGTTTTGTAGATCATTGTTTTCCGGGAAATGTGCAGATATATCCTTGACTGCAATGGCTTTACCCTCTTTCCGCTTCACAACACGGTAGCAAACCATCTTTAGCCTGTTCTTGGCCGCTGTTGTGACTTTACGGGAGTGTGGACCTGGAACATCAGTGACGGGAAGGAGCTGACCCACTACATATATGTGTGGGATTGTGCGGAGGAAGTAGTGGCTCTGATTATCGTGCGTGTTCCGAATGACAAGAAAGTCAGTGCTCTTTGGTGTCTGCTTAAAGATCGGGGCACGACTCATGCGGTTGTACAGCGTCGGAACCGTCTCTCCCGGGTCAACAGTTCCAAAATTCCAGAACGGAGACCTGTCCTGACTCATTAGTACCTGGGTCTCACCAATATCGTATTTTGGTCGTGACTCGTCGTCGGGACCCTTTCGGCGGTAGTAGTTGATGAGACGGCTGCCCATTCCGAAGTTTGACATGACGGTAGGGTATTCCTCCGAGTACTCGAGAAGAATGAAGTTGCAATTGTCCATGAGCGAGATGTCTTTGGTTGTGGCAAGAACCGTTTGAATGTCTTTGCCGCGCCAGGTTTTTTTTTTACGGCTCTTGATCTTAGAGAAGCGCATTTCCTGATTCACATGGAAATGGAGGCTGGGACGGTGGAAGGAGCGGGCTTCTTTGATAGAGAGCTTGGTTTTGTACTATATCTAATATTAGTAATGATCAAAATGCGGGTTTGAGCAAGGATTTGACTTACGTATGGTGATTGTAATCTCAATGCGGGCATACTGTGCTCGATATTAAGCTGCCCGATAGTGCTTCTGACCTTGTTCTGGTGGTTCCCTTTCAGTAGATCGTAGGCCTCGTCGTTGCTGATATTGTATCTCTGAGTAAGGTCCTTGTTGACCCTTCTCTTGAACTCACCACCAATCTTCCGTGTTCGCCGAATTTCATTGGGCTGGCGGATATCCACCAGAAGATATGGATCATTCAAGTCCAACGTAACCTTTGCCGAGATAGACGTGAGGTTTCCATTAAAAATTGCATCCTCGTCCAGCCACGAGTCCGGTAATTGGTCCAGGAACTGGTCAATCTTAACCCGCTACACAGAGATTCAGCACACGAAACAACACCCTTCTAACCGGGAGCCAGCAGAACACCACAAACCTTCTCCGGCCGGTTTTTCTCATTCCGGATCTCGACCACATCGATTTCCGCATCATCGTCGTCCAAATCCCGCTTCGGCATCGCCGGCGACGATGGCGGCGGCGTTGCCAGAATCGCCTCAATCTTGCTGTCCCAATCGTCGCAGGCCAGGACCAGGTCCCGCTCAAACGACGCATCTTTCTTTGCCTCCTCTGGATCCGGCTTCTCCTCCTCCTCCTCTTCATCTGACTCAATCTCCTCGATTTGCGGCGGTATGATGATGATCCTTGCCCGTCGCTCGTCGTCATCCCGCTCGACATACCCCTTGATGCCGGCAGCGCCCTTGGAGAACATAACAGAGTCGTCGGGCGCCATCTCGAGGTTGATCTTTGTGGGTACGCAGACCTTGGGCGCCTTTGGGAGGACGGTACTGAGGGTAGCTGGCTTACTCTTGAAGAGGGAGTTGAAGCTGAGGATCTTGTGGGGCTCAAAGTCGGGAAAGTACTGCTTCACGAGCTCTTGTTCGGTTCGTGTAGACTCCATCATCTCCCCGGGGCTCATCCCAAAGTCGATATCCTTGAAGAGCGCAGCCCCTGCTTTCGCTGCCTCGCCGTCGTATAGCTGCCCGGAAGCGCCAGCACCACCGCCGCCGCCGCTGCCGCTGCCGCTGCCACCGTCCGCAACCTCGACACCGCCGAAGTCTAGGCTCATGTCCATGTCGAGCTCCCCACCGCCCCCGCCAGAGTCCTCAAGTGCGTCCATGTCACCAAACAGATCATCAAGCTCGTCACCGAGAGCTGCCGACGGAGCTTCGCCCTCATTCATCAGGTCGAAGAGCTCGTCACCCTCTGCATCCTCCTCGGTCAGCTGGGTATCATTGGCGGCCGTAGTGTTGGCAGAGTTGTTGGCGGGCTCTTCTTCCTCGGGGAGGAGGTCGTCATCGCTGATGTCCTCATAGTCGACGGCGTCGGCTACCTTGCCGACGGTGTCGCCGAAACTGAAGTCGCCGGGGACGTCACCGGCGAGCGCGTCGCCGTTGAGGATCCCGTTGATGAGCGCGTCGTCGTCGTCGGCGTGCGGGAGGGGGATTTGGGCGTGGCCATGGTTGTGGGCGCGCGCGTGGGGGGGGGGGGGTTGTGGTGGTGATGGGTGTGGTGGTTGTGGTGGTGGGTGTGGGTGTGGGAGGTGGAAGTAGTGGGCGTGAGTTGATGGGTGCTGTACTGGATGCGGGTGCGGGTATGCTGGGGGTGCCACAACAAGGAGGTTGCCACAACTTGCAGTGACGAGTGAGCGTGGGTGAGTTAAGTGAGGTATGTGCTTCTTGTGCTTATTCTGCCTCTGTTTCTGCTTCTTTTACTGCTTCTTCTTCTTCTTCTTCTTCCACTTCTGCTGTGATTTGAGTTATGATTGCATTGCAGTGAGTGAGTATAGGTATGGGGATGGGAGGGAGAGAGAGGATGATGAACTTAAGCACGAGATGGGCTGTATCGTTGAATGGATGGATTGAATGGGATGGAATGGAATGGAGAGAGTGGATAGAATGCTGATGGGGGATTGTGCCTGCTATCGTGCACTCTCCATACTATCTACCCACATTCGCAGGTATGCAAAGAGTATAGTAGGTGTCATACCGCGGCTAGACCTGTCCCCTGCTGCTCTGTAGAACAGAACAATGACCACGCCGAGTGATGTCGCGTGCACCGGTCAACACCGATACATGATTGTCTTGGTAGCTCACACCATTGCACCGCTGGTATCATAGCTCTCAATGACGATAGCATTCCAATTCATCTCACTTTCTCTCTCTCATCTTTACTGGTTTCTTTAGCACAATCGAGTTGTCTCCCCCCGAGTGTACCTGCGCCTAATCCTTCAATACTATGAGAACTCTCTCCCCAAAAGTAGAACAGACATGACCGTAATATAGCTAAATTCTATGCAAAAAATAAGATCTAATCAGTCAGGATCAATAGTATTTCCTATTGATAAGAAGTCTACTACTAATCTAGCTAGTACTACTTACTACTACTGCTGCTAGGATGTAGCAAATACTCAAAAGTTCAGGCTTCATCCGCAACCAATCAACGACATGCAACATAAACAACATATAAACAAACTCCAATACCGACATGCAAATGCAAATGCACCCAAACAGCACAGGAAACCATGGGAATTATAACAAAAAAAAGGAAAGAAGAAGAAAAAAAGAAGAAATTATAGTCACACTAAACCTTCAACAACCCCACCTTCACCAACACCTCCAACTCCCCCTCCAAATCCCACCCCATCCACCTCTTCACCCCCACCCACCTCTTCCGGCCCCTCCTCCTCGCCGCCCCCTCACTCAAATCCAGCAACCACAACCTCACCCACCTCTCCCTTACCTCCCTCTCCGCCCTCCTCGCCTCCCTCAGCTCACCCCTCACCCTCTTCCTCAACTCACCCCCCTCCACACTCCTACACGCACACTCCGTCCCCTCCAGCACCTTCTCCAACTCCCCCACCCTCGCCCTCGCCCTCTCCGCCCCCTCCCGCGCCTCCCGTATGTGCGCAACATACCTCACTGGTCGACACCTCACCATAAGCGCAAACAGCGCGTCATTCTCCAGATCCATCTCCGGCGGGAGCACCAGCTCCCCCAGCCTTTCATCAAGCATGGGCGTCGACATTGGTGGTAGCGAGGGGCCGGCAAACGGCGAGGGGGCCAAGTCGAGGGCGTATGCGGACGTATAGAGGAGCACTAGTATGACCGTCGCGCCGACGAGCTGCGACACACCCGCGTGCATGAGTGTTGAGCGCACGGTGGGCGTTATGGTGGGCATGTGGGAGGTACTGGGGGTCAGAGAGAAGTAGGTTCTTTTTTGTGCTTGAGCTTGTGTTTGCAGTCGTGGGTGTACATGTGTGGGTAGTAGGGTTCGTCGGGGGAGCTGGAGGAGGGGTTTGGAGAGGCAGCGGCGGCTGGCGAGGGCTCGGAGTAGCACGTGGGATTGCATGTGCATGTGGTAGGTACTGCTTATATTGCTTTAAATTTGGTTTTTTTTTTTTAATCGATATTGAGTCTTGTAGATATAACTAGGTAGGTGGTATTCGAGTTCGATGAATGGATATACTCGAGCCCGACAGTAGGTAAAGTACAAATATGTAGGGAAGACAATCTTTGTAAAGGGGATGGGGGGGACTTATCGCGTTATATATTACATGCAGGTCTCTCCAAGCTAATTTTAAAAAGGTACCAAGCTGAGGCTCTGCTCTGGGCTGCATCCCACTAGCAACTAGCACACTCCAACAGCTTGTTTAACCGCACAGGAATGCAAGACTGCGGCGCTGCTCACGGAAAGAGTCACACCGACAACCAACTACTGAAGATAGATCTCCTACATGAGGACTAGGATTGCCAATGTTTGACAGTATACCACTTGACCTGTGAGCATATCCCCATTATCGGTATTATTGCACTCTGTGGCTGCAATAGTAGACGGACAAGACATCTGCTATCCAGCTACTCTCACCACCCTAGAAGCACACTACATCATCGCACGCAGCCACCTCCGTGCTGCGGCGGGAGTGTAGTTACATCATCCAAAAAGAAAAGAAGTTCAAAAAAAAGACCCTCTATTGGGTGGGGAGTTTTTTCTCCCCCCCAAGGCTTTCTTGCAACGACGTGTGTATCTCCCGCCGAGAAACCCTTTCTTGTGCTAGCCCCGAGTGATGCCGCGTGATGAAACCAGCAGTTGGGTGGTGCGGGTAGAGCAGCTAAGCAGAATGAGTAACAATAGCGGCCGGGCGGCAATACAAACAGACGGATGCGGCGTCAATCTCGGCTAGTTGCAACTATTGCTATCGGGAGAAAAACTCACATCTCAAGTGTGTGCGTGTGATATGGGGCGCTTGTGCAGCACAGCGGTAGCATGAGGTCTTTGAATTCCCCGCCGCTTAATTATCCTTCAATCGATTGGACAGAGCCATGATTTTTCAATTAGTTTAATTATAATACGTTACCGGCAGTAAAGACAACTGCAGTGAAGGTCTCTCTGGTCGGCCACATATGAACCATTTTCCCATGCCATCACTAAAGTATACTAGCAGTTTGTGAAACCCTTATGCTTGAAATTCGGAAGAAACCGAATAAACCAACATAAATACAATTATAAGGATAGTAATCGGCGGTACCGAAATATTGCCATTCTACCTATCCCTCCTAGGTTTATACATTCTTTTCGGTCCCGGCCGTATCATTATATCGAGAGTCCACTATACTCACATTAAGAGCTGGTAACTATTAGCAACAGTCTCTAGCAGGGCGGAAAATGAATCCCTGGGTGCCTTTCCCTAATGCCTTTCATACCCTTACTTGATACCTCCCCTCATATCCATGGTCATGAAGTCTTACTTTTTCCTCCTCCACCAAAAGAAACATTATTCTTTCAACAAAGCCTCATCCCAAGATCTTCAGATATCAAGATTAACGAGCCCTCAAATGAATTTGTGAATGGATTAAATATTTCGTACACAAATGGGCTTGTAACACTTGGGAATGTAATTCGGGTTTTTTTTCTTCAAAAATGCGCCCTCTGGTATATAATGCAAGTGATACTGGTCTGGTAACATAGCGCGATATCCCAAAACAGCACATGTGCATGTAGTACGAAGTCTCCCGAAGCTGTAGGCACAGAGGGAAACATTAAGCCGCAGCACTATGGAAAAATATCCAGGAGAAAGTATCATTTTCCCTGATGAATTAGCTAGGATATTTTACCCACACAAATTCTTGCAAATGATATCTTTCCTTAAAGAGTTATCAGGGTGCACGTGGTTCGGATAGAATTGCGGGGTGCAAAGATTGTGACATTTTGAACTACAAGTAAGGTTAGTACTGTGATTGCTTTATAAGAATGAGATATTGACTTTGATATATATATATGATCGAAGTAGAAGGAGAAAGGGTGTATGGCTGATCGATCAGAAGGTTGAAGGGGCGACGTCGTTATGAACCTTAATTACAACCCTAACCCACCTCTCATTTGAATTGCTTACAACGTACTGCTTGCCAAAATATTATGAAAATACATACATTTCCATGTATGCGTAAGTTTATTGCAGATTGATACAATAATAGACTCTAGTTGATTTTATTCTACATAAGTACAGTGCGGTACTGCACCCATCTTAATGCAGATCACGCGATGGCCATATTAATGTATCTGAAACGCAGGATGGATGAGCGGTCTGTCTCGGAATGATCTATCGAAGCGAAGTTGTGGGGCCGGAGGATAATCAATACGAACCAAATTTGAATCCTGTATCAAGAATCCTCGCCAGATAAATGAATGGGAACACTTACGGGTGATGCTGGGTTTCAACGTTTTATTTCTTCCCCTGGCTCGCGGACCTTCCTAAACCCTTTTGAAAGATCTCCGCTTTTTGACGTGTGTCAAGTTCCTCTTTTCTCTCATAAGCGCTTGTTGTTTCTGGTCTCTGTTCCCTGACGTGTTTTGTCCCAGGGAAATGGGTAGATGCGCACCGGGAAGTGCGCCGTATGATATAGGTAGATGCATTTCCTCGTGGCCTTTGCTCTTCGCCCTCAATTATTCTCACAGCTCAAGACTCGCCAAGTAGCTGATGAAGACACCGAAGTGGTACTAAACTTACTTTCCCGCGGCCAGGCCGTTTACCTTCACTATACCGCTAGTCGGTTCTTCCTTCACTCCTTATTTTGTTTATTTGACTCTGTTCTTTTATATCTTCTTGTCTCATTTCACTCTTGGACAGGATCCTTGAGGGTGATTTGAACCTACCTGACGTTACTTCCACCATGGCTATGGACATAATACTAGAGCCTCCTAATTATGGGCACTTGCGACTGGACAATGCTGGAAAGATATACATTGCAGTATTCGCGCTCTGGACTTTGTTATTTGGTGTTGGTCTGGTAATCTTTCTTACCCATCGTCACCTTCCGTTCATTCGTTTGAAGAATGTTCCCTTAGTGTGCGCAGCATTGGTTATGCTGCATGTCCAATTGAGTTTCGACATTCTTATGTATCCCTCGAATGGTGTTTTGCCCTGTGGTCTTGAGTTTTGGGTCATGAACATATGTCTTCCGTAAGTTGAAATTAGCTCCCCAATTCTCATAATTAAATTAATAATGTATATGTGTTAGGCTTGGAATCGCGCTTTTTCAGGCACAGAATATGCAGCTCTTCAGTCTATTTTGGGGACAAAAGCACCTCGTTTGGCTACGCTCTAAAGATCTCGGGTCAGCAAACACTTCGAAACATGAGGAAACGTCATGCCCTCCGAGCAATATCATCCTCCGATGCTGGTACAAGTGGCGGGATGTCTGCATCTTAAGAAAAACTTATATAGTTATTGCTATCGGTACTGCTCTACAGGTATAGCCCAAAACTAGCAGTCTGTCCTCCATCAAGATATCGTGCTAACACTGAAAAGCTCGTTGTGGCTTTGACCATTTTTCTTATCTCAAGACGTTTTCATCCCGGATTTAGACTTGTGGGGAAACCGGTTTCTCGCTTTCAATGTAGAGCTGGATGGGAATGGTATGTATTATATATTCCACGTCTATTTCCAATACTACCTTAAGTGCCAGACATAGGCACAGTTAACTGGGAACTGTCGAAAAGCCATTGTTAACGGGTATATAGGTTTCACTCAGGCATCTGGCAGGCGGTTTGGACATATGGCTACGGCCCCTTTATCCTCTTCAAGATTAGAAAGATCCAAGATACCCATAGATGGCGGCTACAGACAACCTTGGCCATACTTTTCAGGTTAGTTATTCCTAAATTTCTAGTTCAAGAAGAAGAAGGAATGCTTTATCGGATCAGATGGTTTCTTCTTTTTTATTGATTCTTGTAATTGTGGTAGTAGTGAGCCATTTTTGATAATCTCTGTTGGTTCCTTCATAGTCTGCCTGCTTTGCCATTGTGGCTTTCGACTTGGTTTATGCCGAACTTCTATATTATGAATTCCCACTGGCCTCCTAATCTATGGTAGGTTTCTTTCCTCTTTTTCTGTCAGCCCCAATATCTCTGCTTACAAAGGTCAGGTTCGTGCCCGGACTTGGAGCGATGGAATTTGTGATATTGTTTTTTCCGATCATTGAGATATGGGAGTTTGAGAAACGCCAGCGAAAAGCACGTGAAGAGCCTGGCCACACAAAGTTCAGCAAGTACAGCATAGCAGCATTGGAGCGGGCATTACATCATGACATTGACCGCTTGGAGGAATTCGCTGCGACCAAGGACTTTACTGGGGAAAACATCATTTTTCTCAAGCGCGTTGAGGGCTGGAAAGAGAAGTGGAGGTTGTCGGAGATCGAGGCAGGTGGCGGGGAATTGACACCACCGGTTCTTCGCTCACTATACGATACTGCTGAGCATATATTCAACGCTCTTATTCACCGAGAATCCTCTGCTTTTCCGTTGAACATTGAAGAAGATGTCTATCTTCCCTTGAGCAGAGTCTTCGGTGAATCTGACTATAGATCTCAGAGATGTCTCTCCATGCATAAGTTCCCTTCCGTTTCAAAGGCAATAGCTCCGTTTGCAGACGAGATTCTCACAAGCGCAAGAAGAACGCCCGAAAACAAGGGATTTCGGAAAATCGAAGGTTCGCGAGAGCCCGAGAAGCCCGAATACAATGATGAGAGGCCACCAACACCCCCACGGAAAAATTCAGTCCTAATCGTACCGCCTGAGCCACCAATGAGTTTTGATATCCGCGTCTTTGATAGAGCGGAGATCGCAGTTAAGCAAATGGTTTTGACAAATACTTGGATTCGGTAGGTTTTCCTCTTAGTAAAAAGAAACATTGATAATATGCTAATGTCCTGGGTGGTATGATCATATAGTTATGTAGATTCGCTACCTCCCTCTGAGCGTTCTTTGATAGGCGTGGGACCTACGATTTCACCACCAATAAGTTGGAGATGGAAAAATTATTTCTGGAAAAAAGATTCGGAAGGATTATAACTACATGTATATTAGCTACAAGCAGTTATTAGAGATCATATGAAGTCATGCCACGTTTATTTTCATTATTCAAGTACCACAATCAGGGATCCAGAGTTTATCACATTATTGTATTAGATATCTCACTTATAGCAGCGCTGGAACATCTGTCCTCTGTTACAACGGAGAAGCATGGATAGAATATACACATTCTGTTGATGAAGCAGGCCTAAATTTCCGAGTCCGGTTGACGTAGGCCGTACATGTGCAGACCTACGGTTCATGATTTATCACTCGAGTATTATTCCTTGGCGTTTCACGTGATATCTGACTCTGTGCAAATAAACACTCCGTACTTGTCTGCGCTACATGTACCAGCAAAGACCTACTACGAAAGATGGCTATTACATGTCATATAGAATATCCCACTCGGCACAGAGTGCATACAAGTCTAACAAATTACTGTAGGTACATGCGAATAACAGAAGATAATACCGTAAAGATGAATACCGCTATGTAATACAGATTCACCACCTCAGAGAATTTACCTTCTCTCATAATATTACAGTATACGTATCGTATATCACTTCATGCATGTACCTGTAATTATTGGAAGCCCCTACAAAACATTGACCTTTACAGACCGTAGCCTACTAATACTGACCAGGGTCCTGCCAACATGCAGCGCCAAGATCTGAGGCTCGGTAACTCCTCAACGTCACGGCTTCAGATCCCCAAGCTCAACAATCAATACTGCGACCACCACAGGCCCCTGCCATGGCATTGACTTCGGTATACTATTTCTTGCTTGTAGAAGCTCCAACTATTGCTAACTCGTACACGTAGTGGAAATCCTTCAACTTCTTTACCGTCACTCCCGTTAAGGCACCCGACGAAGTCGACAAAACACCTTCACGACCACTCTTTGAGGTCCGATTTCTCCTAACAAGCTTTATCCAGCTATCACAAGCCTCTCTGAATCTAACATTTAGTAGGGCACAGACATAACTGCTATAGCTTCTGGTTCCGATAGTATATTTATCGGCACTTCCACAGGCCATGTCCACGTCTGTAACTCCACCTTCAAGATTGTTCGCTCTTTTCATACACATGAGAACGATTATGACCACTCGGGGAGTATCAGACATATCAAACAAGTGGAAGGGACAGCTCTTTTAGTTACAGTGAGCGAAGACCTAAGCAATGAGCCTGTTTTAAAGGTGTGGGCGCTGGACAAACCCGAAAAGAAGACAGGGTTTCCAAGATGTCAGACAACCGTGATCATCAACAACGGGAGGAGACAATTTCCTGTTAGTTTTCAAACCATTTTTATACTAAAAATGTGCTAACCCGAGCAGATCTCTGCTTTTGCTACTACTCCTTCACTATCGCTTGTCGCCGTTGGGTTTGCAAATGGATCGATCACTCTGATCCGCGGAGACCTAATTCATGATCGTGGGACAAAGCAAAGAATAATCTTCGAGTCCGAGGAACCAATCACTAACTTATGCTTTTCACCTCCTGTTACTTCATCAACTGCGGCACCCCAACCTGGATATAACCCTTATAGATATCATCCGGCGGCTGACGGCGGCGACACACTCTATGTTTCCACAATAGGCCGGGTTTTGACGTTGATTACGGCTGGAAAAGGTACAGGTCAGCCAGCTAGGGTACTGGAATCTCAGGGATGTGGCCCTGGATGCATGACCCCTGCGATTGACTTCTCCTCCGGCGAAAGAGGGCTTTCTGGAGAAGGTAACGACATAGTTATTGCTAGAGATGACGCTATCTACTTCTATGGCCCTAACGGTCGGGGAGCTTGCTATGCCTATGAAGGTCCAAAAGAAATGGTGAATGTATTCAAGAACTACATCTCGCTTGTTTCACCACCAGCCTCACAACCGTCAACGGCAGCTCGGACGGGGGGCGTTTCTAATACTTTGAAAAGGCTCGTGGGAAGGGGCGCTCCAGCAGCGGCAGACGACCCCTTTGACGTCACAAAGTTTACACTCTTGGATACGGAGTTGAAATTTGTGGCACATTCTGAACGATTAGTTTCTAGTGTCCGGAACGTTTTCAATTCGTGGGGCGACTTATTCGTTTTGACTTTTGATGGGAAATTGTATCGATATCACGAGGTTAGCTTGCAAGACAAGCTGGATATTCTCTATGCTAGAAACTTATATATCCTCGCTATCAACCTTGCACAAAAAGCCGGAGTTGGGGAGCCGAAGTTACGGGCAATCTATAGAAAGTATGCAGATTACCTGTACGGGAAGGGAGACTGGGATGGATCAATGCAATGGTACATCAAGGCCCTTGGCCCCTCAAACGAAGAGGGAATAAGCACAGTCATCCGCAAATTCCTCGATACGCAAAGGATACATAATTTGATCGAATATCTCGAAGAGCTCCATATGCACAAGATCGCGACATCTGATCATACAACACTCTTATTGAATTGCTATGCCAAGCTAAAGGATATAGACAAGCTAGAGCGATTTATCAAGCAAACTTCAGGCGAGGGGTTAATGTTTGATGTTGATACAGCAATTGCAATGTGCAGACAAGCGGGTTATTACGAACAAGCCGTGTACCTAGCGCAAAAACAGGGTGATCACGAAGTTGTCGTTGCAGTTATGGTAGAGAACTTGGATAGGATCTCAGAAGCATTGTCGTACATCCAAGGATTGGACCCCGAGATGGTACACCCAATTCTCCCTTACTAATCAAACTTGTACGGTGCTGATTGATTCCCAGGCATATGCGAGCCTAATGAAGTACGCAAGAACTTTTCTAAAAGAGACACCAGAACGTACAACAGATTTCTTTGTGGAATACTATACCGGAAGGTACTTCCCAGGAAACAAAATCACGTCAGAAACTCAAACACAGCATGGTAAACATGAATCGGGGATACAAAGCTACCTCAATGCTACTTTGTTACAACAATTGCCCTATATGGGTGGAGGCGTGGGAAGTACGGCAACTAATACACCCACAAATGTAGCCAACCCGGGGCCATCTCCTAAGAACGTCCCAGAATCTACGCCTAGCGAGGGGACAACAGTACCACTTGTATTACCAAAAGCTTATAACATACCGAAACCCCGGACGGCATTTTCTTCGTTTGTGGAACATCCAAAGGAGTTTGTTCTGTTTTTGGAGAGAGTTCTTGAGAATGTAGAAACGGGAGGTTATGGAACAATGAACGAAGGTGACCGAACAGATATATATACTACACTTTTTGAAATATATTTGCAGAGGGCAAACGAGGAAGAGAAGAAAGAAGAGAAAGAAAAATGGGAGGCCAAGGCAAAGAGGATTATTGAAAGTAAAGAGGTCAGTCTTTAATTACAACCTTACAGGGTTTTGTGCAAGTCATTGTTCACTAACGGCCATCGCAAGACATTGGTTGATACCTCCAACGTCCTTCTAATCTCCCATTTATCGGACTTCCGCGATGGAACTGTGCTCGTCCGAGAAAAACAAGGCTTGCGATTTGATATATTCAGATCCTGTTGCTCGGCCGGAGACACGGCTGGTGCTGTTCGCGCGCTCAAGAAATATGGTGCCGAAGAGCCTCAACTGTATCTTGCCGCATTATCGTATTTTACCAGCAGCCCTAAAGTGCTCGGAGAAGTTGGTGAAGCTGAGCTACAGAGAGTGTTGAAAGTCATTGATGAGCAAGGCTTGATGAAACCTCTGGAAGTTGTGCAAACATTGAGTACAAATGCGGTTGCTACTGTTGGTATGGTGAAACGGTATCTAGGAGATACTATTGAGCGGGAGAGGAGGGAGATCCAAAACGTGAGAAGTCTTCTTACTAGAATCCCTTATTGAACTATTACTGATTTTTTTTTTACCAGAACCGGAAAATGATCGAGACTTACAAGGTGGAAACAGAAAAAAAGAAAGCAGAAATTGAAGACCTGGGCACAAAACCTAGCGTATTTCAGGCACAGCGATGCCAAGCCTGCAATTTACAGTTGGATCTTCCTACTGTACACTTTCTGTGCAAGCATTCCTTCCACCAAAGGTTTGCTCGGTCCTTACTCTCAAAGTTGAGATGTCATTTACTAAAAACAATACAGATGCCTCAATCAAGTTGATGACAATGTGGAGTGCTTGGCATGTGCTTCTCCAAATCAGACTATTCGGACACTTCGCAAAGGTAAAATCAATCTTAATGATCCCTTTCCTGGCCAATACTGATTTCGAATGCAGCCCAAGACGAAACGTCAGACAGACACGACTATTTCAAGATGTCACTGCAAGAATCTCGGGATAAATTTGGCACCATCAGTGACTTTTTCGGCAGAGGTGTCATGGCTGTGCCCCCTGTTATCCCAAACTAACACTAAGTCAGGATGGTGTCTTGGTGTTAATGTTGGTAATGACCTGAATGGTTGTTATGTCAGTGCGTTGATTTATTACTTTCCAGCTTATTTTACGAATTATATATTCTTTCTCATTGTAACGTAGTCTCCATGATTCTCGGACGACTTGGTGTACCAGTCCTGCTGGCTCATCTAATAACTATTATCAATTACCTAGGCTTAGAGCTCAATCTTTGGAATTCAAAATGTGCATCTTCCACTCTCTACCGCGGATAGCTAAAAACAAACGCCGTAGCTCAATGTCCCAATTTAAGAAAGAGATTAGGAATAGCGATTCAGATAAACCAGTCCCACACAAAGACAACACCAGAGAAGACTACGGCTCCCCAGAAAGCTGTTCTGGCAATTGTGATTTTCTCACCAGCCTTTTTGAGCTCTTTATTACCGCGCTCAACGTTCTCGGTTGTTTGCATCGCATCTTGAACTAGATTATCGATATAGGCGTTCTGGGTCGCCAAGTTCGTAGCTAGTTGTGTTTGGAGTGAAGAAATCTCAATGAGAGATTTTTCGGCAGTTCTATAGACATATGAGCAATAGTTGCTAGGATTATGATTTCTTACGTAGATTCTATACATACCTAACTTGGTCCAATGCATCCTCGTAGTGTTTGATTAATTCGTCATTCTCTTTCTCGAAGAGCTGCAGTTGCTCTGGTGTGAGTTGCGCCTCAATGCTTTTTTTCTCCTCTTCTTCCATTATCGCAACATTTCTTCCTCCACCTAAATTCGAACTTGACCCGAAATTTGATGCGAGCTGTTGTGGAGGTGCCTTATTAAGCATACTCTTGCCCTTCTCAACCTGCCGCTGTAACCTAATCTCCTGCTGCCCCCGCTGAATCTCACTCGCTTTCGCCAGCTTCGTCTTCAGAAACCATAGTACCCCTTCTCTATGTTGCTTGAGTGTCTCTAGTTTCCCTTCTTCACGCTTTTGCTCAACACTCTCATCACGAAACAGTCCTCGAAGACCAGTTGTGAAACGGCGCCGCAACAGCGCATCCGCGGTTTGGGCGCGGAGTGTTTCGGTCGATTCCAGACGGTCGATAAGAGTTAAGAGCTCCTGAACCACACGTTTTGTTTCCGCATCGATTGAATCGCGCTGGGCATCCGTAAGTGTATTGGCACTATTACTGGATATGGATGATGTGGAGATGGTGCGTGGAAGGTTTGGACGAGCAGATGCTGTGGCGGTAGAAAGATAGGACTGCCGTATAGAGAGGAGGTAGGTCCTCAGTGAAGATATATGTGATTCCTGGTTTCCAATCGGTCAGCGAGAAGATAGCGCTAGGGTTGTAGGTAAGTTACGATTCGAAAAGCTTCCTTAAGGAATTCATCGGTTGGGGGGGTAGGCTTCCGAGATGTTGAGATAAGAGCTACTGTCGGATGCTTTGATAGACACTCATTGATGATGGGAGTTATATCAGTCATGATTAATGATTGTATATGAGGGAAACGGAGAAATGTCAAGGCTACGTTGCAATAAACATAAACTTGCGTCAACTAGCAATCGGCCTATGAGGCTCTACTACCTACATAATTACATGCATTAAAAGCTTGGCTGGTATTAGCGCAACTAAAGAACCTTGAACATTCACATCAGACTTCAAATAATTACTTCTTAATATGGTAAGGTACACGTTGGTTCTATCACAGTCACTTACATGTACTTTTCTTTATCGTTATGTTTATGTTACCATGCTTTAGTAAGTATGTAGAGTATGTAAAGGACTTACATATGTACTCTACTCGTATTTTCGTGACATTTGTAAAAGGAACCACTATTGCATACCATACAAATACGCGCCAAGTCCACAATTTAGTATGGTATGCAATAGTGGTTCCTTTTACAAACGTCACGAAAGTACGAGTACTCTACATGCACTCTATAAGTAGATCAAGGAGCTTGCCAAACTCAAGGTGATCCCAATCTACCTCATGAGAAAGCACATGTACACGTACACGACACCAGCGATACAGTCGACTCTCGTTATAGTGATACTTCATATAGTGATACCCTCGTTATAATGATAGTAATCGGCAGTCCCGAAATACCTTTTTACCAGTATCTCCTTACTTCTTATAGTGATGCTCGCCTTATACTCTAAGAATATATTCAACACAGATTTTCTGTCCTGACCGTATTCTTATATCGTGAGGCGACTGTAGGATGAAAGTCGTAGATCTTGCGTTTCCCGGCTGTCAACATTTACGGTGCAGGATCAAAATGAGTTTTATATACATTTACTATACTACATCTGTTAGAATGACATGAAGAAATCGATACATGTATTGCCTATGATTCTAAATTTTAATCTCACAATTTGGAAATTTTAAGCCTCCTAAACCGCATTCTCTCGAAGTATATGTACTCATATAGAGTAAAGTACATGTACACACTACATGTGTATACAGAGCTGTCGAAGCCAGTGTTAGTACTCAAGTACATGTACGCACAATAGAAGTGCATCTGCGTTGGAGAGAATTTAGGGGAATGCATCTGCACGTGCATGCTTAAGATAGATCTTTCATTTCCAGAACATTCATATGTCTTCTTTCACTTCTCATCAAATTGAGTTTTCACAGCCTCACAAGCTTGGGAGTAAGGTGGCAAAACCATCGAGTCAACGTGATGACACTAGAACTACAGTAGCACAATTCAGGTTGCCATTGAATTTCTTCCCTGCATTGTTTTTTCGCTCTTAAGATTTAATTCAGGTCTAGATGTCTTGGCAGAGAAATCGAACGCCAGCACGCGAAAAGAGGCAGGGTTACTCAGCAACCTACTTGGCGCAGAGATTTTTCATACAAGGTCCACCGCGCTTCCTTTTTATTCTTCGTCCACATCCCCTTTCTCCCTCTTTCATCAACCTCCCAACCTCACTCCTTTGCTCTTATCGAACGTTCACGCGTCGGATTAGCAATATACCTCATCACTCTACGAGTGTCATATCTTTCTCTTTACACGAAAGATTATAATACATAAAATCCTACTACTCGCCGCATTCCTGTGATCGGTTAGGATATTCTCGACCTTTGAACAGACCTCAGACACTTCGACACAGCAAATCATGTCGTACGATGCTTACAGAGGCAGCGCTGGAGGTGGAGGCGGTTACGGAGGTGGACACGGTGGATCAAATGGGTATAACAATTCTTACTCCTCTTACCCTTCTTACTCCAACGGGTGAGTTTTGCCCTTAACGCAGGCCTCTGTCACGAAGTTTGTTTTCGGGTTTCTGGAGGCCTTTTGCTATTGGCTTCAAGCAATAAACCCTAGTTATGAGTGTATCCTTGAACACCATGCTAACGTAAATATAGAGGTGGTGGTTACGGTGGTTCTCGTGGAGGAGGTGGTGGATATGGAGGTGGCGGAGGCGGGTATTCTGGTGGTGGAGGCGGTGGATACGGCGGTGGAGCCGGTGGAGACCGAATGAGCAACCTTGGAGCAGGGCTCAAGACCCAATCATGGGGTGAGTACTATTTTCAGATTTCTTGACGGAGAGATAACTAACAGTGTCCTGATAGATCCATCAACTTTGCCTAAATTCGAAAAGTCTTTCTACAAGGAGGATCCTGCGGTTACTGCACGCACTGCCGCAGAAATCGAAGCCTTCAGGGCTGAAAAGCAGATGCGCGTTCAAGGGCGTGATGTTCCTAAACCCGTTATAACCTTTGATGAGGCTGGATTCCCCAGTATGTATTACTAGCAGGCTGCATAAGTATAAAGAAAAAAAAGTACTGACAAGTGTTATTTTAGGCTATGTCATGAACGAGGTCAAAGCTCAGGGATTTTCAGCACCTACCGCTATCCAGTCACAGGGTTGGCCAATGGCACTTTCAGGGCGCGATGTTGTCGGTATTGCCGAAACCGGTTCCGGTAAAACTTTGACTTACTGTCTCCCTGCTATCGTTCACATCAACGCCCAGCCGCTTCTTGCTCCTGGTGATGGCCCCATCGTCCTTGTTCTGGCCCCAACTCGTGAGTTGGCTGTTCAGATTCAGCAAGAAGTCGCCAAGTTCGGAAAATCTTCCCGTATCAGAAACACTTGTGTTTATGGAGGTGTTCCCAAAGGTCCCCAGGTCCGAGATCTCGCCCGTGGAGTTGAAGTCTTGATCGCCACACCTGGACGTCTGATTGATATGTTGGAGAGTGGTAAAACTAACCTCCGTCGCGTTACCTACTTGGTACTTGACGAGGCCGATCGCATGCTTGACATGGGTTTCGAGCCCCAAATCCGTAAGATCCTTAGCCAAATTCGTCCGGATCGTCAAACTTGCATGTGGTCTGCAACTTGGCCTAAGGAAGTCCGTCAACTCGCATCCGACTTCCAGAACGATTTCATTCAAGTCAACATTGGTTCTCTCGAGCTTTCGGCCAATCACAACATCCAGCAGATTGTGGAAATTATGATGGATTACGACAAGCGTGATAGGTGAGAAACCTCTTTATCCGAGGACAATGGCAACATTGCTAATATATTTTGAAATCGTTAGACTCATTAAACACCTCGAGAAAGTCATGGACGATAAGAATAGCAAATGCCTTATCTTCACCGGTACTAAGCGCACAGCAGACGAGATCACTAGGGTTTGTTATACTTCTTAATATGTGACAAAACTTATGAAAATCGATATTAACGGCGTCATAGTTCCTTCGACAAGATGGATGGCCCTGTTTGGCTATTCATGGTGATAAACAGCAGAATGAGCGTGATTGGGTTTTGAACGAGTTCAAGACTGGAAAAAGCCCTATTATGGTTGCTACTGACGTGGCTAGTCGTGGCATTGGTATGATTATAACAAACATCCTCCCCTTCTTTCTGCCTCCCCTCTTGCGTGCTTGCGAACAGATGCTCTTTTCTCAACGCTTCGCCGGACCTACTCGTATATCTTGCCTATATTCTGGCGTCTGTTGGTTTTCACCTATGAGAACTTTGATCTCGGGGTGCAGCAATTTTGGAATCTCATGAAAGTCTTCATTACACCGCTCATTGAAATTGGGTGAAGGTAATGTTGTCTGGGCTATTAGTTGCTGCGCTTTTCCCGAGGTTTAGACAGTACGCCGCAGGAGCTTGCATAGTTGCAATGATGAACAAGATACCGAGGGCCGTGATATTGAGTGAGACGCAGAATGGCGCGTCACGCAAACCAAAAAGGGTTTTGGTAAAGTGTTAAGATATGTGTTGGATGCTAACTTTTGTTCAAAGATGTTCGTAACATCACGCACGTTATTAACTTTGAGTAAGTTTTTCTCACTACGTTTTTGAAGACTATAATCTAACAATTATAATAGTTACCCCAATAACTCAGAAGATTATGTTCATCGTATTGGTAGAACTGGTCGTGGAGGGTAAGTCAAGAATCCAGAAAGGGATCTCGTCTATCAATAGAACCACGCTAATTTTAAATAGTGCCAAGGGAACTGCTATTACTTTCTTCACTACAAATGATGCCAAGCAGGCTAAGGATCTTCTCACTGTCTTGAGGGAAGCTAAGCAGCAGATCCCTCCAGAGCTCGCTGATATGGCCCGCTCAGGTGGTTTCGGCGGCGGCGGACGCTATGGTGCCTCCAGGGGCCGTGGCGGCCCCCGCGGCGGCGGCGGTAGAAATGATGGTAAGCTTTGCCACTAAATAGCCGCATGCCACTAGCTCAGTTACTAACTCTTATGCAGGGTCCTCATCGTCTAACAGTGCGCCCTTGGGTCGCAGCCGTTTCTAATCCACAGTTTCCAGCATAATAATTTTTCGGCAGGCCTAGATTTCTTCGCTTGGGGGTTCTTATTCTTTTTTTTTCCATAGATTGGTTTGCTCACATAAAAGGGGTTTCGTTTCAATCGTTCACTTGATATTCAATAGCGTTCACTATCAACATGTTTTGAAAACTGTTTGGCATCATGACCATTCAGAGAACGATGCACGACCCAATTGATGATAAAATGTGATGGGGGGACGACGAAAACTATAGTAACTTTCTTATTGCACTCAGTAGTAATAAATTCAGACCTGCCAAAAAAAAGTATGGCCTATGTAGTATGTACAGTACGTTGTACCTTGCGTCCAATAATAGCCACAGTATATACATTAGCATTTGTAAAGCTTCATATGTATTCATTGCCATTCAGCCCCAGTCAGTTTGGATTGCTCTCTGTGATAATTTTATGCGTACATATAAATACATAGTAGTAGTCCTAATACGATCATTGTCTCGGTACTGGAAGGCCGAAATTGGACTGTTCTCTTGTCCTGGCAGCACCCGCCTTACTCGGATACCCTTTACGGCCCACTTGCCTGAAGCTTCTCCTCGACATCCCCGTTCCAAGATTTTGTTTCAGAGGACGGAGCGGAAAAACTTGAGCCTGAGTCTTGAGCATCAGGGTGGGTCTCGTCACATCCAGGTGAGGGGAATAGTTTATTCGGGAATGCGGTTTGCTTGTGGGAATCCCGAGGCAAAGGCTGAAGTGGGCAATGAGGTCACTTTCGTGCGTAACCACGTCGAATATGATACATGTGGTTTCCGAAGGTGCAGGACGCGTAGAACGCCGACATCACACACATCGCACACCTCACAATTCGAGGGACGAGACGAACACCCCTCAGGTAAGGAGGAACCATACAACACACGATGGCATAGTGCATCCTTTCCCTCCCATTTTTATTTTATTGAATATTTATTTTACTTTTCCATATCCTATCAATTGATAGTCAGGGGGAAGGGATGGAAGAACGGGTATGATGTAACAACTAACTTGATGTATCGAAGCATGCCAGGATTGAGACGATCAATTGGTACAATTTCGTCGCCCGGGGATGATATCGGTGGCTATACTTACCTAATATTTTTAATCTGTCTGGATGAGGCGTACCTACTCCTCATTGCTCCAGGGACTCGCAGACAATATGATGATGGAGACTTAGTATGAGAGGGATGAGAACTTGCAATAATTAATTACAGTACTGCTTCTGACTATCGCCAAGAGGCATGAAGCAATCGATCGGGCATTATGTATTTATTCAAGTTGCATTCATCCAATTAATGGTTAATCGTGTTGGTGGGGTAGACGGATGTATCCTGGGGGCCTGTATTCCGGTCAAAAAAATCATTGAAACTTTATTTTGCCGCTATGCCGGCAAAGTGCCTGATACGGAGTAGCTCGAAGCGGCAAGCCGCCAACAAAGGGTCCAGAAAAAAAACCTCCGCCGGCGTTGATTGACATTCGGCCAGACCCTGAACTTTACTCTACTTTTACTTCTATGTATGTACGTACATAAAGCGGGCTCAACTGGGGCTCAAAGCTACATGTATGGTTGAGAGCCACGAGGTTTCTAAGGATGGTTGAGACCTTAATTCAACGATCCTCAATTGACGCGAGAAAGTCTAGAATACATGTAGATTAGGATGCTGTATGTCTGGTCTAAATCATCATACACGTGCGCGAACACACAGACAGAGGCAGGCAGGCCGACACAGGATATCCTGCACACCTCACTCATCATACAGGAATTGCGCCCCGTGCGGATGCTTGTATGTACTGTATCTCTCTACCCCCTCCTCTCTCTCTCTATTTCTCTCTCCATCACCCCCCATGACTCTACGGCGTCATACTCGGCCCAGATAATCGGCAATCAGACCGGCCTAGCCGGACTCTTCTTTCTTTGGGTGTTCCCTGAATAGGGCCACACCCTTCCGACCCGCGTGGATGGCTGTCTGTCTGTCTGCCTGTCTGCAGGCTGTCTGGGTGGATGGAGTTGATTTGCGCTCGCTCGCTCAGCACACGGACAGAAGTGTGGCTTGACTGCTGCTTCTGTTCTTCCTTTTTCTCTTCTTTCCTATCCATTTTTTTATTTTCTTTTTTATCCCCACTTTTCCCATGGGACGATACCTCTACTCTAGCCGCCCATCAGGTCTGGTTAGAACTTAGCAGAGAATAGCCAATGGATCGATTTTCGAATTCTACGAATCGGGCTATCGCCGCGTAACGCAATCAAAACCCAGCATTCCTTCCCAGCCACCCATCATCCATCACCACCCCTCAGGGCTGCTGCTGGCTGCCACCCCCCCCGGGGGCTTTTTGGTTGAAACGAACAATGCCATCTTCCTAGGGACAACAACCTACCTCCTGCGAACCCTCACCACCCCCCCTTCCCTTCCAATCGTAAATTCATGGTCGCCCAGGAAATGGGATAGCTAGATGCAAGCACGCAGGTAACGCCTTGTGGAATGTTCAATGGAATGTTTCGACTCAAAGTGCCATCGTCCGAAGCCACGGCTCTGGGTCGTTTTTTTGCGTTTTCATAGATATACGGCCACACCCTCCTTTCGTCCACACCGGGTATCGTTGCTACTAAGGGTACCGCGCATTTGTATTTCCTGCATGGAGCTGTCATGTCTTTCAGGAAGTCATATTACTTTTTTTTTTTTTTTGCCATTTTTATGTATGTACCTACACGTTTATCCTGCTCGCCGTTCCAATGTCATCGTCACTTAAAGTTTACTTACAGTGAGTGGGGTTTACTTGCATGCGCCACACTCGTTCACGTGAGCGGCATCCATTCGCCCGCCACTGCTTACCCACTTTCTCGAGTTTTCCACGGCAAGAAAAAGGTTATCCAGCAGCTTCGCACAATTTGGAATCCGGACATTATTAATTCCGCGTGATCTTTTTGCCCACGGCCGTTGACCGCTGAATTTTTCTCGATAAAAATTGTTGTCGCCAATCGAGTTGTTCAGACGGAATACCTCATGTGATAGGTAGGGAAAGAGCCGGAGAAGGAATGGAAGAGCTGTTGTTCCGGGGACTACTGAATAAATCTCCGAAGAAGTTCTCGTTTTGGTACTCTGATCCCCTTGAGATCTTAATACTTGTCCTTGCAGCGTATCCCCCTGCGTGTGGTGGGCAGCCTAGCCACCTTCCAGTTGTGAAAACCAGAACAACAAGCGACAGAGGCGGTGGTGATGAGGCAGGAAAGCGTAACCAGCGCGCTGGTTCTCGGTTCCACGGCACCAGACCCCTCGACCTCTGAAATCTTCTGTTACATTTTTCCAGAGACGCAAGAAGCAGGCAGCAAAAAAAAAATCCCAGTGTTAACCCTGCCTAACATGGAAGTGTGCATCGTCACAGGTTATTATAACCTCAAATATCACTTTTCAATCTCCCCACCTAAAAAACGTGTGCATCGTCGCATGTTATGCTGTAACCGTTATTTATTGTTCGCATTTCATAATGGATTGTCCTGGTTTATCGTCTCTAAAATCAATTTTTATTCGCGACCTTACCATGCCTTTAAAGCGCCCCTCCAGCGACAGACTTATTGTCGTCATCCCACAGAATTTTTTTCTTTCTTCTTCTCTTTCCCCTCGAGGGTTAACGGCACGCACACACGACACACTCACATCACATCAAAGCGTTGTTGCAACCCTTGCGTATTGAATTGATCTCGTCCAGTTGACTGAGGAGTGTCGTCGCATCTGTTCCCCTCAGAAGACTCAGAAAAGTAATGGGCATTAGGCAAAGATGAGCATTTTTATATGTTACTTGGGATCGAATTAATTGAACCTAGTACGCCTTATGTAATTGTTTTGTGAAAAATAATGTAGCCCACCCTCAAGAAAAAAGCCTTGCACTTTTTCTGCCTCTTCCTTTGAATGCATTTTTTTTTTTTTTTTTTTTGCTTTCTTGTTTTTGCTTTTTTTGCTCTTTGTTCCACAGTACATGACAAAAGAATCTGATGCAGGCCGTTGCTTCTACTCTAGTGGCACATCATAGAAATGGAAATCGCCGCCCCATAATGCGTGACCCCCCAGTCCAGGATTTGAACTGAACGCAACTCCAGCTGCATGAATCCAACCATCCCCGTTTAATATCCTAGTTATGTGTAGGTACTTGTATGCCACACTTTACTATCTCTTGCCTGGGCAGAAATATCCCAAAACCCACACTGCTCCTCACGCAGTTGATCTGAGCTTCTTCGAATTGTACTTCCTACTACTGGCAGCCTCTTGCTGGAGATCTTGTAGAGACGACGAGGGGCCTCTCTCTCTCCTCTCTTCAACTCTCTTCACCTCTCCCCAAATCCTTTCTCTTTCTTTCTCTCTCGCTCTCTCCTCCTCCTCCTCCTCCTCCTCCTCCTCCCTCCCCCCCCCCCCCCCTCCTCTCCCTTTCTCCCTCTCTCCCTTTCTTTCCCTTTTCTCCCCCTCCGTCACTTCCGCCGGCCGTTTACCACCGGGCCCATCCCCACAAGTGACTCCACTTAGTCAAATTCCGTCACCACTACCGCTAGACCACTGAGTCGCTAGAGCCCAAGACTGTGCGTGTCGTAGTGTGCGTGTGTGTCGGAAAGAAAGTTAGAGGGCGGTCAAAATATTAGCCCTGCACTGGTAGTGTTGCCTCTTTTTTTAATCAGCAATTTTTAACCTTCGAAGACGCGAAACAAAATCCCAATCGCTCTTCTAACGGTCACCTTCCCTTCTAAACCCAAAGCCTTCCCATTCCCATCCCATCCCACTTAGAAACCGCCATCCATACCATCCTCAATCTCGCCTTACCAGGTCTTCTTGCACCCCTAAAATCCGCTTCGTTCGTCCAAGTGTGTGAGCCTACCTACATCTCATCCATCCATCCCATCTCTGCACCCCTCCCCCTCTAACCTAACCCCCCCCTCAATCTTCCATTATCCCTTCCCCTCCACACTTCTTGTCCGCTGTTTTGCCCTTTACCCTCACTTGTCACTTGTACCTACACTTGTCCCCCCCCCCCCCCCCCCCCCAAATCCCCCCACGAAAACCCACCAGTCCGTTACTCTCTCTTCCGCCCCAACAAACCGTCACCCAACCACTACTTACATATACTTGCTACTTACCTAGTCATTTGCAATCGCACTCACACACAAACTCAATAGTAGTGCTCCCACCGTTGCACCGACCATTGTTGCACCAACCTTACCTAGACGTCAGTCGACTAGATCAATTGTAAAATTTTGATCTTAGGCTTTGGAGATCCTCCCGCATCCATCCTTCCACCCAAGGACACTTCACCCAGAATAGCATGTCCCTTGCCTTCTCTACTGCCCCGGTCAACCATCACAACGGCTCTCACGCTCACTCCCAGCACTACGGATATAATCACTCTATGGATAGAGGGCCATCCGATTATCAACAATCAGGTTTGCCATCCTCAGCGTCCTACCCTTCATACAGTAATCAACAGCAAGCGGAGCCTCAATCGGCAGACCAGCCTGCATCAAACTACCAGACCCCTTCTCAGGAAGTAAGGTCGACTTCATCCACATACTCGTCATCTGCCACTCCCTCTTCAGAGTACGGAGGCACTGTCAGTTCTTCTTCAAGGACACCTACTTTCCCACCCGACTACAATTTAGGTGGTCATCGGTATTCCGAGGCGCCTCGTTACCACCCGTCAAGTTCTACTGCCGGAGGTAGTTGTCATTCTTTCCTCCGATAGTAGTGATCCGTCTGAAAACTGTACTAACCCTTGTTTACTTCAAGACCCGAGCGTCCCTGCCCCGAGCCCGCATTACGCACCCCCGACAAACCAACAATACGCGCATTACCCGCCCCAAAACTCTCATCCAATGTCGGAAACATACTCTAACGGCGGTCATGGCAATTGGCGTCCTGAATGGGGCCCACCCACAGGACAACACTATATGAATGGCGCCCAATACAATCCCCATGGTTCACCTACTGCAAGTGTGTCATCGCTCTCTCCTGGCGGCACACCGGTTAATCGCAATGTAAAACAAGCTGGCCGCAAGCGCATCTCAGACCAGACTGCGCAACATCCTCTTTCCCAGGTATACTCCTTTGTGCCCATCCCTGGTGCACAGCAGCATAAGCGGCCTCGTAGGCGGTATGAAGAAATTGAGCGCATGTACAAGTGTGGGTACAATGGGTGTGAAAAGGCATATGGAACATTGAATCATCTCAATGCGCATGTGACAATGCAGAGCCATGGTGTTAAACGCACCCCAGAAGGTATTTTATTTTCCCTGTTCCCTTTTATTTTATTTTATTATTACCCTCGCCCCATTCATCGCGCGCCTCGGCCTATTGCCTGATAATATGGGGCGTTTTATTGGTTCGTCTTGGTGGTGCTTTTGTGTTACTGCACTCGGATGCGCCTTTTGACGCGTTCTGTTTTAAATCCTTAGCAGTTATTAACGTGATCACGTGAATAGAATTCAAGGAAATCCGCAAGGAATGGAAGGCGCGTAAGAAGGAAGAAGAGGCTCAACGGAAGGCCCAGGAAGAGGCAGAGCGTCAGCGAAGCACTGAGGGTGGATCAGCGACCGAGGTTGCTCAGGTAACTCCTGGTGCTGCCGCCCCAGCTTCAAGTGCGCAATATACCGCCGGTGGTATGGCTCCTCGTCAACTTCCACCCATTGCCTACCAACAGCCTCCTGTACCGAGCGTTCACTACCCCGCAGCGCCAACAGCGACTATGGATCCAATGCAGCAATACCAGCAGCCCACGATCTATAACACATATCAACAGGCGTCATATCCACAAGGTCCACAACAAATCTTCCCAGGCCAGGCCCGCCAAGCACCCATTCCACCTACAAATGAGGAGCCGGATGCGGATGCTGATGCGGACCCGGATGTTGCTTCAGCTCAATCGTCCTACAACCAATAAATATCATCCATCAATCGGGGTTGTTATTGTCAAGCAGCAATTCCCGTATTTATAAATACTATGCTTTTCGATAAATAAATTTTTACGACATGATGTGCGACGACTGTCTCCTTCTGAGGGTCACGGTTTATTCTTTCCTTTTTTTTTTTTATTATAACTCCCTCTGGCATGTTGATGGGTTGCAGGATGGAAAACGAATCAAGCCCCCCACACGTATTTGTCAACCACATCACAGGCCACTTGCTTTTTCCCTCTCTCCGTCCGCCCTTTTTTTCTTGCTCCGCAAGAGAAATCGACACACCACAAATTGTCTATTACTATTAGCTCGTTTTCGATGTTTATCTTTTTTCCCTTTTCTTTTTAAAGTTCGTGTACTGTTTCTTAACCAGAAAAGAAAATATTTTCATGGGGGGTTTGGAGAGTATAGATCTCTACCTTTTTGCTATTTCTCTTCTTTTTCCTTAGGGGGCAGGGTTTCTTTTCTCTTAGATTGGGGGGGTCTGGTTGCATTTCTTTCCTTTCATCGTTTTTTTTGTTTTGCACCCAGTCGGCCATGACTGACTGGGAAGAGAATCAGGAGAGAAACAACGCGAAAGGAGGGATTATGCCAAACACCCGGTCTTGATATTGTTTCATTTTTAATCCTTCTCTGCACATGTTTTTTTACAGGGTGGCTAACTACTTATTGTTTTTAACTTTTCACATTCTGGAAAGTCCCCGGTTTTTTTGTTTCTTCGGGGCTGTTTGTTGATAATTACTTCCTGTGAGATTTGTAAAATAATGAGCGTGTACCGGTAAATAAAGCACAATCGACCTCATTGCTTGCATTGTGTGAGCTGTCGTTATGTACATTTTGATGGTTTTTTTCTTCTTCAGGTATCTGTTGACACCTAACGCGGCTGTGAGAGTAACTAAACTGTAATTGATTTTTTTTTTCCCTTTTTTGCTTCTTCCTCTCTAAACGCCTCCGCACGCATAGTCACACTTATGTCTCCGCTTCAAGATTGACGCGAGAAAAGAAGCTTCTTTTTACGCCATCAGTTTTGCCTTGTCTGTCCGAAAACCTGGTTTACGGTAATCGTCTATCTAACGCCTCGCGCTAGAATCTCGTTCGCGAAAAAAAAGTTTAGCACATGCTTTTTTTTGGCGGGCCCTTACCTATGGCTTCCCCTCCCAATCTTTGTTTTTTCCTACTACTTGCAGTTGGGGAGGGGGGGTTTTGGTGGTGCCAGTAGTAGTGGTGGTTGTGGTGCGGTGCACTGGTGTTTCTAGTGCGCTTCTATGCCAGGCCATCTGGGAAAGGGTGGGGGCCTACATACATACATGCTCTCTATTTTTTTTTTTTTTTTTTTTTTTTGCTGCTACGGTCGCTGTGCGGCGGCGGTGCACTTGCTGTGCTTACTTGTTGCGTAGGAAGAATAGAGCTAACTCGTTTGATGATGATAGGGTTCTTTCTTTTTCCGTATGCCTAACTACTAGTATTTCTCTGACGTTTTTGAACTGGGCCATTATTGCATACACCCAAAATCATGAGCTTGGCGTATTTTTGTATGGCATGCAATATCAGTCGCGTCCACAAACGTCAGAGAAATACGAGTAGAGTGACTACATATGTAAGTGGTTTATTAATCATTGCCTACGTTATGGGCCTTGGGTAACTCTACAATATGTCCGTTGGTACATGCCTTACCAGCAGGGCGAGCGTGCAATATTACCGGTTTCCAAATATGTAGGCCTGTCCTCATCCAAAATCCGATGGGGAGTGTACATACAATGGCAGCTCATCAAGGATAAATAATCAGCCGGTGATGCTGTGCGCGAGGTGCGATGTGATGGATAGGTACCCAATATAAATTCATGAGGCTGACTGACGTGACTGTTATTATGATCCCCAGATTAATTTAAACACATCACGATACCCAGGTATGGGTTTTTTTTATCCCTTGGTCTGGTGAGACATGCAGACTGGGTTCCTCCCGAATAGGGTGTGGCTTAGTGACTTTGCCTCCGTAGCGGTGTACTCAGCTTGATGGCACAGTCACTAGAGTAGACCACACTAACCGGGAGGGGTTCCAATATATGTCTCGCCAGGCCAGGATAGAACGGTGATCATATTATTCCAGAGCTTATCCCGCTATGACTAGAAATAGCTCCCAAAGCACCGTATTGACAATCAATCAATCAATACAGACCTGTCACTATGATCATCACCCCTCATGTCTTCTCCTCCACACACGTACTCTACGTATAACGACGCCTACTATAGTATGAAATGATAACATCATAACATATAGCAGCGTTGCTAATTATGCCAGCACTAAGTACCAGCACACCACCCCCCATTCTCCGGCGTCGCCGCCGGCGGGGGCGGGGGAAGGGGTCGGAAAAGGTTTTGCGGTCATTGTGCAGCAGCAGCCGGTTGATTGCATTTTGTACACCCACAAAAAACGTGCCCCTCCACCTCCCGTGCTGTTGCATATTCCAGCCTGAGTTCTCCCTGCAGCCCCACATGCAGGGCACACTGCGCGTACCACCATAGCCGAAGGGAAGTCAAAGGGCACAAAAATAAGTAAAAGATATATATTAAAAAGGTAATTAGGGCAAGCTCGGTAAGGAGCGAAAATTAGGAGGCACGGTATTCTGGACTCAAGGAAGCCTTCTGCCCTGGTCCTTACCTGACACAAAGTGATACTCTTTGCACAGACAGTCAATATTAAAGGGCGGGACTCGAACCGGACAAGCTGGAATAGTCGAAAACCGTCATATATGTTCGGTAAATGCAGGAGCCGCAAGCTGTGTCCGAACTTTTCCTAAACTCTATCATAAACCTAAGCCCAAGTATGAAAATGCCTAAGCCACAGCTGTACAGGCTATCGAATGCACAAGAATTATTGATTTGTTATCCCACCACACTAAACGTGTATGTGTGTGGCTGAAATTATCTCGTGCCCATATCAGTCCCAGGGCAACTTTTAGACTTCCTTAGCCTCGATCATGTATGTAGCCTCTACCAAATCGTCTCTCTTGTAAAATTCTTGTTAAGATTTGGGACACCCAACCCAGCTGCAGCGGCGGCCCGTCCCAGGATTTTTGCTCCTATCCTAACCATGTGTAGCTATAGCTACATGCTGTCTAGAAAAGGAACAGGGTTGAGAGGCACGCTGACACAGGGTAGTCTGGTCGGTCTAGTGCGTAGAGCTCAGAAGCGCAAAATCAAACAAACCAGGTGTCTGGTATCTGTTTCTGGGGTGATCCTAGTCATTGTTATACAAACGCACTTATGGCCAGCTAGAAAGTAAATATTGGATCACCAGTCAAAACGACAGTAGGTACTGTCGTTCACGGGGTATTGACGGGCACTGGGTGTTGACGAACAAACCAAAAAGAGACAGCCAAGCCAAGTTTTGCCTGCAATCCGTCAACACCCAGTGTCCGCCAATACCCCGTGAACGATAGTACTTGATATGTACTCGGTACAAAGGTACCGAGGTTCAATTGAGGTGGTGAGTGTCTTTGGTGTTCTGAATGTAATTACCTTGTGCTACCTCCACTAACGATGTTTATGCTCTCGGTTTCCCCTTTACAGAAAAAATCTCCTGAATAACTGACGAATTCAGCTGAGTTAGTCGTAATCGTATGAGGCGTTCTGTGGATCGTCATCTGGAGGCTGAAACATGTCCTCATAAGCCCATTGCCATGCCCTAAGATGAACGATTTGGTAGGATAATGTGCCCCGTAGGTATTGATCCACTCAGGAACTGTAATTATCTCTATTCGATCTGTAGGCACAGCACTCGATCTGTGTAAATTACGAATAGCCAAGCTAGATGAAGACATCTAGTGATCTGTTTCACTATTCGTAGTTGCAAGATGTTTCCACGTTGGCGCACATCACGCCTCGCCAAAATCAGATACCTTAATATCATAGGTAAATGATCGATATCCCCAGATTATCAATAACGATTGTACTAACTGAATTAACTCGCCTGCGGATCAACTTTTGGCTAAGACACGTGGTAATTAGTCCCAAAGAATCACTACTCTGCATGTAGGTCTTCTAAAGGTAATTATGAAAATGTGTTAACGTACGAACTGCCGTGTGCACTCTAGGTTACTATCGTCATCTGGGCCTCAACGTCAGACTTCCCCAAGCTCTGATGGCAGCGCCTGCGATCTTAACTCAAGGTTCAAGGATTGCGGTCGCTCTGCAGTGACAATAGATGTCCGATGTCATAAATCCATAAAGTCGACAAAAAAGTATAATTAGGACAACTCGGGTGAGCGTAATCATTTGAAGAAGTCCTCATGATCATGTTGCTGTGTGGTGCACCCTAACCCAGCTCTAGAGCACATACTCTGGATCACCAACACACAACTACAGCCTACAGGCTGGCACTTCCACAACAACCACACATGTATGACACGGACTTATGTGGTGGTTGACCTGGTGATATGTGGGTCTGTATCTGCACCCAAGGGACTCTCACCCCAATTTATTCTAGATTGTTGTCGTGCTGCCCCTAGAATCGGATCAAAAATCCGATCGCGTGTATTCAGGGACTGCTACTTCCGTGCGGATTTTTATTTCTTTTTGGAGGAGGATCCCTAGCTAGACAGGTTGCATAACATGTTCGTCTGAACATTGTGCAAGTGCATATTCCTCATGGCATACCCGGAGATCTTTCCAGAACAACACCAAATTGTTGTCAACGCGTATTTAAGCGCCAACATAGGTAGTATAAGCTCGTAGGCACTTCGAGATGCAGAGAGCCCTATTCTTTTGATAGATAGGCCCCCCGGGAATCGATGCTGTACTTTATCGAAGCATGTGTAGTGCGTACGTATTTTACCTACTGTAAGTACGTGCCATTGTAGTCAGAGTACCTACATGTAGTTACTCATACTCCTCAAGAGCCTCAACAGCCAGCCTTACTGTAACGGCACAGCAACAGCAGCAGCGAATAATTATTTTCCGCGTTTGCGCCATTTCCCCACCCCTCCTGCGCCTTCTAGCTCAACGCGGGGGCTTACTCTAGGTATTTTGCTTTGCCCCTATATAAAAGACATCATATAACGGATAGATTTCCTAGTGAGGAAGCATGTAAGATCTCAGGAGTAAGACGGGGAAACGACCACGACGTCACCCATATTCTATGTTCTCAATGTAGTTGCTATTGCAGCGGTGAATTGATTGGATGGTTTCCTCTGCTCCAGGCTCGCGAGACGCGTGCATATCGTACGTAACGTAATTCCACAATCTATGCGATACGGTTCGGAAACATCAGCAGCAGAAAGGAAAAAAAAATACAGAACAAAAGGGGGAAGGGGGAGCCGGGTAGGAAAGGGTTCTTTGGTCTTTCTCTAAATGGATGGTTGATGAAGGATCTGTACGAAAAGGCTACCGAGACGAGACACCTGGGCAGGGGCACGTACAGGAAGAAAGAACCCCTCTCTGCCCTTTCTCTACCGACGACATAAAGATAGGATGGTATATGGTGTGGTGGTATGTAGCCACCCAGGTGTGGGGGGTGCCCTGGGAATTCCCAGGTGTAGAGTTCTTCTCAAAGGTGGAGGTAGGGAAACCCTTGCCGCCCCTTCACCCGATATCGACTTATGTGGCCTGCCTCAAGGCCTGTTCCTGGTTGACGATCATTAACTGCCATGTGTTCGTCCAGGTGGTGCTGGTCAATACCCAAGAAATGCAAATGCAAAACCCAAGACATAGAAAGGGGTGATAGCACACAGCGGGGGAGACGGGGAGGGAGAATGGATGAGTGGTGAGTGATGATTCATGATACACTCTCCCTCCTCAATATGTGTTTGGAAGGTGGAATGAAAAGGTCAAGAAATGCCATCCCGTCCGCACCCCCGGGCGACCGAGATGGGGCCGAGGATAAGTATTATTTTTGATTCTATACGCGGGCGAGGACATTTCCGTCATGTAACTTGAGGCATGCCACTCCCCCTTGTGCCATGTACGACCTGGCCTGCATCAAAATCTTTTTTATAACTCATATAACTCATTCACCGCCCAATAAAACCTTTGAGTGCCGCCATATGCGGGATGGGGAAACGCCCATGTCTTTGAATTCTTAATGGGGACGCCGAATATCAAGAGTGGAAACTATATCATTGTAAGAGTAAGAGAGCCAAATCTAGAGTGCTCAGCGTTTATGGACTGAACTGGGCCTTCAGATTACCAAAATCTGGTACGTACTTCATGTAAGATTGGGCTTATACGTACGTACATACATACTCGCGACCAGCAACAAGAACCCGAATATGCAGCTGCAAGTCTTTGGTGTATTTTTGACTTCTACTCCAATGGAAATTGCAGATTAAGGCGTGCATTTTCGGGTTCTTGTTGCTGGTCGCGAGTACTCCACGGCCGTTTGGGACAAGCTCCCGTGTTCGTCAACGTACGGTGACACTCAACGACTGTAAACTCAGTGGACCAGGGCCGGGAGCATGAGCGTTGTACATAGAGTACTTGTAAGTTCCAGAATCGAGTAGAGTAGATACCCCAAGGTGCTTACATACATACCTACATACCTGGAGTGATCTATATAGGTACTGTAGAGCATGTGCTCATGATACATGGTAGGCATGCGGGGGGTGATTAGGTATTCGTGGGCGCTCTTTGAATTGAGTTGAGGCTCTCAAAACCCATCTATCAAAACTTCTCTGCAGAGCACATCCATTGTGCATCAATGCACATCCCCGGTTGCCAATAAAGATTTTCACCGCGCACAAACGACGGTCACGGGGTTGGGTTCTGCTACCGCTGGAGTGGATAACATCCCGTGTATCCTATGGGACCCGCCCGTGGGCATTCAATACGTAAAAGAAGTTAAAAGAAAGATCTAGACAATTATTGTTGAGAATGATTCTAGGAAATGAGAATCATGATTGAGCATGCTTTCTTCGAGGGATATCGACGCGGTAACTCGGCATGCCTCTGCCTTGAAAATCGAAAGGTGATAAATGAGTTTTCCACATCACATCATCGTCAATAAGGCGGCACAGACGGAACGACGGAGCCCATATATCCCGTGAAAAAAAAAAAAAAAAACCGTTTCCATTTTTCCTTGTAAGCATGCCCTAAGGAGTGCGTGCCTAAGTACATGATTTTGAACTTTTTAATTCCCAAAGATATTCCCCCTCCCTAAAGGTTTACAAACGGAAAAAAAGAATGGAACTCGTAACTGTATACTAAAAAAAATTGCTAAAAAGAAAGTACCTATAACTACGTTCTCATCGCTCCCCCATGGAAGCCTGACTGTTGGTTAAATTGAACGTTTTTGTTGCCACGACCTCTTCCCTGTCCCCCCCCTCTACCGCCTCTACCACCTTCATGGTCTCCGCGTCTACCGCCTCTACCACCCCTGCCGCCTCCTCTTCCACCCTGGCCGCCCTCCGGGAAGCCGCCTTGACCCTGAGTCTTCTGCTCCAAGACACGCTCATTCATCTCCATCAAGCTACTAGCCTTATCGCTCAAGGTTAGGGCCAAAGTCTGAAGACGTGAGAGTTCAACTCCCTTCCTGAAGATAATGGCATTGTTAACTTGGTCTAACGCGGCGGCGATCTCCTCATGGGCGATCATCTTGCTGACCAAGGCTGAAACCTTCCTCTCCGAAAGATCGAACATCTCCACCAATCTGGAAATTGATAGTGTGTCGTAGAATGGAGCATAGGTAAAGAGATATGTTCGCAGGCCCTCCTCTTGGATCTTCTCGGAGAGCATATCTTTGATCTTCTGCGGTTCCGGTAGAAGATCCCAGATCTTAATGGCATGGATGAGCTCACTCGACCTCTTCCACTCACCAGCAGCGAGTGCCTTCGCGGATTGCATAACATGATCACGTGTGTTCTCAGCAGGACCAGTAAATATCTGTCGTTCATGGTACTCAAGCATACGACGGAAAGTCTTGCTAATTACTCTCTTTTTCAGATCAGGGGATGATCCAGTAGCTGCCAGAGCCGGGATTTCGAGCAACATCGAGCAAGTGAGATAGGCACACTCCAAAAGCTCTAGATTGATGTGTTGATGGAACGGTAGCTGTCTCTGTCGCTCAAGACGCTCTTGTTCGGGGCTGACCTGTGAATACCTCTGAATCTGAACGCCCTGGGCTAACATTTCCTTCAATCTTCCAGTCCCACATATTTCTTGTAGACAAGTCTGGGCCTCGTAGATCAAACCAGCACGGAAAGCGCATAGTCCAACTTGCACAAGGGTTCTGTTATAGAGGATTTGTGTGCTAACATCGGCGACATGGATGTTCTCTTGCAGATGCGACATAAGCATCAAATCACGTGCCTTGTAAAATTGATTATGAAGAGCGTAATGGTAGATATGGCAGAGCATGGCCCGTGTGCGAAGAACAGTGGCGTCATGTTTGTAGAGGTAGGTGCAAAGGGTGTACAGAAGGTCACTAGCAGAAGTGGATGCCTTCTTGGCCGAAATTGCGGAGTCAAGACCTGCAGGGATTGACTTCCACGCATTCTCTTCGACAGTTGAAATGACTTGTTCAGGCTACATATTATTAGTTTTTGGTACGCAAAAGTTGGAGAGGGGGGAGGGCTCATTTATGATCGTTACCTTGAAGTACAAGTGCTCCAATCTACGCATGATAACACGATTGATAGCTTCGTCAGTAGGGATATTCTGATTTCTCTGTAGTCTTTCCAGGTATAGCTGGTTTCGGAGGATGGTGGTGTAAAGGGCACCTTCGTCGCTGAGCCTGTCAATATACTCTGTTGTGTGGGGATCAATATGTTGCAAAGATCGAGTAAGTTCGTCGTCAAGTCTATCGACAAATGAAACAACACTTCCGGGGATCTTAAGGACCTCGCCGGCCGCTGGGACAGGCTGTTTTTCATCGTCATCCCACTCCTCTGCATTCTCAATCACAACATAATCCGGATTTGCCTCGAGAACCTCAAGCAATGTGTTGAATTCTTTCTCAGCACTACAAAGAGGCGATCAGCTTCGGGTTCAACAACAGCAGTGGAAGCGCGCTGGGGAACTCACGCTTTCCATTGTTCAGCAGACATATAAGATAGAGCTCCATAGGTAAGGTCAAAACGGGTGGAAATGAGAGCCAAAAGGACCTTGATCTTTTGGTATGGCGTCTGAGCAACCTCATATAACCTCTCCATAACCTTGATTTGCTCGCCTTTATCCGTATTCTTCTTTCCTCTGGCCTCAATAATGCCTCTGAGGTGCTTGAAAATGCTCTCCGGGGTGTAAGTTAAAGCCTTTCCACTTCTTCCAATAGTCGAAAACCCCCTATCGTCTTCGCTATCCTGCCCAGGCTCGACTATTTTCGATACCTTACTAATGGCTTTGGGTGCTGCTGGCTTCTTGTCCTCCTTCATAAAAGCCTCTGGATCCTTTTTGTACTCCTCGATCTCTTTCTCATAACCACGATTGTTACGCTTAAGGCGCTGCTTGATAGTATTAAGGGCACGAGCATTTGCTGCGTTCATCTTCTTAGCCGCAGCCTTGTCCTTGAGGGTCTCATTCATGAAATCCTCCAAATCTGCAATGATCTTGATATACACCTTAGGAGCAGAGGTTTCTGTAGGCTTTGAGACAATCTTATTGAGCTTGTCGAATTCTGTAAGTTTCAATGTTAGCTGGCGTCTTTCATTACCAGAGTTGCCCCACTAAGCTACCCCGCCCCGCATTCGATGATTTAAGGAACTTAAATACGAACCTGCAGAAATGAGAACCCAATCATTGATCTTTTCTCCATTCTCAATAAGCTTAGCAGAGGCCTCAATCTCTTCCATCCGCTTGTCCTTCTGACTTTTGACGACCCTCCGCCCATCATCTTCATCACTCTCATCATCGCTCCCACCGCCTCCAACCAAGAACCGATTACCACCGGCTTCGTCACCAGACACTTCCTCTTCATCGGTCCCATCCTCAGAACCTGAATCGGAGGAGTGGTCTTCTACCTCGGACTCCTCCTCTTCAGAGTAAAGTTCTTCGTCGGAACTGCTGGTGTCGCTGTCACTAAGGCCTCCATGGAAAAATCGAGACATGATGGGCTAATCGAGATGTAGAGACTGCTAGGGTCTATTTGAAGCAGCTATTTAATTTGATGGGCTCGATGCCGGCGCTCGTCAGTCGTTCGATAAATTCGATAAAGTGGGGTGCGATGGTTGTGATTCAGAATGCATGGTAAAAAAAAAACCATGTGTGTGGCCAGGGCTATCCCCACTCCTAACCCTAAGCGCATCGGGTCACATCCGGGTCACAAGACCATTCAGCGTGAATCATTTATAGATAACTCAATTAACAACAGTTATCGCGGATCTTATAGAATAACTAGATTGAAAGTCCTATATGCGATGGCTTTTGAGCAAGGGTATAAACATATATGTACTTAAATGTAGACGCATACAATACATGTACCTTGCACAATATCAATTCATCGCCTGTATCGATGATATAAAGTACTTATATCATATACGCCTGTATATACTTCGTATTTTCGTATAGAGATCCATTACATAGTATATTTAATCGATCAACTCATCGATTTTCCGCTCCGTAAATAGGTGTGTGTAACATCATAGCATGTCACTCGCAGGCCCAAGCCTAGAAAGATACATGTATGAGAGTAGGGGGTGTTATAAACTCGGGAAAGAAGAGATCTAAATCTTCCTCTTCCTTATATAATGATAAGACACACTCGAGGGAAAAGGAGGTTGCGATAATGAATTACTGACAGAAGAAAATGGCCCGACTGCCGCCCACATATAAGAATCATTTCCAACATCCCGATGTGTCCTCGTCTCTTTGCTCTCCGAACATGAACCTAACCACACAGCCCCTTGAGGGGGGGGGGGGGGGGAAGAAAAAAGAAAGAAAAAAACGAGAAAAAAAAAGCAGGGGGACACGGTATTTTCCCTATGCAGTTCCATGTGCCCTCAACCCACCTCAGATCAGTTGGACAATTTCATCTCGGCGCACTGTTACTGTTAAGACAGACATAAGAGATCACCACACCCTCACTCATAAGATCATACACATAATAACCAAGGAAAGGGTGTGAAAGAAAGAAAAAACATGCTCGTTTTCACGCAGAGAAATTCAAAAAGAATCCGCCCCACCCACTATAAGAAAATTAAACGTCCAGCCCCCGAGACATGTTTCCTAACCTATCACCAGTGCTGGTTGAAAAGACCATCTTCCAATGTCCGGTCCTCTAACGTTCTTACGACATTCTGGCTACGATATTGGGTTCCACCCCGACTTTGTCGTCGACCTCGCCCCTGGCCGGGTTGATCATCTGGGATACCACCCGGTGGTGGAGGGAAATAAGCCGGGCTGGGTTGAAGGCGAATTGGTTGAGTGGGGTCCATCATTGACGCAGCTCTCTGAATTTGTGGGGGAACACCATCTACCATAGTGGCCGAACGTTGTCTGGCAGATCTTTGGCTGTTTTGCGCGTACAGCTGCTGTGCAGGATTATACTGGCTTGAGGATGGGATCTGTGCGGGTTGTTGTGCATGCTGCTGCATTATATTCAGTTGGTTTCCGTATTGGTTTCCGCTGGGAGTATAGGCTGGAGGAGCTACCTGCTGCTGTTGCTGAGGCTGCTGCTGAGGTTGCTGCTGAGGCTGCGAAGTATACATATTATTATACATTGCTGCAGCCGCCGTGGCAGGCGCGGCAGGCTGCGCATGACTAGATGCTTGGTAGGATGTTAATGGAACACCCGTAGAATAGCCCGTTTGTGTTTGCGCGGCATGTGCTGCCTGTTGGGCCTGCTGTTGGGCCTGCTGCTGGGCCTGCTGCTGTTTCTGGCGCGCAGCCTGTTCCGCTCTTTGTTGTGCTTCCATTGAAGACATGGGTGATTTTTGTGGCTGTGGTGTTTTGAGATTCATTGGAGGAATAAAGGGACCCGTGTATTTCTGTTGGGTGATAAATGGGTGCATTTTTGCTTGTTGCGGAGACCACCGTTCCATGGGGTTGATATTGAGAAGGCCGCGGACAAAATCAATGAAAGCTATACGATTGTTCATTTCTACACGAACGCATCAGTAAATTCAAATCAGTGGTAAAGTTTATTATTGGCGACCAACCTCTTTCTTGCTCAATTGGTTTCATGCTTTTCCTGGGCATCGAATACTGTCGGATTATTTCAGGTAAAGTAGTAGCCTGGAAGTATTTTTTACTTGGCTGCTCCTTTGTTCCATGCTCCCTCGAATATTTCTCCATACTTTTAAGCTGATATGTCTTTCTCCCAAATTCGTCATGGACTTTCTCAAAAAATTCGCCCGCTTGCTTTCCCATTTCGATCATCCACACTGGAGGCATACCAAGCATCTCGACAATTCTAGAGACTTGATTGTATTCGGAGCTGCCTGGGAACAGTGGGAGTCCCAAGAAGAGCTCTACCACAATACACCCGAGAGACCACATGTCGATAGATGATGAGTATCTGAAACTTCATGAGCGGTTTTCGAGCTAAACATAAGATGACGACTCACGGTAAACCCAAAAGGACCTCAGGGGACCGATAAAATCGGGACTGAATATAGGTATACACTGTTTGCCGCTCATCACATGCAGAACCAAAGTCGATAACTTTGATGATGGGGCTCTCCAAACTACACGCCGATTATAATTAGATTCCGCTACTTCAGAGGGGAATATGCACCACTTACTTCTTCAGCAAAATATTTTCCGGCTTCAAGTCACAGTGAATAAGTCTAGCCTTATTAAGAAGGCATAGGGCATGTAATAACTGTTGTGCAAAGACTCGTACGAGTGTGGTACTTAATCCTCGGAACTGATTTTGTTTGATAAGTTCATAAAGATTAACACTGAGAAGCTCGAAAACAAGGCAGAGATGCTGTCGATGAATAAAAGTGTCCTTCAGTCGTAAAATATGATGATCATCGTTTTTATCCAGCTTACTGTTGAGCTAAGATTCATAACATATCATTAGCAAACCGGGTGTTCGGAGTGGTTTTTGGTGGCACGCCAGTAATTCTCACCAAGTCCAAAACAGAAACCTCCATCATACTTTGGTTAAAGTAGGCGGTCCTGTTCTTCACTACTTTGACCGCCACAACTTCCTGAGTCTTCAAATTTTGGCATTTGACTACCTGCCCAAAAGTACCCTGCCCTAGAACATCCAAGATCAGGTATCGATTTCTGTTACACACACTATAGTAAGTAGTTGTCCAACTAAAATAGTTAAACTAGGAATAGAGTAATCCTCAACCAGCGGACATACTTCGTTTCCTCAGATCCCAAAATATCATTCACGTAGAGAATATAGTCGCTGTCTTCATTATCGTAGCCATCGTTCTTCACGCCCTTACTCGGCTTAGTCAAAACCCGCCGAGGATTCCGTGATGACTCGTATTTGAAGTTAGGATTACATATCCGGTATGTCGCAGGGAGATAGCTTGTCAAAGCTTGCAACGGCTATTTATCTAACATGTTAGAATAGCTGGAAAAATTTCATATCATAGGGATCAAATGTATTTAACTTACGCTGATGAATCCGCCTTCGGGGTTTGCTCTTCTGAAAGCAGGTTGGGAATTTGTTTGTGGGTTCAAATCATTAAGATTGGTTACTCGCGAAAACCTTGGCGGTGGGTCTCTAGGAGGCGATTGGTGACGAGATAGCTGGTCAAACATGGAGCCTTGGGGTCCCGTCGCGGTATGCTGTGGATAATAACCACCTCGCCCACCATTTGGGTCTGGATCTTTAATCCGAGATTAGCATGGGAAACTTAATAAGGATTATTAACGGGCGCAGAAACCTGAAGCAGATTGTTGTTGCTGTAACGGGTGTTGATAGTTTTGCATTGATGGCGGAGCGCTCGTTCGAGGAGATGCAGAGGCATTTTGAGTATAATAAGATCCTGAATTATTGGAATAATTTGGCCTCGAGGGGGATTGTCGGGACTGATAAGCTGGCATTTGGGTGTAGCTTGCTTGCTGTACTGTATGCCCAGTGGGAGGGGCAGCAGTATACGCAGTCTGTGAACTCGAACTAGCGTTCATGGGAGAATATCTTTGGGAGGCTGAAGATTCCTCAGAACCCAGATAAGGTTGCCGGGAACCCTGTGCAGCCTGCTGGTATTTTGTCCTGCTGTATGGATCGGCATCCTGCATTTGCACATCCATATTATAGTCCGGATTATTTTCAAGTCGAGTGGTTGGCGAGGTCACTGCTGACAAGTTACCTGATGTTCCATGATAAGCTTGATATGGTTGTTGAGTTGCTGCCGCAGCCCCTCCAGATGCTGCCATTGTAGTTAATTGTGGCGGTTGCTGGCCTGGGTTGAGATCTCGGGGGTGTTGTCCAGAAGAGCTACCCTGTTGTAGCACATTTGATGGGTATCTTTGTTGACGGCTTGCAGAAGAGTCTCCAGAGAAAGCTGTCCAGGAATCCATGGTGTTAAAATGACTAGTGGATTCGCTTCGTGATAAAGAAGGAGACAGTACAGCGGGACTGCCCGGAGGTCTCTTCGGCGCTGAATGGGTCGACTGCGCTGTTGTTGATACAGAAACGGCGACGGAACCGACCAAACCTCGAGACTAGCTGCACTTCACTTAGTAAGAACGTAGGCAAACGAGTTGACGGAGACGAAGTCTGGGCCTCCAAATTGGCCCACTACGGCGTCGATATCAGAAACGGGTTTCGAGGACGGGTGTTTCTTACAACGAGTGGTGCGTTGGAGGGGTGATGTTGCTTGAGGTCGGTCGGTGGACTGTTGGGCTGAGGTACGTTGGCTGGTCGTTGTTGGCGGGGAAGCAAGTGCAAACGCGGCGGTCGCAACGTACAGGGGAGTCTTCGCCAAAAGGAGGGGAGGGAGCTTCAAGGAGGAGAAAGAGAAAAAAACATGTATGGGCGTCAGAATGAAGGGGGAGTGGGGTGGAAATGTGAAGAGGGGGGGGGGGGGGGGGAATAAGGAAAAAAACACATATAAATGACCAATCCAACAAGCAAATATGGGTTTATTGGCAGGCACTGGATGAGGGACGCTGCAAAATGTTGGAAAAATTACGCCGG